GCGTGTAGTTGTTGAGGATCGAGTTGCGACGCTCCACCGAAGTGATCGGCTCGCGGTCGCGATGCGTTTTGGCCGACATCGCGAACAAAAGCGACGTCACGCTGAAAGGCACGGCCGCCTTGTTACCCTCGTTGTCCTCGCCGGATTTGAAAATCACGCCTGATAGTGATTGTAGTGAGTAACATGAGATGTGCGTGACATCAGACAGAACAGTAATTCTCTACGACGTGCTTGCATTTTCGACATTTCAAACATTCCTACCTTTCTCCCACAAACTCCGCTCATTGACCGCCTTCGCGGCTTTGGTGTGCGCGTCCTTGCTCGGGCGTAACTCCGGCATCGGCGGGACCAAGGACTGGTAGCTGTCGGCGACCTGCTGGTCTTGCCCGGCGATATAATCGACCAGGCGCCTCCCTTCCGCCGCTGGGAGGGCGCCTGCCGCACCTGATGAGTGCGATTTTTTCAATTACTTAGCATAAATTGGACACGACATGTATGATTGCTTCAAATTGCTACTCATGACTGCACACAAAACTTGCATGCTTCAACAGAAATCAGTGAAATTTGTACCTACGGCGGCTGCTGCGGCAGCAGCGCCATTGTTGTTCGGGTCTGCCATTATTTTCCTTTGGTGAGGTGAAAGCGGTGTACTCTTACGAGAAATTTCCTACGGTGTTTTCATTGGATGAGGTGAATTACGCAACACAAACGACACGCAGCTTTCAGGATCTTGTATGTGCATTTTGCAGCTCTTCTGAACACTGATTCCACAGGGTGCAATGACTTGGCCTGATTGATTTATTTCTGCTTTTTAATTTCAACAAAAACGCAAGCGCTTGCTACACACGACTTTACACACCAGCAAAATTCAGGTCACAAAACATCGACCGCGAGATGTGCGGGATGGATCTTATATAATAAAGCAACATTTGTAGACTTGCCCACCTGCAGTGCACTATACAACGCGTGGGATCTAACTTCGCCAGATACAGGTGGGTGGCGCATCCAATTCTAAGGGAGTGGCTGGCTATGTGCTCTTCTTTCGAGAATATAACATTGAGTATTTTGGACACGTCGAGATCGGTTTTTTCCAACTGCGGAATCACACTTTTTAATTTACACACGCAGAAGCAGGCAGGGTACTCAAGTTTTCTCAGTTGATCACAGACGCACTTCACACGGACAAGGCTGTAGGAGTTAACTTTACACGAGGCTTCTTGGAAGTTAAAAATTAAATCACGCTCCTGGTATTTCATGCTGATCAGCCCGGTAGATTTTGTAAACTTTGTGTCTAACTTCTGGCATTCGCTCTTTCTCAACGCTGCATAAAAGCAGAGCAAAAGGGCCGTCAGCTGCTTGTAGTGTGGCTTGCCTAACTCCCAGTACGTTTTTAGGTGAGCTATCGCGATGGGTGACTTTTGTCTTTTCCTACCTAAATAGCCTCTCCTCACAAGTGACGCAAGATCTTTTGAAATTTTCTCACGCTCTGCATCTGAAACGCGACAGCGCGGGTCGCTGAGGACGTCCATGACTGCAGGTTTTACGCTGAGATAACCTGCAGCCATACTTTCGCCAATAAACATCCTTATCGAGTTGAAACTCCAGGGCGGGCAGTTGGGCGGGAGGTGCTGCGCTATCTTGATGCATCTTGATACCCTCGAGGCCTTGTTGGCATCTGCTTTCGCCGTTGATGTCCTCTCGTCTAACTCCTGCACTGCTTCTGCCAACAAAACCGGATCCCCTGCGATGGAGAGGGCGAGCTCCATTTTGCCCTTCGCTTTCGACTTCTCTTCAGCAGTTCGTGCGCTCATGACTTCGTCAACTGTGCTTTGTGCCGCTTCTAATCTGCTCGTGGCTATGTCGATATGCACGTCTGTTTCATGCTGTCTCGATGTAGGATTATCATGCTTGCGATAGCAGTAAAATGTCTTCTCGCCCGTCTCCGTGTTAATCCTTTCGACGAGCCGCAGCTTGGCGAAAACTTGTCGCGCATACACTTCCTGCGCCTGCGTTAACCAGAGCTCTCCTAAATACCGTGGCTTCGGCTGCGGGGCCGTAATCTGTTCGTGGGTGAACAACATTTTTGGTAGAATCTTCGAATCCGTCAACATCGAGTCTGGTAGTCGTGCCCCATCCTGCGCACACGCGCGAACCGCCGCTGCGGCTTGCTTTTCTCCTATCGTCTTCGACAGTTTTTCGAATGTGCTGCAATTATCCGCTGCTTGTGCAGCCATGTCGGACTTGAGGTCGTCCCAGAAGGACTCGTCATCTTCGTCATCACTGAACATTTTGCAGTACAAGGCGTGGGAGGGTGGGAAGAAAAACTACGCCGAAGACGCAGATTTCGAGACCCAGCTACCCTTTTTCTATTTCTACGTGCATATATACAGGCACAGAAGGGAACGCGGTGAAGCGGACACTTGTGCCACAGATAAAAGAGCTTCGGACTCGTCCCTCGCCGTGTATTCTTTTCTCAGCTGTCGCTCGCTTCTCGTTTTCTACACACATGTTTTTACTGGATACGCAAGACCGTCTTGTCCTATGAAGCTCCGACGAGCGCGAACGCAAGATCTGCACCGACGCATCGGGCAGGACGACGCCAGGTCGGCACGAGCACGACCGCACGGGGGAGGCACCTTTTTCCACCACGCTCTCTGCGGAGAGGGTGCCGACCGAGGCACAAAACCCTCCCCCACCAGCGCTCGACGGAGAGTGCGTCAACGAAATCGCACGTCGTACGGCAACTTTTCTACGGCCTGCTGCTTTCAACTTTTTGACACTTCTTTCTGATGGCTGCGGCGTCGTGGGATCCTGTCCCTACGAACTGATGTCGACGTGAAGCGCTGCCTCTCAGGCGAGCCTGATCAGCAGCACTCCTGCAGAACTGCCTGTCGCGCTTGCGCGCTAGGGCCGCCCTGCTGAGCATACGCAACAAGGAGCACAACCACCGGTGGGGTGATCTCCGCCTGGACGAAGACCGACCGACCCGCCGAGCGGCAGCGCTGACGCCTGACTACAGCCAGTCCGCTACACAACTGCGCAAACAAATGCCTACAGATGCGGACACACTAACGCAGCTTGGCTGCTGCACGCTAACACGCCTACGCGGCGCATGCCGACGTGGTACAGGCTAACAGCGGATCGCATCCGTACTTTTTCCACACATTTTCCACAGTCTTACCACGACTTTCCACAGTTCTACACGACTGTCGCAGGCGAAGCTGCCTAGCACATGCTAGGACACAGCGACGCGAGCAACCCGCTCCTCCTTTTCCACTTTCCACAGACTTTCTACAACATCGACTTCCACATGCACAAGAAGGAACGACACCTGCTGTGGGCATGGTTGGTGAATGCCATGAGGTCAAGAAAAACTACGCCGAAGACGCAGACTTCGAGACCCAGCTACCCTTTTTCTATTTCTACGCGCATATATACAGGCACAGAAGGGAACGCGGTGAAGCGGACACTTGTGCCACAGATAAAAGAGCTTCGGACTCGTCCCTCGCCGTGTAAGAAAATTGATAACGTGCCTGAGTTTTAACGTTGTAAATCATTCAAGATATGATGCGAATAAGCTGCAAAAGCTGAGACGTCAGCTATCTCCTAACTTTTGGGCAATATCTTCACGGTGGCAATTTTTTTTTTGGAAAACGCACTAACCTGTTGAAAATGGTCGAAACCTACCACAGCTGACCAATTCGATAAGTGCAAGCTTCTACCTCCCGCGCAAGCATCTACCTCCCATCACTGTATGCCCTCCATGTGATTCGATCAAGTCGATTGACCCTGCTGGGCCGATTTGTCCTCCTCCTTTCACAAAAATAAAGAAAAAACTCCCCCCCCCCCTTCCTGCATGCACTACTGGCCAAGCGCTTGGCCTCCCGCAGGCGGGCCGCCCTTCTCAGGTCATGGCGCACTCCTCGCACCGGCGGGGCGCGAAGCATCACCATGCGGAACCCCCCCCCCCCCCCCAAAAAAATGCATTGTGGTCACAAGGAGCGAGGCCCGCGGCCCGGGCCGGCCTCGCCTTGGCTTCCGGCGTTTCGATCTTGTTCGGGGGCCGTAGCGTTGCCCGCGCGCGACGCGGTGCGCTGCCGCGTCCCGGCCCGGTGCTCGGCTTGAACCTGCCCAAACCCCCGCACGGCGGAGGGGCCCTTGCCGCGCGGCGCGCGCGCGTGCCCGCCCAGCCAGGCACTAGCGCCGGAGCTAGTGCCTTGCGCTCCTTCGGCGTCCACATGGACCGGCCCAACCCGCTTGGGCCCTACCAAAGCCCCCGAATGCGCTGCCCGACCCCCCCCTTCCCGCGAGGCGGTACGGCCGGGCGGCCCCGCCGGCGCCTTTGCTTCTTCGCGAGATGCGGCACCCGCCTTGTTTGAAATGTGCTGCCCGTCTTGCTTGGGAACTGGTCGCGGTATCTTGATGGAGATTCGGAGCGTGCGGCTTTAGGCCATTGGCGGCCCGGGGTCGAGGAAGGAGACCGAAGGGATTCTGCGTCCGCCGGGCCACCAGCGGCTTGCGTTGCAATCCATAGCCGCCGAACTCCCCGCCGGGAAAGTCTGCACCGCATGGCCCCGCCAAGGCGGGGCGCCCCGGCCCGCATCTTGGCCCCTGATGCCTCGCGCCGGCGTGCGGATGCCTATACGTTGCCCGGCGTGCCTACGCGATGGCGTCGAGGTATCCCTTTTCTGCAGGGCGCATTTGCGCCCGTGGTTACGGTGCCTGTGAGAGTCGCCGTTTGAGGCGGCATTGATTTGGTTCTTACTGCGCGCCCCCGTAGAAACGGGCTCTGCGATCGCACATCAAACATCACCCGAGCGCGAGCACCCTCCGCTCGCGTTACGTGCAACTCTTCTCCTAAAGTGTGCAGCTCTTCAATTTATTCTCAAACTTGATCTAATCTAATAATTTCTCTCCCGGCCAGTCTCGGTTTATCAGTCTATCATTTCTTGCGCTTCAAGTCAGAGCCACTCCAAGTTCCCAATCCTTTATGACAATGCCAGCAGCGATCCAGTCATACTGACTAAAAGCTTAAGCAACTGTTAGTCTAAATCTACACACTCACTTCACGGTTCCCCCTGACTCAGTGCCGTGGACCCAGATCCGTGTTCATTGTTGCAAAGCTTCTGTATAGCATATATAGTCCGAACTGGCGTGTAAATAGGTAGAAGCAGTTTTCTCCTGTCGCACAACACACACATTCCCACCATGATGGTTCGTCTCTGGATCTCAATTCTGCTACTGGTCGGAGTGTCCGGGTCATCGGCGTCGTCACACACAAATGCAGGCAGCATCAACGGCGGCGCCAGCAGCGCCGGCAGCAGTGGTATCGCACTTCAGGGCGGCGGCAATTCTTGGGCAAGCGAATCTCCAGCTGTGGCAGTCCTGCGCATTCTAACGCAAGATCCCTTCATCTCAACCGGATCGATTCAGAGTCCGCAACACGGCGATCAGCCGTACTACTACCTGTCTCAAGCCGAGGCAGATTCGAAGGAAACTCAATTGGCCTTCCTGGCTTCCAAGAGTCATGTCGGGCAGGTGCATGTTTTGGCGAGATTTATGAGGAGAATGTTACCGGAAATCGATGTTTTGAAGAAGGTGTTTGCGGTATCTTCAAAGGTGGCTGCACGATCGCAGGTGACTTCAAAGGCGACGCACCACCAGGCGGTGCAGCTGCAGCTGGACTCGGAGGAAGTGGAGCAGAGTTTGGCCTACTTTCGTGGTCTTGGAGAGACACTGGGGGGCGGTCTATTCGGCCACCGGGGAAAAAATCTGTCTGCGCTCTATCCAGCAATCGCGGTCCAGGCAGTGTTTCTGGACTTCCTGATGCGTCAGCCGCTCGAGATGTGGGAAGGATTCGATCAGAGTTTCGGGGAAGAGCGGGTCGTGGTGAAGAAGCAGGTGCGGGAGGCTATCGCATTTTTTCTGGCACAGGAGGAGCATGATGATGATGTGGCGGACGAGCCGACCGTGGCGCAGGCGCATGGTAAGCTGCAGTGGAAGGATATCAGAAACAGGATGTGCTGCAGGAGGTCAGCCAGCGAGAACAAACACATCGCAGCGGGATTGCCGTCTTCTTCGCGCAGACCGGACTCGGATGCACTTTCCAACGCAGACAGTTGTCACAACACAGACGCAAAGAAGACCCCCGACCAGCTCGCTGACGCGCTCTCCGAGGCCTTCTTGCAGGGATTTGAGACCGTCGTGGACGGTCGACTGGATCGTGGACTTGAAGCTGCCGCAAAATTTTGCAACAGCTTCGTTGAGGCCGCTCACGAGGCGTTCTATGCCATGAAAGCAGACGTCTGGCTCGCAAAAAGCGCCAATCTTCAGTCTTACGACGCCGAAGCGAGGCAACCGAGGGCTAATGTGATGGGTTTCATGCGCTCATTTGGTGATGATGCAAAACGTCTTCGGGTGGGCCAAGGCTACGGGACCCGCAATATGAATTTATTATCGGCCAATTCGCGCTCATCGAGTCGCGGGTTTTCCATCGGTGGAGAGTCCTTTTTCAAGAGCAGTTCCCACAGCGAGACCAGTTCTTATTCAGGATCGATGGGCTCAGGGCCTTACATTTCAGTCTCGGCAGGCTCGTCTCTCCACGGACGCGATCGCGAGCAAGAATACCGTTTGCGAACAGTCGAAGATAAAGTCGAGCAGGTATTGAAAAACATAGCTCACATTGCCAAAAAAGATCTCGCTAATCGCTACGTGTTGCAGGCCGATAAGACCGCGCATGACGCTGCTGTTCTCCAGGTGTTGCAGGCCGCACGTGCGCGATCGACTTCTCAAGAAGAAACTGAGGATGGTGTGCTTCTGAATCTCCCTTCTTTCATGGAGAAGCAACAGATATTTTCATCAACGTCGTCGGACGAAACGGAGGCTTTCTACACCACGGCGTTGTCAAAAATGTTTTTATCGAGTATGGGCGATGTGATAGTAGGAGGCATATTACACGCAACGACCGACTTCGCCGCGCTCGTTGTCGGGTTGCGGCGTTGGCAAAAGAATAATTGCCCGAGATCCGAGTGTCTGAATTCTGCGATGGACTCTACGCGCAATTCTTTTACTGCGTCCACCAGTGCCCCGAAAACGGCGGGAAAAGCCGACCGCCCGTTCTCCACGTCAAAGCTAAACATCGTTGGGCGTGAACGAGCGCGGGGCCAGCTAAAGGTAGTAAACGGCCCGCTTGGACGAGTCGGAGCGGACGAGGGGTCTGCTTCCTCAAGAGCGATCCCCTGGGCGGCACAGCAAGCTCACCAATGGACGAACCCGGAAATGTGTGAAAGAATGTGTTCCCCGACAGCCGCAAGCTTCGTGAAGAAATGTGGGGAAGACTACGAATCGTTTTGGGAGTCATTGGATTCCCTCTTGACGGCTTTGATCGGAGGACTGCGCGAGGTTTCGAAGGCACGTTTGGAGGAGTATTACAAGGAACAAAGTAGTGTTGTGGCACATTTGAGGCGTTCTGCGGCACGTTCTGCTAGGGGAGGGTAGGCGACACTGTAGTCAGAATTTCATTGATTCTTTTAACATAAAAATAAGAACGCTAGCACATAATGCGTGACAGGGTGACGCGTCACCACATCGCACATCAAACATCACCCGGTATGCCCGAGCGCGAGCACCCGCCGCTCGCGTTACGTGCAACTCTTCTCCTAAAAAAGAAACTACCCGCTTCTACCCGATTTGCGGGCGGCGAAGAGTTCGCTTCTCTCTTCTGTGCTTGCCTGTACTTTCTTAACGTTTACCTATGTCAAGGATAGGATGCCGGAGCATACTTTCGGTTCATTGGCTCTCTTCTGCACGACGTCGGTTTTGTTTGTTTACTGTGACCATTGCGAAAATACAAAGTTGCATGTCGGTTTTGGCTCTTCGTACCACTTCGCATCTGTTGCTGAGCATATCGAGCTGTCGTGACATTATCCCTGATTCCTCGGTTCTTTTTTGGAGTTGCAGGTGCCTGCTTCGGTTGACATTTCGTAATCCGTTCGCCAACCGTGAAACTCAATCAGTTGTGCCTTATGTATTCTGTCGGCCGTCAAGCTGCTCGGGCACGTGAGAAGCATGAAAGCTACCTTTCAATTTGCGTACTTGGTTTTTCATATCGCCAGAGCGCTGCTATCCGCGGCGAGACCCCGCCGTTGCGGTTCCCACTAGAAACCATTTTGAACTCCACTCGCCTCCTGAACCCCATAAGACAAAACGACTTATTCTCTGCCGCTCGTAGTACGCCACTTTCTGTGACATCATCCCAAGTAACGCGCGGAATACAGCCGCACCTGCAATATATATACAACACCAGACCGCGGCGCATTAGATAAGTACTTTTCTGCTTCCTCTTCTGCACCAGGAACAGCATGTTGGGAGTTCCCGGGCTGCGGTCGCTGGACTTGGACGATCGGGGCACGACGGGTGGCACCTCGCCATCCGCCCGTGCGTCGCTGCGAACCCCGCGGACGCCGGTTCGAACGCCGCGGATCGGGCTCACGCACGCGTTTGGGCAGCCGCTGCCGCAACCGATGGACTACCCGTACCAGGGTTTGGTGTACGGGGAGACCTACTCCAAGAAGACCGTGGCAACCGCCCAAGACGACGACGACGACGAGGACTTCGACAAGCTGGGCGCGGAACTCCACACCAACTTCCCGGCGGAGGGTTTGTTCCACTCCAAAGATGTTCCTACGCTAGTGAAACACGCCGTGGGCCGAGCCAGTCTTGCGGAAGCGGAAGAGTTTAGAGAAACACGGACAATTTTTTAGTTTGACATAATAATGCATGTCGCACCAGCCGATGTTCTATGGTCGAGGCAAACGTTCGGTTGCGGCCATGAAAGAGCATCAATAGATACACATTTTTCACCGCTGCACACACTGCTTGGATATGATCTCTACTCCCGCGACTGCTCCAAGTGGTTGGCCCTTGATTGCGCTTGCATACTCCTCGGTATGCCGAATTGTACGTTCCACTTGGGGACTCCGCTGCACTCGATCAAGCAGAACGTGTTTCAGACGGAAAAGTTTGGACCCTACACCTTGCCGGCGGGTGTGGGGACGAATGGAACGAGACTCCAGATTCCCGGCTTTCGGTTCAACAAGTCCGGCATTGATCGTATTTTGTTTCTTGAAATAAGTGTTTTTTCTGTTCTTATTTTTTCTACCCTAAAAACCCTGTTGCTGCCCGCCTCTCGCCGCAGCGTTTCGTCGCGCCAGTTTTGGTTTTGTATTGCTGCAACCAACGGGTTTCATTTGTTGGTAAAATTTTGGAATCCAATCTTCTCAAGGAACTACTGACAACAATTACTCCCACCACAGTGCCCAAGCTAAACCTCGGCGCGGCGGCCATGCACTACGTGAAAATTGATCCCAGCAGAAAAAATACGGATCTTACGAGAAGAAAAACTGTGGCGCAGTTCGTCATCATGCATGCGTGTATGTGATTATCGACCTTTACGTGATCCATCGAGTTTGCGACCCCGAGCGGGGAAAGCTTTTGCAACACTTGTGTTGCCTTTTTTGTGCCTGGCATACAAGGGAAAACTATGCCAAGGTTTTTCATTCTCCCGTTCATAGCCGCAGTCGTGATGTCGCCAATCCTGACTCCTCGCCCGGGAATCATGGACAAGCACCACTTTCACTTCACGCCAAGGCTGAACCCGCTGGTCGCAAATACCAAATACGAGTATTACGCCCTGACCGTCCCGAAGTTTTTACGCAAGAAGGAAAAAGAGTTTTTCGTTCGAGCCGGGGAGTGGCTTCTGCCTCACACGCCAGGACATATTTTCACTATGGATATAATTTTTTTATTAGCCCTACGAAGGAGCACCCTGAACATGTCGAAAAAGGCACGTGCTGCCGCCACGCGGCGCATGAGCAGAAAGTAGATCCAAACTACATACGATGCAGCTACTGATGCAGCAGCACGATAAGAGAAAAATGACCTCTTTCAGACGCTTTTTATGTTGCGTGAGCTACTCCCCGTGAACAGCTCGGGTATTTTTATTCTTTCATATCTGAAAAACGCCCCGTATGTGACACCGCGGGATTTCGTGGGAACCACAAAGTACGAGAGATCACAAATTATCCCCCCTCTATTCTACTTAAAGGGCAAGCGCAGTGACAGAAATGCCATCTTCATTTCGAGTTGACAGAAGTGAGATACATCGAGTTGATGCGCTGCTGAGATCTGTGGTTCTGGTCGGTCATCGCAAGTTTGTCATGCGAGCAAAGGCAAAAGGCAGCAACAGGATTTGGTGTGTTGTGCGACAGATGGTATCAAAGGGAGGGGGGAGGCTGTGCACTTTCATACGAAGGATCTGAATTTTACCACGGCGGAAACCGGTGTCTCGACTGTATGGCGGTCGAAGATTTGAGTCAAGGATGCATCTGTCAGGTTGTGAGGATATGAAGAGGCGGCTTCGTTAAAGAAAATTACATTTATAGGTGGAAACTTGCTCTTGCATGTCCTGAACGCCGGAGGAATTCGCGCGTGATTCCTGACATCAATTTGCATCCTCGACGGAAAATCTATCTTTGGATAAACCATGGCAACGGTGCCCGATGTTTCAACTGCAGCAACAACGGAGCCGGAGGTGCCGATCGAGCCCGCGCCCACGACCCGGCCGGCCCGCCGTCGTACATGAGATTGATTGAGGTGTGAACCTCTGCAGCAGGGCTGATGAATACTATGAGCATTTCCGAAGCGAGCAAGGATGGTCTCACTTTTGACAACGAAGTCTACGACTCCTTCGAGTTTTTGCTGTAGTGAGTAGCATATCATTTTGCAACGGTTGTGCACACTGCTCGAGCCGTAACGTCGACAGACAAGCGGTCTGACCAACCCACATTTCCAATACTACACTAAAGTAAGATAAACCGAAGCATCTACATACTACTTCGGGACCACATTGTACATACCATAGGGAAATAAAAGTAAAAGAGCATAGCGCTCCGTATCCATATAAGGCTCTTTGCGCTAAAAATGTCGAGACAGCAGCATGTCGGGAACAAAAAGAAATCTTCCGATCGTGAATTATCTCTGCATATAACTCGTCTCTGCGAGCCAAGAATTCGAAAGAAATTTGACCATCGTCATTTGTGTTCGTGGTTCTGTTAAGAGTTGCAGCCACCCAGCAATGGCTTTTCGTATCGATCATAGTCTGCAAACAGATCGCGACTTTCGGACGTTCGAAACTGTCAACGGCGACGAGGTGAAATATGTGAGAGAGACAGATATAGAAAAAAATTTTCGTTCGATGTTGGTTGCTCTGATGCCGCCGACAAATCAGGTGTATGGGTGGCGCAGCAAAAGCAGACCTGAAGAGTTCCTTCAGACGACAGCCCCGCCTAAGAAGACAGCGCAAAACTACTGCAAGGCTACAGCGCTGCTCGGGCCGTGCAGGTCGTCTCGCGAACAAGACAAAAAGCGCATAAAAAGACAAAAGAATTATATTTGCTAAAATAACATGCCTCTCGCGTTTTCTTCTTTGTTGCAGGAGCTCCTTGTGGACGGCGACTTTTTCCCCAGCGGAGGACCGACCCGACTTCATCTTCACGGGGCAGCTTCGTTCCCCTCGCATGCGCACATGGTACCCTCCAACACATTGGATGACCAACACGGTCAGCACAGCATCGGCGGTCCGCTTTCGGAATTTCCGAACCCAAGCACCGTGGCGCACTCACGCCATGCAACCGCCTTCGACGACCTGCGTGTTATACCTCCACCCGGCGGGGTGCTAAAAGCGGTGACGGACGCCAGGAAAAACATGTTCCCCGGGGAAATGGGGAACGGGGGCGCGGACGGTGGGGGCGGCGGGAGCGGCGGGAGCGACGGGAGCGACCACGGTTCCAATGCCGGGCACGACGGCGGCACGCTCGCGCCCGGGCCGGCCGGGTCCTCCTGGCTGGTGTTAGAGAAACCGATGCCAAATGACGCCGTGCTGGTGGACTCGGATGTCTTCAGCAAGAAGTACACGTTCAGCACCGCCGCCGCCACTAACGGCGAGCAGGTGTGCCGGGGGCACAGCAAGCAGATGGCAAGCGGGGAAGACTTCCTGAAGCAGTGGAAGCACCCCAGCTTCCTCTTCAGCCGGCGGGTGCACCGCGTGCGGGTGACGCTGCGGGAGCTCCTCAACAGCGGAACAAAGAACACGTTGTGGGACGCGGAATACCACGGCAAGGAAGATTCGCCCGGGTCCGACTACGAGCTCGGGGAGACCGCAAAACCGGAGGAAAGCATTTCCAGCATGCCCTACTTTCGCTACTTCTGTCCGCCCTTCAACACGAACCAAAAATTCGAGCTGTGCGTGGAAGATCGAGACAACAACGGGTTTCGCGAGTGCCACACGCTCGAAGTCGGTGGAACGGATGAGGAATCCCGCGAAAACATGCCGGAGCTCAAGCCCCTGATGGAAACGACGCGCGAGTGGAACGGCGTGATGCCCGTGAAAAATCTCGGTCTGGTGTCCACCCGGGCCTTTGCGAACGCCGGCGGGGTAAACGCTGGCGAAATTCCCGGGGAAGACGGATCTGGCTCAACGGGGTCCGCGGGCAGCCACAGTGTGGGAAGCCCGCACAGATCTACCTCCAAGCACCGTCTGTCGGCGACCCGGTTTGGAAAGCCGCGCTATCCGCTCCTGATGGGTGCGCGGGAGGATCCCAGAAAAATTCCCAAAATACCGATGCAGCTGTCGTGAAGAGCGAATGTCTGTTGCACATGAAGATTGAAAAAGAGCGTTGCGTCGTTTTTTTATTTTGTAAGATGCAGACCGGCCGTCGAGTGGTTGCATGGTTTCATTGTTTCATGCGCCAGCTCATATTTCTAGTAAAATGCATCAAACCTCCAGGGATCGACTTCGAATCATGCGGAGTTCTATTGCCCGCCAAGTGTACTAGGTGATTGCGAGCGTACTTTTCAAGATCTAGTCGATCACGTATGAAGTGGATAGAAGCATAATACAACTTGAACAAGGTGTCCGTGTTCCATAGCTGTAGTAGTTTTTTGGAGAAAAATCATGGGGAAAAAGTTAATTTGACTGTCGGTTTGTCGTTGTACGATTTCGCAATGATCATCTGCATTTGTCACCACCTTTTGTCGTGCAAGATTCATAAAAATGAGGCTTTACTCGCGATCAGGTACCCTGTTGTTCCCTTTTCACCCACCTCGTCGTATGCCCATGCCCTCAGTTATTTGCTACTCTAACGCGCTCTCGCTCCAGGCAAGTTTGTTTACAACTCCCAGATGTCGTCCTGGTGCGGGCCTGCCATGGGTCGGTCTACTTTCCTGTCGCTCTACACTGATTTTGACTCTAGTCATGTCGCAGAGGGCAGCACTTTTAGTTTCTACCAAACACATTTACGAAGGCGCAGATCAACATGCTCGGTCACTTGTCTACACGAAGAAGCACAAATTGCACCAGATTCTCGCCACTACGAAGTATCTTGCTCTCGTACCAAACTCATCCACAACCGTATGGCCGGATGCAGAAGTATTGAGTCACTTTTTTTTTGAAGCACGCAATGCAAAGGAAATTGCGGGAAGCGTGAAATAAAGCGCTACGATTACAACGGGTGCATAAAAAGTAGTATCAAAAACTTCTTTACGACCGACAACCATGGACGTGAAAGCTGCGTACCGACCAAGCTACCGGCCCGACATCGACGGGCTGCGGGCCGTGGCGGTCATTGCGGTGGTGATTTACCACCTGGACAAGGACTTGCTGCCGGGCGGCTTCACCGGCGTGGACGTGTTTTTCGTCGTATCCGGCTACGTCGTGTCGGCGTCTCTGCGGAAGATTCTGCTTGCATCCGTACCAGGTAATGCTTCCACTACCGGGAAGAAAGGCGGAAACACGACGACGGGCGTTGAAGGTGAAGCTGGACAACACAAAGAGCTGCAGCCGCCACCTTCCACCCTGGACGGGCCTCCAAAAAAGGAAAATAATCAGCCAACCGCTGATGTGCAAGCGCCAGCCTTTTCGCGGCGCGAGTTCCTGGCCGACTTCTACGCCCGCCGTATCCGCCGGCTGTACCCGGCGCTAGTTGCCGTGTTCTTGGTGTTCACTTTGCTGCACGCCTGGATCGTGCCCTACTGGCTCCTGTCCTTCGTGCCCTTCGCCGACAGCGGGATGCTGGCCATCGTCGGTGGCGCCAACATCTTCTACGCGGCGCAAACCTTGGACTACTGGTCCCAGGACAGTGTGGCGAGCAGCAAAATGAACCCCTTCCTGCACACCTGGTCGCTGGGCGTGGAGGAGCAGTTCTACGTGATCTTTTCCCTCCTGGTGTGCTTGTTCGGAAACAGCGTCAAGCACGGCCTCATCAACAGCACGGGGTTATACACGGTCCTTCTGTCGTATGGCCACAGGAAATTTTTCTACCGCCACACAGTCGTAAGAAGTACAAGCTGCGACGAAGATGACTGTGCGTGGCACAACTCTTTTCGTTTATTGCAGTCTTATTCATCTCATAATTATTTGTATGCAGATCATCCAGAAAGATTCTCTGTCGCCAATAACAAACTTTGTACATGCATAATTCTTTACGTGCTGTGCTGCGGTAGATACATTTGTGTTGCATACAGCAATACTGACTATCGGGAGCTTCGTCCACTGCTTGCTCCTGCAAGGCACGCCGGACACCTCTGCGTTGGCGTTTTACCTGGTGTCTTCGCGGTTCTGGGAAATGTCGCTCGGGGCGCTGATGCTGCAGTTGGAAGTTTGGTACATGACGAAAAAAATCAGGGAAAGCAAAAACACGCGGAGCGGCCACATCGACACCAACACCGTCGCCCCAGCGGAAGCGGGCCTCGCGGTCGTCGAGAAAAATGATGAATCCACTGCTATTAGACTACACAAGCTGCATCAACAGAAGGCGTGCGGACAGAAAGAATCCGCGACCGGGGTCCCCGTGGAAATAGAGAGTGCGGCTTTCTTCAAGGTGGCACAGCAGAACCAGCATCCCAGAAAGGACAGCATCGTCGATATGAAGGAAATAAATCACACGCCCGGCCTCGAGCCGACCGCGACGATGACCACGAACGCTTCGTCGGAGACCGCGACCGACAGCCGCCCGGTGTCCAGCTCGGTCTCGGCCGCCAGCGAACAAATTGCAGACTCCCTTGCGCTGAACGAGGCACTGAACGTCGAGGGGGCGCACCAGATGAGCGACATCAAGACGGGCGGTTTGACCGAGAACGAGATGGAACAAGCGACAAAGCGTAAGCACGTTCACGCCGCGAGCTGGGTTCTCGCGAAGCAGAGAGACATGTATCTCCAGTACTGCAACCTCTCAAACGCGTCCATGGTCATCATCGTGGCATCTTTGCTGTTCAGCAAGTCAGGAGAACACTTTCCGATACCGTTTGCCCTGATTGTATGTGTGGGGAGAACAAGTATGCTGGGTCACTTGGAACGAAGTAATGAGGAATAAGAAAGTAGTCACCACTTTGACGAACTTGGTCAAACGTTCTGTTTTACCGCCATGTTGTGCGATTTCTGTTTTAGTAAGTATTATCGTCTGGTCGTTGCTATGCAAGCATGAGCAACTGGTGCAGCAGATTTATCACAAAGCTACCTCATGTTGACCCAGCCTACTTCTCTCCCCTGGATGAAGTTCCACCATCGGTACCTGCTTGTTCATTGTGGCTGAGTGGAAAGTGCCGAAGCCAGATAGTAAAGCAGAAGTCCTCAACCATAGCAAAGGGCCAACGCCGAAGACCTTCAACAATCTTTGCCGGGACGAGTGGATGATCTACGTCGGGCAAATTTCCTACTGCATGTACCTGGTGCACTGGCCGGTCACCGTCGCGTTTCACTGGGTCAAGCTGTCCGACACCCCCAAGTTTGGCGTCGTGTTCCCCATCATCTGGGTGCTGTCCGTGTTGCTGTACACGTATTGGGAAGTGCCACTGCGGTCCGCGAAACTCGCGAATATTCGCTCTTTCCGCGACCTGATAGCAGCGGTCTGCGGGACCGAGAATTGCGCGTGCTGCGGACGAACACGGAGAAGAACATCCGACGGCAGCACTGCCACCGCGACCGAAGGGGATCAAAAAACGGGGAGGAACAATACGAGCGTCAAAGCATTGTCGAAGCAGCAAGCCAGACTGTTGGAGCGGCGCCGCGTCTTCCAGTTCGGTGCGGCTTCGATTGCGGTCTCGGCCCTGTTCTGGGCGTTCCTCCGGTTCGCGGGCGGGCACCAGGCGATCTACACGGGCGAGTTCGACGTGCTGTTCAACGTACCCAACCCGCGCAACCGCGAGCCGGCGCCCTTCCGCGTCAGTTCCGCGCTGACGCTCCCGTCCGCCCCCGCCTCCGCGCAGACAAACTGGCCGAAGTGCGCCTGCCAGTGGACCGGGCGGAACGTGGAGAAAACCCTGCCGGCCCCCCCGCCGGGTCGGTACACCGACACCTATTCGTGCGCGCCGGCGAGCGGAATTTCCGGCACCACCATCTCCCTCGCCACCGCGGCGGCCGCGGACGTCTGCAGCGCGGACCCGACGCACGACCTGGTGCTGACGGAGCACCTGACTCCGCTCCTCTCCACCGCGAGTGCCAACGACGCCCCGGTGTGCGCGTATGCATCGGAAAAAAATGTTTCGGGTCTGGACCATTTTTGCAGGATTTGTCATGCTTGGCGGACACGACGCTGACCTCTGGGGTGGTTAGACACGAAGTGATCGTCTTGTATGCTATTCAAAAGCGCAGGTTTCCATGCGGAATACGCAACACTTGGCCACGTATCGCAGTGCGCTGACCACTAACAAGTAAATCCCTAGACTTCATTTTGCATCACAACTTCCAGACCTGGATATACTTATTTTCATTTGATAATGCGTTCGAGCGCGCGATTTCGTATCCGCTGTGGTCGTGGAACAGCATGAAGGACGACGGCAACTACCCTTGGCCCGCCTGGGACTCCCTCGACACGCGGAGTTTCTTCCCGGAAATCTCGCAGCGGCTGCGGCGTCCCACCGCCGCCCCCGTGACCTGGTTGCTGGGCGACTCCCACGCGGCGACGTTGACGCAGACCCTGCTGGCCGCCACCGGCGAGCGCGTGGTGCTGGTCCAGACCGGGATCTGGCTCATGATGGCCAGCGACGCCGGCAGTCTGGAATTTTTCCAGGTCGTCCGCGCCGCCTTGCAACAGGAGATCCGGGACGGCGATCGGATCGCGGTGACCTACTCCCAAGACCGGGTGAAGACGCCGGACCACGTGGCCAACTGGAAAAACCAACTCAACGCGCTCCAACAAATCGCGCACACCGCGGGTACCAGCACGAAGCTCATCCTCTTCAAGGACGTGCCCGCGTTGCCGAAGCCGGGCGTGATGTGTTTTCCGATGAAGTGGGGATTAAAGCTGTACGACTGCCGGGTCGAGAAGCAAGTTTTGAAGCAGCAAAGACAGGCAGAGACGACGCTGTTCCACGAACTTGTCTCTCAGGATGCGACGAAACAGACCGTCAGCGTGGATTTGCTGGATCCCATGTGCCACAAGACCTACTGCGACGACTATGAACCGGGAAAAATAATGTTGCTAGTACTGTCTGGGGCCCCCGATAAGCAAAAGTTGCATCTAGAGTTGCATCTAGAGTTGCATCTAGAGTTGCATCTTAGAATTTGCATGCAGTATAGCAGTACTTGTCACCTGTCACGTGACACGCCGTTATTTTCATCTTTTCATCACCCCCGATTTTGAATTTTTGCAACCCGGGTCAGCATGCAGGAACAAAGCTGCAAACAGGCGACAAACTTTCAACCTGATCAACAGGTTGCCGTCACACGAAAACTGCCATTTATTGTCCACGAAGTCCCAGTAGCATTATTTCTCCGTGATAGCAAAACGGTGCCCGGGTTCCCGGAGACGGTCGGCTACATCGACTCGCACCACCTTTCCGACGCTGCGGTGTACTACCTTGCGCCGTTCGTGTGTCATGCGCTGCACCAGCAGGGGCGGTGAGTTTTTCCGCGGAAATGGAGTTATTTTGACGCTAATTTATTAAAGAGCTGGCGTGATTTTGGAAATACAAATAGGTATAGGACCTGATGAAGAAATTGGCTAAGTGATCCAAATCCTTCCCTTAGGACTTTAGAACGAGACCGCGGATTTATTGTACGGCCATCTTCCACAGCATTTCTTCAGTAGGACTAGTTTGAGAGCTTTTATGCTAATTACGACTGCGTTGTACTATTCGCTACCACAATACAACATCAAAACTATACCAAAACTGTTGGAAAAAATGCATTGCTTTTCGGAACAAGGAACATACATGCTTACATCTTTCAGCACAGTGAAAGGAAAGCCTTGATGGAATAAACACGTGAATAGTAGAAGTTTTCAAGAGGAAATTAAACGAACCGTAGTACGCATGCGTAATATCTTTCACGTATATGATCATGTCGTTTCTGTTTCTGCTGTAAAAAGATTTGCGTTGGCGCACGACGAGAGGCTCACGCCTGTCCCTGGCGCGGAGTTTTCAATTGGTAAGAACAGTGAAAAACTTTGCTGAATGGGCAGCATTGTTGGATTATTCTTGGACACGACACAACCACCTGTACAATGTCTACTTGTCATGCTAGTTTGACTGCGAGTTTTTCTTCATCCCCTTGGCGGTTTTTCGTGGTTCCACGATGATTGCGCGAGTTGGTACTTTTTCGCTGCCGGTGTTCGCTGAGGAACACAAGTTCAATATGCTGGCGCCAGTACATTTACTCCTCTCCGATCAACATGATCTCAGTGGGTGGTAAAATCTCAGGACCGAAATCTGCGCAGGTCCGCTCGCGGTTTTGGCTCGTTGTGAACCTTCCAGCTCAATACGATAGGCACACAAGCAGCTTGAAGGTCCGGAAGCGGACGAGGTCTGAAGGCTCGAGCTTGTATCTAGTTTGAAGTATGGAAAAATATTTTTGCACTCCCAGAAGATCCCGCTCGATGCCGACTTTCTGATAAGGAATAGCAACAAAAGGACACGTGATCAACTTGGGCACTTCGTATGTGCGTCGCGATACGGAGTTGCGAAATTTGCGTTCCACGAGGATCTTTTTTTTGCGATCAAGGTTTTTTGGAGATCTTACACTTGATCTGTGTTTCTCGATTTTCGCGCTATTTACAACAAGCGTCCATGTAGTTCTTGTCCGCCGTGCAAAAGAGCATTGAATGATTACTAGAACTGATGATCCTTCTTTGCGTTTAAAAGAACTCGACGCGCGACTTGTTGATTGTGAGAAGAAGTTTGTTGCGCTCTCGTGCTCTCCCGTTGCCGTGCTCTGCCGCCAGATTGCGATCCACTATATCAAAATCTGTCGTTTCTTGAATAGGAAAGGGATGTTCTAGTAGATCACGAGCTGAATTTTGAATACACATAACGATACGATACCTTACTTCATCTGCGAAGTGTTTTTTATCTTTCAAAAACTAACGAAGAAGCTTGTCCTCGCCTTGGTTTTTTTCCCTCTCCTCGACAAGGCGTTGACGGAAACGGTTTGACGGTCAGGAAAACTTTTTGAAGTGACGACACCAGCACTCTCGACCAGCATGCGAACTTCCGCAAGTACGCTGCGGCGCTCGGTGTCGCGACCCGGCGCGCCGTCCCACGCCGCCGCACGACACCAAAAGAGGACCATCGCGACCCCGCCGCCGCGACACATGGTGCCTGTGCTGCGGCAGCAGGCGAGTCTGGAGCTGCGCACACAAATGCGGCCGCCGCTAGTAGTGGCAGCTAGTACAACATCAACGGCGCACCTGGCCGCGGCTCGTCCACAAGCGGGCTTCGTCGCGCGACCCTTCTGCTCGGCAGCGGCGGAGCTGTCGTCGTCCGTAGGCGCGTCCTTTGCCAGGGAAGGTGAGACAATGGATGGAATAGCGGAACAAGAAAGTACAAGTAGCAACACTCAGAATGGACTCAATGTGCCGGCAGCTTGGAGATCGAACGTGATCTACCACGACCACGGGGTCATGACGGCCTACAATTGCATTTGTCAGGCCTTGGGCTCCAAACCGGAGGAGGAAAACAGGAAGCTGGCAGACGAGTACTTATGAGTGATTGTTGTTCTGAAGACCAAGAAGCTCAGGACTGTTCGTGCTTACGGATTGATCCGACATTAATTTGTAAATGCGCCGCGGTTATATACAGGAGTTCCAAACATAAATCCTTTTAGCACAACCGTGATTTCTTTTCCACTTTGGATATCATGTTGTACCATTTTGGTCGTCCTCACAGGTTTTTTTTCCAAATCAAGTGCCTGGACCAGACCTTCGAGGGCCGGTCCCGCAACAAGCGGACGGCCCGGAAAGAAGCGGTGAAGCAGTTGCTGTCCGGCTTACAGCACCAGTTCACGCAGGACCAGCTCGACACCATCTGCCTGACCACTTATGCATTCCAAACATCCGTCTGGGTCTTCAATTTGCTGCAGAGGTTTATCCTCCACTCCTTGCTGTGACGCTAACTCTGGAGCGGACAAAAATCTGTATTGCATGACTTCCAAAACAAGTTGCCTTCTTGTTGACTTTTTCATGCGGGGAAGAATATTTTTTAAGAAGCCTGTGCAAAGAACCCTGTGCCAATGCTTTGTTTGCATTCAAGTTCATCTAAAAGTATTTGATCCAGAAACTGGATGAGAAATAACAAGTGCGCGACTGTTCCAGACCTAGACATGATATTTGCATATCATACCACCGCACAAAAACTGATTCTGGACCAGAGCAAGACGGGGGCGAACAGTTTGAACGTGAAATTTTCGACCGTGAACGCGGACGACATGACCGCGAAGCCGGAGGTCACCGCGGAGGTTGCCATCGGCGGGGTATCGAAAGGAAAAACTCCCCCTCCCCATATCGAAAAGGCATGTTTCCGAAAATTTGTGTTGCTGATTTGAGGTCACAAATTTGTCTTGCAAGAAGAGAAGTGCAAAAGCTTCGCCCCTTTTATGGAGGCGATTTGTCATGCTGTTGGGCCTAAAGGGCAGCCGTTTGCCATGCTGAGCAACTAGACCGATACGCCCCTACATAGCCCGAGGATCTGGCCGCAGTGCCTTCCTGCAATACAAAGCCGATTTGTGTACACAAATCCAGCATCAGAAGCTTCGTTTTGATATGGGGAGGGGGGCTTTTTCCTCTCGATACGGGGTGGAGGCCAGCGGCGTTGGGGACACGGAAAAAGCCGCCCGGTTAGTGGCCTTCGACCAGCTCATCGAGAAGATGATGATGTCCAGTGGCGCCTTTGGAATAAATCCCGCGGGAGGTGCGGAAGGCGGGGGTACTTACTTTCGTTTTTGTTTACGGAGACACAAAAATTTGTCAAGAGCATCTTCCTAAAACAACGCTGCAGGAAGAGCGTTACACCGTGCTTCTGACAGTGGCTGAATACGACGAGGACACCGCAGTGCTTTCTCTGTTAGAACACGACACCACAGTACGAAGAGGAGATTCTATAGCGCTGTTTGTCGTATGTTGACTACTTTTTTGTAACTCTCACACTTCTTCCTACTGCAGACGCGTCCTCCAAAGCGCCCCCGCAACCGAAATCCTCTTCGGCCTTGCGCGCTGCGTCGATGATTTCGCGGCACAACACGGTCGCGCAGCGCATGCGGAACAACGTGGAGTTTCACTTTGAATTCGCCGACGAGAAGTGGACATCGACCGTGGTGTGGAGCGACGGCGAGTACGCGGAGGGGGTTCACTATGGGAGTGTCAGGATCGAAATTGACAAAATCGAAAAATTTGTAATGCATAAAATGCATGACGCGCAATACGTGTGTTGCAGAGCAGGCAAGTGAGGCCGATTGTAAGCCTGTTTGGGGTTATAGCTCGAGCTGCTAAAGCAGCAGGAGAGAATCAGTCTTCCTTGCCTAAACAGCATAACAAACTGGATTTAGGAACCGCCAGAATTTGTCATGCGCCACTTAGAGACTGGGTTCGAACTGGAATCCATTTTATGCATGACAAACCATTTCGATTTTGTCAATTTCGATTCTGACACTTGCATATGCACAGCAGCAAGACGTTCGCCAAGGCGCTCGCCGCGGAGAACATGCTGGTGAAGCGCGGCGTTCTGCAGCGGAGCCTGACCGAGGAGGAGCTCGCGCTGGCGGACAGTCCGGAGGGGCCGGAAACGCTGAATAAGCTCCCCCCGCAGGCCTGGGACCTGTTTCTCCCCTCCCTGTGGAAGGAATCCGCGGAGAGCTGCCTCCCCTTCCTCACGCAACGAACCCCCGAGCAGGGCTACATGCCCGTCGATTTGTGGGAAACGCTGATCCAGGACACGGCCGCCCGCGGCGCCCGGGAGCAGGAAGAGAACGGCTTCCGCCAGAAAAACCAGGACGTACGGGACTTGTGCAACTGCTGCGTCGAGTAGGCATTGGGAAACTTGTGTTCTTGAAGACGCCGTCCACATGCAACACAACACTAGGCATAAATACGCAAAAGTCCTTTCTTTCACAGCAGTGCAACAACTGAATCGCGTCGTTTTATGCTGTCGTGCACATCAGAACGCCATCCAGCTTATGATGCAAAAAGACGGAAACAAGATGTGTTGGCGTTTGCGCGTGTGCGGCTTTTTCTCTTTTTCCCTTCCATCTCGCGGGCGAGTTCTACGCGACCGGCGGAGCAGAGTACTTTCACAAGTGGCGTGGCCTCCTCGGGTTAGGTATTGTGAGGCAAAATCCACCACCTCTCCATAATGCGAGCTGAAAGCAGGACTTCAGATCTTCGACACTTTGTACGCACAAATGCATATCATGTACGTAGTACTTCCGGAGCAGAGCTTCGTCTAGAGTACTTATGCTGGTCGACGCAGTAGAGCTATTTGGCATGCCACACGACTGCTGCAAAAGTAGCAGCAATAAAGAAATAAACGATGGGAGAAAGCTGGTACTTGATGATGTTTCTCTTGCAAAACAAACTGCACTTTGACTTGCGCACACGAAACACGCAAGAGCAGCTCGCTTTGGTCACGGGGTTGGCAAGGGATTTTTCGTCACGATACCAGAGGAGCACGCGATGTTTGACCAGGCTGCGGATGAGGTGGAAAACATCGGCCCCCTGACTGTGGGCACGCTCGGAAACTGGCCGCTGTTTAAAGTGGAGGGATTCGCTTCCGACGCTTTGCACACGGACGATTTGTTGCTGGTAATGAAGTGCTACTTCCTGCTACTTCCGAATTTCAGTTTGGCGGTGTTCTCTCAGGGCGAAATTTAGACTCCCTTTCGCATTGCGAATGACAGGCGTGCCTGGTTAAAACGCAGCGCGAGTACTTCCATAAAGATGCCGTTTTAGTTGATTACAGCCAGAACTATGCATTCTCAGATTCCTATTCATAGATCCTGACACCAAAACGCAGGTATGCGGGCGCCCCTGCCGGGTGACCTCGGCCAACCCGAAGACGCAGCAGGCCATGTTGCGATTGCTCGACCCGCGAGAGGACGATGCGGACCTGTTTCAGGAGGGCAGCGAGATCTACGCTGCACAATTTGGCATGGCGGTTCCGAACGAACGGATGGTGCGCGCGTTGAAGTTATCCTGTGTGAAGAGGACGCCCCCACCGTCACAAAGTTTGCATGTGAGTGTGCATGGCGGGAACGTCTCACATTTTTTATTCTACTGTAGTTGGGAAAGAGAAGAAAGGAGCCTGCTGATGTGGCCACGCTAGTTGACCACGACTGCCGTGGAGCACTCGAATTTGCCATGGCCGACGTCCTGCAAGACCTCTTGGTTTGCATAGCGTATTTTGCATATTGTCTGGGAGCAGGTGGGGAAGAGTTTCTGCAGGATAGAAATCGTTTGCGGGATACAAGCCACCTGAATACGATCAGGTGCAACCTATGCCAGTATCGGATTGGCTGCAGGGCATGCTGGTGAACCCAGAGGGCATTGGGTACTTACACACTGGCTATTCGCGGCTTAAATTATCGAGACGCTGTAAACCGAAATATATTTATGTTTATCGTATGAACATGATTGACGCACTAGTCACTGCAGGATATATAAAAGGTTTCTTCTTGTACTTCCTCATCAAGGGCAGGCACCTGTAGTGTTGGATTGTAGTCCGTCGGTGCAGAAAAAAAAGTTTCGACTTCAGTTGAGAATGATATCAACTCACGAACAGTTTCGGTTCCGAAGTGGATCACACGGAGAAGATTGCGGAGCCGGTTCCGCCCTTGGTCTCCATTCCCCTGTCGGAGTCGCAGAAGGCCGCCCTGGAAGCCGCCACCAGCCGGCGCATCACCCTGATCCAGGGGCCCCCGGGAACGGGAAAAACCTACTGCGGCGCGGCCATTGTGTCCTCCTACGTGGCGAAGACCCCCTCGGCGCGCGTCCTCGCCTGCGCGGACAGCAACGTCGCGGCCGACAACCTCTGCTTCAAGATTCAGCAGCTCATGCCCGGCGCCCGGGTTGTCCGCGTGGGCGACGGGGGCTGCGACGAGCTGCGGAACCAGGTGTTCGAGAACGAGGGCCGGGAGCTCGACGTGCTGTCCATGAGCACCGCAGAGGTGCGGGAAGCGCGAGCGCAGGCCATCCGGCGCCAGCTGCCGAACGCCCAGGTGGTGGTGGCGACCTGCATCGGGTCCGGCATGGACGCGCTGGACGTGGGCGGCAGTTACGACCTGGTGGTCATCGACGAGGCGAGTCAAGCGCTGGAGCCCGCCACCCTGGTCGCGCTGGAGCGCGCGGGCCAGGACGTGAAGCACGTCGTCCTCATCGGGGACCACAAGCAGCTCCCGCCCATATGGATTGCAAAAATGTCTGGGTCTGGAAGAATGCAACTTGTGATGCTATTTTTGGAATCTAAGAAAATCTGTATTGCATGAGCAGCAAGAGGCGTCCAGTTTTTGCTCCGCGGAGAGGAAATTTGTCATGCGGGATAGGCATCAAGATACCCGCAAAAAATCTGTCATGCTAGGTCATACATTACAGGCATCATAGCCCGTGCGAAATATGCATGACAAACCTGGAAATCTTCCAGACACAGACATTTTTACAGTTGATAGCCCACGGTGCTCTGCAACGACTACCAGGTGGGCGTCAGTTTGTTCCAGCGTCTGGCCGACCGGGGCGTCGACCCCCTCATGTTGATCGAGCAGCGCCGCATGCACTCCCTGATCGCGGATTTTCCGAACAAAAACTTCTACAACGGCCGACTGCTCAACGCCACCGACGACGCACAGTTGCAACCGGTCACCGTCCAGAAGGAATCCAACGTCGAATTGGTCCATTGCGCACCATATCATACAGAAAAAGGGCTAGCGGTAGCGCTTGTAAAGAGGCATGCGTTCTTTAATTTTCCACTGCAAGAGAAGTTGTACTTAAGTATGCATAAGCACAACGCATAATGTTGTCTAAAAATCAAACGCTGTACAACAAGCAAGAACAAACTGAACGACGTCCGAACCAACATGTTTGCAACATCCATAGCACTTGAGTGTGCCTTTCTAGTTTGAGCAGTGAGCAGTAGCCTACTAACTCGGGGAAAAAAAACTTGTCTGCTTTCGTGTGCCACCAGCTGCAATTTTTCCCTTTGAGACGCCGATTGATTTCCAGGGCAACGAGGTGAAGAAGGGGGAGTCCACGTGCAACAAGTACGAGGCCGACAAATTGGTGAAGTACCTGCAGGAGCTGAGCCAGGCCGAGCCCGGCTTTGACCAACTCACGATCGGGATCCTCACACCCTACGCCGCGCAGAAGCACTTACTGGAGAATTTACTTTTCGACCACGGGTTACTGCGGGAGAACATCCGCATCGATACCATACCATGTTGAAAAAACATCTTTTCTCCAGAAGAAGAGACGAATTCACCGCCACAAAATGAATCGCGCGCGCTTCCACCTCGGAAGACGCAGTTTTTTTTTGTTCCATTTGCTCCTGAAAAGCACTCTCTGCATCACATCTATATATAGTTCGCGTGGTTGAAACGTCTTCGGCGGGGGAACGGTGTTTCTTCAACGTGATACACTATCGACGGGTTCCAGGGCATGGAGAAGGACCTGATACTTTTCTCGGCGACGCGGTCCAACGCTCGGGGCGACCTCGGCTTTCTCAAGGACCCGCGCCGCATGAACGTGATGCTGACTCGCGCGAAAAAGTCGCTCGTGGTGTTCGCGGACGCAACCTGCTTGCGATCCTCCACCGCCGGGCATTGGCCCTCCTGGGTGCACTGGGTGCAGGAAAACGCAAAGGTGCGGTTGCCTGTTAGAGATATCACAATACTCCTTCATTTTGTCCGTACACACACTCCTGCCCGCACTTGTAAAGGGAACGGGAAACTTTTGAGATTTTTGCTCGTGCCTGCTTTTCGTGCGACAAGAAGTTGATACGCTAATATTCCTCTTGGTGCACTTTACCTCATGCGCGAATATTTAGGTGTCGGGTGACGAGCTCGCCTCTGCGTTTTCCTCCAGCTGGCACAATCCCCCGCGCATCAATGCGACTGAGGAAAGCAACGACGAGGAGTCCGATTTTTTGAAAATGCTTCGCGCGAACGAGCAGGGCGCAAAGAGTTTTCAAAGCACCACCACCGCGGCGACGCCCACTGCCGAAACCGCCGAAGTGCACCGGGGCCGGCCATCAGTGAAGCCGAAGGACGACGGTGCGCAGGTGGAATTGAGTAGGAAAAGAGAAAATAATTGTACAACTGGATCCTTTCCGCTGGATGACTGGATGTTGTTCTGTATGTGAGTAGAAGAAATTTAAGAAATTTATTCAAATTTCTTCAATTATTTGTTCCTCGTAGAAGTGACTGGGCCCGTGTGGTCACCAGTAGCGTTAAGAAAAGATGAATTGCGGAAGAGGTGCAAGCGGTACAGTTTTTCCCAGGATACTCGGCGAAGCCGAGTTTGAGGCGATGATGCAGACAGACAGTCTTCCGGAAAACGAGAGCGCTGTGAAAAACCGGCAAACGGAACAGGAGAGCTTTCTCAAAATGCTGGACGAAGCAGCGCGGCGCGACACAACTGGGGGGAATGCTTCTAGCGGCAGCAGTGCAACTTCTTCTGCGGTAGCAGCTGCTAGTGCCGGGATGTGACGAGCAGGTTTTACAGTATAGACACCTTATTCGAGTTCAAAATGTTTTCTTGAACAACATCGTTCTTTTGATGAAAAAGAAAGATGTGGGTGGCTATTCCGCTCACCTTGAGAAGCGCGCACGCAAGTCTTTTTATGAAGAAGTACGCGCCTACACAGTTGTCGTCTTTCAAGCAGTAAGTGTTAGTTTACTCAGCCAGGGATCTTCAAAATGACATGATAACGTGAGGGCTAGACGAGTAATCAATTTTCACAGATCCGCTCTCGTTTTGCCTGAGACGTCGACTATTCCGTGTCGGGTTCGGTCTCAACTGACGAGAGCCAAAATGAAACTCAGGTGGCAGTTGAAGATCCTTTTTACGGCGGACTTCGTTCCATCCGCAGAGAGGATAATCTGCTTTTTACCACAGTGCCAGTTTTTTACTTGAAGCATTTCCGAAAAAAGTACTGGCTTTCGGATGAATGGTTTTTCCTAAAAGTTGTAGTACAACGAGAACTGCTTGGGTCTAGTGCAAGACCGAAGCGAGTGTCTCTATGCAATTCCGAAGCCACTGAAATAATCCACTTCAGGTTTATCGAGGACTACGATGGAATAACTCCTCGAGCAGCCGGCTCAGGGAGCGCCCAAGGTAGGCTTCTTCGAATTACTTGCTGAAAATGAACATAGCGAAGATCCTCGTTTTTCGAGGAAGTAGAAGATACTTACTACGTACAGCAGGTCCGTTACACAGGTCCGTTACAACTTTTTTTCCAAATCGAACGACAGAAAAAAGCCTACCGCCTGTCTCCAAGATGACAGTAACGTAAGGGCTACGTCCACACGGAAACGCGACAACGAAATGAATTACCTGACAGAGTTTTAATTTCCTCCATTCGAGCAATTTCCTCCATTCGAGCGGATAAGTCTTCGATATTTTTTCTTACATCTAGCGACGAGTCTTTCACCAGTCTCTAAAAGTCTGATACGCTGCTGCTTTCGGCGAACACAGTAGTATGTTCTATTTACACCGAATGACTCCCGAGAAGTTTTGACTTTCGATGATCTTCAGGCATCTTCCTGGCGAACAGAGACACGCCTATCTACAAAAGTAGGACGAAGTTGCGCCTTCTGAAAATTTTTCCGGGATGTTCTTTGAAAATGTCAAGCTTGCGTTTGCGGTGTCGCTGTCCCTGCTAAGTAGATTTTGTTTCTCTGGTGGAACTACACCTAATGCTAATTTCGACGTCGCACGCTGCTTCCGAACTTTCGTTCTTCTTTTCTACTACTGAGAAGAGTGTGGGGGATGAGGAGGACAGAAAAAAACTGAACAGAACAAGTGCGACCACTGGCCGTGCGCTCTATATTTCACTCTTGAGCGAGGTTTTCAGGTTTGCTCCTTTTCCTTGAGCGTGTCAGCACTTCACCTACCACTTAATTTCACGGCCTCTGTCAGACAGAAGCTAGCAAAGATCATAGACCGTCTCCCTGAGAGCTTCGCTCCTAGTACAGTGGCTATACCGCCTCGGCACGTTTCTTCCCGTCCCTATGTTTCCGCGGTCACGCCGCAGTTTGGGTGTCGTAGTCCCTGCTCTCTGGTACGCGGGATTTTGCTGCACGCAGGTGTTTACAGCTCGCGGCGAGGAGGCGAGCGGCGCGAGAAAACTCGTGAAAGGGCTGTCTCAGCGTTTTGGAGGTGGCAGAGCAGGAAGGTATCACCCTGCCGACAACGAGGTAAACACGCTAGCAAGGGGCGAAACAGGAAACGACATAGATGCTAAGCCAGTTACAAACCAAGCACTAACGAGAGTGCTGGATCGCGTTTACACGGAGTTTCCGGTAAAAGTGCGACAATGGTTTGGCACCTGGAATCAAAACGCGGTAGAGGCAGAGAAAACCGGGGTCCAGCCAGCCGGGTTCCAGGTAGCCCTGACTAATGTCGTCAATCTGGCGTCGGTCATACCAGCGAGTGTTTTGCAGGAGACGCGCAAAGCTACGTCGACCGATCGGGAGCTTCAGGCGGCACTCTCGCAGCTTAAGGCAACGGATGCTGTGGAATACCTGAACAACGTCAACTTGAAGGACAAGTTCTCCTTGGAATTTCCCTCCAACACAGGGGACGCGTTCCACAACACGTTCCAGTGGTCTTTGTCGTCCGACTTGTTGAACGACCCCAAAAAACGAATAGATGGTACAAACTCAGTTCGAGTTGAATTTTCATCAAAAACAGTCTTCGCAGATTTGTTTTCTTTCTCACGACTCGGTGTGGGAAGACACAAACCCATCAACAACTTTGCAGCCCTTGCAGTGACAGAGGGGAGTATCGTGCTGAAACTCGTCACGGACCAGAAGGAGGCTTCAAGCTTCGTCAACCTCTCGCCGCACCCGGCCGTGGACGCCGGACACGTCCTTTCTTTCCCACAAGCGACGGCTTCCGGCGCGACGGTCGCGGACATCGGCTCCTCCAGCACCATCGAGCTCGTGCCGGGAAAACAGGAAAACAAACCCGCGCCGGTGAAGAGCAGGGACGAGGCGACTGGCGGACCGACGAGTGTCACGACGAAGCGCAGCGCGCAGCTGCTCCGGGGCGGCAGGCCCTCTTCCCAAACGCCCTCCCCCCCCCTTCCTTGTCGTCCGTCTTCGTTGGGATGTTGGAGCTCCCGCAGATCGGGATGGCGCACTTGGTACACAAAGAATTCCGTTTTAACGTGTACGATTCGGACTACTCAGTTTTTCCAACACCCGTCGCGTTTGTGTAATATCCGGCATATTAAATTAAGAAACACAAATCAAATCTTTACAGACGCGATCCGTTGTTGCCGCGTTTCCAAACTTGGTGAGCGTGCCCATGATCATTTTGCTCGTGACTGCAGCCCTCCTGTGTTTCGCTTTTCGGAACTTTCGCGGAGTGACCTGCAAGCGCGGAACCGCGAACGAAGAGAAAACGGCACTGGTATTTGAGATTTTGGGAATGATATCACAACTATACGCACCTCGTGAGTCATTCATGACCGAGTACTGTCATGCTATTCTTTGGACAAACAAAGAGTACAACTGATGAAAATTTTCGATGCAGGGCGAACGCGAAGCTGCTGGCTACGGAAGTGTTTCCACCTCCTCGCAAATCGCGAAAGAGCAGTCCGGCAAGACCGCTGGCACGGAGCAAGTCAAGGGCTTGCGCGACGACATCTAAAAGCGGAGAACTGTTTCAAAACTTGATTAATTCTTCGCCTGGACACAGTTTCGCGTTTAAGAACAGCACAAATGTGAATTTTACTGCTTACTATTAAAAATTTTCGCGGAAGAAAAAAAAAACGAAAACTTGAATTCATTTTCACACAGACAAGTCAGAGACTGGGGCACAAAGAGGGCCCAGCCAGCGGCCCTTTTTTTTCTAGTAAGTTGCCTTGGCTCCATCTACCTGTAAATAAAAATGACGACAGCAAACGAAAAGCTTTGCAACTGAAGGATAGAAAAGCATAGCAGAGCATCTGCTTTGCACGGTGCTCACAGCAACAACCTATTTTTGATCGTTTATATTTTTTCATGCCCACATGCACATGCCGAGATTCCTACACTCTCTCAAAGAGAGTCAATCGATACTGTTGCTAAGGACCACAATAAAAACGCTACAACCAAAAAGTGCTCCGCAGTAACCTTCTTGGAAGTTTTCACTTTTTGATTATAGAAAGATGATTTACAAACCCGACCACAGTTGCAAACGCAAACGGCCTGGTGTGCTTTGACCGATCCCCGAATTTGAAGCCATGTTGCGACGCGGCAACTGTAGCAGTTTGCGCTGCTTCAGTAGCTGCACGAAAAGGCGCATACTGCACAACTTTCAGGAGATTGAAAAGGTAGACTTTTGTTGACGACACACTGTAGGCTTTGCTGCGCGTCGTCGCAAAATTACGTCACTGGCTAGGTTCAAAGTGTAGTAGAGCCGTAAGTTCTATTTATCTAATTTGTAGAGCCGCAAGTAGAAAACAACGCGGCGACAACGAAGGAGATCGCGAGGCGCACCGGCATGGCTCGTGCCACGGTCCAGGCGCTACGGGGCATCTGGAGAGACCGAGACATCTCCAGGAAGTTGAAAGCGACCTTATACCAAAGCCTAGCCAATTCCGTCGCATTATACAACGCGGAAACCTGGCACCCGCGGGAACACGACCTCAAGGCGCTGCGGTGGTTCCAACGCAGTACTTTGAAAACGGTGGAAGGGGAAAAACGCGCATGGCAGTACGCACAAGAGGAAGCGGAAGGAGCAGAAGAGTACGCAAGCCGGCTCGACCTCTGCAACAAGACGGGCGTGCCGCCGATAGAGACCATCCTGCGGGAGAGACGGGTAGCATGGGCAGCGCACACCTTTCGCAACCCCAACGAAGCATGCCACCACCTGACGAAGCAAGAGATCCGTAAAAGCACCCCCCGGGGCAGGATGGTAAAAGAGGACTTCGAAGCCATAGGCCTACCAGTCGACGGGTTCATGGACCTAAAGCCACAGCCAGCGGCCCACGTAGTGAAGGCGCACCTCGTAGCAAAAAGGCCCACGAAACCGCTACCGAAACAGCAAAAGACCGACAGGAGAGGAAAGACAAAGGCGTGCAAAGCAAGGACCGCGCGACAAAGCGAAAACATCCGGAAGCAAAAGGAGGAGGCCGAGCAAAAACAGGCAGAATTCATAGCGAGTATCAGCGGCAGGCGCTGGGAAAGAGTTCCCAACACCACAGGCAGCGCCTGGCAAACCGAAAAAAGCGACGCCGATCCTGATCCCGTGATGTTCCAAATCGACGCCGAAGATTTCTGTGAGAATTCGGGGCGGACAGAATACCGAGTGTGCGGCATCTGGTTCCAAAAGATGAGTGACGGAACCTACGCTGCGCGCTGAAGCGTGCGAACGAAGATTCTTAGCAAAGCGATACACTTGTAAGCACATCCGAGAGAGAACGATGGGAAACCGATGAAAGAACTCTTGAAGAAGGATAATAGCTTGCGTGAGTGAGTGAGTGAGTGAGTGTTTGGCAGTTCCTCGCTCATTTTCTTTTTAAAAGAACCCTACTCGTTCGGCGAGCAACGGGCGACACAACCCAAGCGGCAAATGTAACCTGTACATATTTTCATAAGCACAATGATCTCGGAAGCAGGGAAGAACTCCCGGATGAGGAGCTCATCCTACCGGGCTGAAGCTACATGGGCACCTGTACTGCAGTCTGTGCTCTTGTTGGTGTTCAAATGGTGCCCGGCAAACGTAGGAGAGTTGTGCTGTGGCTGCGTCAAGCCTGCGTCTGCGTGTTTACATGAAGCGTAATTACGTATTCTCCCGCTTGAACATGGCCGTGGTTCAATCTTGCTAAAAGGCGACAAGTTGCATGCCCATTTCTTTTCGGTCGTTTCTTTTCTGTTGTAGGCATGAATGACAATGAGAGGAGGTAGAACAACTCTCACGCGTGCAAATCTTGCAGACAATGTTGTCGCGTGCTACCTGTGCGCATTTTGTTTCCACCCTGAGTGAGGCTATCAGATGGATTCATGTACAGGGCGCTGCAAAAAAAAAAAATTATATTTCTACTTTCGCACATTTGACTACATTTCATCGGTGCGGGCAGTTTTGACCGGAATGATCAGCTCCAGGCACTACAACAAATCTTAATCCTAGTGCTGCATGAACAACGTAAACGCTACATCCGCGGCAGTGCGGACGCCTCAACGTTCCCAGATGGATGATTTCTTGCCACCGCTTCATCCATCGAGAAAGCCCGCAGTATGCGTACGGTGGCGTCAGTAAATTGTGACAACAAAACGGCAACAATATCATGTAGAAGCAGGACCAGAACTACCCCCTCGTTCGCGATCAGCTGCTTGTTTTTTCCCTTTGCAGCAGCAGCGGAACGTGGCGTGTTGGCCTTGGCCGGTGAGTCCCTGACGACAGACGGGGACCTGGAAAGTTGCCCTGCCGGCGGGGCCGCGGCAAGTACGGGAGGGAACAGAAAGCACCCTGATGACCATCTCCCTTATGGACAACACGCTGCTCAAACACGGAGGAGAGGGAGAGGGAGATCATGAAGACTTCGTAGCTGGCGCAGCGATGTTTGTGACGCCCGAGTCTTCTCTGATCCTGAACGGCAACAACGGCAACAACCAGGACACTGTTGCTACGCAGCTGGCGATATGAATCGCAAGTGCATTCGTCTGGGTGTCGTGGAAGAATGAAAAAGTCCAAATCTGTGTCTGATGCAGCAGCCCCCCCGTTCGTCACACAAGAATTCTGCATGAAGACCAGTACAGCCCGCGTAGTTTCTCTCGCACAGAGGCGGGATTTTCGCATGCTGAATAGGCGCCACTGCAAGGTCCGGGCACTATGACCTATGATGATGTTAGGCCAAACATTCTAGCCCTGCTCGCGGGGCGTAAATGAAGATTTGCATCATGACGTATGACAAACGGGTACATTGCTCCACATCCAGAGATGTTTGCAGGGAATAGGTGAAACCATCAGGCGATAGTACTAGCAACACCGTTGGGTTGTCCGATGTGAAGCTCATCGCGGAGAAAAAAGGAACAGAGACCACGGATACGACGAGCAGATCATCACCAGCGACGATAATACTCGCGGACCAAAAGAAGGTCGAGTGCTGGAACGACGAACACTATGCAAGTGGAAGTAAAAAATGGACGCAAGTCAAAACTCGGATTGCAGACCTCTGTACGTGACAGCAGTAGTCATTGCAAAACCTCGACTGCAAGCACAGATTGATTTAGCTGAGGCGCTTGCATTCCGAATTTTGTGTTCAAGAGAATGGCAGCACTTTTTGATGTCGCATGTGAAGTCCCGGACGCAGATCCACCCGACCTGCACTTTTTGACTTTTGTTCTGGATTTTTGTGTTATAGGTTCTTCAAAAAAGTACGAACGCGACTGGGACTGGAAGAAAGTTTTCTGGAATATTCCCTTGAAATTATACCATCCCCATCCAATTTGCCAGGCAGAACGACAGAGAGGAAAGTCGACTTTTAGCATGCAAAAAATGAATGGGGATGGTTGATTTTCCGGGAATATGGAGAATGAATTCGAATTCACTCCGCAATGCTTCAAGCCCGGAGGCGGAAAGGGTGGCGAATTGATGGCGTTTACGCGGAACAGAAGGTATACATGAAATGAGCGGACTTTCTGATTGCTACAGAAACGTGAATAAACACGAGCGACGAAGATGATACCCAAACTCAACACGTTCAGCTACGTGCGTGCTTGCATTTCACACGAGCTATCGTCATCAGGCACAAAAACTGACACAGGTTTCTTGTGAAGCAGCTTTCGAAGGGAGATCACGCCGCATTGCTGGAGGTCGCCGCCGACTACGTCAGTCACGTTCTCTCCGGGGATACCTATCGACTGGAAAAGTTACTGAGCATCTGGCGCGTACGTTGAAAGAACAAAGAGTATTGGTTTCGTAGTATTGGTTTCGTCGGTGCCGCAGAAAAGCTTGGGCTTTTGCAGTTTCAGGGCTGTAACGGGCAGGATTGATTCATTTCTGTTGACTGCTGTGCATAAGTACGTATTAATTTGTCTGACTCGGCTTGTATGATGAGTTTGGTCGGTGCTTTTCCTCCGCACAAGGCACTGCTGGCGCTCATTCCGCTACACTTCACCTACGAGGATGCTCACTACTCGGTGATGCTCAACTGCTTGGCAAAGGAGGGATTTGGAATAGAGAAGAGCGGCTACGACTACATGTACGATTTGAAGGGTTGCGCCGACGACAAAATGATGACCGACCACGGAAAGAAGGTGGAAGCGGTATCATGTTGGAAAGTGCCGCGCTCCCAGAAGTGCAAAATAGTTGATTCCGATGCAAAGTTTCCACCAAAAGTGAGCAATCTGTCTTGTTGCATGGAATAATTAGGCGTCTTTCTAATGCAGAAGCTAAGCGCGCAGAGCAACTGCTACTCTTACATGACAAGGCGGGTGTCTCTTATATGACTACAGTTCATCCTAGGTCTTTTCGCAACACAAATCTTTGCTGTGTATTCTTCATCGAAGACTTCTTGCGCTGCTGGCATATCCAAGGGCAGGAGTGTTTCGCAGGCAAATGCTTTCAAGTTCTGGCGTAGGCGGGGCGCTTTTCAATATGATACGTGGTTCACAAGCGCGTGTGGCACTGCTGGATGTGGTGTGGCAGCTGCTTCTGGTCCGACGCGCGGCGCATCTACTACACGAAAAAACGGGCTTATGGAAAGGAAAAAGTGTTCCACTTATGCATTGTGGTGCAGGCCCAGCAAGACAGACACGCTCTGTTATGCGGGATATGCTCAGGAGCCTAGTTTCATACGTGTTTTGCCTCATGATCTCTGCATTGCGAAGAGTTTTCTCTGTTATGCAGTGCAAGTCTGTGTTGCTGTACTTCTACTTACAGCAAATGTGTAAAAACTGTAACATTTGTTCCTCGGGATAGGGCAGCCTACACATGGGCCTTGGAGATCCCCGCGGAGATGCGCAAGCTCGTCGTCGGCGCGATAAAGCGGGACTGTGAGAACTTCCTGATTCCGCAAGGACTGATGGACTACTCGCTCGTGGTCGGTTCCAAGATTCTGACCAAGGCGGAAAGGCAGCAGAGCCTGGCAGCGGAGGACGAGAATGGCATCGCCACAGAGCAGAAAATCACCATTCCAGCAGAAACAAGCACCGAAGAACTTCTATGGTAGCGGAGAGCTTCAAGTTCGCTCGCTGATGTAGCTGCAACAATCTTCCACCTGTGCAAACGTGTATGTTTGTCTCATTCTACTAGCGATGCAGCTTAAGATAGAAGAACGCTGAGAGTTGTAGCCTGCTGAAGTTGCATACTGATTTGCATGCCCACGACCATGCCGCTGCAGCGCCCGCTGCTCTGTTCCAGCTGCACATCTCTCATTTCGGCACGTTTTTTGTTTTGAGTCAGAAGTTATGACTGAACAGTGCGTCATCTTGCACGGCTCTTAAATTGATCTGTCGGGACGAATGAAGTTTTTTTTCCGTTTCATAATTAGTTTCAAAATGCCTAGAAAAACCGCCCACGAAGGTAAGACGTGTTTGGTACTAGATCGTTCTCTTTTCAAGTAGGATAATTCGTCATGCTCATACCTCTAGAAAAGCTAAAGCGAAATGCGTTTTTAATCATCTACATAGACGAAATCGAAATGCTAATGCAAAAATTCTCAGCCCGAGAACTTTCGCGCCCCGCTCGTGTTTCCCAACGCAGAAAATCCGGACGAGTGCATCTTTCTTGCGGTGTATGCAGATGTTGAGAACAAGAAACGGTCATCTTCGAGTGAAAAGGCATGATTCCATTTAATGCATTTCCCAGAACCAAAAGGTTATTTGCACGAGTACGCACAAGCAAGCATGATAACGAGTCGTACCTGGTCTCTCATCTCTCTCTGAAGTTGGCGACCAGTAGCATATCTTCTCGACGACGCGTAAGCACCAAAGTTTAACCTAAAAACCTTTTCTGCTGCTCAAGATGAAATTGCTTTTTTTCATTCCATACGACGGGCATCATCGACTTCCTGCAGCGGTGGACGCCCATCAAGAAAGTTGCCATGTGCGTCAAGGCGCTGGAGCGGGACAAAGCGACCATTCCGTTACCTCACATGACAACTCGTTCCTTTTTGACGTGTCCTGATTTGTATTCGTACGGTGCATTTGAACTGATTTTTCATTTCCTTGTCATGCACTCGCATGAGAATGTGAAGGCATATGCAATCTGTATCTTCCTTGGGGCGGTGGTGCTCCGCCTGGGCCGTCTAAGTATGAGAAAATCTCTTTATCTCAAGGGAAAAATCAGGATAACACTTCTTGGATGTCGTTGCCTATTGATGTCCACCCGCGGATTACGGAAAGCGGTTTGTCGAGCGGTTCAGCAAAAAATTCATTCCGGTTTGAGGGCGGAGCACTGAGTTTTCGTGCCTAGTAAATGCAACACAAATAAAATCAAAAAAGCACACGTTTTTTCGCCATAAATCCATTTTTCGCAACTTTTCACGATACTACCTGTTCACTTCGGATGGGAATTAGAACTGCAAGAAACCGAGGCAAAGATTGACCTCCGCAGAAAACAGACCATTTTGGTTATTATCAAGTACACGACCATTTTTTTGCCAAATTATCTTAACGCAAGACGAATTTCTGAAACAGTGCAGAAACGCACCAGCTGTAGGAGTAGGCCGTGTTTGTAGATGCAGTGTAGTGCGGCCTTTCTGCAGCTCACAGCCTGCTGACAAAGCGACTGGCATGAGCGCATAGTATAAGCCCATGGAACAAATGGGACGATAAATAGTTTTACATGGAAAATAAATGCACATCACGCGGTGCTGCATCAGAAATAAGCGCAGAGACGAAAGGGGACGGCCAAGTGGGAGGGTGATCTCATCTCCGCTGCCCGATGGATTTTTCAGATACGATCAAGAAGAAGGGACTTCCTGTATGTAGTGCCCGGAGAAGCTATGAGGGGCGGCGGCGCCACGATATATGTTCCAATGTCGTTGTCCGTCCATAGTGGAAAAAGAATGATTTTTTCCACCAGGATGCGGCTGCTTTTTCCTAGAACCGCGAAGAAACACCGTCTCGGTTGATGTGCAACTTCTGAGGCTTACATACAAGTTAAAAGCTTTCCCGTTGGTTTAGTATCTCGTACGAGTAGTCTTCAAAAATGACAGTTACGACAGTACCTCTTTTGCGCTCTCCGTGCTTGAGCTCGTTGTAGATACGACCACACCTTTAGTTTTGTTTCGTGAAGAGGACGATTCTGCGACTGACAGTACGCTGTTCGTTGTGATAGTCATTGAAAATGCTCAACACCTCTTTGGAAAAAGATACCGGCTGCCCAGCACACAAAGTTGGCGTAGGCCATCGTTGTGAAGAACGTAAACAAGGAGTCGGTGCGGGAGCGCAGCGAGGGTGGATTTGTACCAGCTCATGTCGACAACACGCAGCGTTTTTCCAGCGCCCCCTCGCGCTTCTTGCCTTCTTCGCTTCGCCAGGCGCCGCACAGTATTTCACAAAGCCGAAGTCGTCTTTGTCCCTGCTCCAGGATCCGCAGTTGCGCACGAAACCGTCGCTGGACGCCGTGCTGCGGGACAAGAAGACGACCAAGGCGGTGATGCAAGACTTTCTGTACGACAAGAACCACCCGGTCGGGAGCGCCACGGCCCGGCAGCTGACGCGGCGGCAACACGCGGAGCGCGTGCTGGAGCACTTCGACGAGCGGTTTGAGCACGCGACCAGCCCCAGCTCTGGCGTGCGGATCTCGCGGGAGCAGTTCGAATCGCAAATGGAAAAAGCCAATCTGCACGGGTTTTCTCGTACCGGCAGCACTGGCGGGGAGAAACAAAAAACCGAGGGGCCCAGCACCGGCGCCAGCATTTTGGGCATCGACATTGACCTTTTTGACGACTTTGCGCGGAAACTTCGCTCGGGCGAACTGCAGATCGGCAAGGACGGAGTTCTAGTTATCCGGGAGAAAATGGAGTGTATAGGAACTCAGCACGACGACCCATGTTGCCGACCACATAAACATATAAATTGAACAGAGGTTGTAGTACTTCAGAGTTGTCCCGAGCCTCATCCTTCGCCTGCTGTTCTGTGAATCATGCGTAGAAAGCTGGGGCCCAGGTGCAGGCTCTGAGGCTGGGGCGCAAGCAGGACTGCACTGCACACCAAAAAACTCCTTCTGCTCGTGTTTTTATGGAGCGTGATGGAACCTGGGTGGAAACAGGCACTAGAAAAAGTGCAGCTTGTTTGCTTTTATGTCAACAAGTCTGCCCACGTCAAAACACAGCTTGCACGTCGTGCGCTGTGGTATTTGTGGCGCATCAACGTAAAGTGTGGCAGCTCGGTGGGATTGTGTTTGGGATTGTGTTTTTCGCGAATACAGGACTACGACGTGTCGGGTGGCAGTGGTTGGAGTTTTTTGCAACTTTATCAAGTGGAGAGAAGCACGGTGCGTCACACATTCGAAATCGCTTGCGCCATGATTCTTGCGCGAAAGATGCATGAGTTTTGCATTTGTCCTTTATGATCTTTCGTGCTCTACCACAGTGAGGAAAGAAAAATTTTTTTTCTAGACAGAAGCACGTGCACGACCATGCGATGTTATGGTTACGATTCCCGCATGGCAGATTCTGACTCTCCTGCTAGCTCATTTCACCTCACACGTGCAGTGACCCATACAGAAAACTGGGGATTTACTCTCTTGCAGCAGTCACGTCGCCTGTGCAACAGACGGGGACGAGCAGTGATCTGATTTTGATTTACCTGTGCTTCCTCCCTCCCCTGCATGGATTTCTCTTCGCCAACGGCTATTCCGAGTCCGTCGTGTTTGCGCTAAATTTGCTTGCCATCGTCTTTCTGTTCTTCATCCGGAAGGGGCAGAAAGAGAAGGAGGCGAGAGCGGTACGGGAAACGTACGACCAAGGTAATTCGTCGCCCGTGTCGGCCGCGCCCGCAGGAAGCCGTGGCGGAAGAACAGGTGTTGACGAGGGTAGCGCGCGTCGAGAACGTCAGGCCGGACCAGTGGCGAAAACGACGACGAGCAGTAGACTGCAGCACTTGCAGGAACTCGACTGAAGACTTCGGCTCCGCTGTTCGTAGGACGGATAATTTTGCTCCAGGAATTTCTGCTGAGAACTAATATCCTCGGCGAGGACGGAGGTGTAGATGAATCTGCGAGCTGTTTGTTTATTTGCTTCTTGTTGTTAGGCGCACGGCGCGGAGATCGAGACACTTTCGAATTGGATGCGACGTCCTCAACAAGAGTCGCATAATAGGCTCTCTTTGAGGAATTGGAATATAATGAAATGGTAGAGACAATAGAAAATGAAAATCCCAAGTTCATCAACAACTGACCGGGAAAATGATAGCGCTCTTTCAGCTTGAAGAAGACTCCCACGTCGTTCACGCTCTTGTTGCGGTTGTTTCCTCGAATCCTGCGAGATGTACCCGCTTGGTCGTTGTTTCTTGAAAATAATGCTACTTTACGCGACTATGCAGTTGATTTTTTGAGTCAGGAGTCAGTTTTGCTTCTGTTTTCGAAGATGTGCCGCACCCAGGCTTTACATGTGAATCGTCCTCCGTGGTGAGTTGCTTCTTCTTAAGTTGTTCTGTTGTTTGAGGAGGGCAACAAGATGAGAAAATAGCTCTACGACCAAAGAGAAAGTAAGTACGTAGTGCCGGCAAAGAGTTGCAAAATCCGTGGTGTACTCCTTTTCATCACTTAGTGGCAGCACGATGAGGTCGTCCTTGTGGAGAACAAATATCAGGTCGTTTTCAAAACTGCCGTTCTTGTTGCGCTAGACAACTTTCCGGTCGGGACAAGCGAGCGGAATACTTCATGAGATTTTGGAACATAACCGGGCTTCAGACCACGCGTTGTTACTGAACTCGTTTGCAGGTGTTGAACTGAAATTTTTCTTCAAAAACAGTAGACCCGCAGTTGAGTCAGACTTCCACGCGGATCATTCGGTCAAGATGCAGCCGGCCTATCAAGCGGTCGGGTATGAAAGAGAAGGGAGCAAATACTTAGCAGACTGTCCACGCTGCTGCTTTGCAGTACTGTGAAGCAGGTACTGGACTTGTTGCATGGATGGGCGATGGCTCTACAGAAGAAATTTTTCCAGCAGGGAGATGAACACGTGCATTTTTAGCATGTTCATCACACTTTCTTGTGCAACAAATCCAAAAGCGAGATTTTTGAAAGTGCTGCAAGGATCTTCAGGAGAAAGGAGTCAGCATGCGCTGCTCTTGTTTTCCCTTCCATACCAGAAAAGAGGCTTTGATGGCCAAAAGCGAGGAGGTGAGGAAGGCTTTTGGCGGAGTTTATCCCGGGAAGAGAACTGGATCGTGAATCGGGTCAAAGTTTTCGTATTGCACAAAGTCGAAAATGTAGATAGCTTTCAGAGTTTGTTTTTTCCATCGTAGAAGATGGAAAGAGTTCTTTCATGCGAAGGGTGCTTACAACATTTCTCGCGCGCAAACCGCCAGCTGATAGTAGTGGCAGAAAAAGGCCCATCAAAGTGACTCCGCGCGGAGCTGTTATGCATGGTGACAGGTAAAAAGAGGACGAATACGATCCAACCACGTGCAATGCATCTGCTTGTGCTCGAGGAGAGTTCCAAATTTTTCCTCGGATAAAGGCTGGCGATTCAGTTTCTTTCTCTGCGCGTTCCTCTGCGTCGCCTCCTACGATAGTGGAAAACTGCTCCCACTTCCCCTGATTTGTCTCGCAAAACGTCGAGCTTTGTCTTGGTTGTATCCATAAGTAGCAATCATGTAGTCGCTCGCATGCGGACAATTTCTGCAAGGCGGAGCAGTATTGCAATCGCGGCACGAATCAACTTATCACGCAGAAGCTGTTTTCGTTAGATTGTTTGTCGTGTTGCTGGGCAGTGGAGGGTGCGAGCGAGTTGTCCACTTTCATACCTCCGGAGTGCTCGCAACAATATGCGGTATCAAGTTTTATTTACGTGTGAGTTTTTTAGGCCTGTTGCGGAAATAGTGCCTTCTGTCAAGTTCCCAACGAAGACTGTCCGCGAAAAAATGTAGAGTGGTTCAGTCCACCAGAAAAAGAAAAACGAAACTTTCAGCTGTATGGAGCTTCTTGCCGCCGTTCGATTTCATCAATTTTGTCTTCCTGACACTTTTCGGCTGCGTAATGCTATCCAGAGGGTGTTGAAGAGTGTATTTAGCCCTCTGTGCCTACGAGGTTGTCATGCACAGAATGCAATGTCTGAACTAGAAGACCGGGATCGATTGTAATGACGTTGCAAACTTGCACTCGCATGACAAACTGATCGTGGGGGCTAGATGACAAACTCTCTGCTTTGCATATTTTCTCCTTCAGGAAGCACCAGTGGACAACAGGTATTTGCTACTTGCATTTACAGAATGTGGCATGCAAGACTTTGTATACGAAGTGGAGATGTGATGCAAAAACCGCAATAAGAAATTTTGCAATAAAGGTACGTCGAGCTCTTCCGGCAGACCATGCACACCTACGCGCTGGCATTGCTATCGTTTGGCAAAATTTTCTGCTCGTGTCATGCTTTTTCGTCATGAGTTTTTGTTTTCAGCGAAGCGTGCTGTTGCTTGGTTATCACACTGAAAGTTTCCGCAGAAGATTTTTTTGCAAATAAACGTCGCGGCACAAAGTAATTTTCCCCACATTATTAATTTGCGGATTCGAAGAAAATTTCCGAAAATAGCCACGAACCAGTAGACTTTGTAAGACGAAAAAAAACGTAAGTACGCTTTTCATGGTGCATTCATGAGCATTTTGCATTCTGTGGGACGAGGATAGTGAATTTTGCAACCTGATTTTTGACGAGGTTTACCGGGAAAGGCTGTCTCTACCTGTTTCTGGCTATCACACGGATCAAAACTGGCGAATTTCGTTTTTGAATAGGCATTTTCCAACTGACACACATATTATCCGCAGTTTGTTTACTGGCATCTAGCATGAACAAATGTTGACAACTTCTTGTCTGCCACATCGAAAGTTGTGAAAGATGGACATGGTACTACTGCAGCCGTTGTTGCATCACATATTTCTGCTCCAATTGTGACACGAAAAAGCAGAAGATGGAACTATTTCGACTGGACCACAAATTCGCACTGTAATGAGGTTTTACCAATGATATGGTGATCCATGGCTTTTGGAGCGCTCTGGGATAACGACATTGCTCCATTTTATGATTCGCACATCGTATCAAGTTCCTGACGTCGTCTTTTGACTTGTGAAGTACATAAATTTTTGTACTTACATACCAACTCTAGTCTTCTTTGGTTTTCGTTTTTTGCATGAAAGAAAAGCACCATAAGAAGAATCCCAATCAAGGTCCCGAAGACGAAAGACGAAACTCATCACCAGGATCCCTTGGTATGCTTTTCCTTGGCACCTCTTCCTCGGGTTCATCCTGGGCGGCATCATTGTGGCCGTTGCCATCGCCAGCCTTATTGTTGGTACTTTAATGTTTTCGTTTTCTCAAGATATCAGACAGTAATGCATTCTGTTGTAGCCCTGATCCTGAATCGCATAACTACCGTGCGAGTTTTGGATTCGGATTGCGTCTTTATTCCGTGCATGGCAAAAAGCTGTGTTTTTCTTGCACTCGAGGCAACCAACTCCAGGTTACCGAATGACCATGCAGCTAGAAAAGGTGCGTCAGGCCGTCTTGGCGGAGGTATGAAACTGTGAAAAGTGATTTTTACAATGACAACTAGACCTACTGGGTATGATTAACGACATGCTCCTACTTGATGTACTCTGTGCGTTTTGGTGCATTGCATAATCGTGAAGCCCGATTATTTGATATTCTGGTTTCGCAAGAACTGCTTGGTGCGTGCATGGAAATCGTGATTGGCATTTTTTGTTTTGAGTGTAGTGAGGGCTTTCTTCTTGCAGGACTTTTGCAGCATGACGAGTCGGAGACTGTGTCTGTGTCGTACCTGCACGGTTTTGATCTTTCGTGCACTTCTCGTACTCCGTTTTCCGGAAGTTCAATCATTGTAATCACTTACTTTCCACGCCATATCCGGGTACGGAGAAGTGGTCCGCCTATATTCCGCCATATCCAAATGAGAATGCATATGCACCCCACAACCTCCACCCAAGGGCTCTTAAGCACTTAAGTACTTACTCCAAGAAACAAGCTGGCAATGCTGGATTTTCTTTGGGGGAAAGTAGAGTTGAACATCTGGGCTCGCAACAGTACAACTTGTATGATGTTGACAACGGGTGCCTTGGCAGTGAACAATTGTCTGACGATTCATCATCTCTTTGCGTCGTCCTTCTCCTTGCAAGAGAGCATCGTTCTTTGTTCCGAAGTACAGACACACAGTGAATTCGTTTTCGCATCGCTGCGCAATCGTAATCTTTCAACCGGGGCCTTGGGGTAAAGACTTATAACTTTTCCGCCTGATACGTGAGCTGGAATGACGAAGCAGCAGTTTGCCGACATGGCGCAGGCGCTGAAGCAGGTGCAATTTTTATCCTAGGTAAAAACGTCCCCACTGCCACTCCATAGTCAAGATGGGAGCTTTGCGAGACAAATCAACATCAAGCTTTTGCTGTTGCGCATGATAGGTTTGGCCTCGTAGTGCAGGCGCGTTTAGATAGTGCAGCAGCATCACAAATCTCAAGACAGCGCGTGAGAATGCGTCTCATGGGTAAGCGTGCGGATTTGCATGACAAGCACGAGCAGCTCTAGGGTGGGGACATTATTTTTCCTCAGGATAATTTTCCGAGGAGGAGCTGAGGTTCATCATTTCGGCGTTCAGCTTATCGGGAGAAAAAATCCCCCCTCCCTATACCAAAAGGGCGGGACACTTCTGAAAATTTGTGATGCTGATCTGAGGCCAGAAAGTGTTGCAAGAAGGCCAGCCCAGAGACTTCGCCGCATTATGCAGCCGGTTTGTGATGCAGTTGGGGTCTACAGAGTACAAACCTACCGCGCTACAGGCCTACGTCAAAACCCTTCTACTTAGGCTTGGTATGGGCCTGCAGTCCTCTACTGCGAGACAGACCTGATTCGCGTACGCAAATCCAGCATGAGAGACTTCCTTTTGATATGGGGAGGGGGGATTTTTCCTTTTGATACAGCTTCGAGTACCGTGCGGACGATGTGATCTCGAAGGAAGAATTTCTGGAGTGGTGCAACGGCCCACTCATGCTGTTGTGAGCGAAGCTGCTGTGAAGGAGATAGACAAGAACTGGGATTAGATGAACTTCCTCCGTTGTAGTGTGGGACGGGGCGTAGATTGTAATTCAATTGTAAATACAAACTAACAAGAAAGCTGCCCTGCAGCGGAATAAGCTACAAGGCGAAAAATAATTACGTCTCCCCTACAAGTGCAACATCCTTGTTGTCAATTCATCAGTTACAACCACCCTGTTTCACAAAAAGAGGAGAAGCAATGACGTACTTGGAGAAATGCTACACTCGCAACCTGCAGTACCGAGTAAGTACACCCCATCGCATGGAGGATACTACTTCAGCAAACACAACAGTTTGTCAACGTTTTTCTCAAACAGCCCTCTACAACCAGACACAACAACTTTACCAAAACTATACAAGATTCTCGCTTTTCTAGAAGAAATTTCATGGAAACAACTTTACCAAAGAAACTATCAGACACAGGAAGGAAGGCAGCACTTGTTGCCGTTGACGAGAGGAAACTTTATCGAAACTATTCAAGTAGGTCAAAACTAGAGGTGGCAGGTCTCCTCAGGTCAGGCGGGTGGCACTACGACATTTCCACAGCGCAGGAAGTAAATATCAACACTAGGCAAGAGCTAAGCGCCCTGTAATTTGTTGGCGGGCCCGCATAGTGCAACACAGATTCAATATTCGATGTGAATCAAAGTTACCAGAGTCCTGGTGCCACAGGGGAGTCATCTTTCCACCACGCTGCAAATTACTTTAGAAATGTACTGCCTAACCGCATGTTGAAGAAGAAAGCTTTTGGTGCGATGTGATGTAACAAGCCACCTCTATGAAAGAAAAAAGACTGAAAATAATGTTAGAAGGAACGCCGTCGCAGATTTTTTCGATTCAATCCAGAAGATGTTTGTTGTGCGCAGAAGGAGCTACCATTCACAGAAGAGGAAAATTTGGCTTCCGAAGCGTCAATTGATTACATCAGCTCCGTGAAAATACAACAGTACTCGTCTATTTTCGTGGAAAGTCGTCGAGATCAACAATCTAAGCAAGACAAGTTCATCAGAATATCAGCTGCAGGCTCCGCGGAGATGATCCAGCGAAGGCATCTTCTACATGACCAAAGGAGAGCTGTAAGTAAGTGCTTAGAAGGGTGGTCGTGAAAAAACTTTCTGTACCGTTTGGGTCGCGCTGTACTTAGATATCTATTTGTCAAAGTGAAATTCCGAGGTAGCATCTAGCAGATAGTCGTGTGCTTGTTGCGTTTCTTTCACCTCGGTCGCGCGGCAGGTTGTTGTCCTTGTGCGGTGCAACAAGCTGTTTTGTTGTTTTGCGCGCCGACGTTGCTCGGATTGGACTTCGAGGGTAGCTTGAGCAACGGAGGAGCCGCAGCTACCTCTTCGCAGAATGGTAAACCCAACATTTCACTGCTGCAAGAGGACGAGGTACCGGGGGTCCCTGCCTACGGCGATGCCGGTCCGAGCTCCACGTCGCGAGAGCTAGCCGGTACCAGTAGTCGAGAAGATCGCGATCTTGTTGTCAATGTGCCTGCGACGACAGTAGAGGTCGACGAGCGCGTCATCCTTAGCCGAGACGCCGAGTTCGACTTCTCTCCTCCGATCGATGAAGCAGACGCGGAGGAAGATGAAAGCGCCATGGCTGCGGCTGCCTCGGCGGCCCCTGGGGGTGGACGAGAGAAAACCGAAAGCAGTGAGCAATCTCCTTCGTCCTTCGCCAATAGAGCGACCGGCGGAGCGCTTGCCACTGCAAATTTTGTTCCACCCGATGGCGATCGTCCGCCGGAGAGCAACGCCAGCAGTACCGAAGCCGTCGAAGAAGAGAACGATGTGGGCGGGGCTGAAGTTGAGCGCCACTTGTTTTCATCTACTTCGCCAGAGGGAGCGAAGACCCCGTCGGACACCGACCCTGCCCTCGAGTCGATGAAACGAGAGTTGCGGGCTTCCATGCTGCAAGACTTGAAGCGCGAACTGAAAGAGGAGGTGAGGAAGGAAATGGCCGGGAATGATCTGCTTTACCGGGCGGAGATTGAGAGGCTTTCTCGGGAGAGTGCAGCGCTTGCCCGGGAGAATGCAGCGCTGAAAGCGAGAGCGGAGTCTTTTGAGGAGGAGACCTGGCGGGCGTTCCAGCGGGTTCGCTGGGGCGGGGCCGCAGTGTATCACATGCTTCGATTTCTTCTGTGGGTTTTCATCGGCACGGCGCGGAGCAACCAGCAGATCACCTTTGTACTGCTCGCGTTCGGATACGTATTCGTCTTGATGGGTACTGCCGCGCCGTGGTACTTGGTAATGTTCGCTAGTGTAGAAACGCGCCGTCGCTACTTTTCGAGAAGCTCAGCAACTGACCGGAGCCGCGGACGAATTGCCGATTACCCGGCGGGGGACCACCTGCGGGCCGGGACAGAAGCGACGTTACAGTCGCAGGGAGTCGAAGGTGCGTCGTTGCTTGCGATTGGCAATGAAGTCGCCGATGGTGGTGCGGGAGACGCTATAAGCCAGGGGCGTGCGCAGGAAGATCCTGTAGCCAAGAGTGCCGAAGTATCCGGTGCCGAAACGTCCCCACCCCAGAGTTGTCATGCAAAATGACACCGCTAAAAATGTTTCTCATGCGCAACCCCATGACGAACCATCGCCAATGCTCTCTGGTGTTTTTTCATGCTGGAAACAGGATATCATGGTTGATTTGTAGGGGATGCGATTGCACTACGAGCTCAAACTTGTCTTGCGCAACAGGCAAAAGTTGCAACGCAAAGCCGCCATATTGACTCTGGGTTGAGGACGTTTTTGCAAATAATACGACTCCGAAGTCGGCGACAAGGCGGACGAGGAGGAGGATTCAGACGACCCGCTTCCAAATGATTTCGCGCAGGCAGGGACTCTCTCCTGCGTGTGTCAGCGGGGCGATTCCGCGGAGGGGCTAATCTTTACGGTCTGTGTGGTGCTGTACATGATGAGCTCCTTACTTGCGGTGCCTTCATTCGAGGCCTACCCGGCCTGGTGCAAGTGGCGAGACGTGGATGTGCTGCTGCAGGGCAACCCGGGGCTCCCGCGCATGCAAAACTGGAAGGAAGTGTCCGCTCGGGCGGTCTGGCACGTGTTTCCGATTTTCTGCTTCGTGCTCGTGGCCACTTTGCCTTCGACCACCGATGAGGCCGCAAAAAGCAGGGTTGCACGCGGAATGCTTCTCACCTTTCTGCATGGAGTAGGCGCATTTCTGGGCGCGCTGACGCTCCTGATCTTCGAATCGGTACAAATCTTCTGGGGCGAAAGCGTGCCGCTCAGTTACTTGTTCGTGATTTTTAATTCGCGGACACCTACCAACTTCAACTTCTGGTCCACTAATGCGCAAGATTCGTCCTCGTTCGGCGGTCCGGATTTGAGGGAGCCCTACGTGTGGCACGGCGGCTGCATCGACTACGAAGCGGAGCCCATCCCCTGAAATCGGTGGGCTTATGTGCGTCTCGTGATTCTTGTCCTCGCGTGGCTGCTGGGGTTTCTCTTCTTGTCTTGTATGTTTCTGCTTGCTGTCGTGGATGCACCAGGTGCACCATCCAGGGATGTTGCCCGGCGTTTGTCTTTCCCGACACTGAAGGTGCGGCTGCGGACAAAAAAACGGATGGCCCGGACGGCTTTCACCTTCGAAGTCTTTTTCATGTAGTGTTTGTTTGCCCTGCCGCTGCTCAGCGCTTACTCTCGCCTCTATGATTTGCCTTCCGGAGGTATTCTGCGAGCTAGCAACGACTCTTGCACGAGTTGGGTCGATGAGTTTCTTGCCCCCGTCACTGCCCATCGTTTGCTGGATTTTTTGCCCCCGGAAAAGCTGTACCTTCGCGGGGAGACGCGGGAAGAGCGAGAAAAAATGATCTTATTTTCGCACTTGGACTTTGCCGCCTGGCCCGCCGTCGCGTTCGAAGCAGTAACTGCGAACTCGAGCGCATCTATTCGCACTTTCACGTACCAGGACTTGGCTGCGCAGCTAAAATTGAATCCGCACAATGCAAAACTGTTGCGGCAGGCGTTTCTTCCCTCGACACGGCCCCGGCCCCGCAAACTCGCCACCCTTTCCAACTTTGTCGACCGTGGAGTTGAAAGTGTGAGCCATCGCGGCGGCGAATTCGCAGAGAAGATGGCCCACTCCGCAAAATTGGAAGAGATTAGGCGCAGGAATAGCAGCACTGGAAGATATCTGGATACCAACCTGGACGAGGTCCGTTTTCACGGCAGGCGAGGTTTCCGGATGGTGAACAACTCGGCGTGGAACACGACTCGTGCGACGGATGCCGCACCGCCTGCACCCACGTCTGGACGGGAGTCTTGAGTTGTTACAGTCATACTTTATGATTCTGTATGTAAGTCTGCCTTAGTTACAGTACAACCACACTCTGAGGGCAAAGTCCCCATGTGTAGAAATTTTTGCTTGTTTGCACAGCACACACGAAGCCCGACGTAAACGGAAAGAAACAACTGGAAGAACGGAGAAGAAAAGTCGAAGCTCTCAAATAAAGAAAGAGTAGCACTGCTCCCCTGAGTGTTACGCAGAGAGCACCCGCTCCAGAGGACCGGTCTCAATTTGCTGCGGACCATCTGCAGATCAGATTGGCCCACCGCATCTAGACGCTAGCGCGCAGAAGTCTGCAAGAAGTGGGTTGCGCCGTCTCCGGTGAGCGCCGCCTGGTCTCGCCAGAAGAATCCTAGCAGAGAAAGGCTCCAGCGCGCCGTATTCAGACGCTTGGCGCGTGCTCTGCCTTGGCAAGCTCGCCGGGGTGTACTCGCCTTCCGCTGGAACTTCATCCAATGAACAGGCGCGCGGGGCATCCTGCAGTAGCAGGCGCAGCGTTTCCTCGTAAAGGTTCCAGTAGCCCTCAAACGTGGACACTGCGTGGATCCAGCAGGGGTCCAGGGGTCGGGGCTTTAGTGCTCTGGGCCGTTTTCGTGATTCTTAGCGCAATCCCCGACCGCTTGGCCAAACAGTTCATGGGACTCGGTCCCGTCTCCAATGCGTGCACGGGTCTGCGCGACTTGCACATCTTCCAGCCTCCGAACCTGAAGCGGCGCGTCTCTTCGGAGCGTGCACATCTTCCAGCGTCCGTTCCTGAAGCGGCTCAGCGATCTGCTGAGTTAGGGCGTTCCACACGTGAATGTCGAAAACGCCTGGGCTTGTCATTCAGCGGTGTTGCCCCTATGTCGTCAGGGCCGCAGATTGCTACAGCGCGTCGGAGGGGAGAGTAGTGCGGAGCCCCGCTCGAAATCATCACGATCGTTATCGATGTAAATAGATCACGACTGATCTACTGACTCAGTTCGGATCTTCTGGTGTGTCGAAAGTCCGTGCTGGATTGTGGATCTTCCTCTTCTGGGAACGCTCTTGGGCCAAGCAATAGTGACTTCTGTATCTTGTAAATTGTCTGCGAAAAAATGAGCGAAACACGGCCCGGGATCTTCAGGTGCCTTGTCGTCCTGGTCAAATGCTTGGCTCGCCTCCCTAGAGCTCGAATCGTCGTCGTTTTGAAAATCTCATCGTGGGTGGGAGTTCATTTGTGTCTCGCTACCGAACTAATTGAAGAAAAAGCTACTTCGCCAAGAGCTACCTCATCAATCGTTTCGTCATTCGCTCTCTCCTGCGTGCTCCGTCGAAAAAATTTCGGCTGTATTTCTTTGAGCCAAAGTTTGAGATTAGTCAAAATTTCTGCCGGATGAAGATATTGATATCGCGTCGAAGATTAGAAGTACTACGGGTGCAACAGAAGTACGGCACCAGTCAAGTGTTTTTTCTTGAAATAAGTTTCAAAATCCACATACAACGTGCACGCAAGTCGAGGTTGGTGGTTCTTGCTTTGCTGCCGCTCTTGTTCATTTTCAGGATGCAGAAAGAACACACCCCCGGCAGGACAAAAATTTGAACTTCTACCTGCATCGATCGGAACTACAGCTGGCGGAGGCAGAAAAAAGCGGATGGCACGGCGGTACACCAGCACCTTGAGAAGTCACCATGACTTTGGACGACGCTCTGGGACGAAAATTTGAGTTGAGCCGCGCCCCCGTAAAGTCCCCGACACTGCAGTTTTCTACGAAGCTTTCTTACGCAGAATTAGGAAGCTCGGACGCCACCACCTCCTCCTCCAGTGCTGCCTCGTCTTCCGCAGAAAGCCTTGCTGCTGCTCCACGCCAGCCTGACCACACCGGTGGCCTGTCATCGGTGTTTCAGACAAGAAAGGCCCTGTCAGATGAGCCGGCGGAAATAAAGGAAGACGACGCCGACGGTGGGTTTGTGGATATAGTTGAAAAAGAGCAGCAAAAGCAAATTACGACCGAAGACCTTCCACCGGCCCCAGCAGAGGCGAACGAACAAAAAGTCAAAGAGACGGACCACAACGGCGCGCAGGACGGAGTGGAAGCATTTCAGCTTTCAAAAATAAAGGCGGACGAAGTAGCAGTACAACAGAACGGCGATCATCCTGGTGAGCCACCTCGTGATAATTCCCCCCGGTCCTCGTTTTGGTTTTCTTCTGCGGAAATAAAAGGAGAGGAACTGCCGGTGCTGGAACAAACGAGCGAAGATCTGAAACTCGACGCGGAGCCAAGGACGCCACTTGTGCAGCTTCCGGAAGGCGAAACCTCGGAATCGGAGGCACAGAGGTGTAATATTAACTCGCAGAATCCACTCTTCGTCGCGTCCGCAGCGGCGGACGGGTGCACCGCCGAAGCGCCGTTGCCGGAAGGAATAAAAGCGGTTGAGCCAGGTACTACGACGGGAAAAAGAAGTAGAGTCCTTGCCACTACGGCCTCGCAGCTCATAACGTCCAGGGCACTCGTTCTCTCTTCGTCGTCGACTGGGATCAGAGCAGGGACCATATCTCTCAACGCAGATGCACTAGAGCCTGCCACGCGTCACGGAACTAGCGCGCAAGATCTCGTCCTCTTAGAGCAGCCAACCAAACAAGAGCAGGCTTGTTCTGTAAGTGGGGAGGAGGAAGAGACCATGACACTGCGTACGGAGACGCAAGAGGCCTCTGCTGCGGACGAACAGGCTCGTATCGTACAGAAAAATGCATACACATGGCAAAAAGATGCATGATGCGTGTTCTCTAGTCCTGTGTACTACTGACATGCACGGTGGCACCACCGTGTCCAAAAGAGCGACCTTTTTCCGCCCAATACCTAAGGTCTACTAGAAGTAGTTCTGCCAGACGGCATTTTTGTTTGAGGATTGTGATGTGCGATCATGACAAAATGAGGATAAAAGTGATTTTTTTTAATATGGGAGCATTTTGCGGTGCGATATTTGTCCAACAAGAGGATGTGTACGATGATGACTTCGTCAACGGAGGAGAAGAGGACGAGGAGGAAGCGTTTGAGTTCGAGCCCCCAAATGCGGAAGGGGACCACGAAAAAGCGGACCAGGAACTTGTAGAGCCTTCAGCGCCTGACGTCGTGCTGCCGGCCACGCAGCATCAGGACCCCGCCGACCTTTCCGACGTGGCTGACCAGTTTGTGAAGAACTGCCGGACGCAGGTGGAAAAATCGCAAAATTTGTCTCCGCGGCACTGCGCCTCCCGGGTGCACGTGCCGATCCGCACTCGGCTGCTGGACGGTCTGCAGACCGTGGAGCGCAGTACCGCCCGTCCCGGGACCGCCACGGGCTACTTGCTGAAAAGCCGCAACGCAAACCTTCATCGGACAGCCGCAGTGCGCACCGCAGCGAGCGCGAGTGCCAGCTCTCGCCCACGAACAGCGCCCGGGCTGCTCAGCGTCGCGCACAGAAGAAGGAGTGGGGCGGACGAGGGAATGCGCACGGCCGTTCCGCTGATTCACTGGGAGAACTTGTTTCAAGAACGATACGCCGTTATAAATGAAACGGACAAAGAAAACCAACATCAAATTGTTTCGCAGGAGTCAACACGGCAAGCTGAAGATAGTAGCTCTGGTACCCTAAGACGAACAAGAACTGCAGGCCCAGGAAGTACAGCCATACCGGATGTAGATGACACAGCGCATCCCGGTGCGACGCACCATCATGGAGAGTACGTCGGTGCAGTTTTTCCAGCAGAAGACCCGGTCGGCGACGCGCTGCCCGCACGAGGAGATGACCTTGCCTGTCGACCGACACACCATTCCCGCTTCCACGCGATTCGGCAAAATCAACACTCGTTGCTGCAGTCGTTGGAGAAAGAGCGGAAACAGGGTCACACGGCGCTGCTGTCGATGCGGCTGCTAGTGGAAGACCGCGAGCGAAACAAGGAGAAGACGGGGTACACGAAGCAGGGGCTCCCAGACCCGGATGACTTCTATCAGAATCAAAAATTCCCCTTCCCCATATCAAAACGAAGTTTCTGATGCTGGATTTGCGTACACAAATCAGATTTGTCTTGCTGGCGAGGACTGCAGGCCCATATCAAGCCTGAGAAGACAGGTTTTGCCCGAGGCGCTTAGCATGACAGACGTCTCTGCTGCAGGAACATGAGCATGACAAACCGCCCGTAGAGTGCGGCGGTTGTCTTTGGGGTTGCCTTCTTGCAAGACAGAGACGATTTGCGGTTACAAATCAGCAGCGCAAATTTCGAAAACGTACCTTGCAAATATAGGGAGGGGGGATTTTTCCTTGTGATAACTTCACCCTGTCTTCCTTGTTGAAGCGGCGCGCAAACGAGCGGGAGTTGGAGCGGAAGCGGAAACAGAAGCTTGCGACCTCGCTGCAGACGAAAATCGGGAAAAGATTTGTCAATGCGACCAAGGAACAGGAGGAATTCTTCGCCGGAAAAATCAAGATCGCCGACATGGATCAACACGACTTACGAAAAATTCACGACCGTACTACCGATTCATAGATTGGTCAATTGCTTCGCCTTAGAAAGACGTATTTTCAAAAATGTGCTGGCTTCTTTTTTTTTTTCTTGCGTAATGCGTGTTTTTTTTTCCTTGCGTATGACGTAATAATCAAACCAAAATTTTAGCACACTCCTCTATCATCTCCAGGTATGCACGAATCCTGGCAGGGCAACAAGGTCGTAGAAACCAACATTGACCGAGAGTCAAATACGGGATAGAAAAACATTCAGATCTCTTCATTTGAACAAGATATTCCCAGACCCTGTGGCACTTGTGTGTGTTACAGACGGCGCAGCTCGAGCTCTCGCCTGGACTTACAAAGAGCGTCTTTTCGATGTCAGCAGAAGCAGTATACGATACCGCAAATTTGTCTGATGTAAAAATAGACTCGGAGTAAACTGATTTGCCTGAAATTGTGGGGGCGAAGGCCGCCTTCATGCTGTTGCTCCTGCATACGTCTGTGCAAGAAGAGACGGCAACTTTTGATGACAGTGACTATTGATTGAAGAGATCCAAGAATTAACCCTATTTCCTTGCATATGAAAGAAGGAGGTGCGGGAGGTGCAAGATACCGTACGAAAGCAGAGAAACATCTGGAAAATGGAATCCCAGTACGGGTTGCGTAATGACCAGTCGGACGCGCAGCTCATGTTTCCGATCAGTGAAAGGGAAAAGTCTTTCGTCGCAAACAAAAACCGAAAGTGGTTGTCAAAATCGAAGAAGTCCCTGCGGCAGCTGCAGCGAAAGATGTTTGACTCCGCGCGGGAGACCGCGAGTTCCATTGCGGTTGCGGATACCGCCACGATGGTGATGAAACCGGGGGACCATCACGGTGCCAGTGGGGCGGACAGTAGTAACGCGAACAGCGTGCTCGCAATGAAGATGCAGTTTCTGAACGCGCATGAGACCGAGGGGCAGAGCGCCAAGCGATATCGGAAGAAGCGAGGGGACGCGACGGAGGAGCAGAAACAGATCTTGCGGGCCTTCGTGCAAGAATTTTTCCACGAAAAGCGAAAATTGGAGAAAGCGGTGTGATAGTGTGCCCTTTTATGGATCAGAGTAGGTGCAGATGCATTCCGAGCTGCAGAAGCTTCAGTCTTCGAGTGGAGGATTGTTATACATGTACCTCTTGGTACGAGCACTTTTCCTTTTGTACTAGTTCAGTTGCGTTCACTTCATGTGCCTTCCTCGGTCGAACAACTTTTGTACAACCAGTACACTAACACCCCAGCTGCTATAGCGTGAGCTGCCATAATATCACTAGCATCGATTTGAACTTCCACGAAGTAGTAACTCTCCATCCTCCATCAACCACAGGGCGCGAAGATGGAACTAGGGAAGTAGAGCCGTGAAGGTGAGCGAAACGCTACTTGTTGAACAAACTCCGTGAAGAACTTGAAATTTTGTACCGACGTTGTTTGAAAATGAAAAATCTTTTCGTGCCTCCTTCCATGCTGCCCGACAAGAATGGTACCGGACTTCTCAGCTGAGTACCGAAGGAAAACTTTCTCCCTGGTAGCATGAAGATCTTTGATCGAACATCTAGGCTATTATCGATGAGACGGTCGTGGTACTCTCATCTGCAGTTCTGTGGTGCATGTGCAAGTGTATCGCGATCCAATCTGATCTTGCTCGACTGAAGCAGATGTGACACAGAAGTTCAGATGGGAACTCAAGATCAAGAATCTTTAGTTCACTACTGGCGCCGGCGCTAGCTGCCCGCTTGTAGCTGGTAGTTTCAAGAAACAGCTCGCAGAGCAAGATCGTGATTTGTCTTGAATGCAGTTTCGCAAGAAGTAGATGGTTGATCTTGAGACTGCGTATACGTTAGTGGATCTTCTAGAAAGCGATGCTGTGTCGATGTGATCAGCGGGTCTGCAGTGGGGTTGATATGCCGCGATCGAGAGATGATCTCACTTAGTTTCTTCTGGTGAGGGCCAAGCGTATGTGGATCTTCAATGTGGTATTTAAAGCAGTAGCTTCATATATAGTACCTCATCCTGTACTAGCATCCTGCGTCACATAGGACAGAGATGCTTTACAAGAAGCCGCAGGCACTTATGTACCAATCTGCAGCATGCGTGCATTCCTTTCCCGGCAGGCGACAGCGACATCTATTCAGTGAATAGAAGCGACTTTTTGACTAGCGAAAATTGTTTTCCAATTTCGTCACAAGATAGCAACGAAACGAAAAAACAATCTTGATTCATTGCTTGCTCGACTAACTACTTCACTTTTGAGAAATTATAGTTGCTGAAGAAAAAATAGCCACGCTCGGCTAAAAGGAACATCAACGAAGAGTTGTTACTCCATAGTACCACGTTTGGCGTTGCAGGAGGTTTTTTGGTGGCACTCGATATTTCCGAGGCGAATACAGTACGTTTGAAGTAAAGCAAAAGCCCTTTTTTGCTCGTAGCTCTTCCGTTTTTGGTAACAAAAGTGTACGTGACATGAAGTAGCGGCCTAAGCGAGTTCGTCGCCAGCAGCGAGCAAGAGTATTTGAAAAGAACTTTCACCGCAAAGCTTAGCCACTTTTTTGCAGCGTTCCAGTACTTCTAGGTGGCTTTTTTGGAGGTGGCAATCAGGATTATTTTTTACCAACGACTCGTGATGGGAATAGAATTTCAGTATTGGGAAGCAGCCGAATAGCTATTGTTCTTCCTGTCAAGAAAAGTAAAGTACCTGTTGCAGAGAAAAAGCTCAGGAACTAAAAACAGCAGTACCATGAAGATGTGCCAGTAGTTATCGCAAAAGTAATTGAAGTTTTTTACTGCTGCTCAAGAACCAAAGCAGCAAGAAGTGATTGATACAGGAAGAATAAAATATATAGAGTTCAAAGACACTAACCTAATACAGCGAAAAAAAAAAGAATACGAAGGTTCTTTGACAGCACTGAAGCAAGTGTGGAGCAAAGAACGAAGCATCCCTCTAATAAACGTTTGGATGTAAAAATAATGATACTACCGTTGTACAATTTCAACTAGAACGTCAATTATCTTCACAGCGACGGGTCGTCCAAGCGAAAAAGCAGAAAACTGGTATAACAAACTAAGTAGATACAGGCGGTGGTTCATTTTTAGAGCCGCTATCGCCTTTTTCCAGTCGAAGAAGGCAACTATAGCAACAGCGGGGCCGCGGCGGGGAATCATACGCAAGATACCGATCGATAGAATGGAAATGTTGGAGCACGATCTTGGAAATAAAAATCTTGTAGCGCAGCAGCCAGCTGCGAGCGCGACGATGAAGATCGGGGACGGATTTGGATGTGGCGTTCTTGAGCATGCAGCAGGAGAAGAGAATTATGCCAAAAATCAGGATGCCTTTCCTGCGGGAAACAACCCCTTCGTTCGAAGTGCTCTGCTGGAGAGCACGCCGCCCAGGAGTTCGTCCAATGCCGGGCCGACGCAGCAGATGACCACGACCCCGGAGCCGGGCGCGAGACTGGACGAGTCGGGTACTAGTTACGATCATCTGTATGTTGCTGCAGATGAAAACGAGGCGGAGGTGGACCACACGCGGGCAATGAAAACGCCGCAGAACATTAAAGACAGTGGTTTTGGTGGCGACAAAGATGATACGGTGGCACATCACAAGTCGAAGAGTTACGGAGTGGACGACCACGACGAGCTGGGGCCGCAACACCACCTGGATTTGTCAGAGCAGGACGGCGCCTCGCGACAGAGCAGGGCGAGCACCAGCAACAGCTGCAAAAACAGTCGTCATGAGGGACTGGGCACCTCGCTGAAAACCTGCAGTTCGTCAAAAAATTTGCTGAACACTTCCACGGAAATCACGACCACTTCGGTCTCGGACGGCGACGAAGAGCCGCCCAAGCTGCGGCTGTTGGGTAATAACACCCCGTCTCCGGCGAACATGGAAACTGAGTGCAGAGCTGCTAATAAACTACACCAGGGACGAGGACGAGCCCCTTTTCACAACGAGGGCACCAGCAGCTGCCACGAGCAGCCTGTCGAAGTTGGAGTTCTCGCAGGTCTACTTGGTAGAAACGGAGATCATATGAATGTTTTTAGCGAGCTGCAGGGTCCTCGTGACGTGGAGTTTCAAGAACGCGACCACGGCGCCGACGCGGCGACCACGGTTCGTAAAATGTCGTGCGACCTGTCGACGCCGCGGTCGCAGAAAAGCACCGAGAAAACGCCTTGCTCGGTGTTGGAGGAGGTTCTCATGGCAACGAACAGGATGATAGTCGATGTTGTTGTGCCGCGAGATGAGGCTGGCGGTTCTACTGTTGATCCGCGGGCTGGTACCATGGATGTTGTTGAATCTCGTAGTACGCAGTCATTTGTTCCCGGCCCAACAAGTTGTACTAGCCTCCCGCCGCAACGCCCGGCGGCCGCGCCGCTGGGCGGGTCGTGGTCCACTAATGCAACACGACCGGAAGCAGGAACGCAAGAGCAAATACTTTTATCATGTGACAACAGTACAACTTTGTCTTCCACCTCAGTGCCGATGGAGCAGGACACAGACATTGCGGTTGATAACCACGGTGGTTGTGAGAAAAATATTGGCATTATTTCTACTACGGCATCTTCTTCAACCTCTGCGCTGGCAGCGGGAGGTTCTTCCGCTACCACGCCTGCAGCGACCGATCGTGTTATCGTGGGGGAGCTGATGGCACAGCCAAACTTGACCGAAGCCGTAGAGGAGCTCTTGGAGTTGAAGATCACCAAAGAGGACGCGGAAGAATTTTGCGAGCAGTACGGGTTCGACCCGCAAAAGATCACACCGGTGCTTACCATTCTTCCGCCCGGCGCGCTGCACGTGATTCAGGCCAGCAGCAAGTTCGAGCAACTGTTGCTGTCCGCGCAAAAGAAGACCTCGCTCTTCAAAATCGACACCAGCAAGGATGAGCTGCAGCAGCTAACCGCGCACTTTCTGCACCTGATCCGCGACTTTGTGCGCACCAACGGCGACGAAAAAAAGTTCGTGGCGGACTGCGAAGCGGCGCGGTTTTGCTTCCTGGAGGAGATGGACTGGGAAAACATTGCCTACAACCTGCGCATGAAGTTTTTCTACGCCAGCAACCTGAAGCGGAAAGTCATCATGAGCAATTGGATGGAAACCAGCCTGAAGACGCTGCGGTCCTCGTCGCACGGAGGTGCAACGACGTCGACGGGGGGGCCCCTCGAAGCCCTAAAAGCGCGGCGGAAGAAAATGCTTTCTGACAGCTCCTCCGCGTCGCGAAAGTCGACGCGGAGCTCGCTCGGGTCGCGAAGCCCGCCCGGAAATGCGGACGCGGCTGCGTCGTGTGGAGGCGGGGGTTCCGGAGCAAAAATGGTCAACCGCGGGCGGGACATTCTAGGTACTTCTACCTTTTTCTTCGGGCTCTGATCTGTCCGAGATGAGTCTAATTGTGCTATGTATTGAAATACCCGTTCGATGTTTTTACTTCGGATTGCGTTTCTACTTGCCAGGAACGAACTACATAAAAACTCAGAAATCGTCGAAGAGGAGGATTTGCTGCTGCTTTTGTGTGCTATCCCGCGCAAAGAAGTCATCCCCTTACCACAGAAGGATAGCACAAGCAGACCTCTGTATAATTAAAATGACTTGGCCTGGACTCTTTAGTTCGGGTCATGGGCTACAAGTTGCATTTTTATTTCTGATCGCATGGTCCTCGTGGTGTCTGTGAGGAGCTTTTTGCACAGGATACGCGAATACCGTGGGTTAACAGACGAGGCGAAACAGGCTTTGCGAAACGCCGTGCAACCCGTTCAGGCGGCGGTATGATTATTATCCAGCGTGCTAATATCGCTTTTTAGGCACAGAGACAACTTCTCTTTGACCTTTTTGATCTCGTCTCTACCAGCCTAAGCCAGCTCTAGCCTTGTCAGTCTTCGATAGAACAGGTTCCGTTATTGTGGCCCTAACAAAATATTAAAGATAGCATGCAGATGCGGGCTGGATAATTCATTGGAACATCTTCAGACTGCAAATTTCGAAATTATGATCCGGCGTACTGCTTCTTGCACTGCAAATATTAACTCAGCTGTGTATAATCAAGAGACAAATAAACGAGGTAGTTACTTACAAAAATACCTGTGTGAGCATTAGCATTTACATTACCAGGTCCTGGGTTGTTACGAGGATTACAATTCGGAGCTGTACCAGGACCTGCACGCCCGCGGCGGGTCCCCGGCGGCCGCGCCCAAAGGCCTGGGCATGACGCGACGTCCCCAGGTGGAGGATTCCTTCGAGAAGCGGTCGGAGGTGGTGCTCAAATTGGTGCACGACTTTGAAACCGGAGCAGGAGCGGCCATGTCGCTGGGGCCCCTCGGGGGTGGTCTTGGGGGGCACCAAGGGAACACCTTAGTGCTGCAGGCAGAGCAGTTTTTCCAGATGCACAACATCGACAAGTCGGCTATGGGATAGTTCTCACATGTCGCATTCTCAACTGTTGTACATGAATTTGTATTTGGTGCGCTGCAGAAATTATAGCAAAAGTAAGTAAGTAGGGCGTGCGCGACCTCTCGCGATGCAGGTTTGGCAAAGATTATTTCCATCCTGTTTGGGCCTTAAAAGATTTGTCATGCGAAGTAGCTGGATCGTGTCGGTGACAAATCCTGGTTGTGCGTGACAAAAAATCGTGCAACATTTGAGAATGTAAGTCTTGAAAATTCCCATATCGGCGCGGGACATCTTCTGGTCCAGCTCGGTGGAGGTGCAGCAGGCGGTGCTGCGCGCCGGCCCGCTGGTGGACGCCCGCAACACCTCGGCTGTGCTGGTGAAGCGCGTGAATTCCCTGAGTTCACAGCTGAACCTGGGCCCGCTGCACCATAGCCTCGTCGAGAACGGAAAAAACTCCGCTGTGTTTTCCAACAACAGTGCCCGCGGAGCGCTCGGCAACAGCATCACCGGCGCCGGAGACTACCCGTTCGGCAACAACAGCCTTGCTGCTGGTATGAAAGGGAGTGGCTCGTCCACCTTCGGCCACCTGAACGGGCTGTCTGGCGCTGGCAAGGGACAGGGAGGGACTTCTATGGGTCCTTTCCGAGGAGGACACGCCTCCCCTTTCCAGCAAGGCAAGAGTGGCACTGGCAACAGTTCTTGCGGTAATATTTCATCTTCACTGTCCGGCGGCGGAGGAGGTGGTGGCCCGCTGAGTATCGCTTTGAGCGCTATGTTTGCGCCAGCCGGCAGTCCGCCCTGTTTATCATACAGAGAAAGCACGCTAGGAGGTCACATTTATGCAAAAGTAAACACATGGATTGTAGTTCTCTCTTGCATGGCGATGGCGTAAACACCGTGCTATGTGCCTGCATATGACCATAAATTTTTTTGCCTCTTTATTTTTGGATGACGAATGTGCCCTGGTACTGGTAGCTTTTTTCTCTCGGATACTCTTCGCCAGCCACGATGGCGGCTCCGTCGTGTGGTCAGCCATCGATGATGGGAGGACGGAACAATAGTCTAGCCATGCTGCATATGGATTGTAAATGTGTGGGGGTCTGGAAAGAATGGTATTTTTGATGCTAAGAACGTTGACTTTCGATCAACACACAAAATAACTGTATTGCATGAGCAGCAGGTTTTTTCTGCCCGGAGAAGGCATTTCTCTTCCAGGATAGGAAGGAGAAAGCCATCGCAAAACCTGTACTGCTAGAGCGTATAGCACAATAGACATCGTAAAAAAAAAAAAAATGCATGACAAGGTCAGCCAATCTTCGAGACCCAGACATATTTGCACTGGACATTGCAGGCCGAAGCGGCGCAGCAACAGACGCAGTTCCTAGCTTCTCCGAATCACCACCAGCACAGTTTGTCTCCAACGATGCCGATGCAGCAGCAGCAACAGAAATGTGCTTTCGGTGATAATTCGAATTCCACTTCTGCTTCCCCCGGTCAACATCATCTCGTCGTGCCAAACAGCAGTCCGCATTCGCACGCGTCTGGACCTCCACGGGCAATATCCAATGCGGTCTCCGGAGGTGCTGGCCGTTCCTCCGTGTACAACAACCAAAATCGGCACACCAACTTCGGGGGGCACCTCCCTGGTCAACAGCAGCTGCATCAGCAGAACCACGGCAATGTGGGCACAGGACCGATGAACTCCTCGTCATACAATAATTTCCACCAGATGAACAATATGAACAACCAAAGGAACAAAAACAACTTGCAGAATTTCGGAAATATGAACAACTCCTCCGCCACGAACCATCTGTCGCTGGAACGCCAGATGTGGTACAACTCGCGCAACACATCGAACTGCAACCAGCTGTGGAGCCCACCGTCGTCGCGCGAGAGCTCGCCGGCCCTCGGACCCGCGTCGGGGGGAGGGCTGTCTGGTGGTACTAGTAATGGGGGCTCCTGCAACGGCGGCTCCTTGGCGCCAGGAGGAGCGGCCTTGGGACGGACCAGCAGCTACAGCGCCACTCCGTTGCTGCCCCGGTCGCACTCGTCGCTCCCGGCTTATGGACCGTACAACCATCAAAATGGAGGTGCGACGAACAACCCGCAGTTCTTCAACATGCCTCGGTCTTCGCTCCAGGTGCCCTACAATGCCTCCTCTGCGGGTGGTGCTCTTGGACGGGGTGGAAATAGCAACGCGGAAGGAGCAGGAAAGCCGTGCTGGGAGACGTCGTTCGAAAAATCACTTCAGGAATGGCTGGATTCGGACAACAAAGCGTCTGCTGGAACAGGTAAGTGCTAATAGTACTGCTACTTGTTCTAACATGGGTAATTATGTCATGCAAGTTGGAGTTCGCCTTCTCGCACGCCATAAGATGCGAGCAAAGGGTTGCTTTTATTTGTTACTGCGTAAGGCTAAGGATCATGAGAACGACAAGTAGGATGAGCGAGCACAGGAATCGTAATCATCTCACCGATCTTGTGCTTGTGAAATTTCCTCGCAATAGTAAGTTTCAGCTCGTCATTCTGTTGATTTTCCCTTGAACATTGAAATTATCCAAAACAGGCTCCTCATCTGCAGCTCGTTCGCATGTTGGCCAGGGTGGTGCTACGGAGGATGAAGATGCGCACAGCTGGGTGAGCAAATTGATCAGCGAAATGTAGTGAATGTTCAGTCCGCGAACATTCCGGCGGTAGATGAAATTTTATTCAAAGGAAAGCGCTCACGTAGAGGCTTCGCTTGCAGCGGCTAGCAGCATCCTTGTCCGAAACTGGAACGGATAGTACGGAATAGTGGTTGGGTATAGTAATACAAAGTGCTAGTGCTAGGAAATGAAAAAGGAATGAAAGAAAAAAGAACGATATATTTGTACGTAGACAAGAATACTATGATGTTGAAGCCACTGACACTTCGCCTCGAAAACGAAGCGAGAGTGTCAAGTTCAGCTTTTGGCGTAATTCACAGGAGAGCGTCAGTTGTTTCTCTTGATTCTTGTACCCAAAACTGCTCCATAAGTGACCAACTTCTACTGGGATAAGGCCAGGGAAGTGTCACATGAAGAGCAACTAGTACTTCACAGATGTTGAAAAGATTTCCTATCCAGTTTCTACGGAGGAAGGGAACGTAAAAAAAATAATGCGCGGAAATATAAATCTAAAACTATCAATGACCTATCAATGACTGGCGAAACTAGTAAATCCAAGATTTACGGACAAAATATAGCGATCGTGGTTTTAGTTTCCAACGAAAAAAGAGCGCGTGCAGGGCCGGCCCGGATAATATGTTTCAAGAACAGTGATTGCTGGGGCGTCTCTTGCACTTTGTTTTGCACATCATCAAACTGATGATTTTTTTCATGTATCAAAGAAATACAAACTATAAGATAACTATGTACAACTACTGCGATACTCTCCTCGATGTCTTCAGCATCCTCCACATGCCTTTTATCTCTTTTTCCCGGCAGCAACTTTTATCTGCTTCAACATTCGGACACTACACGGAAGTCCTTTGAAAATGCAACAACTTCTCCCAGTTGATTATGCTTGATATTGCCTTGCTTGTTTCATCCTCAGCAGTATTCAGCAGCCCTTTCCTCTTTTCTTTGACGCTATGGTGCTACCCTCGCTCCAGTTTGATTTTTGACCCTGTAATTAAAAAAGTACAAAAATGCGACTTACGTTCCTAGTATTACAAGATCGATAGGCAGCACAAATATTATCAACAAAGGCTCGAAAAAATGGCACTCCGCACCTTAACTAGCTTCTAGTGCCACACAAATACTAGGCACAGAATCACCGAAGATAGATCTGATAAACAGTAGAAGACAGCGAAGAAGGCTTGGTGAGCAGAATATGCAGACAAGGACATTCTCTTCGATCTACTTTTAGATAAAACCAACTTTAGCAAGCCGGGCCGTTGAGGGGGGGGCGATAAAAATGGCTCTAGAATACGAGCTTCTCCAAGGTAGAATATGCACTCTAGAAAGAGATCGGGGAGACGAGGACTCGTCCGGGCACTTACTAACGCTGGACCTGAAGAAGGGTCGGAACAAAGCGGCACATTATTCGCTTGATTTTTCTACTTTGGTTTTAAGTCGAGGTTTTTTGTATGCAGCTTCGTGCCGCCCGGGTGGAAGAACTGGCTGTTGACAATCGACGACTCCGCTCGAGTTCTTGCATCCTGTCGATAATAAATGAGTCTGCGAAGCTGGTGCAGTGCAAAAATAGATACAAGTGATAAAACCAGGGAAGCGAAGGAACTGACGGACATGGTTTGACAAGCCTCTCTCTAGTTATTGGTTGGTTTTTCAACGAAGACGAGTATCACGACCGCCGGCCGCGTGCAGTAGGTACTTACCACCAACAAATGAACGAAGACGCCACTTTTGATCTGGGCTGTACAGCCGTGCAGTGTTGGCTGTGTCGCAGCGCTCGCTGTGCTATTGAGAATCTTCCGATGCGACGGAGAGTTTTCGAGATGGTGCTCCTTGCTCGGATGATAACAAATGAACCGACGAAATGAAAACTGCTGAGCTGGTTATGTTTTTAGGATTTTGCTTTGGTAGAACTTATTTCTTGATAGAGGATTGAAGGGCAAAGCCGAACTTCGACTTCCTCCACTGTTCGCCGATATCGTCGCACGAACCAAAGAACTCTCACTCAAAATGATCAAGTGGAGCTCATGCTCGTCTGTGAAAGTCACTTGGATCTGGATCGGATTTCTCTCCGTCTTGCCCAGATACCTCACTGTTGGACACTCGTCCATAGCCGCATAGACCTACATTGCTGGATACTTATTTAATTCCATTTAAGCTTTTCAGGGTTTAATGGGTTTTAGGGTTGTTATTGTTTAGGGTTCCTAGTTTGAACTTATTTAATTCCATTTAAGAAAAGTTGTTTAAGAAGAATTTCTCTTCAGAAAGAAAGTGCTTTTCTTTAAGAAGAAATTTAGCGTTTGTGTTAGCAGACCCGCAACAATCCACGACGAGGAACACAAATTGACTCTAAGTGTGCAAGAATCTAGTATGTATCACCACCGCAGTGGACTTTATCCAGCGAGTACCAAAGGTACTTGACAGCCTGAAAACAGCATGAGAAAGCATGAAAATCATTTGTCATCACTTGGTGAATGTGCACCAAGCCAGTGTAGAGAATCCAGATGATCATGTCATTTCAGATCGTGCATTTGTCAAGTCATTTCATCTCGATTCAGGGTGGTAATGTGGATCGATGCAGATTTACATTCTGATCTCACCTACAGTTTGTTTAATTCCATTTAAGAGGACGCGGTGCTCTCGCGGCCGATGCAGCTCGGCTACGAGGGCGAGGCGGTCCGGGAATTGGAGGTCCGGCGCGACGTTCTCGAGCGGGAACGTTCCTCAAAGATGCCTGCAGAGGACAAGTGGAAGTTGCTCGAGAGCGAGAGCGAGCACAATGCGAAACGGCAGAAGATTGACCCAGGTAAACTCGGGGGCCAGTCGATTCCTGCGCAACGTGTGGGCCGACGATATGAGCCGCGGCACGACGAGTGGTTCATCCAGTGGTGTGAGTCCAACAAGCGCGGCAAGCATGGCTGGAAAGAGAAGGCGTTGGCTGAGTTCAAGTTAGCATTCCCGGATTTCGATGAGGCGCAAGATGTGGCACGGATGAAATCCTGGGAGAAAGCGCTCGTGAAGAGTGGCAACCTTGAGAGGTCCCAGCACGGGAATCGCCGAGAGATGGCGGAGGCGCACAGCTTTCAGGCGCGGATAAGCCAGGCGTTGAAGGGCAAGAGCACCGCCGCGACCCGTTCTCCGGAGGCGCTGGCCAGAAAGATGGAGGGGTGGACGCCCGAGAAGCGTGCGGAGCTCTCAGAGCTGCTTCGCGGCGGAAGTATGCAAACGCTCTTAGTCTTGGGTGTCGACTCCTACACGTTGTTATCGTTGTACCTTCGAGCGCGGAAAATCGGAGGAGACACATTGCATCAGTTTCTGCGTTTTTGCGCCACCGAAAAGCTGATTGGAAAAAAGGCCGCGGATGAGGCGGCTAACGCCGACACAGAATATTTGTATCTGTGCTTCGGTGAGCACCAGTGTGGAAACGCGGGATGCTGTTTGAATGCTCAGTGGTGCGTGCATCCAGGTCGGACAAACAACATTACGCGCAGGATGAAGGAACATGTCACTGGCGGAGGACAGCGATTTCGAGATGACAGTTTCCAATGTGTGCAGCAGTTCAACTCGGGGGATCGAATTGCGACAGAGATAGGCGAGCGCCTGATTCTTCGGAAATTTATCGAAGAGTTCGGCTTCCCGAAGGCCCATCTGGAGCACTTTGAATGCGGCTCCAAGGATGCAGACTTCGCGAAGCGGCTTTTTCAGAATGGTAAGAGGTGCCTCGACATTATCGAGCGCGAGGTGGATGCCGCTTCCGTCGACCAGTTGGCAGAGGGCTTCGATTCGGACTTGCACAACTTCAAGAAGCGACTGCCGAAATTTGTGGACGTGAGCTGGTTTACGGGCCAGCACGCGAGTCCTCCACTGGTGTCGTCCGCGGTGGCGTCAGCGTTCTCTGGCGCCTCGTCATCTGGTGCCTCGTCATCCAGCGTCTCGCCATCTGGTGCCTCGTCATCCAGTGGCTCGTCCTCTGGCGCTTCAGGATCGCCTTCGCTCAACTCTGGCGCTGTTCCGAGGAAAGTTCCGCCACCGAAGCTGGAGTCGATTTTGCGCCGTCCCCAGAAGGACATGTCCAAGGCATGTGCGGAGTCCGCGCGCACGAAAGTCTTAGCTGTCATGTGCTGCGGAGCAGGGAAAACATTGCTTTCTCTGTTCGAGATGTTGCAGCGCGGGCACGGCAAGCTGAACGTCGGGGTTTACCCGAAACTGCTTTTGATCGTGCAGCTCATTACAGACTATGTTGTCTGCGCGTCGAATTTCGGCTCGGATTTCGAAGCGGCCGTGCGAGCAGCGAAAATTCTGGTGGTGAGCTGCCAGGATACAGGCGACATCCTTAGCGCAATCGAAAACGATGAGGACTGCGCGAAGCATCGCGACACCATGGAAAAGCAGGCATTGAACGAGGGCTTAATAACTGGAGCTGGAGAAGGCGACTGGAAGAGTCTGGTGCTGAGCTACATCAAAGTGGATGCGGCATCTACAGAGGAATTTGCAGGTGAATGCGGAACGCGAATCGTCCTGACCACGTATTTCTCCTTCGGGAAGGTGCATGAGGTGGTCACGACCCTAGGTGTTGCAGTCGGGCGCCTCATTCTCGATGAAGCCCACTGGGTCTGCGGCAGCCGAGCACAGAAGCTCATCTTCAACGACATCCTCCAGTGCCTGTGCGATAGAATCATTTTCTTGACGGGCACTCCGGTGCAACGAAACGGGATCAAAATGATAGAGGACTGCGGTTACATGCCGAAACCATACCTTTACAACAGCGCTATAGAGGACGGTATTTGCTGTCGGATCGAGCCTGTCGTCGCGCAGATGGAGAAGCCGCCAAGGTATCTGGCGAGCATTCGGCAGACTGCAGCCCAAAACGGATTGGACGAGGAGGCATGCGATATTCTGGACGGGATCATTCGCACTATTCTGAGAAAAGCGAACGTACGTACCGCATGGAATATTGTGCTGTATCACCAGTTCGGATCGACGAAGCGTCCCACGTTGACAAGTAAGTCCGTTGCAAATAGAGTAATCGTGGAGAAGCGTGGCACAAGTCCAGAAGCCCCGGTGAAGCGCGTTTCGCAGCAGTATTTCAGTGCTGCGCTTGAGCTCATCCAAACGAACGAATTTGGCAGCAACACCTTCAAATTCAAGGGAGAAGACGCACAATTGGCGTGTATCGCGCGGCGCCCGCCTTCGCTCCCAGATGACGCTCCCGAGGACGATTGCTACTATCCGAAGCCCGAAGACGAGCAGAAGTACCGAAAGCGGTTCTGCGTCGCGCCAAGGCCAGGCCAAATTTCGCTGGTCACAAACTGCAAGGTGTGGGAGGAAGGAACTGACGTACCATATGCAAATATGATGGTTCCAGTGACACCGAGCAGGAGTTTCAAAACGGAAACGCAGCGGCAGATGCGAGCCTGTCGGAGGCGGGACGACGACGATGGTCACCCAGCTGTCATTCTGTTTCTGGCTGAGCGCGGGTCACAGCTTCGCCCGCCAGACAATCAGGCTCAGAGTAACCTCTTCCGCTCCGACGACTTCCTCCAGAAAGCTCTTGGTCCGAGAAAAACGGCCCTGATAGCGGTTCTGTCGCTGTTATACCTCCAGAAGTTCTCCAGTAAGGACGAGGATCCAGATGTCGACACCGTGGCGGAACTCGCGGGTTGGACCGCGGCAGATGAGGATCCAGAATCCGAGGACGACGATGAGCAGCCCCCGGCGATGAGCAACACAAATCCAGAAGCTTTGGGAGCCACGCGTGACAAGTTGCAGTCCGTAGCGTAGTGCATGTTCTTAGCAAGTAGGGCAGTCGCATCACAAATCCATCTGCTCATCCTGTTCACAGCATCACAAATTCCAAAACACGATTGGAATTGGTAATGCCTGACGTGACATGGACATGCGCATTCGCATTACAAATCTACCTGTCATCGCAAATCTGCAAGACAACTTTGGTGTGGGGACGTTTTTACACAGGATACACCTCAGTCGGAACATACTGTTGCTCATTGCCGGTCTCCGGTTCCAACTGCCGCTATCCAGGAAAAAACACCCACCCACATCCAATTTGTCATGCAAAACATACATAACATTCTGTGTTTGTCATGCAAAAAATGGATGTGGATGGGTATTTTTCTGTGGATACCCGCCACCAATCGAGTAAAACTTCTTATCACTATCCAGTACGAACTTGTCCTGGCTCGGGTCCCAGTAGGTCAAGTCAATTATCGGACTCTGCTATCAAATGCAAAAGTGTCTGGGTCTGGAATGTTGCCGGGTTTGTCATGCATACTTTGCATGACCCAGGATGTCTGTAATGCACGACCTAGCATCACAGATTTTTAGCAGGCTTCCCGATGCCTACTCCGCATGACAAACGCCCTCCCCGCGTAGCACAAACGGGGCTCCTCTTGCTGGTCATGCAATACAGATTTTTTTAGAGTCCAAAGTTAGCATCACAAGTTCCAACCATCCAGACCCAAACATTTTTGCATTTGATATCTGCCGCTCTATCGCCGGCGCCTGGAAGATGCGGATGCACTTCACCTGCCTCCTTTGAAAGCCAAAATCTTGCCCGATGTAGGCGTCTTTCGGGTAGCAGGGGCCGCAGCCGGACCGTATCCTGAGTAAAAACGTCCCCACCCCAGAGTTGTCATGCAAATCTGCATGCCAAAAAAGCCTCTCATGCGGAGCCCCATGAGAGCCATTCTGTAGTCGTGTTTTGGCATTTGTGATGCTAGAATCAGCATTACGTGCTAGATCTGTGATGCTTCGAAACTAGCTCAACAGGACTACACTACAAGGACAAATTTGTCATGCGAAACAACCAAAGCTGGTTCTTTTGTCTAGCAGATTTCCCATCTTGACTCTGGTGTGGGGACATTTTTACGCAGGATAGACCGCCAGAAGGAGTTAGGGTACCGGACGAAACCGCCGTCGTCTCGCTCCGATGAGGATCCAGAATCCGAGGACGACGATGAGCAGCCCCCGGCGATGCTGAATGATGAAATGGAAGAGGAAATGTTGAACGACGAGCTGAATGACGAAAAGAAAGCGGACGACGGAAAGAAAGAGAAAATCAGGTCCATTACCGCACGTGGCGGGGGCGATATTTTCTACTCGATGTCGAACATGCCGCTTTTTCATCTCGCGCCGGGCGCAGGCAACGTTATCGACGTGGACATTCTGAATTTCGATGACATGGCCGCGAAGGCGCAGAGTAAGGAAAGTAATGACGAGTTGGTGAAGGCTTGGAAGGAGCGCATTCTCGACGACCCGCTCAGGTTGAAGCCCGTCCAGCTGCAAAAGGTCAGTAATTTTATCCGGGTAATCGTAAATCGTAATTTACGATTCACGATTTACGATTTACGATTTTGCAACGCGGGCTCAGGGGGGCATTTTCTTAATTTGATCAAAGTCGATGCGGACACACATCACATGCAAAGCCGTGCCATTACCGAGAGTCACGAAAAACGTAATCGTAAAACGTAATAGTAAAACGTAATCGCAAAACGTAATCGTAAAACGTAATCGAAAAACGTAAACGTAAAACGTGATCGTAAAACGTGATCGCGAAACGTAAACGTAAAACGCAAGCGCAAAACGTAATCGTAAAACGCGAACGTAATACGTAATTGCAAAACGTAATCGCAGCGCTATGCGCCGTACCTATCGTATCACTTGCAGTATTGGTTTTGACGTTTGTAATAGAGTTTTGCTTTTACGATTTACAATTTATGTTTTTGCAAGCTGCGTTTGCAGTCCCGGATAAACATAAAATTACTGAACAGGTGTTGGATTTAGGCTGGGAGCTTCCAAAGTACGAAGCTGATTCGAGCCTGAAGCCCCAGCAACAGACGCGAGAACGAAGGCCTGCCTTGGTGATGGCGCAGCATCTGGTTGGGTGGTGTGAGCGTGAGAAGAAGTTGCCTGCGAAGAACAAGGAAGTGAGAATGGAGTTTCAACTTCAGAGGTGGTGGGAGAAGCTACGTTCTGCGCAACGCCAGGGTCGGATCGCTGCAAGTTTCAAATCTTCTCTCGCAGACCTGTGCCGCGGTGCAAATCTGCCTCCGGAGCTGAACTTGCTGTCTCTGCTCGAGGATACCAAGCCGGTGAAGCGGCCGTGGTTTCACGAGAGGTCTGGCCAGGAGTACTTTGATGCGGTAATGGCGAAGCTAAAGACGGATCCGAATGACAAGGAAAGCAACAAGAAGGTCGAGGAGTTTTTGCGACGTTTCGAAGAAGACGAGCACAAGTTTCTCCCTGAGCAGCAAACGCAGTTGCAGCGTGAGAAGCAAGCACGGAGTGCTAGGGACCCTAAGGTTGACCCGCCAGCAAGAAAAAGGTGGAAAAAACACCCGGTTCATGGCAGGCACTCGCGAAAGACGAAGTACGCGACAGGGAAGAGGCCAGGTTAGGGCACCTCTTGGAGAAGCAGGATTTTTTCTGAGAAACACTCCAACCTGGCATTCTGTCCGAATCCTTGACGCATAGTAAGTCTTCAAGATGTTTTCAGACAATTTGATATTACGAACAACTCGTGCGTGTGTATGCCGCCCCTGTCTCGTCCCTGCTGTCACACCGCAGGTTCCCTGTCCTACGAATGCGCGAATGCTACCTCGCGGTCAACCTGCTCAGCATGCCCAAGACTCTGACACCCTTGCCAGCAGCACACGCCCCTCCTCGTGTAACGGCCACCGGAAGATCGAAACCTACCAGCAAAGCAGATCACCCGCACAAGCCACGAATGCGGGAATGGGCTGCATCTTTCCCCTCGAGGCGGGGAGAGGTGCACCCACCAGGTACTCTGTTAAACGTTCCGACTACAAGGTGATGATGATGCAGATGATAATACTGGTGATAGTGTGCTCCTGCTTGCATGGAATTCGCTCGCGGCCCGTCCTGCCTCCGCCCACACACAACCCACAGGTATGTGGGCCCAGAGCTGTGGCGTCCCCTCCCGTAGCTGCCCGTGGAGGGTTTCCACATGCCCGCCGGCGACACTAACAAGCGTGGATCGAGCGAGACCGGGGGGTTCTGGAGACAAGCCAACGATCGGGGAAGGAGAGGGATGAAGCTGAGCCAGCACTACTAGTCGGGGTTGAAGCTCTATAGAAGTCTGAAATTTTTATTTTTCTTTGACGACAACAGGGTAGTAGTAGAGAATCTTAACTTTAACGCGAGTTTCTTACTTTAGACTTTAACTTTTGAACAACAACTTTAACGGGAATCTTTCGCACAACGACGCTTTACGAGTCAGCACTTCAAGAACTTCACAGCAGCAACACTTTTAGTAGTTATTCGAAGCTTTAAGTAGACTTTGAGACCCTCCAGTTCCAAGCAAAAGGTTCAGAAAAACAACAAAAGCAAAGCGATCAAAGCATCGCAAAGTTCGTCGTACTTAAATAAATTGATCCTCCTTCTCTCAACAAGTCGAGTCTCTCTACGTACTTAAATAAATTGATCCTCCTCCTCAACCCTCGTATCTGGTCGAGTGTAGCCGCTCCAATGTGAAATTACACTTGGATTCGAGCGATCGGACTTGCCAGGATTTCCTTTATACATTCTGAACATTCATGCAATAAATCAAAAACATTCAGCATATTTAGAACCGGCTTATCGAAATCAGATTCGCGGCCTTCCCTCGATAGCAGCAAACTGTGATGGGGACTATACTAAGACCAATCTGGACGAGCCTCTGATGGCGATGTACTTGACTTTTCCAAATCAAAGTTCCCTACGATCCATTAATTTTTGTGTCCTGTATAGGAGGGCGGTATCCAAGACTATGTGATCGAATTTGGAAAAGAAAAGATCAAAAAAACGCAGATCAGAATTGTTTGGTATACAACATCACGATGTTGGATGTAGATCAACAAATCGCAAAGTCTCCTCCGGTCACGAAAGAAAATTCGGGCAGTTCTTGCTGCTAGCGCGGTACATTTTTATGCTAGAAAGAATTTTCTTTGAACGTTTTTGCTCATCTTTTTGTTGTGCTAAAACAACAGGTCGTGAACGTGCTGAATTCAGCTAAAAGGTGCTCGTGCTAGTATTTTTAAGTGAGCTCTCTACTTACCAGTGTGCTCTTGTTCAATATTGTAGATGATCTGCGATCTCTGTGCGAAGTGCGAGCGGGGACCGGTTCCGATGGGATCGGGATCAGCGTGATCCGAACACCGAGACAGCATGAGTTTCTTGCTTTTCTTTCTCATCTATCGCTACTTTTCAATAGAATACTTAGAGGCTCGAAGCATCCCCTTTTGTTAGAAATACTTGTTTCTTTTTTCACCACCTAGGGTAGATTCCACTGTTTTGAAAATTTCGTTCATCTCTCCTTTTCTTCGGTAAAACATTGAGAATTGCTGAAAGTTGTGTACTATTTTTAGTAGTCCCTGCATAATTTTAAAGCCCGGCACCTTCGGTGAGTCACTGCATCATTTAGTCCCAACATCTTTCTAACACTTCTTTCATCGGATACGGTATCTTGAACGAAAAGCCCTTAGGTCTCTGCAATGAAGAAAGATATGAAATAAATTGAGTAATAGCTGTCAAAGAAATATACTCTGCTGAGACCCTACCGAGCAACAACCTATCCTCGTGGAAATATAAATTTGAGTTCCGCGCAATAAAATTGTTTCCCCAGCACGGGGGCTCCCCCCAATATTTAGCAAATAAAAAGTATCATGGTTCCTGGAGGCGGTCGCTCCAGCCACAGCAACCTGGGCCGTTCTCGTGACCGCAGCCCGTATAGAGATAACAGAGCCCCCAGAACGTCGCTCAACGCTACCTCTTCCGTTGCACATGATGGTGGCTCTGTAACTGCTCGGGGAGCTGCCCTTGCTTCATCCAGTGCTATTGCCCCCGGGGTCGTCGGAGTGACCAGCACCATGCAGAAGCTACCCGCGAGCGTTCGGAAGTCGTCTACGCCGGCGGAGAAAATAACAAGCGAGGTAAATAAAGAAACTGGAGATGTAGTTGGAATGCCACTTGCTGGAACTACATGTGGCGGAAAGATAAACAGTGCCTCGCCCGCTGCTAGGCAAGACCACCAAGAAGACGCCAGCAGCAGACACAACGGTGTGGAGCATCAAGGTGATAGTGCTAATCATGATCATCGTCCTTCCAACACGACACCATCTAGTTGTATCATTCCCGCCGCTGCTGCAAGTGCAACGTTGCTCCAGCACGAGAACCAAGGTAGCCTTCCTGAGATGAAAGTCGCACAACTCTCGACGACGTCTGGCGCTGCACCGAATGTCACTACGAGAACGTCTATCGCACCTGCAGAAAAAGAACAAGCGGAACACTACACCGAGCGGCGAAGTAGCATCGAAAATCATGCTGCAGTGCCGAAGAATCCGCTGAAAAAGGTGACCCGGGAGGGGATTGCCAGCCGCAGTCCGATCAAGATTTTTGCCGCTGCTGCAGCGGCCGAGCGTGCAGCAGTTGGAACTACAACTACCGACAATATTTCATCGAATCACGAACAGGACACCACACAACACGAAAAGTCCGGGCGGCGTGTGTCCTCCACGAACATCATCAAGAAAGACCAGCAGCAGGCCATTTTGCTCCCGCACCAGGCGACGGACCATCACGCCAATAATCCTTTTCTCCAGTCCTCGGGGCCGGAGGAAAATAGCGTGGAGGCCGGTCTGGATCTTCCAGAAGGGGGCGACGTCAGGATGTCGGTGGTGGGAGGTGCGGGAGACGAGGAAGACGCGCAGCAGGAACTTGCGCCGGCAGGGGGTTCTACTCAGGAGGTTCTCGCGCCATCTTCGGTGGAAAACAGCAATGCTCAACATCCCGTGGTTGTGGAGCCAGAGGCAGGCACTAGTGTTATATCTTCGCAGCAGGCTCTACTTCCACTGCGAACCAGCGCGGGCACGGAGATGGAACTTCTCGTGCAGGAGGACCAAGGCGAAAGTCTTGCGGGGCAGCAGCGACGATCGACTGGTGCGGAGGGCCGTGGAACTACACAGAGAACCAGTGGTGGAAATGGTGGTCCTCCTGCTGCCGCGATGGACCACCAGCATCAAGGAGATCTTCCGCGCAAGGATTCAGGCGTGCTTATCCTGAGTAAAAACGTACCCACACCAGAGTCAGGATGGGGAATCTGCTAGACAAATCAGCCAGCTTTGGTTGTTTGGCATGACAAGTTTGTCCGCGCAGTGTAGTGCTGTTTGAGCTAGTTTAGCAGCATTACAGATCTAGTATCTCGTGCTGATTGGAGCATGACAAATTTCAAAACCGCATTAGAAAATGCTTCTCATGGGGCTCCGCATGAGAAACATTTTAAGCATGCAGAGTTGCATGACAACTATGGCGTGGGTACGTTTTTACTCAGAATAGTCCTGGAGATCACGCGTCCGCGCGATTTACCGGCGGACAAGCGGCGGCCGTATTCCTACGGCGCCCAGGCGGCCAAAACCTTCGTGGCCAAGTTTCGGGAGCGAAAGAAAAACAGCAATGGGGCAAATCCGACACCCAAGAGCCAGGCGAGCCAAGGCAGCGCGCGGAAAAGCGGGGGGGATCATCAGCTTCCAGTCGTGCCGTACCCGCCGACGCAGAGAACGTCCAACGGAGGAGACCGGGGGCAGCAGCACCTGACGACGCAGAGAACGTCCAACGGAGGAGACCGGGGGAGGCAGCGGCCGAGCGCTGCAGAGCTACTAAATGCGGACCAAAAAGAGGCAGTGCCCCGCAGCTCAAGCGAGATCGCTCGCCCGAATGACACGACCCTTCCGTCTGGTAATAGCGGTCTGCATCCGAAGCCCGCGGCGGGAAGGAGAGCCGGGGGGAGACGGTCGCGCAGTCGAGGTACTTGATTGATATGGTTGCAACAGTCTCGCTTGTTCCGTCATTGTCTTGAGGTTACTGCACAGAACAACTAGTTCATTTGGCACCTACGTGCTGGATTTCTACTTACTGCCCTTGTGTTGAGTCAGGCCAAAACAATGAAGCACTGTATAGCCCCCATGCCACGGCAAGTGCTAAATGATGATGCAAATTTGATACCACAAGAAATAGATTTAGAACCAACTCCGCAGGGACGAAAGGAGCAAGAAGAGAGACCGAGGTGTTTTTCCACCCAACCCCATTTTTTATATTCTTTACATCCGCCATCAAAATATTAAACACAGGCACTAGCGGCGCGAAGACGGGTACGAACAGCACGCGCAACAACCACCGGCGTGACAACAACGGGAAGCACCAATCATCTCGACACAACGACGACGACAAGGAGTTAGAGATTCTCCGACCGAAGGACCACAACAGGCATCCTCGCGACCAAAACGCCGTGCAGCTCCGTAGCAGACATGCGATCGACCAGCAAAACACACGAGGAAGCGGTAGCGGAAAAATGATCAACGGAGGTGGGAGCACGAACAATGCGAGGAACAGCACTATCGGACAAGGTACTTCCAATGGGGGTGTAGTTGCTAACCCCCGATCCTCCACGACAGGAGCTCAAGCTCATACGAACAAGCGGACCCGGGAAGGAGCCGAATCGGGCGCGGTTTCATCACGGATGAACCGATCCAAGGAGCGGCGAAGGAGCAACAGCGCCAAACGCCGACGCGACGGCGAGGCAGATCGGCGGGACCGGGACATCAACGGGCGCGACCGGCCGGGCAACGTCCGGGACCGAGAAAGAGACCGGGACCGGGAAAGAGACCGGGATAGAGATAGGGGAGCGGACATCCAGAAACTACAGCAGCAGCTTCAACGCGAGAATAATCATGGCAACAGCGCAGGGGCTCCAGCTGTTGTTTCCACAACATCCAGACGGGGCGGCGATGACAATTATAGCGACAACAAGCGGGAGCCGCGGGACCACAGAGGTACTACTAACCAGCACCAGCTTAACAGCCGCGGCACGGTTGCAGAACAGCCTGCCGCGAGAAGCGGCCGCGAGCGAGATCGGGATCGAGATCGAGACCGTCCGAAGTCCCGCGACCGCGAGCGAGAACGTGACAGAGACGGCACTAGAGACAGGAACAACGACAACAGAGATCATCTTCAACTACACAGCAGAGATAACAACAACAATACTAGAGACCTCGTCCACAGGTCAGACCGCCACGACAACAACCACGGTGGTTCATCTTCTGTGCTACACAAAACCACATCTACCCGCAGCGACAACCGCGACCAAAGCCGGCGACGGAACAACAAAAACCAGTACAACAACCACTCTTCATCCCCCAACACAACGAACAAAGACCGACCTGCTCGTTCCAGAGACCAGACCAGAAGTACTCGCCGCGGGGAGCAAAGTAAGAACGCGGGTACATCTATCCCTCAACATCGCACCCGCAGTGCGAGCGACCGCAGCAGGAGCAACCACTCCGCGACCAGCAGAAATAACCTAAGAAATAATAGCGCTTCTCATCATCATGCGATGTTGAGCAACCAGAGAAGTAATAACCCAAAGCCGCAGCAACTGCCCGAACCGCTGGGCCGCCGGGTGCGGGGCCACAAACTCGGAGTGCAGCCCAAGGTGGAGCAGCACCACGTGGAGGGGTTCCTGCAGCGCTGCGGGTTCCTTTCGGGCGGGGCGTTCGGCAAGCAAAGTGAGGACCTGGACAAGTTGCAGAATTACCTGCGGGACTTGACGAACAACGAACTGCTGCGGGTTTTCGCAGAAGGCGACATTGAGAACGCACGGAACCCAACGGCGGTGTGCATCGCGCGGATACGGAAGGCGAAAAAGGCCGAGGCAAATCGAGAACCGGTATTTGGATTTGTTTTTTCTATTGTTCCTGAAAAAGAAAATCATGTAAATGATATAGTAAGTACTATAGTGCGGTTTTTGAATGAGCTACAATATGAACTCGCAAGTAGTGAGGGGTCTGGGTCAGCGAAGTACCCAATCGCGTGATGATAAAAACAGGTACCCCGCGTCGAGTGGTTGATTTTGGAGCAGAATTGCGAACCCGACCAAGCTGTGAACGATTTTCCCAGCATGGATAGCGTGGAACGCTTCTGCCGCAAAAACGGGTATCATTTCTTTCTGCATAGTACAGATGAACCGTTTCAAGCTGGTGCAAACTGGTTTCTGATGACCTACAGTAAACAACTGACGAATGTGATGATGTTGTACTAAAGCCCTCCGAAGTTGTTCCTGCTTGATGCTACACTACTAGAAGTTTCATCTTGATACTCTAGCAACTACATGTTAAAGATTCCAATGCAACATAGCTCTCAACAAGTTGTAGATGACCACCATGTAGATGCACGATCGATCGATCCAACTGAACTTAAACGCCTCGCAGACTCGACCAGCTGATGGAAGACAGTTTGAAGGCGATGCCGGACGGCATTTTGGAATACCTGAACCAACGCAAAGACTGGACGGTGACGTCCGTTCCCAAGCAGGAGCTGGACCAGGGATCGACGACTGTGTCCACCCCCGCCTCCGTGCAACAGTTGAATCTGCTAGAGACCATTGCCGGGGAGGAGTTTTTCGTGCAAACTTGCGAGATGCACGCCTTCTGGCGCGACTACTGCGTGGAGCACTTCACGAATCTCCTGCTCTCCGAAGCCATCTCCAGCCCGAACGGAGGCGGGGATAGTGAGGCACAGCGAGGACTACAGGGCCACAACGCATCAAGTTCGCTGGACGACGACCTGATGCAATTGTCGCACAAGGACGAGGAGAAGCTGGAGAAGGTCCGGCAACGGTTCTTCCGCGCGAATTTGCAGAAGCAGATGAAGATCCGGGACGAGTGGCTGCGCATCGTCGCGGACAACCGCAACCCGCGGATGAACGTGAGCTGCATGGAAGACAAGTTGTTGCAGCTGGACGAGATGCTGAAGCTGTTGCAGTTCGACTACAAGGACTTCACCGCGGAACAGTACCTGGAGAAGAACGAGATCCAGCTGCACAGCGAGGTGGGCATCCTGTTCGAGCAGGCCAACGCGAAGGTGCAGAAACTCATCATGGAGGAGGGACCCCTGAACCTGAACCTGTTTCGCTACCAGCTGAAAACCAAAACGCTCACCGGCATGTTCTCAAACAGTAACTCGCCGGCGAACGGCACTGGTTGTGGGGAAAACACGTCGTCCGTTGCTGGCAACATGCAAGTAGAAAATAACCAACAGGCCACTGGTCGGCGCGATCTGTTCGGGGAACACAAGGAGGCTCCTGTAGCGGATGCTGGAAGCGACAATACCGCGATGGTTCTTTCCCCGTCCCTGGAGGATATCCAACCGGAACCGGTCACAGAAGACGGCGAAGGTATTAATGTAGCAGCTGCAGCACCATCCGCCGTGGAGACCAAAGATGGACTTCAAGAAAGCAAAGACGGTGAGAGCGCCGATGCGGAAATGAAGGACCCGGCGACTGAGACGGCCAAAGACCAGGAAAAATCTGCTGATGCCGCGCAAATAAACGGGGAGAAACAGGAAACAGGGGAATCAAAAAACGACAAGAAAATGGAAATCGACACGGAAATGGTCAATGAACAGCAGGATGAGCAGGAAGAGAACCCCGACCACTTGCAGACCAACAAGGAACCGCTCGAACGGCCGACCACGACCACGACGGCTGGGAACTCGTCCGCAACCAGTTCTGCGGAGGACCAGGACTGCGACGACCAGCAAATGGTGATCCCCGCACCGGTTTCTCTGCCGGATCCGACTTCTGGTAATAATGAGCAGCAAACAAATCACCTCCCGTTCCAGCACCAGCCGCAGTTTTTTCTCACGGAGCAGGAGAGGCACGAGTCCCGGCTGTTTCTGCAGAAGCGCATCCTGTTTTACGAGCAGGACCTGCTGCGACGGGAGATATCCACGGACCCAAAAACGAAGTACGCGAACACTTACTACCACCACAACGACCACTTTGCAGGCGGTGGTGACGTCAATGCTCTTGGTCACACAGAAAGATCTTCCAGTGGGATCATGATGAACAAAACCCATTCGTCTGTTTCGCAACAGCCGTTCCCCCGCACCGGGAGCTCCAGCTCCTCGTCCGGAACCGCCGGGGCTTTCAACGCAACTCTCTCCGCAACCACAAACGCCTCACATGTTGGCTCCACGCCGAACTCCCGCATGATCAACTTTTCCGATCTGGAGCAGAACGGGACCCTGAACGTGGCCAGCATGACCGTCGTGAACCCGGAAGAGGGGAAGTTGCTCAGCACCAGCACCTTCAACATTCCACCCTTAGGTAGCAGTCTCGTTCCCGGTGGAGCAGGAGGCACCACAGCCGGCAGCAACCCGAACGGCAACAAGCTGCACCACAAGATGCACGAGAAGAATCACGGGCGCGGGGTGCAGTTGCAGAAGACGATGTCGACGAATAGTTTGTCGAAAAACAGCAACAATAACAACAAGAAAAGCAACAACACCTCGTCTAACGCGTTCTACGTGTCCCGCCCGGAAGAAAAGGCGAAGGATGTGAAGTACTGCGAAAAGTGGCTCAACGACCAGGGCGTGGATGTGTACGCCAAAGCTCTGTTCTTCGAGCAGAACGACTACGAGCGGTCGCAGGTGCTCGCGATGGGCTCGCTGCTGAATCAGGGCAACGTGTCCGCGGTCTTGGTGTCCCGGCTCGGTAAGGCGACCGGAAGGGGCAGGGTGATTGTAGACGACTATTGGGACAGGTATTTTATACGATCTCTTCGTCTTGATCATCTTGCGGCCATCTGTTGTAGTTATTTTTTGCAAGTAGAAGTGTCTTCGTGATGTTGGTAGTACTGCAGCCGGCGCAGCACTTCTGATATTGGCATTCCACTGTAATATGAGTGTGCTGTCGCATCGCGCCTCTTTGTCTTGCTTTCATGGCATCTTGTGTACTGATGTTCCTTGAACGACTCTCGAGATGGAGTCAGCCATGTCTATGGAGCAGCGTTTATTGACCAAATACTTAAAAAACAGGAAAAACAATCCTTCGTCGCAAAAAAACGCGAAAAACGCGAATTCAAGTAGCAGTTCGAGTAGCAGCAATGCGCAGAACACGGCCGAGGAAAATAACGGGAAGACAACGCAACTCCCGCCGGGAGGCGGAAACAAGGCCACAAGCAGTGCGCAAAACAGCAGTATTGAAGAAGTGGACGAATCCAAACTGGATGAGGAGCTCGTGGACCAAATCAATGAGTTCTGCCAAGTCAACCAGTTGAACGAATCGGTACGGAAAAAGCTGCTCGCCTGCCCGGATGGTAATTTTGTTTTTTTCGTGACACGTTTCATTTTTCTGATGTTTTTTCATTCCTGAACAACTCATACCTGCACGATGTTTGCTTTGTGAGACGTGTTTCTACATCTGCGAAGCTGGTGGGGAAATTTATAGGGATTGGAATAAACAAAAATGACAAAAATGCTAATTAAAACCTGAAACCTTGAATATTAAACAGGCACGATAGAAGCGGTGACGGAAAAAATGGAGGTGGATCCCAATCTCTCGGGCTCGGAGCTGATCCTTAAGAAAATCGAGGAGTGCGGCCGCCGACTGCCCCACCTGGCAGACGTGCGCGTTTTTCTACGTGATAACTTGGTCGATGAGCGGGCGACGGAGATGTTCCTGGGCTGTCACGACTGGCAGCAGCGGGAAATCATTCTCAACGCAAAGGTATTAAATGCGATTGTTGTTCGCACAAGTTTTTTACTTTTATTCGGAGACACTTGCACTTGTTTCGACAAGCAGAATGTATGGTGTATCAGTCGACGATGATGTAAAATGCCTTCAGAGAGAACTACAGGATGATGAAATGATGTGCATGCTTAATTTGTAGTCGGGACAAGTTAGAAATGAATGTCTTAGAGGAAACGTTTTCTTTGCACGCGAAGGTTTATAATCGCTCACTGTGAAAAGCAAAATACAACAAACTGAAACTACAAACACAAAACAGACGACCGACCTATCGAAGATGCGGAATCCCAGCTCCTGGGTCGTTACGGCGATCGTGCAGGTTCGAAAGCGGCCCCGTCCGGATCAGCGGGGACGGATGTTCCAAGGAGCGAAGTAAACCGCGACACTTTCTTAGGAATTCTAAAGCAAGAAGAAATGAGCTAGTTTCATCAATCCACTAACGTACTTTGGACCTTCAAAAATGCAAATGCTTGCTCTGCGTAAAAGAAGTGTTGTGCAAAAATGAAAATCATGATCGTATCTGTACCAGTCGTCCGTTGTCTCCTTAAATTTTACATTTTTGTCATTTCTAGTAGAAATTTGGTTCTCGAGCACTATGAAAATCAAGGAAATTCTTTGTGCAATTGGAAGGATGAACAGCATTCATGGCTTTCCGGAAAGCTTCTTTTCAATGCAGCTCCACGACATCTCGCGACAGCTTTATGTTTATTTTCGTAGCTATATCTCTTCAGATCAACATGTTCTTTAGCTAACGTCTGGACCAATTAGCTCCGGAGAGGTCCTTCCGCAGATGAAGGTCCCTCTTCGGGCTGCTGAGAAAATGAAATGTTACTTACCTGTACTTCGCGATATAGTATTAGCGCGAACCTGTAGCGCTACCAGTGAACCCACCTATAACTTTATTTCTAGAGGTATGCACTAGAAATAAAATCAGTAAAAAGTATCGGCTCCATCGACTGAATGGCTCTCCGAACCAAGACGCGCGCTTTTCAAAAGACGTTGCTGCACCCATCTAAAATTATTTGAAAGTATGACAAAACAAGTTCGTAGTTTAGTTCTACGCCAAACAAGAAGGTATCTATCGTAGTCCGTATTTTAGTACGCTCTTCACGTTCACCAAGTTGCGTAAAAGAACACAGCAGAAAAATGAAATTGTAAGTCGTCCTCGCTTCCTGTGCTGCTAAGCACTGTAACGGCCGGCTACGCTACCGTGTTCCTAGTTTTCACGCTGACTGTTTCGTTTTTTTTTTGAATCGCGCTCTCCGCTCCTTTTTTTTGTCCGCCAAAAAAGGCTAAAAATGAGCCGCCAAACGATCAGAATCGATCCGGTTCCGAATGTAAAACGAGAAGCTCACACGATTCGGTCGATTTATTTTGCGTTGCAGTCGGAACAATATGATATTGAATCACACACAATGTGACTGACAGGGATCCTTCACTTTCTGTATTTTTCGGATCACGCGGCGCGTGTTGTGAGAAGGAAATGATCAAGATGTTTGAAGAATGTCACGATCTCTCGAGACTCTTTGCCGGAAAACTTTAAAGAAGTGTCAGAAAGACTTCAGCGTCTTCACAGGTTCGTTGGCTGCTTTATTTTCCCCGCAGCTTTTTGATCCTCCGCAATCGAATTCAAGTACAAGTACGTCAACCATCAAAGTAAGAAACACCGTAATACTGCCTTGAGTCTTTTCATTCCCGGACAGTGCTCCATCCGAAAATTCGATTTAGATATTCTACTTGCCACCTCAAGCCAATTTTATGTCGCTACTGAAATCTTCAGTCTGTAGCTGTCGAGCAACTACCTAGATGTTTTATTGAATCTTGTGAGAAAAAGATAATGAGTGCCGTTCCTGCTCCCGAGGACACGGAAAGTCGGCAGCCTTTGTTGTCTGCCGATCAGCCCGAAGCCACGCAATTTGTGGTAAAGGGCGTACCGGCAGCAGCGGACGGCCGAACGGGTCCGGTACAACAACCGACGGGGCCTGCGGATCTGGAGAAGAACGGGGCGAATATCGTTACCGCATCGAAAACTACTTCCGATCAGAAGGGAGCGCCACACATGTTGCAGGAGCCCTGCGTTGCAGCTACAGAGCTGCAGGCGATGAAGGAAAGGGCGGCGGCGAAAGAAAAGAAAAGGGATGACGCCGTCGTCTTAGATAAAAATAGCACTCGGCCGCGGTCCCTTTGCGGCGTGTGGCTGCGCCTGGGATGCTGGCGTCTCACCTATCTCCTGTTCGCAACGGTGGCAACGTTTGTAATTATCTACGTGGGCATAAATTACCCGAAGGGCAAGGCGGGCACCGGGGTGGGCGAATGGTTTTACGCACTGACGTTTCTGCTGCTCGCCTTCCTCTGTCCGGCGGCGCCGAAGGTCGCAGTAGAAAATAAAGGTCCACCTGTAGTTGCTCCAGTGGTGCCGCTTGCGACAAAGAGCGTGCAGCTGACGGAAATCGCACCGCCTGCGAGCAAAGGGGAAGCTCTTGCAGTGAACGCAAGGAACGTTGTTGCGAAGAAACCACCCGCAGCAGCTAAGCCGCGCCTGCTCTTCCTCGACAACCTGAAGGTTTTCCTCACCTTAGCCGTGGTGTTTTTCCACGTCAGTATTGGTTTCGGCGCCTGGAAGTGGCAAGCGTACACGCTGACCGTGGGCAACCACAAGGACAACGTGCTCGGGAAAGCGCTTTCGGTGGTCAACCTGGTGAACCAGAGCTACTTCATGTCACTCTTCTTCTTCATCTCGGGCTTCTTCGTACCAAGCTCGCTGCAGCGCAAGGGCGCAGTGGCCTTCCTGGAGGACAAATTCATGCGTCTGGGCATCCCGCTGGTCTTGGGCGGGTTCGTGTTCTTCCCCCTGGTATACTCTAGATGTTAATTGGTGTAGAAGAAGAAAGAGAAAGCTGATATTCGCTCATTCATTCTTTTGAGGCGGCCCTGCCAGTACCTACTCATAGCAGAAATTTTTGTACTGTTAATTCAACATCATACATCGTACCACTAATACTTAAGTAAAGCCAACTCGTCCAGGTAACCGCTTTGAGTATGCAGGCTGCGTTCGGGACGGACTACGGTGCGACGAACCCCGACGGCACCACCCCCCTCCACCTGATGCAGAACGTCTTTAGCACCCCCGACGCCTGGTACATCGTCGGCCTCGGGCCGCTCTGGTTCCTCATGGTCTTGCTCCTCTTCAACCTGGCGTTTTGCGTGCTCTACCCCAAGGGCCTGGAGTCGATGCCGGGTGACCTCCCACTTCCCGGCTTTCTCGAAATGCTCTTTGTCGGGTCCCTGTTCGGGTTGTTGCAGGGTTGGACCTACCAGGACGGCTGGGGCTGGGGCAAGTCCGGCCGGTTCGCGTTCCTGGAGGTCCCCAACATGTACGGTGGGGGCGGCGGCATGCCGTTTGACATTCTCTTCTTCTTTGCCGGCGCCTTCGCGAAGAAAAACAATTGGCTCGAGCAGATCGTGGAAATGAGTACGGCTTCTCCGAAAGAAGGGAAGCAGGAGAACGATATCGAGCAGGGTGTTCTTGGGGACCTTCCCGAGGTTCAGCTTGCCGCGGCCCGCGCCAGGCAGAGAAACAGCTGCTCCATCTGGTCTTTCCGACTGCACGCGTTAGCGCTGGTGGCCTGCATCGTCGCCTTGACGGTGCACATCGACCCCAAGCTGGCACCGCCGGAGCACAGCCGGTGCGGCCACATCCAGCAGGACATGGCAGTGCGATTCGCGCAGATGCCGGACACTTACGCGCGACTCTTCCCGGACCTGCCGATGAGAGACGCGCAGGGGAACGGTTGGGAGGTATTGCTTTGTCGACTTTCTTATCTAATTCTGTCGCTGTCGTCTTCATGTTGTGTTGAGGAGCCTAAAAAATTCCTATCAGAAGCTGTAGGCCCCCACCAGGCTGCTCCCGCCTGTCACCCATAGTTAAAATAACGCAATGATTTTCGTTCCGTCGTAGTTGTTACTCCTTCTCTCGTATAACACACAACAGATCCCAGCCGCCGCTGCCAGACCTCCGATGAATCCCACCCCGGAAGACCAGAAACCCTGGTACGACCAAAAAGGGTGGCTGCAGGACCAGCTCCTGAAGGGCAACAGCCTCTTCTGGCACGCGTTGCGTGGGCAGCTCTCCATATCATTGAGCTTCGTGATGCTGCAGTTTTTCGCGCAGTTTGGCAACTCGGAATCCCCGACCCAGCCGGCTTGGAACGGCGTTAAGAAAGCGCTAGGGGAAGGAGCGTATTTGGTTTTTTTGACAAGAACGAGCTTGGCCTTGGCTTGATTTTCCGAGCTCGAACAAATGTCTTTGTGGTCTTCATACTTCATTGAGATTTTCGTTCTCAACATCTTCTTTTACAATCCACCACAGGTACGGCGTTTATCTGTTCCACTGGATGGTCTGGCCGCTGTTTCTTTGGATGTTTCTGTACCTTTTCTACCCGAGCAAAATCCTGATGAGCGACGAGCAAGCCGCGGGGGAGAATCTAGAGTTTCTGGTGTGCGCGGACCGGATGTTCGCGGCCAAGGGGCCGGTTTCTCAACCTCTCATGGGGGTGCTGTTCCTCCTCACACTGCTAGCGACGAACTTGATCCTGTGGCCGGCGTGCTTCTACCTCCGAAAAATTCCGGGACTCGACAAGGTTTTGTAAAACTATTCCGATAGTATAGTGCCCAACTACTAGGGCAGAAGCAAGTCCTGGGCGACGCCGAGATTCTCGGGATGCCCCGGAGGTCGTCGTGGTATAGACCGCGCCGGGGATCGAGGCAGATTCTAGTAAAACGACAAGGTTCATCAGCATAGTAGACGAACAACACCAGCGACCACATTGATCAGTATATTTATTTACACATCATCAAAGCTCCTGCTTTGCTGGCATGACATCAAAGTCATTTACGGCTGTAGAAGCCGTCAGCGATTGTTCTCACACCATAAAGGATTTATTTCCGTGAGTGTTTTTCGTTTGTTGTGTCGAGCGATCGTCTCGAGCCGAAAGTTGAGTGTCGTGTGATCTCAGTTTTCTTTGGTGTTATAGTGCTCGTAAAGGCGCACGAGTTGTAGGAGGGACCACGTCTAGAGAGCTGGCACTCTTAAAGAGACTGCGTGCAAAAGAATGCGGTTTTCTTTAGCTTTTCTAAACAATCGAAATGCACCACGTACTAGAGCTCTGCCATAGAGGATGAAAGCTGAGAAATTCTTCTGAGGGTATCAGCCTGTACTCCGCGTTTGATTCATCTACGACGAAATTCATGAACTTCATAACGGCTTGAAGCAGCGGGAGAGTCAGAATGGGTCTTTTGCACCTTTTGGAAGGTGCGCTGGAGGATCCAGGAGCGCACGAGCACGGATTTTCGCACGAAGACCATCATTTTGGTACTTGTTCTTGTGTGAATGCAATTTTTTGTCGGGCGTAAACATTTGTATTTGGGGAGAACGCACGCACCACTACCACTCATTGCACCACTGACTTGATTGTCGTTGTCTCATGGGTTCAAGGATTTCACAAAAAACCGCTTTTAGGTGACCATGACGAAAACCCGAGTAGCGAGCACCATCTTTTCGACCACCTTTCGCAGCACCACCCGTCGAGAGCGTCGTCGCACCATCACCACCCCGCGGTCCTGACCGCCTTCAAGGACTTCCAAATCGGGAACTACAAACTCACCCCCCTGGCCGCTTTGGACACCAATGACGGCAAGATGGAGTGCCACACGGAAGTAATCGAGGTCGAGTCGCTGCCGCCGCAGCTGGCGGCGGGCACGGGAATTGATAATTCCGCAGCGCACGACGTCGAGCATTACAATAGCGATCTGTCTTTCACCACGGACGATGTGCGGTCGGGCAACGAGTTTCTGCAACTGACCCCGGAAGAGTTGCACACCGCGCACGTGCAGCAAACCAAAGTCGCGCAAACCATCGCGGGCACCACGCTGGCTGGCGCGTTTGCGCTTTTCAGTGGGTTCGTGTACAAGTTGTCCAACCGGAACAAAAAGATGGCGGAGCAGTACGAGAAAATGATGAAGAAAAAACTGAATAACTCGCAGAACGCAGAATTGCTGCGGGCGATGGAAGTAGAACACGCGGCTGGTGACGAAACGGCGAGCGGCGTGAAGACGACGAACCAGCCACCGGAAAAGTCCACCTCGAGCAGCAACTCAGCCACTGCGCAGCCCACGGTGCTGTTTTGATGAAACCCGTGGAATTGTTATGACCGGTGTCGTGGGAGAATTTCAGTTATTATCCGAAAAAAATTTTGTGTACAAGTCAAAAATACGTTCTTATTCTTTTCGCTCTGAGTCTGAGCTACCAACGGCAGCGTAGCTACTCACTTTTCTGGCAGTAGAAACGAAGTTGTGCAATTTTTACCGAGTAACTACAATAGATGAAAACAGTTCTTGTCTTAAAGACACAGTTTTGTTGATGATGTTGACCCCTGAGCTTGTTAATCTCTGGAATTTACGAAATTTCAATCGTCCCCTCCGTTGGTACAGCCGCGGCAACAGGTGGTACGAATAGGATGGATCGATATCTCGTCAACGTTTCTTGGAGGTTTCTGCCGCGTGACAGCAGAAAGCTGACGCGCTCTTACCTGTTGCCGGGACCTCGTATTTAAGTGAGTGGTTGTTTGTTTTGAATAGATGCATTAACTTTTGCACTCGCTTGGAGGTCGAGGTGGAGTCAAAACAATTTGAGTTGGAAACAAAGGAGGTGGATTCCAAAAAGTGACTAGGAGAAAACATCGGAATTATGTAGATGTAGAGTAGGTCATAATCGCTTCAAAAAACCCTTGCCGAGGTGGATATCAATCTCGATTCATGAGCGAACTTGAGAGGAGTAATGGCTAGCAGGAACGGTAGATGCAATGTACTTTACCTGTTGATTGAATAACCGTAGATGTGTTGTATCAATGCAAAAAGCAGCGTGATCGCGACGTGAGAAAAGTTCGTTTCTATTCCGCAGGAGATCAAAAATCAAAGATGAGGACGCTCCTTTCCCCACTTTTCCGACCTATAATCAGTTCCACGCCACACGGCGGCTACATTCCGAGGAAGAGGCCATGCTTTGCCTCCGCCCTCCTCTTTTACTGCATCACGAGCTGTCTGATCTCTCCGGGCTACAGCCTGGATTTCGACCTGCTCGGTATGCTATTCGACTTCGTGCGCGGACCGGACCGCAAGCCCATGCTGCGGAGAGTCAAGCCCAGGGGAACCAGTACGACGTCTAGCACCACACCAGCGGCGGAGGCGGAAGTGGATGAGGAGGTGGCTGAAAGCGGTTCAACATTGCCCGCAGGAGAAGCAACAGCAACAGCAGCGATGGTGGAGGAACAAGCTGCGACCACTACTGCTGCGGATGAAGAAGACGTTTTGCCCAAGAGGAGGATCCGGAAGTTGCAGCCGCGCGGCACCAGAACTTCCACAGCTACTGCAACGAGTGCTGGAGCAGCTACTACTACTTTCGCGCCTGAGAATGAAGCAGCTTTTGGTCGTGCTGGCACTACAAGTGGAGGGGAGGACACACTGCAGGACGAAATAAGAGTAGCAGTGGCTGGGAGCAAGTCCTCAACCACAAGCAGTGAGGAGAAACAGAACGACCACGTGAATACGGTTCCAGGCTACACGACCGCCGCAGAAGCAGCAAAGGAAACGCAGTCTCTCTCGCGCGCAGAGGGTGGTGTAAAAGTGCCAGCCCGTGAAGAAGACGCGTCTGCGAAGGTCCAAGAAAAGCAAAAACAACTCGGCGAAGAGGATGTGGAAAATCATCCCGAGCTTGACCCCTTGAAGATGGCGGATGATGTGTTGAAAAAGAAGGATGGTGGGATGTTGGAAGGGAATCCCGATCCTGACACCAGAAGCACTGCAGGAGTTGTAGAGAACAACTTCGAGGACGTGGTCAAGCATCGTGGTTCGAGTGAACTGCAGCTGTCAGAAGAAGAGTTACGCCGGAAGGGGGAGAAAGACGCCAGGGACGGGAAAAATGCAGAGAAGAAAAAGCCGATTACGCATGCGAATATCTGTTTGCTTTTTCATCATCGCTGACTCAAGTCGAGGTTCTTGTTCTTCATGTATGTTAAATTGCATGATGCCGTAAATTGTGTGCGTGTCATCTTGATATAATGCGTAGAGAAAATATCAGAACAAAAAAACACTGGATCTTCGCTGCTATCGTGACTTGAGTCCGAATTTTCCAAGCATGCTGAAGAAAATGGCAGTTACGTACCAAAATTACCAAGACGCCGATGCCGATGAGGAGGTGTCGCCCGTGAACGAGGAAGCCACGATGAAAAAGCTGAAGCGCGAAGTGAAAAACGCGTTCGGGGGCCAGGAATCCCGGGCCGCGATCATGGACACGCGCAAGCAGCTGCAGCGATTGGACCAAGTCTTATCCAAGAAAAAAACTGTGTTAGTGTAACTATCTTTGGCTGACAGCATCACAAATTTGCTCTACATTGACAGAGAAAACCTGTCATGCGTGGCTTGTAAGGGAAAACACACAGGAAAAGAGAACTTCGTGGCTGTCTGGCATGACAGGTGTAAGTCTGTTGCGTGTTCTGCATTTTACAGATTTACACTTACACAGTTTTTTTCTTGCACAAGTCTCCATGAAGCTGTACTACAACATCACCACTTTTCTCCGGGATCTCGACACCTACTACAAATCGCTGAGCCGCGTGGAGTCCAACTTCTGGAAGTTGGCGGAAGTGGATGTCACCGACCTGCTGCAGGACTACGACGCCCACGTGGAGAAGCGGCTGCAACTAGTCACGACGAAACTCGGCTCGGAACTCTCCGTGCCCGGGGTGTACGGGGGGAGGAGTAGCGGGAAAAGTTCTAGCGCTTCTGCCGAAGGAGAAAAAGAAGAAAAACCGGCGTCGATGCTGCAACTGCTAGGAGTGGTGAAGAAATTCAAACAAGGCTATCGGAAGACAAACATAGGTGGTGCGGCGCGCAAAGCGTATTCGCACAGCAAAGACATCAACAACGGCAAAGTGAATCACCACGGGACAAAACAAGAGGGAAAACGGCAGCAAGTGACGCGAGGAGGCGACGATCATCTGGTTAATACGCGAAGTGGCAGCACGTCTGCGGAACAACAAAACCATCAAACGAGCGACAAGAACACCATAAACTACGCCACCGCTGACAGTAGGATTGTCAGCCTCCCGGAACAAAAAGGTCGAGGTGAAGGAAACGTAGACGCCGGATTGTATGCAACCCCAACGCCGGAGGACGGTGGTGCGGGGGCAGGTCTGTCGGCACCGCGGCATACAGCGGAGGGTAGTTCATCAAGCCCAAAGGAAAACGGTGCCGAAACTACCGCACGAGAGAAGTACTCTACCGCCGCAGCTTCAGTATGGTCGAGTGCTGCAGAGGACGAGGACGATCGCGCGGCCGCGTCGGGGGAACAGGTGCAAGGGACCAATGAGGAAAGAGCTGCCGAGTACCAGGGCGGAATGCGAGAGGAACAACCAAATGGGAAGGACACCTACACTGGCGCTGGAGAAGATATCAGCAGCTTTCCGCCATCCAATACGGAAGCTCCGCCTGCTGTCGCAGCACAACTTTCGGAGGTAGAAGAACTGGAAATGTGAGATGCGTGCTGTATGATTCCATGCGCAAACGCAACCTAAATTTACCAACTTTGTCTGTCTGTGCAACGAAGCGCACTGACAGAGGCAGGGAAAAACTGTATGATTTCGTTCTCATTACCAAGTAGAGCAGATGAATTCCTCGCTGTGTCACACTCGATGGAACCGTGTTGCCAGAAAGCACCACATGCAGAATTATTATAGCAGGTCTCACTCTGTTCTTACATAATTTGTACTTATGATTTCTCGCAGTTCAAAGTCAAACTCCTAACTCTTCGTCGTTTGTGGTCAAGTGCTCTATTTTTCCCAAGAAGCAGCTTTTGGTGATTAGTCTCGGTCTACTCGATGTATTATTTCAAAGTGGACTCGTCGGTACAGGTACAGCAAGTCGTTCTTCTCGCTTTCGTAGAATTCGAAATTATCGTCAAGAACGGGATAGCATACTCCCTCGTTTTCCTCAGGGAAGTGTCTACACATTTTGTCGGTACATGCTGAGGTAAGTCAGCTTCGTCTATCCTTCGGTGTCTTCGTCTCGTCCAAACGGTGATTTCAAAACATTGGCCTCAAACGGTTCGGTGCTTTCGTGCGTCGATTTCTTCCTTCGGTGCTTCGTGACCAGGCATTCCGCAAACAGATGTTACTTATCTTATCCAATAGTGTTGAGAAATGACGACTGCAGCAGACGCTGCCTGCTGATTTCGGTAGCTCTTCGTTGTGCTTCGTGCTGCGTACTACGCATTGGCTTCTTGTATTTTCGGTTTGGTTGAACATGAAGGAGATGGAAATGAATCTCAAGTTTTGCGAGTTGCAATCGTCTTTTTCAAATGTTTCCTTTCCCACCCTTCCCACAGTGCTTCGCAACAAAAGAACTCTTCGGAGTGTCCCCGTTGGATTCCTTGTCACTTTTTTTCCTCGGAAGAATTAGTGCTTGGAGTTGAAGGAGCAACACGAACAACCGCTGTTTGATTTGGACCCCCTAAAAACAAAAACAAAGAACAATTTTGGAACCCCACATTGAACTAAAGATTGCATTTTCTGTCTTTTCCCTTTTGCTTTTTTTATACGCCGAACACTGTAGAATTGCCGATAAATTTACGAGAGAGAAATCTGTTTTACAACTTAACATCGACTTTATAATTAATTTTTTGACAAGATATCGTGAATTTTTTTCCGCTGTTCCTTTTCATTTTTTTCTGGATGCATACTACTTGCTTTTGTACTTCTTTTTAAGTCTCTCTCATTTGTCACAAACCCAAGAACCCGTGTAAACCAGTGCAGTTTAAGTATCCCCATTCCAAATTTTGTTTCCCCAGACAATTTTTGCACACGAAAACCAGAAGACGAAGAAAACATCGAAACCAAAATGTTGGAGCAGACGAAGGAAAGAAAAGCTGAGGGCGAGCGGTGCCCGAGAACCGTGCCGGTTGCGAGAAGCCGTAGCCGAGTTTTTCAACGAGACGAGGAGGAGAAAACCGAGGCGAACTTTTCGGAAGCGGCGTCAAAGATGTCGCAGAACCCACTGAAAAACCTACATCTTTTAGGCAAGAAGGAGAACCTCGACGACGGGGACGGAAAACGCCGGGGCCGTGCGCCGCACCCTGATATCATGTGAAAAAGTGTACAAATTCTGCTCACACGACCACGTTTTCGCGGGCTCGGGTCGGTCTGTAAAGGCGGCACTAACTCAAAATGTTTTTTTCTTCTATTTCGGTCGAGAGTTGCAGCACTACAAGCACCGCTAGTCTCTTCATACGTAAGTTACGGTGGGTCCGCACTGCTGCAGCATTGAAAACATGAGGCGCCAAGACAAGCATTTGCACACTTTTCCAACTCATACAAAGCCGGATGCGGCAGGATCAACATGGCAGTTGTCGGGCGCGATCGGCGTCGCCGTCTCCTGGCCGGGCGATCGCTACTGGACTGGCCGCCGCGTTGGTATGGTTGGGGAGCTGAGTTTTGTACAGACTGCTGTGGTCGTCAGCGTCATGGTTGTGCCTCAAGCAGCACTTGCTTCCTACTCGTTCCGTTCTCGGGGCCTCGGCTTGTCGGGGCCTCGGCGGCACTATTTACAGCTTTGTTAGAGGCGAAGTCTTGTTGCTGTGAGTATTCGGACTGCGATACAACTACAAGACGAGTGGTTGCTTTCGTTTCGCGTGGCAAGGACAAAGGGGAAATGCGCGTACGCGACGAGGATGTAGCATTCTATCTCATTGCATATGCAGTCGCATTGCGGCGCAAAAGCGCTGAAGGTTTGTCCCCATAAGATTGCTGCAGTTGTCTGTGCTGGCGGGTTTCCTTTGCATATCACGCGCTCGGCTGCAGGAATTCACTAGGTATGAGGCGGGTCGGCAGCGGCGCTGCAGGGACGACGTCTGTGGGGCCTACCCGTCTCCCGCTCCCGCCCGGGGACACAATGGAACTGAGCGCCAAGCATAAACGCAACATTCTTGCCAATGGCGAAGACCAAGACTGTTCGTTCTACTCTCACTCTGGGCTGGAACTACTTGGGCTTGGCGCGGCCACGGATCCAGAGAACCCGCTCGATGAACAAGGGCTCCTTGGTCTTTTGAGAACTAAAGCGCTGGACTACCGGGGACGCCAGAGAGCGCGAAAGATCTTGATCCACTGCGCACAAGTGATTATGGACAAGTTTCAAAAGGATTTTCTGGAATTTGACATCGACCGGGGAAATGCGGCCCCGGCGGCACCTGCGGGACCGAAGTCGCCAGTGAAGACGGGAGACGTGAAAGTACCAAGACGCCTGCCATTGGCGCTGGACATTTGCAGGATTCAAGAAGAACCGTCTACAGGCCCCTTTGCACCGATAAAATGGTTCCAAAAAAAAGCCCGCTTTTCGCGTAGCAAGCCGCCAGCACTTGTGTCCAACGATGGAACGGGCCGCAACGACAACGATAACTGCGGCGAAGTAATGGTATTTGGTGATGTGCACCTACGGAATGCTGCGACTCAATCATGCTCTCGTAGCCTCTGCATGATCGCCATAGCAAGAGTTGTCTGGTACTGGTGCGACTTTCGGTGCGGCTGAGAGACTGCCGCGAGTCCTTTGTCAAAAAGAACACCGCTACTGTAGATGTAGTCTTCTATGTAGCGCGAACGCGGCATATGACTTGTACGTAAGAGTGCGAGACGTTGAGTATGGAGTCCCCATGCAGAAAACAACAGACTGTTGTATGTAGGGAGGTCACGAGCTTTCTAATCTGGCGGTTTTTTGACACCTACGGTGAAAAGCGACCGGCAGTTTCCAATCGGCCGGAAGTCTTTTTGCAGGTAAAAAGCTGCCACTTTTCATCAATCGGGTCTGGCTGTCCTGGCACCGAATCGCCAGCGAGAATTACCGCTCGCCGATCCTAAGAACGACGCAGAGGAGCCGCCAAAGGTGGCGCTCTTCTGAGGCATCGGATTCCGCCGATTCGGGGTGCCCAAAAAATGGCGTCAAAAAAATCGCGGTGGTAAAAAGAAAGCGACTGCGCATGGTACAGGCCTCGTTTTGGCCCGCGCTGATTTCAAGGCCGCAAAGGCGGCTACCAAAATTGGCCATTTGCAGTGCGGGTAGTAAGCCAAAAGTCCTGGCTTTCTGACAAAAAAACAAAAACTGCACATTCCGCAAAAACAAAGCTGGCAGCCAATCCGCATGCTGCGGGTCCGCGTTGGGCTGCCCAAGGTGCTAGCGCTGGCGGGGGTTCTTGCAGGGCCGCAGCATGCGGAGATGGTTTTTCGGTTTTTGAGGACACGAAGATGGCAACTTGTGGCCGCGCTTTCTTCCGTCTCCTAGGCCATGCTGAGTAACATTATTCGCGTCGGGGTGCTGGAGATAAAAGAGCGCGACTATTTTTTTGATAGCAATGCGCGAAAACAGCAAGGAAGATGGGATCTGGCAGTCAAAAAAACCGCTGACATCACTACCCCCGCGGACTTGGCTACTATGTATTGGCTTTCGTGGTGCTGATCGAGGTCGGCACTACTTCGGAGGCACCCCTTGCGAAGATCGTTCATCGGATGCTGCGAGAGCTGCTCCATTTCATACGAAGGCGCCTTCGACAATTTGCTACAGCTACTTGCCAATCTGCCGATGTCGGGCGAGAACGGGTTCTGGGACAGAAAGAATCCTGGCGCCCAGTTGCTCTTCCTGGGTGATTACGGAGATCGTGCGCCTATTAAAGGGGACACATTTTATACCCACCTACTCATGGCGTACCTCCAAGCTTACTTTCCTCAGAAAGTAACACTGCTACGCGGAAACCACGAGACGGAGTTTCAGTACGACGACTGGGCTCTATCTAGGGAAAACAACGAGTATTGGGAAAATCTTCGCTCGACACCTTTTCGTGCCGCTCAATACGACGACTGGGCTCTATCTAGGGAAAACAACGAGTATTGGGACTTTCTTCGCTCGACACCTTTTCGTGCCGCCGTAGAAGACCCTAAGAAGAGGTTGACAATCCTTGATGAAAATCTCATTCCATGGACCCGCAAATATTTTTTTCCGTATTTGCCGCTTGCAGCGAAAGTTCATGGGAAGGCACTTGTGATCCACGCAGGTATCAGTGACCGACTGAAGCCGATCAAGGAGCTGATGCAGGTAGACCTCCGGTCTGCGCAAGTGCAGATCAGAAATCTCGGGGAAAGACGAGAAACGCAGAAAGACGAAGGACTCGACAGACGAGACCAAGCGGAGAAGAAATCGCTCGGTTTCATCACACATGATCGAAAGTCATATGGCATGCAGGAATGGTTCGCATATCGTGGTGTGCTTCTTATGCATGGCAGCAAAATCATGCCAGTGCCCAACCCCCGGCGCATATGTACTTTAGAGATAGTGATATTACAGTGCACGTTTTTGAATTGTGGTTTTTTATCGCCAACGTATTTTTCATTGCGCAAAACCAAAAGAAGTGGACGCTAGCTGTCAACCGCACAAGCAGTGTTTGCACTTTCCACCGTGGTCATGTGAAAGAAATATATTGCAGCGACAGCTTCTGCCTCGTTTTTGTTCGTTGGTTTCAACGATGTATATAAATGACCAAAGCGTGATGTGCAAGCGCTTGCATCCAGTCCATCGCAAACGCTTCTCGAGCACGGATAGTGTGACTCTTTTGCAGCTGCAGAAAAACTACCGTCTTCTGCCAGATGATCGGCTATCGTTATTGTTTCAGAAGAGTATTGCAGTTTTTCGCCAGCAGGGTTTGGGATGTTTTTGTTTCGAAACTCGCGCAGATATGGAGAGACGACTTCATTTATGGCAAGACGGGTTCTGCTGGTCGTCCAAGCTCGGCGCGAGATTCAACGCTCGAAACAGAAACTAAAAATATCGAAAGGCTGAAGAGCAATGCGGTTGCGGGCCTCAAGCTCAACGATGACGATGTGCCGTATTTGTCTGTGACTCCTCGCGACCATCTCCAGTCTTGTAATTCATTTCGTTCTTATTTGAAACCGAAATTGTTATGGTGCTCATTTTTACAACTGGGCTTTTGGTTTTGTACGCCTACACGTGCCTGTCATGGCGGAGGGTATCCGACGAGGACGCAATGCTTTTCCGTAGTGTTTCCATGCTTCTCGTGGTTGATGATCATCCTGTCCCCAGGAGTCGAAAGTGCGCAGTGAGTTGTGGGCTTTGAATGCAATAGATACAAGAAAATGCTGGTCCGGGGGGTTTTTCGTGCGACAAAATTCAAGGAGGAAACCTTTGTTACAACGAACTGATTCAGGCGGATCCGGATCCGGTTGGCCCCAATCCGAATGCGCGTTGCCCAGGTCTTTTCACGAAGGAAAAAGCGGAAAAATTTTTGGAAGACAACAAGCTTGAGCTAATTATTCGCGGGCATGAACCACGAGAACTTTCAAATCAAGGGATGTACGTGGAGTTTCGCATGGAGGAGTTTGAGAGGGAAGGCGAAGCCGGAGCAGTGCAGAAACCTCTTGCCGAAGCGGATTCGCAGATCATGTTTATTTTTTCTTCCTTATCACTTGGAGCTACGTACTCTCTCTGTCTTTGGGCGCGGCGTTTTCCAGCGTCTAGATGCAGATCGTCCGTTTTTTCCCACCTCCGATCATTTTCTATAGCGGGGCATGTGCACATTGGAATTTCTATCTCGTTCTCGCACCCGCTTGGGTGTGAGTGCTGTATTTACAGCAAGAGCACACGCAGGTCTTTCCCGCTACAGCGTTTGCTACGATAAGGCTTGGAAGAAGGAGCTCCTACTAATTTAGCGTTTTCCTTTTACATTCGCTTTTGTTTGCGTAAGTATGGAGCGACCTGCGAGATATTCATTCCTTTGAGGGAATGGGAAACAGAGGTGGGACAGGGCATCTAGGGCATTGAGAAAACAGGACAGGTGCAGCCCATGAAGTTCGCGTGCATAGCCTCCGATCTACAAGGGCAACCAGAATTTTGCCAGTTTCGTGAGCTTGAAGCCCCAACACCAACGCGTCAGCGGTGCTATCGAATCGCACAAAGTCGAGGATCTGCAATTTTCACTGTGGTCTTGTTGGTTGTGTTTCAATTTGTTTGTCTCTCGTGGAAGTCGAGTTCGGATGCTTTTGGAGCTTGCACTCTTATGTAGACAGGCAGAACATGCATCAGGCTGCAGTCTCTGACTAGGTTCGGATGGATCTCCGTTGTAGATCTGTTTAATAGTTGCAAAGACTTGAAATACAAGGATTTCACATTGGAGTGTCGGCGATATCCTCTTCTTTTCTGCGTAACAAAAAGCGCTGGTCGTGGAACGCCTGGAGGAATTCGTGCGGTGTACGAGTCCACGATCTACTCCGATTACGCAACGGAAGAACTACAACAGCATATGCTTGCCTAGCACCTAATCATATGTAGTCTGTCGCAGCGGCAACTACAGTAGTCGAGCGATTGTTTTGGAGCAGTAGCAGTCGATGATGCAGCTGACAGAGAACCTTGGTAGTGCAGGCAGATAATCTTAGGGATCGATATGCAGGACGTAAGTAGACAGTTGCTGGTGGCCTGATAGCGTTCCCCTGCGCTGTCAGAACCGCTGCTTGTTATGCCGCATTGCTTTTTTACGCACTTTGTGTTGAACAGTGAGGTATAAAGGAGGATGATTGCTTCTGGTGCGGTCACGGGTGTACTGCCAAGAAAGCTTGGTTGGTCCGCCGGGCCTGCAGCTAGGATGGGGTGATCTGAGCAGGGAGGACAAGTGCAGGTCTGCGCTACTTGTTTTTTTTTGAGTGGCGCAGCAGAAGCGTGGCCGTCACCCATGTTGCAGGCACGAAATGGATGGAGGCCATTCTGCCACCCCGATCACGTTAGAGCATGGTCCCCTGGGATGCCAATCTATTTTGATTTTAGATTGCAGTATAGTCAAAAGCCCCAATAGCTTATGGTGGTTTTTGAGCTGAGCTGGTATCCATCACGTGTGTCTTCAGTGCCGGAGAATTTTGCTGTCACATTAGCAGGGGCGTATTTAGAAGTAGCTCTCTGCGCAACAAGAAACAAAAGCAAAACGCAAAAGACGATTATGGGGAAAGAGAATTGCCAGGCAGGTGGCAAGAAGAGCAACCATCACACAGCCAGCATAACAAGTTTGACAGTATTGCTCACTGACTCAAGACGACGAACGACCACTGCAATGTAATTAGTAGGTGCTAGTTGCAAGGGATGATGATCTTTTCAGAGCCATACTCACAAACTTCAAGAAGAAATGGCTTCGCAGCTTGCAAATGCGATACCGTTACAAAGTTTAGATGCCACGGTTTACGTGTACGGCCGTCGCGTCGAACTTACCACTAGTGGCGAAGTCGGCTCATTCACAAACTGGGGGGACGGAGAGGCATGGGATTGGGTGACAGAACCGCCCGCCTGGCCCGCACCTGCTGCTGAAGAGTCTTGTTCATTCGATGGTGGACAGGGGAAACTTCTCGGCGACGGTCAAGAAGGCCTGCTACACTTACTGAAAACGCAAGCGCTGGATCACAAAGGCCGGCAGAGAGCTCGGCAAATCTTGATTCAGTGCTCACAAGTGATCGTTGACAAGTTCAGTAAAGGGTTTTCATCTCTTACGGTCGCCGGCAAGGACCTTATCAACGAGAACGGCGTCAAAGTCAAGAGACGTGTTGTCACGAAGAAAGAAAGGAAACTTCCACTCGCCCTTGACATTTGCCCACAAAAGAGTGCTGAAGTGGGTGCTGGTTCGCGAGAAATGTTGAATGTGCCTCGTCCAGAAGGTGCTGGAGCTGCTGCACTAAATGCGGGAGACGGGACTGGTCGTAATGACGCGAAAAATTGCGGCGATGTGCTCGTCTTCGGCGATGTTCACGTATGATATGCAGAAGTTCGCGGCCTTGATGTTGAAGCTTCTTCTTCACATAAAAGAATATAGACGTCACTTTTTGACTTTGCACTGCGATATCTAAAACGAATAAAGAAAATTGGTTTATTGCGACACTGCATAGCGACCAGAATACCTCCACCGAGATTCGCTACAGCCACGGCTTTGAGTCCCCTGGTGCGTGTCAAGGACTGACAGAGCAATATCGGTTTCCGTGCTAAGTGGCATGTTCCTCCCTGCCGCGCCAAGTATTCTTCTGAGATTGCCCTTGGAACGAACTCTTGCACTTCATATGGGGGCGCGTTCGACAACTTGCTACAGCTCCTTGCTAACTTGCCGGTGGAGCACTTCTGGGAAAAAGACAATCCCGACGCGCAGCTGCTCTTTCTTGGCGACTACGGGGATCGTGCCCCCGTCCTAGGCGACACTTTTTACACGCACCTGCTCATGGCTTACCTTCAGGCGTTCTTCCCGCAGAAAGTGACACTGCTACGCGGGAATCACGAAGGGGAGTTCTTGTACTCCATCTTCAATCCATTGGAGCAAGAAGAGTTTCTTGCTACCGACGGCGTTGTGAATCACGCCTCAGAGCAGGCTAAAAGAGAAGCCTTTCTCGTGGCCCTGCAGGACTGGACCATCAATGAATTCTTCCCTTATTTACCGTTGGCTGCTCGAGTGCATGGCAAGGCGCTGGTGGTTCATGCCGGGATAAGCGCACGCCTCAAAAACGTGAATGAATTGATGGAAGTAGACTTGCGGAAGGGACCCGCATGGCCTTGCATTGAGCAGACAGGAGATCGTTTCGTGAATCCTGCGATTGCGACGGATGAGCCTCAAGGGACGAGTAACAACGACCAGGAAATAGGACGGGAAACAGGTGCCGAGAATCATCACAATGGTGCTGCGAGTGACGCGGGCACGGTGGAGCAGCAAGGAAGAGGAAGTGTTTCGTTGAAATCAGAGTTGGTTCGCACCATGGTCTTTCTTATCCGTATGACAGTGGCGGTCTCCAGTGGCACTTGCTGATTTGTAAACCATGAGTAATGAATAGAGATGAAGAAGGTGATCAAGATTTTGCTTGAATGTTGAAAGAGAATAGAAGATATTGGTAGTCGCTAGCGCAGTCTCGCGCAGCTGCGCCTGCGAGAATGAACCCAGATGAAGCGCCGACGTATTGTGGTTCTGAGCTACTCATTTGCAAGTGCCGCGATGTTTTCGTGCGCGCCGGCTTCCAAAAATATGTTGTACAAGCTTTTTTTATGGTGTGTATGGGAAAGCTCGAACGCGAGCCCTAGCTACCTTATGCATCTGCATCGTTTTCGAGCAAGGACAGTCTGACAAAGGGATCGAATTTCAAATGGATTTCTGCGCAGGTATGGCGGGACGAGATTCTACTTGCTAATGCTGCAACTGCGACACCAGCACCACGACCGCCTGAGAGCGATAGTGCTGGGATCAGACCGTCCCAGAGCGGCAACCAGATGAAATGTGAGGAACTGCAAGAGGACGACTACAAGAAATGGAAGCTTTACGAGAACATATGGGCCACTTAAGGAGAGTACTTAAGCCTGCGTATGGGTCCACACCGTTACTTGATTTGTCAGTGTCTGTGTATAAAAGTGACATGACCTGTAAAAGCGTTTGCATAATGTGTCACAGAACAACTGAGCTATTCAGCTCCTTCCCTGAGAGAAGAAACGGAGAAAGAGTCACAAACTCAGAGAACTGAATAGCAGGCCTTCTGCACTGCGACTTCAACGCCAAAAGAAGCAGACTTGGATCGCTTCACGCATAGCTTTGATTGATGAAGCATAGGCGTGAGGCATGCGCTACTGCTTTAAGGTTGCACTGCCGATAGGTAAGGTTCGGGGCACAGGTGTGAATCCCTGCGACTCGTTTTGAGTCGATTTCGGAGCAAGTGGTGAAGAAGATGGCGCCTCGATTGAGCTTCTATACGCGGATCCAGACCCGACGCATCGCGGCTACCCCCATCGCTCCCCACACGTATTCACAGAGGCTGTCACGAAAAAGTTTCTGGAGGAGAACGATCTAGAGCTGATCATTCGCGGACACGACCCTGCAGATCGTCGTATCGGCAGGGATCAAGATTACGTTGAATTCCGCATGGAGAGTTTTGCCGGAGAGCACGACTTTCGATGTACGAAATGTAAGCGCGACAAACGTCTATATCTTGACTGGTCCTCCTGCATGTATGAGTTGGAATTGTCATGTAAGTAACGTAGCTGCATGACGCCACCGATACTGATAACATTAATGCTGTAGCATTTATAGATGTAGGGGTGGGGCATGGGGAAAATAGTGTGTGGGATTGAGAAGCGCTCATAGAAGATTTGCGGTTCGTTCATATGGATCTGCCATTGCCGTGCCCGTAGCCATACCCTGGATCTTCGTGCTGCCTAAGCTACATCTATGCATCTTCTCCTTCAGCACGGCAGAGTCGCCCTTGTTCTGATGTTTTTGAGGCGAAGACCACGCTGTCGAATGGCACCGATCTTGCAAACGACGTCTCGCGAATTTGCTGTGTTTTTCCATACGTACCGAGCTGCGTTCGTCCGGCGTCATGTTTGTCTTTTCCTCCTTACGAAAGTAAGAAACACTCACAGCTGCATGCTGGCCTCCGGGTTTCCTTTCTGTCGATTAGAGCAAGGTTTTGTCGAGCACCATTCAACACATGAATGTTATGCATGTACGCTATTCTACTTGCATTCGCTTGTGTGTGCCTTGAAAAGTGTTCACTTTCATCCATAGTTTTTGGCATGGCAAATGCTTTGTTTGCTGTAACACGAACGCATCATGTGCCGAGGCAACTGCGACGTGATCGGCAGCGTTGCCGTTTCTGGCTACACGCATAGGATGCTTTGGCTGAATTTTTCAGGGCAACGACAATTCTAGGGAGTAATGTCGAACTGAACAAAAAATGATGAGTCAAAGCTAAAAGTGGTAGTTGTCCGTTGAATTGCAAGTCGGCTTTCATCCGAAAAGGTGAGTAGCAGTATCACATCTTATCGCAAGGACTTTGCATAAACAGGAAGCCGAAACCATTCTAGAGGCCAGTATTGCATGCTTTCTGTGTATATGTTGCGGGTTACGCCGGTCGAACCGCGAATCGGGGCAGCTTCGTCAGTTTGAAACGGGGTGAGATGAATTCAGAGCACGCAGGTCATGATATTGAACTGAACATAGAGACTCATAGGCCTGTTATTGCCACGTCAGACGCAAAGCAGCAGAGAGAGAGACGTCCATCTTTTTCTGTATGAAAATATGCACTGGATGTCCGACCCTTGTGAAACGGAATTGTGTCCATACATCCGAGCACAAACGACCAATGTAGACTGATCAGAAAACACAACTGCCGTTCGGGGTACTTACTTTTAGTGTAGCCCCGGGCAATTTTAGTGTCCGCGCAAACCGGTGTCCCATGCCATTTTTTTTTACGGTGGAGGTGATCTTCACATCTCGATAGTGGAGTGGGTTTGTATGAAGACTGTGCGTGGCGTGACAGGTAAGAGTCTCTTGCTTTCTACTTGATGCCGACCATCAGCATCTCCTACGAGAGCGGGCTTCCATATGATTACGGAAAGGAACAGCATGTGTTGGGCACGTCTAACTGTAGCTCATTCAGTAATTCTTGTTTTACAAATAGCGTTTCGCGCACACCGTATTGAGAGTCTAGATTACGGAGGTAAATGTTGATTGGGGATCAGAAAAGGATGTTGATGCATTTTTCGCCCTCTGCGGAACCTGACGGACTTGGAGAAACTCATTGAGGTTGGACTGCCCATCACTTGCATTGTTTTCAACTACCATAGTGCAGTCGCTCTGGCCGACGAAATGAGATACCAGGCTGCTTTAGCCGCGCCGCTCAAGTATTTACAGGCGGAAGTTTACGTTTTCGGTCGGATTCTGGACATGGGCGCCGAGCGCCGACTTGAAGGCGATGGCGTCGAATGGCAATGGAAGAAAGACGAAAATAAAGCTCTCGGAGACTGTTCATTTTACACCGGATTGCTTGGCCGCGGCAGCGTCGCGCAAGAATCGGCAGGTACAGAGCCGGTCCCAGGACTGCTCGCTCTCCTCCAAACGAGATCCCTAAGTTATGCCGACCGCCAAACGGCGCGGAAAATCTTGTTCCAGTGCGCACACGAAATCCAGGACCACTTTGCGAGAAGCTTTGTGGGACTCAGTGTTCAGTACGGGAGTACGCAAAGCGGAGGCGAAGTGAGCCATTTTCGTCCAAAGGAGGTCGCGAAAACCGATCGCGTAGTGTCAAAGTCGCACAATGCCGTTAGTTCGAAAGTAGCTGTCGACATCTGCAAGCAGGAGCCGAAGCTGCTAGATACCACGAAACGCAATGATTTGGAAAATTGTGGGGAAGTGTTGGTGTTTGGTGATGTTCACCTATGAAGTGCAAGATTTCGCAGTTTTCTTCCGTATACGATCTTTAGTTGTGTTTCGGTGACGAAATGTACTGCCACTTCTACTTATTTAACGATCTCCGGCCAAAATTGTGGGGTTTTACTACATCATGTAGAAGAGCAAACAGCTCCCAATGATTTAGGATAAATCCGACCCGACTCTTTCTCTTCCGCTTGTATTATAAGAGTTATGCTGAAAAGAAGTGACATCCGCCTTCTGTCGTAGACATACTTAGATGCAGATCCAGCACCCAACGAGTAGAATTGCAAAGTTGACGCACTTCATACACGGGCACTTTTGACAACTTGCTCCAACTCCTTGCCAATTTGCCCTTCACAAGCCAAAACCACGGAACGTTCTGGCATGAGAAGAACCCAGGCGCCCAGCTTCTCTTCATGGGTAATTACGGCGATCATGCGCCAATTGAAGACGACATCATTTATACGCACCTTCTCATGGCTTACCTCCAGGCCTACTTCCCGCAGAAAGTGACGCTGCTGCGTGGGAGACACGAGAGAAAGCGTCTGTATGATGAAGTCGCACCACAGGAACTCCGAAATGCTCCAGATTTTCCTGCTGGCCTTGGCGTTCAGCTTCCGGGGCCTGCATCCTCTGGGCAAGAGGTTCAAGACACAAAGCGCTTTCTTCTGGATCTTCATCAGTGGACTGTGTTTGAATTCTTTCCCCATTTGCCGCTGGCTGCTCGGGTCCATGACAAGGCCTTGGTGGTTGATTCCGGGATTAGCGGCATTTCGGGACTGATGGAGGTGGTCGCCGGTCCAATTCAAAACGCCAATTTCATGAACGTGCTTGCGTACCAGGTTGCTATCACGAAGATGCCTGCTCTAGCTAATGTAGACACGTTGATTGATAGTATGTGGGGGAAACTTGAAGGCCAGCAAAAGCCTTCTTCTTCGATCGATCCGAGTAGTATCGGTTTGGAACTTGTCATCCGCGGACGCGAGCAGGAAACGGAGAACGAAAGTAGTGCTCCCGCCGAAGCTTTCTCACCGTTCCGCATGTTGAACTTACCTCATGTGCAGGCAGTTACGGAACACAAAAACGGCATCAATGTCTCCAATACTGCAAATTTTCTGCAGCTGTACCCATGTCGTCGCAAATATTCTCCTCAAGCTGGAGAGAAAACGACTTTCCATCTTTCTTTCTCAGTCATGTCTTACCTTTTTGAGAAAAATACTACTTACAGAAGCACGATGCATTGCGCTGTTTTTTTTTCCATAGGTTACCAGCAGACGAGCCGCGTCATGTCTTTGTCCTCGTGTCTATGGCTGGAAACAGAAGGCGACATTGGCTTGGGAAACTTCTGGCTTCGAAAGCTCTACATAGCAATTTCCATCATCTGCGCGGGTCAATAAAATGTTTACTGATCTGTATCTAGATCTACTTCATTGCTTAAACAGCAGGGGAAGCTTACCGGCCAAAGTTGAACCTATTTCCGTTTCATAACACCCTTTCTACGCAAGTGAGCAGGAAAACTCTGGCGGCTTTGTGAGCTTGAAACGTCGTGTTTCGCATGGTGAGGCCACGCCAGGTGAAGAGCAGCTTGGGTCTATCAAATTGAAACAACACGGAGACAGCTGAAGGACCGCTAGGAATTGGACAGAAGTTCTGGCAATAAAGTTTATTGACAGAACTTCTTGTTTCATACAACAAATACAAAACTGCATCCCTTGAGTTTAAAACTCAGTGGATGCGGCACGATAAGTAAGCATGTTGAAACGTAATCCTGCTCTCCGAGGAGTTGTTCTGAACTAATAGTTTCTTTAGACTTTAACTCGTGTCTTCTAAAATGAAGTACTACATCTTATTTGACGAGAATGTCATGCGCGGTGGTGCAGTTTCCCGTTTTCGATTTGATAGAACCTGGCGCTATCGGGAAGAAGGAAAAAATTGGTATCTTCTATGAAAGCGGCGTTCCTCGTCTCTAGGGAAAGGAAAACCCTTCTTGCTGCGACATGTCATTCTACTTGTTAACAGGCCCGGTGCATGCGAATTCCTTGCGGCTTCGCTTTCAGTACATTTACGACGTGCTTTGCAATCGAGTTTCTATGTCGCTTTCTGCTGCAAGCCCTCCAGTTTGACATAGTGGTTGACTCGTAATGCGCAGGCACGAGGAGAAGCAAATGCAAATGCAGTTGCAGAGGTCCTGAACATTCGGTCTCCCTTTCTTGTTTCGCGTCTGTTAATTCAAATCAGTTCATTGCGGAAGGTATCTTGAGTTCGATCAGTCGTCGGACAAGTAGATATGTAAGAATTGTCTCTCATTTGCGGTTTTCATCCCAATAGCGACAGCGCTTCGGCCGACGAAGTTCGTCACCAGGTCTCTCTAGCTGTGCCACCTGCTACGCTCAGCGCAAACGTGTACGTTTTTGGTCGGGAAGTGGAGGTTTTGCAGCCATCGCCCTCGGACGAAAGCACGACCCGCCCTCAACTTGGAAAGTTCAAACAAGACAGCGATGGCAAAGCATGGCAGTGGGAGGCAGACGAGCCAGCGCAGTTAGAGGAATATACTGCGAGCGAAGCCTTCGATGCACCAAAACGGAGTCAGCAGCAAGTACTAGTCCAGCGTGTTCCAGCATCACGGTAAGAAGAGACTCTTCGAAATCTACGATCATTGTTCAATGCAATCACTACTACGACACGCTAGATATGTGCATCATCTTTCACAGCTAAGCTGTACCTTCTGGAAATTTGACATGAAGCGGTTGAGTGGTTTTGCGACATCTGCAGTCTCTGTATGTACAAAATAGAATACTATGTTTACGATGAAGTGGATTTTGACATTTACTTTTTATCACAGGGGGGACGGTGCCGGGCCCCAGAAGTTCAAAAGAGATGGACCAACATCGGCCGACAGCGGTTCTGCAAGACAGGGCTATGTGACGGCTGATGATTCTCCGATAATAGCTTTGAGCACCTCATCCTTCACGGAATCGAGTCCCACAGGAGCTTCTAAGCCGGCACACCAAGAACCTCCCGCTTTCAACAAATCCCGTGCACCATCAAGTTCGATCTCGCGGTCCTTTCTGCGACCGTAGATGAGTCATTCATTCTCGTAGTACAGGCTTCGGCGGCGCCGCGGATGCGGTGCGCACGGAGGCGTATACCCGGTGTTGTTGATCGAGTACTTTTATTCATCTGAAGACGGACCTCAAATTTTACGTTCAGTTCCAACCCAGCATTGAAAGTATGGTACAGGTTTTCAAAAGCAAAATGCACTATGCACAAGGGTATTTTCACGTGACAAGTTGAGACTAGACTTTGATTTTTGATGAGCTCTCCCCGGAGCAGTTTGTTTCTTTTTGCATTTTTTTTTCTTTCTTTTTCATAATTGCAATTATAAGCGTTTCTGTCTCTTTTTTTCTATCATTTTTATTGCGTCAGACCCTACTTCTCGATTACATTTTCGATGATATCTTCGAGTGACAAAAACGGAAACACAAATCAGGTTTCGACCGTGGACAGCACTTTCTGCTTGAGGCGCCTCGTACTTCAATTATAGCTGCATTTCGCAACTTTTTCGCTTTTTTTTTTCGCGTCACGTGACCCACCAGTGAGTGCTCAGGAATTCAGCAGCATCAGATGGGCTCTGAAAATTACGAAGATAACTAAGATTTTTAGTACAGTTACGAGTTAGAAGAACTACAACAACGCGATGTGGTCTACAGCGTCTCGTAGACACCAGAGTTGCACCTGTGCTAGGGAGGACGTGTTGTGGAAAGAGGGTCTGCGCAACAGTTTTGAACGAAGAACTTTTTCTAATCCCGCAAGTATGTTTTTTTTTCTGCTCACAAAAATAAAACTTTTTCCTTTTGTTTCCACGTGTATCTGAACGCATAAGAAGTATTCTTTGAATGATTTGTCTTTACTTTTTACAGCATAAATGAGGTCGTTAAAACATAAGAGTTGTTGTGTATGATTGCATTATGAAAGAGCATCAATATTCTGGTAGCTCTTCTGCCGGATCGCGCGTTTGGTTTTTCACTGTTTTCCGCGTGTTCATCAACCGTTGATGTGGATTGCGTGTCGCCCTGGAAACAATATTATCGTTGTGCCCATCTCCTGGCTCCTGTTGTCATCATCGCTCTTCACCGTGATGGCTTTGCCAAACTTTATTTATTTTCCCGGCCAAATTATGAAATGCAAATGTGGTCTCGTTGTCGTTTCTTTGATGTAGAGCTGTCGCGGTGCAGCTGGCAATAGATGTAGAGGTGGAGGGCACATAAATGCGAGGTCTTTGCTCATCTTCATCTGCGTGTGAATGCTTGTCGCGTCTCGTCTGCTGTTGGTCGGTGCTTTCGTCTTTCTCGTGCTGTGCAAAGCCGCTTCTCGGTCCTGAATTAGAAATGATCTGTGATGTTCTGGGTCCTCTGTTGCTTTTCGTTGTGTCGATTCTGCCCCAAATTTCAAGCAGCTTACCGACAGGCGCACATGAACGTGCTTCGTGAGAAGGGAAACGGATACAGGATCATCACGAGCACGTAACAAAAAATCGCATTTCAGAAAGATGATGGATCTCGAGATAAGATGAAGAGGCAAAAAATGCACAGATATTGCAAGCTATGCTTCCGCTACCGCTCGCCTTGATGCGAAAGAAACAAAAATGTAGACGCACCTTCAAAGTAGTCAAATTCGCTGCATGTGTAAAGTGGCGACGAGCGAAGGAGCCGTTCCACCTCTTAGAAAAGTTTCACAAGTTGAATGAGCGCCCCCGCATTTGATTCCTTCTGAAGCAGGAGCACAGGTGCTAGCGACCATAGAAAGTAAGTAAGGAAGTAGTCGTCCTAGTAGTCGGAATCTCTCCCCCAGATCGCATTCGCATCCCCGTCCGTACATATCCACCATGTTTCTCTGTCCCCTGAATCGCCGACTGCTGTTTCTCCGGGACTCCAAGGCCGACGCTCCTACCTCGATTGGGAACTCAAGCACAGCTTGTTCCGACTCCAGCCCGGCGCTCCCGAAATGGCTATTCCGTGGTCTGCCGGTGGTTGTTGTGGCGGATTTGATCAGGAGAGCGGTGGAACAAGCGTTTAGCGATTTTCAAGACGATCTGGTTCTAAAGCAATCCACAGCTCACGGTGAAAGTCGGATCCCGCATGCAGGAACTACTACAGGAGCACCCGGTGTGCATCAAGAAGCACCAGAGGCGAAACAGGAAGCATTTCTCACGTTAATCGCCCATTTGATCGAGATTGAGGAACTCTTGGTACAGCTTTCCTCAAGATCTAGTGGGGTAGAAAGCAAGACTGCAGGAGCAGGTCAGGTTGTCCAGAGCGGCCTAGCCAGTGGGAAGCAAGCAGCTTTGTCATGCAAAAACGCGAACGAACCCTCGTCGAGAGAAAAGCTTCAGTCGCCCGCCGGAGTTGTCGAGGACAAAGTGCCTGCACCTGCTCACACTACAACGGGCCTTCTGCGCGATATCGTTTTGAATTTGAAAAACGAGGACAAGCACGGCGAAGAAAATAAAGCAGGAAAGGACGCCGACAAGCAGTTCTCTTTACTTCCCGACCTGATCCAATTCCTTTTGTTGCCGCAGGGGCTGAACTTGAGAAATCTGGTTCTCCACGGCTTTGTTGGGATCGACGAGGTTTGTGCGCAAAATGTCTTTTCTAGCTCGCTGGGAGAAGATGATGATAAAGCCCCTGCGACGGCAGATGGAGGTCGAAACACGACTGAGGCGGAGGACGACCTGGAGAGGGAGCTAGTCAAGCTGTTTCGTGAGCACATCCGCGAGCAAGTTTTTGAAGACAAAGGTAGTGCGGACCGCATTTTGCGCTCCAGTTCCGATTGCAGTGTCGCGCGAGGGAAAGCAAAAGATGGCCCTCTCGCCGTTTGGCCTTTTGTGATGGAGGTGTGTGTCTGTTGCCTGCGACAGAGGCGGGATGTGGACGCTGCTGAAGTCAACAAAACTCAGAACGATGGAGGCCTTGCGCTTGCAAGCTCTGCCGGATCGACTCCAGATAGATTAACTGAGGGGGCCGCTGCAGAGGATCACCAGGACAAAAATCCACTAGCGTCTTCGCAAAATCTGCGCTTACAGGATCAGCCGATCTCTATCCCGGTCCAAGTGTGTGACGAGGTGCGTGCGGCTGTGTTGGAAATGAAGAGCAGCGAGATTCAGTTCCGGGATGCAGGACTTGCAAATTCGAAGCAGCAGCATCGCGGTATGGAGGTGCGTCTCCTGTGGACAATTTTGACGGAGATTTTCGAGCTTGAGCAGGGCCATCGACGGCAAAAGCCAATTTGTCAAGACGCTCAAGACGACAGCGTCGCCAGAAGGCTCACTTACTTCCGCAAGCGCGCGGCTTGGTTGCTTCTGCTGCTAATGGAAAATCAGTTGCGATTGGAGTATGTGGAACGAAATTTTATCTGTGCTACGAAAGACAAAGAACTATCCGACGGAGACACGACGCAGGAATCTATGTCACAGACTAACATAATTAACGCGTTCGGAGATCATAAATGTCCCGTGCTCCAGGCTGAGTGCGATTGGTCCCTCGCTCGCCATGGAGACTATTACGCGACCGTAGACGGTTTTGGGCAGCGCTTCATTCACCCGGTCGTGTTAGATGCAAAGGTTAGAGTCGGAAAGTTGGTGCTTGGAAACGAAAAAGCAGCGGGTCCGATTCTTGGAAAGGAAGGCGATGCTGGTACTATTTTGGAGCAAGGATTAAACGAAACGCGTCAACAGGAAATAAGCGAAAATCAGCTCACCCACAGCCATTTATCCACATCCTGTGTGCAACTGCTCCAGGACCTGTTTCTCCAAGACAAGGGACCGAACCTACGCGCGCAGCTGTTTCACCACGGATCATCGGAGCTGGGGCGATGCGATGGGCAGAATTCATTTAGCGGCGCTGGCGACCTGCGCTGGAGCGTGGACATTCTTCTGATCCTGTTTCTCTATTTGAATCCTGGATTGGTGGAACGAACTACGGCTTCATCTGCTGAAGCCAGTACTAACGGTTCGCATAATGGAAAAGCATCACCTCCACGGCAATGTTTGCCTCTGGCAACTGAGTTTGTGGAAACGTATCGATCGAAATTTCATCCGGTAGCGCTATTTTGCCACGAGATGGGTAGCTGTGCGGATTTGGGACGCGAGCTACAAGCCTTGCACAATGTTTGTACGGGTTGTGATGACGCGCGAGATGGAAAAGAAATTATTGCAGACCAGACAGGGAACGACAAGGGCCTAGTCCAGACCGAGCTTGGGCCAGGTGAAGTTGACCCGAATCATGATGCACCGGCGCCGGCAGATAGTCCAATCGATGCGAATTCCGTTTTCCACAAAATCTACAGCTTGTTGCACGCTGAGGAGACTGCATCCGCGAGTAGGCCGGGAGAGGGGCTAGCACGGTTGCTAAATAAAGCGAACAGCCCAGTGCTTTTTCCCTCGTTCGAAGCACTAGCCGAGTTTGCCCGTAAGATTCGCAGTTTTGTTTTCGACGAAGAGGGCTGCAAGCGAAGGTATCTTCAGCTGCTCTCTTCCTCCAATACAGCTGCAACAAGCGCGGGGGCTGCCGCAGCAGACAGCAGCCTTGAAGAGCAAAGCAAAACAAGGATACGCTCGGGCCACCCTTTCAGTGTTTCCGCTAAACCGTCTGCTTCTACATCGCGAGAAATAAGAGCACTTCTACCCCCACCCGTCCTGTTCCCCACTCTTGGCACCAAAATTCTCGCGGAAATGAAGCAGCAGATCTTGGAACCGTTGCTCGGCAAACTGCGCCATCTTGGAGAACTGGTCCGGGAGAAAAAAGCGAGTTCCAGACAAAGACAGCAGTTTCGGCAGCTGGTGGATAGGAAGGAGAGAATCATTCCTACGATTCTGCTCTTCGTTAGAGCGGTTTGTTGTGTTGTGGGTAGCGAGTTTTGGGCGGAGTTGGGAAGGCTATTGAAGATAGAGGGCGGAGGACGAGGAGAGATGATTGATGCCGGTACAACCATAGCCGAAGCGGGAGACGAGTCGCGGTTTGGGATTTCTGATCCGAAAGAAAATTTCAACACTCGCTCCGCCACCTCTTCTGCGCCACAACGATCGCAGCTGGAGAGAATAGTCGAGAAAATCTCGCATTCTGCCGATCCCTTTATTCCAACGAAAATAAACTATAGCGGCACGCCCCCGACGGTTACCACCGCAAAAGATTGGCTCAGACTGGCTTCAGTGGTGGGCAGTTTGAAGAATCTGGATCAAAAGAAGACAGCGGACCAGCTCTTAAGCTTTCTACAAACGCACGCCGGCAAACGCACTCTGCAGCTGCGTCGTGGTGAGAACAGGATTATCTAGAATTTCCCAAGCGAAATCTGTTTCAAGAAGTAGCTAGAAGAATCAGCATGAGCTTATGCGGCGACACTTAGAATAAGACTCACGCTTCATCGAAATTGAACGAAACAAGTTTCGCTGCTTGCTTGATTTATGGTGTTCGTTTTTCGCTGGTGCAGACGACCACTGATCTCCAACCCGTTCGTGAAGCAGAAACTTGCGGAAATTTTTTTGGTTAATCTGATAGGATGATCTCGTGTCCAGCCAGTTTGTCTTCAGTGGCAGTTTCTTTTCTCAAGCCAGACTGCATAGAATAGTCAAATGATCTTCAGTTCTTTACCAGTCCTTGTGCTCCCTGTGCAGATCTCGTGTGAGAAGTCGTTCGTAACTTTTGTCTATCATGTTTACCGCCTGTAACTGTATCTTTTTGGTTTAGCTAATCCAAGTAATTTGACGGCGTGAAGATCCGAGGCAAGGTGTGGGATATGAGCCATTTTTTGGGCGCATTTTCACCACAACAAGACCCTTTGTGTATGGATCCGTATAATTACTACATTTAGAACTACTTTACGCCGCCCCGATCACCATGCCTCCCAGTGTGCCTCCTCCCTCTCAGAAGCACCCTGCTATTCCAGGGACCACGACGGGGAGCGGCAGCACCCCATCGTCCTCTAGCTCTGCTCTACCACACGTGGCTCTTAGTGCCAGTGCGTCAACCGCAGCGGGAGCAACCCCTAGCAATGCGAATTCCACCCCTTCTAGTCCGAAGCAAACGAAGAACCCTTTTTCCTCCACAACGGCTTCGACAGGCGCTGTCCCTCCCAGCAGCACCCACACGTCGCCGACCGCACGCGGGGGTCCTCGTGAAGCGAAGAGCAACACCGCAACTACATCTACCAGCAGCACGGCGGCGGTAATAAAGAACCCACCGGATGCTGGTGCGCAGCCAAGCGGTTCTTCGGGATCCACCACTACCAATACCCAGTCGTCGCAAAAATTGAACCAGGAAATCCAGAACTCCACGACGGAACAGGAGCACGCGCGGATCCACGCACGGCTAAACTGGCTGCAACACGGGCGGTCGAAGCTGCGGAAGCAGAACAACCAGAAAATCATCATTGCCGCGAACCGGCTACCCGTAACACTGAAGAAAAACCCGGAAACGAACAAGTGGACGGGCACGAAGTCGTCCGGCGGCCTGGTCACCGGGCTGGCCGCGGTGCGCGGGATGGACATGACGTGGATCGGGTGGCCGGGCTGCGAGGTGCCAGAAGAAGACCGGAAAGAGGTGCTGCAGCTGCTGAAGTCCTTCAACTGCTACCCGGTTTGGCTGTCGCAGTCGCTGATCAACATGTATTACAACGGTTTCGCGAACAACGTGATCTGGCCTCTGTTCCACTACGTGATGCCCCCACTGCCGACAAACAGCATCGCCAACAACACCGATGACAACCAGTCCGAGCAGTGGCAGGCCTACGAGTACGCTAACGAGATGTTCACGAACGCCATTTTCGACTGCTACCACGAGCAGTACAACATGCAACTCCAGCAGGGCCAGCTGTTTTCCTCCAGCACTAATGAGAGTACAACCAATAACACGAAAGACAATGCCGCGCTCATCTGGGTGCAGGACTACCACCTGATGCTGGTGCCGAAACTGGTGCGGAACCGCATTCCCGACGCGCAGATCGGCTGGTTCCTGCACACCCCGTTTCCGGCCTCCGAGTACTACCGGGCGCTGAAGGTGCGGGAGGAGCTGTTGCACGGAGTTTTGTCCGCGAACCTGGTCGCCTTCCACGTCTACGACTACATCCGGCACTTCCTTTCCTCCGTGGTCCAGCTCACGTCGTTAGAAACCTCCCCGACCGGTGTGGACGCGACGCCCATCGGCGGCTGCTTCGTCCGCTGCGCCACCATTCCGATCGGGATCGAGCCCAGCGTGTTTTCGAACGCGTTGTTGCAGCCGGATGTGCTGGAGCAGATCCAGCTGCTGCAAGAACAGTTTGGCAACCGGAAAGTGATCCTCGGCGTGGACCGATTGGACTACATGAAGGGCATCCCGCACAAACTCCGCGCTTTCGACCGGTTTCTGCAGGACCACGAGGAGTGGCAGCAGGAGTGCGTGCTCGTGCAGGTGGCGGTCCCGAGCCGGCAGGACGTGCGGGAGTACCAAAAGCTGAAGAAGCTCGTGCACGAGATGGTGGGCGAGATCTGCGGCCGCCACTCTTCGCTCGCGTCCGGGCCCCCGGTCGTCTATTTGGACAAATCCATCGACCCGCAGGAGCTGGCCGCCCTGTACCGGATCGCGGACGTGTGTCTGATCACCTCGGTGCGCGACGGGATGAACCTGGTCAGTTACGAGTTCGTCGCGTGTCAAGAGGACAAGCACGGCGTTCTGATCCTCTCCGAATTCGCCGGCGCTATCCAGTCGCTCGGGGCGGGCAGCATCCGCGTGAACCCCTGGAACTTGTCCGAGACCGCGTCCGCCATCAACCAGGCCCTGACGATGAACGACGAGGAGAAGGCGGCGCGGCACGAGTACATGTGGCGGACCATCCACAAGTACACCGCGCAGAAGTGGGCGGAGACCTTTCTCCAAACGTTGAAGGAAGCGTCGTTAGAGTCGGAGGAATTCACGGCACGAGTCCCGCCCCTCCTCCCCTACGAGGACTTCCTCGAGGAGTTGGCGAACTCGCGGAAGCGCCTCCTGCTGATCGACCTGCTGGACTGTTTAGTGCCCAGCAAGCTGAAAAAGGACTTGCCAATGAAGCTGTACCAGTCGCTGCTGATCATCCCGTCGCAGGTGCTGGAAGTTTTGCAGTCCCTCGCGTACGACGAAGACACGGTGATCGTCATCGTCTCCATGCACCAGCAGCCCGTGATGGAGCGGCTGTTCGGGCATTTGAGCGGAAAAGTGATTCTCGCCGCGGAGAACGGGTGCGTGTACCGCAATCTGGACAACACGAGCAGCTCCAGCCACGTGACGACAAATTGGAAATCCTCCGTCGACGAGGACATCACACAGAACAGCAACATGGAGGAGTGGATGGAGGGTTGCATGGAGGTGTTCACGTACTTCAAGGAGCGCACCCCGGGGTCCTACACGGAGAAGGCGGAGTACAGCGTGCAGTGGTACTACGACAACACGCAGGCGGATTTTGGCGCGCAGCAGGCCCGGGAGCTGTTGATCTACCTGTGGGCGGGGCCGCTGATGAATTCGGAAGCGGAGGTGGTCCCCGGGACCAAGGCGGTGATGGTGCGGCCGCACGGGACCAGCCGCGCGGCGAACATCGTGTCCATCCTGAAAAAGGAGCTGGGCATGACCAAATTGGAGGAAATCGACTTCTGTGCCTGCTTCGCCGAGGTGCCGTTTCGGGACGACAGCGTCTTCGAGGCGATAGAGGAAGTATTATTGATGTCTGAGCAGCAGCAGCAGCAAAACGCGAAAAACGACTCCAAACAGGACAGCGCGCTGGCCACGGTAAATGAGGAGGACCATCACGGGAATTATGGCAGCAGCGGAGGACAAAATAACGCTGATGACGTATCCTGAATGAAAAAAGCGTAGTACCAACATGGCAGTTTTGCTACATGCATCCAAGCATTTTACCATCCAGATTTAAGCATGACAAGTTCATCTCAGATGGCGTGAGAATTAAGTTCTCTTCATAAAGATCGATGCGCATGACGAGACATCACATTCTGGTCATGCACATTTGCGTCACAAACACAAAGATCATGTGGGTACGACGTTCTTTATACACAGGATATGCCGGGGGTAACAATAACCATGCGGAGGACCACCACGACGATCACGGACACGACGAGGTATCCTGAGAAAAAAGTGATACGGTTACACACGACTCTGATGGAAGACAAGCAAGACAGACAACCTCTGTCATGCAGGAAATGCTTGTCAGGGTCAGCCCCATTTCATTCGTGTTTTCCGTTATAGTCTGCGCATCACAGGTTTTCTTTGCCATGTCGAGCAACTTTGTGATGCAGAAACTCCAACAAATGTGTGACTGAAACACTTTTTTCCTGTGATACGAGGAAGGAATGCATCAGTACCAGCACCAGGTACAGGATATGGCTTGCTCAGATGTTACAATCTCAAACGTTACAATAGAATCTGGAATTTGTGTTGCATGAACAGCATGAGTACCATACAGAGACTTGGGCTTTTCGCAATACAAATTTCGTCAGATTCTCATGGGGTTTGGAGCTCCGAAACTTGTCATGCGCGCTCCTTTGGGAGTAGGTCAGATGTTGCGCATTTTGCAACACAGATTCCAGATTCTATTGTAACGTTTGAGATTCTAACACCTGAGCGGGTTATACAGGACAACCCGCTTTTAACCCAGGCGGTAAAATCGCATCTGGAGGATATGATGACCTGCGAAGACTCGCCGCACTTGGAGGACGAGCAGAAGATCAACAAGTTGCAAGAGGTGGTGGTTATGGTGAACAACGAAATGTGCTTCGACGTGAGCCAGCAGGAAGTCGAGGAGGCGCCGCCGCCGCCCTACGAAGACGAATCCACTGCGAACGCGGGCGGGGACAACAAAAACGGTACCGCGACAACAGGAGCGAGTGAGCAAGTGTCGGTAGTACCCTCTACGGTACCACAGGCAAATGTGGTTTTGGTTCCAAAGGACGACAATAACACGATTGCCTGCATCATCCCACCAAAGTACGATTTCGAGTACGTCGCGCGGTATGATCTGCTTCCCAGCAGCAACAGCAACACCGGTGAGCAAACCGCTGATGGTGTTTCAAGTAGTAAAAGCGGAAGAAATTATGCCGCGGACGGGGCGGGCAGAAGTGTCGGAGATGGTGCAAGAACAGACACGGTAGTTTGTGATCAAGATGGCACGACACGAAGAGACTTTGTGGAAAATAAGCAAAGAAGCCCCAAGCAAAATAACCCGCAAAATGACGACAATGCCGACGTTTCCTCCGTCGCGACGCCAGATTACCCGCACGACGACCAGGAGCTCTGGCCGCATCCAGACGCGTTCGAAGCGCCGCCGTCCTACGAGGAAGTGGTGGGACCACTCGGGTCAAAGTTGACGAAGAGGCAGTTACTTCGCTATCCGGACGCAAAGGAGCAGATGCCGCTACTTCGGCACCTCCCTCACTCGGGGAGTACTGGTGTTGTGGCCGACTACCTGCACACCAGCCCCCGACTCCCCGCACAACAGATAATGGGGAACGAGAACAATCTGATGGCTGTTGACGGCGCAGGAACAAACTCAGGACTTCTACAGGGGGAGAATTTGATGTATGCGGCGCAGCACATACAGATCGCCAGTCCGGACAAGGAGTTCGATGGCGCTTCACATGCAACTGCTGCAGATCCTCCTCCAAGTACTATGTCCACGAACAACGAAAAGGACCACCCGCACAGCAATACCGATAACAACAACAGCCAGCAAGTCTCCTACTTCAGTGTGTCACTTGGCAAGCAGCCCAGTCGTGCGCGCTACAGCCTGCCGAACCCCTACCACGTGCAAAACCTGCTGCAAAGCATTGTGGAGCGGCTGAAAATTCAAAAACTAGAATCTTCGGCGGGAAACAACCTCGAGGACAGCGGCGTCGCGCAGCGGTTCTTCGAAAAGCAGCAGGCGGGAGAGAAGCAACGGTCACGCGCAGTTTTGGTTGGCCCCGAGGGAGAACCGGGAGCAAATCTGTTTCGGTGAAGGCCTTCTTGAAGTTGAACGCAATGGACTCAAACACAGACAGAGACACTCAAATATCAGTACTGGACAAGACCACCGGGAATACAGAAATGTGTGAATAGGCAAAAATCAGAAACAAAATGTTCTTATTTTGAGTGGTCACGAACAAATCAATCTGGAAATGCCCCACATGGCAATGAGAACAAAACTCAAAGAAATGAGATTAATCGTGCTGAAAAGGAGCCTGCCTTTATGGTTTTACTTGTGTCCGAAATTGTTGTGTTCTGCTACTCCACCTTTCCCATTGACACACCATGTTTGTCTCCTGGCATGGGCCACAACAATTTTTCTGTTTGTGTCTGCTCATGGAAGATGCTTTTGCAAAACAAAATCCCATTCGCAATTTTCGCGTTGCTTTGTTTTCGTCCTGGTTGCTCAGTACCTTATGCTGTTGAAATATACGGTACAATGCGTATGATATCGTAAGCACAGTCCGAAGAACTTCAATTACTTAGCTAGGAATTACTTATTAAGATTCGTGTACTTATTCAGCCATACTTGAAGTGTAAACATCTAGACTTTTAGACACGGATGCTCTACTGCCAACTCCCTAATACGGTTACACGGCTACTAGAGTAGACGTTGATTACGATGAAGTCCCAATGGCGAGCTTGACGAGTCGCTGCACTATACTGGATTTTTTCTCGTACCGCGTAGTTGGTGCAGTACGAAAATAAGCCAAGCAAGACCATGACGGCTGTGTTTGGCAAGAGTCCGCCGCCCGCCCGGACACCCGACCATGCGGTGGCCTCGTCCCCCGGGGCAAAAAGCGGGTCCGCCAGCAGAAGGAACAGGCCGAGCCAAAGTTTGGACGAGATTGGCAAACCGGCCGTGGTTGGAGAGCATACTCTCCCACCGAAGGGTACCACAGCAACACCAACCCGGTTGCAAGCGACGCCAGTGCACCAGCAGAACTCGAGCAGTAGCCACGCTTCGAAGGTGTCCGTCGGCAGTCACCACTCCCACGGCGGAGCAAACGACATGGAAAATCTGCGGTCCAGGGTGCGGCACATCGAGAAAAGGATAGTATTCATGAATTTGATTTTTAACATAAAATATTGATCTGTTTTCTTCTCGCTGGGATACAGCTCTTATTTGCTTTGATCTTCGATTCATCCTAAGTAGTGACTGTTCGCGTAAGTACGGGTCCAGCCCGATTCGTGTTCGTGCATGACCAAAAATTCCGCTTCCAGGTTGCCTACGAGCAAACCGAATCGGATTTGGTTTACTCCTTTTTGGAAGCCTGGTTCTCACCGAAATCTGCGGAGGTGGTGTTGCAGCTCCTCTCGCTGGTTTTCGTCGCAACCTTTGTCTACGCGCTTGCCCTGCTGACGATCATCAACTACGAGCTGGCCAGCATCAAGGAGGACTTCAAGCTGGACGAGAAAACCGCGACGTATTCCGAGTATTTTTCGCGGCTCTTCTCGGAGAAGATTCTGAAGCAGGTGCTCAACAAGTTCGACTTTGCCAAGGGGCCCATTTACGGGACAATTTCCCTTTGCATCTCCGTGGTATTCTACGTCATTGGGACGATTTTCTCCATCATCGGCAATTTCATCATGCAGACGGTCTTTTCCGTGCTCGTCATGGTGTTCGCCGGCATGATCTGCTACTGGAGCCTGTTCGAAAGGCACGACACCACGCTGGAGGCGTTTCTGAAGAAGCATCTGTCCTGGTGCCTGGTGTTGCTCCCCAAGCCGATGGAGGGCGTGGTGCGAAAAATTCCCACGGTCGCCGTGCTACAGTTCCTCAGTAAAGTGGCTGCGAAGAGGGGGCGGGATAAAGAAGAGGAGGAAAAGGAAGCCGGTGCAGTAGAGCGAGACCCTGGGACGATCGTGGACGACCGCACCGGACGTCGTGATCATGGGGCCTACGTGATGTCTCAGCCAGAGTACGACGAAATCTCAGCCCCCTTACTCACCGCAGAAGAGGCAGAGGTGCAAGCAAGAAAGCTAGAGGAGCAAGCAAAGCGGATTCGGTACAGGTTTTTGAAGATAGATTTCCGCGACGGCAACACTAGTACAGATGCAATTATTCATTATTCTTCAATGCTGATCATCATCATTCTACCAGCTTGTTTTCTCAGCGCTGTACCACTGTGATCACCAAATGTATCTTTGAAATGTCAACAAAAAATGCGAAACAATTTTATGCAGACGCAGTAGCCTTGGTGGCTTTCCAAATTTTCCGATTCCGAACCACGCTGAGGAGTCTTCTTTTTCCGCAGAAGGTGCACATTCACTGCAACCCCGTGGTTCGGCCGCCGAGCAGCAAGAACCTAACTCCTCATCATCGCAAATACACAACGCAAGCTCGTTCCAGTCGACGGCTTCAACGGCGTCTTTTCCTCCACTGGAAATAAATCACGACAGCAGTACTTCTACCGCAGGAGGAGCTCCAACTTCCTTCCGTCCCCCACCAAGAACAGCGGGTTTACCAGGAGGCGACAGCGTCAGCTCTGCGGTTACTGCAGCCGCGGAAATGGAGATCGACGCCGATGACGTCAGCGCAGTGAGCAGTAGTGGAGTGTCATCCACTTCGGGCACTAGTAACTCGGACGCAACGTGAAGTTGTAAAGTTCTCCTGGGTGCTCGTGCTGCTCGTTCTGCTGCTATTGCCATCTTCCAGCTAAGTCGCATAAGTACTAGCAGGACCTGTAGCTGCTCGGTTCCACATTTTAGTGACTGCGACGACGACTCAATTTTGCATTGGACAACATCCAAACATGTTGACAAGCGACCACCACATAGCGACGACCAACGAAAAGCGACAATTGCAAATATCAATCAAAATTGATTGTGGTACAAACTGGCAAAATCAAAATCAAAATGTCCAGTAAGGCGGAAGAACCGAAATAAAGCTTTGTTCAGATTCATACGGAGAGAAGATGTTGACTTTTCTTCCATTTGTAACGCACTTCTTTCTTCCCGCACGTGGCTGTTGATCTTCTGGAGTGCAGTAGGTTCTTCTGTCAAGGATAAATTTTTACTGACGGGTCTTCATGACAACCAGAAAAAAGGAGAACAAGGAAAATCTTTCACTGTTGCAGACATATCGTACGAGCGCGCTGCATTCTTTTTTCAAACAGAAAAATCTAGGGACAATTCAGAAAGTGAGATGTCGCTCACACAATTTTTTCAGGAGGGCACCAACGACAACAAATTAAGCATCAAAGAAAAAAATCATGCAGTGTTAGCCTGAAAGTAGACAAAGACGTAGATGAGCGACTCGACAGTACAAAGTCTTACTGTCTGAGGATTCAATCTTCCATCGCCACGACACGACATCAGATCGAAATCTTTTTCAGACACAAAAATGTCGACGCCCGCGGCTTCCCTGATCGCGGCGGCCGAGACCTCCGCCGAATCCGGGCCAGCCTGCAAGCTGAAGAATCCAACTTCACCTCCGCAGCAGTACAAGCTGGGCGAAAAAGTGCTTTTCTTCTACGACTTCCAGCATTCTGAACGGTCGGTCCGGTACGTCCTCGCGCGCAGGTCGATGCAATTTTTCGGCACGGCGGATCCCATCGGGTCGAAAGCGAACAGTTGCAGTGGCGATCTTGAGGATAGCGCAGGAGTGGTTGATGCCGCATCTTCACCACGCAAAGGACTACACACACTACAGGACGAGGAGCAACAGCTAAAAGAGCTGGAAAGTAAAACCTTTAGCGCGGCCGCGGAGAAAAGCATTTGCGTTGACAAGGAACACGTTGTTGAACCATCAGCAAACGAAGCTGTGCTTTCTGGTGCATCGTATTCTTCTGCCCACCATCAAGCCGAGGTGCAAAGTCCGCCTCTGGGGAAAGATGGGGACGAGCGGGCTGAAATTGCACAACTGAAAACTGAAATAGTCAACAGCACAGCAGAAGATGAAATTTCCAATCAAATGAATAAACTCGGCGAAAGCGGCGCTGCGAACAAGGTAGCCGCTGCGATGACTCAAAATAATTTTTCCAAGGCCGAAATTGTAAACGCCGAAGACGGCGACCGACCATCAAACGACAGAACAAGAGCACCGAGTTCTTGCTTGCAACAGCAGCAGCAGGAGCAGCACCTCACCACCTTGTTAGAGTCCACGTCGCCGACGACTAGCTACAATCTGGCGGAGGAAGTCGACCAGGTCATCGACGAGAGAAAGTCGAAAGTAAAAGAGGTGGACCAGGAGATGAAAAAATGCAAGGAAGACGGAACCGACCTTGACCTTGCGAGTGACCAGACCCGCGCAGAAGTCGATTTTATCAGCAATATTGATGTTGTACCAGCAACCGCGGATGAGGAACATCAAAAGGAGCACCAGCAAGCGCAGCTGCCCTCCAACTCGTCCGATGATCCGTCCAATGCTGCCGTAGACAAAAACAACGAGTACAGCACCACTTCTTACTACCAGGACTTTGACGCCGCCGAAGCGAAACTGATGGATGAGGAGCGGGAGTACTTGAAGCGCCCGATCTGGGGCATGACGCACGGCTGGGTCCCCGGCGTCATTGCGAACGTGTACTACGATGAAGTGGCAGACGAGGAGCAGGGGGAAAGTGAAAAAGAAGGCCCGCCGGCGGCAAACGGAGAACCAAGTGCAGCAAATAACATTGAAAACAAAACACCCCAGACGTCGTCGTCCGCCAGTACAACAAGAATCTCTTGCGTCACCGTAAAGCTTCTGGACGAAGACGACTACGCATTTGTCGAGGCGGGGGAAGGCTGGGTCGAGAAGAACTACGAGTTCAGAATCTACGACTGGGAAAAAATGATCCAGAAAATCGATTCATTGCCAGTTGCGGTGGATGAAAGTGAAACCAATGAGGAAAATCAGCAGAACACGAAAGTAATAAGGCCAGGTCCTGTAGTACTGCTATCCGCACAGGACCAAGGTGATCAAGCTTCGGCCACCGCGACAGAAGTTGAAGTGAACGCTCTAGGTGCAGCAGGGCCGGTTCTCGCAGCTACGCAAGGACAACATGATGCCGCACGAGCAACAGGCACAATGGAAGAAGTGGGAAAAAACTGCCCAACGACTTCTTCTGTTGACCCTGCTGATCCTGCTCAACTAGCAACTCACGTGGCGTCTGGAGCACAGTCTGCAGCGACGTTTTCCTCTCCGCCTGAAGAGAGCACTAGTTCTTCCACAGAGCAGCAGAGTCCGAGCGGCGCAGCAACCGCGAATGTTCTTCAGGACAAACAAGGGGTACTTTTGCAAGCGATGCGGGACATCAAAAGCAAGAAGCCAAAGGTCTCGCTGTTCCTCGTCCGGTACTTCGACTACTGGACGGACAAACGCAGGTCGGAGTACAAGATTTCCCAGGAGTGGCCCATGTTCAGCTTGTTCGAGCACAGCGGGGTGAAGGCCTGTTTCGGCACGGAATTCGAGGCCTACCAGCTGTTTGTAAAGAACGAGGCGTGTTTGGCCAACTTTGTGAAGGATTTCATCGGCGAGACCGACCACTACGAGTACGACTTTGCGAAAAAAATTTTGAAAGCGGACACCAAAGTGGGGCTCTACTACTTGTGGCCCTGCCAGCAAAAGAGGATCGAGGAGGATTTAGTAGTGGACAGCAACAACTTCTCATCTGCTAATACATTCTACAAGTCCACGTCGCAGTACACAACAAGAACCTCTTCGTCCACCTTCTTCCCCAAGTCCAATTTGATGGCCGGCATGGTGGAGGAGCGGAAGTTTTTCGACTTTTTAGAAACGATCGAGAGCACGGAGATCCAGACGCGGTACCCGGCACCAGCGAGTCTGTACCGGCAGTTGTGCGGCAAGCAGTACTACAACGCGAGCTGTTTGCAGAAGTCGATGAAGGTTCCCGCCACCTGTCGGGTGTTCGCGGCCGCCATCCGAAAGGACCCGGTTCGCGCCGCGGAAAACGCATTGGCAACGTTGAACAAGATCCGGGAGACGGTGTGGGACGGGAAGGGGTTTTTAGGCGAGGACTTGAAGAAGACCAGGCAAGCAGACGAAAACAACTCAAGTATTAGGTCTAAGTTGTCAACAAAGTCTTCTAGTACAACTGCGGATGCTGCTCGTACTGTTCTTCAGAGTTCGGACAGCAGAAGAGAAGTTTCATCTGGTAGGACGGCGGGAAGCAAAATTTCCGCCTCCTCTAGTACCGCGGGCGCCCCCGACGTTTTCGCCTTCGAAGATATCAAATCCGACTCGAAAACAACAACCGCATCGTCTTCTTCCGGTGGCGCAACGAGCGGCTCACGGGCGTCTGCACCGGGGTCTCCAGATGTTGACTACTGCCCGGATCGGTCTTGCGAACAAGCTGTAGTGCTGCCGGCCGAGGAAAGCCACGCAGCGGTCCCAAGAACATCTCCTGCAGCTGCGTTACCTGCCGAAGAAGTTGCCTCTTCAGACGTTGTTTTAAACATCGTCGAGAACAACAAGAAGCCAGAGGAGAAAGTTTTCCCGTACGTGAACTCCGGTGTGGTAAAACTAGGGTTTTCGTGGATGGGCGTCGATGTCGAGAAGTTTGACGGCGTGACCGACTTGGCCGAAAAGTTGACGAAGATGATCAACCGCAGCGAGGGCCAGATTGCCACCTCCGTTCTCGTGCAGGAGCTGGTGCCGCACCGAGTCGCGGAACTGCGGATTCACGCGTTCTGTGTGCCCGAGGAAAATAGGTTTCGGAAACCCGTGAAAAGGCCGGGAGACGGTAAGGAAACGACTCAGAAGATTATACCTGCGTCGGCCAGTTGTTGTGCTGATGAGCAGGAAATGAATGGAAACAACCTCAAGATGAACAATCCAGAACGTCGTCCCAACAACTCCCTCGAAGAAACGAACTGCGAAGCGAAAACAGCGGAACATCAAGAGGCAGAAAACAACAGCTTCGCGGAGTACAGCCAGCAAATAACGCAGGATGGCAATTTCGATATGAAAGTCGTTTACCTCCCGCTGAACGGTGCCAATGGGTTTGCAATGACGGGACACCAGTGCATCACGCCGGCGGAGGCGCTGGAACAGATCTGGAACAACGATCGAGTGGCCCAGGAGATGGCGGAAAAGGAAGCCAGGGAATTAACAAGACAGTGGTAAGATACGATTTCTTTTTATTCTTTCCGTCTACGTTGTATCGGAAATGAAACACTTACGATCATGAAGATGAACTCGCCTAGGAATTCTTGTTTCACGCAAGGCATTTGTACGAATCGCATAAACAAATGGATGGTCGTTGTTCGCCACGATTTGCACAATTCATGATGAAAAACAAAAATGCACAAAGGTTGAGATGGTATGCGTCAGAGTGGTCCGACAATCTGTGCCCTGCAAACGCCCGATTCGATTACCATGTGGTTTACCGAAGCGATAAGTCAAGGAGTGGAAGCAAGACGACCAATGAGGTTGTGTCCAGCACTGTTAATGGTATTTCATCAGCATCTTGCAGCAGCACAAGCGAGAAAAATAGCGACCGCACGGTAGAGCCTTCGAAACCCGAACCCCTTGCGACTACAATTTCTACATCCGGTAACACGAGACGAAAAGCAGTACACGAACAGGCGGACACGACATCATCTTTAGACACGGCAAACAAAGAAAGCGACAACACGGTCTTCGAACTACAGGACAGACATAGTAAACTGCCCCCGTCCCCCATTTCATCCTGTACTTCTACACAGCCTGTAACATCAAATGCAACAGCGTCTTCTACTTCTCATTACAACGACAGGACAACACCAGCAACACCAGCACAGCAATCTTCAACCGTGGAACAAATAAATGCGTCGAAGGTTGGTCCCTCACTTTTTTTGTGTGAGGTGACAGAGTGCGGCGCCAGTCTTTGCGGCTTTCCGATTGAAAGCCGCAACACCGCGATCGTTAACTCGTTCGGGTGCAGAGGTTATTCCCTGGACTGGCCTGTGGGGGACTGGGATACTTTTGCAGAAAAAGACGAAGCCTCGGGGCGAATGTTCTACCATTGGCCTGGGAATTCTTAGGGGGTTCGCGTAGTGTTTCCAACAGTGACATATTTAGTTTTAGCATATCGAAGCTGCGCGACAAACGACATGAAGCATGAGCTTCAGCCTAAGCCTAATTGTGTACGTGTGCGTGTTTATCCGAATAGCTACCAAAATTTATATTCTATTGCCAATGCGAATGCTACTCAACACCAGTGAGCATAGTTTTTTAAGAAAGGTCCTGGCGAACGACAGGAATCCCTGTGTTTTTTCATTTTCGTCTGCTTGTAGAAGCTCAAGTTTGATATCCGCATTGTCGTGTGTATTGGTTCGTTGTAGTGCTACTGCTGTCTTAGTCTCCTCTGTAAAGTTTTCCTCGTGGTTCATTTCTACAAAGAAATTTTCGCACAACGCTGCAATGAAAATGATAATTCTGTATGAATGAAGAGTGTGAGTTCTGTCAGTAAGTATTCAATGCGCGGCTTCCTCTTCCTCGTCATTCACCGCTCCTGTTGCAAGATAGATTCTGCGCATCAAGTTTGATTTGAGCAAGGCTTACATCACATCAGCCGCTTCTATTGTGTGCTTACCACGCGAGCATAGCGATGTCGTCACTTTTCGAGCAACCAATAGCACTGCTTTGTCGGTTTGTGGAGCTGCTGTTTTCGTCATCAGCAAAAAACCACTATAATCGGTTTATACAAAAAGAAAAACAAAAACAAAAAAGTATTTTTCCTTGTTGATGTTCGTGTCGTAAAGTGAATCACATTGGTCTCGTCTTTCGGTGCAGTCCTTTCTTCTGTAAAATTATTTCTCTTTGCTCTTAGTGTCGGTGCTGGTATCTTGATTTTTGCCCAATCTTCTCACTCGGTGGACTTGCCAATTCGTGCAGTTGGTAACCTTTTTGATTATCAAAACTCGCTTTCCACTTCGTCTATCGCGAACAAAACCCGTCGCTGCACTTGGCACATCGGTGAATTTTGGCACACCTTCGCTTACTGGTAAGCCATTCCGTATGAAGCTGAGGATAGATTCTTGTTACCTCTGACTCCTCCATCACAGTGGTGCGTTGGTAGCGTATTAGGTATTTCCCCGTATATCTTTTTTCCCTTTACATCTGCACGCTACCGTGCGCGTTCGTCTGGTTCTTAAACTTGATATTCCGTAGTGCCACAACGTCTTCACTCGTTTTGTTACTTCCCCAACACGGCTCTGCTAAGTCCTTACTCATCGATGTTGCTTCCCCGCTCCTCGTTCTCCCGTGTGGTGGCTTCCTTGTGCATCACACAGCACCTATTTGCGTCACATTAAGGAATATCACAGCATTTTTGAGTTACCAGAAGAACAACATGAGATATCCACTACATCACCGGCGCCACCTGCCCTGCGGTAGTCATGCCTCCACAGCGGCTTTCGCAGCATTTCTTTCCCTAGGACCATTTTTCGGGCCACAGCACTGCCACGCGCTGATTGAGCTACTGTTCGGAGTGACGGTCGATTGGGATGAGGTTTTCCAGTTTGACACTTCAAAGGAGGCGAGGAGGCACAAATTTCTCGCGCGCCGCGACGAGGAGGTGGAGGGGCGGAGGAAGAACCGTGGGGACGGTGAACGAGCAATCGACTCCCAGGGAGAACAAATAACACTGCCCGAAGTCCTTCCTCTAAACTCCTCCCCCCGCACGAGGGCTGATGCTACTTCTACTGATGCGGAAGTTGCAACTAGAGACCAGGATCATGATCTTCAACAGGAGCAGACACAAAGCGACGGAGTTGGCAAAGACAAACAAAGCAACAACATCCATAACCTTGATCCACAAAGGGGGCCAGCGGATGAAAAGCCAAGTATTCAAACCTCCCCCGCATCACAAGTGGTGCGTCGAGAAGCAGAAGGGATCGCAAAGGGAAAGGACGAAACGCCTGTTCGTCTCAAAGAAGATAGTTCAAACACTAATTCGGCTGCGGTGGAGCCTCCTACTGTTTCATCTCCTAGTGCCAACACAGCTTCCAACACGACAAGTCAGCATGTTCAGACACAGCGACTCCGAAACACAAGGAAAATTGAATCTGCAGAACAAGAGCCGATTGAAAATGCCGCAAGTGCATTGGAGGTTCAGGAGAACAAACAGCAGACGATGAAAGTTAAAGTTTCCTCCGCGTCCTCGCGCTCCTCTTCGGCCCCTCCGAAAATTCGCTCCAGTACTAGCGTGACTCGTGGCGGATCAGGAATCTGGACCGGGTTGGAGCGCGCGGGAACGGGTTTGGGTGGCTACGCGAGGCAGCTTAGTGAGCAGCTCCAACCGCATCTGGAAACCGCTGGAAGCGTGTTGGCGCAGCAAGCCACGCACGCCATAAGTGCGGCCAGTTCCGGACTCGCTTCGTTGTGGGGAGTTTTGCAGACATCCCTGGATCCGTCGCTGTTCGAAGGTCTACGAAGTAGTGGCTTTGTGAGCGCGGTGGCAGCCGGATTCGCCCGGCTTACTGCGATCGGGCCGTCAACGATACTCCGGGCCTTCCAAAAGTACCAGGACCTGCAGTGCACGCAGTGGCTTCCTATGGCGATTGCGGCGGCTGAGAATGCCAACGCGGACCAGGACCACGGAAATGTCTATGGCCATGCAGCACCAGAAATTCATAGTCCAAGTCCAATGATCATGCCGCTTACCCGTACCCGAGTCGACGACATTTTTCGCGGTTTGGCGTACGCTGCTGCCGTGTACGGCACTTCGTCCTTTGGTGGACTGACAATGCAGGAGGTTTTTCAAGCGATCGCCAACTTCGATCCCAGCGAGACCAGCCTGAGGAGTAGCGGGACAGGAACTTTTCCTCTGAGCCTCGAGGAAGTGTTTCATTTTGAAGATCCTGACGGCGGCTCCGGAAAGAGTATCAGCGTCCTTGCAAACACCGGGACCGGACTCGAGATTACCCCTGTGGTGGCTGTTTTTGCGGACCACACGAACGACGCCGTCGTGGTAGCGCTTCGGGGTACGAGCTCCGCACGGGACGCGCTCGCGGATCTCAACTATGCGTCCAAACCCATACACAAAGACGCTTTCACGCTGGCGGACCCGTTGAAATGGGAAGAAGACCGCCCCAGTGGGCTTGGCAAAGGAGCACGGGACCCGCCAAACGAGCACCTTATCTACGTCCACAAAGGCATGCTGCAACGCGCAAAACATGTCAGCGACCGCGTGCTCGAGTCTGTGCAACTGTATCTAAAAAAGAATGAAAAATTCAAGAAGGTGATCCTCGCGGGGCATTCCCTCGGCGCCGGAACAGCGCAGTTTTTGTTTAAAATGTGGGACGACAGGAAGGTTTTTGACCATGACGTGCAGTTGCTGGGCTACGGTTACGCTACTCCTGGCTCGGCCAGCGCGGCACTGAAGCTACCCTTCGACCGATTTGTGACCGTGGTTGCGGGCGATGACATCGTCCCGCGCGTGAACACGCCGGAAAGGATCACCCAGGTGATTGATGACAGTGTAACTACAATCGCGAATCACGAAGTAGACCTCGATGGCAAGGTGCTGTGGCAAGAGATTCAGGCGGCCCAGAGTGCCAGCTTGCAACCCCACAACTGGGTGATCCGGGGGGGCGGGGATGTCGTGTTGTTCCTCCCCGACGACGACAACGCCAAGCGGCTCTGCGCGCCCAGTTCAAAACGTCACGCCGGGTTCTGGCTGCAGGCCGAGGTCGGGTTCAAAGATATCATCTTTTCAAACAGGGCACTCGAGTCCCACGGGGTTGATAATTACAAGAAAAAGCTGGAGCGGTTGCGGTCCCAGTTTACGGGGCAGCGGCAGCCGCAACAGCAACGCCCTGCAATGCCCTATCATGATGTTGGTACCGCAGCACATCCCGACGGACCATCTGGAGCAACTGGTTCTTTGTCGACTTCGGCTCCTTCTGTGCCTGGTCTGTCCGTTTCCGACGCAGATCCCCATGCGCACAAGGATTCTACTGGAGTACGCCACTCCGCACCGCCGAGCACGCTGTTTGATGAGCGTCCACCTCCCTCACGGAATGAAGTGGCGGGCTCGATGCCGCCTGCCGATCGTCCCGCAGCGCAATACGAATCATCTTCGTCACCCTTGTCGCTGCCAGCACGAAACACCCATCGACCTTCCTATCATGGGCAGCAGCTATCCGAACCAGTTGCAAGTCAGCCTCGCCTGCACGGCGACGACCCTCCTCGTCGACCATTGCGTGATATCACGAACAACCCGCCTGCAGCCAGTGGACCGGGACGTCCTGAAGATCTTTCCGGGTGGCCGTCTGCTCTTCATCCTGCTCCCGACGCTACGGGCAAGAATCCGGCTCTCATTGGAGAAGATTATCGAGCACATCCGATGTTGGCGTCATCTGCAAGCACAACTGATGCACTAAACGACGCGACTCGTCGTCCTGCTCCAGTGGCTCCTGCAGCTTCCACGGATAGCCCAAAGTATCCAAATTTCTCGTCGGTACCGCGTCGGAGTTTAGAACCTTCTCGTGCTCCCGGGCTGGTCAATACCCGACGACGGCAGGCGCATCTTACTCATCCCGTTCCTCCGGCGCCCAAAAGGCCCCCGCATGCGCCCGCAGGACAACAAGGACCGCTAGTAGTACCACGGCGGCCAGGCAGCAAGTTGGCACCCCGGGGGGAAGGGGGAGGCAGAGCGCTGCAGCAAAGGTTGGGCGCAAGCGCTGCTGGCCGAGATCCCGTTACGCTTTCTAGTGCGGACTCCGCTTTGCGTGGCCAGCATCATGAGCACCTTTCTGCTGGTCCGGCAGCCACACGGAGCCAACGAGTTCAAGGCCAACACACTATAGGAGGGCGCCCTGGTTCGGCAGCAGCTCGAGGTGCTGCAAGACGACCATTGGGTGGACGACCACGTCCGGCTTCATCAAAGCCAGCTGCAGCTTGGGGCTCTCATCTCCCCCGTCCACGGCCTGCACATTTTCAAAGTCATTCCGGTGTGACTCCTGGTTCGATCTCGATGGATCATCACGCCTCCGGTCGGGCGGCGATGCCGCATGAGCTCCCTGGCCGGGTTTCGCCGCTGAGGCGGGTCTCTGGCGTTGCCCCGGCATCAAGGTTGGCTACTTCCAGACCTGCGGTGCGTCCTGGTCCTCTGGCCCCGCCTTCTCGTGCCGCAAGTGCAACTACAGGACCCCGGCCAAAAAGTGCAGCTGCAAGACGGTCCCCGCCACGGTCGTCTGCGACGTCACAAAGCAGTGGAAGACCGGCAACTAGTATCGGCATGCGAGCCACGCGGGCTGGGGCACCTCCACTCGTCGGTGGCTCCCCCCCACATCAGTTCCTCACAGACGATGGTTACCGAGGTGGCGATAGCCTACTGGAGTCCCGATCTTATCCACGAAAAAGAACATCAGGTGGTAGAAGAAAGGCAAATACGGTAAACGCACGTACGGTGCAGCCCTCAGCTCACCGACTTCATTATCCATACGAGCGCAGTAAGTATAAGACCAAAAACGTTCGCTCCACAAGGTCTACCTCTCTTCGCAGAAGGAGCAGAAGGAGAAACTCTTCCCCTGCCCTCCCCACTGAGAAGGGTAACTTCCTGAACAAAAGGTCTATGGACCACGACTATGGTAGCGAAAGAAACAACACCTCCCATTTTTTCTCAAAGCATCCATGAAGGTCCAAGCGTTGTATTCACAGTCTTGACTCAACGGAATAATCGACTGTAGAGTTGTAATATGAACGTAAGTATGTTTTTACTCTCGTGTGCTCTCATCAAGAAACTGTTGTAAAGTAATTGTGTCCTCGTCGTGCTGAGGGTGCTTCTGCGGGCTTCCGACATATTTTTGCATCACATGTGACTGTCGGGGGAAAGAGACGTCTTCTCGGTTCGCTTTCCTAGACTGTTTGTTCTCATTCGTTCCGGTCGTAAAATGAACTTAAAAAATGAAGTTGAAGGAAATCCTGCCACGGCCTTTGTGTTTCGGCAAGAGACGGTGGTCAGCTGTCGTGCCTTCGTAGTCATCTCGTGGGTCTTACAACCGTGAAGTATTGCTGATTCTACAAAGTACTTATCAGTATCTACTGATGGCGTAGAAGAGGAGAATCAATGCGAAAATGTAGCAAGATCTACTTCAACTACTCGAATGAATATTTATTGCCAGCGGAAGAGCAGCAGCGTCGAGCACGAGCTCGAGTTCGACGGCTGTCAACGTTCTTACAATTCGTAGATCGGATAGAAGAAAAAAGCAAAACGTAGTTTTCGACCCGATGGAACAGGCACGCTGCACTTGAAATGTTCATTCCAAGATGATATTGACTTCTTGACTGCCCCACGATGGACCATCTTCCGATGGATTGGTTCGCTGTTGTTGTCTTCCTGCTCGGCGCGATTGTTCGGTCAGAGTACTTGAACTTGCCGTGGTCACCACGCGGGCAAACATTGTCGGCTTGGGTGTTCGCATTGGTGGCAGTCAGACCAATTCTATGGGCGTGTGTGCATTTCGCGCGAAGGCGAGTCCCTGGTGAAATGATCCGAGATCTTACTTATGTAATCGACGTGCTGGCAGGAACGTCCTGCCTAAGGATCGATTGGAACAAAGATGCAAGAAATAGATCTCCCTCTAGTACCAAACGGAATCCTCGTGCCGGGGAAGAAAAGGAATTTCCGCGGCAGCGTAGGTAGCGAGGTGGCTTCAAGCTGCTCCTCGATTGTATTTTTTGTTCAAAGCGCCACTGGTCATGAACGTGATAGATTGATAGTTGTAGAGTTGTTTCAGTCGCGTTATTTGTATTTGTTTCCACCCCACGCACACCAAGCTGTACCTGTAAGCCGTACACGTTATCTGACGAGTTTACGACCTGTTGTGATTAGACACGTCTGGTTTCCGCATCTTTTTTCTGCAAGAGTTATTTTTGTAGCAGCGGTAGTTGTAGATGTAGATTTTTGCACCGTGTTTTCAAAAGGTGCGCCGCGCAGTTCTTTCTACCGCTCAAGCTCATCTAGTGGTGCCTGTGTAACAAAGCGGTATCAGTAAAGTGTCATACAGAATCGTAATCCTCTCAAAACAGATGAGTCTGAGTCGTAAAATGGGACGACTTGGTCCACAATTCTTCTTCGCCCTGACGGCAGCGAAGATCTTTCTCTCGGACTCTCAGACCGTGGCTGCGCGATCCTTTCTTGCTCCTGCAGGGGAACGAGAAGATGGCGCCGCTGGTGTTGTGGGTTCCACAGGAGGGACGGCCGCACCAAATCGGGGGCCGCGGGAAGAGCACATCAACAAGGGAACCGAAGCACGTCGCCGCACCAGTGTTTCTCCAACCATCGGCGGTGGACGAGATGTGGTTGGGAACTACGGCCGGCCGACAACATCCCCAATGGGGCCGTCTGCTTCCTCTATCGAAATGCACAAAAGCTTGTGGCCACCTACCTTTGAATTTCTAACGTCGCATCATTGAACAATAGACATAGAAGAGATAAACAATTTGTTCATTTTTGACATTGAGATTGATTCTTGATGAGAGGTTTCCATGGCTAGCGCGTAGAAGATGGCAGCTTGCCATGCACAGTGTGAAAGTGGTAGAAATAAAGCTACGAAAACAGACTGTGACCACGTGCGCTACTGTTTTCTACTTGAGAAATTCAAGGTTGAAAACTGCGGGCGATGAGGTGTTGTGCATTTTGATGACGGCCGCGACAGCGGGAGCCGCCGCCACGCTGTCGCCGCGTTCGTTTATCTGGCGTGCGACGAACAAGAATGAATGCGACGAACATCATGATCCTCGAGAAGAAGTAGACTCTGCGGAGCGGCAAACGAGCGCCGAAGGACGACCAGGGTCATCTTCAGCTGCAGGCCGGCGCTCCGGAACAAGCGAGCTCTGGTTTCTGGCCACTCCGGCTTGCAGTGCACAAAACCCCGAAGTGATCCGACACGTGTGCGCGAAGCTGCGGGAAAAAATGCACGCCTGTATCAATAATGGCAAAAATCAAAATTTTTCGGCTTGTGCGGATGAAGTAGATGCTGCTTGTACTAGCGACAGCCGTTGTTCCACCAAAAGCAGTGCTGCCTGTACTTCTCTCGACGTGTACTTGTGGCTGGAACAAAGCCACGTCCTGCCGCACATTCGCAGTCCGAACAACCACCGCCCGGCCACTTCCTGCGAGGTGCTGCTCGCACGGGAACTCTGTCAGGCGGTGGAGCAGGCCGGGGCGAAGATAAACTCTGACGGAACAACATCAGGCGGGGACCAGACCGAGGACCACGGCGCCGGCTCTCCTTTATTCCAAGTCAAGCAGCTCCGCAGCTTCGAGGGAAGCAAAGAGTTTTACCGCACCTGCGCGTCCGTTTTCGGCGGCGCCGTGTTTCTCCCGCAGTCTCTGTTGCATTTCGCCGTGTTCAAACTAGTAAACATCGGCGGCCCCGACAACCTCGGCGCCGCGCTGCTGTACGGAGTCGCGGTCGGGGCCCTGTTCACAGCGAAGACGTACCGTGAGTGCTGCAGACAGCAGCTGGTGCCCGGCGGTCCGTCCAGCCGACGAGGTGCACCAGGGCTTATTTCCACGGCAGGATCTCCATCGGCTCCTTCGACTGCAAATGCAAAAGCAACAACCTCCATCTACGAAGATACGCTCTTCTGCACGCGAGCCTTTTTTGGAACACACCCAGATGAAGACGAAGGGGACCGCGGGGGAGCCACAAGAACTTTTGCAGCACCTCCTACTGCGAGCACCGACGGAGGTGGTCCTCACAGCGCCGCCAAAATCCTAGGTTCGACCGAACAAGTGGAACGAGACAGTAATGTTGACCCGATTCTCTGGGAGACCCCGTGCGCGAGGCGCTTGGCGCGGTTAGAGGTCCGCCATAAAGACTGGCTCAAGCAACTGGACGACCTTGCCGAGGAGTTGAACCGGAAATGCAGGATCACACGACCAGCTGCTAGTGCTAGTACTCGGGGGTTCAATATTCTCTCGTCCTCTCCAGATGATCTGCACTTTCGTCATCTCGAGCATCAGCCCGCCCCAGGAGCTGGGTCCTCTTTACTTGTCGAGAAAAATAAAACGACACAAGATCTTCATGACGGCGCCGAGGCTACAACTACCTGCTTGAGTAAAAATAGTGCTCATGATCTCTCGAACATGTTGAAACCTGAACACCGTAGTCTTTCGGCCGCGAGTACCGAATTGATGTCTCTGTGCGCCACACCGTCCTCTTCCATCACCGGAGGCAGCTCTTGCGGCGGTGCACACAAGCTGCACCAGTTTACAAGTGCAAGTAACTACGCTGGTGACGATGAGGAACTATTCGGTGGATCGTGTCGCGAGGATTTGGCATCCGCACCTGCAGGAGAGCCTGGCGAGACTACAGTAGTGCAGCACGAGGAGCAAGGAGAAGAAGAGGCATCTGGAAGTTGTACTACGGCAGCGCTGTTTGAGGGATGCGACCCGAAACTTGTAGCAACTTCTCGACGTGCACGTGCCCCCTCCAATGTCGTGCAGCCGGTGCAGCTGGTGATTGCCAGTCGGACGCACGTCAAAAGTTTGCTGAAAGAGCTACAGGACGCAAACAGTGGGTGGGTGGTCGAACCGGTGTGCATTCCGCTGCCGGAGGAGCAGGGCATATAGGCGACGAACCTCTGAATTGGTGAAGCGGGCGAAGAACGAGATTTTTTGTTCCAAAGACGATAGGGCTGGATCTTAAACATGATGAGGAACGAACATGATAGCACTTTAGTCACATTTTTGGTAGATCCTGCTGGTTCATCATGTCCACTTAATCTCGCATGTTAGAGATACTTGAGTACTATCACCCATCACGGGTATTTTTTCTATCAACAATTTTACTCGCCTCTGGCGCTCAAGACTTCACTTTTGATGTGGTACTGGCACGCGAGTGCGCTTGCTTTCGCTTCATTTTTGATTTGCAGTGCTGACACTGCGAACTAACGAGACCTCCAACATCCGAAAATAAAGAACAGATGCAAGAAAAGGTGTATCGAAAATGATCGCCAGATGATCGAACCTACAGTAGCCAACGACGAAAAACTGTTTGATGTTGCCTCCCGAAATAAAAATGCGCCACAAAATTTTGCAGTGGAATGGGGAGAATGGGGCGACCCCGGCCTCTTGCGCACTCAGATCGGCAGATCGTAGATCGTAGAGCAGCACGTGCAGCGCAGACTTCTCTGTATGTAATGTTTAGCGATAAATTCGTCGAAAGTGTCGTGTGCCGAATAATATTCACGGTGAATATGATTGCAGGACTCCAATACAGTCTATGTTCTGATTTATCATTGGTTTGGCAGCGTGTGGTGTGTGAACGTCGTCCGTATGATTTACATCTATCAGCAGGCAGGTCGCGGCACCGGAAGAAAGGTAAGAGAGTAAGGTTGTCTGGAGCAGCATGCAACTAGTGGTTGACGAAAAGCAAGTAGCAAGAACATGTTGCACTAGCAAACGAACTAGTTTTGTTGTCGATCCAGAATCGACGCGCGAGTGAAGAAATGTGGCGGCTTCGAAAAAAGCGGAAAAATAGTGGTTTATTTGCACTTTTTTGGTTTCTGCTTCGCAGCTTTTGCTTACTACACCTCCAGCACCAAAGTCACCTGGTGTCGCTGCACGTTTTCGCCGCCAACCTTTTCCGCCAGCCTTTTCAAGCCTTTCGGTATTACCACGCGCCGGCAGCTCCTACTGATGGCGCAACATTGCATCATGCCGACCGCGCACCGCCCAGGGGCCGGACCGCAGCACAAGAGCCGCAGGAGAACTCGTCTGACAGAAGCCAGCATGGACCGCAAGGACAGCATCGCTCGCCGCTCCTTCGTCCTCTGCGTGGCCCTGCTGCTCGACGCAGCAGAGAGCGTCAGCACCATCTCAACCCCCATGAGTCAGATCAACAGCAGCGGCAGTGCTCGGTTTGTCTGGAACCGCACAGCGCGTCGTCCGGCGTCCAGGTCGACCATCAGCCGTACACGTGCCAGCACCAGTTTTGCCGGAAGTGCTTCGAAGTCGACGACAGTTGTAACGACCCGAATGCCAAAATCTTCAGTCTGAAGAAGTGCCCCCTGTGTCGCGCTTTGCCGAACGGCATCTCCGAGGTGTTCGAAAGCACAGTTGCGGCGAGTAGCAGCCTGTTCAATTTTCTCCAGGCTGATGAGCATCGGTGGGTTCCGGCGCAGCAGGGCTGCTTTAACATTAACGAAGATGATCATGATCCCAATACGTCTACAGACGGACCACGCGGCCAAGGAGCACGAGACCACTTGCGCCGGGCAGCTTTTTTGAAGCACAAAGCTTCCGTCTTGCGGTACGTCTTAATGCACCAGACCGAGCGGCTGCCGCAAAATCCGGACGACATCTTCGACGGCGACAATGACCCGGATTTTTTTCAGAATCGCTGCCGTCGGAAGTTCTGCGATTGCCTGTACTACGAACTCCTGCTCAGGGCTCCAGCAGGGCCGACGTCCAGAAGTAGTACCGCAGACGATCGAGATAGTAATCTTGGTCATCTGGTAGATGAACAACAACAATTGCATCAAGAACATGACGTTGCCGATGCGGAACAAGAAGTTGGAGCTCCTTCCGCCCCGTGCAGAGCCTCCTCGATGAGTTCCACCGCCACACCGGTGTCCCTCGCTTCCACCGAGGCGCCGGCGGACGCCCAAGGACTACAGCAGCAAGAGCAACTGCGGAGGTCCTCCGCTTCATTTGATGTTCACCCCGGTGCAGCTGCAGTTGCAGAGCAGGACCAAGATGTTGACGGCCGGAAGCTGCACAACTTCTTGCGACTGTTCAACCACCTGCTTTCCGTAAACGAGAACTTTCCCGTGGAAGAGCCGGTAGTTTTTTTCGACCTCGTCAGTCCCGAGCTCATCACAAAGTGGATTTTCGAGCAGCGCAGCAGTTCCAGCGTGGATTGGGCGACCGAAATCAAACCCTTTCGGCTCCGAGGAGTAGAGGCAAACGACATCAGCCACGGCGGCGGCGAGTTCGTGTACGCGTTTATCCACCGGAGTCGCGGTCTGGCGCTGTGGACACCCTCGCGCGCGCTCGCGATCTACACTGTTTTCGACGAAAGCCAAGACCCGACCTCGGTAGAAGACGAGGGAGGCACCACGAGAGACGGGGAAGTGGAAGGCTTCGTGTTGTTGGACGACAATTTGTCGCGGATTTTTACGCAGGAACGCCTGAAGAAATACTGGCGCGAGACCGTGCAGCGAGGACACAATCAGGACGATGGAGGCCGCGTGGTGTGGCGTCGCAACAATAACGGGTCGCACCTTCGTGGGCAGTATATCGAGAGAAAAAAAAACAACTCTTCCTTGACGTAGACCTTGAAATCTTGACTGTTGTGAAGAGTCGGAGATCGATGCTATGCATACAACCTGATAGATGATTTGTACTGTGTTGAGCTGTGTATAGAGCTCGCTCTTGCGCGCCAAAAAGTTCCATTTGACTTCAAGCAAAGGCATGTATCAGAAGCCCGACACTTGTTCTTGCCTTGTCAGAGGTCACGAAAAAAGCACACGCAGCGCTTTTTCACCAAAAATGGGATCAAATCACGGTGAAAAAAAAGCAAGCAGAAAGCGCAAGCAGACACGGAAACAAAGGAAGTTTTTTTCTCCACTGCTCAATAGCCCACGACCAAGCGCGCCGACGTTTCGACGACGAAATGACTCGGGTGCAGCAGAATTTTGCTGCAGCTCTTGACGACCCGGAGGAGGATGAGCACCGAAACGAATCCGACTGTAGGTACGTTTTCCGGAAGTGCCGGGAGTGCCCGCTGCTGGTCTTCCACATCGCGACCGGCGTGGCGCTGGGGATATTCACCGGCCTCTGTCCGGTGGAGGGGACTCTCCCCGACGAATCGCACGAGACGGCGCACTACCACTTCTGCGAGAGGTCCCACGCCCGCTGCGTGGTGCTGGGTGCCTGGATTCTGGCGAGCGGCCTCATCGCCTTCAAACCCTGCGTGCAGAACTACTGCTTCTCGGAGCAGCTCCGCAACTTCGTGCGGAGCGCGAGAACCCGGCTCGGGCTGCGGAACGAAGACTACGGGGTGCCGCTGGTGGATATCGAGGAGCCGCCCTTCCTGCTGCGCGAAATCGAGGAGCGATATCGCCGGAACCAGGCCCTGGCTCTCAGCATGGACCACAACACTTTGGATTTCGACATGTTGCAGGCCGAGCGCGCGCTGCGGAACGAACAGTTGTCGCGCCAATACGAGCATCGGCAGGAAGCAGCGCGGTGGAACCGCGGGCTGGAGTTTCAAATGCGGTTGCAGGCCGACGCGCTCGCGGGCCGCGGTTTGGCCGCACGGTCCAGTTTCGGGAGGCAGTTGGCGGCCACATTTCGCCGCCAGTACGGGGGAGCGGATGCGGTGGACCACGGCGGGAACGCCCTCGCACCTCCACCGTACCCCGATGCGCATGGCAACGGAGGCCCGACCATCGAGATGTACCCCGAGCCGCAGACCAGCCGCACCAATTCCGGACATTCACAAAGCAGCAGCCCAACGCCCGTGTTGTTGTCGCCGCGCGGTCGGAATGAGTTGTACTCAGGGCCGTTTGCCGAGGAACGGGCAAGGGGCTGGGGGTATGCATAGAACGAACGCGATCACGACTGCGTTTGATGCGGGCACAGCACCGTTGACAATTGAGACGCAACCCATCGCGCCGCTCGCTTTTGAAAGAGCGCAAATAACATGAGAATACAACAAATGTACAAAAAAATTTTGGATTTGAAGATAATTTGTCTTTGTCTACATACGACTTACACTATCTATTGACTTTTTGCGAAATGGAGAGAATACTTATGGCATTTCTCGTCGGTCTGTATCAGTGATGCTTCTGCTTTTCTGCGTTACAAGATTAAGAGAAAATCCAACTTCCTGCACTGTCCACAAGTAGTTAATTCTAACGCTTATTCTAATTGCCTCAAATGCAAATCATGTTAGCTTGTTGAGGTCCAGGCTACAGTTTTTCTATCGCAACTGCAGGGGTGTTGGGAGCGGGCACCAAGCCGCGAGTCATTCCTGTGGCACAGTATCACATTGGATTGGTTGTCGTGGCCATGCTGCACGTTCTGCGATTTTCTGGCTGCAAAAAGAGTATTTGAGGAGTAGGTTGACAACTTCCAGTATGTAAGACGTCGTTGTCCTGCAAAATAGACTCGTTATCTATTTTCAGGTTTGCATGTTGACCACCATGTCATCACGTGTTCTTTACTTTTTTTTCGGTCGCAGAGTGTCGGATTTTCAGTTGCTTTTCCTTACCATTTGAGTAGAAGTTCCGTGCGACCCGGCTTTCATACGGCATGAGTTACGACGCAAGCATCAACAAAGAACAATCAGAGTGTCTGCTGCAATTGAATGCCTCAATTTTTAGCTGCGGTGATCTGCCCCACGATTTCTGCGCTAAAAATAAAAGAAAATTTTTACCTGAACGCGAAAACAGCTACACAGCGCGCAGGAGCGAAATGAAAGCCTCCGAGCTTGGAGGTTGTTCCTTTGTACTACTAAAAGAGACAACATATACAACACAAGTAGTGCAGGTGCGGCAGCTGCAAAAGCATGCCCAGTGCTGCACCGGCGAAGGGGGACAAGAACTATCAGCGTCATCAACTACATCCTCAGCCAATTCTGCATCCTCCTCCTCCTCCTGCAATATGCACCACACCCACGCCTCGCAGAATCGTGCAACTCTCCCCTCCGTCCGCTGCGCCGGGGAACTCTACCACGGCCGCCCCTGTCGGAGAAGTAGACTTGCCGCTGTCCCCACCTCACACGATGAATGCCCAAAACGTAGTGGTACCCGAGCAGGTCCCAAGCAAGCGGGGCCACGAGGTGCCGAAGAAGGTGATGTGGCTCACCGTCGTGCTGATTGGGATCTCCGTCGGGTTCGTGAATTTTACGATGGTGATTTTGGACGCGAAGGTCTTGCGGCTCAAGTTCAGCTACATTCAGGAACTGCTCTGGAACGAGGGGGTCATCATCGCGATTCCGATTTTTGTACAAATTTGTTGCTTTTATTGTACGAAAGATGTCGCTTGACTTCGACTTGTTAACATACAAGGTAGACCACGTGGTGTACTAGATGAGTCTGAGCGACGTGCGTTCAAAAACCCGGACGAGGTCATGCACAAAAATTTGTTTATCCCCTTCCCCTTGATAATAAAAATATCACTATACACCAGATCCTGGTGAGTTGTCTGTGCACTTTCGTCGCGTCCACGCTGACGGTGTTTCTCGCGCCGCTGTGCGCCGGCTCGGGCCTTCCGGAGATCAAGGGCTACCTAAACGGCAATCCGATGCCCGGGCTCTTCGTGTTGCAGCGGGCGTGGATCCGGATTTTCGGCATTATTCTCGTGATCGCCGCCGGACTGCCGCTGGGTCGCGAGGGTCCCATGGTGTGCATCGGCGGCAGCTGCGGCCTGCTGATCCTGACGAAGATTCTGAAGCCCTACTTCAAAAACTGGATCCGCTTGGCGCAGGACGACGAGCTCACCATCGTTATGGAGGAAGACAACTACCACTTGATCAAGCGCATGGGCTGCACCCTGGGCGCCGCGGCCGGTATCGCGGCCGCGTTCAATGCGCCAATTGGTGGCTGTCTGTACATGTTTGAGGAAACCAGCGGGATCTTGAACTGGACCAGTTTCCTCACCTTCGGGTCCTTTGTCTGCTGCGGTGTGGCGGTGTTGACGAACACGTTCATGATGGACGTATTCGGCATCGATTACCGGTTGGTGTACCAACTCGTGCTGTTCTCCATGCCCGAGCACGAACGGATCGAGCGCGAGCCCTGGGACTGGCCGGACCTGGTCTGCATTTCCTTCCTCGCGGTGTTCACGGGCTCCGCTGCGCATTTTTTCACCAAGGGGGCGCTGTGGGTGTGGCGGGTGCGCCAGCTCCCGTGGAACGTGGTGCGGAGTGGGCGGTTGCTGGTGGGCGCGTTGCTGTTGACCAAGCAGGCCCTGCGGAAATTGAAGGAAGTTTTTGTGAAAATGAAAACTTGCTACAGGAGAACGAAGAGGAGCAAGAGCTTCAATTCAACCACGTCCCCCACTTTGTCCATCGCCTCCTCCAAGCAAGCGAGTGAAGCCAGCTGTATCAGTAACGCGTCGTCGACGCACCCGAGTTCCTCCGCCGGGGTGGTTTCCAACCACGGTGTGGTACCTGATCTAACCGGTACCCGGGCCACGAACGAGGGGTATCCCTTGTTTTCGCAAGCAGCGGGAGGTCCTGATCCGGGAGAAGTACAAATAGAGCCCGTGGATCCACGACTCCAGGCGGCGACGAGAAGAAAGAAGGAAAATGAATACAGGAAGATGAAGAACTCTTCGCTTTGGGAAAAATTCTTGTCCAGGATAAAAACGAAGTTTACAGCTACGACAAAGCGGGCAAGAACATCCAGCGACAGCAGAAGAGTGGAAAGCAAGTATCTGAGCAACAGCAGCACGATATCACACAGAAAAAAGCTGGCAGGGCATATTTGTAATGCAAAAATAAACACGCAAAAGCGTCTGCGTTGAATATCCGAAGCAGCATGCTATGGGGCCACCCATGACAAATTTTTCTGCGTATTTCTTTTTGCATTACAAATATGCCCTGCCAGCTTTTTTCTCTTGGATACACGACTACAACGACCAAAAGAAGGAAAAACCAAGTGGAACACTACAGCTCGGACGGGGACAAGGAAAAGGAAAGGAATGCGGCGCGGTGTGTGGTAGTCGTCTCCACCTCGGCAGCAATCGCGCCAGACAAGCAGCAACAGCAGGATCAACTCTTTCCAATCCCGAAGCTTCCCTCAAAGACGGATTATGGTGCGTCCACTACGGAAGGAGAAGAGGAGCCAGATCAACATTTGGATCACCGGTTTTACAACTACGCAAGCACAACGGACGAGGAAGGGGATCATGAGGAAGGCAAGTATAATCAACAACATCACCACACTATCTCCGAGAACAAGGGTGAAACAACATCAAAACCAGTGATCGTGAGACTCGAGGAAGTCACAGTGCAAAAGCCGAGCCCCGGAACCAGTGCTTGCACAGAGCACGAAAACGATGTGGATGCAGTATCAGAGAAAAAGGAAGGCAAGGACTACTCCGGAACTAGCGTCGTTGCTGAAGAAGGTTTGGCCGATGTTCACCTCGAGCGCAAGGTTTTGCACCAGCCGCAAGAGCAGGAGGACGACCCGACCATCGCAGCTCCTGCTAGCCAGCAGGAACCTCTTCAGGATGCGGATGCCTCCCCGAAAAAGCCCACGAAGACGCACTGGGGGAAGAAGGTCGCGCAAAACGAAATCCCGGACGTGACTGTGTGCTTCGAAACAAGACTGCTTTGCGCGAAATTCGGAAAAATCTGCGAGGTGGTGCTAGTCACCGCGTTCATTTTGACCATCATGGGCCTCGCCCCGCTTCTGTCGCATAAGTGCGAGCCGGTGGAGGAGCTAGTGCTCGACCACCGGAGGCACTGGGCAGCTTACACCTGTGAGCAGGAGGAGAACACGGAGTACGTGGACAACCTGCGGGCGAAACAAGAGCACACACAGGGGTTGATCTCGCCCGACATCGACCTGACGTACAGCCCGCGGAGAGGGAGGAGAATGCTGGGAGACGGAAGTGAAGAAAACAACCTGGATCCGATGCTGGGAGGACAGGAACCACAAGAAAGTCAACCTGGCGCTACGACGAGGAGAACCGATAGCAAAACTTCGAATCTTCTTGCCCGCCAAGGAGGACCATCATCACGGGCTCCCAGCAGTACCACCACGACACTTGCACTCGCGAACGAATTTTACCAAGAGCAAGATCCTCATCGTGAGGATGTAAGAGCACCTGAAGTAGATCAAGATTACTCTGAAAGTGAGCCTGCGTCTAGACTGCTGGCTGAGACCGTGGTCACCCACTTCAACCCGATGGCCACGATGTTCCTTCAGGGTGAGGAAGGGGCAATCAAGCACCTGTTTGCGCGGGACTACCGGTTTCGGCCAAAGCGGGTTTTGCAGCAAACCTCGACGGGCCAGCTCGAACTGTATGCCCCGACGGCGGGGAACGAGCCGAGCTCGAGCTACCACATCCCGCGGAACCACCGAAACCACACGTTCTCCTACATCGAACTGCAGTGGCTGGTTTTGTCCCTGGTCATCTACGCCCCTTTGGCAATGCTGATTCCGGGACTGGCGATGCCGTTCGGGATGTTTATCCCGAATCTGTTCATGGGAGCGGTCCTTGGCCGCATTGCGGGGGAGTTGGTACACATGATGGACTTCCTACCCTTCCGGCCAGCGCATCCAGGTTTTTACCTTTGCGTATGTCATACGTTTCTTCATGTTTAGTTTCTAGCGTCAGCAATTCGTTGCGCGAAAGGGAAAGGATCTTTGCCTGCGGCCGCTTCAAGCTTTCATTTACAGGTTCTGAATCTTTCATGACTACTCTGCTCAGACGTTGCGATGCATTTCAACATTTCAATAGGTTTTTATGCCGTCGCTGGTGCGGGTGCGATGCTTTCCGGATTTACGCACATGTCCATCGCTATCGTCGCGCTGCTGGTCGAGGCGACGCACGACATGGACATGGTCATTCCCATTCTGGTTTCCATCCTGTTTGCGACGCTGACCAACAAGTACCTTGGCGGGGACAACTTCGACGAGCATTTGATCAAGTTGAAGAAAGTGCCACTTCTGTACCCGGAACTGAAACTCGATTCGAAAACCAAAAATGTTGGCGACGTGATGGAGGTCTTTGCGGAGAACTCGCCACAGCTGAAGACCGAAGACACCAAAATCTGCGACATCATCCAGCTACTGCACAACCACCCATCCCTAAGCCACTTCGTGGTCCTACGGAATGTGAATTGCGGAGGCCTCCTTGCGGGCAGCGGAAAGTTTTTGGGCGGCGGATCAGCTTGTAGTTACAACGCGCACCAGCAGCTGCAGCAAAGTTCTACCGCCGGGGTCATCGGGGGTGCGCCGTTGTCGAGCCCAGTGTCAACATCACCGAATGTTGGAAATAAACTTGGCTTGGAAAACCGCGGTGAATTGGTCAACACGTCTACTTCTGCAGACGGAGCCAAGGTTGACAAGGGTTGTCAAGAAGCTGCAACATCACACGACGAGGACAAGGTAGTGCCTAGAAGCACCTCCGAGGACTCTACTGCCCCAGCCTTGGTGGAAGTCACTGCCGCGCCTGGTAGTGTCTCCGCTGCACGACCGAACAGAACCGACAGCTGCCCGGAGACCGAGCTCCCGATTGCGGGCGCGCTCGCAGCAGACACATCGGGTGGGACAGGTGCGGTCAATGCGGGGTACCAGAGTTGTGCTGGGAACAACGGAAATGGAGATCACGAGCGAAAATGCTCCTCTTCGGCTGCAACTTCGTCCCAGCAGCAGCATGTCTTGACCACCAAGAGTCTGACGATTGACGTGAAGCAGACCAGCGAGAGCAGCGCTGGAGAAGTCCAGCAAACCCTTGCGATACCGCACCCCCAGCAGCCATGCAACCCGGCGCAGTTCCAGGCCGTTCCAAACATCGCCCAGCAAACGAGCCAAATCTACTACAACCCAGTGCCGCCATCCACAAGGGAGAAAAAGAATCTCCTGACCACGACATGCACGAATTACGAGCCGAACTTTGACGCAATGTGCACGAACTACGACGGGGCATTGTCGTGTGCGAACGGAAAAAACGATAATGGTACTGGCTCCCAGTCCGGTCAGCATAGTAGTTCTACTCACCCTCACAGTTATGGTGGCGGTCCTCGTCCCACCGCTAGTCCTACCGCGAGCTCGGTCGAAATCGTCGGCCTCATCTCGCGGCAGCGGCTGGAAAAAGTGGTCTCCCTGCACCAAGACATGCTGAACGTGTGGCAGCAGTGCCAGACCTACGGCTGCCAGCTCACCGGACAGCACAATCGGCTGGACGGAACTACGGCACAGTTGGCCGTCGGAGGTGAGTTCGTCCCTGTAGGCGGTTGTGCAGCTGCGGGTGCTGCGCTAGCGGGCGGGGTGGACCACCATCCAATGCAGGGTGCCCACACGACCGTGGTGGATATCGCACAGAGCAACCTCGAATTCGTGCAAAATTTGAACAACACCATCAACTCTCCGTCGCTGCCGCCGCTGATCAACACGCGGGTGCACCGGCTGTCCCAGGCCGACTTCAACCCGATCGACGAGGAGGATTCGCTCGTCCTGGAGGAAGAGGACGACTTCATCGAAATGCACCAGCAGCAGTGGCAGCGCACGCAGTCGTTGACAACCGCCAGCAGCGATTTGCTGCACGCATTGGAGACGAACTGGGGCAATAATTCCACCGACATGATGCTACCCCATCTACCTACTAGCGGGACTTCTAACGCGGGGGCCCTGTTAGCCGGAGCCGGTGGCTCGGCTTTCTCCCCCTTTTCCGGAGCGGCCGCAGCGGCCCAGGGCTTTTTTTCCTCCAGTACGTCCCGCCGACAGTCGGAAGACGATATGATCCCGGGGCTTCGCAATGCCAGCAGTGACGCCACGGTGTTTCAGAGGACGCTGAACATGTGGAAAACGAGGTGCGTCGGTGGGGGAAGTGGCGGCGTTGTGAAATCCAGTTCGTCGCCTGTGTCCCGGAACAGTTCGGCCTCCGCATTCATGAAGCAGCTCGCGTTTGGCGCAGGTTCTTCTTCTGTGACGAGCGCTGGGATGGTTGGGAATAATTCTAACCACAACAGTGGTCAGGGTCAGAATCGTGGGCTGGTGCACAACCATCCGTCCTCGCACCAAGTGCCCGAGCCGCCGCGAAGAAGTTTCACGACTACCAGCTTCGGGAGCACCATCACAAATCCAAACTTGCACAACCCCGTCCCAACGCCCGGGAAAAATCTTCACGCAGGTCGTGGTCAGCTTGGAACTAACAGCACAACCACCAGAACGCAACAACAACACCATCATAGCTCCTCGTCCTTCATTCCGGGCCTGCTCCAACCGGGACGTAGTCGCAGTAGCATTTTGGGCGGGAAGTTTGGAGGCAGTAAGAATTCGAAGTGGATGAACAAAAACGCAGGCAGCTCCAGTAGTACTGCGACGTCTGTGACGTCCAACAGTCCAGAGCGGAACAAAACGTCCGTCACGGTCTTTGGCGTACCCAAAAACGGAAACATCTTCCAGAGCCCGTTCCGCATACGGAACTTGGCGAAGAGTAGCAAAGCTAGCAAAACTACGGCTGCGCCACGGCTACAGCAGGGTACAAATCTTCACGCGACAGACCGACGGAACCGACTGCCAACGACGAGGGCGGAAGATTTAGACCTGAATTCAGAGGCGCATGACGCAGGTCGTGCGGAAAAAGTTTCTGCTGAAATAACTAATCGCCAGCACAAAAATCGTGGAAAGTTGTCGCACGGCACAAGAACAACTACAAGAGATGAAGATGTAGGAGACCACCACCGTCGGTCCGATCGCGTGGCCCTTTCTGCCAAGGGCACCTCTGGAGACGAGACTTTTATCCCTGTAGGAGACGACGACTCGCTGGGTGAGGAGGGAGATGACGCCGGGATTCTGAGTCCAGACCAGCGGAAGAGGCGAAAAAACCGCCGCACGAGCATGCCCTGCTCCCCGGTGTTTCGCCACGGGAAAAAGTTTGCGCACCCGCTGAGCTTCTTTTTCTCATCCTCCTCCGGGTCGACGGCCAATGGTGCCAACAAACACTCTCCGACGATAAGCCAGGAAGTCGGTGCTGGGAGTAGTGGCAGTAGAAGTGGAGTCCTCGGAGGTGGCACAACTACCGCAAAGGGGAACAATGACGGAGCTAGTAGAGAACCTACTTCCTCTTCTAGTTCTAACAATGTCCTCCACCTCGACAGGACGAACAAGAACCGGAACAAAATTTCCGTCAGGAGGGGGAATGACTTTGACGCACACGAGAACCAGCAGCACGACGGGAAGCACCTTTCTGGTTCTGGGGTTGATCATTACGAACACTCCCGTTCAGAACAGAGTTCCCCCGCTCCGCCCGTCGTACCCGGACGATGGATCCGCTCCTCCAACGGCTCGTGGATCCGCGAACAGATCGTCGATCCGAACAGAGATCTCGTCGGGGAACGGTCCGTCGTGCCCGAGGCCGGGGCGAGCAAGGGAAAAACGCTGACGGGGCGAAGGGAGAATGACGAAAGGCACCTGCTACAGGACCACCTGGATGTTGAAGATTCATCACTTGCGCCAGGAGCAGATCATGTTGCTCCGTCTTCTTCAAACAGTAACTTCAAAAATCCAAATCGTTTTCATCAGGATCATCAAACTAACCCCGGCGATGTTGAGACACACAATTTTGTAGGCGACACCGATGAGGGGGAGGGCGCGAAGCAACTGGAGGCATTTGTGCAGAAGAAGTTGCTTCGGTCCCGCAGCTTTCCGAGCGCTTTGCGGCACCGACATCTCCTGCCCAAGTGGAAATGGAGCCACCACTTCGGCGAGCCGCACCCGCACCAGCGTTCGAACAGTAGAGGCCAGAGGAGAAGAAGAAGGAGCATTCGGAACAGCAGACACAGAGGACACAGTTCGCTCTCCACCTCGTCCAGTGTTGCCACCAACGTCGCAGCCGCGACCGTATCCGGAGAAGCATCGGCCGCGGAGGCAACCCAAGAAGCGGATCCTTCTTCGCCACCAGAAATGAGAATGTCGGCACAACAAGATCGTGTCGAGACTGTGAAGACAGTTGTGCCGAGCAACTCTAGAAGAAGTACTCGGCCGGACGAGGCGGAGCAGGAGGGCCGCGGGGGTGCCAGAAATAAGACCAATTTTGGGCAGAAGGAGTCCGACGACGACGAAGAAATTGATCCAGATAAGATGCAAGTAGTGGCTTCGATTGTAGTTGCACCAGCTTCCACAACTGCGGTTGAGTGCTGCAACAAAGATCATGAACGCGGCTTCCAGGAGAGGACGAGGGACGTCGGACGAGATGTCGATACTACTTCGAAGCCACTTCCTCGCGAAGAGGCCAATCCGGATGGCGCGCAGCGCGCGGGCCAGCCAGGGGAAATAAAGGATACAGTACAATTACCAGAAGAAGATCATCAATGGAGTCCAAGTTGTGCACCGCCCCCCGTGGGGGCACAACCCGCCACTCAACAGCGACAACAGCAGCCCGCAAAAGATCTTCCGGTGCAGCAGAGCGTCGAGAGGAACGAAGCCAACGACCCTGAAGAGGACAACTCGAAACTTCTGGACACCATCAGTCTGTGGAACCTGATTGACCCCGCGCCCTACTGCGTGGGCCCCGACTTCCCCATCCAGCGCATTTACCCGCTGTTCATTTCCGCCCACCCGGTGCCGGCCGTGGTCGTGTACGAGCGGGGGCGATTGCGAGGGGTGCTCACCCGGAGGCATCTTACGCACTTGTCGCACGAGTGATATACAAGTAGTCAGAAACGAATAAACTTTTTTGGTTTATTTCGCAAACGAGCAGGATAGGGATCGTGATCCATGGACGAGGACAACAAGAATCTCCTGCGGACCACCTCGGTCACGAACAAAATAGGTTTTTTCATCGGTTGAATCAGTATGCTATCAGCCACAGCGTTACAGCCACACTTCTTTTGTGCTGTGCTATTTGACGAGGTCGCGTGCACTACAAACACAAACTTTTGTCTTTTCGAAAGAGCTTGCGTTCTATGATTTTCAGTTCAGTATACTTCGCTGTAGTCGCATGATACAGCCAAAGAATTTCTTAGATTTTGTCAACCAACATACAGATAATTCGATCAAGAAATTGTCGTGCCAGTGGCCGACACCGGGTTTGTTAATATTGAAGTAGCGTCTTTGCCGTGCAGCTATTTTGAATACCAATTTTGCCTACCAAGAATGCTTTTACCTCTTGTATTATCGCGTTTTTCACCACTCCGCTTTTGCAGTACAAAGAATTCTGCTACAAGTACTACTGTTCTTTTTTCCTTGATTTCTTTGAGTTCTACAGGTTTCATCTGCCACCTTGATTCGCGACCTTATGTTTGAGCCCTTTTTTTGCCGGTGCGTGTTGACCTATGCGTTAGCATTAGCTAGGTATGAGACATGAATTTCCATCGACTTCTGCACCGTCCTACACTGTTTTCTTTTCCCGTACACGAAGGCAAAACCGCATGGCCTCTACCTAGATATTACGATAAGACGTTTATTGAAAATACAAAGAGGACTTCTACTTCGTTCTCGTAGTTGCCCCCGGTTTAGTACATCTTCAACTGAAGGACATCAACATCAAGAAGTTTTAGAGCTTCAAACAGTTTTATGCGAGTGGACCTCCACTCGTGTAGAAGCAGACTGACCCCTACCTCATACTGCATGTTTTGTGTCTGTCAACCGCACAGGAGGCGTTACCTTGATTGCGTGAACCAGCTCGTCTGTACGTACTCGTGAAGCGTCTTTCGTAAATTCGTGAACCAGCGGCCTCATGGGACTCGTTGCACCACCGTGAGCCGGGATTAAAGAATGATAGCAGGAAGATCCTTGTCGCTGTCACTCGTTTTGTCGTCGATCGATTTTTAGCTTTCGCATAATGATGCAGCAACGCCAACGTAGTCGAAGAAATATCGTTGCGTTACCCTTCTTGTTTTCAATAAGTCGATTCGTTTTTTTTAATTTTCGGGGAAGAAGGAGCTGATGCGTAGCCTCCGGCTCAACGAAAGACTACAAATTCGGCATGAACCAGAAGCGAAACGGTTTTTGTTGTCTCACCAAATTGATAAAAAACCTGTTTCGTGATCGATTTCCCTTCGAGAACTATCCTGTAAAATTTTTCCCACGTCTAATTTCCCGAAATAACAATGGACACTTCTGCTCAACGTCCCGTGTCGCAAAAAAGCTCTAAAAACCCAGACGAATTCGTTGTCGTTCCAGTCCTTGCAGAGAGCTACAGGCTGGTACAAGATTTTCCTCTTAGAAACGGCGACTCTTCTGCCTCCTCTGCAAAGGGAACGACAAAACCAGAGGTATTCTTGAAGGTTCACCATTTTAATTCATGCATCATCCTCCCTGTAAGAAGATGAAGATCGCGCAAACTACATCAAAAGGCACTTTTCAACATTTTCAGATCGCGCGATCAAACATTAACAAGGTACTACTGAACGACCGCAAGGGCGGAAACGAGCCGGACCAAAAGATGTTGTCCGCGTGCGAGAACGACGGTAGGACGAGCAAGGAGGTGGCCGCCAGAACGACGTCCACCAAGCACTCCACCACCAGCAGATCAGCTGCTGACGAGGCTACGACTCTTCTGGACGGACGAGATAAAGACATTGAAAATCATCTCGTCCACGACCCTACCACAAGACAAGCTACGAGGACCGCAACCATTTCGTGGTGGACGCGGAACAAAGCGAGCAAAGGCGCGTTTCTCCTTGCGGCCGTTCTCGTTATCGTCTTCCTAATCGCCGCCTACGTCGCGATCGCATACTTTTCCGAATTGAAAAATCAGCCGAAAAAAATATTACACACACATCAAGAAATACTAGAGACAACCCGCCGTCCTGGGACGGAACAGACTGCTGAAGCGGTTTTCAACGTGGAGGGGGCTGTGCGTTTTGAACAAGATCATTCCTCGTCTTCACCAGAAGAACGGACTGCAACCTCCGTAGGATCCAGGACGGACCGCGAAGCTTCTGGCTCCACGATCGAACAAGAGAAGCCGAAGCGGGAAGAACTGCTGAAAGTGCTGAGACTCAACGCTGACGGTAGCGCCACAAGTACTGCCGTTAGCGAAGCTACGACTCAACATCTACCTTCGGACACTTATCATCCCTTCCTTGACGCCGACGGGGATGAAGAAGTTGTCACAGAAGACGACTCGGCCTCCGCCGCGGCCGACGAGAAAGACGACCTCGCTTCCCGTCAAGAAGGGCCACACGAGGCCGTTGCTTACCCTGACGAGATCACGCAGTTCCCCTCACTGGAAGCGACATCGTCCTCTCCGCAAAGTCCGGCGCCGCTTGAAGCTCCTGACGAGGGAGTGAAGCGAAAAATTACGGGTCTCAGCAATTTGGCCACTTCCAGCTCTCTTCACCAGCCGGTGCCGGAACTGCTGGACCGGACGTGGTCGCTGCTTCCCGCACGGATTCAGAGCGAAAACGCCGGAGCTCTTGCTACCGGTGACGAGGACCGCCCACGGGCTCGCCACGAAAACTCAGCGTCGCTTTCGACCAACACTGACAAATCAAAGCTCCTCGACACCCACGATGTCAAGATCACCCAACATGAAGCGGGGCTTTCGCAGATCCCGGGCGCGGGCGATTTTAACGACTTCTTTTGGAAGACCGAGTGGCCTGCTACGTTGGGAGACAAGGAGGTGGATGTTGGCGGGAGTGAATCCTCTGCACAAGCAGGCACGGATGAAGTAGACATGACGTTGCCGAAGGACGCGCATTCTTCTGCCTACTTTTCCGTGAAACCCGCAAGGGAGCTGCGGTGCTTGTGCCCGAACTGGAACACTTTAGCCGAGCAAACACGGAAACGCGAAGTGCCGCGCTCGAACGTGTTCGTCATATCGCCGCAGGTTCCGGCGGTGATCTCGAAGGAGGATGCGCAAGCGATGTTTCCGGGGCTCTTGTCTGATGCGGGCAACAGTAGAGAAGCTGCGGGCGGAGATGAGAGTGGCTCGACAAACAGCGACTGCGGACTCTCACCCGGCATACAGCACTTCAGCCACGAAGCAGCGTGGCGAGCGGTTGAGTTGGTTTCTTCGTTTCTGGAGTCCGAAAAGCTCTTGCAGGACAAAAGCATCACGTTGCTCGACGCCTTCGAGGACCTGAACTCTTGGTCATCGCGGGCAGATCTCTTTCGCACTGCAGTCGTTTATTTGTGTGGAGGCGTGTACATCGACGGAAAAACAGCGGCCGCCAGAAACGGACAGGCTGACGCGATCGCAGCAGGTCATAAGCTAGAGCAGCTGGCGGTCCTCGATACGCTTTTCTCTAACGACACGATGGCACAAGACCCGGCAGATGTTAGTCGGACACATTCCGCTATTGTGCTCGCAACCGGCGACTTGGGGATCTGCTTGGATCCCGGCTGGAACATGGGCAGCACGAAAGGGAAGCTACAGAATGCGTTCTTTGCTGCGCCCCCGCAAGCTTCTGCACTCCTGTACATCCTACAGCAGCAGATCCGTAATGTGCAAAGTCATTCGCGTGGGCATGCAGAGGATCGTGGCAAGCGAGACATAGATGCCGTTGGCCCGGGCGCCTTTGTAGACGCACTTCTTCAGCACGAGTGCTTTCGGCGCACTTTCTTGCCCAGGTGCGTGGCCGATGGTACGGGACATTTTCCAGACACGGCTACTTCAGAGTTGCGGGATATTAATGCGGAATGGGCTTTTGTGAAGTTGGACCAAGACTGGCTACGAGGAAAAATGATTCTATCACCATGAAAAGTGCCTCTCCTATCCCAGAAAGTAATGAGGAATCGCGTGCGGCGATGCAAGGTTCGTCAGTGGGCGCACTATTTTTTATGAGCGTGGTGACTGATGACTTGTTCGCGATCCAGGGGGACAGTGAAACTCTCTGTTCTACGGTGTCACAGTATAGTAAAAGCGACAGCTGCCATCGTAGGAAAGCTGCGTGTTGGTTCTGGTCGCTTGTCATGTTCATGCACTGCAGTCTATTTGAAGTTTTGGTTTTCATCTTGACATGTTCTTGCAATACCAACTCTGCAGCTTTGCCTTTCTAGGAGTGGGGAACTTGTTTTTTACTTTCATATTCCCCCTTTGCGGTTGAAAGACGTGACGATGCTGAAACTTCAGGGAAATCAGGCTCCAGTCGGGGGAAGACCGCAGATGCAGCGTGTCAATCGGACCAGCAACTCGCGGAAGATTTGATGTCGATCGACTTTGATGATTTTTCCCAAGAAGCCTACGACAAGAAATACCGCGAAAGCTTACTGGGCGAATTCTTTGATAGAGCATGGCATACGAAAGCGAATCCCTATTCTGATAACCGCTTAGATCTCGAACGCGGTACCCTTATCACCTGGGATGGCGAAGAACACGCACAAACGCACCAGCACTCCGCGAACCGAAAGTCCAGTTGGGATACGGAAAGTTGTGGCGACGGCGGGTATCAGGAGTTATTTCAGAAAAAGAACTTCTACTGCAGCAATCTGGCGGATCCGGTCTGTTCGCTTGCTTGCAGCGACAAGCACGAGTACCTGGAAACGAGCGGCACGACTGGGTCCGACGGCGCACATAAAGCAGAAGCAGTGCCTGCGCAGATGGCCTTCTCCGGGGGCTTATCCACCTACGCGGGCCAGTTACATCAAGCGGAGAAAAGAAAAGCCGGAGACCGCCGGACAAGGACAGAGAGCAGCGGAACTACCTACATGTTTCACCACTGCCCGTCTATTCTCGACCCGAGGAACGGTTGGGGAATCGTAAGAACGGTGAAGCGCTGCCTTGAAGCTCTACTTGATGCGGTGGACAAAAACCGTATTTCGAAGCCCAAGACGATTTTCATTTTCGAAGACGACGCTGTGTGGCTCCCAAACTACCGGGCAGACGGTTCCTATTTCCGAGGACAAGAGCGCCCAACATCCGCATCGGTCGAGACAAAAATGCTGGACACGACGAGCTTAAAAGAAGCGGCTCGCGCAATTTCGGATGCCTGGCCAAAGGACACCGCCTTGGTCCTTCTGGCCGCCCAACAGCATGCTCGCGCCCCGCCGGTGCCAAGCGTGCTCGCGCTGGACTCGCCACGAGGCCTCACCGGCTACAAGCTTGCGCAAATCGATTTGGCAGACGGCGCCTATGCCTGGGCGATAAGGTTTGACGACATTTCTTCGTTCGTGGAGGAGGACTTGGGCGCTGAGCTGGAGCACGTCGGGGAAAGTCTGGCGATGGACCATGGTTGGTTCAGTTGGGCGAAAAAGTCTGGACGCGTGGTTCGCGTCACGTGCCCACTTTTGGCTGGACATCGGGAAGCGTTCTCGCTGACGCACAACAACACACAAGGAGCATTGCTAAGTCGTGATTGCCCCCAAGAGCTGCTCATGCAGCCACGACGTGCTTCTTTCTTGGAGTCCGCAGACGATCTGGATCTGTCGTTGCACTCTGAAGTTGTTAGTGGAAGTGATGAAGATCAACAAGAACACGACGCAGAACAAGTTCTACTTGACGACGTTGACGAGGATAAAAGCAAGACTAGTTTAGCCGAACCTGGCCGCGACGAAAAGATGAAAGTGAAGAACCTGCATAAGAACCGCGGAGGACGTGCTTCCTCGACCGAAACGCTTCGCGAACGCACGAGTTCAGCATCGTCTCCGCGGAGAATAAAAAGTGAGAATTTGCTCGTGCCCTTTGACAAATGGGCCAGTACTTCTTCATCTTCTGCAGAGCCTCCCCACGGAAACGATCCATCAGGCGCCAACCCGACGGACCGCGGTGATGACGTTCTGTTCATGGTGGTTGGGTTTGCCGAAAGCGACGCGAATGCTCCAGAAGACTCGAAGCATAAGCTAGAAACTTTTTTAATGTCCAATGACTTTGCGAATGGCAGTGCTGAAAAAGAGCAACCTGGTACCACGGCGGGGACGAGAGATGACGCAGCTTCCGGTGCCGGCGACGACCGGACTGCGCGAAGACATGTTGATGTTGGAGTAAATGAATCCTTCGCAACACAGTCGGGGACGGACGAAGTAGACATGACGGAACCGGAGCAAAAGCATTCTTCTGCCCTCTTTTCCGTAAAACCCGCATACTTGGAAACGAGCGGGACGACGGGAATGGTTCAGGAAGAAAAACAACCAACTTCGTTTACCACCGTGCTAACTACAGAAGACAAGCGGGACGGTATGCAGATGCACGTGCTCATTCTTTCCGCACGGGAAAACTTTGCGAAAAGACAAGTGATACGCGAGACATGGCTGAAGGCAAACTGGACAAGGAGCGAAGCAAACAACACCAGCAGGAGTCGTAGACCCTGGGCGCACTTCATTGTTGGCGCACAGGGCTGCGAAATCCCCCTCGCCGAGCGAATCGCTGGGGACTTGGCCGTCGGAGGCTACTGCACGCTGCGCGAAGATCATGATAGTAATCTCGAAAATGGAGTCAGTACTGCAGAGCAAGAAGCGTGGCTCCTGCAGCGTGAAAAGGAACAACACCTTACTGCAGCACTTCAGCAGGAGGAGAGCAAGTATCGCGACATGGTTCTCTTGCCGATGGTAGACGTGTACCATAACATCACGATGAAAATGAAGCTTGCCTTTCAGTGGGTCACGTCCCAGGACTTCTCCGACAAACTGGAGTGGATTATTAAGGTGGATGACGACGCGTACATGCGACGTTTTTCGTTACTGCGTTTCCTTTTTCCGCATAAAGATGACCAAGTTCCGACGAAAGGGCTCGACCCCAAATCGGAAAAGATTCTTCTCGGACTTGTCCATCGGCGAGGAGCAGTGCAGCACGATCCAACGACGTCAAAGAATGTAGAGAAGGACTACCCCCACAACCATTATCCTCCTTTTGTGAGTGGGGCAGCTGGAGAAGTTTTCTCTCGGACGCTTGTGGACTATGTTGTTCACCATGAAGCCGAGCTGTTCAACTACGCAGGCGAAGACTATGCCTTTGGCATTTGGGCGGAAGAACAAATGATCCCTGGCGTGCGCGTCGTTCCAACCGTACAAAAATTTTCCAACGGAACAGAGCGGCAGCGCTGGTTTAAATACGGCAATAACTGCTGCGAGGACCCGGAGGTAGTGATTGGTGGCGACCTGACGGCTGAGCAGATCCGGGCCTGCGCTGAAAATGACGCAAGGCGGCCTAGTCTACTAATAGATAGTGGCAGCAATCAATGCTGCCACTAAAGATCTTCCTTAACAACTTCAGGAATGCAACGCCAATTAACAAACAGCTAGAAGTCGAGTGTATGTTGTTTATTTTGTCGATCATATTCATTTTGTTCCTGTTCGTTCCAGTGGCACCGGCACCATCGGCACCACTTTCGTTTCCACTGTAGAAAGATAGATTTGGATTGTCCATCAGTCTCTCTCATTGTCTGTTTCTGAAAGAACACCGCCAGCTTCATACTGTACGATATGTTTTACATTCATATAATTGTAACAAATTGGACGAGAGGATTATTGAAACGTTCGGTGATGATTAGCTATAGCTGCATAGTGCGGCTTGGTCACGACAACAGCTCCTGAGCAAGTAAATCAATACACTTCTTTTATTTATCTAGCGCCTTCGCTTGCTTCTTTCTCTATCCTAGCGCGGCGTCGCACCTTTGAGGTGCCTGCCTCCGGAAGTTCTTCGCGGCTAATTGATTGTGTTCGTTTCGTCGTCGTTGATGTTCTCTCTACTCTCTCCTTTTTCATGCTCGGAAAATCGAGAAGCGGTGCTCGTCAAGCGCGAAAAGCAGCCTTGCGTGGTGTTTCTCGCTTACTAAGCAGCCTCGTACTGAAAGGAAGAAGTGTTGACGTCGGTCCTCTCGTACCGTGCGTTTTTATCGTTGACGCGATCCGGTGGTGCTCGGTTGGGAGTTCATTGTATTCTATACGATCGATCATGGCAGAAGGCAGAACAAATGCAACAGTGGAATTATGTTCCAGGAAAGAGATGAAGGTAAACTACTTTACACGGTTTTCCATCACGAAGACCGGGCTCTACTATGAATAAACTTCCTCGCAAGATCCAACTCGTATTGCATTTGCAAAAGCAAGACCGAATAGTCTATCACGACCTCTCTACCAGCCTAGACAGCTCTGAATTACAATGGTCCGCTTCTTAAAAGTTCGGCTCGGTCGTGTTCCATTTCTTCGTCTCAGTAGAGCATATCACTCATGTCGCGGAAAGTCCTCAGGGTGGACATCCCTGGATAGGTATCGTGTTACGTACTCGAATATCTTCGTGTAGTTGCAGGATCGTAGTTGACAACCACTTCACCTATTGGAGTCGTTGTTCTCATCGTGTCAAGTTATGCTCCACTTTTATTTCGCGCTTCTTCTCTCGTTCTCTCTCTCACGAGGAGTAGGAGAACAACCTATGAATTCGTCGAATTTATTGTATTCGTTAGTTATTTCTTTTCGCTGTGGTCGGATCGGGAACGGGTGCCAGACCATGTCGTGATAAAGAACGCTGAATTTGTAACGAAGTAGTTTACCTATCACTATGTATCGCGGTGAGCATCCATGCAGTTTTGTAGAAGCCACCTTGCGGCCGTACGTCGCGACCGTACTTAGGTCTTTGTTTCGTGATGTGGTTCCTCTTTCAATTCGTTTGCTAAAGGCTCAGTGTCGAGTTTTCTGTGTTTTTTTTTGGGACAGTAGGTGGCCGTGTAAATAATAACGGGAAGTTGTGTTGAATTTGGAAAAACAAAAACATCAAAAATAAACTCCGCAAACAAGAAGAATGTTTTTCTCCAACGGCGATTTTCGCTATCACTGGCCGCAGTTTGGCTCTGCTGTGCTCCCAACTGGTGGCAGCCTTGGCTGGGTCACCGACCTGCCAGTTTTCCCTCCCCTGGCCATTGTTGTTGGAGGAGGCGGCTTGCTGGCAATCCTTGTACTATGGTTGGCGTTCACGCACTTTGGCACCAGCAGAAGTCGGAAAAACGGGCCATCCGACGTTCGTTTGATGTCCTCAACAGCGTCAGTTTTCTGTCACACGACGATCATCGCAGACGATGCAGCGGAGAAGCGGAAGCCGCAACCACTACGACTTGATGAAACTACTCGCGCGGACCGACCGGCTGCGACGTTGCAGCGGAACCTGAATCGGTCGGTTACGACTGGACGATCCCCAAATGCTGCTCGAAGCTGGAAGGCCATTCGCGATTTTTTCACTCGCACCTCGTCCCCAAATCACGCGTCACATGGTACAAAAACGAACAACTTCTGTGAAATGAGCGATGATCTGCGATATGATGGCAAAAACTGGAAACCATGCGATTTCACGTTTGGGTTTCCTCACGGCTGTCCGTCTTTCTGCAGCACTTTTCTGTCAACTGTTTTACTGCTGGTTCTGGTCGTGATCTTGGGAACAACAGCCGCGGATTTTCTCATGCACATGATGAGCGGACCCGGACCAGTTAGCGAAGACAAGGTGTGGACGTGGGTGCCGGAACCTGTGTCGCAGACGAGAGGAGCCCGCGCGCCCAGAACTACTACCGGCAGCAGAATGGTCTTGCGTCCCCCAACATCAAATCAGACAAGGAAGCAAGGAGCAGCTGCTCGTCACGGAGACTACGGCGGAGGCCCGCAAATTACAACTATGCCACATAGACCAAGCGTGCAGCAGCTGCAGGCGGACCGAGCAAACACAGTTGGCACCGGATTGTCCTCTCCTAGTTCTGCCGTGTTCGTGAACGAGCGCCACGATGATGAGACCGGGCTAAGACCTGTCGCTTCTAACACATTGCAAGTGACAACTAGTGGTCCCTTCTTCTTGAGCAATGATGTCAACGACGACACAAATCTACTGAGCGACTTTGTGGAGCATTTTTCACCGCCGGCGGGAACAAGTAGTGTTCAACATCGAGCAGGAGGGTTGCTGCAGCTTGGTAGTAGTACGGTGGGGACGGCGGAAGACGGAGCTCCTGGTACCGGCAACAAACGCACTCACGATGTCAAGATCATCCAAGATGAAACGGGGCTTTCGCAGGTCCCGGGCGGGGGCGACTTTAACGACTTCTTTTGGAAGACCGAGTGGCCTTCCACGTTGGCAGACAAGGATGCCATGGTGCCGCAGTTGCGAAAGTTCGTGTTGCAAGAACCAGTTGGAGACTTCACAACCAATCAGCCCCTGGCAGCGATCACCAAGGCAGACTGCACCAAAACGGAGCAGCTCCGGCAAGTTTTTGACGAAGAACTCATCGAAACGCCACGCACCATTGTGGATTTTACGTTTTTCGGTGCGGCCAGTCGTGATGCCCTGGAGGTTAGAATGCAGGAGCTAAAAGATCAAGTGGACTTGTTCGTGGTAGCGGAAGCTAACTACGACCATCACGGAAGCAAAGTTCCAAATGACCTCTGGGAAACCGTTTTAAAAAAGCAGAAGGTCTTTCGCGAGTTTTCCAGTGTCACGGATCGCGTGCTGCATTTGCCAGTTGAGCTGACGTCGTCGAAGGCAGATGACGAGTCTTCGTCTGATCTCCTGAGCGCCCAAGGCACGAATTGGAATTTCGAATTCGAGACCACGGCACAAGCTTCAAAGCGACTGCACTCAGAGTTGCAGCGAAGATGGTTTGCGTCAGATGGCCATGGCCAACACCTGTTGGCAAATCCTACGACCGAGTCGTGGGCCCTTGTCGTGTTGGTAGCTCACACAGACGAAACTCCATCGCGCACTTCTGTGCAGCTTGTGCGGCACTGCAAGTTCAAGGGCGAATCTGTCGATCAGCATTTCCCCTTACACACGGCTTCTCTGATGGTCCAAAATGTGATCAAACTGGCGTACAAGAGCTATGCTCCGGCTACTGGCAAACATCCGTACGAGATATCGACACCCAACTTCGTACTCTTTCATCCGGAAATGCCCAACGGACAAGGCGGAGAAGGAGGTGTTGATGAACTGGACACCTTCGCGCGGCAATCGGAGCTGCCTGACTCGTATCAAGCGCAAATATTTCTGGGTCAGGAGGATTGAAGAAGTTTGTCATGCCGATTGTACATGTTGACTCGTGGTGCTGCCGGTGATGCATGCTCCAGCATCACAGCTTTCGCGAAAGCTTGCTCATGCCTATCCTGCATGACAACTGCCTTTTCCGGATGGCAAAAATTTGCTGCTTTATGCAATACAGGTTCTCGTATGTTGACCGAATTCGAAAGCTAGGATTATAAATCCGATCCTCTCCAGACCCAGATATATTTGCAATGCATAGCGCGAGGATCATTTTCGGCGGGGCGCACATGACGGGTTATCCGTTTCTCCCTTCGGTATTCATCAAGGAGTTACAGTGCACGGAATGTGATGGAACGGCCCATGGCATCTGGCAGAAGCTGCATGTCGAAATTGCCAACACGTGCGCTACGATTCACGGCAAAAGCAACGCGGCGTCCGAGTTGGAGGCCATCGCCAAGGTGATTTCTGACGAAAATTTCAAGAAAACTGAAGGTAACTGGAAGGGCAGATTTGGTGAGCCTCAGAAATTGATCCAAGCAGATTCCGTGTACGCGGAGATCTTTCAGCTGCCGGAGTATTTCCAAGCGAATAAGCACCGTTTTCCCGCCTGGTTTGGTAAACGGCAAGACCCACGGGCAACAATTTTGTGTCCGTCTCTCACGGGTACCAGCCAGCAGTCGGCCGCTGCGTCTTCGAGAACGGAGTTGGATGTTGGCGAAAGTGAATCGTTTGCACAGGCGGGCACGGATGCAGTCGACATGACGGGGCCGGAGCAAGAGCCTTCGTCTCCCTACTTTTCCGTGAAACCCGCAAGGACAGAGAGCAGCGGAACTACCTACATGTTTCACCACTGCCCGTCTATCCTCGACCCGAGGCAGGGTTGGGGAATCGTGCGAACGGTGAAGCGCTGCCTTGAAGCCCTACTGGATGCGGTAAAGAAAAATCGTATGTCGAAGCCCAAAACGATTTTCATTTTCGAAGACGACGCTGTGTGGCTCCCAAACTACCGGGCAGACGGTTCCTATTTGCGAGGACAAGAGCGCCCAACATCCGCATCGGTCGAGACAAAAATGCTGGACACGACGAGCTTAAAGGAAGCGGCTCGCGCAATTTCGGATGCCTGGCCAAAGGACACCGCCTTGGTCCTTCTGGCCGCCCAACAGCATGTTCGCGCCCCGCCGGTGCCAAGCGTGCTCGCGCTGGACTCGCCACGAGGCCTCATCGGCTACAAGCTTGCGCAAATCGATTGGGCAGACGGTTCCTATGCCTGGGCGATAAGGTTTGACGACATTTCTTCGTTCGTGGAGGAGGAGTTGGGCGTTGAGCTGGAGAAGGTCGGGGGAAGTCTGTATATGGACCATGATTGGTTCAGTTGGTCGAAAAAGTCTGGACGCGTGGTTCGCGTCACGTGCCCACTTTTGGCTGGACATCGGAAAGCGTTCTCGCTGACGCACAACAACACACAAGGAGCATTGCTAAGTCGTGATTGCCCCCAAGAGCTGCTCATGCAGCCACGACGTGCTTCTTCCGTGGAGTCCGCAGACGATCTGGATCTGTCGTTGCACTCTGAAGTTGTTAGTGGAAGTGATGAAGATCAACAAGAACACGACGCAGAACAAGTTCTACTTGACGACGTTGACGAGGACAAAAGCAAGACTAGTTTAGCTGAACCTGGCCGCGATGAAAAGATGAAAGTGAAGAACCTGCATAAGAACCGCGGAGGACGTGCTTCCTCGACCGAAACGCTTCGCGAAAGCACGAGTTCAGCATCGTCTCCGCGGAGAATAAAAAGTGAGAATTTGCTCGTGCCCTTTGACAAGTGGGCCAGTACTTCTTCATCTTCTGCAGAGCCTCCCCACGGAAACAATCCATCAGGCGCCAACCCGACGGACCGAGATGATGACGTTCTGTTCATGGTGGTTGGTTTTGCCGAAAGCGACGCGAATGCTCCAGAAGACTCGAAGCATAAGCTAGAAACTTTTTTGGTGTCCAATGACTTTGGAAATGGCAGTGGTGAAAAAGAGAAATAACCTGGTACTACGGCGGGGACGGGAGATGACGCACCTCCTGGTTCTGGCGACGACCGGACTGCGCGAGGAGATGTGGATGTGGACCAGAGCAATTTTTAGTGCTGCCAATGAACTATGATGAGCGGAGCAAAGACCGCAAGCGCAACCGCCTTCCGGTAGAAGTTTTGTACGTTGTTTGGGCGAGGACCAGGCCCGTGCTTTAGTAGCACCGCCACGAATCTTGTCTGGTTCATCTGAATAAACGCCACCAGCTTCGTACTGTATGATATGTTTTGTTTCATTAATAATGTAGATCGAGATCCATGGGTGATTAGTGAGCACGTCATCAGTAAGTTCGTTGAAGCTAACCAGCACAAGGCAGCTGGGTCACGGAACCAGCTGCGTAAAGTGGCAAAGCTTGTTCGTGGATGTGCTTATCTTGCTTCCCCTTCTTTTTCTCTTGCAGCGTATGCTGTACTGCACGTGCCAGGAGAGCTGCTGTTGGGGTGGAGCGCGTAGTAATGATCTTCACCAGTGAGCGACCTGAAACGCAAAATTGTCGTACTTAAAACGCAACTAAAACCCCCTGACAAGACGTACAAACACTGCTAGCTTTTGTAAATTCCTGTGGTTGCTGTTGAAGTACTTCTACTTCGTACTTAGTCTGATTCACATTCATCCTTCATAACGATAAGTTGAATCGTGTCAGTGGTCTCACGGCTACTTCCAAGAGATGCTGAAACCAGTAGAAATGTAGAGATGTTGTGCTGGAGGTTCCTGCGAAGGCAACAAGAGTAGGCACAAGCGGAAGTTGATAGAAGTTGCAGACCTCCAGGGTCATCTCATAAACTGTCCTAGCTACAGGGTCAACTTCAAATGAATTCCTCGAAGTACTAGTAGCTACGCAAAGAGAAGCTTTTGCGCCCGATAAAGCGAATCTAAGTGGTAACAACATACGTCGTAATCGTTCGTTCTCACTTGCTTTTTCAAGCGCCAACCCGCCGCGCCCGCGCTCGTCCATCCGGCATACAGCGTTCATCCATCAAGAGGCCTGAATATTGATTCTTCGTTCATCGGGCTGCACCGCACGACACACGATGGGAAAGTCCAAGAAGAAAAACAGTGTGAACCACAAGGCAGGAAACCCGTCGAACGGAGGTGGCGCAGCCAACACGACATCGCCAGTGGTCGAGCCTGATGTGGCGGTTATCACACAATAGAAAAGGTGCAGATAGTACAGCGCATCTGGCCTGCTTCTCACCATGGCGTGATAGGAAGAACTAGAAGATAGAAGTTTTGTCTGGGAATCAGTAAATATCATCTTCAGATCTCCTGTGTAGGAAGCTAGGTAGATATTACCGGATCGCAAGTAACGAGCGGATTCCACTGATAGAAGCCGCCGGGGTTTGGCTAGTAAATATGTATGCGAAAGAACAGCGCTCTTCGTCGCAAACGCCTCGGCAGGATCCCCTTTCCCCGCTGGTGCAGAATAAATGATGATGATGCATGAACGCAAGGTGACAGCACTAGACTAGATCATACCGAGCAGATCATTTTGATGTGTATGACGCACTTGTTATTTTCTGTTTCATCGGCTAGCAAGCTGGTACTAGTACAGCCGAGGAGGAGGAGACAACCGTGGAGTTCGAGAACGCTGGCCAAAAAACCGGAATCGAGGTATGGCGCATCGAGCAAATGAAAGCAGTATGGAAAAGAGAAAATTTCGTTCAGCAAAGCGTTGTCTTGAGCTCCGCATTGATCATTACTAAGTATGACTACACCAACATCCAGTCTGGCGGTTTGGTTTTCACGGATGAAGTGATGCTGAAACAAAAACGAAGTTGTAGTGATGCGATCTTCAGGAGAGAGCCAGAAAAAGAACGCTTTGAACATGAACATTTCTCTTTCACATCCCGTCCCGTGGACCGACTTTGGGCAGTTTTATTCTGGCGACAGCTACCTCGTTTTGCACACGATCGCGGTGAAGAAAAAGTACGCTCACATCTTGCAACCAAAATCATTCATCGAATCTGTGACGATTCTGGACGCATAATGACAAAAAGGCAGGAGAAAAGTTTGATTATTTTTCCCCCGACAGAGCAATACTGCGCGAAAACTTAAACTTCCAGGTATGATCTCTACTACTGGCTCGGGAAGGACTCTTCGGTCGACGAGAAAGGCGCAGCGGCCCTGAAAACGGTATATGAACTGCAAAAGTATCGTACTCGTATAATTACAAATTTCCTCAGCATGAGACATAAAATTTGTCTTGCGGATATGCCTTAAGATAAAAATTTGTAATGCATGATTCCAATACGAGTAGGATACTTTTGCACAGGATACGGTAGAGCTCGACACCAAACTGGGAGACTTACCCGTGCTATCAAATGTAAAAATGTCTGCGTCTGGAAGAGTCATGCTGTTTTTGCATGACACAGAAGGGCCGGCATGGAAGCTCTAGCATCACAGGTTTCGAGAAGCTTCCGCAATGCCGAATCCGCATGACAAGTCCCCCACTTTGGTGACAGAAAGTGGGCAGCTTTTGCTACCTATGCTTGAGAGATTTTTCTGTGTTCGGAAATACGCATCACAAGTTTGGATGTTCCAGACCCAGACATTTTTACATTTGATACGTGCAGTACCGAGAATGCGAAAACTACGAGTCGGGGCCGTTTTTGGCGCTGTGGAAAGCCTACGGCGGCATTCGCTATCTGCAGGGTGGAGCGGACTCCGCGTTTCGACACGTAGAGGCAACTATGCACTTGAACACTTCTAGTGGGTTCTTTGGTGTGTCTCCACGACAATCAGGCACTGGTTCCTTAATAGCACAGGCGAAATTGAAAGTGAGGTGTTTTGTCCTGGTGCGATAGACAGGAACGACATGATGAGACTGCATGTCTGTGGTGACCGAAAGACGGACACGCGATTATGAGCGAGTCAATTGTTCCGTATTCTCGTTATAACCTGCTTACGCATTTGCTTGCCATGAAAACATGCAGGACTACTAGAAATAAGTACCACCAGAGCCAGAGGACACATCAAAGAAGCGCTGTTTTCCCGCGATAGTGACCGTTTACGAGAGCCGGTTGCTGCACGTACTGAAGTGCTTTTTTGTTTTCTGTGCATCTTCGGGTGAACTTGGTTCCTCGAGTGCTTGGGTAGCATGAATAATTCCTCTATCATTTTGCCATCCGCGATAACTGTGTACAGAATACAGAACCACAGGTGAAAGGCAAGCGGCTTTGCCGAGTGACGCAGGTGGACAAATCGATAAAGTCGATGAACCAGGGTGACGCTATAAGAAAAGTGACCACGACGACACTATTCGTGCTGGCCTCCAGGGGAAGATGTGAATTTGTTGCAGTTTCTGCATGAGATGAAATGAACGTCCGGTCATGAAGATGTGGCGCTCAGGACTTCAGAAAATAACAAACGAAAGACCACGACCCGTTAAGTACGCTTACGCCGTATTACTGCAAGGCAAATTTTTATCCACGCCAATGCATGCCGGCACGTGAGGTGATCACTTTTCCTATCCACGCCTCTTCGTTTTGGACGCCGGATTGAAGATTTTTGTATACTGTATACACGGAAAGACGTTTTGGGTGACGGAAGTAGTGCGGTGCGGTTTATCGATGTCATCGTGTTTGCAATAATGCCTCCTTCTCCACCTGCTCCAGCTGATGTCATCCCATCGAGAAAGGTTTGAAATGCTGTCCATCCGAGATATCATGTTTGATTTCTGCATGACAACCGACGAGAAGAAAAGAATCTGGCGAAATTATCTCTCTTGACCCACAACTTTCCCTCCATAAGCCGCGGCAAGGAGTGCAACAAGTATGAATCGCAAAAGGCGTTTGAAATCGCCCGCGTGCTGAAGATATCAACTGTAAAAATGTCTGGGTCTGGAAGATTCTGAGACTTGTCATGCACGTGTTGCATGAGCCATGATGTCTGTGATGCATGCCCTACCATCACAGATTTTTTGCGGGGTTCTTGATGCCAATTCCGCATGACAAATGCCCTCTCTGTGTAGCAAAAATTGCCTTCCCTCTGCTGCTCATGCAATACAGATTTTTTTCGATTCCAAATGCAGCATCACAAGTTTCATTCTTCCAGACCCAGACATTTTTACATTTGATAGAAGACGGAGAGGAACAGCAAACCGGAGGTGTTCGACTGCAAGACGGTGGCCAGCGAAGAGGCCGCGTTGGACTTCTGGAAGGAACTGGGCGGTGAACAATCCCTCTCAGAAGCAGACGTGCCGGCGGCGGACGCGGGCGGTAGCGACGAGCTGCACGAGCAGGTGTCTGCGGAAAAAATAAAACTGTACGAAATGGTTTTATCAACTGCCGGAGATGACAAGGACCACTACGAGCTGAAGCCCGTCGAGAACGCGAAAGTTCCGTTCAAGAGCAAGGACGAATTTCTGAAGGACGACGGCGTGTTCGTGCTGGACAGCGGCGCACCACAGCCCGGGCTCTTCGTCTGGTTGGGCAAGAAGGCGGACGCGGGGTTGCGGAAAAAAGCGGTAAAAACGGCCACGGACTGGTTGGGAAAGCAGGGGCTGCCGGAATACACCGGGATCGCGAGGGTAAGTACTGAATACAGGAGATATAGTGCTTGTAGGTCCTTCAATCGTGAAGTGAAGACGTTCTTCGGATTTTCGAGCATCGTACGCGTTCCAATAATTTTGAGACCGAGAATAATCTTCATGTTATGATATCCACCCTCTTTCCACAGATGGACGCTGGCACGGAGCCGGCGCTTTTCAAAACGTATTTCGCGCAATTCGATCCGGTGAAACTGCCATCCACGCTGGACGTGCAGCGGTCAACTAGCATTGCGGAGACCAGGGAAAGTGAGGTATTGGATTCGAAAGCGGGTTTGATGTTGCCGGAAATTTAGTGTTTTTAGAGCGAAGAATTTTCTTCAACACACGAAATGAAATCGCATGCTGAGTGGCGTTCCAAAAAAAATTCTTCAGGTTTCTATCGCGAACATGCACGACAATAACAAGTTGAAGCCCGGCGCCAACACCCGGCGAAAGTCTTTGCCCGCTGTCGCACGCGCAAAGGAGAGCGAATCCCTGAAGATATGGCGCATCGAGCAGTTTGAGGCGAAGGAAATTCCGGAGGATAGCTACGGCGAGTTTTACGCGGGTGATTCCTACATCATCGAGTACGTCTACCGCACGAGCCCGGGCGGTAAGATCGAGGAGGCCCTGCTTTACTTCTGGCAGGGCGAGGACTCCACCGCGGACGAAAAGGGAGCGAGCGCGATTCTGTGCGCAAAGTTCGACACGGAAAGGTTCGGCGGGCAGGCGACGCAAATCCGCGTCGTCCAGGGGAAAGAACCGAGCAATTTCCTGCGACTGTTCGCCGGAAAAATGATTCTGCACAAGGGCGGGTGTGACAGCGGTATAGAAAGATGGTGACGATCATAGGGGTCGTTGAGGCTACATATTTTTTTTTCTCGTCTGCAGCAACCAGAGCTGAGGATGTTTTTTTTGTCAAAAAGCGCATGCTGAGATGATGATTGTTGTTCGTTGTCCTCAGGCAATAAAATGCCTATAATCGGGTTCTGTTCTTCCACAAAAATGCCCGCGCGACACATTTCAATGTCGCTATCACCAGGATTCCGCTCCACCCGCGCTTCTGCTGAGGAAACCACCAGCGGGGATAGCAATTCAGATTGTGCTAAAAAAAGTGTCTCTTTCTCCTGGCCACCTCCTCAGGCCAGGACATTTTCGCGTCCCAAACACCACACTGCTCTCTTACCTGGCCCAAAAATTTGCCAGGCCAGGTAAGAGAGTGCCGTGGTGTTTTGGCCAACTTTTTTTGGGCCGACGGGGCCCTTTTTCCTTCCAAGCGCCACGCTATGCTCTTACCTGGCGCCAAAACTTGGCAGGCCAGGTAAGAGGGTGCCATGGTGTTTGGGCCAACTTTTTTTGGGCCGATGCGGTCTGTTTTCCTTCCAATCGCAATGCTATGCTCTTACCGGGCCTCAAAGTCTGGAGGCCCAGGTAAGAGCACAGCGCGGCCTTGTGCTTCAAGGGTGTCTCTTTCATCTGGCCACCTCCGCTCTTCAGGCCAGGACATTTTCGCATCCCAAACACCACGCTGCTCTCTTACCTGGCCCCAAAACTTGGAAGGCCAGGTAAGAGAGTGCCGTGGTGTTTGGGCCAACTTTTGTTGGGCCGACGCGGCCTTTTTTCCTTCCAAGCGCCATGATAGGATCTTACGTGGCCTCAAAGTTTGGAGGCCCAGGTAAGAGCACAGCATGGCGCTTGTGCTTCAAGAGTGTCTTTTTCCTCTGGCCACCTCCTCAGGCCAGGACGTTTTCGCATCCCAAGCACCACGCTGCTCTCTTACCTGGCCCCAAAACCCGGCAACCCAGGTAAGAGAGTGCCGTGGTGTTTGGACGAATTTTTTTTGGGCCGATGCGGTCTTTTTTCCAAGCGCCACGCTATGCTCTTGCCGGGCCTCAAAGCCTAGAGGCCCCGGTAAGAGCACAGCGTGCTGCTTGTGCTTCAAGATCATCCTCCTTATCTGGCCACCTTCCCGGGCCAAGACGTTTTCGCATCACAAGCACCGCGCTGCTCTCTTACCTGGCCCCAAAACCTGACAGCCCAGGTAAGAGAGTGCCGTGGTGTTTGGGCCAACTTTCGCGGGCCGGAGCAATCTTTTTTCCAGGCGCCGCGCTATGCTCGTAGCTTGGTGGCCAATCTATTTTTGATCTATTCCGCCCAAATATCTAGTCGAAGAAATTCACTACCAACATTTCAATGTCGCTATCACCAGGATTCCGCTCCACCCGCGCTTCTGCTGAGGAGACGAGCGGGGATAGCAAGTCCGATTTGAAGCTGTACCATATCCGCGGCCTGACGCCCTCCGAGTGCAAAGCGCTGGAGATCACGGTGGACGCAAAGTTGCTGAACTCTAACGACGTCCTGGCACTCGTCAGTGCCACAAAATCTTCGTACCTGTGGGTCGGCAAGGGAGCCAGTGCGGAAGAGCAGGAACTGGGCAAGGAGCTGTGCACGAAATTGCTGGCGAATAAAACAGCCTCTACAACTTCTTCGAGCACAACAACGCCGTTATTTGAGACCATCACCGAGGGGAGTGAGCCCGACAGTTTCTGGGAGCTCTTTCCCAACGGAAAAGAACCCTACGCCGACAACCCCGTGTTATTCGAGGCGGAATTTGAGCCGCGCCTGTTCCAGGTCTCCAACGCGTCCGGAGCTTTGCGGGTGGAGGAGGTGTACCAATTCACGCAAACCGACCTGATCGACGAGGACGTGATGCTGTTGGATACGTACAACTCCGTGTTCGTCTGGGTCGGCGACTTGTCGCACCCCGAAGAATATCCTGTGCAAAAGTATCGCGCTCGTGCAAAGTTTTGCTGGAATTGTACTTCTGCCTTAAAAATCTGCAAGACGATTACTTCTGCCTTAAAAATCTGCAGGAGGTAGCGCGATTATACTTTTGCGGTGCATAGAGAACAAAAAGAGGCCCCGAAGATCGCGGAGTCCTACGTAAAATCCGCACCGGACGGCAGAAGTGTCGAGGAGACCCCGATTGTCGTCGTAAAGCAGGGGAACGAACCCCTACTCTTCACCTGCCACTTCGTTGGCTGGGACTCTTATCCGCTGGAATAGTTTATTGCTCAGACAGAGTAGGTGGAGTTTGTAGTTGCGCTCGACACGAGCAAGACTGATTTTTTGTGCGTGTGCTGCTCCTTTCGTCGGCAATATAAAAGTGGAGAGGAACATATGCATACTCACGAAAAATAAATATCGTCGACGTGGCAAAAAGGATATATTTATTAGTTTTCGTACAGACACCTGCTGTAGTGTTCTCGTTGTACTAAAGTCGAACCATCGATCGAGTCCTGTTTTTTAGCTAAAGAACCACTTACTTCTGCGCACTAAACCTGGTTCCAGCCCGATAACCCATCCAAGAAGAAAGGCTTTTCTGACGTTTACGAAGAGGCGCTGAAGCGGCGGAATTCCCAGCTACAGCAGCAAAAGGACGAGGAGGAAAAGGCGCTGCAGGAGGATATAACCCGCTCAGGTGTTACAATCTCAAGCGTTACAATAGAATCTGGAATTTGTGTTGCAAGAAGTGCATGATCTACCCTACTCCCACAGGACTGCGCATGACAAGCTCTGGAGTCCCAATCCGCACTACAATCTGGCGAGATTTGTATTGCAAAAAGTGGAACGCTGTCCGAGTCTGTCATGTTGATCACGCAAGACAAATCTCAGACTCTATTGTAACGCTTGAGATTGTAACGTTTGAGCAGGTCATAGAGGAGGCCGAGAAGCGCGCGGAGAAGGTGAGATTGATGGAGCAGCAGCGGGAAGAAGAAGCAAAGCAAAAGCGAGAGTCGAAGAACAAGGACGACAGCGCCACAACCGCAGCGCCCTGGGTAAAAAAGGAGCAAAATCCGAGTGCCGGAGATAGTACGGCGGAGCGGAATAGCACCAAAGAATCCAACCCACAGGACGCAAACAAGACGCTGGCAAAGTCGCCAACAGACGGAGGCAAGAAAACTACCAGTGGGTATGGCGGAAAGAAAGAACAGAACCACTACTTCTGTCGGCAGATCTTTTTCCCCTCGTTCGTTTAGCAAGCATGGTCAACATGCAGATTGGCATGGTGCGATGACTAAGTAACAAGCATGCCAAGAATTTACTACTCTGCATTGCAAGTTATAGCCGTCTTCAAGCGTGAGACATCAGAGAGCATGTGGATGAGATTTGTGCTGGGATGTGAGCGCTGTCTTTTCCCGCCATATTGAAACACCGGAGAGTCCGGTGACTCGGAGAACCAGTGTAAAAGGTACTGATCTACTCGTTCTCAACGTTTTCTCGTTTTAGAGAGCTTTCTCGTGGTATCTATCCGGAGACTCAGACGCGATCTATGAAGTACTTTTTGTTTCGTACTATCGTTAAAACCAGGCCGCGTAATAGCACTTCTGTGCCAAAAACAGGAACGCGGCGTAGAAGTTCTATTACGCGGTGCTGCGTAGGAGGTGGAGGCGGTAGTTGTACTACTGATTCCCCCGCCGCCCAAGAAAGTGACCAGAAAAAGAACAACCTTGTATCCACCAGCAAAGACTCCTCCACAACAGCCAGCAGCTTTGCCGAACAGCAAGGCGGGGCAGGCGCTTCCGATAAGAAACCCAAACTCGAAAAAGGTGCCAACGGTCGGTGGAGCACGGTGGACACGGGCGGTTACATCGGCTTTGCCAACGTGTCGCGTTCGAGCCGGGTTTCGTCAACGATGGTTGGCGAGGGGGATTTGAAAAACGAAAACGACAAGCTGGAGGGGAAAAAGGACGCGGTGGAGGAGTCATACGCCTGTCCACGGAAAACGAAGTATTCCCTGACGGAGCTGCAGCACGGCAAGCGCCCAAGCGACGTGGACCCGACGAAAAAGGAGCACTACTTGCCTGACGAAGAGTTTCACTCGGTCTTCAGCCTGAGTCTGGACGACTGGGAAAAACTACCGGTGTGGAAGCGGACGCAGAAGAAGAAGGAAAAGGGATTGTTTTAATAAGGTGGAAAGGAATGTAGATGTACGAATACCTAAAAAAGAAAAAATTTTTGCTTTTAGTACAACCACCTCCCGCGGATGAGCAGTAGCGTAAATATAGTACGCTTTCGCTGCAGATCGGGCGTCGTCTTCGTCATTTAGATAGCAAAGGGGTGTCCATCGAATGGTCTAAAGTGATCGAGAAAATACCTCTGATGTTGTATCACTAGCTTTTATGAGTTTCTCCCTGCAGAATGGCGGTGGGACCAGGAAGCAGAATGGTAATGCAGAGCAGGTGAGTTTAGATGAGACAACGTTCCGCTCGTCCGGAATGAAAGAGGTTCCAGACGTGAATGCAGGAACAGATGGTAAGAATTCTTGAAGTAGTTCAAAACAGCAAAAGCTCTAACGTTTTTCTAGCCACATCCGCATCGCATGCCTACTAATGGAACCAAATACAACATGACTTTACCGCGGACTTTTATGCAACGTATATTTTAGTTTTTCTTTGCCACAACCTTAAGTTTCTTGTAACTGCCTGATGAGACACATGCTTTGTCGAATATAAGCTGCGAATGCAGCACGATTAACAGATCTCGGGTCCTCGACTTCGAAAAAATTTTAATTGACAAAATGAAATTTTTCAAGCTTGCGAAAAAAATCATGGGTATTTTTTTATCAATTTGATGCGATTGTCCTTGGCGTTGTTGTGCTTATACTGCTTCATGCAAAGCGCCTGCTTATGCAGGCTTCGCCAACAAATTAGAGCTTTTGCTATTGCTTGCACTACCTGGGTGTAATGTGAGTGGGATGAGCCGCGTATAGGTATATTTTCTGAGTGTCGGTTGTCCATACGCACGAATGCCTTTAAGAAGCATTGGCTTGTAAGCATTATCGGTGTTTAGAACAAATGGAGTCTCGGTTATGTTTTTTTTTTCTATGACCAAGACGAACTGGAACTGATGAGTGAAAAATTTAAATTCTGAATTGGTTTTTTCGTACACCACAGAAAAGACGTCCGCGTTCTACGTTGAGAGATGAATAACTTTCTTGCACTACGTAGGTTTGATTCGTGCGTGCACCATGATAACAAGTTTACCACCGTGAGGGATAGACACACAGCTTTAGAGCGTATGGCGTACGTACTGGAACGGAAATGTCTTCCTTGAGTTTTTCAGTATTCTTGGTTTCCCCAAACCTGAGAGCCGCGTCAATTGAAAAAGCCGCTACATCGTAATTAATACCAGGTCCAAGGAAAAGTGTTGCCTCCCAACATCAATTACAATAAACCCGTCCTCCGTACACTACGAAGTTGTTGCCTCTTTCGTTCAAAAGAGCAGCACGACCAGTCTACAGTAAAACAAAATTTGTTTTCCGAAACCAAAACCGTAGCCCCTTTTTTTCTGATCCGGCGTTGCGAGACGTTAGGCTCAGTTTAAAACCACCTCTTTCTCAAGTTTGCCAACTTCTTTTCACCCGACACCTCAAAATGGGTTGCGGTGCCTCCAAGGATGGTGCGGCCGCTCCGGCCGGCGCTGCCGCCCCGGCGAAGGCCGTCTCCGCCAAGGCCAAGCCGGCGACCAACGACCCCAACTACCCGCCGATGGGTCTGGCCCCCACCGTGCAGGGCCTGCCGGACTGGATCAAGCTCGGCTGCGCCGACAAGGAGTACATCTGCGAGGAGAAGGGTGCCACCTTCCCCGGTGACAAGTGCCCGGACAAACTGCCGGATCTGTCCAACCACGGCAACTTGTGCGCCATGGCTCTGCGGGACCACCCGGAAATCTACGAGAAGTACAAATGCGTTTTTGTTTGTCTGAATTTTGTTCAATGTCACCGAGCCGAAATTTAGAATATCATCAAGCGCGTTCGTAGTTGTGCAGCGAGGGTGTGTAGTTTTTCTTTTCTCCCTAAACCTAAACTTCCACCATCACAACCAGGTACAAGAACGTGACCACCAAAGGCGGTGTGTCCCTCGCCAAGTGCATCAAGACCGGTATCGACAACCCGGGGCACCCGCACATCCTGACCTGCGGTTTGGTCGCCGGTGACGAGGAGTGCTACACCACCTTCAAGGACCTGTTCGACATCGTCGTCGGAAAGCGCAACGGCAACTATGCCCCGGATGCCAAGCACGTCTCCGACATGGACGTGAACAAGCTGTCCACCACCAAAATCGACCCCACCGGCAAATACTGTATTGCTATTTTCGTTTTTGTAAAAAGCGATTTTTTAAATAAAACAAAAAATTATGATGCATACGCGACATAATCTTGATTTCAGTGAATTTGGAAGATGAATGTACCGCCCCAAGTCATCTGATGAAGTAATCTGAAGTGCTGCGGTTTTCTTCGAAAAGAAAAAGTGAAGTTTCAATATCAATTTCTATTCAGGCCTGACCACCCGGTGCCGCACCGGTCGTTCCGTCCGCGGTTTGCCGCTGCCGCCGGCGTGCTCGTTCGAGCAGCGTCGTGAGACCGAGCGCGTATGCGTGAAGGGCTTGATGAAGATGGAAGGTGAGTTGAAGGGTCAGTACTTCCCGCTGAACGGATCCAAGTCCATGGAGCCGGAGTTCGTTGGCATGACCCACGAGAAGGAGGAGAAGTTGCGCAAGGGCGGCAACCTGTTCCAGGAGCCGGACTCCACCCTGCTGCTGTCCTCCGGCTGCGGCCGCCACTGGCCGGATGCCCGTGGTATCTTCCACAACGACGCGGAGAACTTCTTCGTCTGGGTCAACGAGGAGGATCAGCTGCGCATCGTGTCCATGGAGAAGGGTGACAACATCCGCGCCATCTTCACCCGCTTCGCCAACGCCACCAAGGCCGTCGAGAAGTGCCTGAAGGAGGAAGGCTACGGCTTCATGCACAACGACCACTTGGGATAGTATTAACTTGGTTTGTCATCTTTGTTCAATTTGGGTGTGTTTGTACCTGTAGAGGAGATTATCGCACCATGTCTAGTCTCATCTTGTTTCTTTGGCACGAAAGAAGCAGAGCCGTCGGTTTTATTTTTAACTTCAATTTTTATGGAGACCTTGCCGTTCGGAACTTTCGATGAACAACATTAAGAAAATCTAAATCGCAAAACTCAAAACAGCATCCTGACGTGCCCGTCCAACTTGGGTACGGGTCTCCGCGCCGGAACGATGGTCAAGCTGCCTTTGTTCTCCGCCCGCCCGGACTTCAAGGACATCATGAAGAAGATGAAGCTGCAGGCCCGCGGTACCGCCGGCGTCGACTCCGCCTCCACTGGCGGCACCTGGGATATCTCCAACGCCGATCGCCTGGGCATGTCCGAAGTGCAGTTGTGCAACTTGTTCATCGAGGGTGTCGCCCAGGTCATCCGGTGGGAGCAGGCTCTGGAAGAGGGCAAGGACATCGAGGCGGAAGTTGCCGCCGCCAAGCCGCTGGGCTTGGATGTTGGGGTAAGTTACTTGCGACATTCTTTCTTTCCAATTTAGGTGGACGTAGCCTATCTTTGTCTACTTAGCGGGAGTTTGCAGATTTCGACCTCGGCAAGTCTGTCAGTGCTCTCGGTGTCTGCTTCGGGTCGGGGTACTAGTATGTGCTTAAAAAGTTACAATTCCAATCGCGTCATCAAACCAATTCAACACACAGTCCTACCCGCCGCTGGCCCTCGCCCCGATTGTGTACGAGCTGCCCGACTGGATCAAGGTTGGCTGCGGTGCCGCCGAGTACTACTGCCCGGAAAAGGGTGCCACGTTCCCCGGTGACAAGTGCCCGGACACCCTGCCGGATCTGTCCAAGCACGGAAACCTGTGCGCCATGGCCCTGCGTGATCACCCGGAAATCTACGAAAAGTACTACAGATGCTTTTTTTTGTGTGAAGTGTGAGGCTCAGCCCATCTAAATTTCGAACACCCTCAATCGCATACTGCATGATTTTCAAGGGCGTGCTTTTTGATTGCAGAAGCAAAATGCTTCTTCTAATAAAGTTCTAAAAAATCCACCGTGACAGGTACAAAAACGTGGTCACCCCGGGTGGCGTGTCCTTGGCCAAGTGCATCAAGACCGGCATCGACAACCCCGGACACCCGCACATCTTGACCTGCGGTTTGGTCGCCGGTGACGAGGACTGCTTCACCACGTTCAAGGACCTGTTCGACATTGTGATCGGCAAGCGCAACGGTGACTACCCGGCCGATGCGGTTCACACCACCAACATGAACCTCGATGATCTGTCCACCACCAAGATCGATCCCACCGGCAACTACTGTATCCATTAGTCATTTTCTCGAGTTATATTTTTTCTCACCCTGTGGAAGCTGGATGAGACATGCAAAAAATCTTGTCTGTGGCAGAGTGCGCTGTTGCTCTCCCATGTCGTGAATCCCAACTGACAGACAAAACCTAAAACAGGCTTGACGACCCGCTGCCGCACTGGTCGTTCCGTCCGCGGCCTGCCGCTCCCCCCGGCGTGCAGCTTCGAGCAGCGTCGTGAGACCGAGCGTGTGTGCGTCAAGGGTCTGATGAAGATGGAGGGTGAGTTGAAAGGTCAGTACTTCCCGCTGAACGGATCCAAGTCCATGGAGGACCAGGGCATCATGGGCATGACCCCCGAGAAGGAAGAATCCCTGCGCAAGAACGGCAACTTGTTCCAGGAGCCGGACTCCACCCTGCTGCTGTCCTCCGGCTGCGGTCGCCACTGGCCCGATGCCCGTGGTATCTACCACAACGACGCGGAGAACTTCTTCGTCTGGGTCAACGAGGAGGATCAGCTGCGCATCGTCTCCATGGAAAAGGGTACAAAAGCATTTGATTCACGCGTGCTTCGAAACGACCTCTGCTTCGCATCAGTATTTTGTCCGCCTTGACGGGTTTTGCTCTACTCAAAGATAGGACGACACTCGTTTTGCAAATCTTTTTCCACTGACGCTTACATCAAGTGCAAAAATGATGTTTTGCACCGATATAAAATTTAGGTGATGATATCCGCGCCATCTTCACCCGGTTCGCCAACGCCACCCAGGCCGTGCAGGAGTGCTTGCAGTCCGAGGGTTACGACTTCATGCACAGCGACCACTTGGGTTACATCTTGACCTGCCCGTCCAACTTGGGAACGGGTCTCCGCGCCGGAACCATGGTCAAGCTCCCGCTGTTCTCCGCCCGCAAGGACTTCAAGGACGTCCTGAAGAAGATGAAGCTGCAGGCCCGCGGTACCGCCGGTGTCGACTCCGCCTCCACCGGCGGCACCTGGGACATCTCCAACGCCGATCGCCTGGGTATGTCCGAAGTGCAGCTCTGCAACCTGTTCATCGAGGGCGTAGCGCAGGTCATCCGATGGGAACAGGCCTTGGAGAAGGGTGAGGACATCGAGGCCGAGCTCGCCGATGCCAAGCCGTTGGGTGTGTAAGTCGAAAAAGTGATCTGATTACTTGGAGTTAAACTACACGAACAACAACAAAATCAATTTGGAAACAAAAAACAACATCACAAATTACGAAGTAAAAATGTATGATATTAAAACCTAAATGCGACGAGGAGACTACAACATCAACTCGAAGACAAAAATATCTCAGTCGCACAGCCCAATCAGATTACCATTTACGAATTTTTTCGAATAGAAGCTCTGGTCAACCTGTAGAAAGAGAAGAAATCTTTTTGGAACTTGCCACTCTTTGGAAATCAGCTGAGTTTATGATGCTTTGTCTTCAGCGCCTTAATCCGTGTTGACGGCATTGCTTCATTCAGTACTTCATCTGCTAGTACACCAATTTCTTTCGAGTGGTTTGTTTTACGATTTTTTACCTCGTTGTGCAGTTGAGATGCGCGTGGATCAAGACTGTTACGACTCCATCTCAGAATCAGACACGATTTTATCAAAATCATAAATAGGTTTCGCAAATAGAATGCATAGGAAAAAATAAATCCGATGTACACACTAAACGGGATAATTTTCGAAGAGAATACGTCAGTTGTAGTTATTCTCTCTCTCAGTTCTACCCAAAATTGTTTTCTTATTCTTCACGCGCTTCTGTATCGGTTCTATTTTTCGTTTGCCGCAACAAGATTTGCAAATTTCACGCTCCTGCCAGGCACCATTTTAGTGCGACGCGAAATATACTTAGAAGCTGGCTCTGGAGTTTTTGTTTACCTTAGTGGACAAATCGCAGGCCTTTACTTGGGTGCGTGTTGAATCAGGTACAATATATAACGATCTCGACCATTATTTGAGCACTACCCGAGATTTTCAAGTTTGCACAGTATCACACTTTTGGGAACCCACGATTAACATTTATTCTTGTCATAGGACCAAGCTGGAAAAGGGTTTGTTTGCCTAAGTTTTTAACCAGCTTTTGGTTACCAACTGGCTCATGCAGCTCTCTTTCGGTGCTGGTCTCTTCGCAGTGTCACCACCCCCTTTTGAACAAATTTGTCGTAGCTCTCGTACTTTTGATAGCAGTATTCTTGAGCGGCATTTCAGATGACGAGGTTGCTTCTTGCAACCCGACACGGAGATTGCGAATATTGCAGCGGCCTTCAAATAGATAGGAGCTCGGCGAAGAATGTTTGACCCCCGGAATCGTTTGAAATTGAAATATTTGTCATAACAGCGTCCCTATCTTCCCCGGGACTTTGCGAATTACAGTAAGGGTTGAACGCTTCACCCATCTCTGTGCTGTATGCACTTTCCATTTCCAATCACAGAGGTAAGGTGTTTTCGAAACGAAGAAAAGACCAGTTCCATCATCGGTTCGCATCTTCTTTGGATCATCTTTTAGGTGCAGTAACTCGCAGTGGGTACTAGGACTTTGTCATTCTCGTTTTCGTTAACCACAAATTTATCGCGCATTTCGGTGGCTGATTGCAAATCGGTTTTTTCGTTACCTTGAGTGCTGTACCTACACGCAAAAACAGTCGTAAATGCCAGAGGAAGCAACCTTTCACCTCTGTACTGTCTGTGCTATGCTGTGAATGAACTCTCGTATGCTAATGCTTGCGCGCATGAATATCCGAGGCGGTCTATTTTGATGCGATGTGCCTGCAATTGGTATCGATGTCGTGCTTTCGTTTCTCGGGGCCGTTCGTGAAAGGCTTGACCTCCGCACGCCCCCCCCCTAGTGCAGGATAAATGATGATGATGATGACGTAGAGCGCCCGGGCCAGACGATGCGACGTTGCAGTGGTACGTGAAAACGTTAAAAATCGTTTCTATGGGTCGTTGTGTCCAGTACCAGTTTTCGTACCTTAAGTATCACTATTAAGTTTGCGATAGGTAGTGGACAGGTCTATTTGTCAATGTTCATCTCTCTAATGTAGAAGTTTTTCCTATCATCATGGACGACGAAGCGGAAAATTTGCTTATCGCCCCTATTACCGGCGACACACCAGCCGACGACCAGGATCTTCCCAGATTGTTGAGACAGCTGCGGACCGACGATTTGCTTTTTGGTGGGCGCCGGCATCGAGACAAGAGCACTTCTGCGGAAAACAGACATGCGGATTTCCTGAGCGAGCCTGATTTTGAAAAAGATTTGCTAGCGCAGAAGTACACTCTCTTTGCCAACACAATCGCCATCGGAATCAACGACGAGAGAGCAGGGAACAGGCTGGTGGGTCATGACGAATCATCCTCGGAGGACTCTTCTGCGTCAAGTCAAAGTGGTAGCGAGGGTGGCAGTGTGTCCTCTAGCTCGATGGATGACGAAGAATTCGATGCGGTTTTTCTGCAGCAGCTTCGCGACGTGGTAAAAGTAAACTCTGCACGACGAGAGAAGGACTGCGCTGCTTCGGAAAGCGTAATAAAGCTAGACCTTCCGCAGCCGTTACGACCCAAAACGTCGAATAGCAGCAAGCGCAGCATATTGGAAGATCTGGGTTTGTCCGCTGGCTGCGTTACGGTGCAAGACGACACAACGTCGAAGAGGAGCACTGCTAATTCTGCAGCACAGCTAGAGCAGCAGCAGGAGAATCGACCAACGTCACATGCATCTTCAGATGACAGGGGCGATAGAAGCAAGATCGGAGATGGTCGCTCGCTTTCGCAGGGGCATCCGCGAAGCTGCAACTTCACGGACACGAAGCCAATCGGGTCGAAAAAGGAAAAACTTGGCCGGGAACAGCAGACATCCAGTCGTTCGAGGGGGTCGCAAAAGTCCGCGTCCAGTGTGGACCGACCACGGCAAAGCGTTCCGAAACCGACGGCCTGGACGAAAGCGGAACAAGTACCGAGCGATGAAGGGCGAAAGAAGGGTACACAGGATACTACAACACGGCCAACTACAGCTCCTGTCACGCGCGGAGACCGGTCGCCCAAACCAAACCTGACTGCCCAGGGGCAGATGAAGCAACAGTCGAGCGGCGCGACCACACCAGTCAAGATGAAAACAACGCTAGTACCCTCCGCTGCTTTCGCAAGTCCAAGTAGTTTCAAACCTCGGGCTAGGACGACTATGTTGAATAAAACGTCAACCTCAACCAGTAGCAGTGCAGCAGCAAAGGAGGGTAAAAACGAACATGACAGCAGGTTTAGTAAATCGAAAGTTCGTGGTCAGATCCCGCAGGAAAGTAAATCATTGCTCGCGCCAGTTTTGGGTTCATCAAGTTCCGCAGCACTTACAAATTCTTCTATTTCATCTTCAGTTCCGCAAAATAGCTTTAACCGAGGGGATCTTGACCTCCAGTTGAAGCAAAAGCAACTTCTCGACACCGCAACAGAAGTGAAGAAAGCGAAGGAGGCACTGAAGGAAGCGAAGTTGAAATACGAAAGCCGCCCGGGCGGGGATGGCGTAGCCGTTAAACGCATGCTACAGGTGTATGAACGGATGCAGTCTAGGTTGACGAGACTCGAAAAGCGCGTGGTTCGAGGGAAACCAGGTGCGAATGCCGATGCAGCAGCTGCAGCGACGTCCTCATCCACGGGAGCGATTCCCGCGAAGGCTCGCAGTGTCGGGCCATCTATCGGACTTGCAACTTCTGGCTCAATGATCTCCGTTGGCGCAACAGTAGAGCCAGAAAAGACCACGCATGCGAGGCCGGCAGCAAGTTCGTCAGAACATCATCGCCGAGTAGAACAATTTAACAGGTCTAGGTCGCCACGGGTGTTACTGCCCGCTCCGGTGGAGAGGAGAAAAAGCGCCATCGCGGTTTTGTCGCCAGCCGCAGTTGAGACGCGGGCGGAGGCGACACAGGAAGTTGTAGAGGACAAGAGCAGCAGATCCACAACTGTGCGCAGACGTTTCATCTCTGAAAGTAACCGGCAAACAAGTCCGCGCGTCGTCACACGATTGTCTTCGACGCCAATCGGACACGACCAGACACGCGAGAACGACGCGGTAAAAACAAGAACTGATGAAAAAGCACAGGACAGAGCAGTAACAAGCGTACTACGGCCGGCGACAGAGCAGCGATCCGTTACGCCACCCGTCGCAAGACTCGGAGTCACGACTAAAAGTAGACCCGCGCCCAAAAGTCCGCCGAAAATCGGTTTCGGGCGGAGCGTTTCTCCACGAGCGAACCCTTCTGTGACAAGGACCTCGCCACGACTGCCAGTGCCGCGCAAAGTTGTGGAGCAACACGTCCAGCAGACAAGCAATGGCGTTGTGGCGGCAACACACCACCATCACCAAGAGTTGAAAGTCCCAGTGGTCAAAGACAAAACGCAGCAGGTCGTGAACAGCACCGTCGCAGCGCTAAACTCGAACAGAAATAGCCACTTGCCCTCAACATCCCCAACAGTCGTCGCGTCCTCATCTTCAAGTACCTCTGGAAATAATAACGCGAGGAGCGGCGACCCACCAGCAGTAGTAGTCGTTCATCAACATCAGCCCAAGGCGAAGCAGCCCGTACCGAGGCAGCTTGATGAAAGCGGGAAGGGAGAAACGACACAGACTGATCTCGAGAACGATGAGGCGGCGTACATTCAGAGCTTGTTCCACTGCAAGAATGGCGATAATAAAGACGGAAGATTTATTTCAGCTGCTGGTCGAGCTGGTAGTGCATCCACATCCAGCGGCTTCCCTTATAATTCCGCAACCCGAGCAGGATCTTCATTCGGATTCCTTGGCCCCGCGGGTGTCAACATGAAAAAACAACACTTCGTCCGTCCGACGGCGAGCAGCATCGCCAGAGAGATGTCCGTGGCGAAGGCACGGGAGGAAAAGAAAGAGAGGCTGCAAACGGCCGCGCAGGAAGTAGAACAGAAGGCGGGGATCGTCGTTTCGGTGGGAGGACCTGCAGGTTCGGCAGTGGTAGAGCGGAACAAACACGTTCTTGGGAACAAAATGAGTTCGAGTTCGACGCGGCCTTTGAGAGGACGTGTGAATAAGAAAACTTCGCAGCAGCCGCTGCTTTTTTCGCAGGATCACGGGGAAGCTGGTGATCAGGAAGAAGACGCTGATTTCTACCGACCAACGACGCTTGCTCAGGAGGAGGAGAATGGTATGATTTTTAGGCTGTATAACGAAGTACATGCGCAACTTGGAGGACGGTACTGTTCTCAGTATGCTTGCTTCATACAGCTTCCACAACATAATTAGGCTTAGGATAATAAATTCTCTTTGTTCACTTAACATTTACAGCTGCGTCCTCCAGCCTGCAGGCCACCGTCGAGCCGAGCGTCGTCGAGCGTGTCGGTGAGCTTGGCGAAAAGGTACTAGAATCTGTAGTACTTGCGGCCTCAACCACTGAAGGCGTTATTGAGGGAGCAACGGTCGCTCCTGCCGCATCAATAGCACCACCGCTTGGCAGCAGTTCTAAGGACAACCGCGAACCTACTGCTGCAGAAAGTTCTTCTTCCAGGGCAAAAAATGGCAATCAAAAATCAGTAGAAACAAGGCCGCAAGAGCTGGCCGCTCCGGCATCGACGTCCGCAGTAGAGCAACAAGTTTCCGCCGCGTCTTCCACTTCCGCTTTCGAGCCCGCGCTTTCCGCACCGCCTCTCGATCTGCTGTCCCGGGTCGCGGAACTGCCTACGGACGAGGAAAACGAAGAATTAGATGCGTTGTTCCGGAAGGTTTTGCAGACCGTCCTGACCGAAAGCAATCAAAACTCGCCAGCAAATCGGACACGATCTTTGCTCGAGAAGAACGGAGGAGTGATTTCAACTTCCTCTGCTGGTAGACCAGCACGGAAGATGAACGCCGGTAACAACACAACCGGTTTTCAGTTCAAGCTGAACCAGGACGCGGTAGACAAGAAAATCAGCACTTTCATCGAAAAAACCATCGACGAAGACGCGACGCTGGTCGACCGAATCGTGAACTCGAAGGAAATGTCGCGGTCCAAATCCAATCCGGTGACGATCTTCGATCAGATCGAGGAACTCGGTGCGTCGCCGGCAGAGAGAGAAGAGAACGACGACCGGCATCAGGAGGTCCTGCAGATGGAATTGCATCCGTTTTTCAATTCCTTTTCTCCGGAATTAGACACGACCGAAGCGATTTGGATAGCGGAGCAACTCTGCGACCTGTCCGCGAAAACGACCAAATGCCTGCACTCCCTTGCGATCAGCGCGCACCGGGATCGGGGGAACAATTTCGACCACACAATGTCGACGGCCTCCGCAGCCGGAGATCTGAGAAATGCAAAAATGAACAAGTACGGGAACAGCAGCGGGTCGCTGGCTAGGTCGGTCCTGGAATGCTGCAGCTGCGGCACGGAATCCGCCGGGACTCTGCACACGATTTGCACAAACCTACTGCAGAACGCGGAGCAGACGCTGCCATTGTTGGAGCAGCAGGCTGAGTTGTACAATAGTGAAATAGTAAGTCCCTCTACGCAGCTTTCAAAGCCGCTGATTGGGAACATTCTTTACATCACTTTTCTGCCGATTTGCAGGTTGCACGACGTTCTAACAACGCTGCGGAAAATCATCGTGACCTACTACACGGCGGCGCCGACCTTCTCCCTGGAATTGCTGGAAGATCTGAAGCAGAACGCGCGAACCGTGGAGAAATACGAGAACCAAGCGATCCGCAGCTACAACCGGCTGAACAACGCTTTCGTGGACGAAAACGACCGAAAAGCGGTGCGGATGGCCGCTTTGGTCTGCTGGCAGACGTTTCAGGGGGGAAATTTCCTGAGTTCCGAGTACCAGATGGGCGTAGCAGCGATGTCCTCGTCGCATACGGTCAACAAACCTGTTCCGATCGACATGGGACCCCAGTACCCGCTGTACCAGTCCAGCAGCGTCCCGGCGATCATCGACAAGGTCGGCGATATGCGGTTCGGGATTGACCCGTTGCATTTACCGATGTGGAAAAACTTAATCGTGCCGAACTTCCACGCGAGGACCAACCTGTTCGCGAACATTCTGGAAAAGCACCACGACTCCGACCACAAGGAGCACCCGGGGCCGCTGTTGACGCCGAAAATAGGGGAAAACTTCGACCCGCTCGCGATTTCGCCCTTGAGGAAAATCGACGGGACGAACGACAGCAATTACATGATGAAATTCGTGCGGAGCCCTGACGTTGCGAAGAAGATCTCCGACATTCAGGCGCTCGATTTGCGGAAGGCAAGCGTCGACCTGGCGCAGCAGCGACTGTGGGCGGAGAAGGTGAAGAAGAACAAATTTTTGAAGTACCAGTCCCCCGCCCACGAAACGGTCAAGCTGCCGGGGTTGGACAAACTGAGCCTCCCCGGGTCCCCGCCGGTAATCGGATTGAAAGCGAACCCCTGGCCACCGCGAGACTTTGCGGCGTACGAGGCCATGCAGAATCGGGTGAAGTTGGCGCCGAAGAGTAAAGCCAAACCGAAGGCGAAGGCAGCAAGTAGTGGCGCCTCGTCTTATCAAAAACCCCAGGCGAGACCCTATTCGCAGCACGCTGCAAAGGTTCCGGAAAAAGCTGCAGATTTGTGGGATTCGTTGCGGGAGAAGCATGCGTGATAAAAGCGATATGCGGAAGCTTTCGGTCATTACTGCTGCCAGTAAAGAAAAAGTTTATCACCACGATCAGGGTGGAAGGTGACTGTTATAAGTTAAAAATCTAGTACAAACATGCTGAAACTGAAAGCGAAAGAAACCGAGTCTCGTGCTGCTCCGGTCACAAGAGTGACTGTCAGGTGCGAAAACAGTCAACATAGTGTCATTCAGAAAGAGAAAAAATTCCCTTTATTCACTTTCAAATTTATTGCAGACTCTGACTCTTATTAATTGTTGCTTCGTTGAAATTGTTTGATATTTTTCCAAAAGTTTGCCTCTTACATGTGTCTTAAGCGTCTCGATCTTCATCGAAATCCTGTACTACGGACAGCTGTTGAATCGTAACTGTAACAAATTAGATTGCTTGCCATCTACCTCTTTGATCTTACGTTGGGCGAAAAATGTGCTGTTTCTCGTTTCAAATTCAATCGTCAACATGATGGCGAAGAAGTACTGTTGATTTTGACGTTGCCATGACATTTTCCTAGAACAGTGACAGGGTTAGTTGCAGACCCGATGAACAAAATGAAAAGCGAAAGTACATAGAAAATGTCGAAGCTATCGTGGCAACGCATTGAATTTCGAACGTGGTAGTCGTGTCAGTTTTTTTTCTTCGTGAAAGAATTGAATTCAGTGACTTCGAACAAGAACCTCCTTCTACTTACATTCGTCATGTCTCTCTCTCTCTCTGGATCCTCGTTTTAGTTTGTTGGCATCACTCACTTTTTCCTTTTCGTGATCGTGGGACCATACTCATTTCGTCGCATCGTGTATGAGCCTTTGGTAGATACCGCGAAGCTGCGCGAAGATTTATAAAAAACGCAAAGTGCCAATTCGTTTTTACGGACACTCTGTTCTCCTTTGAAAGAAGAAAAAAAAATCTTTTCCATTTCTGAAATAAAATTTTCATGCAAACTCGTTCAGTTTTTTTTTGGGAACATTCGACATCAGCCGGGGGGGTAACCCAAGGGGACGGTCTATAATAAAAGTTGAAGTAGAGAACAATCTTCTGCGATAGTACTACTCTAGGGCGAAAAATAGCAAGTAGTAGGGACGAGCAGTTTCAGCAGCTAGCAAAAACGCAATCAACATGTCGCTCGGGGAAATGGACATGAAGACGCGGTTCATCCCGAACCAGATCCATCTGACCAGTACTACGTTCAGGACGCGCAGGTCGAAGTCGCTCGACCAGCAAACCCTGCTGATCGAAAACGTACCCGGTCGCGCGCCCAGGGACGTACCAGACCGCGCGACGGTACATCCGCCGCGAAAGCCCAGTACGACCTACCAGGTAACCTGCTAGAGGACTTTCGAGCGCTTTACGTTGTGATTAGAAGTAGAGATGGAATTCGTTATATTTTAGATGAACGGAATCTCTGAAATAATTCAGATTGTAATAAAGTATGGCTTAGTTTTGCCTTTGCCAGCAAACCCTTGTGCGGTCAACGCGATACAATTCGAATTCCAAATGAACAACGAACAGGTAATCAATGCTCCTCCAGACCGTGTGTATGGCCAAGTCTCGCGCACGAAGTTTTTACGACGCTGATCAAAGATTGTGGTGGGCTTTGTCATGTATATCCCAAGGTGTATTTGTTTCGTTTGCAATCGGAATCACGAAGAAAAAAATGCGATCGGATTTGTAGAGTGCATGGCATGACATGCAACATACCACCACGATCTTTTATCGCCTTCATAGAATGGTGGTGAAGCCACGACGCAAGATGCGAATCAAACGTGGTGGGAAAGGGGGGAACACTGGAATCGTGACAGCAACATCAAACGATGGAATTTTCAGGAGGTGCGAAGGAATGCGGCACAGGTAAAGATATGCTGTAGTGATGAAAATGATTTTTTGATGCTCTGCACCTGCAGAGCAGGAAAAATGATTTTTCCCGCACGTCTGGATGAAGGCACGAAAATCCTAGTTGGGTTCTCTTCGATCGTTTCATTTTTTTCAATCCGCAACATACGAATGCAGGGATCGCACGACGTTCACCGGCATGAGCAGATCAACCACGAGCGACTCGCCGCCGACCGTGAGAACCCGGTCGACATGTTTAAAACGTGGATTCCGCCCCGGAAGTACGACAAATACAACCCAAAACCGGGGGCGGCCCGGGACTCCTTATGAAATGCAAAAATGTCATCTGGGGCTGGAAGGTCATAACTTGTCATGCTGTCTGTGGATCCTAAAAAAATTTGGATTGCATATCACCATCAAGAGGGGTCGGAATTGTCCTACGTAGAGAGGGCATTTCTCATGCGGTAGAGGTATCACAAAGCCCTCTGAAAATCAGTGATGCTACGGCTTGCATCACAGACATCATGGCTCATGGAAAATATGCATGACAAGTCTAGAAATCTTCCAGACCCAGACATTTTTGCACTTGATACTCCTGCGGCATCCACAACCAGCTCGCGCGGAAAAATACCGAGTACGGCTGGTGCTACGACTATCATTTGTAAAAACGTCCCCACCCCAGAGTTGTCATGCAGATTTGCACTGACAGGAACATTTGTAATGCGCATCACTATGAGAGCAATTTCTAGTCGTGTTGTGGCATTTGTAATGCTGTAACCAGGATCAGTAGATGGATTTGTGATGCGTTTTCCCTTGCTAACCTGCACTACACTACGGACGGCAACTCGTGATGCATGAGTCCCAAAACTTCTAGGTTTGTGTTGCAAAATCCCCATCTTGACTCTGGTGTGGGGACGTTTTTACTCAGGATAACGACGGCGACTCGACCCGGCCCTCGGCGATTTACACCAAGAAGTTCCAGAAAATGGGCGAAGATGCGTTCCGGAAGCGGGGGACGTGGGTGATCTAAGCAGACTACAGGACAAGAAGTACAGATGGGTGGTTCAGGTTCTTAAATGAGTCAGAACAGTCAACAGTAGCCGTGCATTTGCTGTTCTATTGCAGGGTGTTGCACGTGGTCATGGAGTCGTGTAGCTTCTGGTTTTGTTTGAGCTGAGCGCTTTTCTTGCGCAGATTTCAGTTTTCGCTTTTAACCTCATGTTTCCGTTGATAAGTACAGCATTTCGCTTTTATTCTATTTTTTTACGCTTTTGAGCACTCTTTGGGAAAATTTTCTGCTAAATATTGCATCGCTCTACGTTGATATTTGCATACTTTTTTGAAACCATGCATCCATATCCACTCTCACACCAAACTTGTACATATTTTTGAGTCGAAGTGCCATCGCATGCGATACCGAAAACTGTACCATATTTTTGTTTGCCCCTAGTGGGTTATTTCTAGTAAGAACTGGAAACTGGTGTTTTAGGCGCTTTTTCCCTCGCTTGTGAGGCTAAGGAGTGTGCTGCATGTCGATTTCATTCTGTTCTGTATTCGTTTTTGTATTGTTCCCGCTGTCGGTTTACGTCCTTCTTTCCCTGCTCTCATGCAGGTTGCAGATTCTTTCGTCACAAGGAACTTATTGGGATGGCTATCTATGTTGTGTCACTTCCTTTCCATGCATTTGCATGGTTGTCGTTCATCCGTCCACCCAAGAAGATCGTTCAACATTGGTTTCTTCGTTTTTCGTCAACTACGGCCCGTCTCGTGCTCAACACTTCGTGCAGGAAAGCAAAGAAACTGCTTCGGTAGCTGCTCTGGAGCTGCGGTTTGTCTGTAGGTGTACGTGATGTTTATTTGAAATTGTAAGAAATAAAAAGCTGTGCTGTCGGTCATTTCGTTTGTTCTGCTGATCTTTCGTGAAAACCAAAACCTCCGAGTAGCTGTCGCTGCAATAACGAGAAGATGAATTATCAGTGCGCGTTATGTAGTCTTCGTTCAACCAGCTGACTTTGTCTGCGATTAGGAGAACTTTTGATTGGATTTTCTTCTTCTTCACATCACAGGAAGTGTTTGAGCCAGCATGCATTTTCACTTATTCCAACGAGTGTGCAGCGTGTGCAGCTTCCCGGCAAAATAAATTACGATCGTGCAGCACAGCACCCAATCACTTTTATTGACTCTTAGCAATTCGAAGCGAGACAGAGCCTCAACAGCTTTATTCTTCTTTACAGCTCGCAAGCGCAACATTAAAATGCCGCGTCTTTCGGAGATTCGGGGCGCAATCTCCAAGAACAGGAAGCGCATGGAGGAGCGCAAGGAGAGGATGACGCACCACGCATCGGTCCAACACGGGATGTCCCAGGTCAGCTTCAATGCAGCGGATCTCGACAGCGAAAAGCACGAGCATGCCGAGACGTTTTTCGCGGAGCACTTCGGGGAGCACGTGGCCGGGTTGAGTGGCGGTGTGAGGCAGTTCGAGAAGGGACAGGGATTAAAGGAACGTAATGGAAAAAGTTTTTGCTGCTCGTCCACGGATTCATTCTTCATATTTTTGCTTGCACAGTAGAATTTGAAGTATTGACTTGAGGCTTTGCATGTTGATGTCGATTCACGATTGTGCTTATTGTTATTTCGCAATACAACTACACCTTACTACTTTCATCACCGGCGTATACAAAAAAACTTTCACTTCCACCTACAGGTAAGGTCAACGACATGAATCCTGTGAAGAGGTTTCTGTACCACCTGACCGCTGCCCCGCTTTTTGAAGGGTTTGTGATGCTGGCCCTCGTGCTGGACATTTTTTGCGTGATCTCGGCGGAGCAGACCTCCGCCGGCTTCGCCTTCAAAGATCACAGTGGCTACACGACAGCCGCGGACGAGACCCTGGTGCTTTTTTACAACCACGACACCAACAGCGTGGGCAGGAACGCCGGATTTCCGGTTTCCCTTGCCGCGCGGCGACAGCTGGGGACTACTTCGGATTATTCGGTGGCCGAATCATATGACAGAAGCAGGACGCTGCTGTACAACAGTTACGGCGAAGGAGATGTTGAGATGACTCAAGAGCAAACTGCTTTGTTCGCCGAGGATCAAAGTGGTGCTTTGGCAGAAGATCATACGGAAAAACCAGCACCTTGGTTTATTTCAGCCCTCTTCTCCTCCTTCGCGGTTCCAGATGAAACAACTATTTCAACATCAAGGAGAACGACCCGTCTCCTCGCCTCCTCCGGACCGAAAATTTCCAAGTGCTACGTGGCGTGGGCCTACGACTGGCACCACTTCTTCGTGACCTTGTCGAAGATTATTCTCACTTTTTTCATCGTGGAGATTTCCGCCCACGTCTACGTGAACGGTCCCTACGAGCACTTTTTCGTGGGCCACGGGTCGAAATTCAACATCGCGGGGCACTGGATCGACGCCTTGGTGGTGCCATCCTCCTGGTTGATCGAGTTTTTTTTCGAGGAGAAGTTCAATGGGATCGGGTTCCTGATTTTTCTCCGGCTCTGGCGCGTGATCCGGATCATTGCCGGGTTCTATCTCTCCGTTTCCATGATGCAGGAGCAGCACCACGCGTACGAGGAGCTAGCGGAGTTTACCAACATGGTCACGGGGTTTCTGGAAGACTGCGACCTGATGAACAAGTTCGAGCTGTACGAGGAGAAGTGGCACAAGCGAAAATCCGGTTACGGCTTCGGCTCCACGCTGGAACTGGGGCACGCCGCCACCAGCTTGGAATTGTCGAAACCGAGGGGGCCGGCGCAGGCGCGGGAGGTAGACGGTTTGACAGACGACGACGCGCCGGACGAGGGCATGTCTACTCCAAAGGACGGAGGTGCTGTAGATGGTGTACCTGGAGAAGCGAATGCAGAGGACACCGCAGCCACCTCCGGCGCACCGGTGGTGAAAAAGGAAACGCGGAAAGAGAGCATTGCGATCGCACAACGCTTGGCCACGGAAATCGCGAGAATGGAGGCCAAAGGGGAAAGTTTGCCACATCCCGCGGATCTCGATGTCTGAGATGAAGAATCAGATGAAGGTCATCTTGTTCGTTGTAGAGGAAGCTACGTACGAGGAAACGGCTCTTCTTTATTGGAACTTCGTCGACCACCGGCTCCCGGCTCAATTGCAATTGCAGTTCGGTTTTATGTTGTTCTTTCGATGAAAATCAGAATCGAAGTGGATCTTTCACATCACTTTTTTGCTTATAGTATTCACACCTTTGTTACTGCTGACGCGGAGCTCCTTCATTTTGGAATCTTAAGAAAAGTACTTGACTCGTCTACCCTTGTTACCATATTAATCCCCCTTTAAAATTTTGATTCTTGGTGGTGCTCCCCCCGGCACAGACAAAAATGGTTTCAATCAATAGAAATATCACAAACTAGAGCACTCTATATATATACGTCCTTTGTTCCTAGAAGCGTTTCAGTTCGAGATAAAAATTGGTTTATACAGTAGAAGCGCGACCTACTTAGCGAATCACAACCCGAAGAAGTGTTCCGCGAAGTGATTTGCCCTGATACATGACTACTGCCTGGGGACATGCATCAACCAGCCTGCTCGTAGTAGGTTCAAGACTCGGAATTTTTGGCCCCGTCGTGGTGTGAAAAAAGAAAAGCATCGTATAGATCTATGATCGGACTCGGTGCGGTAAACAATAAAAAAAAAACTTGACATAAAGGCTCCGTTGCTCCTTTTTATGTCACAACGTTAGAAGACTTTCAGTCGGAACACGAGGAGATCCAGAAGCAGATCTGAATTGTGCAGTGAGAGACACGGGCCTTGTCACAAAAATTCTGCAAATAAGATCAAGATGCCCCGAAGCCGGGACCAAGATCATGGCCAGCACCGGAGGAAAAACGACAAACATTCTTCGAAACCGACCGATCAGCTGCTGCCGGACGATGTTTCTGGCCGGGATCCGTCTGCCTCGGAGAATGAGGAGGCGGTGTCGTTTTCTTTAGAAAACCTCAGAGGACCCCACCGGAACAAGCACGCGCAACCCGCCGCGGGGGCGGATTTGCCAGCGCCGAAGCAAGTCCGGTGTTGTCCGACGGACATTATTTGTTGTTTCGTGTTCCTCGCTTACGTCACGGTTTTGTTCGGGACTAGTATCTATCTTTTCGTCAATTCTTCAATAAACCAACCTCGCGACCTGGATGGCAACCCGTGCAAGATCCCGGGGGAAATCCTCTGGAACCGCTACTGCATTCCGGTATGCATTGCAAATATGTCTGGGTCTGGAAGGATGCGAACTTGTGATGCGCATTTCGCAACACGCACAAATCTCTCATGCAGAGGCAGCAAAAACAGCCACTTCCTGTCACCAAAATGGGTTACTTGTCATGCGGATTAGGCAAGCCGGAAGCTTCTCGAAATCTGTCATGCTAGGGCTTTCATGACAGATGTTCTGTGTCATGCAAAAACAGCATGACAAAAATCTGCATTCTTCCAGACCCAGACATTTTTGCAGTTGATATCCGGACCCGACACACAAAATAAAGCCCACGAACTACAAACGAGGACCTCTGCTCCCAGCCGTAACAGAACCAGAGGTGGACGATGACGACACCAGCGCGACGAGCAACAGCGGTGATAAAGTCATCGAGAAGTGCCCCCGGTGGCACCCCGGGCCCGCGATGCAGACCCAGCAGGTGCAGCGGCGGAAGAAGGACAAGCGGACGGGGAAGCTGGTCGACTTGCCCAAGCGGTGGCTGCCGGTGGACTTCGCGTCGCGGTACGTGCCGACGCTGAATCGGTGTGTGCGGTACAAGGTTCAAAGCACCAAGTACTGCATGCCCAGGGACACCATGTGCTTTGGACTCACTACGAAAGCGAGAAACAACGCGGCCATGCGAACCGCGATGCAATTGCTGTTGAGCGACACAATTGTACGAAAAGCAGTAGAACATACTGACCACGAAAATCGTCGTGAAAACAACGACCACGACCAAGGCTTCCTCCGGCTGCAGCAACAAAACATGAATGAGCAAAAATTTATTTCTAACCAAACGCAACAGTCCGCCGCTAGTACTTCTATAACCGGCGCTACCAGTACCACCATCAACGAGTCCGCGGACGGCCTGTCCCTCTGGCAGCGGGTCTTTCACAAGCGGAACGACCAGTCTGCCAGCTTGACTCCGCAGCAAATCGCGCCGGAGGTGGATCAGTTTGACTTCAGCACGTTCACCAACGATGAGAACAACCTGGAGTTTCGTGGGTGCTGTCCCGAGCAGGTGGCCGCGGCGTTTCCGAAGCTATCCACGCGGGAGAAGCTCTTCCTGAACAACGACGTCGACTGTTACTACACTGACGCCTACGGCCAGTTCCTACCCTTTAACGACGCGACAAGGTCGAAGTTGGTGGAGAACTACGAACAGACGATCGCGGACAGTGCGACGGCGAAATCGAAGAACAATCGGATCTATGCATTGTAAATATGTCTGAGGCTGGAAGACTGCCAGGTTTGTACATGCATATTTTGCATGACCCATGACGCCTGTAATGCATGGCCTAGCATCACAGATTTCTAGACAGCATCCTGATGCCTATTTCGCATGACAAATACTCTCTCTGCGTAGCAAAAATTGCCTTCCCTTTGCTGCTCATGCAACACAGATTTTTTTGGATTCCAAATGCAGCATCACAAGTTACATTCTTCCAGACCCAGACATATTTGCATTTGATAGGATCACCCAGATTCTCTGGCTCGTGAACAACAAGCAGATGATATCCTGTGTAAAAACGTCCCCACACCATAGTTGTCATGCAACTCTGCATGCTTAAAATGTTTCTCATGCGGGGCCCCATGAGAAGCATTTTCTAATGGTGTTTTGAAATTTGTCATGCTCCAATCAGCTGACGAGAGCGTGTGTGTGTGTGTGAGGAGGATAGTTTGGAGTGCCAGGTCCGTTGGGCCCGGGGTGGCGGCGTCTTTGGGTTGATCAACTCACCCGAAACACAATGCCATTCCGCAGTAGCACAGTCTGTTTATGTCATGCTCCAATCAGCATGGAGACTAGATCTGTAATGCTGCTGAACTAGCTCAAACAGCACTACACTACGCGTCCAAATTTGTCATGCCAAACAGACAAAGCTTGTGGATTTGTCTAGCCGATTCCCCATCTTGACTATGGGGTGGGTACGTTTTTACATAGGATAGATGATGAATTACCAAAATTTATACGAGGATGCGGTGAAAGAGGAAGAGCAAAGTCAAAACCCGCAAAACAGCTACCCGAACCGGCAGTCCAGCCCGGCTTTTTTCCAGAGCAATTTCGCCCAGGACGCCCTGAACGCCTTTCGCTCGCAGCAACTCGTCTTGAAACTGGAACGGCCGATCCTGAACCCCTCCACGACCACCGCCGATGATCTGTGGTCGCGGACCGAAAAGCAGTCCTCCGCCCACTTCACGAAGTCGCTGCGGTCGAAGTTTTGCGCGTCCGAGTACTATATCAAATGTAGAAATGTCTGGGTCTGGAAGAATTCACGTTTGTCATGCTTGTCTGGCATGACTCTTAAATCTGTCATGCACGTTACCCAAGCGCTCCGTTTTTCTGTGATGCATAAGCGCAGTTTGTCATGCAGAATAGGCAACACCTAGGAGCTCAGAAACTTGTCATGCTGAGCCAGCATTTGTAGCCTCATCATGAGACGCAACCCAGCATCACAAGTTTCCAGACCCAGACATTTTTACATTTGATATACTACGACGACGCGAACTCCAGCCAGGCGGAGGAAGAGAACGAGATCAACGGCCTGCTGGCCAAATACGGGTTCCAGATCTACGACCTGGTGCGACTGGAGTGGAAGCTGGTGCTGCTGTTCGGGATTTTCTTGCCGATTTTGTTCGGGTTTGTGGCCATCTACCTGATCCCGTACTGCATGAAGTTGCTTACCTGGCTCATCTACATCGTGGCCTTCACGACGATCATTCTCGGGAACTTTCTGCTGCTGATCAAATCCGGCTGGCTTCCGGAGTTTCTCCTGAACGAACTGGACGACGAGGGGCCCTGCGACTTCATCCCCACGGTGTTCTTGTACCACCCCAGCGAAGCCGCGGGCTACCGCAAATGGTCGGTCTTGGCCCTGATCGGCGGTTCCGTGTTGCTGCTGCTGCTGGTGTTGCTGAAGAGACGAATCGATTTGGGGCTGAAATTACTGCAGACCACCGGGACCATCATTTTGCAACTGCCCGGAATCCTGTGGTTCGGCGTGTTGGGCATCGCGCAGACCATCGCGATCCTGTTGGTGCTCGGGATTCCGCTCTACCTCGCGTACCAAACCACCCCCGACGAGATCAAATCCATCGCGATTGTCCAGACGATCTGCGGCGACTCGTTCGGAAAGGAGTTGCTCGGGGAGGACACGACGACGTGCTGTGAGTCGTTGAACTGGATCTACTTTTGCTTCATGCTCTTCGGCTTCGTTTGGTTCTTGCTGTATTCCTTCGCGGTGATGGAAACCTGCACCGCGATGTGCGTGTCCAAGTGGTACTTCGAGCGGCACGACCCGAAGTCCATGTTCTACGATTTGGAGCACGACCGGGCCTGTTTCCGACCCATCTGGTTGATTGCCGTGGTGCTGGGGAAGCATACAGGTAGGTCATCATGTGGGGGGATAGGATTTTGCGGATTTCATCATCATCTCAGGAAATCGAAATATTTTTCTGCTTGTACTATCAGAATGAAAACCAAACCTAGCAATTCTACGAAGATGGAGCAGTATCAACCTAGTCGAAGATGATGAATAAAACGCTAGTACGTCATTGTTCCTCCGATCATTCACACCAAGGTACCTGCGCGTTCGGTTCGTTCCTGCTCGCGGTTTGTTGGACCCTGCAGATCCTGTACGCCGTTCTGGAGTGGGCCAAGCAAAAAGCGAAGAAAACGGTGAGTAGCACGGCCCGGCCGCTGACCGGGACGACGTCGGGCAGCGGGGAATCTTCCTCGAGCTCCTGCTGCTCGTGCTGCTCGTTAGAAAAGATTCTTCTTGCCATCAACTACGCCATCATGTACATCTGCGGGCAAGCGTTCGTGTTCGTCGCGATCGAGGGCTGCAACTTCTGCAAGTCCGCGATGAAGGTGACGAAGCTGATGCTGAAACACCCGGTGCAGTGCGCCATGAATTTGTTTCTGACCCGGATCGTCTCCGGGTTGCTGCTCCTCCTCGTGCCGCTCTCGATCGCGTTGCTGACCTTTTTGACGCACAACGTGGGGCTGTTTCAGCTGTTCGCGAACGGGTTCAGTGGGAAGAACAGCTGCTCCAAAATCGCGGCGAATGGGGTGTACAACAAGTTTCTCGCGTTTCAGGAGGAGGGAATCAGCCTCCCCATGTTCTGCTGCATTTTGTCCGTTTTCCTCATGTTCACGCTGTGCAAGACGTACAGCACCGCGGTGGACGCGCTGTACATTTGCATTTACCGAGATCTCGACTCCTTCGACGGCCGGTACCTGAACAACTCACCGGAATTGCACTCGCTTTGGAAGAAAAGTGGCAAGGAAAGCGGTGGTAAGCACTCGTCGGAAGAGGAGGAGTAGGATGAAATATGTTCTTCAGGGTTTTCAAGAACAACATGTAGGAATAGGGAATGATTTGGGTGTGCTGGCTCCCCCAGAATGAACTCACGAAGTATGCAGAAAAAGAACAAAAATGCATTTATTGAAGATCTTTCACAACATGCAGAAATTTGAGTTTCGGATTAAATACTCGTATTCCACCGTTTCTGCCATGGTGTATCCAACTTACTAGTCTGAGAAAATAATCCACAATATAGTACCAATTCAAATTTTCGATGGTGTTTACCGAGTTTCGAGTTGAAGAAAATTTACCTTCTGATTTCTTTGTGGCTAGAACATTTCTTCGAGTGCTAGGAAGTTGAGTTTTGTAGTGTCGACACCTTCTGCGAAAAGTATCTAATGTAAGTAAGTAGTTAGATAGTACTACTGTGTCAAATCGAAATCACGTTGAGAACAAAGAGAAACCACCAGACCACAATTTTGTATGGGGACTACAACATAATATGATCCCAGATTGAGAAACACCACCATGCTTGAAGAAACCGAAAATCAGGTACACCTGAGTGTGTTTCTACTTGAAGAGACAGCTTGCCTCACCCTCTCAGGAGTTGCCTGCAGCCTGAAGCATCGTTTTCTTTTTTGAAGTTGCGCATGAAAATTTCTTTTAGCGAGAGCTTCCTGCACTTGCTTATTATACTGCCAGAAGAGTGGAAAAGTGAGCGGCTGGGACGGGATAATAGAACCAAAGGAGGCGAAGTTTTACGGAGGCACCAGTGGAGAGTACAAACACAGTAGAACTGTTTTTGGCAAGTGCCAGGCATGATAGATAGTCTCCGACTGACAGATTTGCTAGAGATTTCATCGTCATTCTGAGAGGGGAGAACAACACTCTCTTCTCTCTGCTCTTGTTATCCTCAGACTTTTATTTACAATCCCAAATGACTCTTTTATTATGAGATGTCAAATGCGGCGTCTGCTGTCCCTGTCTCAGTCACTTACCTAGGGCACATGAAGACATAGGCTACTTCGATTGATTGTCGTCTGTAGCTTTGGACGGGCGCGGACTCGGAAATTCTAAATTATGTGACTCTTTTCAACCGCTACACGGCACAAAGTTTGTCGTGGGGGGCGTGCGGTAGTATGCACTAGTACCTTTGACCTAAATGGTAGTGTAGCGCCCGGCGGCCGCAAGGGTGTTTCGCGAGACCCGGACTCCATCTCGCGGGTTTTCCATTCGGGACCAGCTGCGTGAGATTCGAATAATTTCTCCTCGCGTTGGAAGACCAATTCTACCACGTTCACCACGATGCTGCGGCGCAGTCTCGTGTTCTCTACCACATCCACCAGTGCGACGCTGGCGTTGCAGCAAAGTTCCAAGAATAGAAACGAGTACGCAATACCGCTGGAGTCCTCGGGGCAAATCGACTTGGGAGACCAGGAACGCAGGGACGATGAAGATTCCACACGGCCGCCAGGGAGCGCTTTGATGAAGGAAAAACAGAAAGTGTTTGAAGGCGGCACGACGAGGACAGCAGATAGAAGGTCCTCGTCTTCGAGTTCCTCTTCGACCACTACTAAAAGTGATCCAACTTCTGCGCAAGCGGATTTGAGGACAGGCGAGGCACAGACAGGAAAAGGCACTGCTGCTTCGAAAGCATCCTCTGTAGTCACCACCAGCAAAAGCTCCAAAACGTCCAAAAATAAGCGGAAGGAGCGACGCCAAGAGGCCGTAGATGCGGGGAAGAAATCAATTCCAAAAAAGAAAATGATGCACGACGAAGTACTCGTGGATCCGGATGCGAGTACGTCTTTAGACGACACAATCTCGGCGGATGATGCAGAAGAAGGTTTGGCGGCTACAGCAAGAAGAAGTGTTGAGCAAGTGAAGAAAGATGATATCGCTAATATCGCACAGCAGGAAGGTAGAACCAAGAATCATCACCAGGTCGAGGACACGATAATTCCCCTCCAGGGAGACGAGGGAGACCAGGTCCATCATCCGGAAGCCGGTCTGCTCGACTCCAACTCCGGAACTTCAGGGAAGCTGCAAGCTGCGACCCAGCTGAAACACACGGTCCGGTCCAGGGTCGCTTCCACCATGCACGAATCCCTCGCGAAAGCCGGGAGCGAAGCCTGGTCCGCCACCTGGCACTACACGGTGAAATTCGACCGCCCCAACGCCGACCACGCCGGCGGGGTGCTGTTCGTCGCCGGTCTCCTTCGGGACGAGGATTTTCTGCGGGAGTTGCAGGAGCAGCTCGGGGCGGACACCACGCTGGCCACCGAGCAACCGGCCATCATCGAGGCCGAGGCGATTGAGGCCGAGGAAGCCTGCGAACTGTCCATCAAGTTGGCCGCCGCGGAGGCGGCCGAGGCCGCGCAGAAGGACCCGCTCCCGCTGGAAGCGCAGATCTTGGTGATCGTGCTGTGCCTTTTTCAAATGGTTCTGACCGTCCACGTTTTGATCACCAGCGACTTGCCGCCCCTGGAGCCGGAACCCGTCTACGAGCCGGAAAAGGAAGAAGTCAAGCTACGGGACGAAAGGCGGAGGCAAATGCTGGTCGGAGATGTCATGCTGTTACTTGTGTATATTATAATAGATAGGCAGACTACAGGGGTGGAGTTTGTTTCTGTTACTGTTTCTGTATATTTCCGCACTTCATGCTGTTTCACCATGGTGGAGCACAGAAATGGTCAGCATGACACGAGCACGACCCATTTTTCTAGTTCATACGCTGTCGAAGTCAAAGCTCCGGGCCCAGCGATCGACCTATCGAAAGTCCCCGGAAAGAAAGCGGAGGGGGAGGCGGAAGGTTCAATGACTCAGTTTGAGTTTTTCTTGCGAGGACGCGACCATCCAGCACGATGACTATAGGATAGATACTGAGACTCTTCTAAATTCATGCTTATCTGCTTACCTGGCACTTACTCTTTATTTCGGCTTTCATCAAATCAAGTCGCGCACGAAACAAACAACAAACAGCTCCCGAGGCACCGGTGATCCAGGGTTCGGGCGCAGCGTTCAGCGGCGCTGGATCCTCTGCGGTTGGCGGGTCGTCCGCTTTCGGTGGCGGCTCCTCTGCGATGGGTGGCGGTTCTTCTGCCTTTGGCGGGGGATCGTCCGCAATGGGCGGGGGTTCGGCGGCATTTGGAGGAGGTATTATTTAACAATATGTTCTTCCTGCAGTACAAACGCAGTTCTTGCAGAAAACGAAACCCTTTATCACCCGATCCTGATTTTTTCTGACTCTGGAATCTTGAAATGCATCTACATTTGGATTTTCTCTGTGCAGGCACAGACCAATATGTCTGAACATAATTACAGGCTCTTCTGCTATGGGCAAAGGTTCAGCTGCTTTCGGCGGAGGAAGTTCGGCGTTTGGCGGCGGCAGCTCCGCAATGGGCGGCGGTAGTTCGGCAATGGGCGGCGGCTCTTCGGCTTTCGGTGGCGGGTCATCAGCTATGGGCGGCGGTTCGTCAGCTATGGGCGGCGGATCTGCAGCTTTCGGCGGCGGCAGTTCGGCGATGGGAGGCGGATCTGCAGCATTCGGCGGCGGCAGTTCGGCGATGGGTGGCGGTTCATCCGCGATGGGAGGCGGGTCCGCGGCGTTTGGAGGCGGCAGCTCCGCAATGGGAGGCGGGTCCGCGGCGTTTGGAGGCGGCAGCTCCGCAATGGGAGGCGGGTCCGCGGCGTTTGGAGGCGGCAGCTCCGCAATGGGAGGTGGCTCCGCGGCGTTTGGCGGAGGGTCCTCTGCCATGGGAGGCGGATCTGCGGCATTTGGCGGTGGCTCTGCAGCTATGGGCGGCGGCTCCTCTGCCATGGGTGGCGGCTCCGCAGCCTTCGGTGGTGGTTCTGCAGCACTCGGAGGCGGCTCAGCAGCAATGGGTGGTGGGTCAGCCGCTTTTGGTGGGGGCTCAGCTGCTATGGGCGGCGGATCAGCTGCTCTGGGCGGCGGTTCGATGATGGGTGGTAAGTCCACATAGAAAAATCACTTTTGTGTTTGTCATCCTGATGGATCATGTCGCTGATTCATCCTGAAGTGCGAATGATCGAGGCACCCAAAACTAGTTTTGAAAGTAGTTGTAGAAAACGAAGAAAAAGATTCACGTTATTGCCGCAAACCAAAAAATAACCCAGGCGGATCTGCAGCTCTCGGAGGCGGTTCTGCAGCTCTCGGAGGCGGCTCGATGGCGGTGGGCGGCAAGAAAGCGGGTGGCGGTCTTGGTGGCGGTTCCATGGCCATGGGCGGTGGCGGTTCGATGGCAGTGGGCGGCGGCTCCATGGCCGTTGGCGGGGGCAGTATGGCCGTCGGCGGAAAGAAGGCCGGCGGCGGCTTGGGAGGCGGCTCCATGGCGATGGGCGGCGGCGGCTCCATGGCGGTTGGTGGCGGGAGTATGGCAGTTGGAGGAGGCTCGATGGCCGTCGGCGGCAAAAAAGCGGCAGGCGGCGGTGGAATCGGGGGCGGGTCAATGGCCATGGGCGGTGGCGGCTCGATGGCAGTGGGCGGTACTTACAGCAATCATTGCACGCAGAACTGCAGCTTTCATGTACATTATCACTCTTCACAGTCGACCGCACTGCAAACAAGCTACTGCTGAAATTAATCGCTCGCTCTTGTTCCCATTTTCCATCGTAGGTGCGGAAGATAATGTCATATGCTACAAAAAAACAGGTGGCTCCATGGCTGTCGGCGGTGGCAGCATGGCAGTTGGAGGCGGAAAAGCTGCGGGAGGCGGAATCGGAGGTAAATCCAAATTGCCACATCTTCACACAGCATGCTGCACTTCTTGTCGCTGCTGCAGTCGTGCAGCTTGTAAATGCTTCATTTTTGATGCAGTTGACCTATTTGTCAAGCGAAGGACGACAGTTGTGAGTGTGGTGTAACATGCATAATTGCAACGAGTTTCTTTTTTCCCTCTAGTAACCCCGTCAGTTGGGTAGATTGATCATTCTTTCACTCACCAAATCCCTGAAATACTCCATTATCTCAGGCGGGTCCATGGCCATGGGCGGCGGTTCAATGGCGGTCGGAGGCGGATCTATGGCAGTGGGCGGCGGTAAAGCGGGGGGCGGAATCGGGGGTGGCAGCATGGCCATGGGCGGCGGAGGAAGCATGGCCGTGGGCGGCGGTAGCATGGCCGTCGGCGGTGGCAGCATGGCTATCGGTATTGGCTTTTTTGCCCATAATTGTCTGCGGTTCGCTATGCAGGCCATGATAGGGCATGGATTCTTGTAGATAGGTCGCAACTAATTCTACTTACTTCCATGATAGTTTCACATGATTTGACATGCATTTGCATGCACAAGAACCATCGAACCATAATTATGCGTGATTTACAAATACTTACACAAATCATGCACAGGTGGTGGCAGCATGGCGATCGACCCGAAGGCAAAGGCAAAGCCTAAGGGCTCCCCGGCGCCCTCCCCGAGGTAGAGGAGAATAAAATTCCAGCAGAGGTGGAGGGGAAGAAAAAAGTTTACCGACTCTCAATGTAGTATTTTTTTCGACAGATGAGTGAGGCATAGAAAATCTAAATCAAAAGCAACAACATCATGTTGAATCTGACACTGACATGTAAATTTCCTTTGAAATTATAAGTAGGAACTGAGCATCAAAACTCTGGCAATAATTCGCTGAATACTAGATCGTGGCGCTACGATATCGCTGTACTTACGAACTTACTTACTTTTTGGGAGCGTGCATCTTTTTGCTCGTCCAGTCTCTCCTGATTGAGGAACAGAACAGCTGAACTCACTTACTTACGTATTCTGCTATAATTACAGTTCTTCTGATGTAATACCTTCGGCGGATCAAGAATGGTATCCGCTTCCGCTCTTCCTCATTACCACAAAAACCTTTCAACTGCGCAGAATTATGTGACGGTCTCTATCTTCGGTCAGCGATCGAAGGAGAAAAGGAAAAGACCCGAAAGAGGACAGCAGAATCACCAAGGAAAAGTATCTGCGAACGGGAGACTATCGGAACCAAAAGCGGCATCTTGGTGTAGTTTTCTCCTGCCTGCGACTCTTTCGTCATCGGAATCTGGATGAATTGTAGAACTTCATGTAATGAAGGACAACTTCTTTGCTAAGGTTGAATCGCAAATATGAAACGGTCGTGCCTCTCAGTACTACAAGAGATACCGAAGTCAAGTTATAGAGTTAAGACCGCGCACTCCATATCAGCACTCAATTGATAGCAAGTGCAAGAACTCATTGTCATTTCCATGTAGAGCAGGACTTTGCTTCGTTCTGCGCACCAGAGCCTTATTTTCTCCGCGCTCACTCTATTTCTTTGCCACCGCTATGGTGTGGCCCTTCACGTCAACGGCACTCCTGCCTGCTGGGTTAATCTTGCGTGGCGGATGTATTAGCAGTCCAGTTTTGCACGTGGTGCTCGCAGTGCAGCAGCGGCCAGCGGCCACTCCGTCTACCGCACCACCGGAGGGAGACACAGTCTCATCAAGGACGGAACACGTTGCAGTCCCTCTGGAGCCGGGCGGGCAAATCGGGGAAGAAGAAGAATTTCCACACAAGGTACTAGAGGTGGATGACGAGGCAGCGTCACCGTCTAGAAACACCATCACGTCCTGGGGCGCAGCAGAGTTTTCCTATTTCGGCGGAACGGCCGATCGGTACAGCGAGAGCCGAAATTATGAGCTGAGTAACGCACAAGTGTACCGGAGAGAAAGATCGAAAAAGTACTCATCGCTTCGTCTACCCGCACTGAACAGGCCGGCGGATCATTCTGTGAGGCAGGAAAGAGCACATCAAGGCGCTGGACGAACAAATGGAAAGCAGCACCATTATCGTCCACGGGCCGCGCAAGAGGACGTGAAGATGAGACCACACAGAGGTAGTACTAGGGCGGCAACAAGACCTTCTACTCAGCACGTCAGGACTGCGAGAAAACGGGAAATTGGTGAAACTCGAACGGCGGGGGCTGCATCCTCTTCGGCCGATGCGCTTCTAGAACTTAACGCAGGCGCGACGGGCGGATTCGAAATAGATGAAGCAGCTCTCGACCACGTCGATGAACAACAAATGGCCAACGACGTGGAAATTATCCTTGAAAGGGAACTTGCAAGAACCGGACCTGTCCCGAAACCCTACAGCAAGCGCCGGCTCGCCGCCGCCCTGGTACAGAAATCGATGGAGGAGGCGGACGCGAGGGCTTGGTTCGCGACCTGGCACTACACAGTAAAGTTCGACCGACCGAATGTGGATCACGGCGGCGGCTTATGATACTGAAAAGTGGTGCATCTTACAAGTTGAGCCATCAGAGCACTTCGTAGAATTTGTGTTGCAAAGCTTCCCTCCGGACACGTTCGCCATCACCTTGCATGTGCCCGATGAAAGTAAACAATTCTTGAATTTGCGTCGCAAAAAGGTCGAGCAAAAGGGGGGCTTGTTCTCATGTCCGGTGAAGCGCTTTTCGTGGTCAGAGTCCGGGTGGAGAGTTGGAAGAGAGTTGGAAGCCTCGCAGTTCTTTCATTGAAAGACCTGCGAGAGGAAGCTTTTTCTCTCAATTTGAATCAAATTGAAAGAAAAGCTTGCTTTATTCTATATGATGAAACCACCAAAAAAAAGTTTGCATGAGAAATATTCACCACTTCTGGTAATGGTGCACTTGTTTTCAATTTCAAACGGCGTGCGGCACGTCGCCAAGCTGTTGCGCGACGCGGAATTCGTCCGTGAATTGAATGAGTTTCTGCAGCACGGTGGTACCCAGCTCCAGAAAAACACGCTGCAGTATCCTGTCGTGTGAAAACGTACCCTCCTGAAAGTCGAGATGTGAAGACTTCTGCTTATTGCACAAGTGAAGAAGGTCTTTTGGCGGTTGTCTATGCCGCAATGTCGTTCTGGCAAGCTAGAACACCAGCCACGTCTTCTTGAACAATCCACCTTGTAAACCTGGTTTGAGCATGGGAAACGAAACTTGCAGAGAACCTGTGGTCATTGTTCGGGAGATGCAAGAACATCAGAGATATCATAAGTAGCTAAACGTAGACTTCCATCCACATGTGTGGAATCTGGTTTGGGTATGTTTTCGTTATGGATGTGCAGCCAACGATAATCGAGACGGAGGCGATCGAAAAGGAAGAGAGGTGCGAGAAGGATATCAAAGCGGAGGCCGCGAAAGCATACGACTTCGCACAACTCGACCCGCTGCCACTTGGACTACAGCAGGCGGTGATTGTCATGTGCGGTTTGACCATGCTGATGGTGCTTTTCGTCTTGATCACCTCCGATCTGCCCCCCGTGGCCCCCGTTCCGCCGGAGCTGGAGCGAACCTTCGACGCCGCGCTGGCGGAGCAGAAGGCGGCGCTGGTTGGGGAAGCAAAGGCCGACGCGAAGGTGTAACCAGTGGAAAAACGACGTCCCCTTTGACAAACACGTCCCCTTTGACCCACAGTCAGGGTGGCAGATTTGCTACACAAGCCCAGAAGTGTTGGCTGTTCATCCGCATGACTGCAGCTTTGGGCCTCCAGTGCAGGCGTGGTTGAGTAGCTTGCGCAGTCGCGTTGCAACGGGAGTTCCTTATCGTGATTCGAGCATGTTGACAAATTCCCGGATAACTACCTTAAAAAATGCTGCTCATCATAAAGCTCCTGCAAACGAGACACAATGTGATGGACATCGACATCCCGACTCTTGCATGATCGAAAGAAATTTGGGGTGGGGACGAGGTTTTTCCGCAGGAAAAGGCGAAGGCGATCGCCATCAAGAAGGGCGCGATGATCGACTTGACCAAAGTGCCAAAGGCGAAAGCCCGGGCCGAAGGCGAGGCGGTGGCGGAAGCGCCGGTGCCCCGCGAGCTCGCGGACGTGGGGAAGAGGCAGCAAGCGCAGATCGGCCCCGGCGGGTCGTCCATGTTCGGCGGCGTCCAGTCCTCTGCGGGGGCCTCCAGCGCGTTTGGCGCCGGTGGCTCGATGGCGTCATCCTCAGCGATGGGATCGTCGGCCATGGCAGGGTCGTCCGCCCTCGGTGGCAGCGCGGGTTTTGGCGCCGGATCGAAGTCTATCAGAGTGCACAACTTCTACCCGTCCTCCCTCCGTTTGGCAGGAACAGCAAAAATACAAGCGTCGGAAAGTGAGTGCAGGTTTTGTATGTAGTGAGGTCACGAACGTTCTAATCTAGCGATCTTTTTGACAGCTCTCATGCAAAACGATTGGAAGTTTCCAAGCGGCCGGAGGTGTTTTTGAACATAAAAGATTTTCAATTATCAAGGAGCGGGAATTCTGATCACGGGCAAGGAGTTACGACGACAGCTAATCGGGAAACAGACGCCGCAGAACATCGTCAAAACACGGGAGCGGATGATCTTCATCTACATGAAGGAGATAATTATGGGAGCTGTATATGCCCCGCAGAGCGGACTCAAGAAAACAGAGCATGCGGCGTTTGATGCAAATTTCTCCGAGCTGTTCTTGGAAAGCAAGAAAATAAAGGCGGAGAAGTGGAAGCTTCGAATAATTGCGGGCGATTGGAATGCGCAAATCGCGAAGGGGGAGAGCGAAGTGATACACGGGGGGAACGGAGTAGGCCAATCCTCCAGAAGAGGTAAGCAGCTCGCAGAAAAACTCGAAGGACTCAACGCAGTGCTGCCCGGAACCTGGTTCCCGACCACGGCCGGCAATTACTTCACCTACCGAGACAGGACCGAAATTGACCACTTCGTGACCAGCGGGACGCAGCTTGAGAAATTTCGAAAATACACACGGTTCAACTTAAACGCGACAAATCAGGACGGGTCGAAAATGTGCAGAGAAAGTTTTGCGCACAAGTGCATTGAAGCGGTATGCGATGTGAAAACCAAGAGACGCCTGCGAGAGGAAGGGATTGCGCGCCGATTGGAGGCTTATGGTGTGTTGGAAAAAATACCGAATGGAACGAAGAAGCACATCAATGAAGTGTTTCGCGCACGGGTCAAAAATCGCAACTACAAGATGTCGCTGGAGGACGTGCAGGATTTTCTATTATATGCCGCGCCACTAGTCATGGGAAAAACCGCCCGGCGCCTCCCGTTCATGGAGCAGGACCAGCTCCTTGAATCGTCGAAGTGCAAATATCGAATGTGGGCCAATTTTAGAGAACAAAAACTCACGAAGACGGAGAAAGCGGTAGGAATAACCCCGGAACAAGCAAGACAGAAGTATTTCGAGGTAGGAAATAGCCCGCTTTTTCCAGAACGAAAAACGCTTCCGATCGAGAAACGGATTGCAGAACTAGTTCCGCAGCTTTCTGAAGAAGATTTGGAAGAAATCGACAGGCCGATTGACACCGAGGAACTAGAGACCACCATCAAGCACATGGCGAAGGGCGGCAAGGCGAAGGACTTCTTTGGGTTGTCGCCGGGAATATTTCGCCACCTGGACTGCGAATCCACCGCGATGCTGACCGACGTGATCAACGAAGAAGTAGCGGGTAGAAAAATGACGGAGATAAGTGAACGACTACACTACTGCAGAGACTTGCCGCTTTGGAAAGGACGGGGCGAGAAGACGGACCCGGACGCATATCGTTTTTTAGTGATATCCCCGACTTTGTACAAAATGATAACACGGATATACTCGTGCAGGCTATGCGGAGTTTTAGAAAAATCCGGCCACTTCCCGTCAGAACAATTCGGGTTTAGGACCAAGAGAGGCTGCCTCGATTCATTGTTCGTCTGGGCGCGAATCAAGGAGGACATGGCGCACTACCAGCACCTCCCGCAGTTTAATCAACTAGCGACGCAGCTCATAGATTTGAGAAAAGCATTCCCTAGTCTCGACGCACGATTAACGACAGCAGTGGCCCGCTCCCTCGGACTAGAAGGGAGCAAAGGATGGGAAGTCATAATGGCGAGCCACAGAGCGGCAGTCCATCAATTCGCTGACGGAAAGAAATTCAGTTTGGAACACGGATGCAAAGAGGGATGTGTGAGCAGTCCGCTTCTCTTTATCCTCACGTACAGCGGGGTGCTCTTAGTAGTACAGGACGAAATGAAGAAACTTCCGAAGACAGAACAAGGGCTGCACTTGTATGCGAAGCAGAACGCGTGGCACTGGGAGCGATATGATAAAATCTACGACTCAATCTATGGCGGCAGTACGGTGACGGATGTGCTGCCGTGCGGGCTACAAGGCGCGCCCCTCGCTGAGCTAAAAAGCGAACCGGAGACCTGGTTTCGGATGGTGCTAGGCCGCCTGTTGTTTGCAGATGATACGACGCTTCTTTCGCAGCTTCCCCCAGAGAAGGTGAAAGAAATGGAGGACGAGAACAAAAAACGGAAAAAGGAGAAGAAGGACCCGGTCGGAACCCAGGTAATGGAAGTCCTGTCCAGGGTGTTGACGGAATGCGGAATGCGGGAGAACACGTCCAAACGAGTAATCGGCGAAATCACAACCATCACAACCAAAAACCTAGGAGTGCAGACGAAAGACGAGGACGACGTGCGAACGAAGGTCGCCAAGTCGTGGAAGGCCTTCCATGGACTGAAGTCGATGGTCTCAGGGCTCTCAGGCCTGTCCCAGCAAAGGAAGGGAGAACTCCTGATGACGATGGTGAGAACAATCATGCTGTACGGATTGCAATCGCGATCAGTATCGGCCGGGGAGATCAAGCTAATGCAGAAAGCGGAGAACAAGATGATCAAGATTTTTCTGGGTATCCCCTTCTGGCAACGAGAAGCCGAGTTCTCCAGCTCGCGGAGCTTGCGGCGACGGATGAAAATGCCTCCAATTAGGACACAGCTACGGTTCTTGCAAGTGAAGGCGGTCGGGCACATAATGCGGAGGCCTCCCGGAGATTTAGTGCGGCTGGCGCTAATAGGAAAATTCTCTCCGTTGGCGTGCAAGGTCAATACCCCGGAAAACGGACCAACGAATGCAACGGACTGGTTGAGGACAGTGGCCGACGTCAAGCAAGTAGACCCAAAAAAGAGAAAAGTATCCGACCACTTCGCAGAAGTACTAACATACCTCCGCGATAGCTGCAACCTGCCAACGCCGGTGCTGCAGCTGCTATGGGAAGACGCTGAAACCACCAACGCAAAGCGACCGAAGCTGAACGGGGACACAGTTTACGCGCTAAACAAACGACTCTACTATTGCTTTACCCGCTGGGCTTTCATTCGAGAAACGGTTGAGGACTGGGCCGATGGCGATCCAGACATGGAGCAAATATGTGAAGAAGAACTAGCCGTAAAATATTTCAGTGCGGATCGAAAAAGCGCAAAAACTTCCGCTGAAGTGCTGCGGGAATGTGTGGCGAAAGGGTTGGGAGCGGAAGAAACAGCGCGACAGATAGCAGCAATCGTCACTCCGGACGGGGCGCCGCAGCAAGTTTTTAAAGCGAAAAAAGGGAAATGCCCGTGGTGCAGCGACGAGATCCTAACGAAGGAAGAACTGGAGCAGTATCGGCGAGAATTTGGAAGTGACCCAGCGATGGGGTTGCCAAGCTGGTTAGCGGCGCACGTCCACCTCTGTCACCCGACAACAGGCCCGCGAAATTCAGAAGCAGATCACGAGCGCAGGGACATCATAACGAAAATGAACAAGGAAAAAGATCTGAAAATAAGCGACAAAATCAGGAGTGACATCCTCGAGCGCAACAGCGACATACTGCGGCCAAAGTTGAGAGGCAAGGACAAGGAGAAGAAGATCTTCTGCAAGGCGTGCGACCTGATGTTTGAATCCAAAGCAGGGCCGATGGAGTTGCATGCACGAGACCACCGAGAAGACAACTTCATCAAAATAGGCATCAAAACCAGTGGCGACAAAAGGCCAAAGGGTTCGAATCTGCCTCCAAATGTATGCAGGCCAGAGTACCACGCGTGGTGCAATACACAGTGTAAATATTTTTGTGGTGCAGATGCAGCCGCATGGAGAACGCAAATCCCGGCTAGTAGTCTTTTCGTGAGTAGATCAGGAGAGGAGTTTATTCGGTGTAGACATTGTAAGCAGCACAAATACCGACTTCAACATGACGGCAACTGTGTACAAGTTCCTGTGACCAGCAAGCAACTACATCAACTCGGGTGGATAGTCGGAGCGATGAGAAAACACGAAGAGCGGTGCAAGGAGAAGAAGAATAAAAAACGTCCGGAAGAAAGCGAGGAGGAGGTCCTGGAAGGCGTCAATGATGAAGCAGCACTAGTGGCTGCAGTCCCGAACAACTAGACCCGTTTTCTTTCAAACCCTTTACTGGGTAACATCATCATCATCATCAAGCGGCCGGGGCGTTTGCGGCAAAAAAGCCCGAGCGGATTCTATCGATTCCCGCTTGATAAAACGACGCAGGGGAGCCGGTAAAAGGGGCGCCCTTCTGAGGCGCCCACCGCCTTAGTTTCTGGCGATTTGCGGCGCCCAAAAATGGGCGCCCAAAAAGCAGCGCTCCGAAAAAAACAGCGAATCCGAATGGTATGGGCCCCATTTTGCCCCACATTCGGGCCCCGCAAAAGACGCCTTCAAAATCCGCCATTTCAGAGGCGGACTGAAGGCCAGAAGATGCGCCACTTTGACAAAAAAAATAAACAAAAAAAACAAAGTCCGCCAAAAGCAAAAAGCCAATCCGCATGCTATGGGCCCGATTTGAGGCTTCCAAGGGGCCGACCCTGGCGCGGGCCCTGGCGGGGCCATAGCATGCGGGGAAGGTTTTTCGATTCGAAACCAAATGGAGGCCGCCTCTGGATTAAGATTTTTAGCGACCGCCGTGCCGTCGCGCATAACATGACTCACGATGGCATGGGGGGCAGAGAAGTTGCGTCCTTTTTTGGCGTGAAGACAAAAAGACCGCCATGACCTCACTACCTCCGCGGGCGCGGCTATTATTGGTAAGACAATTTTACAGAGGATTAAAAGTTGTACTGCCATTTATTTCGCTCCCTCTTCCAGAACTTGACGTCATGCAAAAAGTGCCGAGAGGGAGAGCTAGAGCACCCCCCCGGGCAGCTCGGTAGCGCAGTCTGTTAAGCATGACAAATCACGGGGAGGGGAGGGAAGAAGATGTACACTCACTACATAAAGTCCGGTGCGTTCGGTGCCGGCTCCGCTGCTTTCGGCGCAGGGTCCAAATCCGGAGCATTTGAAGGTGGCGGCTCCTCGGCTTTTGGCGGCGGCAGTGCCTCGTTCGGGGCCGGTTCAAAATCGGGCGCGTTTGGCGGTGGGTCTTCGGCCATGGGCGGCGGCAGTGCGTCTTTCGGGGCCGGTTCAAAGTCGAGCGCGTTTGGCGGCGGGTCTTCTGCGATGGGCGGCGGCAGTGCCTCGTTCGGCGCCGGCAGTGCATCCTTTGGGGCTGGCTCGATGGCAGCTGCAAAGTCCGGCTTTGGCGGCGGCTCTGCATCGTTCGGAGGCGGTTCCGCAGCGATGGGAGGCGGCTCTGCATCGTTTGGAGGCGGTTCAGCAGTGATGGGCAAGTCGGCTGCACCTGGGGGCGGGTCCGCGGCTTTCGGCGGTACAATTTCCGTATGTACTAGACGTAGCACACAACTAGACGAGTAGGTTCCGCAATCACAAATCTAAGATCCAAAGGAACACTAATGCTTGTCTGTAGCTGTACTACTCGCAGATGAGGGACACGAGGATTGAGTGCCCGGATCATTAGGATGTGATAACGTCGCGTCACAACCATGTTATTTTGCCGTCTTCAAAGAAAAAGATGCCACGTAGTACGACATGCTTCATCTTCTTGAAAAAAACACCTCGAATGTTCTATTCTTTCCAGGTGGCTCCATCGCTGCCGGATCAATCGGGATGGGAGCAAAGTCTGGCGCCCTTGGCGGTGGCTCGATGGCTGGGGGCTCGATGGCGATGGGTGGTGGCTCTGCAGCGCTCGGCGGCGGCTCCATGGCAGCCGGAAGCATGGCCCTGGGCGCAAAGTCCGGCGCACTCGGTGGCGGCTCAATGGCGATCGGCGGTGGATCGATTTCTATGTCACCTGGAGGTAAATCTGGAGCACTCGGTGGCGGGTCGATGGCGATTGGCGGTGGATCGATGTCACCTGGAGGCAAATCTGGAGCACTCGGCGGCGGGTCGATGGCGATCGGCGGCGGCTCAATGGCGATCGGCGCTGGATCGATGTCACCCGGAGGTAAGTCTGGCGCACTCGGCGGGTCTATGCAGATTGGCGGCGGTTCCATGGCCATTGGTGGTTCTATGGCCGGCGCGAAGTCAGGCGCACTCGGTGGCGGCTCAATGGCGATGGGCGGCGGTTCAATGGCCATCGGCGGCGGTTCGATGTCACCTGGAGGCAAGTCCGGGGCACTGGGTGGTGGCTCCATGGCCATGGGAAGCTCCATGTCACCGCTTGCGAAGGCGTCCGGGGCACTGGGTGGTGGCTCCATGGCCATGGGAAGCTCCATGGCACCGTCCGCCAAAGCGTCAGGCGCGCTCGGCGGCTCGATGGCAATGGGTGGTGGAGGCAGCATGGCGATGGGCGCGGGCAGTTTGGCGATGGGCGGAAAATCCGGCGCACTCGGTGGGTCGATGGCGATGGGTGGCAGCATGGCGATAGGTACTGATGAGACCACATACACATTTTACTGTAAGTATTGCGTGCTCCTACTCCTTATTGAACACAACTCGAATTTCTACAACAACAACCCGTGATATTTTTGCGCATGACACATCATTGTGCTTTGACAAATTACTTAAAATAGCAGGCTGCTAAGTATGAAAAATTACGATAGCAGTATAAAACTAAACCAACGCTTGATCCAGGTGGTGGAAGCATGTCGATCGACTCCAAAGCCAAACCGAAGCAGCCACCAAAATAGCGCCGTGCGTGGAAAATACTGGACAGAAGTGCGCATGTTTATTGATGGCGCTTGTAAAATTACAAAATGAAAATCCGATTCCAACTCTCAACTGTGGAAGTGAAATACCTCCGTGCTTCACAATCACCGAGAAAAACCAAATTTGCTGTCCTCGTTGTTACTTGAGGACGGGAATGGACCTCCGCAATATTGAGCGTTTGTGGCTCTCATGCTCAAGTTGTGTTGACCGGCATGAACTACGCCGTTCTCCTCCAATCAAGCATCATACGATGCATCCCTACGGATGTTCGTGAAAATTACCTCATCCTCGTTCAGATTCGTTTCTGTCGTCCATAAACGCCTCATCCTCGTCTCAGGTGCCGTCAAAGGTGCGAAGTCGTCCTCGTCGAGCCTCGTTTTTCGTTCCCTGAAATCACACAGCAGTGTCTGGTCGGTTTGTGCTCGTCACCGCAGGAGCTGCTCTTCGTGCGACATCCTGACACAAGAATTTCTGTATCTGTTTCTGTATCATTGTCGTGGTCTGTCGTCCTTTTGCGCAAGTAGACGGGGTTCAGACCTAGTTCGTTGTATTTCTTTGCGATATTTTGCAATCGGCTTGTGCTCATCTGGAGCTTTTCCTTCGTGTCAGGTCCTCACCAACAAGTGCAAGAAGTGGAGGAGCAGTTGTTCGGATTTACTTTTCATCACGCTGTATTTGTTGCAAGTAAACCGGACGAAAAAAAGCCACTACCAAGGAAAATTATTTCGACCGCGGTGGTCTTCTCTTATTTATAATTATATCTGATTTACAACACCCACTTTTATTTTGGAAGTCGTGGCGAAGAAGATGTACATGTAGCTGCTTTTCTTTTCGAAGCCATGAAATCAGTTGGCTCGCGATCATCAAAGATGATTGTTATTCCACCAGGAACAAAAGAAAAAGAAGTATCATTGCGGCCACTAAAACGACCATATCTAATAGCCATCTTCGTTTGCTTTGCTATCGTTGAGAAAGTCACTGCCATTAGCTTGAACGTTGTCCAAAATTCAAAAAAACGAACAAACGCGGGACGTCTAGATCATGCGCAGCGGAGCAGAGGCAGGACGGGAAAAACGCAGGAAAGTGAAAATCGCGCCGCGGTGACCTCTAGAGGAACAAAGACATCCACTTCGAAGAAGCAGGGTACAACTACATCAACGCTTGCGGAGCTTGTGCGTCGAAGAAGTGCCACGATATCTTCGGCTACCTCTAGGCATAAGCTGGCAGAGCTTCTTGCTCTTGGGGATGATTTGGCCCAGGACGCTGGCGTTTTGCCCGCGGTTCTGCCGCTCGGGGAGCTCTACACCTATGGCGCGCCGAAGGTGACGAAGACAGCGCGGAACCCGGTTCCCAGAGCTAGCACTGCGGGAGGGCAGGAGGAAGCGAAAAGAGGAGCACCGAACTGCTGGCCCGGGTTGCGCGTGTTCACGTGCCAAAAGTCGGGCGGCGTGTGGTGGTGGGTGGATTTCGCAGCGCAGTCGGCTTTTCTGGTGGGCAATTGGTACCATCCGGAGATGGACTCACTGGAAATCTTATTGGATTCCACGGGGATCAATGGCGGCTTGGAGCGCGGACAGTGGGCCACGCTGGAAAGGCAGCTGAAAGAGAACCCGCCTCACATTGATGTAGTCAACAGCCCCGCCGTCGAGTCCATCCCGGCAGAGACAATCTACGAGCCCTTCGTACTCCTTGGACCCGACGAAACGCAATATCGCGGCTGCGAAGAATACGCGGCCGACGAGGACAAGCTAAACGATCTGATTGGGTATCCGAACTGGCAGGGATTTGTGGCGAGTTTGGAGCTGCACAATGAGCCCGCGTATTTTCTCGGCACGACGGCGGTCTACGACCGAAGGGTGAAAAACATCACCTCGGCGCCCGCACCCTTGACACTCGCCAAGGCAAGCACGTATGCACGCTTGGTGTTCCACGTTTACACCGTCGAGCACAAGGAGGACGCGCACGCACGAAATTTTCTGCAGAAGATTCACCATGGCCAAGATCCGGATCATCTTTTCTACTACTTCTACATGAAGTCCATCTCGAAGGTGAGCTTGGTCAGTGTCCTCGAAAACGACGAGGTGAGCGACACGGACTATTTACTGCTCTCCCAGCACACACAGACCCGACGCTGCGTCCTGCTTCTGTCCGGGACCAACGCGCAGTTTGCGGCAGACGGCATGTCGGAAATCCAGTCCGAGTTGTTTGGGAGCAACGTGCTCGAGCAGAGCACCGTGGCCAGTTGGTGTGGCGGAGCGCTCACTGAAGTGCACTCGGGCTACGTCAACGAGGCGGCGAGAATCATTCACTGCGCCGTGCCCCTGATGGCCAACGCGCTGCAGACGTGCTCCGGGCTGGACGTCGCCGGGCACTCCCTCGGCGGGGCCACGGCCACGGTGCTGTACGCCTGCGCGCGCGAGTATTTTGACAGGCGGAAACAACACGAAATTACTATATCGGGTGATGAAAATAACGCGGACCACTTGTTCGCGCAGAACAAAACGGAATGGAATGCTAAGCTGCAACAAGAACTGCGAGACACCGATCGGACGCTCGCAAAGCTCGGAGAACTGTTTCAGCCGAACGTTTCTGAAGACAATGATGTCGTCGTCGAGGACTATCCAGAAATGTCGGACTACGATTACGGGCACACAGTTACGTTTCGTGCGTCTTTGAAGGGGGAAGCAGAAAACGGGGAGTATCCGCTGCGAAACGAGTGCGACCGCCAATTGCTGGTCGAAGACTTCCGTGGGAGAACTGCGGAAACACGGTTCGACATCAAAATCGGCAGTACGACAACGACAACTACCACGGTTGTCTCGGAGAGCGGTGTGAGTATTTTTAGTACAGGAGACGATAACAGTACCGGCACAAACAACACTGTTGTTAACGCCAGCAATTACACGACCAGCGCCATAAGTAACACGAGCACGACAACCACCACCACCACCACCACCACCACCAGCACCACCAGCACCACCAGCACCACCAGCACCACTGCGATTACTTCTACCAGCGCTGCGTCGCCGGAAAGGGTGAGTAGTGAAGAAGACGAAGAAACGGGGCCTAACGCCGATGAGAAAACCGGTTCGGGTCCACAGCATCATCCACCTCCTACCTTTGGTGATGCAGTGGATGAAGATCTTGGCGAGGTGACGCTGGGCTGTTGTTAAGCTGCGTGGACTTGGACATCAAGGAGAAATGGAGCGTAATTTTTGTCGCTGTTGACTCTCTTCTTCATTTTTTCTAGAAGTAAGGCACTCTGCATGTTTTGTATATCAATCTATGATCACGCAAGTAGTCGAACACTCATGAAGCATACAGGCATAGATAAGTCGCGGGTTATTTCAAAAATCAAGTACACTTGTAGTTTCAGTTTGGCACCCGCACGCATCATGGTCATAGTAGCATGGTTTTCAAGGTCGCATTGTTACACGTGGAGGCAGGTCTCCATTTTCGGTTCGTTTGGTCCCAGTTCTTTCAACAACGTGGTATTTGGAGATGTCGAACAAGAATTTGAATATGGTTTCCAAGTGAAAGAAGCTGTGTGTGTCCTGATGTTTGCGTAAACGTGCGTTCATATCGATTTCAACTGCTGCGGTTGAATCGACTTGGCGGAAAAGGAGGTCAAGAACTTTGTTTCTGAATTAACGAATGAGGATCTATAGGGTTTCAGCAGCAGCTCCAAATTACAGGTCGCGCATCGTTACAATTCGTGGACGAGCGCAAGGCGAGCCTTATTGAGAGAAGCGCGAGCAGTTGTGTGGAGATGCGTATGAGTGTGAGAAGGTGGCTTTCAGTACAACTCAGCGCTCTGCCCCGGCCTAAGCTGATCGTTGCGGCGGCATCGTCTCATATATTTTTTTTCACGATTCGCGTGCACGGATCGGGAACGGGATCGGGAGTGGCACACTACCTTGTACCTTACACTCGTTCTCGTCGCATGGGTCTGCTTGGTTTTGGTAAGCAGTTGTGAAAGTGGATGATATATGGTACATGACTTCATCAAAACTAGTGTGGTGTTGAGCCGATGAGTTGACCTCGCTAGCCACAGGAGGAGTGCCTGGCTTGCTTCACTCATTGTGCATAAACGCAGCCTGTCCTTGTCGTGCTCGTGCAGAAAACATTTCAGGTAAGAAAGAAAATATATCCATGATGGAACGAAAATGACATCTCTTCAAGGAACGGCGAAGATTTCCATTCGATCGGTGGTCGCGGCGATTATTACGAGTTTCCACTGCAGCTTGTCGTGGTCGTCATATTTGCAAGTAGGACAAGAACTACGAGTTTCTTTCGCGCGCGCCGCCGCGACCAGAGCGAATGCGCAGGACGAGACGAGTAGCAGTAGCGCTACAACGCATGCAATAAACGTGGCGGAGCAGGAACGGACTGTAAGTGCTGCTACTTCATCATCGCAAATCCAACAGGAGAACAAGTACCTGGATACAACAAGCGATACCAACGCAGTGCCGCAACATCTGAGCAATAATGAAGGACGAAAGGCGAGGAGCACACCAGTTGGGGAGGATTTTCTTGTTGCATCTGACGGTAGTATCGGAACGAGTTTTACCGCCAAAGAGAGTTTTCGACGCAGAAACGATGGGAACAATCAGAATCTACAGCTGCGGGAAAGTGAGACGCGCAAGACCACCAAACGTATTCTGGAACCAACACCAGAGTTTTATGGTCAACATCCTCCGAAGAGTCCAGACGGGCTCGGAGAGTTTCTTTTGCCTGGTGGTGTACAGAGATTCTCCTTGTCGTCCGACGACAAAGTCTTCCGGAGCAGTGGCGTGCAGACGACGACGTCGTCTTCCGGAGCTGTGGCACTAGAAGAGGCAGCTACAGCTAGTACTAGTAAAAGTTCACCGACGTCGGCGGGGCCGGGGGCAAACCCGAACATGCTGAGCAAGATGAACAACCTGGTCGGCAGGTCTTCTTCGAGCAAAAATCCCGGCCAGCACCCGCCTCGCCTTCTGCGCCGGATGAGTGACGACCCGGTACAGTTGTCGTTGGGCGTTGATGACTTCGGTGAAAAAGTAGATACTGGCAACGTATTAGAAGCACAAAAAATGGCATCTTCAAGCGACAGCACGATTAAAAACGACGTAAACAAAGATCCTGCACCAGGCCCGACTCAAAAACATTCTCCCATACTAACCGCTGATGTCGTCGACAGCAGGAGCTGGAACTACAAGCAGCACGCATCAGCATTTTCATCTCCTTCAGACGATTTTTACTTCGGAGGGACAAATCTGGGAGAGCAGGCAAGGTCGTCTGGCGGAGAAGAAAGCGGCCTGTCGTGGTCTTCACAGCGCGATGTCCATGTGGTCGTCGATCCGTTGAGTGACGAATACGTGAAAAACGGAGATGCAAATAAAATGAATTCCTACGCCGGGAAGAAGAGCCAGGATTCAACAATTCTCTCCACAACTTCTTCCTCCGATACAACAGCATTGCCTGCTTCCCCTGAAGAAACTGCAGCAACTTCTACTGACGGCAAAGAGATGAAACAAAAACAAGCGAGTTCCGGACCCGGAGAAATAAGCGGTCCCCACAAAGGAAATACAGGACGAACCGGTGGGACCACAGCGAGCAAGGCGAAAGCCGAAATCGACAATAAGCGTTCGTTTTCCGCTATTTTCTCCACTGTTTTTTCCAACGTGCTCAGCTACTTCTTTGCCGAGGAGTCCTCGTCTGACGGCGCGATCACCGGTGCCGGTTCTTTGGTGAGACAAGTTCTCGAAGGCACCGGTTTGGAGCGCGACCCGCACCAGACCCTGCCGTCCTCCGACCTGGAGTACACCCTGCGCAAGCGGTTAAACACCCAGGACCTGGCGGTGTTGCTGTTGCTCGTCACGTTTTACTGGAGCTCGCTGTTTCTGGGGATGCAGTTGGTGTACCGCCTGTCGAAGAATGATTCCTCGGTGAAGTACTACAACAACGCCAGAGGAGTGTACTCAATCACGGACAAAAGCAGTGAAGAGCACGACGAGGATCTCAATTTTCTAGGGGAAGCGGATGAAAAGAGCCGTCCGTTAAAGACTGCTCCTAGCACTTCCACTTTCTCTAAGAATAAATCCAGGAAAGAAGAAGAAGAAGTGGCTGCGGCTGTTGCAGTTTCATCAGAGAGTAAGACCATGTGCGAGACTGGGCAAGGCGCGGGGGCAGTGCTTGCCGAGGAGGCTCTATTGCAACGAAAAGATTCTGATTCTTCCTTACCTCAGCCTTCGCCGTCACAACACCCGGCACCGTCTGCTTCGAGGAGGTTTTTCCCAAGAGATGAAAACACTACTACACCACCAGAACCACCAGCGGCACCAACTGCACAAGACAGTCCAACGACCAGCACGATCGGCCCACCGGAAGAACGTTCCCACTTTATGAACTTGATTTCCGGCAATTCTACTATTTTTACCAGCACATCAGGAGGAGCTCTCTTCACAAAATTGATGAGTTTCCTGCTTCTCTGTTACACTTGCTGTGCGCGATTTCTCCGCAGTGTGAAGACCAAGCTCTGCAGCCCGGGGCTCTGCTCCTTGTTCTACATCGCCGTTCCGCAGACGAACTGTCAGGAGCTGCTGTTTTGCGACACCGAATTCGATTGGGACGCGTTTCAGAAGTCGTTTTTTTCGCCGCCCGCGGAAGTGAAGCTGCGGATCCGAGGGTGGAAAAACTCGGTGTTGTACGACCAACAGATGGGCGGGAGCCAGCAGCAATCCAGGAATGCTTCTTCCCACGTTCGCGGCGGCAGTAGTACACCGGCAACTACCCGAGGATTGTTTGGCGGCGGAGCTGGCGGCGTTACCAGTGCAGCACCTGGAGGTAGAAATTCACCAACAACTACAGCGAACACAACAAACGAAGTTGCTCCGCCACCAGCAGGCAACACCAGCGCTTCGATGGCCTCTCTGAACAACATTGCGAGCTCGTTTTTTCAGGCCATTGTGCCACTTCCGACGTCGATCTTCAGCAGTGGCAGTGTGACGGTGAATGCCAGCAGTCCTCCGGGGAGGACAAACGGGAATGATTATACCAGTAGTAGCACGACGACGACAACGACTGCCGTCGGTCGTGATGCTGGCGTGGGGACGAGCAACACCGTTCCTGCAATTCGTGGGACGATGTTGAATACGACGACCGGCGGGGGTGGTTCAAATCAAACGAACGACACGAATAGGACAATTTCATACAGCCAAGAAGTAGAACCACATCAAATAACTGCGTCGAACACGACTACAGCAACAGCAACAGGAAGCACAAGTACTACAGCCTTTCGTAGTGGTAGAGCAAGTCATCTGAGTCCTCCTCCGTCACGCCCAGCTACAAGTCCATCCCGGGCACTCGATTCAAACACGGTAATATTAAATCCCAGTCCGACTGCTCAACAAGCGTCATCCCGGAGCCGCAGTTCCGGTGGCCGCGGTCGGGCGCGCGGCGGGGGCCGGGCGGGCAACAATAACAGCAGCGCGACAACGAGAAATTCTACTTCTTCATCTTCTGGTGTGCCAGGAGTGGGAAATAATGCTGGGACGACTGCTCCTGGTCATCGTGGTCCTTCAACAGCTTCGATTGCCAATGGGAATGCAACAGCGAGTTCTGCAGGAACTCCTGGTCCTTCACCTTCTGTAACAAAGAAACTTACGCCGGCGTTCGACATTGTCCTGGATCTGAAAGACTTCATTGTCGCAGCGGAAGAAGCTGAATCTTCTGGTGAATTACACGGAGCTGGAAATCTTCTAGAACAAGCCCCCGGGGGCCGTGGTCATCGTGAGACGAGTTTAATACGGGATGAGGACCACTGCACATCGCCGGCGGTTCAGGAGCGCGTGGCGCGTGCCGAAAGGGACCAGCAGCTCCTCATCGCCGCATACTTGACGGACAACTTCAGCAAGAGCTCTTATGCGACGAGCCAGCAGAGTTTCCTGCTGCCAAAACACCTTCGGACAACGATGAAAAGCAGTACTTTTACAAAGCACGGATTGTACTATGATCGAGAAGACGATACGAACGCCTTGTACAACTGCGGTACTAGTAAATGTAAATCAGAACAATCAGGTTGTTCTGGATACAAAAATAATCCAGCTTCGGCATGGTCCGCAGGGAGTTGTGCCAGCTGGATTTGTTCGTTCTTCCCTACCGTCGGCACGGACGACCTGAATGTGCTGCAGATCACGAAGCAGATTAGCTGGGAGAAGAAGGAATTTCAGAAGTTACAGAAAAAACTGAAAAACTTCCTGGAGACCGAGCTGTCCTTTCCTTGCCACGTCGTGAGCACCGTCAGCGAAAAGTACAACTACCACGCTAGCAAGTCGTCCGCGATGAGCAGTAGCAGCACGACGTCGTCGATCAACAGCTTTCTGAATCTGAAGCCCTCGACCAATATTTTCGACCGCAATCCCCGGGCGGTCGCCACTGCGTTCCGGAACAATTTGAACCTGGTTGAGTTGCAGTTCACGGAGAAGCAGGTGCTGCACGTCCAGAAAAACAAGCCACTCGGAAATTTTCTCCGGAACCAGACCACTGCGATTCTGTTCGCCGCGTCCTTCGTGTTTCTTTGGTTTTACCTACTCTACGTGCATGTCTACACGAATCTGTTCCGGGTGACAAGGAAATTCAAAGTCAAGGTCATATCGTAGGAAAAAAGTGTTTCACTGTAAGCATTCACTTTGCATCAAGCTGGGCAAGAACACAAGTTTGCTCTACATGACAAAAAGTATTTGCAATGCAAGGTCGTAGTTCCATAGAGAAAAGACGAATGAAAATCCACCGTCTTGTTTGTGTAGAACGACAGAGATGAAACTCTGCTGCTTTGCGTGCTCTGCACGACAAGTTTACCGTGAAACAGGTTTTGCTTTGCATAAGTCAAGGCCGAGGACTACTGGCACACCTTGACGCCGGACTTGCGTCGAATCTTCCAGCAGGTGCCAAGGGTCGCAGCTCCGGGACTTGCTACAACAAGGCCGACGGCGGGGGGCGGAGCGGGCGTTGGTGGGGGAAGTGCAGGTAGGTGAGAGAGCAGTGATGAGTGTGCGGGTTCACGTACTAAGTTCACTACACTGCAAGAAATCATGTCACTAGTAGGTGGATGTGAATGTGTAAGATGATTGAACTTGATGACTTTTTTCCATGTTTCAACAACTTCTACAACCGGCAGGAACTTTTCTAAATGCAATGTAGGATGCGGATGCGTATCATACGCGGTTCATTGTCGTTGTATTTAAATGTAATGCGGGGCGGGTCTTTATTTCCCATCCGCCGTTCTGAAGATAATGCGTGTAAGTGCATAAACAAAAGATGTCGACGCTGTACTTCTTAGGGAAAGAATTTACGTCGCAAGCGTTTAGTTAGAAAAAGAAAAAGAATAAAAAACTTGTCACTGTGGCGATGTTAGTTTCGAATTCCAAGAAAGCACTTTCACTCCGGAGGCGAGAGATCTTAACCTGACAAAGATGGAGAGGCTTTTACTACTTCATTCCCAGTTCGTGGCTTGAGCCGCCGCAGCAAATTCATGGAAAAATTTGTTCTTTGGAACCGAACAGCAGAAGACTCTCAACGTACGTTCGGTGATCCGCGTACAACCTTTTTGGATTCGGTCTGTTCACTGAGAATAAATCCATCATGCCTGCTTGCACTTGTTGTCGGCCACCAGAGACGAACTAGTAGATCGGTGCTCGGTACTGTGAAAAATGCTTATGCTTTGTTGAAAAATGCTAAAGAGACCTCGGTTGTTATTTCTCGTTGAGAAGCTCCACCAGCCTCTTTCCGTCTCTGTGTCCTTCGGCATGTGATATTATTATTTCGGTTTGTTTTAGTTTTCCCAACGTCGTCAAGCATATATACTCACGTAAAAATCGGTCAATTTATCTGATGAAAAGTATGGCTTTATTCGGTTTCGGAACAGTTATTAATGTATCGTGCAGGAGCAGAGAGCATGCACATAGTATGTAAAGTTGTGTACGCATGAAGATGCGCTCTTCGACTTCGGTGGATGATGGTGCAACCGTTCCTATTGTCGTCCATGAAAACGAACCATCGTAATAAATTCGTGCAACATGATCATTCACTTTCACTCGTGCAACAAGTGCTGGTTTCTTCCTCTCGAGTCTTCGAGCTTTTGTACTTCAGCCTGGAAAGGGTTTACTCGTCCTTGATTTCTTTGCATTGTATCTATTCGCTCCACAGCCTGACTAAATCCCACTATTCCCATTCTTGATTTGTCCCTATCTATCACATGCTATTACCCCCACAACTTGTGCCTCCTAGTCCTATTTTTTTATGTTCATTCTGTGCAAGCAGCAAAAGCAATTTCATTTTCCAAAAATGCTGCAAGGATAAATAATTTTGGTACTGCTCTTTATTGTTTTTCCCCGTTTTTCCTTTCACGTTGCAAGCATGAGCATGTGCACCTTCGCGTGCGTAGTCTACCGCCCCATACCCCACAGCAGCTTTCCGCAATAACGGAGATCATGAACACAAAAATTCTTGCGCAGGACATGATCTTCCCTCTTCCGAAGAACAGTCTGTATGGAGCATTGGGAGGCCACTAACAAAAGTGGGGCTCTTTTGAGGAAACGAAAAACTTGACGCGATGGAAGGCGACGTGGAACAAGGAACGAGTGAGGACTGGCACAGCGGGCCCGAAGATGATACTGCAAACATGCACAACATGATTCCAGACGAGAGGGAGCCAGCGCGACTACAACGGGCTGCTGGTGATGTTGCTATGCAAAAGGACCAGCCGTCACAACTGCCCTCGAGAAGGCGGGGCGAGGGTAGCGCGGTCTTTGTACCGAGCGTGGCCGGAATAACCCGACTAAATTGGCCCCGTGGAAGGGGCTCCGGGGAGCTTCATAGCAACCAGAAACTACTGATGCGCAGCAGGAGTAGCGAAGTGTTGCGGCTGGTGAACGGCGTTTTTCCACGGAGATCGGTTGCCGAAGAAGATGAAAATGTTGGGAACGAGAACCCGCCAAACAGCCCGCGAGACGAGTTCGCAAAGAGCCCGCGGGACGAACACCGTGGCGCAGACAAGCGCAAGTCAGTGCTAGATGCAGCCAAAAACGCGGTGCAAAATATTCAGCCACCCGAGGCGTTGAGAAAGACGGGACACACACTGACAACGACCGCCGAGCTGGCCCTGGCAGCCGTGACCTGGTATCCACTAGAAACAAATCACCTGTACTTCTTCTAGCATAATTGTACTGCCAAAGAAACGCCTACGCCGCGCCTACATTTGTGACGCTGGCATAGAATTCGCACAAAAACATAAACGCCACACCCGACTACATGCACTCTGATCGACGACGAGGAGCACGCGTCGATCCTCATTAGACAGAAACACAGCCGCGAGCATTCGAGATGAAAAGCAGTCTTTTTGATGTGTTTGTCGCATATGCATAAAAAAATTTTTTTCGTTTGGTGAGCATGAAAATTGAAATCCAAATCCCCATTCTTTCATCATAGATAATTATGCTAGAAGGTTTTTTCATTTTCTGTGTGATACTTGGCCTCTTCGGAAGGAGCACCCGCGGCGGTCCATGCATAAGCACGACCTGCATCTGCGCAACGTGTTGGTGGATCCGCACAGACACGAGGTGGGTCCGCATGAGGATGATCCGGACCTCCAGAATAGAAGAATTCAAATAGACACCGACGAAATCCCCATAGAGGTGAGCACCGGGAATGAAGATGGTACCAGAACGAAAAGCAGCGCACGCGCAGCAGGGACGCCCTCGGAAGGCGGGGGCCCGCGTAGTAGGAATAAAGCAGTAGAAGGCTCAGGAGCAGAGGGGCGGCCACAAAGTGGAAGAACGAACAACAGCAGTGAAGATCGGCTGACGCACGAGGAGCACGAGCATATTTTCAACAAAATCCACGACTCGCACATGAACAACGACCAGTGTCGGGAGGTCTACGCCCACCTCAGCGACGTCGGACGGCAGCAGGACCTGTGGCGGCGGACCGGGCTGGACAGCAAGAAGTGGCAGACGAAGGTTCTGCAGGACGACCGCGTGGAAGGGGCCTTCGTGCTGATTCTCGCCACGTACATGGTGTTTCTATCCACTGCAAATATGTCTGGGTCTGGAACAAGGTTGGAACTTCTATCTAATGCTAGCTTTCCATACAACCTAGAAGCTGGAGATCTGTACTGCATAGCCAACAATATTAAAAGTCTCAGCCTCTTTTGTACATGCAAAAACGCAGTTTCTTCTACTCATGTGGATCGTGCCTATGAGAAAGAAGTGTTCTCCTGAAAAGTTGTCATGCTGTGTTGCATTCGGAACTGTTCACATCATCCCCCTTTCAGCATAACAAGTTTCATCCAGACCCGGACATATTTGCATTTGATAGTTTCTCGGCACGTACGACGACGAGAGCGACGATCAGTCTTTTTCCAACTTTCACTTCTGGCGGGGCGTGGACTTTTTCTTCTTCGTCTGCTTTTTGAGCGACACGGTGCTGCGGGTTTGCGCCTACAAGAATCCGCGGCGGTTCTTCCTGGAGGGCACATTATGGAGCAACATGCTGGATGTGGCCGTGCTGATCGAGCACTTCAGCTCGCTGATCATCTACCCCCTGCTGATCGAGCAGGGCGTGATGCCGGAAACGTGGAACTGGATGGGCATGCTGCGCATCATGCGGTTCGGGCGCCTGATGCGGTGGCAGGAAATCCGGGAGCAGATTCTCATCCTGCAGGCCGCCACGCGGGCCGCGCGGATGCTGCTGCTCTTCATGGCGGTGGAGATCATCTGCGTCGCGGCGCTGATCATGCTCTACAAAAACGAGTACCTCAGCGGCACCTTCAACGACGCCTTTCTCGACCAGACATTTGAAAACTACCTGCAGACGATCCTGGCCCTGAACCAAATGATTTTCACGGACTCCACGTTCGCCATACTCACCGCCATGTACCGCGAAGGGAACAACGTGCTCGGGTCGCTGCTCTGGCTGCACACGCTGACGGGCGCGATCATGATCACGAACCAGTTGATTGGCATAGCGACGGACGCGATGTCCAGTCTGATGGACAGCGAGCGCGCGGCGGACACCGCGATGCGGTTCTGGAAGCTGGCGCAAATCTGGGTGACGGAGTACGGGCAGCCGGACTGGAAGCTGCAGCGCGCACTGGAGCTGGAGGCGCAGGAGGCACGGATGCTGCTGAAGCGGTCCAGCACGCTGATGCACGAGGCACAGGACGGCACCATCGAGATGAACCTCACCGGGGACGGGGACGAAGAGGACCAGTTTCTGGACTTCAAGCTCGACAAATACCTGAAAGAGGAGGAGAACATTCTGCGCAACGCTTCCCGCTTCGACAGTTTCTTTAGCGACGACGGGGAGGAGGGCGGGGCAGCATCAACATCTCCGAGGGAAAGAAGAAGTGGCCAGGGAGCTGCAGTCGCGCGGGACCACAAGCAGGGAAACCAGAACGACGGCCACTCTGGCAGTCATTTGGCTGTTCCCGCGACGGTGATGTCCCCGCGCACCCCCATGTCTTACTCGTCTCCCCGCACAACAATTTCTTCTCCGGTTAATAACACGACAACCACAGTTGAAGTTGACTATACTTATCGGCCAGCAGTAGATCCCCGACGCTCCTACCCAGCCGACTGGCAGAGTTCCTCGTCACGTGGCGTGGGAGTTGATGCGGCTGAAAACGTCGAGCAAGAAAGTAGAATCATCGCTCGATCGAGATCTGTGTCACGATCAGCACCTGATGATACAACAACTAGTGCTGGCGTAGTTCCTTTGCAACGGCCCCCGTTCTTGAACCAGAATGCAGCTGCCGGCGCCGATCCCCGACGAAAAGCGGAGGGATCAGCCCTGATTGCCGGGAGCGGGTGGAATGATCGGTCCATGCAGGCCCACTCGGCGCAAGTGGTGGAGGAGCACGCACCGCCGATGCCGCCACCTCCGCGGTCCCGATTGTCGACCGCGTTACACCTGTATCTGCCCCTGAAAGAGATGTACGGTGACCGGATTTTCCAGTCCCTCCGCTCCGAGTTCCACATGTCCCGGCACGAGTGGAACACGGTGGTGTTTACCGCGGTGCACCGGGAGCACACCCGGTTAGAGAAATACCTGCCGAAAATCGAGGAGCTGATGCGGGACCGGAGCGGCGGCGAAGAACAACTTCATGAGGACAAGAAGCAGCACGAGGCGCTCACCCACAGCTCCTCGGCGAAGCTCTCCATGTCGGGAAAGAGCGAGCGAAAAGCGGCCTCGTTTGACTCGGTCACCCTCTCTATCCTGAGTAAAAACGTACCCACACCATAGTCAAGATGGGGAATCGGCTAGACAAATCCACAAGTTTTGGCTGTTTTGCATGACAAATTTGGACTCGTAGTGTAGTGCTGTTTGAGCTAGCTCAGCAGCATCACAGATCTAGCATACCATGCTGATTGGAGCATGACAACTTGCAAAACACGACTAGAAAATGCTTCTCATGGGGCGCCGCATGAGAAACATTTTCAGCATGCAGATTTGCATTACAACTCTGGTGTGGGTACGTTTTTACTCAGGATACTCTCCGCCCTGGCGCACGTGATGGTGGAGCGGCTCCGCAACCTCAGTAAGGCGGACGCGCTATCCTGAGTAAAAACGTACCCACACCAGAGTCAGGATGAGGATTTTGCAACACAAACCTAGGAGTTTTGTGAGTCACGCATGACAAGTTGCAGTCCGTAGTGTAGTGCAGGTTCGCAAGGCCAGCTGCATCAGAAATCCATCTGCTCATCCTGTTTACAGCATCACAAATTCCACCAACACGACTAAAAATGCCTCTCCTGGCGATGCGCATTACAAATGTTCCTGTCATTGCAAATCTGCATGACAACTCTGGTGTGGGGACGTTTTTACTCAGGATACGCGCTGATCATCGAGAAAAACTTGATCCTGGGCTCCATCGAACGGGAGGCCTTGGACATGCGGTACATGAAAATGGAGCGGATGCTGAGCCGAATGCTCTCCGCCCTCGACATCCAGTACGACGATGCCAAGGAGAGAAAAGCGCAGGAAATCGCTGCCGCGTGCGTAAAAGAGTCAGGGACAGGAGGCGGGGTTGAAACCAATGCGGAGGATGGCGCGGACGAGGAAAACGCGCTTTACCGGCTGCAGGCCGTCCAGGGGGGCACGAACGCCTACGGGGACCTCATCAAGGACCGCGCAAATGCTCAGGTGAGCGGCGTGCGTGCGCGGGTTTCGAGTATGTTTGGTCGCATCGTCGATCCCCGGGCTTCGGTCGGACAGGGGGCAGCCGAGCCCGCGGCGTGAAGTAGATGGTAGGAGACGAGCGGAAGTGGACGAAAGGCCTTACTTACAACCATGTAGTTCAACATCAATATCCTTTTATTTTCTTCTATTCGTCCATCTGTAAAAACTTTTTACATTATGGCAAACGAGAGTTGCCTCCTCGTCGAGGTCGAATCCATTGTTTCTGAGAATTGATGTGGTGCCAAGGTGGACGAGGAGGAGGTTCTGAATTACTCGCGAGCCCCGACGAATTGTTCTGTGGAATCCAATTTTATTTCTGTAGTATTTTTTGTGTGGAAGTATATGTATTCGATGAAAACAATGCGAAAACAGGCTGTGGCACTGGTGATCAACAAGGCGAATGGTCTTCGTGTTCAACTGAGTTCATTTTATCGTTGTGACGCAGGTCGTTTTGAACCTGGTATTATGTTGAGCTGGCAGCTTCAGCATCATGTGCGAGTGGTAGAACTAGATAAAAAAGTCAAAACAAGGTTCATGTAGTTGAGTAGTTTTGATCTCATGCGGAAAATGCCATCGTTTCAAAAGGCCCCCGCAATTCTGCTGTTTTTCTTTCTACTTTGCGGCCAAGATGAGTTTCATTTTGCCACCGCGCTGCAGCTTACGCTAGGTCGGCATCGAAGAGTGCAAAAATTGGGGAAACTCGCGACTCGGGTGCAACAGAGGAAACTAGCATCTTCCCAGAGAACAGGACCGATGCTGTCGCAGTTGCCCGCTTCGTCCAAAAAGCGCGACTGCTTCTCGCGCTCCTGCGACCTTTTTTTCCGGGACATGAGCGTCGCGGCCGAACTGCCCGCCCGCCGGGCGCGGGACTGCAACGACGACACGGGGCACATTGTTGGGATGGTGGAGGCCGGTTTACGTTTCGGACTGGCTATCCCGCTGTTTGTCTGGGACTGCGCGTGCGGGGCGGTTTCGCATGTCGTCGGGCTGAACACGCGCCGACGCTACGGGCTGACGGAGTGGGGCAGAAATTGCGCTTGCTGAGTCCTCCGCTGCATCGCGGAAAGCTGTCCTACCGCGGCCATGCCGGAAAGGGAGAAAACGAGAATAGTGATATATTGCAGGAGTTGTTCGTCTTCGAGCTTGAGCATGTGTTTCGTCTTGTCCTGTAGAAAAAAAAATGGGGTAGCTGAACAAGATTTGATTTACTTCATAAGTTTGTTCATGGTATGAAAATTGGTTTGCCCTTGCCGCCTCATTCCACCCGTAGCATCCTCTTCTTGTATGTAAGCGGTGCAATATCAAATTGACAATGTCGCGATTCGATCTTTCGTTGTATGATAGATAGATTCATCGTCATCCAGCCTTCTCTGGCTCCTGAAAACGAAAAGATGTGGTTTCTGAAAGTACAGCTACAGAGAGAGACACATCACAGACAACATACACCCAAATTACCAGCGATGTAGGAGAATTACTGAGAATGAGTTACTAATATCTAACTTGCTGGTTATGGTTTTGCATCGACGCTGAATTTGACGTGTTTCTGTGGCCCATGAATTACCTAGCATGTTTGAGCCCTTTTTGTGAACTTAACATTTTGTGGTTTGCAAAATGCAAAGACAACAAGCATCCTTTAATGAACAAACGAGGCCACTACATCAACGTGAGAGGTTTCAACTTGGTTTAGTTAATCTTGTTCCGTATTTCCGTCTGGTTTTATTCTGTGTTTCACCAGTTCCCCCAAGCGCAAAAAAGTCCTTGGTTTTTTTAAAGAATGCCTGTATCTTCCTTTCTTAGGCATTCGTTAAATCGTTCTGCCAGGTTGATCACTTGTTGTCTTAGTTGCGGTGTCTTTCCACGGACGCAGCGCAAAAGATGTTCCAACGTGATAATATTTGCTTTTTGGATGCCCACCTTCCTGCGTTTGCATCAATTACATATACATGTTTCACCTTGCAGCCCTTACCTTGCGTTCCTTATGTCATTTTCATTCTTTCTGTACTTTCGACTGAGCCCTTTCTTTGCAGCCTACAACTAAATAAGTAAATCACATTCCCATTCGCAATTATGCGCATGACAATACCGAGCCCAATACGCTTCTATGTTGAAGACACGGGATAGAAAGTTTCTTCTATCGCTTCACATGGATCATCCTGCGAATGATTTCATTATCATATTGTAATATTGAGCCATTTTGGCTCAAGCAGCGACCACAACTACATCCAACATTTTTGTCAACTAGTAGCTGATATTTTTACACAGAAAGAACAAGAAGCTGTAGTATAAGAATGTTGGCGGGTCTTGTTTTTCATTTCAGCGACAGCGACGAGGGTTTTAATAAAAGGCTTTCATTTTTTAATAAAACAGATCAAAACACATGCGTTGTTGAGAACGGATACTACCCCTTTCCAAATCAAAACACATTAGGACCCGGGGGGACAGGAAGAGCCCCCCGGTAGCGCTAGAAAGACGTACTCACATGGGTGCACACATAAGGACGTTGAAAAAGAAACACACACACGCACACACGTCGGTCAAAAAACAGAAACAATATGCGTCCTGCACAAACTGCCCTGACTCACTCACCGGGTGGATGCGCCACCGAGGTCCGTCGCTGCAGTAGCTTAAATAATAAATAATAAAAAGAAAAATATAGAAATAGTAGCGGCAAAGCTATCTGTAGTGCTTTCCTGGTAGAACAGCCGCGCCACGCCGCTGAGCGGGAGACGGCCTGTCCAGTGAGTGAGTGCCCCGTCAACTGCTCGCCGGGGCGCTGCGTGGAAGAGCAGCGTCGCCGCATGTCGAGCCGGGGAACTAGTTTGCTTTCGATTGCCTTTTTATTTTTTAAGTTCCCCGTCATCTCAATTCCCCCTTAACTTGCCGCCTTACTCTTCACGGACATGGGGGATGACATCAGCGCGTAGAACGGTTTGAACCAGACTCGGGCTACAAGGCCACAGGTAAACTATCCCAGTGTCTTCCGGCCGGCCTTGACGCAATCTGACTACTAAAAGCCTCGCGGTAGCTGGGGGGCGTTCTAGTCTTCGGTCTAGTTCGTCGCCCTCTACCAGGCCTGTACTACCTGAAAGCAGAACTTCGGCTAGGGCAACAAGATCACATCAAGCAGCATCCGCGAGCAGCATCCGAACCGAGAGTAGTCAGCCGGGCCATTTCTGAAGGCGCTGCGAGGTGGGCGGAGAGGCATCACGCTAGCAGTTGGACGGGAGCAAGGCCAGCGTTCTTCTGTGTGATGTTCGTCGTATACTGTCCTGCCTAGTTCAACTATGTAGGTTATCTCTCTCTCTCTCTTCTATGTTGAAGACACGACAGATCGTTTCTATCGTACCATTTTCTTGTTCACGCACTCTCTTCACTTCACGAGGCAATCTTCTTTGTCCCAGCGAGTACAGAAAATGCGTCTTCACCATGATTCGGCTTTTTGCAGCGACGTCGTTTCTCGCTCTGCTTTTCTCAGCTCCGACGAGGATGATCGTACATGTGGGGGCGGAGGACCCACTGGCCGGAAAAACTGCAACGACGGTCTCTTCACAGCAAATAAGCTCAAGAACAACCTCAAGCGACGCCGACGACCAAGAGCAGCCGCTACCACCATTACCCGAACTCGTCGAGCGATATTTTCGAGCACAAGAAGCAGGGAAACAGCCGCACAAGGAGCAGGGAAACAGCCGCACAAGAAGAACTGGAGCATTAACTGCTTCCTCTTCTACGGCAGCGCCATCTCGACAGACCGAATCTCAAGCCCTTCTCCAGCGTGCTCCGAAGCGAATTGGGTACGTGCTGGACCGGAAGGAATTCCAGGCGCAACTCGACTTGGGCAAGCGTTACCTGGAGGGGGAGCTCCAGGACCCAGACGTGTTTCCCATTCCGCAGTTCCAATCGGCCTGGGAGCAAGTGAAGGGAGTGATTCTGGAGGACGTTGTGGAGGGAAGACTGCTCTCAGTTCTTTCATCTAGTACGACTCTTAGTCATCATCAAGAACATCAGCGGGAGAACGCAGTGTCGGCGAAAATGAACCTCGGACGTCGTCAAGATGGCACCACCACGGAAAGTAGAACTTCCAGGAAAAATATGGCGAACTTGCTATTTAAAAAGCTGTTCTTCGCGACCGAGTCCGAGGTTGCTGGATTATCTTCAAGGAAAACAAGAGACATCTTCACAGACATCACAGGAGATGATGAATTCAAGCCAACACGAAGAAAAAGTGACGGGTACGTGCGTTTCGAGATTCAGCAGTTGTGCGAGAATGACCCGCCGGACAAGCGCGCGGCGGAGTTCATCACTTCGAAAGTGCACACGTATCAAAAGGAAAAATCCCCCCTCCCAATATCAAAACGGAAATCTGTGTTGCAGATTTGTTGTCACAGATTAGCTTTGTTATGCTACACGGGAAAAGCAAAAGATCCGGACTGTAGTGCTGGGTGGCGTGGGGAAGCCTTGCATCTTCAGCATGATAGGAGGCAGCTGAGAGTGGGAAACAGCATGACAAATTGCCTGCAAACGAGGCCACGACTGCGGCTCTTGGCGGTCTAGCATGACAAGTCGATTTGTGACCTCAAATACAGCATCACAAATTTCGTTTTCGATATGGGGAGGGGGGATTTTTCCTTTCGATAACACGGACAACTACTACATGGGCGCGATCTATTTCATAGTCTCGGATTCCCACCAGTTTGGCACCACCATGTTCCACCATGCGGACGACGAGGTGGGGTTTGTCGCGGAACCCTTCGCCATCTACCAGATGGACTGGACCGGGTTCCACTCCTCGAAGCCGTTTTGCAGCAAAAGCGTAGTTGGAGGCGGGAATTCTGTGAAGATCATGATGCCGGGGTGGACAACTTCTGTGGAGATGGTAAAGGGAAAAAGTGCTGGTAGGAACAACCACAGAGGCTATTATTTGATGAACAAACGCGGCGACAAGAAGATTTCCTCTGCACCAGCACGACAGCGAAATAAACTACAAACTTCGACACGGAAAAATATTTATCCTGCAGCCTCTTCCGCTTTATCACCCTGCGTCCGCACTTTTTTCCGCGTTTGGTTCTACCACCCTGTTCTGTCGGTTTTGAACTACAATATCCACCCACTGTACTTCAAATACCTGCAGAAACTGCCGGAAACCAAGCCGCGGTGTCCGGCGTTGCGAGACAGAAGTTTGTCCAGCTCCTGCTTTCTCCCCGTACTGGAGAAAGACAGCGAGCTGGACCAACACCGGTCCCACTGCCACATCTGTTGCAATTTAAATACCGAGATCGGCGACGCGGTGGGCTGCTGGAAACATTTGTCGAATTTGGAGCCAGCTGCAAGTAGGAACCTGTCGTGGGAAGCCTGCTGCGCGGAAGACGACGTCGTAGGTTCGTCTATGCTACAACCTAGCACAAATACGGAGGACACGGTGAAGAATGAGCTTGTAGATGAACGAAGCGGAGCGGGAGCCGGAGCCACAACGTCGCGCCCACCTACGACGTCGTCGTTGTTCATCCCGTCGTATACAACCGGTGACGCCTACTGGGGCCACGACTATTTTCTCTCGTCGCAACAGGTAGACTCCGCAGCCCAGTGTTTGCAGTTGTGCGTGGAAAGCGGCAACCTGTGTGGCGGGTACACGTGGATCAAGCAGAACTCTGATGGTGGAAGCACGTCTACACCCAACGAAGAAATGATAAATCCAGAACAACATGCAAGTCAACAGCACGACCTGGACCTGCCCCCGACGTGGCAGAGCACCATTCTGCCTGCGTCGCTGATTTTGGAGTTGCGTGGGCTATGTTTACTTCGCGGGGATATTCCGCTTGCGAAGGAAATGGAGCGGAATTTCTTGGCAGGCTGTGGTGGTGGAGCTGCTCCAGCTCCACCGACATTCGGTGCGATGCCGGACATTTTTCTTCACGTTTTCCGTAGTAGAGGGATGGTTTCGGGGCTAAGGAAACTCGCTCTACACGATTCCGGATCCGGCCAGCACGAAAACATCAACTTCGAATTATTCGACAATTGCGACGTGAACGCCCAGATTTTTGACTCTATTGCGTTTGTGTCATCAGCGAACGAATGCGAACAGAAATGCATCGAGCACGGTAGTACTGCAGGACGTCACAATCACAAATCCGATGAAGGCGGTAGTCTCCTCGACGGCACATCACCAGAAGCGAAAGACGCAAATGAGCAGGAGATGAGCACAACTTCGAAAGCATGTAAAAGCTACACCTACATCCTCCCGGAGTTCGATGGGGATCCCTGGTCGCACTTCAGTACGCAGTTTTACGACAAATTTGTACAGAAGCGGTGCGTGTTGAAGACGAGAAGAAATAGTGAAGATGCTTGGAAAAGAACTTCCACAGCCGCTACTGCTCCTGCTGCTGCTGCTGATCCCATTTCTGGTGGACAAGGTGCGGACAGAGTCAGAGATAGAACTTCTGACAAAGAAGTTTTGTTACAGCACCGACACAGCTTTCTACCCGACAACGATTTTGTCATTGTACCGAACTCGGTTTCGGGAACGCGGGAGGAACACACGGGAATCCTTGTACCGACACGGATCCTGTTTGCTGGTCCTCGTGGTGGTTCAACAGAACAACAAGCAGTAAGTGCTACTAGTGCTCCGTCCGAGTTCGAAATCGGATCCACTTCTGCTGCAAGAACTAGTACTTTCTCGCAGTGGTGCTTCTTTGGAGACCGACTAGTTTTTGAGTTCGCTCCTCCCGGTGTTTTGCTGGAGTCGATAGCGGTCACGTTTGCACAGCCACTGATGGTTGCTTTACGTCGTAAAAATGCTCCTGCTCGGCATGGGGGCAGTGGCAGCGCAGAGGACAATGGTGCGAACATAACCACAGAATCGTCCGCCGATGCTAGTATCTTCGCATGGAACCACCAGTGGAGCTACGAACTTCTCTTCTCAAGAACAACATCAAAAGTTATAGGCGATCGCGCAACTGCAATAGTACAGCCCGAGGAACAGTCTGGTGACAGCACTACATCATATTCTGACGCTGCTCCGGAAGACGAAGATCTTGCACGATTGTCTAATACCGAGTCCTGTGGAACCGAATCCTCTTCTTACTCCAACGTCGCAAAGTTTGTTTTTGGGAAAAACCGGTGCCCGAAACTGTTCTCTGAACACCGAGAGGGCGTGGTTAGGTTGGAATTCAGGAATCGGAGTGCTGTTACTGAAAAAGACAATAGCGTCGATATTGATAGCCACGACGGGCTGCACAAAGAAGATGATACGAAAAATTCGAAAGTGAAAGGTCTGGGTTTTTGTGCGGTGGAGTTTCTCGGAAGACCCGTCGCTGGCGAGGAGACAGACCGACACGCAAAAACAGCAGAGTCGAGATCGAGAACTACACGACTCTTCGATGCGATAAACCAAAATTTGGAACTCGAACTGCAAGAGCCACGGTTGTTGCCGTGGTTGCCGAAGGAGAAACAAGTAAAGCAAGAGAGGACAACTACATCTCCGTCTCCTTCTCCACTACAAGAGAAAAGCACAGTGTCCGCAAGTTCTGTTAACCAATATCCGCCCTGCAACGAGGAGCTGATCGGGCGCAGTTCGTTTTTCAAATTGCACTACGACACGGAGCAGATTCGCATGGCACAACTAGACTGCGAACTCACTTCCAACAATCACTACGAGTACATGGACACGCAGTTAGTCATGAATAACATGTTCAGCTTCAACCTGGCCATTTATCAGAGTGCACAAGAACTCGGCGTAGCCCTCGTTTGTCATGCAATATCGGAAATCCTGTGGTGTGGCTTCCACTCCCTGGCGTGCGTGTTGGCACTGTTTGCATCACAAGTTCGGAAGCCGAATAAACGTCACTACAGTTGTCGGCGCGTGATGATGAACTTGTCATGGACGGGCCCCACATGTGCTGGAGCTGGACTGGTGCTTGTATTGCTGTTAATGCCATATTAGCATACAAATGAGCAGGGGGAGAACGAAGGAGTTGTGTACTCTCGTCATACCAGTTGCTTTCCGAAGACGTATCAAGACTTGGACCCGCTCGACACAGAGACCTACTGCTCACTGGAGTCTATTTTAAAGAAATACTACCGCGACGTCGGCGCGAAGTGCGAGTCACTGCGGATCATGAGCAGGCAGCGGTTTTGGCCCCACCACCACTTCGGAGTAGGCGACGGGGGTCCTCGTGGAGGTGCTAGTACCTCCTTTCACCCAAAACTTGATTTCCTTATCGCGGGCTTTGCCCGGTCGGGCTCCACGACGGTAAAGGCAAATTTGGCGAAAAACTACGCGGAGAAAATATCGATGGGCGAAGAGCTGTTGTCTTTCAATTGGCCGCCATTGCTGCGGTTGCATGACGTCAAGCAGTTTCGAGAAGTGCTCTTCTCCGCTGATGTGGATCATAGAAGTTCTGCATCCACCGGGCATCAATTTGGTGGAGGCAATAATAAAGCCGGAGAAGCGCTTGTTTCCTCATCCCCTCGTCGTCTGATCGGCTTCAAGTCGGAGGCTTTCGCTTTTTCCCGTCACGTGGAGCTGGTCTGCAAAGCCTTTCCAGAGATGAAGCTGATCTTTGTGATTCGCGAGCCGATGGAGTGGCTACAGTCCGTGTTCAACTACCGCGTCCATCTCCGCTGCGCCATGGAGGGCATCGGCAGTTCTGGGTGCAGCGACAACGAGATGGACGCTTTCCTGCAGATCGCGCGGGGTGAGCGTGAGTTTGAGGATTGCGGCCGGCGATTCGGGAAATACGCGGACATTTTGACAAAGGACGTGTTTCCGTTTTGCGGGGAGGACCGAGTTTTGTTGTTGGAGTTCGAGTGGCTGAAAAGTGATCCGGTGACGTTCTTCCAGCAGATCGAACTGTTTCTGGGGATAGAAGAAGCCATAAAAGAAGAAAAAGCAGATGATAATGTTGAAACAGGCGAAGGCCAGGGGGATGATGAACATGCGGAAAAAGAAGAACTGCAACCGCAACAGCCGCGTGCAGCCGGCCCAAGAAAACAGCGCGCCCGCGTGTTGGAATCGCGCAACGAGTACGATAAACACGCCTACAATTATGTGGTGCGGAACATTTTTTGCGACGATAAAGAATTCAAATCGTCAGAAGAGCTTGCCAAGGAAGATGGTGAGATTTTTGATACCTTGCGAGAATATTACTACGGCGGTGGAAAAAATGATAGGGGAGACAACGCATCTTCTGATAAGCCAGATGAAGCGGAATTTCCTGGAGATGAAGGTGAGAGAAATGGTGGAAAAAGTAGGTATAGTCAAGGCAGTCAAGGCAGCACGAGCATCGCGACTTTGGTGGAACGCTCGCAAGACCGGCTTATGGAGATGGCGCGAGCGGCAACAGCAAAGACAAGAAGAAATGTTGATGGGGGACAAGAACAGCCTGCGGTTCGAAGATTTTCTGTCTCGGATAAAATCAGATACGGGGTGACCCGGAGTAAAGAGGCTTGCTTTGGCTTTTGGAACGTCAACAGCACCGGGGCGTTCCGCGTTGTGGACAAAAAGTCTTGGGAAACATAGAGCTTGGTCCTCTGTCTTGGTGGAGGAAGTTTTCGCAAAGACATCCTCAAGTTCAAGTTTTGGGTGGAGGAAGTTTTCGCACGAAGTTCAAGTTCTGGGCGAGATGCCGGTGCTTAGAAGTATGACATGAAAATAAAGGCGGTGGAGCGAGATGAATCTACGTTAAGAAATTGATCATATGCAAATGAACCAAATCTATATCTAACGATCACATGCACACCGTCATCAACGTGTGTCTTTCTCTCTTCTACAACTCACGGAAGATGAAGAAGCAATGAAATTCCCATTTGAATCGACTTAAGTAGCGCAAAAGTGAAGTAAAGTACTCTCAGCATGAATTCTTTGGAAAATGACGCGATATAGTAGTGCGAAAATATGAAGAAGAAGATTCAGAAGCCAAAAAAAAGCTGCAAGATGAGATGAAGGCGATCAAGATCTGTTCGAGAAAATTTGGTTTGAAACCCCGTCAAGCAAGAGATGCCACAATTGCAATCATGATCTCTTTTTGGTCAATGAGAACGATCGATCCCAATGCTTCGTAGCGCACAGGTTTTGAATCGAGGTCAGAATCAAGCTGGTCATTTAACGAAATTCAGAACGAAATTTTCATTTGCCAGTTTTCAAAATTTTTTCTCAGGTCCCATTATTTTGTAAATAAAAATAATGGTTGATTTGAAGTAGTCCTCCGTATTTGATGTACCCATATTTTTTTCTTAGCTCAAGCCGGCATGATATCCCTAGCCTTTTCTGAAAATGGTCTTTCCGTTTTGTGAGCGATGCGCCACTGAATAAAGCTTCAGCATCTTTTCGAACCGCGACTCTCTCTAGGCACAAGACATCAAGAAACGTCCAAACAAAGAATTTTTGTTTCGTTTCCTTTCTGAAAAGTTTCACAACAACTACGCTTTAATTCCTTACGCGCGTTCTATCAGTTATTTCACAACTAAAAGTTGAGCAATTTTCCTTTTCCCAAACTATTATACCATCTACCTTCTTCTACATTATCCTAGAAGAAATTTCTCCTCCACTACAAGACTGAAACCCACCCTACTAATAATCAAATTCTCTAGAAAATAATCAAAATGGCGGCCACCACGGATCAGCTTGCCATCACGGACAGCAACATGCTGATGCAGGTGGCGCTCCGCGAAAACAGCTCGACCGCGATCGAGTCCGCCGACAAGGTCCGCAAGTCCCGTTTCGCCCCCATTGACCGGACGCTCTCCGCGCAGCAGACCCGGTGGGGCGCGGACGACGACAAGCCGTACAAGCCGCTGCCGTACATAGACATGCCGGTGGGGCTGTCGGACCAAGAAATGGATCAGTTTCTCCGGGAGCGCCGGCTGGAGGAGCTCACGAAGAACATCCGGGGCAACGTATCAAAAGGAAAAATTCCCCCACCCCATACTCAAAGGGAGATTTGTATAGCATGATTTGTGATCACAAATCGCGTTGTCATGCTAGAAGGGAAGAGATGCAGATTTTAGTGCTGGCTGGCGTGGGAAAGCTTTGCGTCTTCAGCATGACAGGAAGCAACTGGAAACGGGAAACAGCATGACAAATTTCCTGCAAACGAAGGAACAGTTGCGTCTTTTGGCCTTCTAGCAATACAAGTTGATTTATGGTCACAAATCAGCATCACAAATTTCCTTTTTGATATGGGGAGGGGGGATTTTTCGTTTTGATACAACGTGCTGGAGGACGTGGACCCGGACATCCGGCCACCCAGCCCCCCGCCGGTGTACGACCGGAACGGGAACCGCATCAACAGCCGGGAGACCAGAATCCGGAAGCAGATGCTGAACGAGCAGAACCGGCTCGTGCGGTACATGATGAAACACGTGCCCGGCTACGTCGCACCCACGGACTTCCGCCCGCAGAAGCTGGCGAAGAAGCTGATCCTGCCGCTGGAAAAGTACCCCAACGCGCCCTTCGTGCAGGTCATCATCGGCGCGCGGGGGGCCAACCACAAGAAGCTGCAGGAGCTCACCGGGTGCCGGATCATGATCCGCGGCAAGGGCATGGACGAGAAGCAGAAGTACCAAACGGACGAGGACGCGGAACTGCCCCAGCACGTGCACATCGAGGCGGACCACGAGGAGCAGATCGCCATGGCCGAGACGTTAATCAAACCCTTGCTGAACCCGGAGACCAAGGAGTTCGTGGAGGCACAGGAGCTGGGGCTGCAGGTGCTGGCCAAACAGAACGGGTTCACGGTGGCGTTGCACGAGAAGCGGTGCGGGATCTGCCAGGCCATTGGGCACACGTCGGACCAGTGTCCGGAAGCGGACGGGTCCGGGTGGAAGATGGCGGAGGTGCGGTGCGCGATCTGTGGCGACCGGGGGCACCCGACCAGCGACTGCCCCATGAAGATCTCGGAGGGAATCCAGGAAAACATCAACTGGAAGGCGGAGGCCGCGAAGAAAATGGAGGCGGACAAGCTGTACGCAGAGATGATGCAGGAATTCAAAACCCCGATGGATTTCGACAGCATCGATTCCGCGAAGCAGAGGGAAAAGGACTTTTTGAACAAAGCGAGACCGGGCTTGGGATTTTCATCATCTGCTGGGAACAATAAGGATCCAATTTGCACCGAGGTTGGCGGCGGAGTTAGTACTACCGCGGCAAGTGGTGCAGCAACGACGTCCGGGGTTGCAGGGGTCACGACCAGTAAAGCGGGGGCTTTTGTGACAGCAAGCAGCGCGAATACGTCCTGTGGTGGGACCGCTGCGGGGGGTCCTAGCGACTACAATAATGATGGGCGACAAGGAGTTCCGCCAGCGTCTGGTAATATTTCTGCGAACGGGGGCACATCAACCTCTTCCGCGAGTAATGTCGCCGGATTCAATGCCCCGCCCGCCGCGAAACACGCTCCGCAACAGATCAATGGAACAGCGACAGCAGGAGCGAATGGTGCCGACTCCGGCGCAGAAGCAGGAGCAACGTCATCAGGCCCGCACTTAACGACGCTTTCCACGCACACGGACTACGCAATGGACACGTCCCTCACGATACGGAAGGACCTGTGCAGTTTTTTCATCGGTGCGAAGGGCGCGAACATTCACGCACTGAAGCGGGAGGCGGGTTGCGAAATCAATCTGGAGCGGGCGGACAATCCCGACGGGACGAAAACCATAAAGATTTCCGGCAACACCGAGCAGCGGGAGAAGGCAAAACAGCTCGTGCTCACGGCCATTGAGGACGCGAAACAGGCCCAGCAGGTGATGGCGAAACGGAAGGAAATGTCGATGGGCATCGACAGGGGCTGGTCTGGTTCTGGTGGGGAGAAAGGCAGTAGCTCCTCCTGGTCGTCGAACAAGGACCACGGCGAGTTCGGCAAGGGGAAAGGGAAAATGAACAGCTTCGGAGGTGGGGGCAAAAACAGCTGGTACAATCACCGAAACAACAAGGGCGGCGGGTCGAATCCGTACGGGAATTTGCCGGGCGGCGGCTTCGGCGGCATGCCGGGGGCCTTGCCCGCGTTTGCGTTCGGGCAACAGCAGCAGATGCAGTACCAGCAGATGCAGATGCAGCAGCAGATGATGTACCAAATGCAGATGAATGCCATGTACGGCCAGCAACAGGCTGCGGCCGCAAACATGCAGCAGGGCATGCAGGGGCAGCAGCAGATGGGGCAACAGCAACAGCAACTGCCTGGGAACAATAACAGTGCTGCTGGGTGAGTTCCTCCACGTTGGAGCAGCAGAAGCTGTAGGGCGGTAGTAGCATCTGTTGCAAGAATCACTGGCACAGTTCCATAATCTGCGATACATTTATCATTACCCAAGACCTGCTCATCGTCTTGTTGTGCTGCACCAAAAAAAACGGCCATCTTTTCAACAGATCAGTACCACTACGCGTCGCGCTGTCAGGCATACGACAGGAAAATTCTGCAAGCGGTAGAGCTTGAAGTTCTCTTTACGTGTTCTCGTCTTCCCAGCGTGCAGTTTCTTTTTCTCGTACTTAGATTGTTGTTGGATCCCTCGTGAGGCTACAGGAGTAAAGATCACCGGCAAAGAACGGCAATTCTATTCCCCATGACATGAATTCGCTGCCGTCGGTTCGCCTTTTTTCTTCGGTTTCAACATCGTGACTCGTATTGCTGATGCTGCTGTGTTGATGTACCGGAAAATAAGTGTCCGTCGTGTGTGACCCATGCTTCTCTGAGTGTTTTGAACGTATGTTCTATACACAGTTCAGGATCTTCATCTTGTTCTTGATCTTGCTTGTTCCGAAAGGATCGGCCACTTCCCGTGAACTAGAACTACCTACAGAGTTCAAGTCTTGCCTCAGCCTCTACTGTCTTCAAGTTTGTATAACCGACCACAGTCACACTGACCAAAAAAGTCTCAAGCACGGTATCATCAAAAGGACCGAACACCATCGCCTTACCGTACGTACCTACTTAGTTTATCTGTTAGTGTCTCAAATCGCAGCGAAATTACTGAGGATGCGGCCGTGGCAGGTAGCATTCTCACCATGGGTCGTCTCGATCGCGGTTTTGCTGTTCATCATGGAAATTAGTTTCGGCCAGCTGCACGGGGGAAAGACGAAGAGTGTAATATTCGCAGAAGCAACTGCCACTTCGCCTGCGGCTACTAGCACAAGGACAGCAACGACGACATTGGCAAAAAGACAGACAAGCGGAGCTGGAGGTCAGCTGGTCGCGAGCAAAGATGTAGACGATATACAAACTTCACCTGCAGCTCCTTCGTGGGAGCCTTCAGGTTTTGCGCTCACCGACGAGGCGAGGGCGTTTTTGGATTCGTATGTGCAGTGGTATAACGACGTGCTGGCGTGGTCAACAAAAAGTACGACGACTACTTCGCCCGCAGGACATAATTCTGATGCAAGCAAAAGTGCGTCCTTATCTACTTTTTCAAGCGAACTCGTACAACCATCGTTCAATTTCACCAGTGTGGCTTTCAGTCTTCACAACGGCATCGGGGACTGTCTAACCCTAGGAAGGGATAGCTTCATGCAGCTTTTGTGGCGCTCCGTTGTCTTGCTGCGCCAGGAGGGGGACGACACGAGTGAGGAAAAAAGCGAAAATGATGAAAAGCAGAGCGAGATGAAGGGAATCCTGTCGCAAGATAAATTCAAATTCCAGTACCACCTCCGCATTGGCCGCATGCAACGCGGATGGCGCACAGACAGTTGGCCAACCGCGTGGGAGGTCGGCCTCGCGCCGCGGTTTCCGCTCCTTGGCTACTGGCCGAATCCCAAGTGCGACATGGGAAAGAAGGAGTTCGCAGAGGTAAGTGCGCAGGAGATAGAAAGACAAAAGGAAATATTGAAGTCGTCCAGTGTAGTGGGGCTGGAACAAAACAAAGAAAGCAAGGGAGCTGCACCAATTCAAGGCTCAGCTAAAGGAAGAAATCGACTACGAGTAGGCATGAATCAAATCCCGCCTGGGCTTAACGAGGTCAATACCCTTTTCTACCTGTTTCTCCGACCGTCGCGAGCGGTTGCGCGGGCTGTGGAGACGACGCTGAAAGCGTGCAAACAGACAAGCAACTCAGCACCTACAGGGTCCTCGTCAACTACGACCACCTTCTCGCCGCCGCGTATGGGGCTGCACTTTCGGTCCTACCTCGTGGACAATCTACAGCCGGAGGAGTTTCGCGAGTGGGAGGAACGTGGTGAAGAGTGGCGCGTGGCAGGTGGCGCAGACATTTTCGAACGGAATATCGCAGCAGAAGTCACGAGGTGTGCGGACCAGCTCAGAAGCCCGTTTGCAACCGGGGAGGAAAAGAAGGGAAATTCAAATCCTGTGATAGATCCGCCTGACTGTTGGTTCGTGACGGTGGATTCCGTGCGAGTAGCGGATATGCTGAAAAAACGGTTCCCGGATAAGGTTATCCTCACAGACCTCGCGAACGAAAACAGTACCGGACAACAGGAACGGGCGGGCGTCAGCAGAATCTCAGGGAGCGAGTATGGAGTGGAAAACCGTTCATTCACGACGTGGCACGCAACTATGAGGGGGACGAAGTCATGAGCGCTATAGGCATAGTCTTCTATGAAGATGCATCACTGAAGATTTATTGTGTGCAACGACGCCTGTTCCTGGTGACATGTATTGCTGATCCCCATGATGGATCGTGCTACGGCAAAACGTGTTTTCCCGTCCACATTGGAGGCAACGGGTTCGGGCGTTCCCAGGCCGAGCTCGACGAGATGCAGTCGCAAGCCAAACGCGCCTACACCAAAATGTTCGCGGACTGGTTTACATTGCGCGAAATGCCAGCTCTTGCGGTGTCGGAGGGCTCCTACTTTTCGGCCACAGCCGCCAAGCTGCGCGACGTGCCGCTTGACAAGCGCAACACGACCCAGATCTGCTCCATCTCGCCCTGCGCGCAGGCGACCCTGGACGTGCTGGCCCTTGCGGAGGCCGAAGAAATCACCATTGCTGCAGCGGCGAGGAAGCTCTATGATCTCGTGGAAGAACAAAAACCCTCCGAAGCGAATGCAAAAACTGGCACGCCGAGAACCCGTCGGGCCTTTTCGCCCTGGAAACAGCGGAAGAAAATTGATGTTTTCGAAACATGCGGCTTATTGAACTACGGTGGCAGGAGAACGGTGGACAGCGCAGTGCAGGCGGGGCCTCCTGGTGTTGATCTTCAGAAAGCAGGAAATAAGGAGAAACCTCGTGCAGAAGAACTCTGAAGGCCTAGTAGGAGAAGCAGTCGTGATAATTGGTGCGAATCAATGTCATGATTGTAAAAGCATCAATGCGCCAGAAGTCCACCGCAGTCGTGAGGAATTTTGATCAAATGAAGACTCACTGGTCGCAACAAAGCAAAGGCGACGTGTGTTCTGGTTGCTTACTGTCACGACGAAGAAATTTGTCCACGTGCTTCACAGCGCACAACGAAAGATATTTGGTACTTGATGTCAAAGTTGAAAGCACGAAACATCCCGGAAGATGGACATGTCGTTACCGAAAGAAAGCTCCCAGGGTGCCTGTTGCCAGGGGACAAGGATCTTCTGTGAAAAGAAAAGCATGAATAGCTGCTATGGAAGCAGTTGCTGATCTGGTAATTCAAGTAGAAGCAGGAGGAAACGCAAGGATGCTTCAATGTAATAGCGCCAGGTTCTTCTTCTAGGATATCTCTCTATTTTCACGTAATCCAGGCCGACCACTTTTCATCTTTACACATAGGACTAGGAGACCGCAGAACATTATTTCTCCACCATCGTAATGTTACTATATTTTTCAACACCCGAAAACTCAGTAGGTACGATGTTACAGATTGTCTTAGTTCAGCCATTCCGTAGAAGATCTGGAAGATGGTGTAAAACGTCACAGGAAATAAAGATTGACAAGGATGAGCTTCCTGATCGTGATGTTGTGAGCGCCAGCATGGGTCGTTAGCTGCTAGATCCTAGCGTGCGGTGCAGTGCCGCCAAGGCCTTTTCGGGAGGCGGTGCTTGATGTCCTCCTCCGGGGATTATATGTCCTTAATCAAGAAGAAGAAAAAAGCCAAGAACCGCCTGAATAAGACAATAACCTGAAACTCCACCCTCGTCTGAAGCAACCCCAGCGGGGGTTGTGGTGCTCTTTTGCGGCCGATACGGAATCGTCCGTCGGTCGTGTGAGAACGAAGCACAAGGCTCACAGAAGGCGAACGACGTTCCTTTGGGGAGATAAACCGCTCGCTCCTCCTCGTCCTCTTGGACAGAGTGAAGAATCTCACATCAACGTAGAAGTCGTCGTACGACGAGATCTGGTAAGTAGTTTCTCCTGTCCTTGATTTCAGACTCGCTTTTGGGGACGTCGTCCAGGACGACTACTTCCATCCCCAGCAAGATGCCGATGTTTAAACAAATGCTGTTTGGCAGCGGGGACGAGCACCAGAGCCCAAACACGGACGACAACGAGCTGACCAACGAAGACATTTTAAAGAACCTCCTGGAGGAGAAGGAAACGGAGATTAAGGACTTGAGGCATCGCGTGCAGGCCCTCATGGATGCCATGCACAAAGATTCCCCGCGTGGGGAAGGGAAGACCGACGGTGGAGCCACCGATTTTCTCACGGAAAACGTGGCGCTGAGGTACTAAAAAGTGTACTCTAGTAGCGTTTAAAAGTTCTTGCATAGTATCTTTCGGCAACATTGACGAAACGAATGAAATGTGATGTGCGATGTTTTGTACTGTAATTCTTGGCCTGTTGCTTATTTGACTGCCTATGGCGCTGGCGCACTCGCACACGATACTTACGAGGCACGAAGACCATTTTCACGCATGCGTCACGTCAACCAAAACAGGGAAGCCCTGGCGCAGGCCCAACAGCAACTTTCTGAGGTTGTCATGGGGACAAGCGATAGGAGCGCCCCCGGAGTGGACAATAGTGAGGCGATGAAGCAGGTCACATACTGGAAGGGAAAATGGGAAGAGAAGGAACAAGAGGTACTTACGTAAATTTCTACATGCTGTTTCTTGATCACGACAGTAACACTTTCACTCCTGCGGCTGCTGTGTTTTAACTCTTTTTGCTTTAAGTATACTTACTCGAAACTCGAATACCGACCCAGGGGTAGTTGTTTCTATCAGTCCCGTTATCTTCGAAAAACATAAAAAACCATCAGAACGTCCGCCTTCTGTCCGAGAATACGGATTTCCAGGCCCAAATTCAATCCCTTCAAGCAGAAAACGCCCAGCTTCGCGACTCCGAGCAACGGGCAGTTGCAGCGCTTGAAGCGGCCCAAGCCGCGGCTGCGACTGCAGCCGTTGCCGTGCCGGACAGGGCAGAGGTTCCCACCGTAACAAGTGCGGCCGCTCCTTCCAAGAAGCAAGATGACAATGACGTGGACGGCTGGGGCGATATTGACGATGACGAAGATTTGCTCGCAGCAGCAGCGACCGAGAGCGACATCAACAAGAAGCATTTTCAAGCAGCGCTCGGGAAGGAGCCGAAAAACGCGGCCGACATCCGTTCCGAGGAAATCGAGAAGTTGACCGCGCAACTGGACATCCGCTCCGCCGAAGCCGTATGCATTGCAAAAGTATCGTACTCGTAGAAATGCATGACAAATTTCCTTAGCATGAGAAATAAAATTTGTAATGCTGATTTACCTGATCCTGAACAAAAAGATTTGTAATGCCTGATTGCAATACGAGTACGATACTTTTGCACAGGATAAGCCGAGGAGCTGCGGATCGCTGCCTCGAACTTTCTGGAACAGATATCAAATGCAAAAATGTCTGGGTCTGGAAGATTGCAACTTCAACTTGTCATGCTAAATTTGCAGCATGCAAAAATCTGTGTTGCATGATTACCAAAAGTCGCCCAGTTTTCTTTGACCAAGTCGGGAGGTAGTTTCTCATGCAGGATAGGCATTAATAAGGTCTCGCAGAGTCTGTCATGCTAGGTCCTGCATTCCAGACCTCATGGGTCATGACAAGTCTCGAATCCTTCCAGACCCAGACATTTTTACAGTTGATAACAAAAGAGGGACTACGAAAGCACGATCAGCGATCTGCAGCGGAAGCTGCAGGGCGATGGGGCGCAGAAGCAGGAGATCGCGAACCTGCAGAGCAACGTGGAACTGCTAGAGTTGGAAAACGGTAATTTGAACAAAGAGAACACAGAGCTACGAAAAGAGGTGAAACGACTGGAAAGCGAACAGAAGGAGGTTGGTGGTCGTGTTGTAGCAGCAGCGGCCACGACGACCGCAGCCACCGTTAATGTAGTTCCACCTGCACACCAGCCCCCAGTTCCGCGCAAGGATTTGTACGTTGCCAAAACCGCGATTGAGCTGGACCAGTTTTCGATGGAGGAACTCCGGGAAGAGTTCGAGGAAGTGCAGGAGATTCTGGAGATTGAGCAGGGCGCGACCGACAAACTCCGGGCGGAAATCGCGGATCTGCAAAACCGGCTTGTGGTTCTCGCAGCTGCTCCTTCGACGACCGCCGCGACTAGTTCTTCCAGCCCCTCGAAGTCCTCGAATATATCCGGCGGTGGAAATACCAGTAACAACGCGAGCGGTTTATCCTTTGCGCAGGAAATGGAGATGCAAAAGTTAAAATCGGATTTGACGGAGGAGAAAAAGAAGAACACCGAGTTGATCCGACAACTGAATCTGCTCGAAGAGGAGGTGGAAAAGAGGGCGCAGGAGGTCCGGAGCCTGTCCAAAAGCAACCCGCCGAGTCCGAGCCACGCGACGGGAGGCGTTGCAAATGGTGCAACTTCGTCCACCGACCAAGTTTCGACCACAGGAGCAGGTGCAAACGCGAAGCAGCCACGGGTGTCCGAGGATGGCTGGGGCGACGATGCCTGGGGAGATGATGACGATGAAGACGCTTGGGGGGACGACAATGTCGACGTAGCTCCGGTTGTAGCAGGTGCGGGTTCATCTTCGGGCGCAAAACCTGCTGCAACTGTGCCAGCAGCACACGACCAGGAGCCAGCTGCCGCAATACAAAACCCGAATGATCTTCCTGTAACGTCGTCGATGCAACAAGCGTCAGACGGCGATGGTTGGGGTGACGATGACGACGCGTTTCCCTTCGAAGACGAGGACAAAACGGCCAAGGCGGTGCTGGAGACCTTCAACATTGCGAGTCCGGAGGAGGGTAACACGCCGTTGGGAAGTGCGACGGGTGCGGACGTGGGCAAAATGCTGGCCGGAATGGTGAAGGTGGAGGAGCTGCAGGTCGTGCAGCTGGATTTGGAAGAGCAAAGGAGACTCGTGAGCCATTTGAACATCGAATTGGAAAAAGCGATGCAGGAGGTATAGGGTTTTTAGAATGGTTTTCATTTTCCTCGCTTTCTTTCATCTGTTACTGTTTCCAGTATGCATAGAAACATTCCCGAAGCTCGCATCTATAGCTGTTTGTCGGTCGAGTCCGTGATGAAGATGTGGCATGAAGTACTTACTTCTTAGTTGCGAAAAAAACGAAATCAACCTCCCACCAGGTCCGCAAACAGGAGCAGAGCCAACAAGCCGCCACCACCTCTCTTGCCCGGGTCGAGCAGTTGGAGATCGAACTGAAGGACAAAATCTTCAACTTCGACAGATTGGAGAAGGAAAACAGCGCCCTCGTCGAGCAGAACACGTCCATGACGCAGAACATGGATGCGCTGGCCTTGAAATTCGAAGAATTGCAGCGGGAGAACGAGAGTTTGACGCAGGAAAAGCTCGCGATGAACCAGCAGAGCATACCGATGGAAACGTCGCAGATTTCGGAAGCCTCCTCGGTGCAGGACCTGACGCAGGAGAAGGACAAATTAATGGACACGCTCACAAGGATAACAACCGAACTTGCCGAGAAGGAAAACGTGATCGCCAAGCAGGAAAGTGATGGGAAATTGGCGGAAGAGGTACGAGGTTTGGTGATTGTGTTTGATGAAAAAGAATGAGGTTGTCTTTATGTTTTGTTTCACATTTCCTTGCTTGCCCTTCCAACCCCAAGTCGCGATTGAAATTGCTACATGACAAAAACACTTCAAACATCATTCCATGCCTTAGGCCCTCGCCCTGAAAACCGCGGAAGTCGACAAGCTCAAATCGGAGCAAGACGCGTCGAAGCAGGCGTTTGACCTCGAGTTGGACGCCTTGCGAGAGACGAACGGCCTACTGGAAACCCGGATCGAGCAGCTGCGGCAGGATTTGGAAAAGGAACACAAGCAGGCACAAGAGGTGATAAGTGTCGCTGCCGTGAATGCGAACGCATCTAGCACTACAGGTGGTACGGTGAATGCAGTCGAGGTTCCGGTTGAAGTCGAACCAGTGAAGAACATGGCCGGTGCAGATGCAAAAGATCCATGGGCCGATGTGGAGGACGATGACGGGTGGGATTTCGGGGACGATTCCCCGAAGGAGCAAGCACCGAAAAAAACACTTGAAGGCTCAGTTCCGACTGCCGCAGCTGTGGTGCAGCCCCCTGATCAAACGGAAGAGGTGGAATCTTTATCCCAAGCTTCCGCTTCTGCTGCTCTACTCCAGCAGAATCACGACAAGCTAGCGAAGCAGGTTGACGAACTTGTCGCAGAAAAGACTGAGCTCTTGGCGCAGCAGGCGACGCTTTCTTCCCAGCTTGAACAGCTAAAGGACGAGAGGGGAGAGATTTTCCAAGAAAAAGAAAGGATAACTGAAGAGAATATCGAGTTTAACAACAAGCTGTCCACGCTCGAAATGACGGTGCGCGAACAGCAAGAGAAACTTCGCCTGTTGCAAGAAGAGAAATCTTCGTCATTACAAGCGGGACCACCACCAGCCGCTGCAGCAAGCCCCGAGACAAGCACAAGCACTACGTCCGCACCTCCTGCTCCAGAACCGAAAAGCGCTACAGTGCCCGAACCTGCACTAGAAGTAGATGATGACGGTTGGGATTTCGATGACGAGTCACCAGCGAAGACTGGCTCAGCAGGAGGAGAGCTACTACCCCAAGAGGGGGCTCCTGCTGTTCCTGTTGCACCAGCAGTGGCAACTACAAGCTCAGCATCCTCCAAGGTACCGCAAGACCCTCTTTCCGTTTCAGTTGAATCCCGGCAGCCGTCGAAGATCCGGTTATCAGAGGACTCCACGCTCGACTGGAACGAGAAGGCGCCTACACCCGCGAAATTAGAGGCGAAATTGAGAGAGACGGAAATGCGGTATGAGGAATTGCGGGGAAAATTCTCGGACTGTGAGAAGGAGTTTTTGGAGAGTTCTTCTCAGAAAGATAAGCTCCTCGCGGAGAAGACGGAAGAGGTATTGGAGAAGGAGCAGGAGCTGCGGAAATTGGAAAAATTATTGCTAGAACAAAAGGAAGAACAAGTGGCTAGCGAGAGGGCAAATCAGGCCAAGGCGAGCGAGGAGCGTGCAGCCGCTGTCGCGGAGAATTGTGCAGAGTTGGAGAAAAGATTCGCAAGCGAAAAGGACAAATTGCTAGACGAGAAAAATTTGGAAATTTCGGCGAAAATCGAAGAAGCGAAAGTCCTGAACAGTCTGCTACAGGAGAAGGAGGAGCAGTTGGCTGTTCTGGCGAGCAAGCAGGATGCGAACGCCGCGGAGCAGCAGACTGCGCTTGCTGCCTCCACTGCGGAACTCGGGGCGAAAACGGAGGAGGCGAAGGAACTAGCGGCTTTGCTGAAAGAAAAGGAGGAGGCGCTAGCACTCGCACAGATGCAAGTCGCTGACGCAGCGACTGCGAATGGCGCAAGTCTTGCGGAGAAAGACGCTGAGATCGCAGAGAAGGACAGTGTATCAAATGTAAAAATGTCTGGGTCTGGAAACTTGTGATGCTGGGTGGCGTCTCATGATGAGGCCACAAATGCTGGCGCAGCATCACAAGTTTCTGAGCTTCTAGGTGTTGCCTATTCTGCATGACAAACTGCGTTTCTGCATCACAGAAAAGCGAAGCTCTTGGGTAACGTGCGTGACAGATTTAAGAGTCATGCCAGACAAGCATGACAAACGTGCATTCTTCCAGACCCAGACATTTTTACATTTGATACACTGAGATCGCGGAGAAAATCGAAACGATGAAGCAACTCTCGGAGCAGCTGCAGACGCTGGGAGAGGAGCTAACAACGGCGAAAAAACAAGTGGAAGCGTTCGCTGCGGAAAAACAGTCCGCTTCTGCGGAAAAGGACGAAGAATTGACGCAGAGAATCGAGGAGGCGAAGCAGCTTTCGCAACTGCTGCAGGAGAAGGAGGAGGAACTTGCAATGGCCAGCATGCAAGCGGACGACAGCGAGGCGGTGCGGGAGAATTTGCGTGAAAAGGAACAAGAGCTGGCAAAGAAAACTGAAGAGGCGAGTGAGCTTTCTGTACTGCTAGCAGCGAAATCGGAAGAGTTGGAAAAACAAAGTGAAGCCGCAGCTGCGAAATTGCAGGAAGCAGTACTGGCGAAGAGCGAAACTATCGCAAAACTCGAAGAAGACGCAAAACAATCGGCAGCGCTCGTAGAGCAAAAACAGGAAGAGCTTGAGGCGGTGCGCGCGCAGCTCGAACAACAGAAAAACGGCGCGTCAACGGAACAGCAAGCGTTGGTGGTAGAGAAAGAAGCAGAAATTGCGGAAAGAAAGGAAGAAGCGAAGCACCTCTCGGCACTGCTGCAGGAAAAGGAAAAGGAAGTGTTGAAGCTGCAACAGGACAAAGCGTCATCTGCAGAGCAACACGAAGCTGTTTTGCTCCAAAAAGACGAAGAAATCCAGACAAAAACCGAGGAAGCGAAGTACTTGTCGACGCAGTTGCAAGAGCTAGAATCAGAGAAGGAAAGAGCGCTCGCCGATCTGAAACAGGACCTGTCTGACAAAGAGCAGACAATTCACCTGTTGTCGTCGGAGCTCGAAGTCTCGCGCAGAACCGCAGCCACTTTGGTTCTTGAGCAGGAACTACCCCCAGAAGTGGACCCGCAGAATACTACCACAGCTCCCATTTCCATCCCAGCGCCAGCAGCACACGAAACGTCAGCACCCGCTCCCGCACCGAACGACATTGAAAGCGAACTGTTTCAAGACGACGACATATTTGTTGATGAAGGCACAACTGCAGCTGCTGCCCCGGCCGTTCCCTCAGCGACTTCCACGACAACACTTTTCACCCCCGTTGCCCCACCCCCGAAAACTTCATCCGCGAATCAAGATATCGCCGCAGCGCAAAGAACCCTTGTAGCGGAAGAAGAGCTGCAGGCTCTTCAGGAAAAAAGCGAAAAGCAAAAGAACGAGTTGGAAAAACTTAATTCCGAACTCTCCTTCCTCCAACAGCAGCTGGATCCCCTAACCCAGCAGAACGCGAGCCTAACCGAACAGAACGCGAGCCTAAGCGAGGAAAACGCGAATCTGACCGAAAAAAACGCGATTTTGAGCAAAGACCTAGAAAAGCAAAGCTCCGAAATCGAGGATTTGAAGCAAGCGAAGAGCAACATTCTGATCGACAATGACGTCTTTGTCCGCGAGACCGCTACGAAGGAAGCGAAATTTCTGGAACTCCTGAGGGACAAGGAGGAAAACGAGTCGAGCATGCTGCAGCAGATTCAGCAGCTGACGGAAAGGAACACAGGAAAGGAGCAGGAAATCGCGGAGATAATGTTGCGGCAAAACGAGCTCGAGACGAAAGTGAAAGAAATTGAAGCAGAATTGGGGAAAACGGAAGAAGAAAAGGAAAGCTTGCGGATGCGGATGGAAGAAGCCGAAAGCGAGCGAGCGAATTTAGCTCTTGCGGCGGTCGTGCAGCAGGAGCCATCTTCAAACGCGCGGCCTTCTGCAGAAACGGAAGCTGCAAGAACGTCAGCAGTGGTGGAAAAGGCGGAGCCATCGTCCGCACTCGAGAAGCAGGCTGGAGAGGAGGATCCATGGGCGGACGACGACGGTATGTGGGGAGATGACGACCAGAATGCTGGGGCTACAACTGAGGTACTCCTCACAGCTGCACCCCCCGCTCCTCCAGCAGCGTCCGATACTTCGGTGCCCGAGGGACAAGATGGGGAGGTCCACGCCAGACAGGAAGTTCCCACGACATCAAGCGATGACCGACGTCTTGCGGAACAAGAACAGACGATCCAAAACCTCGGTCGCTGGTGTCTCTCGGACCAGGAAAAAACGATCCTAGAAATGAGGAAAGAGATCGAGACAAAAGAGCAAAATGCAGAAAAGACGCTGAGCGAAATGGACAACGTAAAGGAAGAACTAGAGCTGAAAATAGCTGGATTGGACACGGAAGTTTCTGACTTGAAACAACAGCTGCAACTCGCGGAGGAAGCGAAACTAGCAGCGGAAGAGCAGCTTTCCTCCGCTTTGCTCGTCGCGCGACAGAAAAGCGAAAACGAACAGCAGGAGCACGAGGAGAATCTCGAAAAAGATCGTGCGGTTTCCAAACAGCTCGAAGTTGACATGGAGAAGTTATGTCAGGAAAAAACAGAACTCGAACAGTCCTTCAAGCAACAAATCAACGACCTCGAGGATCAGATCGCGGAGCTGCAGACGCGCCATTTAACTGAGCAGATGGAGTGGAAGGGAAAACTGCAGGAGGAAAAAGAAGCCGCGGTTTCGCAAGCAGAAAAGGCGGCTCTGGACCGCTTCCAGGGAGAAGCGAGTGTGAAAGATAAAGAGCTTTCTTCCCTCCGGGAAATCAACGCGGAAAGAGATGAACAAATTGTTTCGTTGGAAAAACATTTGCAGACCGCGATGGAAAAGCTGGAAAACGCGAGCGAAACTATGGAAGGGAAAACCTTTGAGCTCCGTCAACAGTTGGAATCTGCGGAACAAGTGAAAAGCCAGCTGGAGCAAGATTTGGCGAGGGCAAAAGAGGAGCAGCAGAAGTTCATTCTTGCCAAAAACGAGGAATTTGCTGCCAGAGAGCGAGAATTGCAGGAAAACTCGGATCTGCAAACCCTGCAGAACGCGAAACAGGCCTTGCAGCTGCAACTCGACGCCGCGACGACGCGCTCGCAGGAGTTCGCGGAGAAATGCCAGATGGAGCTCGGGAGCTACCGGGAGAAGTTGCTCTTTTTGGAGAAGGAAAAGCAGGATCTTTCGGATAAGGTTCTGCGACTGAACAAGAATTTGTTAGAAGTGAACAGCGAAAACGACGCCTTGGTCGCGGATATGGAGGAAAAGGAGGAAAAACTGATGCAGTACGAGATGCAGCAACCGATGCCGCAGCAGCAATTCCACGCGGCGGCAAATGGACACCACCACTACGGCAATACTATGTTGCACCACACCCGGCCCCAGAAGCAGTCCATCCGCATTCACCACCTACAGGAGGAGAACAGCTTGCTGAAGCACGACGTCGAGTCCTGGAAGGAGCGAGAACAAACTGCGTGCGCCAAAATCGAAGAGATCATCGCGGATGGAGAAAGGCTCTGGTACGAGTGGGAGCAGGAGAAGCAGGTCCTGGTTGCGGAGAACCTTGAAACGCAGAAGAACGCGAAACTCTACATCAAACAGTCACGAGAAGCTTATCTCCGGTTGAAGAAGGAGGGGTCCGAGTATTGCGCTGGGCTGGAAAAGCAGCTCGCTTTGCTGCAGCAAAAGGTGGACAGCAAGGGGAATCCGGTGACGAGAGACCCGCTGGACACCGCGCGGACGGACGGCTTCAACAACGGAGCGAGCCCCGTTTCCCACATTCATGAGACCAATAGTCCGCAGGGAAGTGGCACCAGAGCGGGCAGCTTTGCGGAGATTGCGAACTTTCTGGAAAACGACGTCGGCCCGCCGCCCATCGGCAGCTCCAAGGAAAGCAATACAGCGAAGGAGCAGATACGCCTTTTGGATTTGGAAGTGCAAAAGTACAAGGAGAAGTGCGCTCTGCTGGAACAGCAGCTCAGTGAGGTGGGGAGAAGGATAGCAAGCAGCGATAAGAAGTCCTTTTCCGGCTCGCCCGATCTCGTCGGTGTGGATTTGCAAATGCCGACGAGTGCGGAGAAACAGGCCGGGATGAACAATGTCAAGCGCGCAAGTCAGATGACGAAGATCGTCGACGCCCTTGGCGAGTCGGTAAGGACGACAAATCTGCACGGGACGCCGCAGGTCGGAGTCAACAACGACTCGCCGGAACTCCTGCCGCAGCATCCTATGGGCACTCCTCTGATCAAGGAAGATGAGGAGGGCTGGGATTGGGAAGACGACGATGTTGATCCTCTGGGCGGAAACAAGACTTCTACAACCGGTGCGGAACAAGAGCAAAAAAAGAATGCACCGCCGGAAGCAAATACAAATATCAACAAACCTGCTGCAGAAGCTGCGTCCAAGCACCTTTTCGCCGGCCCAAATCCTTCAGCAACTCCAACCGAGCAGGAAACCGTGATCAAAAACCTCCAAAAAGAGCGATCGGAGCTGCAGTCGGAACTGCAGCAGACAGTCGACGAGAAGTTGCAATTAGAGCAGTTGGTCACGTCCCTCCAAAACGAAAAGTCCGAACTCCAGCTGCTGACGCAGAAGGACAAAATCCAGCTGTCCGCTGCGGTTTCCGGAACGATGCGGAAGTTCTCGAATTCCTTGATGCCCTCCATTACGGAAGACGAAATCGATCAAACGCAGGATGTCCAGGTTTTGCAGCAGGAAGTGAAGCGGTTGAACGCGAAGCTGCACTTTTTGGCGAACGCCGCGAGCCAGCAGTTGACCGATCGAGGAGACCAGGAATCCGACATTGCGGAGCTCGAGGCGCAGCGGAATCTCGAAATCGCCGACGACCAGCTAGTCCCGCCCTCCGGATCCGCGGCGTCCGGCGCGGGTGGCGACATGATGAACCGCAGCTTGAGTGCGAATTTGTTGAATGGCGAAGGAGGTATTGGCCACATGTCGCCTGGAAAGAAGGGCGCTATGTCGGCGGTGTCCGTTTCCTCCGCCGATTCCATGGCGGTTTGCCACCAGGCAAACACAGTTCTCGACAGCGAGTTTGGCGGAAATCTCTCGGACATTGTTTTGAATAAGTCCGGCACAACTTCGCTCCACGGTGGAAATAACGAGAACAAGGGCGGTGGAGGAGGGGACAACACGACGTCGCACAAGGGCGCTTTCGCAACCGCTGTGAGCAAATTATCCCCGCGGTCCGAGCAACTAATTGCCAATAAAGGAGGAGCATCTTCCGCTTCCCGTCGTCGAGATTTGGATGTGCAGAGTGACATGGACAATATCATCTCAGCTGCGCGGTCCCGGACGGGGAGTAGAAAAGCGAATAGTAAGAACGGAAATGGGCTCCAGCTCGACGTTGAAGATCCGAACGACACAAGCGGGATCAATAACTTGCCCGAAAATGACGTTGACAATATGAACGAGATGAATGTCTCCGAAGCGGACTGCGACGCCGACTCCGTCGCGATCGGCACAGTTTCCTCGGCGAGTAGACCCCGACTCGTCCCGTCGAGTTGCGACGTGCCCCCCGCGGGCTTGCTGGGCAACGGCGCGGGGAGCAGTGCGGTCCCCGGGACGGAGGGGGAACGGGACGATGGGGAGCAAGACGATCTGGAGCAGTTGTTGCAGCAGGAGTTGTCGAATGAGATGAATCTAAATTTGAACCCGGAACAGGCCCAACTTCAAAGACAGCAGATGGTCGAGCAGATGCTTTTGCACGGAATCAACGGGCCACAGATGAACGACTCCACCGCAATAAATGCGAAACAGGATTTCGACGCGAGCGCGCTCCGGGCCTTCGTTGGCACGAAAAACGCGGCCGGGGGGAAAGGCGGCCACCAGGGCCCGTCGGAAGCGGTGGTGGCTGGGATTGGGAAGGGCGCGGGGAGGATCCAGCTGCAAAGTGGCAATCCGCGGGAGCGGACGATGACGGAGATGAGTGTCAATGGGAATTACACCGTGGAAGACGACGACGCGATGTTTAATGCGACGAATAAGGCGGGGTCCTCGGCGAGCATGAACCAGGCCAGTTTGCTGCTGGCAGAAATGGAGGAGCAGTACAACTTTTTTTCGTGATTTGCTTAAATAATGGCACTGGTAGATAATTTTTCGCGACACCACACACAGCGACTCTCTTTCTTCGTTTCATGTGCAGCCATAAAAATAAAATTTTGAAATTTCGCGGATTTTGACGGGAAACAAAAATAAAACTTTGAAAGTTCGGTAGTGATTTTTGTAGTTTGGGGCCGTAAATGTACCTGCCCGTCATGCTTGTCTTCGGAGGATTACGTTTACCGCCTTCATTTTCGTCTCGTCGGGTCGTTCCGTCAGCTCAATAAAAATAAATTTTTGAAATTTCGCGGATCGAAGGGACAGACTCCACTGCTTTCGCGCAACGTTTCTTGAAGATAGGCATAGGCCGAAGAAGGCAGTTTTTTGCGAAAGAGGGTGACCCTCGTCTATGAAATGCAGAGTCCATCGTCATCCTTTCGTACTGAATCTGAAAAAAAAATCCAAACAGATTTTCCACCGAGCGCACGGAGCTGCAGCTGAAGATTGACAAGGCGGAGGCGAAAGTTGAGTCGTTGACCAAGGAGCTCGAGCTTTTGAACGACAAGCTGCTTTCGGATAAGCACAAATTCGAGGAGCAAATCGCCGAGTACGAGGCGAGCAGCACCGCGTCGCAGATTGAACTGACGAAAATCAAACAGGAACTGGAACTGGAAAAGAAGCGCAATAGTACAACGGAGATGAATAAGGTACTACCCTCCACCGCAGGAGCTACTTCAGGAGATAATATGAAGGTCGTGCAGCAACTGCAGCAGACACTAGCGAAGGTTACGACCGAGAAGCAGCAAATCCAAAAGCAGTTCCAGGCGAAGCAGATATCGCTTCAAAACGACGTGAAGAAATTGGAGCAAGAACTGGGGAAGAACTACGAGGGGAAAGAGGGGGATCGCATGCAAAAGATGATCACCACTTTACGGCAGGAAAGGGACAAAGCACGGGAACTCGCGGAGCAGTTTCACAAGCAACTGCAGAAATTGACCGGAGTAAAACCGACAAGCGGGGCGGGTGGAGTCGCGACGGGGAAAAAGTAGTGGGTCGGATAAAAAAAGTTGAAAGTTAATGTGTCCTTCCGTCGGCATTTAAAGTTTTGTATATTTGTTGGTTACTATGAAAATGAATGTACTTATGTACTTAGAGGGTGTTGGCAGCTGCAAACAGCTCGAGACTGTCTAGGTCTCCATGTATTTAATTATGTCGCAAATCATCTTCAAGGTCCTCACGGACCGACGAGGACGAACTGTATAAAGAAAAACCTCTTGCTTTTCCACTAGCGAAACTGCGTCACCAATTTTTTCGCAGTGATCGCGGTTCTACTTTTTCAAGAAACAGCTGTGAAAAAATAGGCCTTGTTGAATCAATAACAAAAAAGATTCGGTAGTTTTCTTGTTCCTTTACAGCGATATCAGGAAATTAATTTCGTGAAACGACAAATTTTCCTGAATCTTCAATCTAGCGACAAATTCTAATAAATACTTCTCGAAATAAGCGTAACCCGCACTGTCTGTTGAAATGGTTCGAGCCTCACAAGAGCATCAAATATGAAAGTCAGCTTCAATATCCCTACAAAAACTGAGCCTAAGAAGCTCGCAGACGACGATTTTTTGTCCGGAATTCAAAGGAATTTCGAATACTAGCTTTGCGCGAATCATAATCTTCGAAACAAAATTCATTAATTCGGCTAAAAAACAAGCCGAGATGCAGTTGGTGTTACCTTCGGGATGGAAAAAAATGCCCGCGCCGTTTTAGACGTACTTCTACTTACTTACAGCAGGCACCTACTTACATCGGTGCTTTTGGATAGTTCTCACCTCGCCGTCGTCGTGACAATCTTGACGACGACAAATTCGGTATAGCTTTGTCATTCTCATTTCGGTTGAAATCAGTGGGCACGTCACGCCACCGTCGGTTCTGCAAACACATCGTGCACCAATGAAAAATCGTGCGGCTCGCAACTGAGACTGACATCCTCGTGCTTTTGAACGCTTCGTGCGGAAAGAGGAGCTCAGTAAACAACTTTGGTACAAGAAAAGTCAAGGAATTTTTCAGCGCTGTCGGTCGTCGTTCACACGTGCACTTGCACTGTTGGTGCCAGCCCATTGTCTAGTGCGTCTCCCTTGACGAGTGTCTTCGTCTTCTATGCGTTCTTCGTTCTTTCTCAAACAATGCAACAGGACCACAATCTCGACTACACCTAGAAAAAGCAGTATCTTTTCACATCGTTCTATCCTCCCACGTGAACAAGTCGAGTCTTCCCAGAGTCAAAAAATCACCTTCCCCCGTATCATCTATCAAAATGTTTATAGTACACGCCCTCTACCCCAGTCTCGGCCTTGTTTTTCTCCGATTTTGTTTCATCGTTCGTTGGCCCCCCTCCTTCCAACTGATGGGACGCAGTCGTAGAAGACCGGTACGCCCACGCGGACAAGGAAACGCAACTATCACCGCGGTGGCGAACACAGCATAGGCAGAAGATCTGCTTGCACTTACCGTTTCAAGAAGAAGTAGACAAGAGCTTCCTGCTTTCTGATGGCTCCTCAGCAGGACAGCACCGCTCCGCCGCGGCCGATGCGTGGCAGCAGTCCTCCTCAGAGCAGCGCGCGCGATGCGGCTCTGCAGGACGATGACGATGATGACGTTAATGATGCTCCAGCGAATAACAACAGGACGGTGTCGCAAACCTTGGACAACATCGAGTTTTCTATGCCACTAGGCGCTCTGCAGTCACAGGGCGTGTTCTCGTCTTCTGGGTCCGGGGGACCGGACAATTCGTTCTCCATGTCAAGGTTACTGATGAAGGACGAGAGAACGGTGGACATGTCCATGGGTGCTCCGCTTGCTGGAAATAGCGGCTCCGCGGCTGCTCGCGGGGTCCGCAGTGCAACTTCTCCGGGCGGCAGTGTTGCTGTGAGTAACGCTGCGTCCAAGGCAATGAACAACGACGATGCGGACCTCGACGCTTTGATTGGTGGCCCTCGGGGCGACAGGCTCCGGGAAAGCAGGATGAGCCGGCAACTGCAAAAGCAGCAGATGAAGTCCGGGGCGTTGCGCACCGGAGCGCCGGGAAACAAATTTTCCTCTTCTTCGATGCAGTCGGCTGGGGGTGAAGTGACGCCTTATTTGGCGTTCTTGCAGGCCGGGGGGCTGGACGCAGTAGAGATGAACTACGACTACGCCAGGATAGTAGATACCCCGCAGCCGCGACCATCGTCGGCGCCAGATAAAATGAACATCACCAAGTCGATTATGGGCAACAGGCCCACACAGAACCTCCAAAGCGATTCCGCAAGCAAGCCGTCGCTTTTTCTGAACCCAAAGTACAACAGGAAGCACCTGGAAATCCGGTTACTGACCACGGATAACCAACTTCTATTTTTCGAGCCCGCAAATTCAAACGATCGCACCGGGATTTTGTCTCGGAAAGCCGGGGAGGTCGCACAGATCAGAAGGTTGCAGGAAGTGCCAGACGTCGTGTTGACTTCCAATTCCACCTGGCGCTTGAAGAAGGACGGGATGTTACTGACCAGGTCCACGGGCGCCTTCGCGGTTTGCGAGAAGAAGATCCGAAGAGACTCGAGGGTCAACATCATGACGCCAATTCGGGCGTCGAATATTCTGCAGCATTTCGTGATGCACTACGAGTTTGGCACAACAACTTCGAATGCAGATGGTACGACACCTGAGGGAACATCAAGAACGGAGCAACAGAGCCTGGCTCTCGCGCTTCAGCAAGCGACCGACGGGAAGACTGCGGGTAGTTCCACGGCAAGTAGAAACTACGCCAACAAGGCTATAATTTCCACTACTTCCACGCAGGATCTCACTGAGGAGCAAATCCAAGAGCAACTGGAGGAGCAGCGGTATGAGCAGCAGAAGTACCTGGACGCTTTTTCCCTTGCGCCGGCCGCCATGCCCTGGCTGCGGGTCGGGACCTCGATCCAGGGGCAACTGCAGCTCGTGCCGAAGGCCGACCAGGAAAAGGTGCTGGTCTTCTACAGCCCACAGATGGCGAAGAAACTGGTCGAGGAACACGCGCTGCAACGACAATACGGGAACAAGGCGGGGTCCTTCAAGAAACAGCACGTCCCGTTCATGACGCGCGTCCACCGCGAAAGAAAGGCGATCGAAGAATCGCTGGTGACCCTGCAGGCGAAAGCGCACAAGACGGTGACGGAATCCTTCGAGATCCAAAGTTTGCAGAGCCGGTTGGCCAACGCGGAAGGCTTTCGGCTGTTGCTCTTGCGCAACCGGTTTGACCCGTTTTTCGACGGCTCGCAGCTACTCGGGCTCGACCTGGTGCAGCACTCGCACGACATCAAGGAAAAAGCGTTGGAGTATTTCCGGATGGCGAGCTTATACACTAAGGCGTTTTACAAAAAGAAAAAGGAACTCGATGCGGTGTTTGGGCAGAGTGGGAAAAACGGCGTCACGTCGAGGAGCAACAGTAAAACGAAAGCGGAGTTGAATGCTGCTACTGATGACCCGGAACTGAACCAATTGATCGCCGACGAGCTCGCGAAGCACCACTTCGACGCGTATAAAAAAGTGATTTCCAAGCAGGTCTGCCTGCCTGGAACCAGCCGCAAGTGGTCGGAGCCGGTATTTGACGTGGAGACGAATAAGGGCCCGGACGAAAGAAAGGTGTTGAAGACGCACATCATCAGCTTGCGACAAGAGGTCCCGTTCAACATCCACGACCCGTTTGACCCGTTCTGGATGAAGTGCGAAACGGACGCCGCGGAGTTCCACCGGACTCTGGTGAGCAGCAAGCACCACACGCATTTGGTCACTGGGAGCAATCAAGCCAACGCGTTTGGCGCGCACACGAAGCCCGGATCACTCCTGGCGACGCAAAATCAGAAACAGAGTTCCTCTGTCGAGAAGATCCAGAATGTAGCGCCGGGCTCGGCGGCAGCAGCGGTGGAGCAGTATTTGAGCTCAAACAGCAAGAACACCGTTTCGAGCAACCTTCTGTCCGGTGGGAGAGTAGGCGGCAGTGCTACCTCGCCTTCCAGTGGCAACAACATCTCGTCTGGAATCCTCAACCTGGACAGCACCAATGTAGGAAACAACAACTCCGCAAATAACAAGCAAGTTGACGCCATCACCTCGATCTCGCGGCAGCACGAGAAGCAAGCGCTGCAGCGCATGAATTCTCTCCTCCGGAAAACAGGGCAGTTGCGGGAGGACGCGAGGAAAGCTTCGCAGCGCGACAAGGACGACAACCAGCCGACGGAGGTGGATGACAGAGAGAAACTGAAGCAGATTGAGGAGGAAAAGAAAAAACTGCTCGGCTTCGCCATGGGCCTGGACAACGTCGCTAGCAAGGTGCAAAAAGTGCAGGACAGCGTGGAGAACTCCGGGCAAAACAGCCCGAGTGGTAGCAGACAGAGCCCGGGGTTGTTCAACTTTTTCCCCGAAAACGCTTCTGATTTAGGCGAAGCTGGACCTCCAGGTGGAACAGCTGGTGGAGGTCTGAGCCCGTCCGATGGGATGAGTCTGAATGCGAACACCGATGCGAACAGCGTTTTAGACAATGATAGCCAGCCAGCCAGTATCACCTCCCGCTCCAGGGGCGGGTCGCGCGGCGGACTCATGTCGCCGACGAAGGCCTCGATGCAAAGGAAGCAAGTCGCCAGAAGCAATTCCGCCGCAAATGACAAGGACGCGCCGAACGCCAACAGCCCCAGCGCCGCGTCGATTTTAGGGGGAACGAGCAGTGCGGGAGGTTCTGGCATGAACAAGGATACTGCAACTGCGAAGGACCAGCAAACCACGAAGTCCAAAGCCGTGTCCTCCGCCTACGATGCGCAGATGCGGGAGCAAGCGGCGAAAGCCATGAAGAAAAGGGTGGAGTTTTTGAAACTGATGCAAGAATCGTTTCTGAAATTAAGGTTTCTGCACGCCTGGCCGGCCTGGCAGCTGGAGGAACTGTTCAGGGCGCACGTCGCGCCGGTGAAAAACGGAAAGAACGGGGGAAAAACGGCAGGAGATTCTCATCAACAACACCCGTCAAAACAGCACTGGCTTCTGAACGAGTCCTTCCTCCGAACGTTACAGCACGGCCCGACCTCTATGCCCACGCCAGAAAATTGCCGGCAAGTCGCTGACATGATTGAGAAGATGAAGCAGCTGCTGAAACAAGACATCCAACCCCGGAACACGCCCATCTTCCTCCAAATTGCGCTGAAAGTGCTAGAATCCGCGTACTTCTTATTGCAGAAAATGCACCTGGCGTGCGCGAAGGTCAATCCGGAGCCGGTTTTCGTCACCAGGAAGGAAGCTTTGCGGATTCCGCGCATGTTGCACCGCTGGGAGAAGGAAAAAGCACGGAGATTGGTCCCGTCCGAACGGGTGAATCAGTTGCCAGAGATTTTGCAGATCAAGAAGGAAGTGACCGATTTGAACACGCGGATCGTCAGCACGCGGGGGAGGATCAATTGGACTCTCTCTCGACTGGAATTCATACATCTGCGGAGCCTGAAGTCGACCGAACCGAACGGGACGAATTTGCTCGACATTTTGAAGGCCGTGCAGCATTTGCTCGCCGGGATTCTGCCGGAGGATCAACTGCCGTTGCACTTCAACGTCCCCGCTAGGCCGAAATACATGGAGTCCTGGAAGCCCGGGATCCATCTGATGCTTTCGGATTTGGCGAAATTCAAAAACGCGCTGTTCGACGCGTGGCAGGACGTGGAAGATCTTTTGGCAAAAGACGAGCTTCTGAAACAAGCGAAAAAACAGCAGTCGCGGTCACGGTCAAACTCCCCAGCTGGTGGAGCTGCAAGAGAAAAGGAAAACAACAAGCAAACAGAGGAACAAGACGAGGAGCTGTCTATCGGGAGTTACTGGAAACCGCATTTGCGGAGATTAATCAAGGCGTGCGGGAAGCCGCTTTCCACCGGGATCAACGAACAGCGGTTAGCGAATTTCAAGCACTGCCGGGTGGTGATTTCTGCTTTGACGCTGGACCCTTATACCGGGAAGTTCACGAACGTGACGTCCATGTTCAAGGATGACAAGGCTTGCGCGTTTCTCTTCAAGTTCGTCCAGAATCTCACCATGTTGAAGGAGATGGTGGAAAAGTTACTCGAGTTGAAACAGGAGTCTAAAGAGGTCGAGGAAGCGGGCATTTTCTACATCTGGGAAACTGAAACAAAACGCGAATTGGAACTGCAGCACCGGAACAAGGGCGAAATCGCCAGGATGCGTGAGAAAGAGGCGCTGGCGGCTGGCGGAGGGAGCGGTGCGGCCGGAGCAACTTCTTCCACCGGCGCTGTTGCCGACAAAGACGTCGACGACGCCATCAAAGCGGCACAGGACGAAGCGATCGCCGCGGCGGCGACCAAGGGGAGGCTGTCAAGCACGACGAGAAATGTGATGGAGAAAAAGCGAGCGAAGTTGGAGCAACTGGAGCAATTGTTGTTGGCCGAGCAGGAGATCGCGTTCAGCCAACCCGAGTTGGAGAAACAGTTGTCTGGCGCGGCGGGGACCGAGCAGCAAGAAGATCCGGACTACGTGAACAAAAAAGCGAAGCACGAAGCGCTGTTGCTCGCTCTCCGCGCGGAAAAACGCGAGCTGGACGCGATTTTGGCGAACCAGCCACCAAGTACTAGTGCCGCGGGGGCGGCGAACAAGGGGCTGTTGCGGAGATCCTCGACTGTGTCGCTAGAGAAGGCTGATAGTGGTGTTCAGGATGGCACTGACGGGACGAACGCAAGTTCAGCTGCGGCGAAAAAAGCGCTCCTGCGCCGTATGTCCACCACCGGCTTGGACCACACCGGCTTAGAGCAAGAAGACTTACCCGCAAGCCTGGCGCCCTACCGATTCGCGAACGACGACCGCCATCCGGACGAGATTTTGCCTGGGGGAGGCACCGCCGCAAATAGCGCGGAAGGGAATAAGCAAGCAGAGGACGTCGAAAGCGCCGGCGCGGCGACGACCGCGTTGCAACTGCAATCGCCCTTGAACTTGAAGCGCGGCCTGCCTGGTCCACCGATGAGCCCAAGACAGGCGGGTGCCATAGCGGTGGAAGCCGATAAGAAGTACTTGCGATCCTTGAAATCGGTCGAGCTCGACGGAGGGCAAAAGCAGCCAGATGGAACATCAACGGCAAAGCAGCAAGATTTCACGGCGAGTAAGACCCCCGGGGTTTTCGGTGGGTTATTGAAACAGGAGAAGTACCACAAGCAACAGAATATTGAGAAGCAGAAGATCCAGAAGCAAATGGAACAGGAAGTTCCTCGCTCGGCGTCAGATTTTTTCACTGGGGTAAAGCGATTAGATAAAGACTTGAACAGCAGCTACTTTGAGTTCGAGCTGCACGCCACGTGGCGCGGCAGACGGATCGGGCTAGAACTGGAGAAGCAACTCGCGCAGGAGAACGGCGTGGAAATTTTCCAGATCTCCCGCTCCTCCAACGACACGCTCGGATTGCAGTGTGTGGTTGATAAAAGTTTCCTCCGTTTGAAGCAGGATTTGTGCCAATTTCTCGACGTTTCCGAAGTTGCGGAGAACGAACAAGTGGCGTTTTTCCACTACCATTCTGGCGCGACGCAGCATTGGTTTTTCGACCCGGAGAGTGGGACCGTCAGGACATTTTTACTGGAAAGATTAGAGGAGGAGAAGAAAAAACCCGGGGCGAACAAAGCGAAGGCTGTTTCCTTTGGGGATGCAAGTACAAACAACAGCAGCTTCTACGCCTCTCCTGGTAGCCCGGCTGCGACGGGGGCTCTGCTCACGGGGACCAGGGCGCCGGGCCAGACCAGAAGCGTGTCACCTGGCGGCACTGCTACGATAACCAGTTCGGACCGGTCGCTTTCGCCCGACGACGACGACGACATGGAACAAATCCACGATCCCCGCCCGGGCTTCATGAAGACAACCTACGCGAGAAGGCTCAAAAAGCGCACCCACGTTTACGACCCAACCATCGGCGGCGCAATCCCGGAAGAGGAGGCGGAGCTGCAGATCCACGACCAGGTGGAGGCGAAGATTATTGGGGAAAACAACCGCGTCACGAAGTTCACGCCGATCATCCAGCAACAGAGAAAAGAACACGAGAATCAGATGGGGGAAATGCTTGAGAAATGCGACTTGTCGCAATTCGGGATGCTACCGTCTGGGACGACGATAGAATCCGCGGCGTTTCCGAACATCAATTTACCTGCCTACATCCGGTCAAAGTTCTTTAACCCGACTCTGGAATACGTGTCCGATGAGGACGAGAACGGAAATGTGCTGAAGCGCGCAAATTGGATTTTTAATGTCGAGAAACCAAGGACAACCGCGAAGCACGAGCAGCACAAGATGCAGAGACGATTTTTGAACAAGGGCATCGTTTTGTTGCCCGCGTCGAACACTTTTGCCGGTACGAAGGAGTTGAACCTGAGAAGGTTGGAGTGGGCCGTGGAGGATTTTCACGACGACGACTACCACAAGCCTGCCCACGTGAATACAGCGAAAAACACCCACGGGGTGAACTTCACTCCCCGAAGCCGGTCCTTGACGCCACCGAGAGATGGAAGACGAGCAACAGATAATTACAAAACATCGGAGTCGATGCTCCTCCCCGGGCGAAGTCGCTCCGCCGACGCGGCGGAACACTACGAGAGACAGTTTTTGAAGCGCAGGTCGACGCTGATGGGGAGTTCGAAGAATCTGAAATTCAACAAGTCCTCCCACCTGCGCACCATCAGCCTCGGAATGGGCGGCACGGGTGCCGGATCGCCGGTCGCGAGCCACTTCGCGAAAACGCTGTTTCAGCAGCAGATGCAGCTGATTTCCACCAGCTCGCTGTCCTCCTCCGCGTTCTCCCAGTTTTCCCAGACGACGTCGCTGCTTTCCCAGCACTTCATGCAGAAAGTCAACCCGTTTCGCGTGGAAATGGTCGCCAGAAGTTTGCAGAACAAGTTCGACGCGACCGCCGCAGACGAGCGAGCTTTGCTGAAATTGTACCGGGGGAGAGTGATGGTGTTGGGATTGAGGAATAACAAAGTGGTCCTAGTGCCGGAAGGAAGCAGGGACCAGCTGGTGTTCTTGAAAAATGTTTGTATTGTGACAAACAAGGTGAACATGGATAGAGAAGGCGGGAACAATGTGTTATTCACCGACGAGGACACTGCAGGGGATGACGGAACAATCGGAAATCAACCAGGAGAAGACTTGGCGGAATTGCAGCTGCAGTTGTTGCAGAAGAGATGAGATGACGAAGTAGAAAAGTTTTTCTTTTTCAATTTACCCATTCCCTTTGAAATGAAAAATTCGAGATCGATCGTATGGTTATCGTATTTCCTTGGAACTCAATCGTATGTGTAGTGGTACACTTTTCATCATCGCGGTGTACTGTGTTTTTTGCGCATCAACGGTCGCATTCGCAAGGTAGCACTACCGTATTGCCAAAATATTTAATTTCCCTACATTAATCGAGAGTTTTGAGTACTTCGCACTGATTTTTCCGGATAAATTTCGCTCTACCAAGTTCTACTTTGATTTGTCGCACCAGCGAAGCAGAAAAAGCAAAGCCTGCTTGTGAAATAGGGGACTGCACCCGTCCCCGTCGGTGTTCGCGAGGAGTCGTTCTGGTATATGTATTCTTGGTATCTTATTCTTACTCGTCATCGTCGCTTCTCCTCGTTTTGTCGTTCTTTCTCGACCATAAATGGGGTTTTGGTTTGGAATAATTGAGAGTCATGCAAAGTTTGTTATCGTTCCTCGACCACGATCACGAAGAAGAAGATGGTTGTGTGAGCTCGAGAGAGACGAGCGCAGAAGAAGATTCGTAAAGCAACGCCGTATGTTGAGTCAATTGTTCCTTGTTTGGTTCGACAAATTGTTTTTCCAACATGATACTAGCTACGGCAGAGATCACTATTTTGCTTTAAACCACTTGCACTTGCAACCGGGCGGAGAAGTCGACCAGAGGGACTGAAGACCGTCTTCGCAGCGCTCATTTGCATTTCGCTCCTTGCCCCACAAACATCTACAAACATCCTGGTTCGACCACTACTCAGTACAACGAGAGGCACCTCCACCAGAAAAATTCGAACAACCTCCACACTCGCTGGTTCCAAATCCATCACGGGTGTTTGAGGCGGCTTCGTTCATCTTGTACAAGGTCTTAGTCGCGGCACACCAGCAGAACTACATCTATCAAGAGCAAACCCCGAAGATGTCCGAGGAACCAGAGAACCCCAATCCCGAGGACGGCGAGCTGAACGACGAGGAGGAGGAGGAGGAGCAGGAGTACGAAAGAGACCCGCTCGAGCAGGTTTGGGCGTATGGGCTAAACGATGCGATAAAGATCCAGGAGGAAAACATAGCGGCCAAATCCGGGAACTTCTTCGAGGATTTTTTGAACTGCTGCGAGGAATTTAGGCTCATTCCGCATCCGGCAATGTCAAAAGAGAAATTCGCGAACAGCATTGTCTGCAAGGGGCTCTTGCTGGATCTGTGCTCCGTGAAGATCATGCGGTACAGTGAGTTTGGAAATGACAAAAAATATTGCCGGCTGCTTTCTGTTTTGACATTTCAGAACATCGAAGCATTTCCTGGTGTAAGTATGTTTTTTTGTCAAGCCCACACTTTCTTATCACAAAAAAAAATCAACAGGCACCTCCTCCCAACGTCCCAAACCGTTGAGCATCTGAAGTTCACAAATTGCCGTCTCGATGCGGAGATGGTCGGATTGTTAACAGACGCGTTGGCGGAAGAGCGAACAACAGTAAAAACGCTAGTCCTGGACTGGAACAAAGTCGAGGTATACATATCGCTTTGCGCTGGTCAACATCTTCCGTTCCTCTGCGCCTTTTGCTTAAGACCCTCTGCAGCCTGACTGCTATGTATGAGAAGAAACATGGGACACCCATTAAATCGAAAAATCAACTTGATGACATTACAAACAGCTCCCCCTCAGCATACCCGACGACGTGACGGAGATTCCGAGGCTAGAGCATCTAGAAATCCAGCGACTCTCCGACCAGGGAAAACGGGACGCGCAACTGTGGATCGAGCTGGTGTTGGAGTCCACCGATATGCCGAGCATGAGGCACGTGGTCGAACGGCTAAAGAGGGAGCAGTGGGCACCCTCTGCTAGTAGGAGGGATTTGCGCAGGTGCGACTTAGCGAATGACAGGATCGACTACCCGCAGTTTTGCTACCACTTCGGGGCCAGGATAGGGGTAAGAAAGATTTCACTTCTTCATGACGCGTTTGTCATTCTTCATCTTCATTTTGTACTAGCCGCAAGGCAACTCCAACTTTTGCATCCCGCGAGGAGACGCGCTCTCTCGTTACCATGAAAATGTTGTTTGTGGGTGGGAATACAAACTTCACAAAAACGCATTCCACCCAGGTCCCGATGCGCGACGACCTTTTTCAACGCGCGTTTGACTACTTCGACGGCCCGGCGTTTGGCGGAGGGCAGGGCAGTTTCAAACTCGACATTGTCGAGAAGGGCAGTGAACAGATCCCAATAATAACCGCTACCGACTTCCCCCCTGCGCCACCAGCAGAAGAGGCCGCCGAGGGCGGCGCAGAGCCGGTAGAGGAGGCAAGAGACGCAGTCGGGGCAGTATGGCACAAGCTGATAAACTCGAGTTTTGTGGAAAGTTTATCAGCGAGGTGTAGCGGGCTGTCACGGTATTGCTGTTTGGTTGTAGTGTCTTGTCATATTCCTGATCGATCGTGGCGACCCGGGCGCACTGAGTGCGCCCGGGTCGCAACTACGTTCTCTGATGAACATAATGGGGAAGGCGCGTAGCGTTATTGTTTGATAATGATTTGTCCTCTCGTGAATCTAAATCAGGTTGGAAGCCCCAGCACTAGGTGAGGCCCTGCGCGGGCAAAATTTCCTGCGGCAACTGAATCTCTACGGCAACAACCTGTCGGACCGGAGTATGGCAGTCTTTGCGCCCTGTTTCGCGGAGAATAGCTCCCTAGAATTCCTCGGTTTGGGGAACAACAGCATAACGGATGCGGGGATGCAGTCCTTGTGCGAGTATATTGATTCTAGTCTTAGTGCTCACGACGGTTTTTTCCATAATTCGCCACATTCTACGAAAATGGTTTGCCTGTCATTTATGGTGCGTTTTTTACTGATCTGAACTACATGGCACGAAAAAATTTTGAAGTTGAAGCCCCTCCAATACGAAACACCAATCGACTTGCAGCTACCTCGGCGCTACGATAATTGAGGACAAGGCTCCCGCGGACGAACGAATAGCCGCGCAGTCTGCCAGTAGTCTACCGGCGGCGAGCAAAGATGGAGCGGGGAACGAGAGGTATCTGCGGGAAGCGGTGCATGTCGACCAAGTAATAGAAATACCACCGCCTGGGCCTGACGAGAACACGCCGACGAGATACTACTGGTAGGAAATGTGTTTTGTGGAAGATTGAGGTGCATACATTCCAACGACTATTCTTCTTGATGTCATGGTCTTTTATTTCGACGAACCCACACATGTTCACGCTGTACTGAACGATGCGCACAAGTACGTGCTAGAAAATTAATCAAGTATCGCTGCAGGTTCCGCAACAAGACCCTGAAACACCTGAACCTTTCGTCGAACCGGATAAAGAACGTAGAACAGACGAAAGAGCTTCTTTCCCTGGGCAACCCCACCGCGGTGATAGTGCTGAAGGGTAATCCCGTCGTTGTGGAACTGCAAGCCGAGCAGTACGTGAGCCCCTCGCCCATACCGCCGGTGGAAGACGGGGAGTTACCCACCACCGGATGGCAGGTAGACTACGGGCAAATCGTCGCGCCCGCACCGGCTTCACCGCCACCGGAGGAGAGAGTGTAGCTGCGCTCGGGCTTCATTTTCGTGGTGGACAAGATGCAATAAAACCGAATTCATGAAGGATAGAGTGTCCATACTCGTCTGAAAAAGAATATCCTAGTTTTTAAGCCAGTTTCAACAAAAAGGCCGAGGTCGAAGTTTACGTTTCGCACGAAGAAGCTTCTCGTTTCGCACAGTGAAGATTGAATAGAACCCAAAAGAATAGACGAGCGATGATACGCTTCGTTTCGCAGCTCGAACCTGCTGGATCATGTAGGATTGTACCAAAGAAGAAAAGGAATGCACTAATCAAAGCAACACATTGCGCAAGAGTGGACTGCTTGATGCGTTTTCTTTTTCATCTGCGTCTTCGTCTTGCTCCTGGTTTTCGTACTATGCTAAGGTCGCTTTTCGTTTGAGTCGTCGTTTATCGGAGGACGCGTGTCGACGACCACACACGACTCTCGATTTTTCGAGGACTGGTAAGTAAAGGGTCGGATTTTTCAGAGGAGGGATCGCAGGTGCAGAGTGAGCTCTTTGTGCTTGTCGTTTTCGTGTCAGTCACGCATTTGAGTGAGGTAAAGGAGATGATAGTGCCGATTATGAGCGCCGATCGTCCCCCTCCCCGTTCGTTTTCGTGCCTTTTGATGTGGATTGGCAGCACTCGATGGATTTCTTTGTACTGTTGACGCGCGACTTTTTTCCCGTCTCTAGTTTCATCTTCTGTCCCATTGTACAAACCTCGTCTTCTGCAGAGTAGAAACAAAAGTAGCGTGGTCAACAAGATGAAGATGTGAGCAACAGCGAAGAAGTCCAGCACGATCACGCTGCATCAACAAGTTACCATGACTGCGAAACTCAACCCCGCTTCCTACCTGGAACAGATCGCAGCCGAGCTCGGCGTCGACGCTCCACGTGTGACCGCGGTCGATGCTGGTGGTCCTGGTGGCAAAAATGATAACACAAGTACTTCCGCGCTGCTCAACGAGCACGGCGAACTTTCCTTCAAAACGCTGGCGACGAAGGCGGATGATGAGAATAAAGCATCAAGTTCTAGAAACAAGAATCCACGCGGCCAGCATGTCCGGCGCCCGGAAGGTGAGACCATGTCTTACGAGGTGTCCGGCCTGGAGTCTACTGCAACGGCAGGGGCGTACGGAGAGGGCAGCGGAGCCGGCGGTTTCGGAGGCGGGTTAGACGAGGACGACGAGGATGCTGCATTGCGCACGTCTATGCAAAGCGCGAACAGGAGGAGTAGCGTCGGTAGACGCGACAGCGCCGCGGCCATCATGCAACAAAGCATGGACCTGCGCAGCAGTGAGCGGACAAGCGGAGCAGGAGGCAGCATGACTTCTCAGCCGAGAATAAAAGTTCGCGGCGTGCAGAGTGTGACTAGCGAGGGAGAGCAACGAAGCAACCAAATGAAGCCGGACTTTCATCAGCAGCGAGCACAAGTCACACCAGCACCGGGGGGCTCTTTTCTTCCGCAAAAGATCCCAGTCGGGAGCTCGCAAGAACATTTCTCCGGGGGCCCGTTTGAATCGGGAACTCGTCCGGCGGACGACGCAGCATTGCAGCAATTATTGCGTTTGAAAATGGATAACGTCACGAACCTGACCTTTTACACGGACAAAGGGGTGCCCATGAGTGCGAAGGTGGTTGGAAAGAAAGTTCCGAAGGGAAAATTGAGACACATTGCACGGGTTGGAGCGGTACTGCATCGATATGCTTTTAAGTATTTCAACCAGAAATAGAATGCGAAAGGGTTTTGTGCTGATTCTGACACGCGCAAAGACAAAATTTCAGCATCGTCTTGCATGCTGACGCAAAAAATCATTCACATACCGATGCTTTAGGGCGGCGTCGACCCGTCATCCGCGGAACAGGAGCGCGAGCGTGAGAAAAACAAGCAGGCACTGAACCAACCGCCCAGCGGCGCCTTCGCGGTGCGCACGCGAATCGGACCCAACGGCGCCGTGGACTACCCACCGTACCGGTGGATGCGCGACGAGACGGACCCATCGAGGTGGATCGCGGTGGTGGAAGCGGAGGATCTGGATGAAGACATTGTCGGCGATCTGATGACGGCGAAGCTGTCCCACACCGTGTTTGACCAAATCGAAAAGAGCAAGAAGTTGCCGGACCGGATTAAGATCCCCGTTGGCGGTGGAGAGCATCACGATCCGCACATGACCCGCGCCGTAGGACAGTTTGACAGCCACATGCAGTCCTTCGACCCGAAGGCACATGCGGCGCGCATGTCCAACGAAGTACCAATGTCGGGAGGCGGTGGGGCGGTCCCCGCGCGGATGTCGTCAAACTACAATCAGCCGGGCTCCATGGCGATGGCAGGTCCACCGGGCAGCGGATTCGGAGGGCCGATGTCCGGCGGTGGGATGTTGCCCATGTCGGGCGGTATGTTGCCGATGTCAGGAGGAGGAGGGGCGCCTATGTCCGGACCGGGATCTGGCCGCGGGTTCGGCTCCGGAATGGGTTCGGCACCGGGCTCGATGGCCGGGGGCGGCGGCGGCATGGGATCCATGATGAGCGGGGGCGGCGGAGGTTTTGGACCCGGATCCATGACCAGCGGAGGCGGCTTTGCTCCGGAATCGGGCGGCGGTTTTGCTCCGGGATCGGGCGGTGGTTTTGCGGGCTCGGGCATGGGATCGGCGCCGGGTTCGGGTGGTGGCTTCGACGGTGGTTCCGGGATGGGATCCGCGCCGCCAGGGTCGTTTTTCTACCCGGAGGGAAAAGTAGACGGCGAGGAAGTAGAGACGAGTGCTTTCGTAAATAACAGAACCGCAAACACCCCAGGGGGGAGCACTATTCTGAACCAGGGACCGCCGTCCGAAAACATGCTGGAAAAGATCGTGCAGCAAGCGTCATCGTCCTCCTCTTCCTCCTCGACTCCTCGACCGGATGCTGATTTTACGAGGTTTTTGGAAAGCGCGAAATCGAGTTACGACCAGCGATTCGGGCACCAGCAGAGCAACAGACAGGAGAGTAGCCAGAAGCAAGCGAAAAAAGCGAAAAAGCACAAGAAAAACAAGAACTTCAATGGAGACGAAGGCTTTCGAGAAGACAAAGGCGAATACTACGGGACGGCCAGAGGTTCCTCAGCGGAGGGGAAGAAACAAAAGAAGAAAAAAAGTAGAGACAAAGCCGGCGGACAAGCATCTTCGCAACAGACGTCGATACCAGTTCCGAAACTCCGCGGCGGCGCAAGAAGGTCGCAACTAATGCTGGACCCGGACGCCACGACGGAATCGTATTCTTCCTCCTCCTCGTCTTCCGGGCCGATGTCATCCGGATCTGACAGCAACGCCAGCAACCGAATTCGACACCTTCGGAAAAAAGTCCAGAGCAAGCGGCAAGTCTGTATTGAGGATGAATTCTTTTTTTGCTCTGATGTGATGAATGAATTTTTTGTACTGCGAAACAACTTATGATTGATTTATGTGAAGAACCTGAACGCAAACACAGGACACCATTTTTACTGAACAGGAATGATTTCATAAAAGCAAAAAAAATCAATTACCCGACCCACTAACAGACGACCCGTCCACCGGCCGGCGCCTGGTTACTCCCCGCGATGGCCGCCGCGCCGGCGACGATCCCTTTTACCTCGGCCAATTCCCACCCCGGCCACTCAAGGTGTCTGGCTCCGGGATTGCAGAGAGAAGAGGGTACAATTTGGAAACTATGCCGACGACGCTTCCCAAGGTGAACATCGTGATCGGCGTGGAGTCGGACATCCAAAAACGGGTAGAAAGGGATCAGCTGCTCCAGCAAGCGCTGCAGGAAGCGAAACTCGCTCTGCGCGCCGTGAACACGAAGCTGCCGTCCGTCCCCTCCTTTGGCACGCAATCACTGGTCCGGTCGGCGAAGACCGATCTGCAGCGGCAACTGCTGCTGACCGCGATGGAGCTGTGGAAGCGACAGGGCACGGTGATCCACAAGTTCGAGGAATTGTTCCAAACCGTGCGGGAGGTGGTGGAGGAGGAAGCCAATCTCCACGTGCTGCATTGCGAGGAAAAGGAAGTTTTTCGGGCGGTTGCGAAGTTCATGACGAAGCACGATACGAAGGAAGTGCCCCCAGCGCCCAGTGATTTGCAGATGGTCCGGACGGTGCGGCACGAGTTGGAAAAGCGGATCATCTTTCTGCGCAGGCACGCGGCAAATTTGAAAAAAGAGCTGCTCGCGTTGGAAAGGGACCACTGCTTCCACGGGCCGCGGCTGCTGCACAGCATCTTCCACGACGACAACAAGCACGGGCTGATGTCCAGCGTGGAGCGGGAGGTGATGGAGGAGGAGTTTGCGCTGTTGCGGAAGAAGCACAAAGTGATGGACATTTTGGCGAACTTGGTCGAAATGATCCGCGAAAACCGAGTGGAGTACTATTCCGAGAAGGCGAAGCTGGAGAGAGAAGCGGAACTCCACATGGAAATGGAGGAGAACCTGCAGAAGAGGTATATTTTTGAAAGAATCTTCGTAGGTACTTTTTGTTTGAGTTCTCTGTTCTTCTCAATCGGTTTTGGTTTGTTGTTCTGGAAGAGTGAAGCTTTCTGTTGCGAGGAACATACAAGGTGCACAGAAGTTAGTCCGAGTTATTTGATCAAAACTCAGGTTCACGACCGACGAAGTGCGACGGCGGCAGCACGAACTTTTGAAGAAGGCGTTCATGATATTACAATGAAAAATGCCCCCACCCCCGAACTCGGGAGCATTTGTATTGCAAACCTTTCCAAATGAAACATTCGCCCTCGTGCATCTATCAGCATCACAGGTTTCCAATCGTGAATAGCAAAAATTTGTATTGCAAAAGACCCCAGCAAGAGCGACGCTTGTCATGCAAGCGATGCGATACACGCCTAGACTCTGCATCAGAAAGATCCATACTCCTTTCATGCATGACAAAAAGTTTTCATTTGGAAACTTCGCATCACAAACTCTTGCAATTTCAGGGGTGGGGGGCACTCTTCACTGTAATACATGAACCAGGGCGGCGGCGAGTCCCCGTCCGAGATCGTGAAGAAGACGCAGCCCCTATCCTGAGTAAAAACGTACCCACACCAGAGTCAAGATGGGGACTTTGCAACACAAACCTAGGAGTTTTGGGAGTCACGCATGACAAGTTTCAGTCCGTAAGGTAGTGCCAGTTAGCAAGGAAAGCCGCATCACAAATCGATCTGCTAATCCTGTTTCCAGCATTACAAGTTCCCAAACACGATTGGAAATGCCTGTCATGGGGTTGCGCATCACAAATGTTCCTGTCATGGCAAATCTGCATGACAACTCTGGTGTGGGTACGTTTTTACTCAGGATAGCCCCCGCCGCCGACCGATCTGGATCCGAAATTGAAGGAGGTTTTGGAAACGTTGGACAGCATCCGGCACCTGCCGAGCTACCATTTGATATTCAAAGCGTTGCCGGATACGGTCGAAGAGGCCGAGCACGAGTTAATGCAGATGGAGGTGTTGGAGGCGAAATTGGAACGCTATTACAACATCGAGGACAACGCGATCGGTGCGAGACTTCAGTTCCTCGTGAATGCGATCCGCACAAAGACAGGCGCTTTGCGGATGCGCATGCGCTCGCTCGACGACGGCGACGTCGACACGACGGGAGGGCTTTCGGCTAGCGTTCCAGTCGGTTTAGCCGGGCAGACGGGAAGGAAACAGGACAGCAACGCGGCACTGTACAGTGGGAAGGAGCGGGATCCGGTGGTGCTGCCAAGTGACTGGAAGACCTACTGATTAAGTACGTGGTGATGTTTTAAATGATACAACTCGAATGAACTTCAAAAATAGTTTTTGCAATAGAAATACGAATTATACCGTGAATTTGTGTTTCAGAAATGAATGAATTGCACCAATGCAGCAGCATGGGATGGTACAGTCACAGATAAAAACCAGGAGTTGACTGTCTATCTCAACGCGTGCTCGGTATTCTTTTTACCTAGTAAAGCAACCACGAGATCGTCGATCGGGTTGTTGACACCGGTGTCGCTTCTTGTATCTGAATCTGTATGAAAATGAATTGCAAGAACTTCAACGAAGTAAAAACGCCAATGCACGACGAGTTGCGCCGGATTTCCTTTGTACTAGAATCTACTTCTGCCTGTATTTGTTTGTCTTCTAGCGCGAGCAAACGAGTGTTCTGATTGATGTTACCAGACATCGAGTCAAAAAGATGAAATCAGAGAGAGGAGAAGAAGGCACTGCAAAAAAAAAGCCGTTCATGTGATACTACTGTTTAGTGTGTCTTCAAAGACGAGCGTTCATCTCTCCTTCACGACATACACAGGCTCCCACTATCTAATCACCATACTAGTTCATAGTGCTATTAGGTACTGCTACTGTTGTAAACTCTTTTCATCGCTACGCGCCTCGCCGCCTCTTACGCATGAAAAACCTTGCTATCTAGATCTAGTTCGTTTTTTCCCCCCATCGATCCTTTTTTACAAGCTCATTTCCATTTCCATCCTTGTCCGTTGCCATTGCACGTTGCACCTAAGCGCCTAGGTAAGGGAATTTTACCATACCATAGATATGAATGTCGCGTTTTAGCTCTTGGTCGAAGAATGAAAAAAATGTGTAAAAAATACGTATCAACCAACTATGTCCAGTGTCCAGATTATTTTGAGCTTGAGTACTCCATTAAAGATAGTGGTCGCATCGGAATTGAATCTGTTGAATGTAAAGACGTGGTCGTAGATCGAGACGCAAAAGAAAGAGCAGTGAGTACTAGGATCGGCCTCGTCGGATGAGCATGTTGAGTCTGAATCAGAGAAGTGGTCGACCTCGACATAATAACAGACGGTACTTTTTATGATTGAGGATCCCCTTACTAGAACACATCAAGATGAATGTCAAAGGGGTCCTCGAAGAAAGATAGAGCCAAGCTGTAGCATGTCGGGGAAATCAAAAAATGAAAAGGATCCGGGTCGTTACAACTGCTAGAAGATCAATACGTTTTCCTCGCATCTCAACATACTTCTTTCCTAATTCGAGATATAATTTCTAGGCAGTGGCGACCAAATAACATTGAGAAGTGGATAGTTAGAATAGAGTGGTTTAGTACTATTTTCGTCACAAGCAAAATTTACCCATAGCAAGCCAAGGAAGAACATTCCTACATCAACCCATTACTCTAAAATCTGTATTCAACATCAATTGCCCGCCTTGGTCCACCTCTAGCATCCCTTGTGGCTTTGAAACCAAGAAAATTTAGTAAAAGCAACTATTTTCTTTACCAAAGTCACATCGAGTTCGAGATACATTTACATTGGTGAGAACAACTTCTACCTTAACCTTTACGATGTCCCATATTAGTCCTCCCTTCCTTGGCCTGAAAAGGCATGTATGTAGTCACGATAGAACATCACAATGCTCACACGAAAATGGAAGTAGGTACAACACGAAAGAGGCTACTAAGCGATGAGATAATTGAATGTGGATCGCTGAATTAGTTCTAGCCACCAACGGAGTAGGTTAGTCGACTTCTCAGTTTCGCAGAAGATGAAGCCTTTGAACAACAACAACATCCCAAAAAAAATCTATAGTCACGAGGTACGCGACAAATTTTTGACTTTTGTATGGGAAAAATAAAGGGCAAAAAGGGTTTGTATACTTTCGAGAACGATAAAGTCTTCCGCTTGTAAATTTTCTTCACATCAAAATAAAAAAATACCACCTCCACCAATCTCGCGTGTATTCCACGGGCGGCGAAAATAGTACTTACAAGTCGACGAGAGAGACTACATGACCACTTTCCTCGTCGGCTGCTAGTAAGAGCGCAGACGAGTAAAAAGTAGTACCTAAGCGGACCACTGCAGGGAGTCAGACCACACGACCGAAGTATTCGACATTCCATTGCTTCCATCGTCTTGCCGAACGTTCGGCTGACGCGTGAGCACCAGTAGCTGTCGACTCAAGAATTTTGTCGAAGCAAAAAGGCGAACTTACAGCTCGGTCTCGGACTCATCAACAAATTGAAAAAGAACTACAGCTTCTTGGTAAAAGCGGGCCTTTGGGTGATTGTGCGGAAAAACTACAGGTGTATCTTCGAAGAGACGTGAGCAACTTGGTTTCGACATCTTTGCTGACGTTAATAATAGCGACAAGCGAGGACAGGTAGACGTCAAAAAATCAAGAACCATCTCCTTCGAAGACTGATTTTATTGAACAACACCACAACTCGACCGAGCAGCCGCTCCAGGAAGCTTTGAAAATACGGCGCTTACTACCTTGTTCAAAATGCAGCATGACACCACGCTGTCGCTAGAGGCCCGAATGACGGCGGCCATGAACGAGGGGTCCGCGGACGCGAACATGGGAGGTGCCGCTGCCCCCGGGACGACCACGCACGTTGCTGGAAACAGCAACGCTATTAACAACAACCAGCAGGACCCAACCGGTGCGCAGCAGCACCAGCAGTCTTCCCAACAACAACTCAGCGCGCTGCCCATCCCGTCGATGCAGGCAGGGCCGGGGACGATGGGCATCATGCCGATTATGCAGCCGCAGCTCTCCATGATTCCGTCGGTGGCGCCAAACCAGCCCATGGTGTCCTTGTGGACCGCCACGTGGGCCCGGGAGAGTCACGGCTTGTTCGACTACGAGGCCCGGCATCCGATCAAGAAGCACTTCCAAGTCGCGACCCCGCTCACAATCTGCAGAAAAGGCACGGAAGTCACCACGGTCAACGGGACCACGCAGGTAAGTACTCGGGTGCAGTAAAGTGTAATAATGCGAAAACATATGTAAGTTTACCACCTTTTTGCATCCAGAGCAAATTTTTGTCGCGCTCACGACCATGCTACGAAGACACAGGCCAGGAATTTTTCAAAAAAGCAAGATTTCAATTCAAATAATTACAACACAGGAAAGCGAGCCCCTCGCGCGATTAGTGGTAAGGAACGGCGCTTTCTGCGTCGACGCGGCGAGGGTTGGTGACGGGCGAGTAAAGAGTGGCAAGTTGTGGCGAGTAGTCAAGGATCTAGAGCACGGCTACAACCTGCAGGAGGGCGATAGCATCAAGTTGGGCAGATTCAAACTCCGCGTGCGTCAGATTGTGACGGGCGACCCCAATAGCCCGAATAATCCTCCGGAGGTACAAGACTTATACACACTTTCTTGTTGGATAATATTGACGACACTATGAATGTATAAAACTAAAAAATGTGTTACTAGAAGAAGATTTCATTCTCCTTGTCATCTCACTCCTGTTGCTCTACTGGTACTGCCTAGCAAATTGTACTAAACATGAACATGAAAAAATTATCCAGTGTGCCAACGTGAACCCACCATCGTTGCCACCCCGTCCCTGCGACACGAGTGAGGAAGCCATAAAAGAGCTCGAGCAAACAACGTGCCGAATCTGCCTGTTAGAGGGGAGTTCGGTCGAGGATCCGCTGATTAAACCCTGCGAGTGCAGGGGTACGATCGAGTACGTGCACTTGGCCTGTCTGCGGCACTGGGTCCGGGGCAAATTGGACCTGGCGGAAAGCTCATCGGGAACTTATTTCTACAAGCCCATGGCCTGCGAACTGTGCAAGACCCAGTATGCCACGCACTTGCAGGTAATTAGTAATTCTTCTGATTTTGATAGAAATGCAAGTAGTGCTACTGCAACAAAGTTGAGTTTGACGTTGTAATTCACTGCATTAAAACATTTTTTCTCTGGACCGTTTTCTTTGTTTCATTGTGGTTGTCCTTCTCGTCGACAAGAACCTGCACTAAAGATTCCGCAAAAATAAAATATCAGGACAAAGCGGACGCAAAGAACTGCTTCCCGTTAATCGAGTTACCCAAGACTACGCCACCTTTCATCGTGCTGGAGCGCGACAGCAACCGCCCAGAATTGAAGGGGGTGCACGTGATTTCCCTCGCGGAGAAAAAATTGTTGAAGCTCGGGAGAGGGCACGAGAGCGACGTCCGGTTTGCCGACGTCTCCATCAGTCGGTGGCACGCAAGTGTCCACTACGACGGGGAGAAAAATGCGTATTGATCATCACTTTTTGTGGTTCTTGATGACGGTCGTACTGAGGCTGATTACGACAAGAAAGATAGTTCGCATTTTTCATTGCGCTTTCAGAGATACAGCAGGGGTTTTCAATGCTCGAGCATAAAAAACAATTGGAGACTTTGCTGAAATCCCACAAAACAAACGACCAGCTTCGTCCTCACGGATCACGGATCGAAATTCGGAACCTTAGTCGCCATGAAAACACCGGTGCCATTGGAATCCACCCAGGGATTGTCGCTGCAAGCGGGCCGAACAGTCCTCCATTTTACGCTGAACAACAACCTAGGCGGCAACGCTGGGGCACAGCAGCTACAGCAATTAGGTATAATGAAGTACTCACATACTACAACAGGCTGTGACTTGCTATTTGTATGTTTATTTGGCAGTGAAGTAGGAGGTGAAAGCCAAAATTATTTTCTGGGGCGCAATGTTCTTGAGTCCAGTTTGTAGTGATCATGCCAGCAATATAAGGCATTTCCACTGGTGTCTACATTCATGATCCATTGAAGATTGTTGAAGTACCCAAAAAATGAACCAGGTCTGCAATCTTTCGGAAACATCGTGAATGTGCAGCACGAGGCGGACTCGACTTCTCAGTCTAACCCGGTGGAGCAGCCAGCAAGCAATATTGACATGCAGCCCGTCTCGTCAGCCGGGAACCAATCTGTTAGCGCCGGAGGGGCGAACAACAGCGGATCAGGGATGCAGGGTAAGGCTGTTTTGTCTTCATCGTTGCATGGGATAGATTTGCATAATAATTCGCTTTGACATCTAAACTTCATGTGGAACATTCCTTGATACAACATATAATCTTCACGACGGCATCATACATGAGTTGACGAGACCCTATCACAAAAATGAAGTAACAAACACAACAGCCACGCTGAGCAACTTTCCGATGTTTCAGAATGCGGCCGGACAATTTCCCTTGATCGGCAACCTTCTGGGTAATCAGCAGCATCAGGGACAGGTATTGCTATACGTGACGTTGTCGTAAAAATGCATGACGATGCGTCAAGATTGAATTTCAATTTTTCCGTGACGTAATTTGTGACTCGGAAGTAGGGGAGATTGCAATGAAGATCAGATCAAAATATCTTTCCGGTGATCCAACATGAGAGATCATGACCAGCACGAAAACCAGCAGCGCTACTAACTTTATCAATTTATTCCAGATAATGGGAATGGGCACACCGGGGTCGCAGCCCGTGCAGCCCGGAAGTGGTGGTCCGCCGATGAACTTTGGCATCCAGCAGAACATGATGGGCCAGAGTCCGGGGTGGGGCCCGCCCGCGAACCTCCCGGGACACCAGCAAATGGGGCAGCCAAGCTTCTTCCAGCACCAACCGACCATGTTTGGTTCCAGCAGCCAACCCGGAGCTGCCCCAGGGAACCAACAGTCCTCCGGGGTCGTGCAGCAACCGGGAACGAGCGGTCAGCAGGGCATGAACAGTAACCCGTCAGGCGGGGCACCGCCGGGGGGTGTGATACCGCAAAATAACGCCGTCGAGGACCACGATGCGCTGTTGGCGTTGCGTTTATCCCTTCTCTCCCACAACAGCGCAGCCTACCATCTGCAGCACAACGTGGGTCAGAACGCACAGCAGAACCAGCAGCAGCACGCCATGATGGCACCAGCGGCCGCGGGGAGCAATAATAACGCCGGGGGGAGCAACAATGCGGGCAGTCAGACTCAGAACGCTAACAGTAATCAACAAAACAGTAACCAAAATCAGACGCAGTTTTTTCAACAATCTCCGATGGAGGGACAGACAAACCAAGAGTCCGGCGAGGATCATCCAATGACCTCGTTTGATTCCTAAGAAGGCTTGTCTGCTGAAGAAAAGGAAAAAAACTTCGAAACTGTGACTAGATTTTTTCAAATTACGAAAAGTTGATCAGATCTGACTATAAGTTTATCCCCCGAGAAGAATTTTTATCCCCCCGGATCATGGAGCGAACTATACGAGGACGGCATCCACTATTTCAGAACGCCCCCGCGTCAAAAGTTTTCCCCCGCGACGAACATTCCCGACTACAGCAAAAAATGCTTTATTTGTGCTTACGAGGACGGCTCCCCACAGTGCTTTTTCTGTACAAGAACAAAAAATATTCACGTCTATGAAAATAAAACCCATCAGCTAGGGCGGGGTGCGTGTTTCTTTAACTTTACATCACCCCAAATACTCATCCCAATGTGATCAAGTAGTTCTACCCGTATTTATTGCCGGTTCTGTTTCAGTTTCTAGACCCGCGACCTTTACACTCTCTTCATCAGCAGCTTTTCCAGATTTTTTTACGGACGATACGAGGGCGATCTGATGAAAAACGGAAAATCGCCTTCTTGTATCTTCTCAGCGCTTGTTATTCTTTACAGTTTACTTAATTTAATCAGCGAAAAACTTTACTTTTAACACAAAATCGGACAAAAATTCACACTTCTAACTAACTAATTCAAATTCATAGCAACCAATTCAAAAGCCAAGAAGCATCGAATTCAAACGCGTTTCGTCTCCCCCTTTGGGTGAGGGTGTCGTAGATGTACTTTCGTCTAGTATGGGAATAATTACGACAGAGATACTTCTCTCTGCAACTATTCGGCTGCAAAAACTGCCACAAGGAAGTTATCGACCAGTTGTCAATTATTTGTGGATGAACGCCCGTTTAGGAGGAGTGTGCTGGCGCTTCGACTACGTGCGGCTGCGTCGCCCTCGTCCATCTAATCCCGGGAAACGAAATATTCGTCCATCGATCTGCTGCAGCAGGTACCCAGTATCGATGAAACTGCACTGCGATTACACGACGAGAAACCACACGCGAGATACGAGCAACTACTCATAGAATTCAAAGCAACAAGAATAAACGAGAACTACGAATAAAGAACCAAGGACAATTACATTTTCAGTTAAGAAAGAATTTGATGTTTTGTGACCACAAGATAAGCGTAGGCGCCAGGTTGGTAGAACAGCTCAGGGTAAAAATACATTTGTATACACCGGAAGCAGGCAAAAATAGGGCACGAGATGGAGATAAGATATGGTGACATCCTTTTCATCGCGTGGGGTTCCTCCGCATCCACCATTGCTGCCGATTTATTTTCAACTTACGACAAAATACTATCAGCTTAAAATGGCGAAAATTTTTCTACTATGGATCGATATTTATCTCCGGCATGACTTTGTAGTTTTGGAAAAATTTATGGACGACTGTTGTATCTGTAGCAGTACCCTCCAGCAGAGAAAATGTGTAGGATAATGAGATGATGTTCGGACGAAGCAAAAGCATGTACATGTTCTCCACGTCCCCGACAATGTAAGTAGCCACCAGAATCCACACTTTTCTAACTACTTCTGATTTTTGCCTTTCAGCGGAAACAAGCAAACGACCGTACGACCGCTCTACTGGCAAAAATCAATAAGAAGTGCAGCCACCTGCTGACAACGAACTTACAATTTTCTACACAGGGCCTGGACCATTTGGATGTTTATTCAAATCGGATAGGTTGGTAGCGGTAGGGGTACACGGTACAGCTAGAGGTATGATGACGAAGTAGTTTTTTACCCAGCAGACAGAAATTTTGCAGCCCGCACAGAAAGAAATGATTTTTGACGTTTGTGCCGTCATGCAGATGTCATAAATTAATATCCTAATCCTGTGTGTGGCTCTTTTTCTAGGTTCAAGTTTGGAAAAAACTCACAATCAATATTGTTCCTGTGGTCCTGCAGATCAAGCCTTTTCGCCGCTTTTTTGTAGTTATTTTTTGTACATCTTCTTCAACGAACATCTATTCGATTTTCCAGCTGCCTGACCAGACTCAAAAGTACTGCAAGCTGAAAATGCTTCCACTGCAGGGACGGTTGTTGACCGATTATACACTTTTTAGATGCAACTTTTATCCTGAGAACAAGAATAAATGCGAAAAAATGGACCGGCGTAGCCCGCATAAGAAAATTCTTGTTTTCAACGGCTAGTCCACCTCTAGTCGTGGATATTAACGCATAGCGTAGTAGAATCTAAATGCAACGGAAGCTACAATCAACCTTAGCCACTGTGATGTTGCGCTCCCGCTCGGTATACCAATTATATCCCTGGAGGAAGTCGTAGAAGAGAAAGCAGCATAGAGACTACTTCTACCGAAAAATATATGAAATCATAGACACTAGTTCTATACCCTGTCCGAGAAAAGGCAAAGATGAAGAAAATATAATTATAAACGAGATATGATTATTTTTACAACAACTACACCCTGTACCTTATTTTGTGATTGTGAGTTTGATATGTTATTCTTTTACAGTTGTGTAACGGATCTTTATCCGATCTTGGGACCTCCAGCATCTTCATGAGGAGATTACGATGTGGACTACTTCTAAGCGACATTCATTTCAATCCTATCGAAAGCCCAAGCCCCCCACTTTTTGGAACTGGATGAGTTTAGGAACAGGCGACAGCAGTGTTACGACTTCGACGAGAAAGAAAGTGCGACAACATAGTATTCAGGAAGAATGTCAGGTGCCGGTTGTGGGCTCGCACAGTGTGAGTGCGAAGTTGTTCGCGGTCGCGCCTCCATAACGATAACGTAGTGGGCGATGATTTGTAGTCGGCGGCTTTTCTGTAATGTAGTGCTTCTAGTGCTTTATGAAGCAGAACGAGAACCTCAACCTTCGAATAGCAATAGAGCGCAAGACGTCCTCTGTGTCGGGCTTCTGCGCAAGATAAGTATTCAGTTTTCTTTGAGCGCTGTCGTAGTCCACCTCCTCGTTCAACGCTGCATTGTAGCCTTTTCTTGTCGTTCGTCTTCGTCCACGTTCTTCACTGCTTCGTTCAATAATGATAATCGTTTTCAGTCGTGCCACCTACCAATTTCGTAAAATCATTACATGCAGTTCGTGATCCTTATGTCGTGAAGCTGCGAACATGACGACCTTAGCAAAAATCCAATGACTCGTCAGCGAGTTAGAGCAACTAATGACCAGATCATAGCATTGGATCAATTGATTTGTCAATCTTTTCACCGCTCCAGACAGTGATACTCAGCTTGCTCCTGTCGTTGCAGCTTGCTGTGTCGCTTAACACTTCAACCCTCACCCCGTTGGAAATCGAAAGTTTCAAGAGCAAGAAAGGCAAAGGGTACTGAAAGAAATAGTTTTATTTCTCGTTGTTGTAGTGCGGCATTTACGTTAACTGTTTTAAGGAGCTCCTAGCCATACTTCCTTACGAGGACGCGAGTCACGTATATTTGGGCTCTTCACGACCACTTCACTTCTACAAAAAAACCTAAACCTCAGACCTCGCCCCAACGAACGCACCGGTCTAGGAAAAATGGCTCGTCTTATCCATGAGTCCTTGCTGCCGCAACGGACTAGAGGAGCGGTGCGATCTCCACATGGGCAGCACCTCTCGCCGCACAGTGCCTCACTTCAATTCACAAGCGACGATGAGGTGGGCATGGCGAAGCAGAACCAGAAGATGAAGCCTGCGCTGGACGCTTCTACTGCCCTCAACCAGGTATATTAGAATTAGCTACCTCCTGCGTATGTAAGTATTTCGTTCACATTTTTCAGTATGACTTTGACTTTCACATCACCCGTCGAGAGCCAGATTGCGCAGACAGGAAGAGGCTGCGCAACCTCGCGAAATGGACCCGATGGGGGTGCCGCCATCTGTGGCCGTATTTTTACTTTTTCTCGCACGTTTTTTGCTACAATTTTTGTTCCAGATCCAGCGCAAGTAGAAATGAGAATGACGATCGCCACTGGTGATCAGCATAGCAGAGATTTATCACATATGGAAAGAAAATATTACCTCGATCTTCAGGTACCAGCAGGGCGAAGCAAGTCGACCTTGGAGCACACTGAGATAAAGACACTCAAGCACTGCAGTGTTCTTGCCACGTCGTCGACCGGACCGTCACGCCCCATGCCAGCGAAGGTCAAAAAGCAACTCAAATTTCTTTCCTTGACGGCACCTGCGCTTTTCCTTTTCCTCGACCAGCTGCTTCTTGACGGGAAGATTTGGGACGTTGAAGTTTCCGCGTTTCGCCTCTTGTCGAAGCAGACAGCCAAGAAGAGTCGCAAAGCGAAGAGAATCGGCACGAAAGTCCTTCCAGAACGACACCCGCGGCCGAAGAAGAAAGAAGTCGAGATGCTGCTGCAGGCTTCCCGTTGTTCTCTGTGGTCAACAACACAGCGGATGTGGAACACGACGAACAAGACGAACTTGCTGAGACTTCTGACGAAACCGGAACTCAGAACAAGGTTGTTGCTGTTGCAACCAGCTTCGTGCGGCTGGACGCGGGTCGAGCCGGATGAAGCGAGACGATGGTGGGTCTGACGGTGGCCGAAGATGAAGAAATAACTCGCATGCGGAACGACATTGAATCGTACGCGAAGGCAGTCTGTCATTTGCTTGGTGAGTCGGATGTGTGCGAGAACAAAGGGCTTCGGCCCAAGTACTTTCCTGATCCGGACAGTACCCGTGAACCCTCGCACCACCTGTTCAAGAACTACTTCTCGCGTGGCCAAATTTGCAGCTCTACCTTGGCCGGAGATTGCGTCCCAAAGTGGTTGACCGCTGATGACATCACAAAAGGAGGCAGCACATCCAAGCAGGTTTTGGAATTACCAGATTGAAAAAAAGGTTCCAGCCCAGGAAGTAGAATACTACACGAGCGAAAGTACAGAAATAAGATGCGTGTTGTTTACCGCGAAGTGGTAATGTTATTAGTAGGTCATGATCATGCAATGAAAGAAACACCGAAGCAGGGCGATGAAGGCAAACGAAACCGGGCCTTCAGGAGTACTTACGCTTGTTTCTGGATCATTGATTCTACGTAATGTGCAATACAAAAACTACATCACATGCACCCCGCGATGGCGATTGATAATGAAACTATGTTCTGATGACTTTTCTTGGGCAGGAGCGCTTTTCAACAGGATAGCCGAAGGCGACCGGTGACACCGTGACAGCCTTGTGGGAGAAGATGCACGGCTGGTGCAGTCAGGGCACGGCAGGAGAAACAAAAACGGACGATGAGATTGTGCAAGCTGCCTGCCGTGAGATTTGGGAAGATGAAGCAGGAACAAGCGAAGCAGGCCACAGTGCCTCTGAACAAGCAGAGGACCTGCAGGACGAGATGATCCGCCGCCGGAAAGGGCTGGCGCTCTACACACAAGCAATGTGTGGCACAAAGGTTCCGGAAGACAAAAACGACAAAAAGATTTGCGATGGATCTGAGTTTTCCAAGTTTTTTCGGGGTCTTAAGAGGAACCCGTTCCGCGACTTACTCATCAAAAACAAAGGGAAAAGTTTGGTGTGTAAGGCAGAACCACCAGAAGACGACTCGGGCACGAATGGGTGGTCTTGCCAGGAGTCAGTGTTCACGGAGAGCGTCCTCGAAGATGAACAACAAGTAAAGAAGGAACAAGTGAACTCGCTTTGGGACGCTGCGGAAACGAACTGCCAATCAAGTGATCATTTCGACGACGCGTGCAAGCACATTCTTGGCGAACAACAAACTTCCGCACAGCAAACGGGCGGCATTTCCTCCGCGGCCAAGCCCAACCGGCAGGCTGAGCACTATCACAAATTTCCTGCAGACTATCAGAAATCGGCTCAGAAAATGGCGGAAAAGATTGAAAGTCAACTATCACAGCCAGCAGCTGCTATTGCTATGGCGGAACACCAGAAAAAGCTGGCGCAAAAGGTGCGAAATCAAGGACTACCACAGACAGCAACTGGAACTGCTGCTCCGATTCTGAACCACCGCCGGGAAGGGTTGGCGAAGTATACCCAAGCAGGGTGTGAACGTGACGAAATATTCGCGAAAGAGAAACGGGGCATGCAAGTTTGCGCTAACGCTCACTTTGTTAAGTTTTTCCCGGGTCTGCAGAGGAGCGACTTCAGCGAGGTACTCTTCGAGGCGGCAGGAGGTTGGTTTGTGTGTGAACCTTCAGAAGACGAGGAACATCAATCCACTTGCCAGTCAGTCTTCACGGAGAGCGTCCTCAAGGAACAATTGTCGGTGGAGCAGGTGTATCCTGTGCAAAAATATCATACTCGTATCGGCTCTTGCATGACAGATCTACTTCTTTTTTACCTGAATCTGCATCATAGATTTCAAGTTTTCGCTTTGAAAAACAAAAACTTGCAAAGCATTTGATTCTTAACAGTCGTACTTTCCTAATGCGATAGCGATACTTTTGCAATGCATAGATTGAACGCACTTTATGACGCTGTGGAAACGAACTGCCAATTTCCCTCCAGTGATTTCGAAAACGCGTGTGAGCACATTCTTGGCGAACAACCTTCCGCAGAACATTCAGTGTCACACAGCCCCGCTCGCCGCCTTCGAGAACATTCTTCAGTGCCGCACACGGCTGGGACCTCGCCGCCACCTTCGACGAACACGGTGCCCGCCCCGTCGACGCCGGAACCGGAACTACAATCGACGTGCGGCCAACCCATATGGGATTACCAGTACCACATTGCGCCAGAAGCCATGCGACGGCTCCTTTATGCTGGAATGAAGGTACAAGACATTCGCTCGACGTTATTAAATAAAAGGTGGATGGCCGGAGTGTTTGCAGCGGTGCATGGGGGACCAGAAGTGCACTGCGTGGACTTTCAACGAAAAAACGCCGGTGGGTGGCGGTGATTGCATCCAATTTCCTACGTCTTCTCTCACAAAGACACCAGCTCCCCCGGAGAAAGGGAAGGGCCGCTGGATCGCGGGTATATGCAAAACGGACGCTGTCAAGGACGAGGAAATTCCGTGCAGCGATGGCCACGACTGCATGGCGCAGCCGACCGCACGGCCGCCATCGTGGTGGAAGCACGACGTTCCAAATTTGGGTTGTGACGCAGACGTGATATCGGACGAATCCTGGAGATGTTTTCAAGTTGGCGAGCCAACCTCACTTGATGAGGATGCTTGCCCCGCCGACGATGCGGCGTACCTGTGGCTGAACAAAGGATCATTGGTGCAAGATTACCAGACCGGGGTGCCGCGCCCTTCTGTTGCCGGCTTCTTGACGAAAAACCCCAAGGCCACGGGAGCGTGCATACTGCTGCCGGGGCGTGGGGTCACCGAATCAGTGTATGGCTCCTGGTCAGACTGGGCGAAGAATTCTGCGTGGTTGCAGTGCGGAGATGCAGGGGTGCCGACCACTGTGGCGAACTTCGACACCACTCGTCTGGACGCGGCCGCGGAAGTCGCCACGCATGTGAGTGTGAAGTGGGAAGCGCACAATTCACCGCCCGAGTTGACGCCGTACATCTGCAAGCAGGAGTGGAAGGACAAAAAATGCGACGACGTGGATGAACAAGTTTGTACTTCCCAGGGTTCTTCAAGTAATAGTGCGCAGGAGGCTCCGCGGTGCGACGTCAAGCCCTCTCCTGAGCTCGCGCGCAAACATGAAGTCGGTAGCGCACTTGACCAGAAGGGGAAAGTCCCGCAGGCGGTAAAGGATATGGTAAACGACAGAGGAAGCGAGTATGAAAAAGCGCACGTGCCAGACCTCCGCGAATTGGAAGGTATCGAAAGAGTAGATCACCTTTGGATTCAGTCGACCGAAAAGGCAGACGTTGTTATGCAATCTGCTGCGCGGGCTACTGGTGCGACGACGTCGGGCTGTTTCGCGCTGCCCCCAAAAAGTTCCACGTTGTTGCCGAGCGACGAGGAGAAGGACCCAGCGCAACTATGGTGGAGCTGGTTGAAGCAGTCGTCGGAACGGGTGACGCCGTATTTGTGGGGGTGTCAGTACACGCATCAGCTCCGCTGGGGATGGAGTTACATCGATAATAGTACTCAAGCGGCTCTTGATTGGTGCACACCAGGGAAAATAGATTGCGAGGGTTTGTGCACAGACCCTGAGTGTCGGTTCTCGTATGTGGAAAACCCATTCGCGTAAACACAAACAACATCGGAGGTGGACGGCGATGGTCCGGTTCCGTCACACATGAGCGTGGTCTTCAAGTTCAAACAAACCAAGGACAAATACAACAAGGTCATCGATACGCAAAAGTACTACACTCTCACGCAGCACGTTTGCGAATCATCGCGAGCAACCACCTGCGGCCCACCCAAATGGGACTACAAGTACCGGATCCAATCTGAATCAGAAGCCGAGGAGAATACGGTACGCCTGAAAAGAGATGGGTGGGCGGCGTGTCAGCGGCTCTGCAGTCGGGATTGGTCGTGCTACGCGTGGACTTTCAACGAAAAAACGCCGAAAGGTGGCGGTGATTGCATGCGATTTCCTGTGGCGTCCCTCACAAAGATGCCTGCTCCCCCGGAGAAAGGGCAAGGGCGCTGGATCGCGGGTATCTGTAATGACGCCCTCGAGGATGAGGATATTCCATGCACCGACGAAGCAGATCAGGACTGCGCCGCCCAGTCAACGCGGCCACCATCTTGGTGGGCAGACGGAAAGAAAGGTTGGGCTAAGGGGGGTTGTGACTCAGACGTGCTAGCGGAGTTGTCGTCCTGGAGGTGTTTTCAAGTTGGCGAGCTGAGGTCAATCCCACTTGACTGCTCTGACGATGTACTGTTTCTGAACGGGGGGTCCCTTGTGCACGACTCCTGGACTTTTGCCGGGAACTGGCAAGGCCACAAGAACGTGGAAGAAGCTTGCTGGGTGATGCCGGGGCGTGCCGTCACCGAGTCGGTGTATGATTCCTGGTCAGACTGGGTGAAGAGAGATCAGTGGTTGCAGTGCGGAGTTACAGGGGTGCCGAAAACTGCGGCACAAGATTTCGACACCAATCGTCTGGACGCGGCTGGGGAAGTAGCCACGCATGTAAGTGTGAAGTGGAAAAAAGGAGCGTCGTCCGTCGAGTTGACGCCTTACATTTGCAAGGATTCACTTATCCTGGTTGAAAACGTACCGTCCCCATATGTTTATTTTTGTCATGTAGCTCTGCATGGTGCAGCCGGTGCCCATTTCCATATCCATACACCAGAGAGACAAAAAGGCGCCATGCGCAGCACCCACGGCCAAGATTTCTGGGGTTGTGTAGCAAAGCCACCATTTTGAGTATGGTGGGGGGGTACGCTTTTAATCTGCATACCGGACTCGCCTGAACCCACCTCGTCCACCGCAGCTCCTCCTGCTGCAACCGCAGCTCCCGATACCGCTACCGGTACCCATTCTGGTCAAGAATCATTCTGGTCAAGAATCATCAATCGTCGTCGGGGAGCAAGTTCGGCTCGTCGTCGTTCGGGAAGCAGAAGAAGAATTGGAGGTGGAGGTACGAGACGTCGATGAGGCTTCCTGACCCGCTTGAAAAATTAGTTCTGCCTGTCCTCCAGGACAGGGAACTAAGTTAGTACTTTGTTTCCAGTCCCGTTGTTGTATCGGCCGCCCCTGGCTGAAATTACATCATATTTATACAAACACTTCTAGTTGCGAAATATATTTTTTCAAAACAAGAAAAGTTGCAACTGCGGTGCGGATCCCGTGCCTCCGTTCTGTCGATTGATTAGCAGTAGACCTCTACAGTAACACAAAACTACAAAAAACGAAAAAGTTGTAATAGAATAAGCATCACATGTTAAAAACCAGCTTGCTGCCTTCTTCCTCACCCTGAAACTAAGTAGCCTCCTGCTAGTCCCCCAGAAGATGTACCCTCACCCGAAGTTGATTGAGTGCTACAGCTACAGCATCCACAAAACATAAACAAAGGCAAAAAGCGTAAATGCGCGGAGCCCGCACATTCGTCCTGTCGATTGATTAACAGTAGACCACAGAGACACGGAAGTAATATACTTTTTTCTTAGGACCCGTTAACAACTCTTTCCTTTTCACCCCGTGAAAGAAGCAGCACGACTTCGACGAGAATGAAAGCGTGACACATGATCCACGACAAAAATAAAAAAAGAACATGATCGGCGTTCTCTGTGGTACTTGTGTAGTAAGTGCTCGAGCGACGTTCTACCTTTTATCTTTCCGGCCACTATGTTTGGCATAGTTCTCCCCTTGCTTCGGCTCAAGCTACGTCCCAGGTGCGGGTATTAAAAAGGGCCGGCCTGCCGTGTAAGCCTTGAGTCGTGACACTCCGACGGCACGAAAATCGGTAAAAAAAAAGAAAAAAGGCGCCGCCGCTAGGACCGTAATAATATCGAAGGAGAAGCGAAAGGATAGAAAGCCTCCATAAAGACAGTCAGCACTTGCGCGACGATAGCTTGACCTCCCTGTCGTATTGTAACCCAATGGCAATATGGTTGTAGCAACAAGAAGTGCAAAGAAATGGATGCGCGGAACCCGCGCCTCTGTTCTGTCGATTGATTAACAGTAGACCACAGCGATACGAACCACGTATGTAAAATCACTGTCGCACGCGCCGCCGACTGAAATTCAGTCGGCGGCGCGTGCGACATCGACAACCTCAAACACAACATCATAGCTGCTACGATCAGCAGATTAAGATTTTTCACTGGCCGTAGAGGTTCTTCTTCTTTTTCCAATCCTGAGTGTTCGCGGTTTTATTTGTGTACGCGTTGGCAACATTATTAACATTAAGGCCTGAGAAAGGGAAAAAAAAGGTACGTGGGCGCACCGCATCGGCATCGTTCTGCATAAGTCGAGCCAGGGGCTTAGTTTGAAAAATTCCAAGAGTACACTGCCATTTTTTTTTTCGGAGGCTCGCGGTCTCGAGGAACATGGATAGGGGAGGTAGTTAATCGTCTTGCAGTTGTGGTGTTTTTTTTTTCATTGGCTCCTGGTGTAGTCGTTTTTATCTTCTGCGACCGCATTGACTTGCTGCTCATCTTTATTATAGAGCGGGCAACACGAGACTGACACTGAGTAGACTCTTTGTCTTTTGTCGTCTTCGTACTTTTTGATCGTAGATGCGTAGTCTTTCGCACTGCCGGTTTGAGAGTCCAAGTCCTCCTTCTGTTTGCTGAAAGCAGACGCGGAGAAAAGACGAGTAGAAATAGTGGCTCATGTGGTTCACGGGTTTATGTTTAATAGTTTTGCACAAAAATGGTCGTAAATGTCTTCGCCCCATCCGCGAGGAGGAAGCCCTTTGTTCGATATTCGTTTTTCCGTTTTTTGTCGTGAATAGTACATACCAGGAACGAAGATCTGTAGATGACGAACGTGACTCTGGATTCGGCTTTTTCTCTTTGTTTGGTTTCTAAATCTACGTAAATCCTTCTCCTTGTCTTCCTTCACCCGAATGAACAACTTAATACAGTAGCAGAACGAAGTCGAAGTGGGAAATTTCACATATGAGGCATTAGAACTCGTAAATTCCGTCCTTCATTATGCAAATCCCAAAGCTATCCTTGCCCGTGGAGGTGGCACCTGGAGTGGACGCTGCTTTATCCAGTGGGGCGATGAAGCACCATATTGATAGCACAGAAGTTGATGGAACAAAGTCACCACAACCGGAGCTGCAGGAGCAGGACGAATTGCAGAACGCAGTAATTCAGCAAACAAATCTTCCTGGGTCATCAAAAAGCAACATTGCAGGAGATAAACATCAACAGCAGGAGGAGCCAGCAAGTGGAGTCACTGCGGTAGCTGCGTCGTCGTTACAACACCCTGTGAAACAAGAACCGACAGCGTCGATGGGCATCAGTCTAGTAGCAGCAACGACCACAACGACCCGGGCGAAGCTCATCACGCTTGCCCACCGGTTGGACCCGAGTAACCGGTGGACACCCCGGGGTAGAGCTCCTGATGTCGTGCCCGGGAAGATTGCTTTTCCCGACAAGATGACGCAGCAACCTACGCGCCAAGAAGCAGAAGGCGCCCGAGTTCTACTTGTTCCGGACAGTACGGTTGTATCTGCTTCGACATCTTCGCACCGAGGTCTTGATAATGCAACTCCTACATCTTCAGCATCAGCAACTGCTACTGCAGCAGCGAACAAAACAAGTTCGTCTCGCGACCACTTGTCCTCCGATCTGCAACTACTCCAGCTTTACAACGCGTCGTCCGCCACCTCTAATCCCCGCAGCCCGCGTTTTCTGATGAAGAAGCATCGCGAAAACGCGGACGGGTCCGCAACGCCAAAAATCACTGCGGTGACGCCCCGGATCATGCGCGAAAAGTTGCTTGCGGAGCACAGCTCTGCAGCAGTACAAGACGCAGCAGCACTCCGCGGTAGCTGTGAGGAGAAGATCACGACAGGAGTGGAATATCAAGCCGGAGAACAAGGTCAAGGACCACCAAATAAATCCTCTTCTACCCCACGAAACAAGGCCGATGTCGTACCGAATCCCGTTAATATTTTCACGCCGCGTCTGGAGCTTTTGAAGTCTTCACCGGTACTGCGGTTCTACGGGTACTTTTTGGAGGCGGTACACATGGGCACGATCGAAAACTGCCGTGTGAGAAAGCTCACGCTGCTCTACTACACCGCCGACGACACCATCGCATTGCTGGAACCCCGGGAAACCAACTCCGGGTTGGTGCAGGGCGATTTCCTTAGACGGCAGCAAACCTTTGCGCAACGGGGAGGTACTTTCACATAGGCGGATGATTGTAGCAGGCATGATGAATGATTCATGATGATGATGAAGATAATGAAAAGTCTGGTGCTCATGATGAGGAATGATGATGTATGAGCATGAGGTTCTTTTACCTTTCAATGCATGATTTTGGCACAGCATGCCTTATGAAAATAAGGTCGCCGGGTGCTTCTCTCCGATCTTGCTCTTGGCAAAACGGTTCAAATTTTTGGACGCTCCATTCGATTGGTGGAGTGCGACGAAGCGACCAGAACATTTTTCCAGGAGAACCGGAAACCGCTCGGTGAAAAGGAAACCTACCCGGAGAGTGTATGGGACGGGAATTTTGTTCGTATTGTGCAAGATTCAGTTGATGCATAGTGCAATAGACAAGGCTGGCGTTGCTCTGGCTTTAATGCTAACGTTCTTGTGGCGCATTCCTTTGGGCGATACTTGTTCTTGATTCGCTCGTACTCGTTTTGCTTGGTTCTCTCGAAGTTTAGAGTGTGAGTTTGCAAGAACCTGTTGTCTGCCTTGCTGGTTGTATATCAATTTGCTTCTGCAACGTTCCGTTTCTACTGTCCATATCGGCAATTGAAGCTCTACGAGCAGAGGCGGGCAAAGATGTACGATTCAAGTCGAAAAATCACTGAGGCTGCAGCGGGATCAAGCACACCGAGAACGGTATCTATCTATTTTCATGTGAGGCCGCTACTTGTAGTAGTCTTTCAGTACTAGTACCACTCTGTTTGTGCTTCATCGAATGATATGTGGTGTGCATGATCTTCGATGAAACTGATGCTCAAAACAACCACGACATCAGCTCCTACAAGACCTCGGAAGTACGCCGCGGAGCTCCTTTGGTCAGGAACCCGCGAAGAAGCCGGCAGTGCTGCGGTTTTTCTCTTTCAGAAACACCGGAAAAGGTGGAGCTGAGTTCTCAACCTTGACGGAAGATGAGAATAGCAATAAGCGGACAGTAGAGAAAACTACTGGTGGAGCCAAACAAGAAATAAAACCGACCACCTTGTTGTCGGAGGACACCACGACCTTGTCCCCAGCAGGCGCCCTCTATTCCCTTCGGCAGTACTTCACGATTCTGTTTCACACGGAAGATTCTACGATTGAGATCATGCGGCAGCCAACCGGAAACACGTACCCGGTAGGAAAAACCACGGCGGAGGGAAAGAGTCTCTACCACAGCCGCGCCGCGGTGCCGAGGAGTCAGTTGGCAAGCTCCGCACGGTGCATGGTTACCCGCGTGGGGATTGGTACTTACTTCTACCTTTTTACCTCGGATTTGTGAAATCCGAATCGGGCTCCACAGTGCTTCATCTGAGCTTTTTTGCTGCAGCGACGGCCTCCTTGCATGACCACTCGCTCGGTTGTGGATCATGTCAACAAGATAAGGTTGTACTAAGTTCTTACAGCGAGCATTTCGCTCGGACCTTTTTCAGTCCAACTCAAAAACAAAAACAGCTCCGAGCCCTGGAGAACTTGTCCAAGCTGAAGATCTGCAAACTGGGTCGATATGAGAAGAAGTGAAGCCTCTGAAAACTGGTGTCTCATCGCGTAGAATCAATCTCGTATGTCTGTGTAGCGCTACTGGGGAAACGAGCACAAAATGCATTTCGCTTTCATCAGAGGACGAGCACCCGCAGCGTCCTTCTCGTGGTCTTCCGTGCGGACTCTGACTCAAGTTTCAAACACTATACTTCACCTTTTCCATATTCTTCTGTTATCCTTTACGGTGAAGAGTTTCATCTGTATGATTGCGACGAGAAAACGAAAGACTGGTACCACGAGCGGCAGCTCATCGGAGCGACACCGGCACCGAACGGGACCACAATGAACGTCAATGCTACAACCTCCATCATCGAGCAAAAAGATTGCAAACACCTCTATTTTCCGACCGGCGTGGACCCCGAGACTGGCGCGCAAGTCGTCTACACGAACTACGCCGTACCCTTGTCCTTCTGCCCCGCAACTGGGGAGCCAAAGTTGGCTTGTTCCAGCGATTTCTCTTCTTCGGGGATGAATAACAACGGAACGTCGAGCAAGATGAAGACCGGAGCAAAAATGTTGTCCACTAGTACGACCACTTCGAACAAGATGAAAGGCGCCCGGATGGCCGCGTATCGCAACGTGGTGCTGAGATTTTCCGGAAAATTAGTCGACGACGATTTGGTATGGGAGCGGGAACGAAATAATTACTACTTACAACAGCATGCTGCGTTGGCACACGTGCTGTGTTCACAAGCTACAACATGAAGAAGATTTCAGCGCTTCTAAAGAAGGAATAGGTATCGCTATCTAATGAAAAGAGTATGCTGGGCATGACAAGGACAAGCGCACAAAATCGCATTGCAGACTCTTCCGCTGTTGTAAGTAAAAATGAACTTTTCTTCCTCATAACCCAAGCGCACTTTTGTGGTTGCCTTTTACCTCGCAGATAACACCGTGTCCGTTTATGAGCAGCGGCAAGAAAATTCCGGATTCACAGGCGGAAATTTCATTCAGCGCATCGCGCTGCGGAACGTGGAAAAGAATCGGAAGTATTGGAGAAGTGGAAGTCTTTTTTTCTTTCTTTTTGTATCTTTCTTTGTTTATTGTTCACGTGAAAGATGTAAATGATTATCAAAATCTTTCAGAAACATTGCACTCACGAAAGATATTCCCTCTCACTGCAGTTTTCTCCCCAGCGATTTCTTCGTCGGTGCGACCGTGAACCTGATCGCGAAAAAGTTTTTCCTCTCGAAGGCGGACGAATTCACCCTGCGCTTCATGGAGCAGCACCCGAGGGTCTTTCCGAAGGCAGACTTGGTGGGGAACGGGAACTTGGAAAAAATTTTGACGAAATCTCGCGTGGAGGACTTTGAAACACCGCATCAATTGAAGCAGTATTGTGCGTCCGAGCTGAACTTGACGGATCTATCGGACCAAGAAGTGCTGACGCTGGTATAACGTTCTTGGAGTCGTGCTCAAAAAGAGCATTTCGTTTTCATTTATGACATCATCATCATGTTGACTATTTTCATCGCGTGAATGGATACGATATCGATAGCGTCGTCGCGCGATTCCAAATTTGCTCACCAAAACAACTTCCTCTCGCATGCTTGCAGGTGCGCTTCAGTGGACCGGGTACGGATGAGCAAGACGCGACGATTCGGTTGGGCAAGGTCCGGGAAGCGAGGAAAGAGTTGAACATCGTGGAAGACAAGAACGAGCACCTGCTGCTCGTGGCGTAGTCGTAGAGAAAAGGAAGGGCCATTCGTGTCAATCATGAAAACTACCAGAGTACAAAGACCAGCAGGATGATAACGTCAACGTCAAGCACGATGCTCCCAACCGTGTAGAGTCTTTTTCATTGCCTAATGTAAGATGATAGTGTGAAATTCAATTTCAAATTCTTATAATGCTTTTGCTTTTCTACTAAAAATAAACTAAAACAGCAGCTGCACATGCGTTTACTGTAGTGATACAACTGATACACGTCCCAACATCAGGCCTAGAATCCATTGAAAAAAGAATGAAACAAACTACTTACGGAAAGAAAATCCAAGGTTGCTGTAAAAGCTGGAATAGATGAAGAGTTGAAGAGTGATAAAAAGATGGGATGCGTTACTTACCTTGAGATAGAGAACTACCAACGGAAACGGAACAGTAACGGCCAAGTTGTATGTAATGATCGCAACGTACTGTATGTCAGTCGAATAGGTACTAGCAAGTTTCATTGTGCATGTTTTGTCAAAAATAGAAAACATTAACTATCCATTGAGCCGTGAGCACTGAACGAGCACCGTTATGAAAAAAGCGATGAGAGTTTCAAAGCGACTTTTGCGATTTCATCGGGTCAAGGATGGCGAAGAGCCTCTGCGTTTGCAGGTTTTGTCTTGCTACCTGGTCAGGTCTTAAGTATCGACGACACCGACCGCTGCTCAACTTGAAAGGTCGACGGTTGTCTCCAGTAGTAGTGCCGGCGATCGTTCACGTTCTGGGGCTTTTCTTCGAGGTTGAGGTCGCAGCGGATTGAAAGCTGCATTGGCTTTTCGCTCACGATCAGGTGGTGTCCTCGTCGCCCTCATCGCGTGAGATCAAGAGAGAATGATGAGGGTCGTGCTGCCATCAGTTTTGTCGAGGTTGAAACTGACTACGAGTGCAGGCAGCAGGCTGCATTTTGTCTTTGAGCGGCGAAACGAAATTAGAAAACTTGCCATTATAGTGAAGTAAACCCGGGCTGCAAGGAAACGAAACTGTTTTTTGACAGAGCAGTCAACATAACAACTGCGAGGTTTCAACGGATTGAGACTGATCCTCAGATGCCAACTTCTCCTGCCATAAACCCAACTGCGCACGGTGCGCTGCGAGGACATTAAGATATCAGCCAGCCCATCATCGAAGTGAGTCACCAACCAACACGTCGACACACGACACTGCTCTGAAGGACGTGGCTGACTACTGATTCCAGTACTACCGCACGATCATCGCTAGCTCCCTTCCGGGACCATTGAAGAAAGATTTATTCCGTTCCATCATGAAGATGCTGTGGGGGTCGATCAAGTTCAAGTGCCTTGTCCCTGCGTTTTCGAGCATCTTCGTCGCGGCGCATGATGATGTCGCGTTTACCATGACGGGGGGCGGAGGGGGCAAGGACGCTAATCCCGAACATCAAGAGCTGGACGGTCAGGCCAAACAAGAGCGTGGCGATGTAGTGAAGGGGTTTGTCGATCATCGCGCCGGTGCACAACATTATGCCAACCATGCTGATGATGATGACGATGAGCAAGAGTTTGAGTTCTCCGACCCTGCTTCGTATGCAATCTGTAAAAAGTAGACTAGAAGGATAGCCGTGTGTACCACATCCAAACGCCTTCTGCGGCAAGGAAGATAAAGTACTATAAGGAAAAAACTCGCGAAGTCGAGGATGATTAATCTTGAAAGAATGTAACAGTGACAGAAGAAGCATTGAAGTGTTTGGATAGCCGTGTAACACAGAGAACAAAATCAAAATTTGGTTGCATAAGCTAGAGCAGGAGCAGGGGGCAAACGGCGAAGCAGAACGAAACCACCTCTTCATCAACGAGAAGAAGCAAAGAACGCAAGTGATGCCGGATGCGTCCTTCTACCAGGTCGAGACCCGGACAGAAACAAGTGGCAAGAAGAAAAAAGTGAAGATGATGGAAACGAAAAAGACTACCCTGAGGCCAGTATGGCCTGCCAGGTGGCGAAGCCGGAGCGGACAGGGAGACGACAAAGTAGAAGCTGTAGCTGGGTTTAGGAGCGAAACGCACGCCGAGGCGACCGCAAGAGCGAAGGACTTGTTTGACGAAGCGTTTGCCGCAAGACGACTGGTGCGTTGATGAATGTTCTTTTTTCTGATTCTTATTCACAAAAAAGGATCGATGAATCACACACTATGCAATCCATTATTTTTATGCAAATTCTTCACTTCTATCTAATTCTATTCGGGATCGTTCTATTCTTCCATTGTGCTGACATCATAGATGGAATGTTGGGAGTAGGAAACGTTGCACCACCGTTCTCCGCATCCGGGATTACGCGTAATGCTGAACATGTCGCCAATCACCCCAAGGACGAACACAGCACCACGGCCGCAAGCGAAGGCACAAGCCCGAAGTCGGGATCGAGCAGCTCAGATGTTCGGGGGAGGTTGTGATTGTCCAGCAGCGCCTCGACCTCGTAGGGTTGATGAAGCATTTGTTTGATTAGAATGATAAAAGAAAATGAAAAAAATGGATGTGAACATAAAATAAAAGAACAACTGAATCTTTATCGACCAATACAAATGCGAAGTGAAAGGAAAAGTCAAAGTCACAGCTTTATTTTGTAATTCATTGCACCAGCACGAGTTGTAGTTGCGACAAGGTATTTAAGAGGTGGTAACTACTGCAGTGGTTTTTTCGCGTACGTAGATTGTGTAGGAGAGCTGCAAAAAAAAAAGTTTTTCGTGTGTTCCAGATGTGCGACAGGATGAGAATGTGAATGAAAAGTAGCAGTGTCAAAGCTACATTCGCTCTGCGCTCACCTCGTCACTCTCACTTCGCAGGATCAAGAGAGAATTACGTTGAGGGTCGTCGGAGTGCTTCTGGTGTCATGAGTTTTGTCGAGATGGAGAAGATTCCATGGACTGGTGGGCTGCGCTTTGTCTTTGAGGAGCGAAAGGAAAATAGAAATCTTGCCAAAGCGAGCGACAATAAAACGAACTAAATGTTTGATGGGACGACAGTTTCTTTCTCTGCGACATTTCAGGGCATTCATCCTGGGACATCTCAGGGCATTCATCCTGGTACGAAAATCATGCCTTCCTCTCCGGCCGTGAGCCCGAGCGCGCGCGATGCGCCACGTGGAGCAGCAGGGCATCGTCAAGACATAAGCCAGCCCATGATCGAAGAAGTCATCAACCAGCAGATCGACACCGGTCTGACGGATAACCAATCCATCTCCACGACCGCCAACCTCGCGGGCAATCTGAAACTCTCCGAAATGCTGAAAAAGGACCAGGAGCGGCTGCACCAGACGAGCCAGGACCAGCAGCACAACCAGACCATCTACCTGCAGCCGCATTTGAACAAGCGGTTGGTTTTGAACCACAAGGGGTTTCAAGAACCGCCCAAAGAGTTGGACAAGTACGTGAATTTGGCGCATTTGGATCTCTCCTTCAACGGCATGTTCCGATTGAAAAACCTGAACCGATTGCAGGAACTTCTTTCCCTGCAGCTGCAGTCGAACTTGCTGGAAAGAATCCAAAATTTGGACTTCAACAAGAAGCTGCAGAAACTGAACCTCAGCTACAACAAGATTGCGAAAATCGAGGTAGACACCCTGCGACACCTGAAATTCCTGAACAACCTGAACCTCAGCCACAACAAGTTGACCTGTTTCCCGGTGAGAAAAGTCATGGACAAGGTGAACTCGATTTTGGAGACAGTAGAGGAAGATACGGTTCTTTTGGCCCCCGCGGGTGGGATGAATAAACCATTCACAGGCTGCTCATCCTCCTCCTCTTCATCTTCATCATCTGCGTTAGGAGATGACGATTCCGCTGCAGAGCCAGTCGATCAGGCCGATTCCGAGGCTCCTCTCTCAGTTTCCGAGAACACGTTCTCTTCTGCGCCCACCAGAACTACCATGGCGATTGAGGAAGACACAGAGAACTTCGACAACGCTGTGGAGTTTGCGGAAGAGTTGCTGGCAGTGGCGAGGAACAGTGCTCTGACTAACCTGGACCTCTCCTGGAACGAGTTCAAGGACTTTGAAGTTCCAGACTGCTGCGAATTTTTCCAGAAATTTCCGAACTTGGAAGTGTTGTACTTCCACCGAAACCCGGGGCTGCGATTCGTGACTAACTACCGGAGGCACATGGTCCTGGCGCTGCCAAAGGTGCGGTATCTCGACGAGGCACCGGTATTAAATCTACTATGTTGTGATGTAGGAGGACGAATTTTTCAACGTGTAAAGTTAGATTTTTTTCTACAGAAGTAAGGCTTCTACTCTGTCATACACTTGGGTTTTTGATGCAAGTAGACGTACGTGGTTTATTACCGCAACACAAATACAACCGCCGTGCAATACCACCAGATTTTCGACCGCGAGCGTGAGTTCGCCACGGCCTTCTTCAACGACGGCGGCCTGGCCGGGGAAAAGCGGGCGCGCGATAAGTACAAGCAGGCCTTGCGGGAGGCGAAACCGACAGAGGATTGGGACGACCGGAAGCATTTTGTAACGGCCAGGAGGAACAAGGCGCTCGAGCGGATTCGCGCCGAGGAGGACACAAAGCAGGAGAAGCACAGCCAGTACTACGAATATCTGAAGAAGCAGGAGAAGCGGGAGAAGGAATTCGTCGAGAAACACCAGTCGCAATGGGACATGTGCAATAACCCGTTTGGGGAGGGGGCGCAAGGAGCTGCAGAAGGTGGTCTCCGTGCAGGAAACGATGCGGTGATGTTGAATGACGACGGAGAGGACGCGGAGGTAGTGATTCTGTTCTTTCGTGATTCAGCTTGTCATTTTTTACGTTCGCTCGGCGGCTTGGTGCATTCTGATTTTCATCGCATCCATGAATGATGTAGTAGTAGAAAGATAGCTACGTTTCTCTTGTGCGTGGCATTACTCAGTCTAAAAGAGAACAAAAATCAACTATACAAAGGTGGATCTCTCCACCACCGTCGAAGACGAAGACCCTGTGGAGTTGGAGCGCCGCGCGACCTTCCGCTGCACAGACGCTCCCTCGTTGAATCCCGAAGTGGGCGGTATGGCCGAGGAGTTTGACAAGCAGGTGTCCTCCTGGGTGGAAAAGAATATTCCGGCGGAAACCGGAGCGGCGGCTTTTGGAAGGATAAACCTGGTGTCGGGGGCAGGAGCTTCGACTTCTGCACCAACTACAAGCTCACGAACAACAAGCGCAACGTCAGCAGCACCAGCTGCAGTGGTGGCGAAAAGCAGGAACAACGCGAATGAGCTTGACGAGCTGGATTGAATTTGATTCAGGGTTTTTTGCAACTTTTGCACCCACATGGAATATGACCGCCGCCTAAAAGAAACCGCACGCTTTTGATGTTCACGATAGCAGAACTTGAATTGAGGAGCCAATTTTTGCAGAGGTGTCAACAAAATCAAGAAGATGTTAGCAGCTTTCACAAAACGACGCCATGCACGTTTTGAAACGAGCGTGCTGTTTGTGACAGACTGTGCAACGATCGCGACGATGTTCTTCGGATTGTTTCACGTACAAACATGATTCGTGACGCCAACTTGTCAGCATAATTCATCGCACGCGACATCATAGACGAAGCCTCAGTCAGGCTATCGAACAATGCCTGTCCATCGGTCCACCTTTTATCCTGTTTACGAAGGCAGAAGTTTTTGAGTCCCTTGAATTTACATCATCGTTAAACAGGAACCCTCATCAAGTCGTGTTTTAGTCAGTCACATATCAAATATCGTGTCTCGCTCTCCCCGCATCCCCGATCCTTGAAGGTGCTCTAGATTTTTTTGTGTAAGGGGTTATTCTTATTTCGCTAGATGTTGAGTCAGTAGTATATCGTTACTTTTGTTGCTATCTGTATCTCCACACTAAACAGACACGTTGAATTTGAAGATAGATCTATCGCTATTTGGTTCTAAGCGCACCAGACCCTCGCAAGATTTTGGTCCGACAAGTTTCGAGGTTATATCTTCACCTCTTGTCGCGACTTCGACTTTATCTATTATGTCAGCTTGCCATGGGTGACGCTACTTTCATAGAAAGATAGAAAGTTCTTATAGGCCAAACTACTAGTTTGGCGATGCCAGAAAATGGTCCACGGTACTCTGATCACGTTCCAAGAGCACCACCGCGACCCGCCACGAGCGTCATCAACAGCTACGGCGTCAACATCGACACGAGACATCAAAATCCTCGTCGACGGCTTTCAATCGAAATCGGACGAGGTGAAGCACTACATCCTCTCCCACTTCCATTCCGACCACACACAAGGGCTCGGAAAGGGGTTCAAAATCAAAAACGCGAAGATCTACTGCACCCCGCTCACTGCGGATCTGATCACGGAAGTGACCGGGGTGAGAAAGGAGTTTGTCGTGCCGGTTGCCTATAACACGCTGCATTGGCTCCCAGAGGACATTGAAACGCCAATAAGAAATGGGGAGCACCAGCAAGAACGCGAAGCGTTACCTCGATCATCCAACACTTACCTCGTATTTCTCGACGCAAACCACTGTCCCGGCGCCGCGATCATGCTGCTGGGTAATTTGCGCGAGAAGAAGTGCGTGCTGCACTGCGGGGATTTTCGCGGGACGCCGGTCGTAGCGGCGGAAGTCAAGAAGTGTCTGAAGTGGCTGGCGAACCACTATTCAACAATATCGAAGCTGGCGGGTCTGCAGCATGACAACATAAATCACTTCCACGACCTCCGGATTGATACAATTTACCTGGACAACACGTACTGCAGTCCGAAATGGGTCTTCCCCTCCCAGTTGTCCGTTTTGAAGCAGTTGAAGCAGTTCGTCATCCAGCAGCTGCGGAACCACCCGGACAAGAAAATCCTGTGGTTCATCGGCAGCTACGCGATTGGCAAGGAGAAGGTCGCCGCGGTGGTCGCGGAAACTATTGCGGAGTACTTCAAAAGAGAAGGCGGCCCGCAATTGACGGTGAAAACGGAACGACGCTGGAGCATACAGAAGTTAGTGCAAAAACACTACCCGGAATTTGACTACTTCACACAGGCGCGGTTGGGAGATGAGGAGGCGGAAGATGCTGGTTGTGAAAATTATAGTGCAGCTGGTGGTAAGAGTGCTGTTCAAGTTCAAGACCAAACAAGTGACGACAATTATGGCCTGCCGCAGCCACAGCTACAAGAGAAGGACACCAGTCCGTGTTCATTTGCTATTGACAACAAGAAGCCCAACAAGAACGACGTCTGGATGGTGCCCCTGTCCGACATCCGGCACGACAAACTGTTGAAAAACCTGGCGCTCGGGCCAGAAGCTGTTTTGAGAACGGAACGGCAGCTCGAGGCGGAGAACAGAAAGCTGAAAAACCGAACTTTCGACGGCGAGGGCTTCCTGCCGAAGTCGGAATACGAGGAAGTCGTGGAGAATGCAACTGCTGGAACAAGAACAAATAGGAAGAATTACAAAGCGACTCGCGGGCAGAAACTGAAACCGTCCGACGAGGAGCAAGACAAAGATGCGCTGGCGATCATAAGCGGACTGAATAGAGGCACAGATCTCGCTGGTGACAATGAAGTTGTCGACTTGCTGGATGACGAAGACGATCTTCTTGATCAGGTAGAGCAAGACTTGGAGAAATTGGAATGCGATGACGATTACGAGGATCCGCGTCTTTTTCCACCAGACCAGCACCAGCAGGCGCAGCAGGAAGAAGTTCTTGGAGTCCGTTCTGATAAAGATCTTCTCGACGTCGACATACCAGCAGCGTCCGATCCGCTAGTGGTACCAGAACTACCAGACGAAAACCGGTTTTACGAAAGCAACAACCGACCTAGTAAACGGAAGCAAGCCACAATCGCGAAACACGCTGCGGGGGTGAAGATGAGGAGGATAGAGAAGACTGGCGTCGAGCACGAAGCAGGTCGACGACAGGTCAATCTAGTTGAGCCCGGCGCTTCTACAAAAACTACTACAACCGAAGGGCAGCTGGTGCACAATTATTCGCACAATAAACTGCATTCGGCAGTCGCATCAGAAACCGCGTTTTACGACAGTGAAGAGCAGCAGCAGTTTCTGGAAATTCAGTCCGGGTATGACATGTTGATCGGCTTCCGCCCGACGGGTTGGGCGTACCGGTCCCAATCCACGAACATCAGTGAGCAGCAATGGGTGTCCAACAACGGTAAAACCAAGGTGGTGCACTTCCCCTACAGCGAGCACAGCAGCTTTTCGGAGTTGAAGGGATTCGTGAAGGCGTTGAAGCCGCGCGACGTGATACCAACGGTTCCGGATAGCTCCTTGTCGATTCCGGAAATCAAGAAGTACTTTCTGGATTGCACGGACGGAAGTAACGACAAGAGCCGGATCGAGTACTACATGCGCAAAATGAGGGAGGATCAAGAGGATATCAGTCGGCTGAAGAAGCAGAAGTCGGATCTTGGTCATCATCCGGATCATGAGGAGCCGAACGTGAATCTGAATTCGGTAGGCAGCGTGTTCTCTTCCGATGCCGGAAAGAACAAAATGCCGGAACTACACCAGCTTCACGTAGAACAACAGCGACTGCAGTTACCCGTTGTTCATCCACCAGCGTTCTTTTCTCCCGTGCGCCGCTCCGCGCGAAGAATCACAGAAGAGCTTGATTTGTGCACAAAATATCCGATTTCTCCCTCCGTTTTGCGAGGGTACGGGGAGGAAGGTTCGCTCTTTGGGGGGAAGAAGAAGAAAGTTCTGATTCGGATAGGAGTCGGACGAGTAGACGCAGATGGGGAAGTAGAGCCTGACTACAGGGCGGGCCAGAACCAGCACAATCGTGTAGTTGGCCAATCTAGTAGTAGCTCGTCAACGACCACTGCGAGAACCGGACCACATAACTTTCCATCCTCCGCAACGTCCTCCGCATCAGCGGCCTCATCCAGCTCGATAAGTGGTGTTAATGTTTTACCTGGCAGTACAAATTCATCTACGGGTAAAAGTACAAAGAAGACCTCTGTTGAGTGGTTATCAGAAAACAACGGAATGGGTACAACTACCATGAGCGCAGCCGCCGTCCCCTCCGCTCTGTTCTCGGAGCAAGAGCTTCTGCTTCAACAGCGCGATCCCAGGTTGATTCACTCGAGCGGACAGAATTTACCGAAACCCACGAAGAGAAAAAGAGCACGACCGCACTGGGGAGATGACATAGACTTGCCCGAGGTAACAAGGGCGGCAGAAGTATTAAACGACCCAAGTGCAGCTGCAAAAACAAGCAAATCACAAACAAGCCAACAACAGAAACACAAATCCATAAAGCACAACAACATCGTGAGGTCGCGAACGGCTACCGGTAACCGCGATGTGGCGGATTTAACTTCGTTTTTGCCTATGAGAAGTACAACTTCTAGCATCAACAAAGCTAGCACTTCAACAGGAGGTCCTGTGAAGAATAAAGTGAGAGACCCAGCAGGGCGTGCACAAGAAGCTGGCAGTTCTTGTTCTTCACAGCTTTCGTCGATTTCCGGTGTCAAATTCGTGAAGTCGGACCCCGCTGATTTGATTTCTGAGAAGAAAAAAGTTTTCGATGATGGGTCCGTGATGTACACAACCATGAACGAAAAGGGGCACACAGAGTTTCGCATTTGCCACGAAAACCGGAAAATCTGGGACGGGGAGGAGGTGGCTGAAATGGTGCGGAGCGGGGTCGTGAATGATGATCCTGTGGGCAAGAAACCACCCAATCCCAACCACGGCGCTGAAGCAGAAGAAATCACGGAGAAGCAACTACAACGACCGGAACAAGAAGAAGGAACTTCGGAACTGAAAAATGCACAAGTGAATCCCGAATTATTGGCGGAAAAAGGTTTCTCCAGGACAGCGAATGAGGTGATTGAGCTCGAGTCTTCCTCAGACGAAATAGATTTCGTGCAAATTGCCACAGGAGTGGTTGAGGATGTTAAACACGGTGGGCAACAAGAAGGAGCCTTTTCGTTTTCCTCTGCGACCGATGATGAAGTTGTCGTTCTATCAGATTCCGGATAGCAGTACGATAGATAGTAGACGGAGTCCACTAAAGCTAAAAGCAAAAGCGAACAAATAAACACAAGGGCAATGCCCAGCGAGTTTGCGATGCGCGCTACTTCTTGCTGCAGGGAAAGTATAGTAATATGTGTTGCTCCTTGCCCCGTGGTCCAGGTCCCAGAGTAGAAGCGTGAGCGAATCGTTCTGGTTTATATGGCTTTCATTAATCTCTATCTCACCTTAGTTGTTGCGCTGTCTTTCAGCCTCGAAACAGCAGCTTACTCGAGAGTGCTAATATTCAATCTGAGTCTGAGTGTGTGCGTCGTCTGTGTGTCAGCGATCTAGGAGCGCGATGGTCTATCTTGTGTTTCGGTCTCTGAAGTAGCACTCCCGCTTCATAAATCTAAAATCTTCAATTTCGTCCAAAAGAGAACTTGAACTCTTGTAACTCAGCGTGGCGCCGCTGCCGCTCCTCCTCCTGCCGTCTTAGGTGAAGAGGCCGGCGCGTCTAGTAGGTGAGCGAGGCGAGAAACGATCCGCGTTAGGTGGTTTATTTCAGTGCGACGGCCGGCACCATCACCAAGTCCAAGTCGCATCCATCATGATGAACGCGCGGCTCTTATTTGCTCCTCGACCGCGTCGAGGTGAAACGATGCGACACTGATTGTTGTGGTTCATCTATACATAAGGAATGAGAAGTCCTGCCCGGCGCGCCCGCGGCCGGTTGACTTCGACCTACGGGTCGTTGGCGGAGCTTCTTCTTTTCGCACTGTTGGGGTTGCGTCCGCTCGTAATGCTAACGCTGCCCCTCCTCGTGCGCCTAACCGTCCTCGCGGTGCATCAAGACCGCTCAAGTCAAGACCAGACGAGCAGGAAGATCACCACGACCGTCGATGCGACAGCACCAGACGAACAACTGATCAGGGTAGCAGACAAGGTGGCAGAGCTCGACCACGATGCAAAAACACAACAACTCGGCGGTCACGAGCGTCTTCTTCGTGGGACGAAAGTGACCTCCGATAGAACTGCCAGTACCGCGACCAAAAGCCGCGACGCCAACGGACCACGAACGTTTTCCACCAGCGGTGGCTCCTCTGTGATAACGATTGAGGCTGACAGCAGCACGACAGACACTTCAGAACAGTACTACGCGATTCCGAACACGGTCTGGGTTGAGGTCCCACTGGACAGGTTTCTGTGGACGGCGTCACAGGGCTCTGGCGACCTGGACCAGTGGAGCAACGCGACGGTGCCTTTCACATACGGCGAACAGCGGGAGCAGTGCCCCGCAGACGCTCTTATGTCTATCTACCCCAAAGAGTACGCGTACGTCGTCTCCACAACCAAAACGACCGACGAAACGAATTGCTGCAGCGTTACGGAAGCGTCAGGTTGGAAAGCAACAAATGAATGGAAGCACAAGCGCTACTTTGTGATGCATAGAATGCGAGGGCGTGGCACCTAGTCGTAATCCCTGTCTTGCAGAGAAGCCAAGCGCGGCCGATTGTACTCCTGTCTAGGGTTAATATTGAAAGAAGAAGAGCTGCTGCGAAAGAGCATGACGTAAGCGGTCTTCTTTGCTACAAACACCCAGCGCGACAGATCGAATGTAAGTAGTTGCTTCCGAAATTGCAATTGGTCGCGCGCCGCTTGGAAAATAAAGGGACGCAGTCGTTGGGGGTCAAAGTCATGACATCAATTTCATGAATGGTAAGTGTTGATTTTGCTTTTATTTATTTGCAAATTTCCACCGACCTGACACTTCCATAAACGCGCAGAATAGTGCAGATGCGGACGGGAGTTATTGGTGGGAGGCAAGTTTAAAAAATGGCGAGGAGAGATACATTTCGAAGGTCCGGCTGTACAACCGCAAGGGCCACGAGGCGGATTTGAACAACGCAACTTTGGTCATTGACGGCGATACAGCTGCGGGAACGGACATTGGAGTGATCTCTTCTGCTGAAGCGGACCTTTCAATCGGCTTGTTTGACACGGGGGGCACCGTGGTCGCCATTGGCAAAAGGCTCAACAAAGTCCGGATTACGAAAACCGGGACGCCGTTCAGCATCTGCGGTGTGTTTTTTTTCGTGTACATGGACGAATTTCCGGACACGAGTTTAGTCGCGACGCAATCCTCAAATTATTCAAGCAACCTCTACTACAACGCACGAGTGGCGATTACGAACCAACTCGGCAAGTTCCCCGTGAAAACATCCCACACCTATGCCAAGTTCCCCGTATTCTGGCAGCTGGAATTTGCGAGCGGGAAGGCGCACTGGGTGGACCAGATCCGACTGGTCAACCGTGGCGATTGCTGCCAAGAACGCACCAACCATCTCCAAGTGTACTTCGACAGCGCCGCAGACCAAGACCCGTATTACAGTGCACAACTACTGCTCTCCTGTTTCTCCTCGCTTGAAAGGCATGAAGTGCAAGATAGGAAACGGCTGCGCCGGCAGACAGTACTTACTTGCGTAGGAACTTCTTCACGACGAGTGCAAAGCGACGCATAGATTCTAGTGCCGCCAACATTTGGGCTTCAGGATGCTGTCATGCACACAGTGCTAGTAATACATTGCTATTAGGTAGAGCTAGAGCAGGTGAATGTTAAGGGTATAGCTAGGGCTACAGTAGAAGTAGCAGTGCACGTGCACCACAAGACGACAAACATCAAGCACCACATCAGAAATTGAGAAAGAGGAAGTGGAGCATTTTTGTACTGTCACAAAACACCAACCGCCGGAAGCCAGGCGTTTGTGCTAAACGACACAACGCGGACGGTCGACGGGAGAAACGGGATTACCAGCACGAGCTATCCACCGCAAACATGTTTGGGTCTCCTGGAAGGTTGTCATGCTATTATGTGGACGGCGACGGGGACGGCCAGCAGACGTCAGTACAACGCTGCGCATCTTTGACAAAATTTCTATTCGGCTTCTATGCATTCCCTACGGCAACGGCGCGTGACAAACAGCGACTTTCTTGAATGACACAGAAGACGTGCTCTGGCGCAACATGCATCTTCACAGAATTGTCACAGGCACGGGCTTGCACGCCCTGCATTAAATGAATTCCGAACCCAAGCAGAATTTGCGAGTTGATACGAGCTTGCTGGGAAGCATGCTGCGAATAGAAAGGAGTTTCCGCAAAATGAAGCTCGCACCGCCACAGGCAGATTACATCAACCTGCAAGGGGTCAGTGTTTACTATCGGACGAACGTGGGTCCCGATATGACATCGACGACGACGACGACGACGTCCACAACATCAACACCGATGAAGACCAGCGCCCCCGCGACATCTTCACCCACGGAGGACGGAGTAAAAGATACTACACCCGACGCCGGCGCCGACGTCGGCGCGGAAACTTCTGAGGGCGAAGGACGGGATAAGGACAGCACCAAGCTCAGGAACGCCGCCATCGTGGGTGCGTCGGTTCTTCTGTGCGTAATTCTGGGATTGATTTTGACGCAACAAAACCACGAGACCGCGGGCACAGCGGCAGACGAACACGGTGACGACGGGGAGGAACACGAGACTCCTGGAGCAGACGAAGTCGCAGGAGGTGCTGGCGGTGACGAAGGCTCCGCGTCCTTCATCGCCGGAGCAAGCGGAAACTTTGTCCGGGCCGGCTCAATGGGTTCGATCAACTACACCTCCGGTTTTGGTGGCGGCTCTGCATCGTTTGGTGGCGCCGGGTCGTCCGCGGCCACAATAGGGCCCGGAAGCTCGGCGTCTTTTGGTGCCGGCTCAACAACAGTTGGGGACCAGTCCGCTCCAGTCGGAGATTCCCTGCGAAAAACTCCGAATGCATCCGCGTCTTTTGCCCGTACAAAGAAGTGTGTTTTGCTAGACGTACTAGAATCGGATGTGGTTGTAGTACCATGGTACACGACAACAAGAAATACAAGTACAACTTTGTCTAGCCGGCGTGGTAAAAATGTGTTGCGCAGATGATACTGATACTGCAAGCAGGACTTTATGAGACTTCAAGATCACTTATACTACTACACTATTGGCAGGTTCCGGGTCTTTCGTCGTCGGCAATGCGTCCACTGGGGGTGGCTCGATGGTGAAGTCCTCTGGCTTTGGTGGCGGGTCGGCATCATTTGGTGGCGCCGGCTCGTCCGCCGCATTTGGAGACGGCTCGGCGTCTTTTGGTGCCAGCTCCGCTGCGCCAGTTGGGGACCAGTCCGCTCCGGTTGGAGACTCCCTGCGAAAAACCCCGAATGCGTCCGCGTCTTTTGGCCGTACAATCACATATGAAATTTTGTTTTGCTGGAAGTAGAACTACTACGCCACCGGATGCAGTAGATGAAGCACCATGCACAACAAGAAATTCAACTTCTTCTGTGATGTTGCACAGATACTGATACTGCAAGTAAGGGGCACTTTACCATGAGACTTGCACTTGAAGAACACCTACGCTACAACTACACTACTGAAAAACACCTGGCAGGTTCCGGGTCTTTCGGCGTCGGAAATGTATCTTCTGGGAGCGGCTCGATGGTGAAGTCTTCCGGCTTTGGTGGCGGGTCAGCATCGTTTGGCGGCGCCGGGTCGTCTATGTATTGCAAATATGACTTTGGTTCTGGAATAAACAAGGTGCAAACTACTACGAGCCCTGTGGATGCAGTAAAAGGAAAAGCAGCCCACTTTTGGCCATGCTGACAGCGATTATTCAGGCAGGGCTGTTGCAGGCATAGACTTTCATCAAAGGTATTGCGTTGCAGCCTGTGATGCTACTTCTGCATTTCATTATCATTTCCAGACCCAGAAAACATGTTTGCAATTGATATCGTCCGCCGTAATGGGACCACCTAGCGGCTCAGCATCGTTTGGTAGCCCCGGGCCGTCCGCCTCCGCCGCAATGGAAAGCGGCTCGGTTGCTTTTGGCGGCTCACAGGCGACCGGCGGCGGCTCAGTGGCGATCGGCGGCACCTCAATAGCACCAGGCGGTGAGTCTGGCTCAATTACGGGGCGTGACGGTGACTTATCAGAATGAAAAATCCCCCCGCGTCCCCGTAAGAAAGTACTCGAGTTGAGACATTTGATGGCGCACCATGATGCAATAATCTTAATCTCTAGAATGTGGCGGTGATCGATTTCACGAATGCGGTTATACTAGCTCTGGCTAGCCGTAGCCACGACGGCGACGCTGCGAGCACCCCCTATGATGCACAAGAGCCAAAGCTTCTCCATTTGTCGTGTTGCTAAGTTCACGTCTTCTTGACTATGGGGTGGGCGGGAGGACATTTTCACACAGGATATCGGAGGCGCAGTCGCAATAGGTCGAGGCAGTAGGGCGCTGGGGGAGGGGGCTGTATGGTTATGGGTACTTACTGCTCCGCATTCGTGGAGGGACTTTATCATGTGCTGTGTGCGAAATTGAATTGATGAAATTTTTATAAATGCGCGAAAATGTGGTGCGTGATCATACGCAAGCATTGTGTTGTCTTAAGAAGAGTATGAGTATCTATAGGGGTTTTTGTGTTCCACGACCGTGCCGCGTCCAGGAGGAACGACTTCCGATTGTACTTACTTGCAATCTCTTCTATCGGAAGTGTCCAAGCAGAAGTAAAAAAACATTCGAGTGCTGCTATGATACCTGAGGACGAGTGTGTGTGTACTATATGGCGCCGCGTGTCATGCCAGCAACCTTTGAGCGAGCCATTGCATTGTCGGAGTTGTTGAAAGCAAGCATTGTTGCCTCTTGATGTGGAAGGGCCTCAAAGATCTTCTTGCCAGGAAGAGTCAAAGAACTCACACTCGGGGATCCGTACATGGCCAGCAAGTCGCTTGAAGCGACGTGGATCACGACACGCGAAGTGCATGATCGTGGTCAGACGTAGCAATGGTTCATGTGCTTCATTGAAGGCAAAAGATGAAGACTTCCCCTCGGCGCGGCTTGACAACGCACAGAATCCTCCGCCCACGACAGCTGCTTCTCTTCACAGGCTTGGGAAGATTCTCGGGTCATCTCGTGGTGATGATCGCACCTATGATCGTGCGCATGAGCGTCGCGTTGCACCAGCGAGATAACAAAGTGGATCAAGACCACTCTGATACGAGCCCGGAGATCAGGACAGTCGATGCCGCACTGATGTTAAACGAAGTCGGAATTGTCGTGGCAGACAACGTGGAGCACGAGCAGGGCGGGCGCGGCACCGAGGAACCAAGTGATCCGGCACTACTTCTTCTTCGTGAAAAGAGGACCACGACCAAGCCGTTCACGCGCGAAACTTCTCGTGACGCCCGCGCAGCTTCCAGTTCATCTCTGGTGGCGATTGACGCCGACAGCAGCACTACGGTTACGGACGCACCTTCAAAACCAACAGTTGTTGCCGATGGTGAACATCTTGATCCTCCAGAAATGAGAGTATCGAAGTCCTCACGATTTCTGCGTAGCGAACGACGACACGGTGTGCAGCAGGAGGAGTCCGAGTTCTTGGACACACCAATTCGGAATCAGGTTGACGAGGACGGACGCGCGCTAGTGCCCGCAGATGATGTTGACCTTAACCACCTGACAGAGGAACAAACTTCTGGTCGCACTCGTTCAGCTTCATCAGGGTCAGACTCAGACTCAGATCCACCTCGACCCGCAGCTGCAGAAGGACCAGACCAGGAGCAGGCTCCTCGGGGGGTAGTACTAGAGGCCGATCAAGATACAAAAAACCGACGAAAAATAGATGAACAAGAACATTACAACAGCCAACGTCAGGATCTCGTCGTGCCACCTGCTCGGTCACGAAGGTCCTCCCTGTCCTCACTTGTTGTAACAAAGTCAAAGAGTGGAACCGCAAGTAGAACCACAGGAACGAACGTGTGCGTTCCGAAAACGGACTATCCCGACAGCTTTAACGGGTGTATTGTGAACTACCAAGACGCGGGCACCTGCGCTGCTGCGAATTACAACAATATGCCTGCCGGTACCTGCCATTACATCGATGAGGATGACCGATGGAGGTTGCTCTGGTACCGGTGCTACTCCTATGCCCTCCTTGCCAACCCAGACCCAACAAAAAAGTTTAAAAACAGTGAGTACAATCTGTGTCGCACAAGTTGCATCGATTTCTTTACCGCCTGCTTCAAGAACACCACTAGCGGCGCCAGTCCCCCACCCGACCTGGATACGGTGAACTTCTTTAGTACAGATGAAACGGAGCCGTCCCCTATCCTGTGTAAAAACTTCCGCGCCTCATGGTCATTTTGCTAGACACGTCAAGAACATCATGTTTCGGCTGCAGCGCAAAACAAGTTTGTGGTCGCAGGGCGGTTGTCACTGTGATGTTCAGATGTTCCTGGTGCTGGTGTAGACGCATTACGAGTCGATCACTTTGGTCCGATGCTAGCGCGACGAGCTTCCAGATAGCGTTTAGAAACTGCGCCACACAACGAGGCTGCGCATGAGAAGTGCTTTAGCTTTACGCCAGCACGCGATGTTTTTTTGCGGTGTTGACCCTAGGTAGACCGCCTGTGTCTGCAAATTGCTTCCGGCGGCGGTGCAAGGTTCTGGATGAAGAGTTGCACTCGGGTACTTAATATCATGTCTGTCAAATCTAGGGTGGGGTTTGGGACCACGTGGGGAAGACGTTTTTACACAGGATATCCCCCATGCTGAACAGCACGAGCAATACTAAGGCAGTCTGCCAGAAAACCGCCGGGTCGGACTGCGAGACCAAGTTGGCTACTTGGGTGACCAACTGCGGCCCGACCAGCACGTACGCGAGCTACTTCGCACCCACTACGGTGCAAAAGCCCGGCGAGTACGAAACCCTTTGCCAAGGCACGACGACCACTACCACGACCACCACTAAGGTTCCTGGGATGATGAAGTGTCTGCCCTACAAGTACCCTTCCTCCGCGTTCGGCACCTGCGGAGTGAACGGCCCGCCCCTGACAATGAGCGCGACCGCGGCCAGCTGCGCGGCCATAGTCACGAGTAGCTCGAGCTCGACTTCTGCGGGAAGTTGCTTTTTCCTGAACGAAGACGACAGGTGGAAGTTGCTTTGGTATCGGTGCTATGCATCGCAAAAGCCGACTTCGTACTAGTATGAAAATACGGGCTCGGGCGTTTTTGCAAGTTGTTATGCCGAGATGAACTCAAAAAATGTATGTAACTCATCATCTTGCTAACAGATAAAGTAGAACAAGAAACAGGCAGCTGTCATGCGTGAAGATTGATAAAAAACAATTTGGCTAGTTCTTCGATGACTTCTACGGTCATAGGAAAGTACTTTTGCAATGCATAGCAGCTACACGTTCTCCCTGAGAAACAACCACGGGACCCAGATGTTTTGTGCAGGAGAAATAGAGGGCTGCACGCGGCATTGCCAAAACTTTTTCACAGACTGCTACAAAGACGAAGCCGGTGCGGAGTTTGATCCAGTGAACTTTTTCAGTACGGACGAAACAAAGTTGCTGCCCATGCTGAACTATGAATTGGATAAAAGGCATCTTGGTGTTGGGGTACTTGATCTGGAAAAAAGTTCTATAGCAGAGCTTGATGATGTGGTGGCGCAGCTCACCTCTTGCTCTTGGTCATTTATATATGATTTGCATTCTGCAAGTGCAGCCAGTTGTTGATCTATACTGTGATTCCATTCTTTATTGAGAATAGCGGTTTCATCATAATATAATAATGCGACAACTGACGACAGATGGTGATGGCTACGGTGCGAATTTAGTAGTGAAGCCCAAAGATTAAAATTCGAGATCACGACCAGCTGCAAAAACAGCTGGCGCTACCATTCACATTAGGGTCGTCCCGCAACATTGTAGAAGATGCCCTACTTCTTGCACTTCATACCAGTAGCACAACCAATGCCACCTGCGCGAATACTCCTTCGTCGATGTGTGAGAGCAGGCGGTCAACATGGTTCAACGCCTGCAGCAGCAGCTCCACTGGGACACTGGCTTCCATGCTGGCAGCGAGTGCGAAAGCAAGTGTGGATCTGTACACAACCTCACTATGCCCGGAAGTGACCACCACATCCACCACGACGACTACAACTACGAGCACCACCACCACGACATCGACGACAACCTCCACGACGTCGATTACAACCACAACTTCGACGACCACGACGACCACGACATCCACGACGACCACAACATCTTCAACGACGACCACAACGTCCACGACTTCAACAACGACAACGACAACGACGACCACAACGTCCACGACTTCAACAGCGCCAGCGCCGGACCCGACCACCGAGCAGGTTCAAGTCCCGCTGGACCGGTTTCTGTGGACGGCGTCGCAGGGCTCGGGTGATCTGGACCAGTGGAGCAAAGCGGACGCACCTTTCAAGTACGGCGAACAGCGGGAGCAGTGCCCCGCAGACGCTCTTATGTCTATGTACCCCAAAAAGTACGGGTACGTTCTCTCCACCACCAAAGCGACTGACGAAACAAATTGCTGCAGCGCTATGTTGGAAGCGTCAGCTTGGAAAACTGCAAAGTGAAACGCAAGCGCTACTTTGTGATGCATAAAATGCGAGGCACCTAGAGCTTGTCTTGCAGAGAAAGCAAGTGCCGCCGATTGTAAGCCTGTCTAGGGTGATTGTGATACCTAGTGAGATAGAGCTGGAGATGCGAAGGAGCATGACGTGTTGAGCGGTCTTCTTTGCCCGAAGCAAACAGTTAGCACGACAGATCGGATGCTGTACTGTAGTCGCTTTCGAAGTTTGTCGTGCGCCACTTAGGAAAAGGGATGCAGATGTTGGGGGTCATCAATTCGGCCTCTTCAATTTTAAGATCCATGGCAAACTACTTAAACTTATGCTTTTTTTTATTTTGCAAATTTCCAACCTGACACTTCCATAAGCGCGCAGAATAGCGCGGATATGGATGGGAGCTATTGGTGGGCGGCAGGTTTGAAAAATGGCGCGCAGAGGTACATTTCGCACATCCGGCTCTACAACCGCAAGCACTACGAGGCGGATTTGAATCACGCAACTTTGATCATTGACGGTGACGCGGCTGCGGGGACGGACATTGGCGTGATCTCTTCCGCCGAAGCCGACCTGGCTGTTGGCCTGTTCGAGACCGGCGGCACTGTGCTAACCATTGGCAAAAAGTTGAACAAGGTCCGGATTACGAAAGCTGGGACGCCGTTCAGCATCTGTGGTGTGTTTTTTTTTGGCTACATGGACGAATTTCCGGACGCGAGTTTGGTCGCGACGCAATCCTCACAGTATCTCCAGTATTCAAACAACCTGCATCACGCGCAAGTGGCGATTACGAACCAACTTGGAAAGTTCCCCGTGGAAACATCGCACACCTATGCCAACGGTGTCGAGTTTTGGCAGCTGGAGTTCGCGGACGGGCAATCGCACTGGGTCGAGCAGGTCCGGCTGGTCAACCGTGGCGATTGCTGCCAAGATCGCGTCAACAAGCTGTATGTGTACTTCGACACCGCCGCAGACCAAGATCCGTATCAGAGTGCACAACGACTTGTAGTCCCCCTCCCCTCGCTTAAAGGACGTGTTGACTGAGCCACAAGCAAGGAATGGCGCCGGCAGAGATGTATCATGGTGCAGCACATCAGTGCTGCCCGGCCCCTGCTTGACAAGCGCAAAGTCGCGCACGGGTCGCACTTCCGTCTGGGGTCGTTCGAATAAATTGGTCATGATGTAGTGGCATCAACAAGCCGCGAGCCAAGCAGCACAACACTCGGTTTGGGGATTCGGCACAGTGCTGCATGACAAGTGTTGACGCCGAGGAGGTGAAGACCAAGACGTCGTTTACTCTACTCATAAGACACCAACCGCCGGAACCCAGGCATTTGTGTTGAATGACGGAACGCGCACGGTTGACGGGGCAACCGAGATTAGCAGTACAAAATTGCTGGGGACGATGGTGCGAATAGAAAGGACTTTTCGCAAAATGAAACTCGCCACCACGTCCGGGCCTGATTACATCAATCTACAAGGAGTCAACGTCTACTTTCGGGTGAGCCTGAGCGTTCTGGCGCCGACAACCTCCACGAGCACAACGACAACCACAATATCCACGACAACCTCCACGACGACCACGAGTTCTACCACAACCACGACGAGCACAAGCACCACGACTAGCACCACAAGCACCACGACTAGTACAACGAGCACCACGACTCGCACCACAAGCACCACGACTAGTACAACGAGCACCACGACTAGTACAAGTAGCACCAGCACAACTACTAGTAGCACAAGCACAACAACTAGTAGCACCAGCACAACGACTAGTAGTACCAGTACGAGCACCACGACTAGTACTACAAGCAGCACGACTACCTCAAGCAGCACCACTACGACCAGCACTACGACCACCACGACGACAACCACAACAACGACCACGACAACGACCACCACGACAACGACCACGACTACAACCACCACGACTACAACCACCACGACTACAACCACCACGACTACAACCACCACGACAACTACGACCACCACTACGACGAGCACTACGACAACAACCACGACTACCACAACCACTACGACGACCACAACCACTACGACGTCGACCACTACAACCACTACGACGACGACTACGACCACTACGACGACGACCACCACCACGACCTTCGAAGTCAATACTACACTCGCAGGCGGCGACGTCGGCGCAAGGGCAGGTCTCGAGAGGGAGACCGCGGAGGACACCCAAGATGAGGAGGGGAAGAACGCCGACAAATTGCAGAACTCTGTCATCGCGGGCGTATCGATTCTATTGTGCATACTTCTGGCAGTGATGGCGACCCGCGAAAACCACGACGCTGGCGTAGCGGAAAAGGAGGGGAAAAAGGATCATCTTGGGAATAGTGGCGTCAAAAAGAAGAGTCGCGGAAGCAAAACTTCGAAAAAGAAAAAAAAACACACGGACGAGGAGAGTAGCAGCGACGAAGACAGCGACGACGATTCTTCTAGCAGTGACGAAGGCGATTCATCCGACGTCGATGAGGACGAGGACGGCGCTGCACCCACAGAAAACGGAAAAACTGTGTCAACAAGTGTAGGGGCGTCAGCAGTGCAGCTCGGTGGTGCGAGCGGCTCCTCGGCCGTAGGTGTAGGTGGAAGCAGCAGAGCCGGAGCGTCGGCTGCCACAGAAGCTGGGACGAACAAGAATGCCAGCACTGGCGGTGCCGGAAATAAGAGCGTGTGTGCGGCGGCTTCGGGTACAGCTGGTGCAAAAGAAGTTGATGGGACGTCGGCCAACGCCTCCGGGGCTAGTAACGCAGACAACATCCGAGGCTCTGCAGTCAATGTCGGAGGGAGCGGACGGCACATGCGCGATAATTCGTCCATGGCTCTGGTGGGCGACAACGCAGACTCTATGCGACAAGGGTCTGGAAGGATGAACAACAGCTCAACAAGAACATCCTCGTCGGCCATCGGTGGGAGCTCAGCAACCGGGATGAAAACAAGCTCGTCCTCCGCGGTCGGTGGGAGTGCTGCGATAGGAGGGGGTAGTGCAGCTCTGGGTGGTAATAGTGCGGCAATTGGACGAGGGAGTGCGGCTGTTGGCGGAGGTAGCAGTGCGGCTATTGGAAATAGCGCGACTGCTGTCGGCGGCAACAGTGCGGCTATTGGAAGTAGCGCCGCGGCTGGCAGTGCAGCGATAGGTGGGAGCGCAGCTGTGGGCGGCAGTGCGGCAGCATCTACAGCGGCAAATAGCAGCCACCAGCCACAGAGGCACTCTCAATTGCCTCAAGCTGGGGCAGCTGGAGCACCAAAAGGGCCAAAATAGATGACGGGCACTGTTATTCTCATTTCGACGTAACAAACATGTAAGATAAAGATTCTGTAATTGCATTTTTCTTGTTTCTTGACTTTTCCTGTGGAAAACCAAAACGCAAAACAAAACTCGGCTATAAAGGCCTACCATAGCCACAGCCATAGGCAAGAACCGAAGCCAGGACTGCACGACCTAAAATAAAACTGTCGCCCTCGTCTATAGCAACGATGTTCCTCTCGCCTGTCCCTTTGGGGAAAGAAGAAATAGGAGGAGCAGGGCGGAGAAGGCTCTGCTTGCAGTTTCGTTCACTTTCATCTCATACCAGCTAATCGTAATCTTAACAAAAAGATCGTTGTTCACGATTCTCGTGCGCTCTGCCGTGCGGTGATGTCGTTCCCGTTGTCGTTCCCGAAGATTTCTTGTAGTTTACGAAGTTTTATGGTGTGGCTTCGTACGAAACTATCTCGTGCTTGTCGTTCACGTTCTCGTGCTTCTGCGTTTATCTTTCTTGAAATTGTCGATGCTTTCGTATTGATTCGTCCGCTCGTACCTTGTGTACTTGACTTTTACCTGTTGTTTGTCGTCGTCGCCGCGTTTCTTTGGTGAGTTTTTGCGACGTTGTTCTCGGGAAGGAAAAGGAACCTAAATTTCCAACTTTTTCTACCGTCACAAAATCGCCGGGTAGTTGTACCATAGTTATCATCCCCAACTGACATAGAATTTTTACCTTGATGCTGCTTTACATTATTACCTCCTCCTTCTTCCCCCCACCGAACTCGAATTTCTTTGTGTCTCTGCTTCATCGTCCCATGAAGAAAGAAATCTTCTGAAGTTCACTACCCATCTTCATCGAGATTTTTACCTACAGTAAGTAAAAATACTGAACAAAATCATGTCAAGAACTACGCTCTGAACTGGATGCGTGTGTTTTATTTTGGTCGTGTTCAACCACAGCCGCGGACCACGACTTGTTTTTCTGTGACGTGGAGAACAGCAGCAGTAGATGACGAAAGGCTTTTCCAGCAGTAGTAACGCTGCCAGTAGGTGGCGAAAGTTTGCTGGCATCTTACGTGGAGAACAACAGTACCTGTACCAGTAGGTGACGAAGGACTGCGTTGGCGGAAATAAAGTTTCTGAGGGAACCAGCTTCGGTGGCTCGTTCTTTCGACTGCGCGAAGATGAGGACAGCAAATATTTACAGCTCCAAGAATCGGGAACGGGAACGGCGCCGGCTTCAGCCGTCGTTCTCATCTGGAACACGCCCACGCCTACCTCCGGGTGGCGGGCTTGTAGGGGTCGCCAGGGGCTGTGCATCAATCCTCGGAACGACGACGACGGCTTTGTTCCACCTTCCCTCTATTACGACAGCCGTGTCCATCGCCAAAAGCAAAAGTAACATAGGAACTTCGGGGGCTCCTGCTTCCAGTAGAACTGGGAAGGACAGAAGTGAAGTTCCTACATCTAGTACAACTGGTGCTTCCACCTCATCTAGAAGGGCAACATCTTCCGGCACGAGCTTGTTGGTGCAAAGTAAGCAGGGGCGGGCTACTTCTTCAGAAGTGACCGCCGCGCCGTCAAAGCGACACACAGGAGGTCCTCACTGCTTTTGAAGAAGGCGACGAGCAGAACCCACGAGATGTCAACGGAACAAGATGAGTTACCCATGATCGGAACGCAGAAGCACGGAACAGGCCGAGGCACCGCAGAAGAGTTGTGGTCCACCGCAGACGTCGGTGGAGGTCCCTCGCGAGGACCACTGTCGGAAAACTTAGTTTCGAAACGGAGCAGTGCCACATCTTCTAGACAGCCGGCAGAGATGTTGACTAGCAAAGGGGCCACGTTGAAGATGTTGCCAGGTGAAGCTGGGAGGACCTCAAGAACGAGGCAGACACGGAAAAGAATAGAAAAGCTACCAGATGAAGGGATTTTACTTACGCGACCTGCTCGGAACAGTGTGAATTTTCTACAACACAGTATGAAAAAGGTAGTTTTAGTTCGGCGAGGAGAAAGACGGATGGTTGCTTTAGCAAGAAACAGCACGACGACTTCTGATGAAGTTGCACATCAAGAAGACCTCCAAGAAAGTACAGCCATGACGCCGAATAAGACGGATACGGCGACAGCCTCGGCGGTAGCGGGAACAACCGGAGGCATACACGACTCTCACTTTGCGTCTCCAGCTGCACCGGGCGCGCAACAAAAGCAGCCAGGACATCCATCAAGAGCTCCGAAACGACCACGACCGGGAGTGCTGCTGCATGGTGACGTTCTTACTTCGCAGGATGGTTTGCGTTTGCCTGCAGAAATAGCTAGTACTACGGCAAACCAGGATCATTCCAACGAGTTTCTCGCCTCCTCCGTCCAGACCACCACGGAACAAGACGGTGAAATCGAAGATCCTGCGAATTGCGCGAGGGATTTTGTGAACCCGAATCCGTGTGAGGAACAAGGTCTACAGACCAACAAGCACTACACAGCGTATTTCGAGTATAGGAATCAGGTTCAGAGTTGGTGGATGCCATTCGTGCAGGAGCTGCCGATTTTGAGCCAAGAAGTGTGGACCAACGTCCCCAGGAGCAGTGCCACGGAAGAGAACAACAATGTGCTCTCAGCGGACAACTCGGAGTTGATAGACCACGTCTGTCACCACGAATACCGCCTGGAGGGCATCATAGGCCAGAACGGGTTCGATGTAAACGCGACAAAGGAATTTTTCCACCAGGAACAACAGCTTTTGCAGGAAATAGATGAGGCGATGAAGCAGGACGATGCGAGGCACGACATTGTGGAGGAATGGAAAGGCGATCTTTACGAGTTGCGGCAAGGGTTTCACAAGGACACTTTAGAGACGGAGCGCTTCGTCTACGAGCACTGCGAGGCGCTCTGCTTGGGAAACGACCGGTGCAAGGCGTGGGTGTATTTCATTTTTGACGAAAAGGAAAACGACGAGTTTCAGCACCAAGAGATGAGCACGACGGCGATGGAGACGATGAACACGTGGACCACGACTGATGGTGAGAACGACGGGACGAGTCGTGACCTCCAGCACGTCCTGGTGCCGCCAGATCAGCGGTGGTGCGACTTCTACTCAAAGTGTGACGAGAAGGTGTCTATGTTTGACTACGTCGACCAACGCGACGGCGTGCACTCCTCGCTTCGCGAGCCGGCCCAGCTCGCGAACCTCAGGACGACCCGGATCTACGAAAGAAAAAACCACGTGGTAGGTGATGACAGCACCACCGCGCCGGGCAGTGTTGAGAGCGACGATGATGTGAACCTGGACGACCAAGAAGGAGAACAGGACCAACCACAGGAGTCAGATCAGGTGGGGGGTGCGCTAGCTGTGCCCAGCACTTCCGACGAACAAGATGAAAAGGCTACTACAGCTGCAGATGAGGAATCCGCCCCAAAAGACGGCGAGAAGGACGAAGAATCTGGTGCAGGATGCAACAAAACCTACTTGATGATTGGCGTTGGCGTCGGCGTGTTCCTTCTTGTGGCCGCGGCAGTGTTCAACGTGGTGGTAGGGAGCTCGGAATCCGAGTACGCAGTGGAAATAAATCTTCAAGCGTTCTTATTTTCCAACCAGGTGCAGTTGTGCAACTTCCATTATAGTATAAACAGATCACATGGACATGCATTAGCTGTGACCTCTGAAGGACAGCATAGAAGTTGTAAAGCGTGCCGGTGTTTCTGCATGTTGGTTCCAGACGACAACGAGTACCTAGCAACATGATGCTAGTATAAAAATGTCAATGTTCTTGCCAGCGATAACGGCGACGAAAAAAATGCAACTGAAGCAGATGAACCAAAATGAGCTACAAGGATTATAATCGACGGCACTCAGAGTCAGAGATGAAGATGGAGTACCACTTTATTTCGCGGAAAATCTAAAACGCATGATATAGCCAGTTTTCCCTTGCATACCTGACTGCACAGCATTCGGATGACGCCGGAAGAAGAAGAAGAGAAGATGCTGCTGTCTGCGGCAAACCGTGGAAACTACGAGCTCTCCACACAGCAGAGCATGCTGGGATCCAAGTTTGCGGCCCTGACGTCTACAGAAGCAGCCGACCTGGAAGGGGCGGAGGCCAACATGAATCCGGGTTCGGGTCTGCTGACCTTGACCAGTGCGGGTGGGACGACGACGACGACGACGGGAACTGCGCAAGGAAATAAAAAGAAGCTCCTGGCCCATCAAAGACGGCGGGCCGCGGCGGCGGCGCGGGCGAGGATTTTGGAAAAGAACGCGAGTACTAGCTCCAAGTTGAGCTCGCCGGGGGCGGCGGTGGACAATCAAGCGGGAGCGGTTCCTGCAACTGCAGAAAGAGATCTCTTCCTGTCCGACAGCGGGTCATCAACATCTTCTGCCCCAGCTACGAGCGACCTGGCCTCGACCTCTGCTTTTGTACCCCAACCTCCCCCGGAAAACCTTCTACAGTCGGGGCTGGAACTACACGCCGGCGCAGCGTCGACACCAGCAGGTGGATTAAGAACCCCACCTTCACGGGCATCTTCAAGTGCAAATAGTAATCCAAGCTCGCAGGCGGGTCCTGCGTCCGTGGTGAGCTACATCAAGGGTCCCACGTCGGTGAGCTACAGCAGATCTCGCTCACCGGCATCTTCTAGTGCAATAAACCTGAGTTCGCAGGCGGGTCCCGCATCAGTAAGCTCCTACAGAGCTCGCGCCAAAGCAAAGCGAGCACCTTCATCTCAGCGAATAAAGGGCGGCGCCGGTGCTGGTGAGAAAGGTGGTGCCGCTGGTGTCCGAGCTCCGAGCGACGGGACAGTAGAACCGATTCATCTGCCGTCGAGAAGCGGCGAGAAAGGAGGTGTCGGAGGTTTCGACCAGCAAAATAATCCGACGTAGTGAGGCTTCTTGATATTATAGATATTTGCGGAGTCGAGCACTTTGACTTTTTCGATTTGTATGAAAAAGTGCATTTATGTTTATGTAGATAAGTCCTCTCTATCATTTTCATTTCCCAAACCCCGCAGTTTTTAGTTTTTTGTTTGTCCTCTGAGTAAAAACGTGTGCAAAGTATAGTTGCTATGATATGCTTTCCCCCATCAACATGATTTCACTTATCGAGAAATGACACTTTATATGTAGTTGCACATGCTCGTGTGAGATCTAATTTGTGCTGCGAAGATTCCTTGAGCGGCTTTTGGAGGCTTTTTGCTGTAACGCTTCAGAAAACTTAAAGTTACTCAACTCCTTTCTTTGTCTTTCCCCTGTATAATTCCTTTGATGTTTACTCCGACGCCTTAAACGTCGCACTCCATCGCTGCCGTTTTGAAAGGAGTTGTTCCATATCCGTCTCGCAGCCGGCAGACTTGCGTCTTTCCTTGTTTGCATTTCTTTGGCTCGTCCTGCGTCGATCATTCATTCATCTTGTGGTCATCTTCGCGACGATCATACTGGTTTTTGATGTTGTGCGTGGTGCTGATCATTAACGGGTTCGCCTTCGCTCATTTTCCTCCTTCCAAAATGAAATCAAAATGGTTCATCTTCCGGATCTGTTGAAAAGAATCTGATGCGACGAATTTCCTGTATCAAACGCATGCGCATCCGTGTTGTCGGTCTCTATGTATTTTTGTTGGACTCGTTGGAGATGAACGAAAAAGTATTTTTTCGTGTCATGTACTTGTGTTGCAGTTGCTGTTGTCCTTGAGGGATCTATTCATCATCGTCACAGAGCTTGACGAAGCGGCTGAAAGATAAGATTGGGATTTTATCACCTTCTACACGCATCTGCATGCTAACCTCCTCCAAAAATTCATCATCTGCAAACAAGATGGCGTACAACACACTATCGTTAGAACTAGAAGAGGAGTTGGATCGTCGTCTGGAATCCCAGTCCACAGTGGGTATGGAAGTGCACCATATCAACCCCCCCCCCTTTCCATCATTTTTTGAAGGGCGTCATGGGCAGCAACAGCAACAATGGCAGTGGTGCGTTCTTGCGTGACAATGCTGTGTAAAGCATTCTTGTAGTACTGTTTGACGTTCGAAATGTTTCCTTGTTGTGTTGCAGAGAGTCGTCTTCGTCCTTACCGGTAGGATTTGAAATCGGTATTTTGCAGTATTCAGAAATGAGGGTTGGGTCCATGTGCACTCGCATACGGTCGGTATCTATGATCGAAGGCATCACGGGTGGAACCATTTCGAGCGATACGTTGCGCAACTCCAGGATCCGCCCGGGAGACCGTTTTGGGCGGGCTTCCGGGAGAGACAATCCCTACGCCGACGACATTTACGGGGAGAGGGTGGAGCGTGACCGTGAGCAGCAATATCGAGACACAATGCTGCGCTGCTGGGCGGCCGAGGTTGCATATGACCGTGCACAACTCCCCCTCCCCCTCATTTGTCATGCAAAATACCCAATCCACCCTTTGCCTCTTTGCACTGTTTGCATGACAAGTTCTGGTAGCGGCCCAAGTTGCACTATAATCCAGTGCAAATTTGTCATGCAGGGCCGGCATTCTTGCCGATGCTTGTATTGCTGTTCATGCCATACAAATGAGGGGGAGGGGGAGTTGTGCACTGTTATATCGCAACGGGTGCTTGTTCTCCTCTCGTCGGTTTCGAGCAATGGTTCGTCCGTGAACAAGAACAGATTAAGACGAATGAAGGTACTATGCCTATGCCTCTTTGTCTTTGATATTGATTTGACTGCGTAGTACAACGCGTATGCAAGACCATGCGCGTTTTTGTCCTAGGAAGGCGGCCTCCGCTTCGGAGGTGCGGCAAAATCTCTTGTAGAAACATTACATCGAACTACAGCCGAAATTTTATGGAGATAAATTCAACAATCAAATAGAAATACAAACTTACTTTCGACAACAATGCAGCAGAGTATAATGGGGAAACGCAAATTTACTGTCAAAGCCGGTCGGGCGCGGCGTCTTTCTCGTGCTCCAGCTATCCCAGAGAGAAAGGCTGGCAGGTGATCTACATGTCTGTAGTTTTAATGCAAAGTCAGTGCCAATAAAAGCAAAACGACAAATAAATCTGCAAAACAAGAAGTTCTCTTGCACAAAAACCTAAGTAGAAGTAGAGCAGCATTCTATGGCCTCGCCCATGACAGATTTTCCCGCGTATTCATTTCTGCAACACAAGTACATGTACGGCCTGCCATCTTTTTCCTTTGGGATACCACCGCCCGGTCCCGCTCTACCACCCCGACTTCGCCGGCCGACTCCAGGTCCAGCACCCGCTCGCGCTCTACCCCGACGTCTGCGGTGGAAAGATTGTCTCGAGGACCGATCATGTTGAGTTTGACTAAGAATCAGCCGGTCACAACTACTATCGATGCAATTGAGAATCACTGTCGTGATGAAGATCATGCGCATTAAGTCCTTATGAATCAACAGCTGGGAGCAAATGAATCCACAACTGGCTCAATAAAACCTGTTGTACTCTTGGAGTTGTCGACGTAATCATCGTAATTTTCTTGTCACGCGAACGCGTTATGGCCACACTGTCATATCAAATATATAAGACATTTTCAATTATAATGCTGGAAAAACGGAGGTGCACCAGAATCAGAAATCGATGACACAAATCTAGAGAAGATTTATCACACCAAAAATACCAAGTAGCTGTTTTGATCCACTTACGCATCGCGAAGCTGTTTTTGCGAAGTCTAAGGATCGGGAGTGATTTAAGAAAAAAAGTAGCCACAAAGAGCAAGATGAGCCACAGTATTCGTTTTTGGAAAGAAAACGGGAACACCGAGGACTTTTGCTGAAAGCTTCAAACAAGACGTAGCGTCCACGACAACCACGACGTGTTTGTAGGGCAGGCGACCTTATTTCACGACGTCAATCATACTATTGGTACGGAGTATTGATCCAGAAGAGAGAGGGAATGAGTCATGAACGTGATTCATTTCAGAATGATAGTGGTCGCTGACGTCGAGTCTGAGTTTGGGCGCGTTTGTCTCCATTGTTCTGGTTTGCACGTCGTTGCGAACAAGCCATCATGTGCACAGATTCGAAAAGCAAATCCGCAGATCATGTTTTTTGAGGAAGTTGTGTAAGTTTGTCGTGATGGAACGGTGTAAAAGGCGATAACAAGGGCTCCTCTGGTCGACGAGAGTGAGTAAGTAAATGCAGCTGTCACTGCGTTGATCCGAGTATCATGGAGAAGGAAACTCTTTTGATGTTGCATTCGCGAGAACTGCACGTAGGTACGGAGTATGATAATGTGAGTTGTAACGTAAAAGAAGAAGAACTAGGCGCTTTCGCTCGCTCGCGCGCCTAGAGTTCGATGTACTGTAGAGCTACTCCAAGCTGCGATGTGTACTAGCCGACGATCGCCGAGACGCGTCGAAGAATATCAAAGGAGATGAAAAACCTCTTCGATCATCGCATCATGCATCCGAACTCATGGTCATTGACACTCATAGAAAGCTTAAACCTGTTTTTTCATGATTTCGTTTTCGCCATGCTGGTTGATTGACTCTCTCTTGCTCTTCATGAAAGAATATGGGCATTTGTTCGTCCTTTGAAAAAATGCACGCCATAGCTTCGTCTTGTAAAAAAAAAAGTTCTACTTCTAAGGTCTTTTTTGTGATATTTCAACTCTGTGTGAAAGACAAGAACGTAGTTGTATATCGTTTTCTCAGAAATAGATACTCATGTGATCCTATTGTGAGAAGTACTAATACTAAAAAAGTTTTAGTTGTAGTTGAGCAGCAGTCGTATTCCACCTCGTCGCGTATAATCCTATTCCAATAGCAATATCCTAGGACAACTATTGTCTCGCATTACGAGGAGACCACCACTGCTGCAAAATCACGATGTTTGGTTTTGCGTTGGATCGCGATTTGAAGTTCCAGCTCTCCACTGAGATCTATGAGGAGCCCCGCGGCCACGAGAACCGGGTGACCGACATTACCTTGCTCGCCCAGCGGGAATTCCGTCTGGAGAACGAGATTTCTCGCGAAGAGTGCCGCTTCTATTCCTACCTGACGGGTGTCACCACGCCCCAGCCCAGCGATGGAGCGGACTACTTCAACGCCAGTACTAGAATCGGAGGGAACGGCATGGCGGGCTACTTCGGCAGGGAAGACATGCACGCACGGAAGAAAGTGGTGGATAAGATGCAAAAGGACTCTGACTTTCCGACGCACTGCATGCGATGCCGCAAGGACATACCGGTGAAAATGTACCAGAACTTCGTCGAAGGTACTCACATTAGCGACGACTGATAGTACGATATAATGGTGTTCGTAGTTCATTTGTTCCAAAGGCGGGGGCTCGGCCGGCGCAATGATGATGATCATTCATTCTTGAAGCACTAGTAATATCACTTTGGTTTGACGAACTACATAAATATGATAATGATAGACAGAAAGAAAATCTTCTTCAGTTGTGCAACCGAACCCCTGCAAAAAGGAGTGCCCGCACGGACCCTTTTGCAACCAGTGCGTCGCGGCGATGATGAAAAACACGCTCCCCTTCTGCCACATCTGTAGTGGACAAGCTTCCGGATTCCGAAACTTTGGCGAGGAAGAAGTGGACCATTTGCTTGGGAGAATAGCGTACTGTTCTGACCTTCTCGTTTTTCAGACTGCCGATTGTTTCGAGGGTTTTTTCACACAGCTGCTGCATAATCCCATCATAAATTTGAGATCATAATATGTGTCGTTGCTTCTTCTACTTCTACTGCACTGCTGGAGGATATACTTTCTGATTTTAGTGAAACGCGGACCTTATGTCTTATGAAACAAACATCACAGCGGAATACCAGGCGACATAGAAGTAGCTGGTCTTGCTGGGTCTTCAAGTGCAGCTTGTAGCAGTTCTGCCTCTTCTTCGAGCACGTCTTCGAAGAAACCTACAGGCCGTGCGGAGGTCGTTGTTGCAGCTCCAGCTACAACGTCGATTTTTCCACAAGAACCGGCCGCGAAGTTGCTGGACCGATGGACTCCTGATTTGCTGGCGAAAATGCTGCTGTACATCTCGACCGCACCACTACCCGAGGATGCAGATTTAGAAGGCGGTAGAATAAATGATGAAAAGCAGGAAGATCACGATGACCACGTGGAGGGCGATCAGCAGGCGCCCGAACCGTCCGAGGATGTTGTCATCGAACTTTCATCATCGTCATCATCTTCATCGTCTTCTGCAATCGAAAATAACGAAGAGCCGACCACAGGTGGAGGAAAGAAGAGCAGGAGTAAAAACGGGACCACGAGTGCGGGCGCTTCGTCCAGGAACAAGAAAAAGAATTCGAATGATCAGGAGTCGAATTATTCCGCAGAAGCAGAACCGAAAGAAAACGCTGCGAGTTCTTGTGCGAAGAACCAAGAGGAGATGAATCCTAAGACGAGAGAACAAGCAACGCCATTCGACGACGCGACTACCGCTAGAACAACAAAAAATGACAGCACTTCGAAAATAGTCGGAATCCCCTTCCACTTGAAGTCCTGTTTGGTTAACTCGTTGCTGACGCGGAAATCCGAGCTAGACTTCGAAACTTTCGTGAAAGAAGTTTTGGAAAAACGCGTTGCGGTGCTAAAGTACAACGCATTTCCACCCGACACACCTATACTGGTGGGAGACGACGACACCGCTCCCGGGCCGCCACTCGAGGTAGCAGGAGAAGTTGCCGCCGTGCATATTAGGAATAAACCGAGTTGTCAGCAATCCCAATCCATCCCTCTATCCGCAATAATAGCAAACGGCGAAGCGGACACTTCGGATGCCACGACTAGCTCCAACGGCAAGGGTGGATCGAGCTCTGCGTCTGCCAGTAGCTCGAGTACAACGACCTCCGCATCTGGCGAACTGCAGGGCAGCTTGCATACGCAAAAAAATAACGGTGCTGTCAGTACTACGTCTTCCGTCGCTGTGCAGGAAATCAATGCTGGCGTTGGAAGATTGGACCTCCGTTCCAATGGAGGTCCCCCGGCGCACGTAGAACATGGTCGGGAAATCACCCCCGACGTGAATGAAGAGGACAGCGGCTGCAGTGACGAGGAAGGAAACGCGCCAGATGACGAACCTGCGCTCCAGCAGAAAAAAGCGAAACGGCAGCGGGTTGCGTGATTTGAAGTAGTTGTGACAGTTGCACAGATGAGGATTTTTTGAATATGCGTAGAAATGAATATAAGTAGATCTCCTCAGAGATGGCACTTCCACTTGTGAGTTTCTGTTGGTTGTAAACGACGACAAAGCTGATGGAGCGGCGGGCACCATAGAGCAAAAATGTTGAAGTGTCTCGTCTCTTGTTGCGACTTCATCAAAAATAGCTGAAATTCATTGTTTTGTACTTCTTGAAAATTATAAAGGGCTACAGGGCCATCTTAGCCTTTCGATATCTCCGACTGTCTAGTAACTGCTGCATCGACACCATGTATTCCAAAACTCAACGAAATTTCGTGCGCACAAATGCTACCGAGTGCTCCTTTTCTTGTATCAATCATTCTAACTTGGCGACATTTTGCTGTAGCTAGTGCGTATTTCGCAAGAAGAACGTTCGATCGCACCGTAATAAGTACCTTCTGTTGTTGCTTGTTATCGTTATGCTATGTTGCAAAAACTTTCCATCTCTTATGTTGGGACGTCTTGCAGATGCAGTTGCTCCTGGTCCTCTTCATGGAGCACTACTACCTTGTGGTCAGGCTCACCACAAAAAGACGCGACGCAAATTAATTGCCGAATGCATTTAACTTCGCAAATTTTCAAGTTAATCAACGTACTTGCGACGTCGAACTTGACGAATGTTTTTGTTGGTCTGCCTAGTCCTGCCTGTGCGTCCGCGTTCGCATTTGTCCAAACACGTTTTTCAAGGGGGCGCTTCCTTACTTTACTCTTCTGACGCCGTGACGAGGGGACCGGGATGGGTAGGACGGAGATACGGAGAGACCAGCACTCAACACATGAAGATAGGCGTGAGCAAGAAACAAACATATTTATGTTGAATAAGGACTGCTTTCTCGTCGAGGAGCAGCGCGAAGAGCCCGCGAAAGAATGCGTCAATTTAGATGTTTAGAGTGGACATGAGAGCCGGATGAGAGATTTAGCTTCAATCAGCAGGCGTGCTAGACGAGGAATAGCCTCTCGCTTAAATAAAGTTGCATCGTGGACATTCTGCAGGTGGAGAGAGGGCCGCGAGTATAAGGCGGGGCTTTTGTTTTATAAAGCCGCCGTCGCTTCTTGTACAATCACCGCCGCATTGTTCTTGGAAATAAAAGAAACAACTGAAAATCATGTTGACCGGCGAGCAAACGTTTAAGTTGCCCTTTACGGGCGTGAATCTGGACCGCGACCAGGTGGAAAAACTGCCGCAGCCCTACCGTTTTTTGTCGAAAATCATCGACGGTTTGGTGGAAGAGGTAAACGACCGAATTTTGGAAATCGATATGAACTGCAAATATGTCTGGGTCTGGGAGATTGCGAGATGTGTCATGTTAGTCTGGCACGACTCTAAACTCTGTATTGCGTGCCAACGAAGAGGCCCTCTTGTCTATCATGCAAAAACGCAGTTTCTCATGCTGAGTACGCAACTCTGAAACACGGAAAGACTTGCCATGCTGGGCAGCGCATTACAGTGTGCTTAATATTCCCTTCCTTGCATCACAAATTTCCAAACCCAGACATCTTTGCAATGCATAATCGAAAAGCGCAAACGACAGCAGGTTTTCGAGTACAACCTACCGGAGATCTTTATGGTGTTCTCAAACGTTACATTCTCGACTGTTGCATGAATTTGCAATGCAAGAATGGCAAAAATGCAAGTGTGAAGAGTGCGCCTTTTGCATTACAGGTTCGGCACAGATTTAGATGCTGTTTAGCCCTTTGGAAATTTGTCATGCGAAGCAGCTTGATGATCATGATAGTGATACTGATGAGAGTTTTGCATGACAAATTCATGTAACCGCTGAGAGTGTAACGTTTGAGAGCCCCATAATCTTTCCCACCGGGCAGATTGTCCTGGATGACAATTCGGCATCCAAACCCGCGGCAGGACCAGGAGTACTAGACACGGCGGCAGCAGGCGGCCGTGGGAGTGCTGCTGCTGCTCCACCGGTGGTCACGAACCGGATCAATTGCATTGCAAACTCTTCCTCCGGCCATGTGGATGTGTCCTCTTCCACTGGCAACTACACGAGCGGCAGCAACTCCGTGGCACCGCACGGGGCTGGCGGGCCATCTTCAAAATCCGTGTTGAACACAATCGTCGCATGCGGGACCGAAAGCGGGGAGCTCATCATGCTGGATCTGCAGGGCACCGGAAGACTTGTGTGCAACCTGCAGCTGGTCCCGAAACAACCACCACCGGTGGTCGAGGAGGATGTTGAAGAAGGCGCCGGGGGACAGGCCGCGCCCGTGCATCCCATGAAGAAACCGGTATTATTTGAAAGCGGATGTAGTGTGCTTGTTGTTTGGGGGTTGTATAGGGATGTATACGCGAGAGGATGTTTCGCTCATACTGAAAAAATGTTTCTTCACTCCCAAAATGTATAAATGTTGACGGGCCTAGTATGAATCTACACCACAAGCAAGATGATAAAGACAAAGTCTAAGTCACCAAGAACTTCGCTCCTCCTGCACGACAGGGCAGTGTGACGCACGTGGCGATGACGACGGGGTTTCTGAAGCGGCGGGCGATCTGCGAGAACTGCAGTCTCTGGCGGTCCGTGAACCCAAAAGTGGTCGCTGCGGTGAACGGGCAGAGCTATTTGAAAGTTTGCGAGTTTCGAAACAAGGACTACATCCACTCCGAGCAGCTAGTTCCGTTCGCGAAACTGCAGTATCCCCAGGAAGTGGTAGACTTTACCAACAGCACAGACGGCGATGCCGATGGAGGACCAGGCAGCAAGGAAGTTTCTCCGGTGCGGCAAATTTCCACCTGGGGGAACAGTGGCGCCTTGTGGACCTGTGCGTTTCTTTTGACCGCCTCGAACACGGGAAAGGTGTTTGTTTACCGGAGTTCGCTCGGCAAGCCACTGGAGAAGGACTTCAAAAACGCCGCGGGCGGAAACTCCAAGTCCTTCAACAGCAAGCAGCCGTTTACCATCCAGGAGGAGGGGGAAACCGACGCGGAGCAGGGCTTGAACGATTCCCTCGGACCCGGGAACACGCTCGCCAACGGGTTGCACGATGCCGCGAAAATTGAGCAGGCGTGGGATGACGCGGAGAAAGTTGCCACCGTGGCGACACCACTCTACTCGGTCTCGCTACCCGGCTATCAAATGTAAAAATGTCTGGGTCTGGAAGATTGGAACTTGTGGTTGTGATGCTGCGTCTGCATTATCCAAAAATCTGTATTGCATGAACAGCAAAAGAGGCCTGGTTTTGGCCACGGCGAGAGGGCATTTCTCATGCGGTATAGGCATCAGAACGCCCTCGCAATATCTGTGATGCTAGGGCATGCATCGCAGACGTCAGGAGTCACGCAAGATGTGCATGACAAACCTTGCATCCTTCCAGACCCAGACACTTTTACATTTGATACCGGCTTCAGCATGCGGGCAACCGCCCAGCCGCTCCCGCCCATGTATCCTGAGTAAAAACGTACCCACACCAGAGTTGTAATGCAGATTTGCAAAGACAGGAAGACTTGTAATGCGCATCACCATGAGAGCCATTTACAATCGTGTTTTGGAATTTGTGATGCTGTGAACAGGATGAGCAGATGAATCTGTGATGCGGCTGCACTTGCTAACCTGCACTACACTGCAGAGCGCAACTTGTCATGCGTGACTGACTCACAAAAGTCCTAGGCTTGTGTTGCAAAATCCCCACCCTGGCTCTGGTGTGGGTACGTTTTTACTCAGGATGCCATGTCCTCCATATTCGCGGACTTTTTCTTCGTTTGCGGCGAGTCCACAAACGAAAAAACCTACAGCCGGCCGGGCTCGCTGGTGTTGTGGAGCGAGAAGAGCAACTTGCTCTACTTCGGAAGTATCCCAATGGTCGAGAACGAGTGCGACCAGCGGGGTGCGATGCAAGCGCAGGATGGCAGTCTGGATTTGACGGAGGTTCCGCTAGATCCGATTGACGAATCGGTGAAAGCCGTCGCGGAAACGAAGTCCTTGTGTCTCAACAAGCACTGGCTTTTTATGGACGCGGTTTCCGCGGTGGGCCGGAGTGCCAGCGGAACTGTGATCGGAGTAGGGACGGAAACAGGGTATCTTTAGCAGGGTTTTAGTTTTTTGCAAAAGGGTTAATCTGTGTTGCGTTCTTTTTCGGAGATTACGACACGGATTTCTCGTGCGGGCTGATGAAGGAAGTAAGTAGTTGATCTTGAGGAAGTTGACAGCAGCAGCAGGCCAAAAGAACCACATCCAAAAATCGATCTACAACAGCACTGTCACCCTCTGGTCCGGCTGGACCATGTCCAATCTCTTTTCCGACTGCCCGGGCCACTATGGTCGCGTTGAGTCCGTTTCTTTCGCCGGAAATGCGCGCGTCCTCACGGGTGGGTCCGACGGGTGGGTGCACGTGTTGAGCTGCGAAACGGGGAAGCTCATTTTCCGCACCAACACCTGTCCCGCCTTCGAACCCTGCCACAGTCTCTGTCACCTGTTGTCGGGGTTCGTACCGCTCGCGATTGGTGTCTCGGAGGTGGGACAGCTGCGGTTGTGGGACACGAGGTTGAGCGATAAGCTCGGAAAATTGATCGCAGCGCCGGAAGGGTACTTAATCATGAACCTTTTTATATGGAATTTGGAATTAGTACGTGATGCACCTCCACTTTTTGCACTACCTTGACGTTCACAGTTTGGTTGTATTGTTTTGACGTTCACGATTTGGTTGTATTGAAAAGCTAAAGCTCACGACCTTCATTATATGATCAGTTCCTGTCTCGGCGAGAACACGAAGCTACACGCCGGCTACGACTCCTTCGCTGTGTTTCAGACGCAAGAGGGGCAAACCTGCGTCTCCGTGTACGACACGAACATGATTCTCAGCAACATGTTCGCGGGGATCTCCGCCAGACTAGAAAACAGTCGGAGCTCCTCGGCGTCAAAGCTCTTCCGGGTTTTGACATCGGAACAAAGGAAAAATCCCCCAGCGAAGGTATACAGGTTGAGGACTGCTGCTGCTGGTGCTCGTTATCCTCCTGCCGCGTCAGAGAAGAAAGAGCGAGCAGATGAATTTGTTATTCCTTGTACGGCAATAGATACTGGAATAGTATGTTGGCTGCTGCTGCATGAGAAAATATTGTTATTCGGAACAAGTTATCGAGCGAGAAACTAAACCCACACGACCAGGATCACCGCAGCACCGCCACCACAGTGTCAGGTCCCGGACAATCCTCGGCGAATCGCAGCGTCGCGAAGTCCACCGCCACCTCCGGCGGAGGCAGTTCCGCGCAACACAAGTCCGCGTCCTCCTCGCGGGGCCGGTCGTCCCCGAAAAAGAAGGGCACGCTGACCCAGGCTTCCTTGATGGCACACGTATCCAATGCAACTGTATCGTACTCGTTTTGATTTCTGTCGCAGTCATGCATGACAGATCTATGTTGCAGGAATCAATTTGTGTTGCAATTTTTCCTAAACCTTTTGCGATACTTTTGCAATGCATAGCACGAAGTGCAGTATGATCTTCCCGCGGGGGCGACGCAGCAGCAGGAAATCGAGCCAAACCCCTTGGATTTGGAGTGGCGACGCGTGGGCGTGGAGAAGTACCGGGGGATATTGGCGGAGAAAGCGACCTCGAGGAAAAAAGTGACGGTTTTGTTGGACGAGGTGCACAAAAAAATACAGTCGGCGGGAGGATCCTAGGAAATAAGGTACGTGCACCCGATTTTGAGCACACACATTTAGACCTTAGTTCTGTTGTTCATGCCGTTGACTTGTTCGAGGGTGAGGAACAAGGTCGCTCACTCAGGCTGTTTTTTGAAATAGTAATTTTCACGCCAGTTTTGCGAGCAAGGGAGAAAATAGTCTACGTGTGGTCGTGCAAAAGACCGACATGCGGATACTGATAGATCACGCACTTGGTTAGGGAAACAAATACCGAATGATTTCCAGTTGCGATTGCGCGCGCAAAGGCAAGCAGAAACAAACAGGAATTTATTATAGCGGGAACTCAAGCATCTTTGGGTGTTTACAAAAGATAAACCATGTAGTTGAACTTGAGTGCAAGCCTATGAATAAGATGGATGCGGCCACCGGATCAAAAAGATCACCGAGATCCTGTCATCGAAATTTGTCTGCCACCTCTACCGTTGTATTAGTACTTGTAGCTGCTTCTGGCTCTGCGAGTAAATCAATATCCCGTCACGAAATTGCAATTGAAATCTATGATCTGCTGATATGAAGAAAGTCGGTGTCTGTTGCCTGTCGTCGATTTCCTTTTTTTTCTGGCATGGGCATGAGCTGCCTCAGGCTGAGGAAAGAGCAGTGACTGGATACAGATCGTCGTGCCGCAAATTCGATCTTCTGGCTCTTTCTGTGTACGGATTTCGACGCACCTGACCGCAACTCGTGAAAGAATAATCTAATTTTCACACGATTTGATTATCATGCGGCATAGACAGCAAAACAAAAACTCGTTAACGTATGCCTAACAAAACATGGTATCCCTAGGTAGCTTTGATTATCGACATTCTGATTCGACATAACTCTCACTATTCATCATAATCTAAAAAAGCTGCCCAAAAAGCTGCAAAAGAGGAAGAACTTGTTCCTGTTACAACAAGCACTGTAAGAGCAATACAGTAATAAAAAGAATTGAGACTTGATAAATCAAACTCGCATCGCAGCCATGACGTTTTCCAATGTGAGCCTGTGCTACATGGGCGCTCCAGTCGTGATCCAGGTTTTGCTCCTGCTGCATACGGTGATTAACAACTGCTCCTTAGTAGCTGCCGATCCACAGTACCAGCAGTCTAGTACTCCTAGTACTCCAGTGCCTGTCGGAAAAATCGGAAGCAAGTCGTTTCTTTCGATTGCTTCACTACCACAAGATTTTGGCGAGGTGCCATCCGCGGCGCAGTGCCGAAACAACCCCGGGTGTGTATTGACAGGAAAAATCCCCCCTCCCCATATTGAAAAGGTACGTTTCCAAGAATTTGTGTTGCGGATTTGAGGTCACAAATCACGTCTGTCTTGCAAGAAGACAAGGGCAGAAGCTTCCGCCCCATTATGGAAGCGGTTTGTCATGCTGTTGGGCCTAAAGGGGGGCCGTTTGCCATGCTGCACTACTAGACCCATACGCCCCTACCTAGCCTGGGGATCTGGCCGCAGTGCCTCTCTGCAATACAAAGCTGATTTGTGGCCACAAATCAGCATCACAAATTTCCGTTTTGATATGGGGAGGGGGGACTTTTCATTTTGATAATGTGTCGCAGTGGGTCTCACGGGAGACAACGCTTGCTGTCCGGTCAACGGAGTGTTTCTCGTAGCCTGTGCGAAAACGTTTTTATCATCCCCCGACTGTGGCCTGTTTGTGAAGATGAACATGATGTATCAACATAATATTGCATGAGCATGATAAGATGCTTAAGTAATATGCATATGGACATGGAGGAATAGAACGCGATTTTGTGTCGTGCAGTGATATGATGCATTCTCCTACGAGGACGAGAAGGTCTTGTTTTCTATTTTGGTGTTTCCGTATGGTGCTTGTCAGGTGCAGCGTAGACACGACGTATAATCGCGCCAGAACTCCTTGATTTGTATCACTGCAGATGAAGGAAGAAGATGATGGTGAACTCACACCTGTTTCTCTTTCTCGGCCACTGGTGGGTAATAGAAGCGTTTTTTATTTCCCTAGGATATCTCGCCTGCTGCAATCATCCGGGCCCCGCACCGGGTCCTCCAGTCCCGCCACCAGCCCCGCCGGTGCCGCAACAGCCGCCCCAGCCGGCCGGGCCGTTGCCAGACGAGAAAGATACGATTGCCACGATCTCATTGAACGTACACGACCACAGTGGAATAGTGGCTGAGCAAATTACCATGCTGAAGCAACTGATCGGGCTGCAGCCGAACCAGTATCCTAGAAAAAGCCACCATGATGATCCCTATTAATTAAGTACCTTCACAAAATGCGAAAACACATGAAAATGGAAATGCAAATGTAGGAGCTGCCTACTATGTAGAAATATGCGCACTGCAAAAGCATAGAGGGGGGGGTCAGGGTGATTTTCTCTGCGATAACCTGGTCGCGGATTTCATTGTGTTTCAAGAAGCGAACTCCTACATGAATCTATCTAAAAAGAAAATTGCCTGCAAGCATAGCGCAGTACTCAAATGAATATCAAAGGAATAGTACGACAGACAGGAGCTGCAGCGCCACTTTCTCACATCAACATAAAGAGATATGCGATGCTGAGCCAGCTTCTCGTGCCCTTCTTAGCCCCATTAGCATGTAGATGATATTAGTAGTAGAAGACCACTGGTGTGCACCAAGGGTGTGCTATGCTTTCGCTTTTTTCTCCGTGATACGGCATTGACCAAGTTCTCAACGGAGCCACGGACGACAAAAACGTCTGGGCCCTGGACCGCACCAGCCGGTTGAAGGATCCGACCAAGACCCCGGTGACCGCCTGTGCATACGTCTATCCCGCAACGTGCCCACCCGCCACCTCCTGCGTCGGCGTCCGGGGCCCGCCCGGAGACTGCACCTGGTGGCAGGTGCAAGGAATCGCGATTGCGTACAACCAGAAGCGGTGGAACTTGGTGCCTGACAGTTTCTACGGCGTTCCCGTCGAAGAGGGATATGACGACCGGTACGGCCAACGGCGGTCGATCGCAGTCGCGCGCTTCGTGCGTCGCGAAGATCCCGAACGGTACATTACGGTCTCCACGATCCATGGGCCTCTACCAAATCGACAACTGAAATGGGGCGAGATTGAAGACATTATTGTCGAGCACGCGTTCGATGGTACCACTACCACCAAAGGACCCGCGGGGCAGCTCCCGAAATTGAACATTTTTGCGGGCGATTGGAATGACCTCGTGGCTCGCAAGTATGAGCTGAGAGCCAACGTTAACGCCGTTGTGGCGAACTCCTTCTGGGCGTACGATGGCGCAAAAGACCCCGAGCCGATAATGACCGGCTTCGACAATATGCTAGTCGCGACGCCACGAAATCTTCCCTCTGGGTGGACTCCATCGGAGTTATCTCAGTGCACAACCCCCTCTCCTGGGCCCCCTCAACATTGGTCATGTTGCACAATACCAACAAGACCACATAATTTATCAGAACCCCGAACAGTGCTGCAACAATCCGTGTGCGGATTCGACGTCATGTGAATGCTACTTGATACAAGAGGACTGGGTTGTTTTATTCTCCTGCAGCTACTGGTCGTGCGTTTATTGTTTAAGTATTCACCTGAGGGGAACTACAAGGGGGAGTTGTGCACAGTCACACGGACGGATCTGGAAGCACTTTGTGGTTAACGTCGCGGCCACGGATCACACCATCACCAGTGCGATGATAGAGATCACAAAGTAAAAATGTCGCCAGCACCGGTGCTGACTTCGAAGATAGGCCTGCGCACATCAAACACATTTCTCATACGACGAAGGACGTCCAGGGATATAATGTTAATGGGAGAGAGACAGTTCTTTATAGTGCTTTTCACAATCTCTTGCTGGTTTTCATTGATCGTCTTCATCTGAATGTCAGCATCAATCACCGCCGTGACTTCGCAGTAAATCAGTTCGAGCACCGAAATTGAAATATCAAGTCGTCGAGAAGTCGCAGAATATCATTGCTGACGAGATGATCATTACGTACGTTTATGAGCCTATCGTTCTTGGTTTTGGCGCGTCCACCTGGTGCTGAAGGTCGGATAATCTCGCAGCTTTTTCACTGGTTTTACCAATTCTAGTCATTGTTATGTATGATGTACTCTACTTAGGCTCTTGCTAGTTTGTAGCAGTCCGACTGCTCAGAATCATACAGCACTTTTTTCCCATGTTGGAAAAGAGAAAAAAGCACTCCGCCACTTCCCGTTCTTCCTGGGAGATCGTGGTTTTTTTTTTCCTTTTCGTGTTTGTTCACGCCTGAAAAGATTTCTCTGGGTGTGCTAACAAAAAGTGATGAATTATTCGTACAACTACTCCCAGTTTCGACGTATATTCTGCAGGTAACAGAATTCCTATTCTAGCAGAAGTTTTGATGAAATACCAGCATGGCTGCGCTGCTCAATGATAGGACAGCTTTTAGTTTTACCGACGTGGTAAATTGGAGACGAGGCGGGCCTTGCTCAAGGATTTGAGGACAAAAACCATCTCGATCATTTGATGAAAAAAGATAGCGATGAATTTTTATCAAGAATAAAGATGAGCTTTATCCAATAGAAGTAAAAGCGCAAACCACCTCATTGTTCCTCGACGTAGGTGGGACCGGGAGTCTGGACCACGGTTCGTTGTGTGTATGACGAGTTCTTGCAGGCATTTGTTTTCTCGTGTTGTTGTCCTTCTGTTTATGACTATTAGCGCAAACGCCACTTCTTTGACGGCGTGAGATCTAGGTTGAGAGGATTGATGTCGAGGTGCCGAGTGAGGACGAGGGGACACAGAGCATTTTTCCGCAAAGTTGCCTGCTGAAAACTCGTAAAATGACTCTCCTTGCTGCAGTTTGTTAAGTTGGACGGAGTGATAAATCGAATCCGAAGTCAAAAACTAGCTCGGGTTGGCGTCGTTTTTTCTATACGTTGCGAGGATATAACTCGTCACAAAAAAGAGATGATGAAGCCACCTAGTGTGAGCAAGGTTCTCCACAAGGGGGGATCTTTTTCAACCGGCCGCACGCCCGCAACTTCCTCGGGGACCAGCGGTACTAGCCGAAGAAGTGGATCGGCGATGAACCAGAGCGACTTGAAAGAGCTGTGGGGCTTTCTCAAGTCACTGAAACCGACGGTGCGACGCGGGACCTACGTTTTCGCAACGCTTCCACTAGAGGAATTGGAGAAGATTCCCCGAGCGGTATGATAAGTAGTGGGTGGTTGATGTTTTCACCAGTATTCGTAGATGGTAAAGAGATGCGCGAGTGAAGATTTTTCAGCGCCTTGTGAGGTGGTGGACGAAGACGTGGATGATCATGTTGATCGAGGATTGCGATACAATTTTACTTATTTCAATTTCAATCATGTGTCGTAGTCAGAAATGACTCTGACTGTAAGCTAAACAAGCTCTATGTGGCCTCCACAGGACACGGTTTGCGAGTTCAAGGAGACGGTGGACAGACAGGCGGTCGCAGTGGTATTCGAGAAGGATAAAGCGGAAAAACACGCTGCGATTTTGCAGCAAAACCAAAACCGCGCAGCTGGTACAAAATCAGCGACAAGTATCGGCACAACAGGAAATGTAAACGAAAAGAGTGGTGCGACTACAGTAGCTGAAGAAGGAATACTACCATCAGCAGAAGTGGAAGAACCAACTGCAATTCCCAAGCCAAAAACTCTGCTCTCCCCACTAGAAGCGTGTTGGATTCAGCTGGAGGCCACCTACTCCGCTGCAGAGTCCATCGGGTTGACGGCGGTGTTCTCTCGCGCACTGGCGCAAGCGATATCCCGTGCAAAAGTAGCGCACGAGGACTCTAGCGAATTGCATTTGCATAGCTGTAACTACGTTTTTTCCGATTTTCTTTTGCAGCAAGCATCACGACACCCAACTGGTCCTGGGTCGGATTTGTATACAACTAGTGCAATGTAGTAAAAAAACAAGATAAGACAGAGACTTTGGTGCGATACTTTTCTTTGCCGTGCATAAAGGAATATCAGCTGTAATATCATTTCTGGCTTTTACCACGACCACTTGTTTATCGCAAAGCAGGACGAAGTATGCATTGCAAAAATGTCTGGGTCTGGGAGATTGCAAGACTTGTCATGCTAGTCTGGCATGACTCTGAACTCTGTGTTGCACGGCCGCGAAGAGCTCCTCCTCCCTGCTGTCATGCAAAAACGCAGTTTGTCATGCGGAGCGGGCAACTCAGAACCAAGAAAAAAACTTGTCATGCTTGGCAGCGCATCATGGCGAGTTCACTATTCCCTTTCTTGCATCACAAGTTTCCAGACCCAGACATATTTACAATCCATACGAAGAAAAGGCGGTGGTGTTGTTGGAGGCCATGAGCTATCCTGTGCAAAAGTATCGTACTCGTATAAATGCAAGTCTTGCATCACAAATTTTTTTCTGAAGGCAAATCAGCATTACAAATTTTATTTTTCATGCTGAGGAAATTTGTATGCCGCCCTGGTGGTCCTTAATTTGTAAGCCAGGTGGAGGCGCCGCCCTGGTTGCTGGTTTGGGAGGACGCAGCTCTCGTGTGCCGGAGCACCTGTATGCCGCTGGGGGACGCAGCAGCTTTTTGCTGTTGAATCGGTCCGGATTAGCGCAGCAGGGGCCTTGCTTGTGGCCCCTCACCTGTGTTTCGTCCCTGCATGCATAAGGACCTCCAGGGCTGTGCATCATGTTCGACCTATGTAGACGCTTGCTGCGTGTCTACGCCTCCGCGCAGCATGGGCCCGGTCCCATGTTGCACGTGGTGCCTGCCTCTTCGCGCGCCAGCCCCGTTTGCTTCTACCGCTACCGCTCTTACGAAAGGCCTTCAGAATTTATTGCCATACATATTTACAAGCGCTTAAGTATAAGTAGCCATACTAAGTTTTGCAATTTAAGTAAGTGTCTTCTCAGTAGAAGTTTACACTACTTAGTCGCGATTTATTGGCTTTAGTAGGCCTCTGAATGGCAAAGGGACGAACTGCCCGTAGACCTCCGATGTGATGCGGTATTCGCCCTTGTTGTGGTGGCAGCAAGTACTAGGCGATGCCAAACCTTCCCTCTTTTTTTCTTTTTTCCAAACGATATCAGGCATACTTACCGTGGTCCTTACAGACACGGGAGGTAGCGTGTGTGTAGTGTTTTTTCCTTTCCAGGGCTCTACGTGAAGAAGAAAGATTCCATATATTCGGTTCGTATCTCGTGTGCCCACATCGTCGAACTACGTCGAATTGCGTGGAACTTCGTCAGTTTTGTAGCGGTAGTTGCACGCCTGCGCCCCTGCCGCCTTTCGCGCTCGGGTTTTTGTTTTCGATAGGTTTGTTTATGATGCTTGCGTACGAGAGCTCCCAAGCCAGGTGGAGGCGCCGCCCTGGTTGCTGGTTTGGGAGGACGCAGCTCTCGTGTGCCGGAGCACCTGTATGCCGCTGGGGGACGCAGCAGCTTTTTGCTGTTGAATCGGTCCGGATTAGCGCAGCAGGGGCCTTGCTTGTGGCCCCTCACCTGTGTTTCGTCCCTGCATGCATAAGGACCTCCAGGGCTGTGCATCATGTTCGACCTATGTAGACGCTTGCTGCGTGTCTACGCCTCCGCGCAGCATGGGCCCGGTCCCATGTTGCACGTGGTGCCTGCCTCTTCGCGCGCCAGCCCCGTTTGCTTCTACCGCTACCGCTCTTACGAAAGGCCTTCAGAATTTATTGCCATACATATTTACAAGCGCTTAAGTATAAGTAGCCATACTAAGTTTTGCAATTTAAGTAAGTGTCTTCTCAGTAGAAGTTTACACTACTTAGTCGCGATTTATTGGTTTTAGTAGGCCTCTGAATGGCAAAGGGACGAACTGCCCGTAGACCTCCGATGTAATGCATTTATACGAGTACGAATGCGATACTTTTGCAGTTCATATGTGCCGGTTTGCCAATCACCAGCAGTTTGAGGTTCTTTCGGCTTCTGGTCCTGACACCGAGGACAATGTTCTTGCCGAGAGCGGCCGAGATCATGAAGCTTCTCTGGAAATGGAAAAAAGCGCCGAGGGACGGGAAGACAAGGTAGTGAAAAATGCCGTCTCCTCCTCGACGTCCTCGAGTGACAATATCAATATCAAGACGATGAAGGATTCCCTCGATGTGATCGTCGAACAGGAGGAGACAAATCTCCTGCACAGAGGTACCGGCAGCAGGAAAAGCAGTCGTGGCCGCGTCGTGACGCCAACGCCAGACGGTAGTTGTGTACCGTCCTCACGGTCTAGTCTATTGAAGAATGAAAATGGTAAGCTGAGCGGTACTAGTAATTCTCGTCACACCGGTAATATCAACACGCCGGCGGGCGGCACGGCCGTGCCGCGGAGTACCCGGAGGAGGTCGAGTACTGGGAGGATAGCCGGAACTACAGGACCACATCTAGGGGCTCCTGCACCTGCATCAACTCCGGCTGGAGGCGTTGCATAGGAAGCAGGCGCACCCGGCACCATCGTAGTTGGGGCGTGGAACAAGTGAAGAAAAAGATGAACGACTGAAACAAACGAACAGCAGGTCGACGTCGACGTCGAGCTGCAACCAATCTGATGAACAAAAACGTATTACGTCGTAGGATAGGTGAAAACTATCTGAGGATTTTTACAATTTTGGTGCAGTAGTTTCGCTGAAATTTTTGAACGCAGCGTCGGTCGTTATTCATCGCGGACATGTGATGAATTTGCGATTTGGATTTTTTTGTTCAACATGATGAAGGAGAAGCTACGGCTTCTTGTACAAAGATTTACACAAAGTAGAAAAAGATCAGTACGTCGTCTTCGTGTGTGACGTGCATGAACCAGCCATGAGAAAAAGATATCAGAGCCAGACGGCAATAGTACCTATGACATAGTCATGATGAGGGAAAGTTCTGAGACGGCCTGTAGTTGTTGATCAAGATTCTGAAAATACATCCGCCAGATCCGCGATCGGTTGATCAGTCGCGTTGAGCAATGCGAATCCCAAATCATGGGATGTAAGGAAAAAAAATCCAAGATCGTTACCTTCAGTGACCACTGATCAAAATCACCGCCAAATGTACTTTACATCGGATTGATGGTTCGCAGAGCGAAAAAAAAATTTCGGAATTTTCTCGTGAATATAGAAGAAATGAAACTGGTATGGCTATGGTTATGATGAAAATGAATTTTTTTTAGAATCAAACGGAGATCCTTGTTTGTATTTGCTTTTTTCAAAAGTTTTTGTATGGTCTACACTCAACCGGCATTTTTTTTTTCCGACAATGTTGAACAGAGGCAAACTTATTCTTTCAAAGCATTGCGTATATTAACCGTATTTCTTCAACATCCAAAATCATCTATAGCACATTCAGCAAAGTTTTCGTCTACGACCAGTACGAGAATTATTTTTCACGACAACCAAGGGATCAGATTCAAGAAGTCCCAGCGATTTATTTTTTACCTCGGCGAACTCATTTATCAGGGGTCAACTGGCCCGCTCTCTCTAGGAATTGCATAAGTAAGCTCTTCTAAGTACTTTGTTTTATTTTTCAAGAAAACCAGCAAATTCGTGATTGTCTTTGTCTGGCTCTTACTTGACCACGTGTAAAATCCTAATTAATTTGAAGGGAAACACGACTCAACGTTTTTTCTGGAAGCCATCTTTCCACTGGATATTCCGTTCAGCAGGAACAAGAACAACAGCAAAAGTATAAAGAAGTGTGCATACAAGTTGTAGTGTTTCAGTTTCTCTTCGTATTCTGCCTATCTTGTAGGGATTTTCAAGTCGTTGCTCAGCACTTGCTTGTGGTCATACTACTCAACAAAACGAAGAATCCAATCCTATATACGGTTGGCCTGCTTCTCAATTTTAATTTCTTCGAAACCGAAGTTATTCTCGTTGTGCAAAAAGAAGAAACAACTCTGCATATCCACCACCTGTACGGCGACATTTTGAAGATATCTTCATCAAGTGATACTAGATATTTATGTCCGACAGCTTTTCAATCTTATCCGTAAGAACGAGGCGGGGAGAATTTGTATAAATGTTGGCCATGGAAATCGATCCCGCACACACGTAACACGATCGCCCCAAATGACGCCTGTTCTCAATGGAATGACACTTCTGAATAGCCTGAACTAGCTAGATCCTTAGGGAAATGGTCAGAATCTACCTAGATCCTAAAGGAATCTCTTCGCCATGTTCCGCGAATGCCCCAAATACTACGAAGGCAAAGCCGTCAGGATCGTAGTGAAATGAATGGACTCAGCTCGGTCCAGACGTTCAGAATGGTCGCCCTGGGGGACTTGACTCCCGCCAGGGTCGAGCACCAAACCGAGAGGGTTGAGGGATGGACTCCCATGCTGTTTTGCCACTTGACTCTGAACCCGATTGGTCCATATGAATCTGATGAATTTGGATGAATTGAACCTACAGGATGCAACGCAGCAAGAGACTTGCGTCACTTGCTTGCTTACTTGCAATTGAGAGAATTGAAGCTGTTGATAACGAGCTCAGTGGAGCAAGCGTGTGTAAGTGTGTGCGAGTGTTCTCAAGTCCACTAGCACTACGCTACGCCTTGAGACTCTCTCAAGCTGGCTCCTATAGTCAGATAAGTTTATTTGAAGATGGGCCAAGAGGCGAAATTGACGGAGAAGTTGTCCAGCGCGCAGGACTGGCGCGTCTGGCATCGCGGAGTCACGAACGAGGTTTCTCGCCTCGGACTCCAGGAGTATTGGGATAATCGTCTTGCTGGTAACCCTCCGGGGATTCCGCAGGCGAACAATACTGCCAATAATGCGACCCGGGAGAAGTGGCGCGACCTGAAGGATGCCATCTACAAGTCATGCACCGGGTCCGTGTCCACGTGGGTCAACAGTCAGCACTACATCAACGACGACGCTGCGCAACTGTTCATGCGTATTCGTGATGTTGGTCGCTTCAATGTTGCCTCCCGTGACCAGCAGCACATCAAGACGTCCTCGATCGACGCCATGCATTTCGACAACCGAGACGCGCCGAAGGATGCTCCGACGTTCCTGGCCCAGATCCACGACTTGATGGAGATGGCGCCGAGTGTCTACGTCCCGGAGCCCGGGCGTCCGATTGAAGATCAGCATGTGAAGAACATTCTGGACAAGTTGCCCAAGATGTTTGCGTCGGCCTTCCGCCAGACCATCGACCGCTGCGTGGACGAGTCCGATCACATCACCTTGCAGGAGATCGGGAACCGTCTCGAGAAGAAGCTCGCGCAGCTGGTCAAGGAGGGGTCCTACAAGATTGAGAACCCGTCCTTCGGCAAGGCCTTCCCGGTCGTCGAGGAGAAGTCGAAGAAGAACAAGAAGGGGAATAAGCGTCAGAAAAATGACGATGATGATGAGGAGCCGGACTCCGCTGATGATGGTCAAAATGCTTCTTCTGGCAAGGTGTTCTCGGCGAAAGCCTTGAAACGCATGAAAGCCAAATTACGCAAGCAGACCGAAGCGAGTGTCTTGGCTGCCCATGGCCTGCCCCCGAAGCCTAACGCTAAGGGTGGAAGTGGCCAGAAAGGTGGTAAGACTGGTCGGAACCAGAGCACTCCCTACAACACTGTGACCAAACCCAAATGCTGGATCTGTGGCAAGGAAAACCATAAGGCGGACCGTTGCCGCTGGAATCCTAACAATCAAGGGAAAGGTCAGTGGGGTGGTGTCTGGGGAAACCAGCAGCCGCAGTGGTGTCCGCCGGTGAACCAGAACCAGATGAACAACCAGAATCAAGGGCAGGGAGCCGGTGGAAAGCAGGGCGGTTGGGTCTGGCAAGGACCAGCCTGACAAGATGAAGGAGGTGTTTATATCTCGGAGCATGGTAGTTGTGCGCTGGACTTCGAGAATTTAGAGGAGTTTGATGTAGATTCTTCTAGCTGTTTTACTGCACAGACCAGGGACGAAGTGAGCTTGGTCGATTCATGTGCAAGCAAGTACTTATCTAGACTGACACAAGTCGGATTTTATCGACATCTCGAGCAACGTCTGTCGAATCAACGGCACGGCCGGGGCTCGTGATGGTTTTGTAGGAAAACTGAAGGAAAACGCTCTAGGTTTGCCCTATGGCGTCTACTTTAAACATCTACCAAGAGATATTGGGCGTGTTCTTCCGTGGCTCGGTGAGGACAATCTCAGTGATCGTGGGTGGGATCTGAACTACAACAGCTCTGGCGGTTCCTTGGTCAACAGGGAAACCGGTCAGATGCTACCAATCAAGAACCACGAGAGGTTGGCCCTCCCAGTCCTTGGGTGTGATCTTTTCGCGATGGGCCTCCGGGGCCAGACGACTAGAGACACCGCGGAGGATATTGCATGCATTGCAATAGAAGAGAGTATTGCTAGCTGTCATCTTACGCGTCTAGAAACTAGAACAACATAGAAGATTCGGACGCTTTCATGTAGATGGTCTTAGTGTCCAGTGTCCTGAATGCGACAAAGCGAAAGGCGCGAGAAGCTGGCTCTCACGCAAAAGAGCGAGACACTAGTAATCACAAACCTGAGCCATTGAAACTACTAGCGATGGACTTCGCGGTAGGTATTAAACCTGTATCGATTCGGTCACGCGCCTGCGTGCTTGTGGTCATCTGTGATGCCATCAAGAAGTGTTTCTGTGTCCCTCTCAAGCTGAAAAGTGACTGCGTTGAGGTTTTGGGAGAGTTGATCAAAGGCATTCGCCAGAGCTACGCTTTGACCCTCGAGGACAAAGCGGCATTGTTCGTCCGTAGGGACAATGAGCCAGTTCTGGGCAGTGAGTCCATGACCAAGGTCATGCAATCGCTGCGGGTCGGTGATGCTCCTACGGTTCCCTACAACCCAGAGCAGAACGGAACCTGCGAACGCTTTACGCGGACCATATTCGGCACTGTGCGTGCGATGTTGGTGAACGTGGGCAAGCGTCTGTGGTGTTACTCGGTCGAGTACGCTGCAGCATGCTGGGACCGCCTTCCGCATAAGTATAGTAAAATGCCTGAGTACGACGGAAAGACTCCTGCAGAAATTCTGGATGAGAGAACTGGAGGAAACAGCTCCAAAGTTGGCACAAGGATGCTAAGGCGTTTCGGTTGTCTCGTTTATTTTCGTGAACAAGTCAAGAAAGGCGAAGTCCATGAAGCTCCTGGGGGGGGAGTAGAAGTGGTTGCTCCAAAGCTGTCCGCGCCATTTCGTCGTGGTGTAAGTATTTCTCGGCCTTTGTCCTAAGTCTTCGGGCTGGCGGGTTGGGACGTACGTCACGGACGGCCGGTCCGCCGCGGGACATCGTTGGATGGAGTATTCTACCATCGACGTCAAGTTCCGTGAGGAGTACCTCGTGAAGAATACCGAAGACCTAGTTCCTAACTCGAAAGGTATCTATGTCGAGTGTGACGCAATCGAGGCCCTACCTAGTGGAGCGTCGTGCGCGCCATCTCTCCCGTGTGTCGGTCTGATCAAAAGGGCTGAGCACCGGCTGGGGGCGGATGCCTCGAAGCACACTGGTAGGCAGTCCGACGGTCCTGAAGAGACGTTGGTGGTTGAAAGTCTGGATAGGGAAGATGATCCGGGCCAGATACATCCCGAGCCTGAAGGTGTTAAACCTGAGGAGGGGAATCTGGACGATCACCCCACTCACAGCAGCCTATCTAGTCCAAGAAAGACGAGTCCGTCTCCGGCGCGGATTGTGGCTGGCAACCGCAACTCCAAGCCGCGAGGTCGTGGCCGTCCCAAGGGGAGAAAGGACAAGAGAAAGCGCGTGAGACGTACCAAGAAAGAGCTCGCAGAATTGAGAAAAGACGCTAGCGCGTTTGCCGCAGCAATAGCAGCACAGGATGATCGAGAGGAAGGTGAGGAATTCCTCGACGCCCAGTGTTGCTTGACTACATCGGCCAAGTTGGATCCCGCTCGCTGCAAAGACTCAGTCGAATGGAACGCAGCAACCAACAAGGAAGATTGTAGACGTGAAGCCTATAAAGTGTGGGAGCCAGCTACTGACGAGGAGCTAGCGACCGCAAGACAGGTTTTGCCTATTGTTATACTTCTTGCCGAAAAGCGCGACGGTACGAAGAAAGCGCGAGCAGTAGTACTCGGTAATCTAGATCGTTCGGGCGAGCTGGACACTTTCGCTCCTGTAGTGTCCCATGCCGCTAACAGGTTACTTCTAGCCGCTGCAGCCGCAGACGGTGATGATGTAATCCCGTTCGACCTTGATAGTGCGTTTCTCAATGCCTTACTTGATCGCGACGTCTTCTGCCGCTTGCCACCCATCTGGGCGAAGAAGCACGGCGAGGAGATCGTCAAGCTCAAGAAAGCGCTTTACGGCTTGAAAGACGCCCCCAGGCTCTGGCATAAGAAGTATGAGGAAGCACTGACCAAGCTAGGTTGGGAACCTTGTCCCTCTGCGCCAGGTCTGTGGAAGAAACCGAGCTTGGAGCACCCTGGGAAGTTTCTGAGGTTGGCAGTGTATGTCGACGATAATCTTATCACAGGTCCTCCGACTGGGTCCGAGTTGGCTGGAGAACTTGCGGAGATCTTGCACCACGTAAAGGGGCGCACGATCGACGTCGAGCTTGTTCCGGAGTTTAACTCTGTGTCCAAGAAGTTTGACTTCCTAGGGTCAATAGTGTACTACAACTGGAATCTACGAACCGTTAGGGTCGTGATGTCAGAGTACATATCCAAGATTTGTAAGAAATTCCACGTCTCAGAAGCGGGCAAGCCGGTCCACTCGCCAAACTTCGATGAGTCTGAACTCGCTAAAGAAGTTGAAGGAGCTAAAGTTGTTGAAGGTTTTCCCCTTCGAGAGGTCGCTGGCTCTCTGCAGTGGGCTGCAACCACTTGCAGGGTAGACATTGTTGCCCCGGTTGCCACTGTCGCCAGATACGTTGGCAAGCCGGCGACTCGGCCTGTCGTAAACGCCTGTAAGAAGATTCTGCAGTATCTATTGACAACGAAGGAGCAGGGTCTGTCGTATAGTCCGGAAATTGAGGAGGAATTCAACAGAATCTACAGCAAGCTACTGCCCGAAGGGAGAGACTTGCTCGATGTGAATCTGTTTTCGGATGCTAGTTTTGCGAACTGTTGCAAGACCATGCGAAGCACTAGTGGTAGCATTATGTACTTCCGCGGCTTCCGGATCTGTTGGCGTAGCAACCGGCAGACCGTGAGAGCGTACTCCACAGCGGAGGCGGAGTATATAGCTGCCTCCGACACTATTGCGCTGAGCGAGCAGAATGACTTTACGGAATTCTTCAAACCTCTACCCACTGTAATGGTGGAGAAGCAGAATGGCTTATCTCCCTCCTTGGGTGATGCCATATTGTGGATCGACAACCAGTCCGCGATAACTACAGCTAAGAGCACAGACAACAAACCGAAATCGAGGCACTACGCACTGCGATATCTCCGCGCGAGAGACGCAGCGAGTCAGTTCATGCTCTGCCCGACCTACCTGATGAAGGCAGACGGTCTCACGAAGCTCGAGCGTAGTTTGCCGCAGAGACGCTTACTCTTGCACCATATTGATAACCCCGACCCTAAGGCTTTTACTTGTGACTCCTCTGACGATGAGGATGATTTAGAGACTTTTATAGAGGGGAATCATAAGAAGGGCAGGGCTAAAGTAGGCTATACTTACTCGATTTGCTTTGGTTTCTAGATACATAGGCACAGCGCTCAGGAGGGGAGTGTGGTAGGATTGCTCCAGGTTAGCACCACCGCCGCAGCGATTGAGGAGGGGCGTTGGTCATGGAAATCGATCCCGCACACACGTAACACGATCGCCCCAAATGACGCCTGTTCTCAATGAAATGACACTTCTGAATAGCCTGAACTAGCTAGATCCTTAGGGAAATGGTCAGGATCTATCTAGATCCTAGAGGAATCTCTTCACCATGTTCCGCGAATCCCCCAAATACTACGAAGGCAAAGCCGTCAGGATCGTAGTGAAATGAATGGACTCAGCTCGGTCCAGACGTTCATAATGGTCGCCCTGGGGGACTTGACTCCCGCCAGGGTCGAGCACCAAGGCGAGAGGGTTGAGGGATGGACTCCCATGCTGTTTTGCCGCTTGACTCTGAACCCGATTGGTCCATATGAATCTGATGAATTTGGATGAATTGAACCTACAGGATGAAACGCAGCAAGAGACTTGCGTCACTTGCTTGCTTACTTGCAATTGAGAGAATTGAAGCTGTTGATAACGAGCTCAGTGGAGCAAGCGTGTGTAAGTGTGTGTGAGTGTTCTCAAGTCCACGAACAATAAACGTATCCGCGCAAAAATTATAACCGACAAAACAAAAATCAAAAATGTTGCGCGTTCTGAGTGTACTGAAGATGTTGTCGTCAACACCGTCACTCGCCGGCTTCTTAGTCCTGCACCTGCTGCAGGCACCAGCTCCGTTGGGTGCGATCGCCTCTGGTCGTGCAGCTTCTGGTGGAGTAGCCGAACCCGTCTCTTTGAGAGATCTGTTCGATCTTAGACAAAGACTGCGCGAAAGGCTTCTTAAAGATCAACGGCAAGCGCAAGCTGCGTCGGCGAAGCAGCCCGCGCGCAGTTCTCCGGGACCTGAATCTGAATCTGGTGCGTGGTTCATGTCGAGCTTGAACCTGCAGCCACCAAGTAAAAGAAAAAGTATAGGAACACCACCAACTCCCTCGACAGCTCCGTCGCCTGTCACTGGACCGGCACCAGATAGAGATATGCTTCCCCAAGGAGGAGAAAAGCCGGAGCCGATTGAAGCATTGCAGAAGTCCTCCGAGTGCGAGTCAGGGACAAAGTCTTCCTCCAAAAAAGATGGCGGCCACGACGTTAAACTTCTCCACCCTAAGCCCACGACCCACTTCGCTTGGAAGAAGAGGAATGGCAGGACCAGAAGAGGAACAGGCGGCAGGCCGAAGTTCGGCCACTCTGCGTGCTCGGAATCTGGATCTGAATCTGGATCCACTTCGGACAGCGCGGAGTCATCTTCTGGCGGGACCTCGTCGGGTCATATGAGCTCGTGTGACGAGGTGCCGGCGCCGCGGCTGGAGGGACGATCTTCTGCTTCTGGGAATAATTACCAGGGGCCGGCGCCGAAGGACAACCCACACATGATCTCTAAACATGTTCCGGTTTATTTTGCCTCGCACGTCAGCGAGAACAACGAGCCTTCAAAATCTGATCCTCGGAATGCCCGACTCGGCCCCGCTGGAACAGCGAATATGCTGAGAGACATGATATTGCTTTCTCACCCCGTCCCCGTGCAAGACCGGCTCCTGTCAGAAAGTCACTTCCTGACAGCATCTTCCACTTTAAGTGGAAGAGACAACTCTGGTGACCCGAGGAATGCGGGGCTTGGACCCCAAGGAACCCAGGCAATGCTCCATTTCTATAAGACGATCTCGGGAACTGGAAGAGAAGCTGGATCCGCTGCCGCTGCTGGTTCCGCTCAAGAAGATGCACGAGCGGCCGCGCCTCCGAAGGCTGCGGGAAAAGGAACGCAAGCACCGGGAGCGAAAAAGCAACCCCATTCGTCTTACAACGCAGAGTTTTGCGTGTATTACCATCTTCTAGCACATGATGTCGGCCAGCAGACTCAGAGAGCAGCGATGGTCTCTGAGACCTTCGTTGAGCAACCGGAAGTAGAAGTAGCCGGTTTATTCGACGCACCGACACTGCATCTTCCTGGCAGGAGTTCGAGTGGAGAACAAGTCGTGGACGAGGAGCTTTTCAACACACACCTCTACCAGCCGTTGATACGCGCGGCCAGGCGGGTGTATGATCATTGTCTGAACCGCAACAGCAACTGCAAGGCGCGTGTGCGCGATAGCGACAGTAAGGCAGATTCACGTCACTGGCAGGCCTCGAAAACTTACGCGGTGAAGAAGCAGAAGATGCAGAATTTTTTCCGCATAAACGTCGCCGCACCGGATGCGGCTACTTTCCAAAGCGCGGTGTTGCGGATGACACAAGAGCTTCGAGATATAATTGCGCCACCAGCAGGGAACAAGATAATTCGCCTTAGGACATATAACGTACGACTGAACTTGCCACGGAGCGAGTTCTTAGCCGACTCCGCTTTCTGTTGGGATGGCGACCAGAATCCGCTGCATGCTTTGGTTTTGGAATGGGTGTTTCCAACTAAACTTGTCCGCGAAACGGGAGCCTGGTCTCGCGCGGGTTCGGAACCCCTGCGAAAGTTGATTCGCACGTTCGAGTTGGGCAGCAAACCAGCTACCTTAGTGCTCCATGATGCGAGATCCGAGGATCCCAGCATGATGCGAGCGGGCGGCCCACGACAGACTGCACGTGGGAGCGACCGCGGTGGAGGAGCCGCTGGCACTATTCCTCCACAACGAGGGGCGCCAGCACCGGCACCCCGCCACGAAGTATTTACGTACCTGTGCGAGATGTGGCCGACGCCGGGCAACATGACGTGCGCGAGCCGGCCGGGATACATCAAGGTAGGGATTCAATTTAATGAGGCAGTACGTGTCGCTGATCAACACCTGTTCCTGTAAAAAAGTATAGGGACGAGAAGGACCACCGCAGGAAGAAGCTAAACAATGTCGGGATGAAAAAGTTAGCCGCGCTGGGTAGCCACAGAAGAAAATGCCGTTCGGAGTTCATTGGTCATACTTTTACTTGGACAAACATCTGCTTCTCCTTCCTAAGGTTGCGGTGTGCAGACGATTTCCTGCAAGTAAAAATTTCAGTCGTGAGCGCGCGCTAGATCTTCAATTTTAAGATGAAGATCTAGCTCAGGGTTCAGAGCCTTCTTTAGAAATCTGTCTATCTTTCGTGATTATTGAAATTTTCGCAGACGAAACCAGTGCACCTGTATTCTTGCGATCCTGTTTTCTAGTACGACGATCGTTGCTCCTCTGCAGTTTGTAAATCAGTGTATCTGGTACTGGTGGAGATACAACGACAAGGAGTGCTGGCTCTTTACCTGTGATGTTAGAAGTCTACTAGCAGGGTAATTCTAGTAGTTCTACCGTATTTATTCGGGAGACACCGAAACAAGGAGAGTTGTTACTATATCTATTTCATCTCTGAGTGGTTTGTGCTTTTTAAGCATTCTATATTTTTCAGGAAGAAGCTGAAGTAGACGCCAGCTCGCAAGTGCAACAATATTTATTGGGGTGAAAGCGAAATCCCCCCTATACCTCAAGCGTTTTGGTTTATTTACTCCCCTGCCTTAGGCCGGCTCGCGCGAGGACGCTGGCACATTCTTCAAAGAAAGAGCCGCGTTCGCGCAGCTTGCTTCAACAAGAAAGCGCTATTGTTACTACGTACTTGTACTTGGACTATTAGCTCTGTTTTCTGATTGCCTTTGTTTTGAGAGTTTTACCCGTGTACAGGAGCTACAGTTCTTGTACCTGTCCATCAGATTAAGAACGTAGCAGGATTGACGAAGAACAAATTCCGGTCTTGTGGTTCTGAATTACTGGCATTTTGTTCCTGTGTGTTTCGTCTTCGGGACGAAGCAAGGTAGTGAAATTTCTATTATCACTTCATCTGCTAGTATTGGACTGATTTTTCAGAAAGGCAAAAGCAAAACAGAGTGATATCAAACAAAACCGAGTCTATGCAAGTCAAATTTTTATGCGCATTCATTCCTATGGGTATTTGAAAACGGAACAAAGGCTCGCAAATGATAGGAATTTGAACTCATCATGTGCAAAAAAAAAAAGAACGACTGGAAAAAAGCTGAGAAAAAACCAAAAATTTTTCCAACATATCTGATGCAAGTCAAGGAGGTTGATTGAGAGCAATTTCCGCTCCAGGGGCCAATAGCTGCCAATGATGCAAGAAGTGCTACTGTTGCACGACCAGCGCGGGAATCTGTGAACCAACTGGCAGGATTGGTGCGATTCATAATTGTTAGCTCCTTGCGCCTCTTGGTGCTCAAAATGCGAAGGGCGTGAGAACCCGATGAAGTCGGACAGAGAGTAAAGGATGATGTCTAAGAGAGAGTTTCCTGATCTGGCTTGACATCAATCTCGGTTGAGAACAAAGTCTTCAGAAGAAGGCAACCCTTCGTGTTACTTATCGTTTTCATTGATGGTACTAACTGCAAGGAGTTCATCAAACGTAAACGATCCAGAAGCAGGACGATGAATGGCCTTTAGTAGTGGCTACTAGCGGGTTCTGAGTTGGTCTCACTTGAACTTGTAAGCAGGACATCAAAATCATGTTTCGAGCAACCAACAAAAGAATAGTTTCGGCTGCAGCCGAGCAGGGGAACAGTATTGACTATCATGTTGGCGAGTTCAACGCAAATGCTGACGGCGACCGGGAATTTATTTCTGCAGAGCATCATTATATTGACCCGCGGCAACAGCAACCAATCTCTTCAGTGTCTGCCGGAGGTACGACGATGCCCGACCAAGCAGGTGGTCACCATTCGCCGACCACAGCGGCATTTTCTGACCCTGCAACATTAAAACACGACGCGGCGAACTCGCTTCTCCAGACTTACCTTCGGCAATGGAAGCAGTACGCTTTCCCCGTGGGCTTGCCGCAGGACATTTTTACCAGTCAGTGCGCGAATGTGCAGGACTGCCAAGACTGGAACTCGTTGCAGTACCAGTGCCAGACGCACCAGCAGATGGCGGGGCTTTTGGCTGCCTTCGCGTTCGCGGCCCTGGTTGGGGAAACCGAGACGAACTACGAGCGCGTCATGTCCGGACGGGAAGTGCTTTTCGAAGCGGATAGGAAGACGGTGGAGATACTGGACCAAGTTCGCATCGGCTTGGTCGTTCTTGCCATGTGCTGCCAGATCCGCGCCTTCCTCGGGTTCGTCTACGTGGACTGCTGGCTTTGCAGCTCCGCTTGCCGCAAATTTTACTTGGCGTTCTGCGGCATTGTGACCAAGGAGTGCGGGGCGTTTCACTTTGGCCTGTACTTCCTCCTCTACTCCGTGCCGCTCTACGTTTTCAAGTTTTTCGGGTTTTCGGTCGTGTTTTTCCTCTCCTGCCCCATGGTGATTTACGCCGTAGTGACCAGCACCCAGGTGGCCATTTTATGTGGGGGAATTCAAAACATCGCGAATCACGCGGAACTCGGCTTGTACGAGAACCTCCGCGGGCCGAAGGCGTCGTGGTCCGCAGCCACGGTCTTCGACTGTTTTTTCAAGGACCCTTTGCTACCGAATACCATGCCGAAAGAAGTCCTCGCAGAGAGAGAAAAGCGGGGCAGAAACTGGAAACGGAATGCCTGGAAAACTACAACAACCTCAACGGGCTAGACTAGTACAAATGCCTGTCTGTTCTTGGTGTGTATTCAACCAAGCTGTTGAAGTAGGAATTCATAAGAATTTGTTGCTGTCTCGCCATCCAAGCAAGTGAAAGTGTAACCGCAGGAGCAGGACCAGACCGCAGTATTTGTAGGATAGTATGAATATGATGAAGGTGAAGGTGTAGAAGACGAAAACAAGCAATAGGAACTTTTCGTTTCGGTATCCGTGGTGGTGAGAATTTGAAGATGAGCCCCTTCAGCATGTAAAGTGCGAGCGCGCTGTCGGAAGATCCAGCGTGCAAGTGGGTGGTAACAATTTTTCTAGCGGATAGATCATAGTTTGTCTTTCTTGTGATCTATCAGTCAGCAGCTAAAACTGTAGTTCACGATCGCGCTCGCGGTACTGCAATCGGAAAAAAAAACATCGATTTTCTTCTTCTGTTTTATCGGTACACCGTCACCATGAATGGTCATGGTGCCTCTTCTAGTTCTAGCTACTCTGTCTTGAAATTTGCAATAGATGACACCTCCAATGGCATGATTTGCGTTGTGAGCAATTTCGGTTTGAGCCAATACTTAGCCGCTATTAATATCTCGGTTTTCGTGCTGTACTCGCAACCACGTTGCTGCTTGAATGCAGCGAAACTTTATTCGGTTCTGATATGCTCCATGCAACATCCACCATGCGTGGAAATCGGTACTTTCGTACAAGAACAGCATCAGGACAAGAACGCAACGACTGACCTGCTTAGAAGTCCTTGCATATTATAGTACGTCGTTCATGTTTTTCGTGTCCAATCGTCCGCACCTGCTCCGTGTTGTAGTGTCGTACATGAAGAAGAAAAGGTCGCGCGGCGAGGAGCCCAAGGCATCGTTCGTTTCTTGCTTCCTTGTGCCTGTGCGTGGTCGTTTGGTTCTCGTTGTTTGAGCTTCAGCTTCGAACCGGTTGAGACTTATGAAGATATGTGATACTCCTGCACAGGACCTCATCTACTTCATGTTACCCCATTATTTTTCTTTACGTCTCTTTTGCATACGTATTTTGCATTTTGTCTTATGGAGCTCTAGAAGAATTCACAATGTATTCCCCTGAACCTTCACTAGTCGACATCATGCAGCCAGACCCTGGCTAGCATCTGCCCAACATCTTCAACAATCTCTCCCCTCCACCTCCTCAAGGACAAATCACTAACAAGGTTCGCCCGACTGCTGGATATGGATACTTCGTCCATGAAGATGATGCAGAGTACCACAAACACAACCGAAAAGAACATGAACAGCAACTACGAGCTGGGCGATCTACGGCAGGGCGCTCGGATTCCTAGAATGATGCGTCCGATCACCAATTCGAGCACCCGAGAGACAAACCACGATCGCAACCGTTCCCGGTCCCAGGCGCGAACCAGATTCCTGCGCGACGATGTCCTTTCAGCAGAAGACTTGACGGGGTACCATGACCGGTCCCACGACCGCGACCAAACGATGAAGCCACGACACCTGCGCATCGATCCCGACCACCGGGGCCACTACAGCGCGCAGATTCAGATTCCCATTTTCGAAGACAACAGCTTTCTCCCCCAGCCGGACGATTTAGACGATTTTTTGCAAAACTACGGCAGTCTTCAAGAACCGAGCAAGAGCAGCTACAATGCTTCGGAAGATGTTCTTGAGAAGGAAGACTCCGAGAGTGTCAGTATCACGGAACGGTCGCCCCCACCACGGCCGACCCCCATGTCAAAAACCGTCAACATTGACATTGAGATCGAGGGGGACGAGAATGGCCGGCGCGGCGGGGTGCTGATCAGAAGCGGGCAACGGTTCGAAATCGTGGATCCGTCATCCATTTCCAACAAAGCTGCTTCCATGTCACCGTCACCGAGTGGTCCAGCAAGCGTGAGGAGCCCTCCTGCTCGTGGCCTTCCAGAGCCTGCTATGCCAATGCGCATTCCGGAGGACTTTTCGTCTTCGAACAGCGGAAGTAAATCGACGAACAGGATAGAAAGCGTTAGCCCTAGCTCTACTTCCCCATACTCCGTCGCACGCAGCCGACGAGCAGGTGGGAATATTCAAGTGCGGACGGATAGTGCCGCAGGAGCTGCTCACTTCGAAGTCGAGCCAATTTTTACAAATGCAGACCCGTCTCCTGCTACGACGCTTGGTGACGTCGGGATTCCAGAAGGGGAAAGAGGGCAAGATAGCTTCTTCTGGCGACCAACAGCAACAGGAGTGGATCTTCCTGCAGACCAATATCCTACTGGTCCCGACGAAGCTGCAGCCACGAGTCATGTTGATCGCGAAAGTTTCTTTTGGCGCCCAACGGCACCGGAGGACGCCGAACAAATAGACGCCGACCCAGCAAGGGCTAGCTTTTTCTGGCGGCCGACGTCAGCTTTGGGAGAGGCCGAGAAGGGCCTGGGTCGAAATACAACTGGTGAAAATAAAATCCACGTCGAGCACAGAAGGCACAGCCATCATGATCATGAACAGCACAGGCATAGCCATCATCATCACGAGGGCCTACAACTTGGTCGTGTGGATGATGATCACAACCCGCACGGGGGTCACGCTCACCATCACGACAGAAATTCCAAGACCAGCACCAGCCGCTCCTCGAGCAAGAGTAAGAACATCCCGGCCTACTCCGAGTACTCCTTCACTTCTTCTAGTTTTGGCCCGGCTTCACTTTCCAACTCACCCGCTGTTTTGGCACGATCCGGGCGGGAACTTGTGACGAACATGTTACAACAACAGCCGGAAGGCGAATCATTACACGGTCACAACCTGAAGGAACTTGAAATTGATAGCGGAAGAGAAACAACTGTAGTTAAAACCGCTGCTCCTGGTCCTCAGTTGCACCTTCATCAAAATCACCTTCTGCACTACTCCCAGCAATCCCAGATCGTGCTCTTTGACCAGAGCGAGCGCGCTTCCACCGGTGCGTTAAGCATCCGGCCCTCGGCCAGAAACAACCACGATGATCAGGTCGGAAACAATATTAATTCTAGTCCGCATTCTCCCGCCTCGCAGAGCCACCAGTCCGTGCACGTTCAGTCTGGGGATAATGTGACGGTCTCCATACCCAACCCCACGACCGCAAGTGAGGTTGCGGACGATAACGTGGGTCTGATGAAAAACAGTAGCGATGAGGCTCCAGCGATTCCGGACGAATACGACGGACTGCAAAATACGGAGACGAGCAAACAAACCACGTTGATCGAAAGGGTAGAGGCCAACGTAGATGATTTGGTGCGCAATATCGACGGCATCATCGATAGTACAGGACAAGGACAACAAGAAGATCCTACACGTCGGGTCGAAGTAGATGGTGCAACGCAGGAGAGTAGAAGTGATTCCGTTCCTACAACCAGAATGAGTCCAGCACCAAATAACGGCCGGCCTCTAATCGAAGGTGGCAAGAAGCCGAGCAAGAAACTCAGCCGCGCGGAGGGCGAGAACTTGAAATTTGGCGTCGGCAGTAGTAGAGTAGCGGGCACTTCTTCACCATCAGTCCGCGACGGTGCTTTGTACGACGGAATCATAGACGAAGACGAAGAAAACGCGAGTTTTCCCTTCGAGTTTGCACCCAAGGGTTTCAAGCTCTACCCACACGGGCCGCAGATGCAGCGGCCCCCGCACCATGGCATCGGCCCGGTGCAGCATCATCTTCACAGCTACAACAGCAGCGACTCGCAGGATCAAGGTGCCCCTCTCGTGGTACCCGAGCATAGGAACAGCGCTGCGCTCGCGGCGCGCGGGGACAGAGTGGGGTTCCGTGAGTCGGCGGGCGAGTCAGTGGTCGACGCCCCGGATGAGATCTACATGAGCGGCAGGTTTTTGAGTCAGCAGGTGCCGCACCCGGGCGGCGCTAACGTCAATTTTCCTTCCCGAATGGACGAGGAGGGGAACATAAACGGGAACATCAAGAACACACCGCCACGGCCGGGAACATCAATCAACCACCAACACCATCACCACAACCAGTATCAACGATCCAGTACCATCGCGCCTCCGGACTACCAGGCACGGCAAACCCGGTCAAGCAGCACCGGGATCGGATCGAAGGTCAAGAAAAACAAACACGGCGTGCACCACCCTGAGGGCGAAGCAATGATTCCGCACGGCATCACCTCCGTGTACGAAGCCGACGGCGATGAAGGTGACAGCGTGATCTTGGACGAGGATTTTGACCTAGCCTACGCAGACATGGATGTGACCATCCGGGCCAGTGGTGGCTCCGCATCGTTCGCCCGAATCAACACCCGCGGGCCGTTTGGCAGCGTGGTGGCAAGAACCTCAAGCTCGAGTGCAACTTCTTCCAAGAGGAAAGCTACACCAGGTACTACTTCTGGTGCAACTACAACTGCATCAAGAAGCAAAGAACGGAACAGCAGGAAGACTATCAAGGAGCAGCAGCGAATGTCTGCTGAAGCGCGTTCGAGAAGCAAAAGCCAAAATTTATTTTCGCGGAATAGCACTAACGCCAGAGCAGGAATAAACACTGCGAAACTCCTCGTAGCGGAAGGGGGAAAGGTGCAGAGCGGCAAGCTGGTGCCCGGGCGAGAGGAGCGGTTTTCGGATTTTTTGGAGGAATATGGCTACAACGCGAAGAAGCACCAAAGAGAAAGGTCGCAGTCGAGAGCGAAGAGAACTTCTGATCTGCTTTTGGACGAAGATCAACAAGAACAGTCGAGCACACAACAAGAGCAAATCCATTACATATTCCCGCCGCCGGAGGAGGTGATGCGCCCTCTGCAGTTGGTCAAAGAACTTTACGACGTGAACCACGGACATACAAATCGGAAGTCCGCGGCGAACAGCAATTTTCTTGCCGGGAACGGTAGTCCCAGCAACAGCTATGGACGCGCGGCGGGAACATCAAGCAGTGGCCAGTTTGGAGCGATCTCGATGTCGCCCCCCAGGAAGCTACTGCGAAACATGAGTACTTTGGGCGCGGGGCGTGGGCAGCTAATAGGAACTACGGGTGGAGGGGGGCTGTTTGGGAATCCCTTTGGCGGAGGAGCCAGTTACGGCTCCCTGCGACCGGCTTCGCGATACAGCTTCGGTGGTGGAGGCGAAACTTCTGCTCCGTCCCGGCAGGGTGGAGAGCGCGAGGGCGGCCAGCACTCTGCTGTTGATCAAGTCCAACCAGCCACGACCGAGCAACCATTCGAGCCGTGCAGCTGCCTCCCATCGCTTATCGGGCATTTTTCCGGCGGCCGAGCGAGCAGTTCGCCACCGGCAGGCAGCAGCAAAGGGAACAACCATGGCGGGCGTGAGGGTGCACAGCATCAGGAGGGGTGGGAGTCTGAGTCTGCAGCCGCACGACCTGGTCAGAGCCACGTGGTCGATCTCGACGCGGCAGCGGGCACGACTAGTGCTGCGACAACAGTAAATCTCGGTCCGTCTTCCACCGAGCTGAAGATAAACCTGTGTCTCGTACAACCCGGAGGTTCATCTTCCTCTGGTGCGGCACCTCTAGACAGACCGAACATGGCTGCAGTTGTACCTGTCGCTGACCGCGCTGTCGCCAGTGTGGTTTCCCCCTTCGGCCCGAGCAACTACAACAAGCCTCCCGTTGCGTTCCGGCGGTCGCAGACGACGGTGATCGCGGTTGCGGAGCCGAGTGTATCAGAAGGCGGGCTTCTGGGCACGCCGACCTTCTCGCCCCCACCCGCTAGCAGTCCGCCGCTGCCGCGGCGAGCGTCGGCGCCCCCGCACGCCGGCGGTCACGACGTGCACCTGCCGACCTCGTTCATGAAACCGAAGAGCCCGCCGGCGGAAAAGCGGGTCCGTCTGTACATTTCCAGAAAAGAGCTCGCCGAGCGCGAGAGGGCCATGCACCGCGCGCAGGCGGAGGAACACGCTGCTGCGGAAGCGAAGAAAAAGGAAGAGGAGGAAAAGGCAAAAACAGCAACAAGTCCAGGAGCGACAGCAGTAATATTCTCTACAACTACAACTATGGCCGCAGCACCTCCAGCGCCGGCGGTCGTAGTTAACGAAGCCCCTGCTTCTTCAACATCGGCGGAAGGAGAGAAAAAGGAGGAGCAGCGCGAGGCGAAAGAGGTCGCGGATATCTCGTCGCGCGTGTCGTCACTGGTCGGCTTTGATTCGATCGTGAAAAAAGCCAGGGCGTCCTTGCTGGGAACGAAAACGACTGTCGTGAAGGCCGCCAGTACCGCTGTTGTGTCCGCCGGCACGGTGCTGGGTGGGGCAACGGACGCTGTTGAGAAGAAGGAAGTGGCGAAGGAAAAGGCAGAAGAGCAAGCTGCTGCCGCGGTTGATGAAGTAGTTGTCGAGGGGGAGAGCAGTGTTGAAGCACCACAAATTCAAGCCACTGTTTCTCCACAAGAGGTCACTAGGACGCTGAGCAACGCTGTATCCGGACAGATCGAGGAAGAACTGCAGACCGCCGGTGTTACTGTTACAACAAACAAAGACAGCACCACGCCACGCGTTATTCAACCAGAGCCATCATCAATGCAGCAGCAGGAACTACATCAGTCTCAGCGCCAGGCTGAGCCTGAATATTCTCAGCAGGCGGCACCAGTGCCTCCGCCTGTGAAAGTGAAAAGTGCCGCGGCAAAGTCGAAAATGATGGGGTCTACTATGCAGCGGTCCCGCACACTTAACTTGGCTGACAGTGAGAAGCCCATGCCCATGCCGCGGACGAGGTCGAAGACCATGGAAATAACTCCAAGGAGCAAGTTCCAGGATTCTGGTGTCACAACCGCGACACCCGTACCGATACCAATGTCGGCAAAACAAACATCGAAGGCAGCAGCTGTTGCAGTTGTGCAACCTGGTGAACCTCCTGCTCCCGCAGCAGCTAAACCACCCGTTACCTCCAGCGGTCCTAGTCTCGCTGGTGCAGCCCCTCCTGCGCCTATCCCGATTCGAATGTCTGCCAGCGAAAACCGGGAGCCACCTGCGGTGAGACCCGTGATCAGCACTGCGAACAAAACTTCCAACGAACAGCAGCCAACGACGATCGACTCCCCCTCTTCCATCGCGACGACCGAGGCCACTACGGCTAACACCTCCACTCTCGGCAATCTCAGCAGCACCGCAAGCGCGGGCACGAGCAGTGCGGCCACTTTGGTCACCTCCAGCAGCAGTTCCCAGAACTGGTCAAAGTTCTCGCGGCAAAGCACCCGACAGCTGGAAGTGAAAGCGAACGCGTTTTCGTTCTCTCCGCAGCTACAGCCGGAGAGCATTGTGCTGGAACGACCTGCTCCTGCTGGAAAGAAGATGGACCCAGGTGGTGCAACAAGAACCCTCGCAGATCCGACGAGCACGCCCGAGGCAGTGGTAGACATGAGTGGGAGGAGCAGTGCGAGTCCGGGAGTGAACGAGCAGATGCAGATGGCGACGGAGAAAATAACAAGTTCAGTTCTGGACTTGCTCGAAAACACCGCTGCCAGCGCAGAAACCGAAAAAACAGTAAACGGAAATCAAGTCCTCGTGCTGGACAGCCAAGCAGATGAACATAACCGAAGAAACTCGGAGGGCACTGCAGTTGGTCTGCTTGAAGAGGGAAAGCACGAACAGATCGCAACGTTCGGATTGCTGTCTTCGTCCAGCAACGGCCTGATGTTGTCCAGTAGCGTGGATATGCACTATGCAAACGTCGATAACGGAAAGAGCGACTCCCCACCGGGTTCTTCCTCCCTAGACTCGTTGTCGTCGAAGAACAGCAACGAGTTACAAGTGCATACTGTTACATCTCCGATTGTTCCGGAGGCGGTGCCTGTCGCAGTTTTTTCCGCAAACAAGAAAGAGCTTGTTGCTGGCAGCAGAGATGAAGAAAACGCAGCAGCAGGAGGTCGAGCAACCTCAGTGGTGCTTCAAGGTGGAGATGCTTTGCCAGAGTCAGAACTTATACGGAAGGTGACGCAGTTGGCACTGGATGCGGAGGAGGAGCTTTCCAGCACAGTGAAAGTGTCCGATGAATTCAAAGTCTTGAACTCGGTAGTACCGACATTGAGGCTGTCAGAGCTAGAGACGGAAATTGTGGATGCTGATGCTGTGCCGGAGGCTGCAGGAGCAAATGAACCTCAGATGGACGATCTTGTTCCTTCTGCAGTAAAGCCTTCCGCCGGCATCACTTCAGCAGACGAACCGCAGGTGGCATCCGTGTCTTCGCCGCTAGTTTTCACGAATAAGGCTGCTTCTTCAACGCCTACCCAACATGAAGGACCCGCTGCTATTTCTGTGAATAAAGCTGCAAATACATCAAAAGCAAAACCAAACGCGAGAAGCCCTCGACAGATGCCCGTCCTTGCGGAACCGAAGAAGACCACGAGTCCCCTCAACGACGCGCGCGCGCCACCCTCTACGCTGACCTCGAAGGCTACAGTGCTGAGTAAGACGAGTACTGTTGCTACGAGTAACGGGAATAAGGCAAGCAGTAGAACATCAGCTCCTCTTGCGGTGGCTGTCAAGCGCGCTGCGGTGGCTGCGACAGGTTTTGCGAAAGCGAGAACGACCAACGGCGTTTCCTCCAGTGCAGCTGCAGTTGGTCCAATAGCAATAAACACAAAAACAAACAAAAATGAAAATCCTGTAGTTCATGCCAATGCGACTGCGACAACCGGTACGACCGGCACGCCGCGAAACGCTAAGGACGGAAACACGCCCACCCTAGTGATGACCCCGAGAACCGATAAAAGCAAGAAAACTGCAGTCACGGCTAGTACAAGCAGCACGTCAAGTAGACCTCTATCATCAATAAATGGTGCGAACAATAAAGCTGGTGGCGCTCCTTCCTCAAAACCTGTCGTGCAGCGTGCAACTCCAAGATCGGGCGGCTCCGTTGCGCCAAAACCAAAGACCCCGTCAGGTTTAGGTAGACCACCACCGCCAGCTCAGCCCTCGAAAGCACTGGACGCCATATCAAAGCCACGGCTCTCGCCAGCAAATGGTAAGGCCAAGGTTCTCGTGAAGACGAAGACCCTCGCGAAGACCGTGCAGGCGATCAAAACAGTGAGCAGTGCTGGCAACATGGCACCGTCAAGAGGAAAGGCGGCCGGAGTCGAAAAAAGTAAAGTCCTCACGACAACTCCAGTCACAGAGGCAGCGACCCCGCCGCAGTGGATTCGCGGCGGTGGTGGGAGGAATGCGAATGGTGTCTCTGATGAAAGAGAGAAAGCCTCTGTTGCCAGAGGTAAGGAACAGGAAGCGGAGGGCGAGGCCGCAACAGCGCCAGCGGCGCATGCTGACGCTGCGGGAGAGGAGGTGATCGATGTTAATAGGGCTGTAGAAATTAGTAGTGCAGCCGGCGCGGTCGGAGTAGAACACCAGCTTCAGCAGCAGCAGGCTATTCTCGAAGGCGAGCATCATCTACACGATCAGCGGACGGATACGGAACATGTAGGTGGGGCTGTAAACCAGCAGCACCACCGCTCGGACGACGAAATCCCATCGCTGTTCAGCAACACGACGACTCCAGCAACTGCGAAGTCGTCCTCTGGTGCACTTGTGATGCAGCAACAGCAGGCGACGCATTCACATGCTACTTTGAGCAGCTTGATGCTGTGGGCACTGGATCAAGGCCGGAATGGCGACAACTCAATCTCTAGTGTAACGGGACAAGAGGTTTTGCCGAGTGCGGCTGCGCAATCGGCGAGAAGAACATCGTGGCGCGAACGCGCGGCGGAGGAACTGTAAGAAAATAGTCTTGATGACGTTAAAAAGTGACAATGTCTGTATGATTGAGATTGTTCGTGTTGTAGAAGTAGAACTCTTTATTCTTAGCCCTTTAGCTTCGTACTTTTACTTTTTCAAAAAGCAACGGGAGATTTGTTCCGGAAATAAAAGCAAATGCAAAACGAAAAACTTGCCGCATAACAAAAAAAAACAGGTCTGCGATGAATTCCACAGCGGCCTACGGGAAGGCGAGCAGAAAGATACCAAAGCCCGATGGGGAGAACGCTCCGCTCTTTGGTATCGACGGGTATGAAGGTGACGACATTGTAGATGTCGGTACAGATGAACCCGAACAGATGCCAGTGCCCCGGGATGTTGACGATGACAGCGTCACCATGAACGGAACAATAGCTGCGCCGCAACCTGGGCCAATCAAGAAGCGAGTTACGAGTTTCACCAGCAGTAGCCAACCCCAACCACAGTCGGTAGCGTTGGTGTTGGAGGAGCAACTACAACCTCTGCAGCAAGCCAAAAATTCAATTTTTTGTGATCCGCAGGAGCGGTTTGCAGGGGAGTTGGAATCTGGAATGAACTCCGACTCGACCATTGCTTCCAATATGCTCAAGCTGCAGAAGAAGCTGACGCAAGCGAAGAGTGGCACAAATGGAGGGTTGGCGATAAAAAAAGTTGGAGGCAGCTCCTCTGCTACTTCCACACTACTTTCGTCATCCACTACTCCCTCAGGTGGAAAGACAGCTAAGCGAAACGGCAACCCGGGAAAAGTACGATCGGAATCAGATCGCAGTGCCACGAATGGAGATGCTGGCGCACACAGCAAGAAGCGAGAGAGGACAAAGATCAATTCGACTTCAAACACATCATCTGTTCATCTAGCGTCTTCACACAGGAGCATGACAAATACCGACGGCATCATAGACGAGCTCGAGGAGGAGGATGACCCCCAGCACACCTTCGATATAGACGAAACGCACCCCCTCTATGCGCATCATTTTGACACCGTAGCGCCGTCTTCTTCTACCACCTCTACGACCACAATGATCGACGCAGCAGGAACATCAAATAAGGACGACATAAGCAGAGCTGCAGCAGCTGTAGGAGCTAGCGCTAGCTCGCAGAACGAGGACGGAGAGGCTTCTGTAGCTCCCAGCAAACAAGCTACCACCTCGCGCCGATCCCACGCAGGGATTTTTGGCGTGGTCCTGCACAGCCACAGCCTGGCAGAGGTCAAGAAAACGCCAATAATCAGCAGCCTGTCGCAGGGGCAGGGTGGAGAATCCTTAACAACTTCAACAACGACGCTATCCGCCTCCACGAAAACAGCGAGCACCCTGCTTTTCCACCGACAAGCGCAGGACAGCGCGGGTATGATGCGGGAGGTGGGAGGGGCGCCGGCTTCAATTGAAAAGCTACCGCAATAGCGATCGACGTTCTTTTAGTACCTAGATAGATGTTACTGTGAGTTGCTCTCTTTTGTAGCATTAAGCTGGATTATTTTTGTTTGTACTTTCAGACGGCGGTCCCGTTGTAGTTGTGCGATCAATATCAAGATAATAAATTTTTTCACCTACCCAAGTACGGACTTTCACGATGATCAAATAGACGTTTCTAACTGGTACACCAGTACGCACTTGCACAAGAAGAACGAAAACAGTACAGACCTCTTCGCAGGAGCTGCAGCTGAAGCGATTGTGCAGAAGGCTGCCATGATCATGCTTTTGATTGGTGTTTTCCAAGATCAAGAAGTACTCGCCTTGGATCAACCGAGTGGGAAACTTGCACCGTCTCAGTTTGCTAGCACCCAGTGCCCGCGTGGATGCTTAGCGTCAGATCAAAGTAAATGAAGTTTAGCGTGAATGCCGCTATGGATGAGCATCTGTATCCGATCACCTCGAACATACAACTGCAGAAGTCAACTTCTAAGGATCAAACAGAAAAGATCAATTCCCGGTCCTCCTTCAAACGAAATGAGGTAGGAGAGAAACAGGTCAAGAACAAGGATCGAAGAAAAACCCTTGTTCATGTTCAGATCGAAGGAAGACGGATCAATAAATATGGATCCCGTGGTGTGGTGTTGAGCAGCCCGCTAGCGTTGCTTAAGGAGGTCGCATGGAAGTCAAAAATTGACCTGCTGCAAAACACAGCATGATGAAAAAAACATTTTCTCTGCTACATCAGGAGTTTCAGGCGCAAAAACAAAAAGTCTTTCTGCCACACCTCAGCATGGTGCAGCATTGATCCTGTATGTCTCGCTATTTCGCCACGACGATTATTATGGCCATGTGTTGTAGTTGCATCGACATTAATTTTGATACCTGCTCCTGCACTGGCGAGGACTTTTTCTTCTTCTAGACAAAGAAAACAAGCTCAGTTTCATTTCCGTCGCTCATATAATCGACTTCCCAAACCAAAAGCAGCAAAAAAAAACATGGCAGCCGGAAAGAAGAAGTCGAAATCCGGCGGTGCCTCTGGTGCTGCCACCGCGCAGCAAGCCGGAACAAAAGCCAGTAAACAAACCGCTTTCGCCGGCGTGCTTTTCCGGAGAAACTTACTCAATTTGAAGATCGAGCGGTTGCTGCAGCAGATTGAAATTCCGAAGACCGAGATCAGCAAGATCGAACCCACGTTGCACGAAGTCTACAAATTACTGCAGGAATGCCCGGAGCGCGAGTTCGGGCTCGAAAAATTCGGCGAGCAATTCGACGAAAACTTGTTCCATTTGTACAACGACTACAGTGAAGATAAAACTCCAGCAAGAACTTTTGCTTCATCTGGCCGCGAACGGGAGGAAGCGAACGCGACATCAAACAAGAACAAAACGTTTCACTTCACCGCGCCGAAGAGAATCGAGGTGGTGGGCTCTTTTCTGTTGAAGACCATGGTCAAGAAGCAGGTGGACTTGGCAGTGTTTTTACCGGAAAACCTCTTCCAGTCCAAGGACCACGTCAATTATCGATACGGTACGTTGTTTTGTCATGGTATGGCCTACGTTCGCTGGTCTAGTCTGATGCCACGAGCGTGGTCTTCCATTGATGTCAGTTGCGCATATTACGCAAACGCTTCCGCTTCCTCATTCCTATGTAGATGTGATTCCTGTCGTGTGTATTTTTGACATATTATTTAAGGATAGAATGAGTTGTGCACCTGTTTGAAATCGCTACAAAGCGAAGAAAAAACAACCATACGAAAATATACTTCTACACGATCCATCTACAACAGCTGACAAGCGCACTGCGTACCTGGCCGTCCTGTACCAGTTTCTGTGCGAGAAACTGCAGCCGTCGGAGGGAGCAGATTCGACGAAAAATCCGGAGAGGACCAAGCATTTGAACGTCGAGTACATCGACGGAAATCTTTACCGGCCGGTCATCGTGCTGACCACAAACAACTGGAAGCTCCGCATTCTCGGCACGGTGGAAAACGAAGTGAAGTTTCCCGATATGAAATTGCAACTTTGGAAAAACGGCTTACGACCGAAATTCGACGTGCCTTCTGTTACTGCGCATCATCGAAACGTCGAGCAGTATCTGCCCGCGACGCCGTTCTACAACAGTTTGTTGCTCGAGGACCTGTACGCCACTCGCGTTCTGCATCTGCAGCACCAAGCGATCGAGCAAACGCCGGAGCTGAAGTACGCGATTTTGCTGCTGAAACGCTGGCTCATCGTGCGGGACCTGTCCGAAGAGCTCCATTGCCCCATCGGCATCCTGGCCTGCCACGTGGTTTTGGGCGGGGGTAACAATACCACTTCAGGGGGAGCAGGAGCAGTTGTAGGCAACGTCCTCGGAGCGACAGCGACAGGTAGCAAGAAAAATTCTTCTCTGCTCAAATTGCGGGATCCGATGCAGATCTTCAAGGCGTGCTTGAATTTCATCGTGAAACAGCAAGAGAAGTACGAGGAAATCAGGAATTCGATCGTGGAAAAGATATTGACTGCGGAGGAGACCGAAGCAAAGGGGAGTACCAGAACCGCAGGAACGGCTGGCAAAACCGAAACGGAAGCGGAGAACAAGACCATGCTAGAGGCCGATCGGGTGAAGAAAGCACAGGAACGGGAGGATCGGAAGGCGCGATTTTCCGAACTGCTCAACGAACTGCCGGAGGACAGTGTGTTTCAGCAAATTCCAAAGCATCACTTCGACGGGTCGGGCGGCTGCCTGCAGCAATTGAAGAACAACGGGGGGCTCTCGTCGAAAAACGCCAATGCTGGCTCAGCAGCTGTAACCGCAGTGGCTTCCCTGGAAGAGCTGCTGCAAGCGGATCATACCAAGAAATCCTCAGGAGCAATGTCGGGGGCGAAAAGTACGAATAGTGCAGCAGGAGCTGGTTCCTCCAGCGGAAAGAAGGGTCAGCCGAAAGAAACTTCCGTGGAGCAGGGCATGCGCCTGACGAAGGTCAGGTTTCTCAACCTGTTCGTGGGTGAGTTGAACATTTTCCAGAAGTTTCCCCTCCCACTGCTGGAAGAACTCGCCTTCGAAGCCAAACTGACGCTGAAGACCTTGGACAGCAGCGACGTGGTGATCGGAGGTGGACCTGCTTCGACAGCACGAGCGACCAAACCAAACGACTTTGCGTTCGAGCAGACCTTTTCGGTATTGCAGCGCCCCGAATTTCACTGGGACCAGAAAATTGTTCTGGATTTACCAGAAACCGGAAGCACTTGCTTGAATAGAAGTGCCCGACTACATGATGATCATGGTGTTGGACAAAGGAAGGGGAGGACAGCTGCACAAGAAATTTCTAGTGAACCATCGGACATTGATCAAAAGCTGTCAGCGTCATCCTCCTCCGAGGCCCCTGAAAGTGTGCAGGCGGTGGAGAAAGCCGTCACGTTATTGCGGAAAGGTCTGGGCCAGTCCCGATTATGGCGGGTTTTCGTGCGATTTTGCAACGGTACAAGTCCACAACCGGAGAACCGGGAAATAAATGACGAGAAGATCAGCGCCAACAACAAGAAGAGGAGAACCAACAACCGCCTGCAGGCCATCATTGGTTTGAAGCTTCAGTTTCCCCGTGAGGCGGAGAAGAAAATCCTGCGCGGCCCCTCGGCCGACGACAGTGCGAATGTGAAAAAGTGGCAGCAACTTTGGCCGGCGAAGAACCTGGAAGTCCGGCGGTTCCGCGACGGAAAGATCCAGCAGTGCGCGGTATTTTCCGACAAGGAGAGGCCGCTGTCGATCCAGATCGTCGACGCGCTGTTGGAAAAACATTTTCCAACCAACGTCCTTGTCGACGACGAGAGGACCACCTCCAAGAACATCACGCAAGTGGATGGGAAGGATGAAAACACAAACGTCTCTACTTCGAAAAACACGAAGAGCAAGAAGCGCGGCAAGCAGGTCGACGTAGTTCTTGACAGCACAACTTCAGCATCTACTTCGCCCTCGACTTCTACTGCGCCAGCGGTCGTACCTTGTCGTCGTCCGCTCGCCCGGCGGTGCGACCTGGGTCCGGAGCCGGTCTCCGCGCACAAGCACGCCCTTGGGCTGGCCTGCTGGAAGGACTTTGAGGAGCTGAAGGACATGCTGCTGAACAACACGGAGATGGAGCTGCCGCTCCAAATCTCCCGCGTGTTGCCCTCCAGCAAGGGGTTTTCGTACAACTACGCGGAGGTCGTAGATCCTTCTGCTTTGGTGGAAGCAGCAATTACTGCGGTACTAGGAAAAGATCAGACATCTCTAGCTCAAGCCACCCGTCCGGATACTATCACGTTTCAGAACAGCGAGAAGTTTCTGGAGCATGTCATTATCGAGTTCGAGTGGTCGGCGCTGTGGCCTCGCGACAGCGAGCAGGCGATCCAGGTGTTTCAGGGCGCGTTTCTGCTGGAAATCAAGAAACAACTGGAGGAGACGAAGCAAGTAAGAGCGGAGGTGGGAACGGAGTTCGTCCTTGATGGTGCAACTACGAGAAGGGCAGATGATGTCTTTAAAACCTTGCCAAACGCAAACGCTCTCCGCACGGCACCTTCTCAACAACAAGCATCTACTTCCAGCACTTCTATCCCCCGTGCTTTCCTGGACGTGATTTTCCCGAATCGGATCTTTCGCATCCGAATTTTCTACCCCTACGCGCCCTCGGTCACGGAGAACGCCCGGTTTCTGACGTTCGGCGCCCAAGTCAAATCGAAGGACATCATGGACGTTCTGCGCGTCCACGAGAAGAAGGATCAGAATAGTACAGATGCCGGCTCATTGAAAGCAGCGACAGAAACCGACGGAACCGGAGGCGCTGAAGACGCTGGTGGTAGTGAAGCGAAAGATGATCAGTCTTTACCAGGAGACATGAAAGAGGCAGAAGAGCAGGGGCTTTGCTCTGCCGAGGAGATCCACGCCAACAACCTGCTTGCGGACGCGCACGACCGGCTTCATGAGCTCCGCGAGAAGTGGTGGCGGCCGAAGATCCGCCAGGCCTTCCACACGCTCGCCCTGCAGCAGCCCAACTTCTGCAAGACTTTGCAACTCGTCAAGAGGTGGCTGGCCGCGAAGTTGTTGCTCACCGCCGACGGCGGGTCCACAACTTCCTCTTCGCAGCAGCGATACGAGGACTTTTTCGAGCACCTCACTGCCTTCGTCTTTTCGCAAGCCAGTTCCAAGACGTGCTTCGCCGGGTTGCCAACCAGCGCCAACGCGGGGTTTGCGCGGTTTCTGTGGACGGTCGTGCACGTCTTGACCGGGGAGTCCCTACTCGTCTTGGAAGACTTCGGGTTTGCGCCGCCGGAAGTGGAAGGTAAAATGATATATCTTCAAAACTCACATTTCGAACTACAGGTCTAATAGATACTGAGTCGAGTAGCTAGCACTGAAAATAAATGAGATTTTCAACCTTCCACTCGAAATCTAGATCTACATTATCGTAGCAAAGGGGTCATCAAGAAACTCAAAATCTTCATCGCATCGATATCTTTCAGGTGCTGAAACTGGTTTGGCGCAGGTGGGACTTTCTGCCAACACGACAAACCATTTCAATCCCTCCACGGAGCAAACACAACTCACCGAGGAGCAGCTCCAGCTGCTACAAAACAGCTACGAGCGAAGACGTGGGAACAACAACACGAGCGGGGGTAGTTCATCGAGCTCGTCCTGCAATTTGGTTTATTGCCTGGTAACTCGCTACGACCCGCACGGAGTGTTCCTGCAAGTCCCGGGCCAGTCGTACCTCGCAAAGTTGAAGGAGCATGCCGTCGAGGGACTGCAGCTGCTGAAGGAGCACAGTTTTAATACTACTGGTGAAATTTTCCCAGCAGCAACCACGTGGTCACCACCAGGAGCATCGTCTTCAAGTAGTCCAGTGGGTCTATCTTCACCAGAACAAAATACGACTCCTCACAACCCGGCAGCGAAGAGAAGAAAAACCACTTCTTCTATCGACGATGCAGCGAAGGTGTTGAGTGTCCTCGACGAGGAGAACAACAAACTACCTGGCTCAACAGCAACATTTCAGTTATGCAGGCAACTCCTCGCCTCTCCGAGACCGGAAAAGTTCGACCTGCAGATTCAGATTTTTCCGTTCAAGAGGAAGCAAGCGCAAGCCTTGAACCGCACGCATCCCTTCTTCACCGACTGCTGTGCAGAGTTGCTGAAGGAAGTTGGAAGCAGCTTTGTGGAAAAAATGAAGCAAAAATACGGCTCCTGGGCTACGTTTTATTTTGCGAACAACAGTAGAACATCAAGTGCCGCTGTGCGCGTCGTGGAGGAGAGCAAGGCATCCGCAGCTTCTATGACGATCGCGGTGGAGTGGAGAATGGAAGCCTTCGAACAAAGCGGGCTAACTACATCGCAAACTGATGAAGAACAGCACTACGACGTCGACCAAAAAATGAACAGCAGAAGCGCGAAGAACATGAATTCTGCTAGTACGAAACTGAACAAGGCAAACACCCTGAAGCGGTTGATGTCCCGGGGATGCAGCTATGGTGCGGGTTCTGCGGCCGCCCTGCCCGATACGGACCAACTGTTGAATGACGTGAAAATGTGGCTTCATGGAATTCCGCACAGGGTAGTTTTTGCGTAGAGTAGATAACAAGAACTGGTGGACATGAGTGCACATTAAATTTGACACGCTTCTGCAATGAACAACAGGTGTTGCCTGCGCGCAAGTATGTATACTGACATCGACGGACTGCTGCAATAGAGATCATGACCAAGACAATCCTGAAGATGATTTGATTTGTTAAAAACGTCAAAACTACTGCTTGTATTCTGAAGTCGAAAACGGGAGGTGAGACTTTTGATCGTCCTCTCCTCTCTGACCTCTGCATCTACCGTGTATCCCTTTGTTCGAACACGAAGACAAATGTGAGATGCAGCGAGCGTGATGTTACCAACCAGTGTTGAAAGAATAATACCATCATGATCGGTCAGCAGCAGCAACAGCACGAATATTAGCACTAGGATGAAAAGGAACGTACAATTATAGATACTCTACATGCTCTTGCTCGGTATCGTGCGCAATGCCTTGCTTGTATCATGATTTCGGTTTTTGGAATTGTATCGTGTCGTGCCTGTCGTACACAATGTGGTCGTACAAACTGATGTTTCTCATGATTCGTGCAGCATGAAAGGGTTACTTACCCGTTTTGTCGTGGTGCAAGCGTGTCGGTATCGTAGCGTTGGTGGATCCGTTCCACTATACCTCACTAATGTCTGTGCGTACATTTTCGATAAAAGCAAGCTTGTCGGTTCTTTTTGGTCGTCGACTACAGTCCGTCGTGAGTCATGTTGGCGAGGACATTCGGACTTGGCATACTTTTAGTTGCACCATATTGATATTGGCCATTTACTTTTGGCGTCCTTTGGACGCGACCACGAGAAGGCCATCGCTTCTACGACTTTATTTCTTTGTTGGTACTAGGAGTTGCATTTGTTTGTACGTCTACGTTTTGAATTGTCCGGCAACAGTGACTGTGACATGCATGGATACAAGTACTGATTTCAATATATGACTTCTTGTTCTGGAAATCCAAGTCAGAATACACACACACACACACGCACACACGCACACACGCACACACGCACACACGCACACACGCACACACGCACACACGCACACACGCACACACGCACACACGCACACACGCACACACGCACACACGCACACACGCACACACGCACACACGCACACACGCACACACGCACACACGCACGCACGCACACACGCACACACGCACACACGCACACACGCACACACGCACACACGCGCACACGCGCACACACACGCACACACGCGCACACGCGCACACACACGCACACACGCACACACGCACGCACGCACGCACGCACGCACGCACGCACGCACGCACGCACGCACGCACGCACGCACGCACGCACGCACGCACGCACGCACGCACGCACGCCTAAACCCTAAACCCAAACCCAAAACCCAAACCCAAACCCTACCCTAGATCTCTTACTTTTTGAATTTCAATTTTCGCGATCGGGTCACAGGCGTTTGCTTACTGGTATTAATTACCGAACAGGTGGTTTCACTTTCAACTTAAGCAAGACAATCTCAAGATGAGTACTAATTATGTTTTCCAAATACAGATGATGAAGTGATCAGATGTGCGCATTTTTGCGCAAAATTCTGATTTACCATCGATCGATAGACAGGTTTTAAAAAATCCAATTTTTCTGAGATCTTAGCCAAAGTAGCTATAGATTGACACTAGGTTTTTTTGTTCGACTTTCGCTAAAAACACGTTAGAAGAAGGAAAACCCAACCGACGGATTCATTGCCACGTATCCGCAGTAGCAAACAAACAGCCAAACAAGTCTGGAAAGGCAATAGGTGCAAGAAGATGACGAAGTGAAGGCGTCTTGATTCACCACGTACTCCCGGATCGCCACGAATCCAAAACGAGTTACAAGAAACAACCAGACAAGTAGCTTTCTGCTTCAATACAAAGCAAAACTATATCAAAATTATACTTCCAAAACAAAATCAGTGTCTACTCTACAACCTCTATGTCTTTTCAAGCGAGCTTATGAACTGTTTGTACTACATCAGTTCCTTTTTTCGCAAGCTTTTCAATACAAAAAAAAAGATAAATTGAAGAGTGTGTAGGTCTTCGTCTTGTGGTGAGATATAAAAACTTCTGGGATAAAGCTTGCGCAAGTCAGTGGCCACCGGGCGCGGGTTTAGTCGCGAGAGTTAGATTACCATTACCAGTCTTCCACTTCTCATGATCATATAAGGCTGGCGCACGTGCATTGTAGTGCGAGTGAGTGAATGCACGTTGAGAAAATCATGTGGGTAATGGTATTGTAATATGACATTTGTGTGATTGTGAGATGACGATAAGCGGAGTTATTAAGATAAACGCAAAGCGAATATAATTTCGCAACTACCCTTGTTTGTGGCCCTAAGAAAAGTACAACTCTGGCGAGTTTCTATGTTAATGGAGTGTTCTTTCGTTTGGAGATCATGATCATCTGTGTGCGTCTTCCGCACGAGGACGAGCGAGCCGAGAAGTTTTCAAGTTCAACAGATAGAGATATGCTTTGCATTCTAGGATTTCCTAACAATATGCGACCACAGGCTTTCTTCTGTGTTGTAGTTGTATCGCTCATGATAATGATTTTAAGAAGCGCACGCTCGCGTCGCTCAGTTTCTTGAGCAGAGGATCCCTGTTGTGTTTCTGTGCCCTTCTTTAGACAGGGGCAGCACCAGTAGCACCCGATAAGCCGGATGCCGGAGCGCAATCATAATTGATTTTATTAGGTAAAATTAATAACTAACAGGGATATTATCACACCAGCAAAAAAAAACAAATTGTTCTTTTTTGTTGTGATGTGTTGGAGCTGCAGCTGTGCAGCGGTTTAAGAAGACTGGGAAGAACGAAGCAGCGCCATAAGATGAATGAAACTGTTGAAAGAATACCCTCACACGAAGAGAAAATGATCCTCGCTTTCGTTATTTACTTGTAACCGTGAAAAAAATAAAAAGCGTAAGCGTAAGCGAAAAGAATGAATGTGATTCCATGATGCAGCCGTCAGCCACAAGCACAATCGCCATCATCTGTGATAGCGCAGAAGTTTGCACAAGAAGCTAGATCATTTAGGAAGCGAAAGCGCTACATGGCAATTTCTATCTCGACAAAACTTGTGCCCACGTCGCATTTTCTTTGTCCCATCTCTCTCGCTCAAAGCGACGACCGCTACTTCCACTTCGAGATGAACGGAAACGTTACAACTTAGCAGTTCCTTCGATCAAAGCATCTCGTCGTGTTTTTTGCTACGCAGTCCTGAAGATAGATAAAGTAGAAGCTCAAGCACGATATAATTGAACAGTTGGAGTTCTCAGTGTCGGTTGTGCATGGATGTGCCCCACAACCGCGAGAACATGGCAAATGAAATATTTGGTGGAGAAAATATTTGTAAACGAATATTTATTTCTATCATATTTCTGACGTAAAACAGCAATACTCGGCCGGGGTCAAAGTGCAGTCGGGTCCTTCTTTTTCATGGCTCACAAAGATAGGCTGAGATGATTGAGGAAAGGGTAGAGGATAAAATTTTTCTGACTAGTGTGTACAACTATAGACTCAGAGGGTTTTTATTTGATATTGTGACCATAGTGATCCACTACGATACTGGTTAGTACTTGACCAAGCAGGTTGAGATTGGCTGTAGTAGTAAAATAGAACGCACACTGCTTCGTACTCGAGACAGCTCGTCTGTAACGAACAAGATGGAAACAGAGGAGGACAGCGCGATTGATTTGATCAATGCAATCCAATGCGACCTGGGCGAATTATATCCGCGACAGCATCCGGTTTGATTGAAGGCTGGCCCATACGACGTTTGCCATTCATGATATTGAAATGATATTAACATTGCCTGCAACGTCTTATACATTTTCCAGAAAAAGAAATGACAGACTGATGAAAGCACGTGAAAAATTTCAATGTCATGGTGCATTGTGGAGAAACTGAAAGGGATGGAGAAATAAGTAAAAATCTCTGCGTCCTGGGATCAGGATCTATTTATGGACAGGGATATACTTGTTGCGGTTAAACGAAGACGAGAAACGCGTATAAAACGCTATACACGACTGAGGAGGCGGAAGCCACTCAACGAGTCCGTGATCAAGAGTACGGCGATCTCGTCGCTCCACCTCTGGTCTCTTTGCAACAGCTCTACATTCATTTTTCTGGAACAAGAACTGTTCCGGATGATCATATTCTTTCAGTCCCATCAGCAGGAGGGCCAGAGCTAGCAGAGGAAAGCGAAAGGGAAAGCATGATTTACTGTGCATGACAGACAAAGACAAACGTCTTGTGACGGGCTGGCTTCTTCAAAACTGCTTTCGTATGATACCAATACCCCGTGCAGCGCAGCCAATGACTTGCTGCTCTCGCCATTTGGAGCTGAGGACCTGTTGGAGGGCTTATTCAACAGCAAACAAAAAAAGTTCGTCTTGTGTGTATCAATGCGCGAACTTTGCATCGGTACTTTCGTATCGCAATGAGTTTCGGAATCTGACTGTCATGCTGAAGGAAGGCACACGCACATCAGCCTTGGGAAGAAAAAAGGCGAGACCTGCTCTCCAAGAATCATCGAATGACGTAAGACAACTTGTTTGAGGCGGCACTTCCCACCCTGCTTCAGATGTAGCTGCACATAGTGATCTATACGCGCAGCGTGAGCAAGTGTAGAAGTTGGAACAGCTTCACAACTACATGTACATCAGAATGCATGTTGACAACATGCACATGCTCACGACGAACTGTTTTGCATTCGGATATCAAAACAAGGAAAACCGTAGCGACGCGGTCACCATAGGAGCACCTTCCGGTTTTATCCAAAAAAAAAATATTATGTGTTACTGCAACTTTTTTGGTGCATTTTAGCACGACAGTAAAATCTTCATGTTTTCATGCGCAGATAGTTTTTCGTGAAGGTGAAAATGCTAGACTGCATGGCCTCCAGCATAACAGACGGAATCAAACCCTTCTGTTCTTGTGTGTTTCGCAACACATTATGCTTACATGACCAGTAGCACATTTTTTTTCTCCCATAGGTTCGTCGTTGTCGCTGCTCAACAGCAGCTCTTGCGCAAATGTCACCTCCAGCAAGGGCTTTTTGGCCACCTCCAAGGGCGGTCCGACAACGTGTACAACGTCTAGTACAACATCCGGGACAACTGCGGCGATGTACGCACGCCCGTCCTCCAAAGCCGCGGGGAAAATGCTCGTCGCACAGCAACAGGACCTCCACTCCTCGGCGGGGAAGCTCCTGCTGCAAGGTGGTGGTCCTCCGCAAGGAGCAGGAGGTTTTACTTCGCTCATACCGGCTTGCTCGAAATCGAAAGCTGCGCCCTTTCCTGCGACGACAGCGAAGTCTTGCTATCCAGTCGTGCAACTACAGGATTTTTACTATCATTTCGGTGCAGTTTGTTCGGGCGGTCAGGAAGAAGCGGAAGATAAACATAAAGATTACCTTAGTCAGTCTTTGCATGGTCGTGTGCTGGAAGATAGCGTATTTTGAAGCCTTGTGCGTCCGCCAGGATCAGGAACGCCACCTCCCCATAATCACAGGACATGCAGATTCTTGATTTTTTACGGCATAGACCTCCAGCCTTTGGCACGACGCACTGCACGGGAGCGGCCGGGCAACTTTTAGGCAACCTCAGAAGTGCAATTTTAGATTTAGACTTCGGGAGGTGCCAATGTTACGTACCGCATTGCTGGAGGGAGTTGGTTGTCAAAACCAAAGCCCGACGAGACTAGCAGATGTGCGAGAACTACGACGACCGCAGGAACAACGAAATAAACCGACATGATTGCACCTGTATTTTTTGCACACTGTGATACGCTTGCGGGTGGTGGAGCCGCGTCCGCTGCACTGGGTGGCGGCTCATCGATTTCTGGTGCTTGTTCTTTCGCGAACGCCAACAGTGCTGCGCAGTCTAAGGCGGCCTCACTGGCGCTCGGGATGAAGGGAGCCGACATCACGACAGCTGGCGCAGGCAGTGGCGCACCTCCCGCTCTGTTGCCGTTGCCACCAGCTGTAGGGGCGGGTGGAACAAATAAAAATAATGCAGCAAACGGCCTGGTGTCATCTACATCCACTTCGATTTCGCGAACAGCCGGACCATCATCTACGTATGGCGTTCTGAAGAAGCCGACGGCTTTTCTACCTTCAACGGCGGACCTGGTGGTGCGGGACACGACCGCATCGTCGCAGATGGTCGGCGGTCCGAATGGAGGCGCAGGGATGATTAGGCCGAAGGCATCTTCCGCTGCCGCGGGTGCAGCCAATACAGCGCCAGGTGCTCCTGTGGTCGGGCGAAATCTTGCTGCGGGCACAACAGGTTATACCCTCTTGCAAAACGCGCCTGGTGCTCCAGCAGTTGGCGCCGGTTCTGCCACAGGTAGTGGCCCACTTTCCGCACCACATGGTGCTGCAGTGGGAGGTATTGTAGATGGGGGAGTACAACTTGGAGGAGGGCTGTCATCGAATTCCGTTGGTGGTGCGACTAGGACTGGTAATAACATCATGTCTGCGGCTACATCAAGTTTCGGGGGTCCGCTTTCCAGTAGCAGCATCGCGAGTGCGGCCGCAGCGGCGGGTCTGGTGGTGAAAAACACGACATCGACGGCACAACAGTTGGCGCAGCAAGCAGGAGCAGCGAGTGCGGTAGTTCATCCCGGCGGTAGCAAGACCATTTTGAATCCTAGCGCCGGGGGCGCGTTCGTCCATCCGGGCGGCAGCTCAGGCGCACCAGCGGGGGCGGGCCCGGCTAGTAGTGGGCCGACTAGTTGTACAGGAGCTGCAATTTCCTCCACCGCGACAACGACAGCTACAACTTCTAACCCGCAGCCTCCTTTGCTGGTAAAGTCCAAGACGAAGATGCGCATCCCCACCAAACAAAGCCAGCCAGCCGCTATGAGTGCCGGCGCTTCTTCATCTCTGGCCGTAGCAGGAGCCGGACATGATGGCGCTTGCAATACATCATCAAGTAGCATGCAATTGCGAGGTGGTGGAACACAGTCGGCCATAGTTGGCGGGGCTGCACCGACGACTACACTTCCTGTGGACGATTCGCCTTCAGAAGGCCCGCCAGCTGGCAGTTTCCAGCCAAAGCGCGTGACCATTATGAGCCGGAAAAAACCTGCTCTGCAGCAGCCGATCGGAGGCGGAGGTACAGGAAATATTGCGGGGATCCCGAATAAAAGCCATTTAGCACCAAGTACCGGGACGACGATGTTGAATAGCAGCACTTCGCAGCCACAGGTGATCAAGCTGCCACCAACAATCCTCGGCTTGGAAGACGAAATTCCTGCGGCCGCGAGATCGACGTTCCTTGAAGGCGGGGCTGCGGCACTGCAGATGCGTATGGCACAGAAAAACACAAACGAGTTCTTGTCTTTGCTACAATTCGTCATGCTCATCCTCATGTGTGTGTAAGAAGAAATTTGATGAAGGATGGCTTGCAAATACTTATTGTCGTGCGGATGTGTATTTTTGCTCATGCGAACCGCTCCTCGTCGGCATTTACTTCCGGGGGATTGATATCGGAGTTTCATCTCCTGTAGTGTCTGCAAAAGATCAATCCGTAATCATCACATTCACACGTAAAGCCGAGCACTTTGACTGTCTGACTGTGACGATGCGAGTTATGATTCTGAAACGAATGCAGACTACGATTGTAGTGACAGGGACAGATGAGCACACAGCACTCAAGCTGCAGACTACCTGGAATTCCCTTCCGGCTGATGGTACTACTGCCAGCGGAACTGTGTTTGGCACTTGCATACGCGAAGCGGCGGCTGCTGCAACCGGAGCGAATGCGTCCAACCCAGGTGTAGAGGAGGCTATGACCAGCAAGAAACCAGACCAGTAGTAAACTCAACACGTCGATAGTTCAGGATTTGGTTCTAGAGGAGATTTTATTATTTTCAAGTTGTACTGGCAGGGTGCATGCGGGCAAGCGATCCAATCGCAGTCAGAAGCATGAGCGTGAATTTATTCACGTGTTGCCAGTTCATGAAGCAACAAGCAGCCTGCCAGAATTCGCTTCGTTCTTGTTTATGGTGCTACTGTGTGCGAGAAACGCTGCTCCAAAAAAGGAGCTACGGTCGTTGCGTAGACTTCTGGAGGTATAACTTGGTGTGTGAGGACATGAGAATGGGCGCCCTTGGATGAAGCTATACAAAAAACTGCACGCATCCTGTACATACGACAACGACGTGTTGTGATTACTTACTAGCGGTTTTGCTAGGATGCCCACCGATGATATCCAAGGAAAAAGCTGCGCACTAGGGTTGTTACTGTGACTTCATTCTTGGAAAACTGACAGCATGACCAATACAAATACTTGGTTTTTTCTATGTATGTTGAAACGCACCAAAGTTGGTTTTGTAGTGGACAAATTCCCAGTCTAACGAGCTATCTTCACGCTCATGGTTGTCCTCTCGCAAGACGAGTGTAAACTGTTCTGCGCGGCGTGCAGCAGGAATAGCGAACAAATCTTCACATGATTGAAGTTAAACACAAACTTTTTTCTCCCGGATAGACGACCTAGACGACGAGTTCGATGACGACGATGATTTGGACGATTTCGGTATCATATTGTTCTAGTGCCTTTGCAACTTCTAACTTCTTGCCTTGTGCTGCGCCATCTTTGTATGTACTTACCATTAGCGACAGCAGGAATGAATGCGTATGTGAATGAGAACGAAAATGGAAAATAGAAATCAAAGAAATTCCTCAAATTCCATCACATCACGACCCAGATTCCTACATTCCCCCTGGTGTGTTGGAGATGCAGCAAGCGGGTATTTCGACTGCGGTCTCACACGGTTCGTCTTCCGCAGCCTCCGCGTGTTCGGAGCTTCTGCAGACCGGTAGCTGCACGGCTGCCGGTGGCGCAAGTGGAGGCTCGTCGTCTCATCTGGGCGGCGGAATACCAAACGATGCGACAGACGCTTCGTCTGCTGCCGCGGCAATTCTTTCATCCTCCGCCGCTGCAGAAGAAGCAGAGGGCTTACCGTCCTCCGGCGTGGGTACCGCTGTCCCGGCGAAGAATATTGGCACATCTAGTACAACCCACACGGGAGGCAATAATCAGCATAATTTTGGTCGCGCTCCATTTCCTACTTCCGCCGCCGCAGGAGGCAATGCGCAAGCTCCTGGGCTGCAACATCACCACCACCAGCAAGCTGGAGCTGGACCGCCGACGACACATTACACCATCACCCCGAGCGGCGAGTTGATTCAGACGGTCTCTCCTGGAGCGGGAGCTGCGCCGCATATGGCCTCGCCTCCGACAATGAATATTACTTCGCAGCCCGCAGGCACTGTACCTCCGGCGCACCAACGACTGCAGCAACACCAACAGCAGAATCCCGTCGGAGCCCCCGGAGGTGGAGCAGCAAGTGGTGGCACAGCCGGTGGACGACTCAACGAAGCCCAAGTTGTTCCCTATCAACACGGCACTTCTGGTACGACTACGACTGCAGTTTCAGTTAATCAGCAGTTCGTATTACAGTGAAAAATGCCCCCACCGCCAAAGTTGCAAGAATTTGTGATGCGAAGTTTCCAAATGAAAACTTTTTGTCATGCATAAAAGGAGAAGTATGAGTCTTGTTTAGCTTTGTCTTTCTGATGCCGAGTCTAGGCGCAGTTCGCATCGCTTGCATGACAAGCGCCGCTGTTGCGGGGATCTTTTGCAATACAAATTTTTGCTATTCACGATTGGAGATCTGTGACGCTGATAGATGCAAGAGGGCGGGCGTTTCATTTGGAAAGGTTTGCAACACAAATGCTCCCAAGTTCGGGGGTGGGGGCATTTTTCATTGTAATAGTTCGCGCCAGCACGACCGGCCCCATCCTCGACGTCGACTTTCCCGACTTTTCAGGCCGGCTCTACACAGCAATCGCACAATGTAGTTTTCCCGCCGAACAACCATCAGCAACCGCAGCAGCAGCAGCTCCTGGTACACCAGCAGCAGCCTGCTATTGGTGGTGTTGGTACAACGAGTACGACCATCGCGGCAAACACTAACGTGGATCCAAATTCTACTTGTTCTATCATGAACAACACCATTGTCAGCGACCGGCAGCAAGCTCAAGCTGCTGGGCAGCAGATCATGAAGGACATTGAGTCTTCGTCAGACTCTCTGTCGGACGTGGAGGAGATTTCCGCCCACGAGATGATGAACTCCGCTTCGGCATCCGCGGTCGTCGGGACTCTCCTCGGAATCACACCTGCTACAACTGCTGAAAGTGGTGTTGGTACGTCTAGCAGTACGGGTGGGCCAGCATCAACTGCCGCATCATCTGTTGGCGGGACGTTAAACAACGGAGGTTTGTCTGCAGCGGGTGGAACTACTGCCGCGGCTGGCAGCGCAACTTCTACCTCCAGCAATGGCGCTTGTTCATTGACCAACTCACTCCTCGCGAAAGCCGGAAGCATCACCTCTGCCGGGGCGGGTGGAGTAGCTGGTGGGGAGAATCAAGGTGGAAATCCAGGTGGGAATCTGCTTCCGGCGCCGCAGCCAGGCGGGGCTGCTGCTCCGCCGGGTGGACAACTAGCCATGCAGCAGCAGGCTGGAGGTGGGAAGATTTTTTTCTTTCTGGATCCGAGTGGTCGATAAATTTTTTGTGTAGATATCGTGCGCCAATAAGTAGACATTGATATAATCACCCTGAAATGCAGGGATATAGTATGTAAGGAAGTATAAGTAATTGAACCATGAACAAAATGGAATTGACAGGTCCTGCCGCCAAGGGGTCACAGGTGTATGGCTACTTCAATAATCACCAACAGCAGGGACAACAACCGCAGAATCCTCCGCCAGTTTCCGGTGGCGGAAAGCAGCCGCATCATACCCCGGGGCTAGGTTACAAAGGTATACTGTACTTGTGGTGCTGGTGGCCAGACAAGGATGCAATTCATGATGTACATGAGTTTCAGTTGGTTGAAGGTACAAAAACAAGAAAGTCAAATCTGAAGTTTGTGCTTTGTTCACCGAATTCGAAGAACGAGGACGGCCAGCAAGCTCTTCCCTGTCTGCCTTCATGATGCCTATCGAAAACTGTGTGTTATCCAACTTATTTTCTGAACTTTTTTTCTCACGACACGATCTAATCAACGCACAGCCACAAGACAAAGTTTTTGACCATAAAAATCGACACATCCACCAGGTGGCCCCGCAAATAACTCAAATCCCGGAGGCAAGTACGGGCCTTCTTACCACCTGATCCCGGGGATGAACGAGCACCAAGCGCAGTTTGGCGGAAAGCAACACGGTGGTGACCCAAATCAGCAGTACCTTGTTGGGCAACCGCCGGCGTGGCAGCATGGGGGGAAACAGATCGGCGGAAAGCCGATCGGCAACACTAATAACCCGCATCAAATGGTTCTTAATATGACGGGCAGTCCGGAGCACTCTGGCGTTGGACATGCTGACACTCCGCAACAGTTGGGGCCCGGAGGGAGTGCCCAGAGTCCCAGCGAGCAGAGCACCTTCAATCCAAATGCACCCCCGGTTATCGATACCGCTGGGGGGGAGCAGCTGGGCCAGTAAGATTCTACATGATCATCTTTCTCAATGAGGGAGCGAGGACTTCTTCTTGTGGCAGACTCGTCTTCAATTGAAGGCATGAGCACGAAAAATAGTAGCACCTAAATCTAATTCTTGTTCCTGCGACAAAACAGGTCCCACCACAACGCCACTGCACCCCACAACCCGCAGCAGCAGCAAGGACAAGGCGGAACACCGCCCAAGCCGAACAGTGCCGCAGCTCCACGTGGTCATCAGAAGCTGAAACGGGGAAAAGCAAGCGCTGCCGGCGGCAACCCAAACAGTGCCTTGGCTGGCACCGGAAACAACCGGCAAGACAAAGACGGGAGCAAGGGCGGGGACCAGAAGGGAAAGGCGGGAGGTGCTGGAGGACAGCAGCATGTGCACGGCCATGGTGCAGCACATGCGCAGGCGATTGCAGGTACACCCATAAGCAGTCTGCCATTTATGTTTATCATGTAACTTGCGGGCTCAGGTTGTTCGGTGGTCTAGCGAAGTTCAGATTTCCATTTCAGTTTCTAGGTCGACAAAAATATTTGATTTCGGCGATCTGCATCTGAAGTGCATCTCATCTTCATGCGCATCATGCAACCGCCGGAGCTTCTATTTCTACGACCAAGAACGTATTCCTTGAAGAAGTAGAAATTGCATAAATTACCTCAATTACATTTGAAGTTGATGTTGATGAAGTACACATGATACCTCGATCGTTGTTCATACGTTTCATGCATTCGTGAATAGTACAACAGGCTATCACCCCGGTGCAGCTGCTTACCACCCGTACCACACCGCGCCGGGTGCAGCTGGCGGACCGCCACCCGGAGCGATGCACTACCATCCGCACGCACTTCCGCCGCACGCGTACCCCCACGGGGCGGCGACTTATTACAATCCGCACATGCTACCTCCCAACGCGGTGGTACCGGGCGCAGCCGGATACGCCTACCCGGGGAAGGGTGGACCGATGATGAGTCCGCCGGGCGGGCCGCAGTACTACCACCAGTATGGAGCACCGGCTGGTGGGGCCGTGCCCGGCGCGGCGGGCGGATACGTCGCGCAGAACAATCCACACGCAGGCTTGGTGCAGGGAGGAGGGGCTGGAGCAGCAGCACAGCCACCCGGCCAGGGGGGAGTCAAGGTCCAGAAAGTGCTTTTTCGTTGGATGCTGTGTTTTTCTTGAAAATATCATGCCTATGCGACAAGCTTTAGGTTGTTGGTCGTTGAGTACTTCATCGAGTGTTCTTACGTACCCCCTGCATCTTCATGTCATGAAGTGTAAATGTTAAAAGTTGAACACTGCTATGCAGGGCGCTGGCGGTTGGGCGGGCCGCACGGTGATGGGAGCTAATCCGTACGACCAACTACGGGCACAGTATGAAGGTGAAGTGAGTGATCTTGTTCTTGGGGGGTGGCGCTGCTAGCACCAAAGAAAAACGTCGATTGTAGTCATGCAACGATCCGGATTGGTCTACTTACCATGCAGTAAGTGACATTGTTGGACTTGATGTAGTTAATATAATACGGGAAGCCGACCATGATCAAAAGCAAACTCAAAAATCGCTCCCGACCACACGAAGATAGAAGTCGAGTGGTTTTTCCTGTGTTTTTCGCAAGACATCCGCATGAAAACTGAGCGCGACAACTTTCTCTGGTAGCAGCAGACCTCATTCAAGAAAGACACCCGCTTCATCCCCTCTACACGCAGCAGCAGCTCCAGTATGCAGCCCAGCAGCAGGTTTTTGAGGAGGCCGCGGAGCAGGAACGCCGGCGCGCGGAGAAGAGGGCGCGCAAGGAGGAGCGAAAACGGCTGAAAAAGAAAAAAAAGCTCGAAGAGCAAGAGTCGGAAGAGGAAGAGGCGAGCAAGGACAAAGAAATGGCAGCGACTGGGAGCACAGGGAGTAATGCTCCTGCGGGAGCGACGAATTCCAAAAACGAGGACGAGACAGCAGCGGATGCTGACAATGATGACGACGAGCAGGAATTTATCACAAGCAAAACCAAGAAACAAGCTACAACATCAGCCCCATCGGGGACAAGCCACGTCACGACCACCGCGGACGAGCACCAAGTACTGGAGCTGCCAGCAGGAGGAGCTAAAAATTTGTTGGCTGGTGCAGATCATGAAACGACGACGAGAGCTGGTGAAGAAATCGGAAAGGACACCACGTACAAGCCGTCTAAAGAAAAACACCCGGCTGCTGGGCATGTGCAAGATGGCAAGAAGAAAAGCAAAGAAGTTGTAAGAACCTCACACGAGGACGACCCTAGTGCAACTCGAGGTCGAGAGATGACCACTGAGCAAACCATTACCAAAACAACAGGCGTGGAGGAGGAGGACGACGATGGAACAAGCGCCGACCAGGTGGAACAAAGTGCCGTGGATGAAGTTGAGAACAAAAATCACAGTTCTGGGAAGCAGCAGGGAACAAAGCAACCACAGCAACAAGCAGAATCACAATCTGAAGGGTCCTCGCTGGTTACAAGTACGAACCCGTCCTCCGCTGCTGCAGGAACTACAGAGCCGACTTGTTTCACCCAGCAACAAAAGTCAAAAAAGCATTCGTCGCGCCTTCCGCGTGCCGCGACTGAGCAAGAGGATCGCACTAAACTTCTTTCCACAACATCTTCGGGAGGTGGTAACAATGGCATGGTACTAGATGTGGACGACGTGGAGCTCGAGATTGTCGAACAAAATCCCGCATCAGCACGGCAAAAGCAGAAGATTCTGGCAGGAGAAAAACTTTCGAACGACAAACAGGTGAAAAAGCGAGGGAGTAAAGACAGAAAAGCGAAGACTGATTATCAAAATGAAAAATCCCCCCTCCCCATACCGAAACGGCATGACTCCGAAAATTTGTGTTGCTGATTTGAGACCACAAATCACGCCTGTCTTGCAAGAAGACAAACGCAGAGGCTTCCGGGCCATTATGGAAGCGATTTGGCATGCTGTTGGGCCTAGGGGACAGCCGTCTGCAATGCTAAATAGCTAGACCCAAACGCCCCCACCTAGGCTGAGGATCTCGCTGCGATGCCTTATTGCAAGACAGCGCGCATTTGTGTACGGAAATCCCGCATCAGAAACTTCGTCTCCATATGGGGAGGGGGTATTTTTCCTTGCAATACTGATCTTGGCGGAACTGCGGCTGTTGCTGCTCCGAGCGAGGGTGAGGCAACAGCTGCTATACAAAACAAAAGGAAGGATGACGCTCGTGGTCCAATTTCAGCGCGTGGCCGAGCCGGACAACAAGACCAGCACCAGACGAGGCGCACTGGAGATGGGACTACTGCGGGAAATAAACAAGCTGAAGCTGCAGCTTCATCTTCCGATCCAACCGCCGTCGAGGTGGCGCAAAACAGAAACAAGAAGATGGGTACCCAGCAGCGAAACAAAGCACGCGCTGCGGGTGCGTCTTCATCTGGAACTACAGGAACAACCGGACACCACTCTCAGAAGCAAAATCAGAAACGGAGGACGAAGCAGCAGCCGCCGATGGCGAACGTTAGTGAACCCACTGCAACCTCCGGCGGGGGATGTAACGACCGAGGACCAGAAGCTGTTGACGCGAACAAGAGTGCGGCCGTCGCTGCCTCGGGCAGTAGAAAGCAAGGCAAAACCGTTACGCGGCGGACAGGCCGAGATCAAGAGCATTACGATGAACACCAGCATCAAGAGCGTGAGGTCGCTGAAGCTCAGGTGGACGAGGAGGACGCCGCCAGCGCGACCTCAAAGCACCAGGTGGCTGGTGCAGCGCGAGGTGACCTTACCACTTCTACCGCAGGAACTACAAGAAGAAAGACACGAAAGGTCCCGAACTTGGCTGATGAGCAGCACCAGCAGCAGTATTTGCAGCAAAGCCGTGGTCGCAAAGTGAAAGAGCAACAGGCCACCCTCGGAGGTTACCCGGACCAGCAGCGAGAGGGGAGAGAGCGGAAGAGTTCTCTTCATGATGATGAAGACCAGCTCCAGGAGCAATTAGATCGGCAAGAAACTGATGAACGGGCAGTAAGAGAGGAATATCGTCGAGGACGGGCCATCGAACGGAAGCAAGACGCTACTTTTGATGACCAGGAGGCTTCGGAGGTGCACCGGTCGCTCCGCTCCAGGGACGGGAGTAAGAGGGGTCGTGGTGACACAAGTGATTACGTTGAAGACCATGATGCCGATCATGGTCTCGTCCCACTGGATTCGCGAAATGGAGAGCCGTGTTCTGCTGCTGATGGAGCGGCCGCCCTTTTGGAAGGTAACCCAGACAGGCCTGATGTGGTTGTTGATGGCAAAAATGTCGAAGATTTCTTGGACGAGGCAGAGAAGAGCCGAAAGTCGTCCAAGGCAAAAAAAGCCCGTCGAGGACGAGATGAAGATAAAAGCGCTGGTAATTATCAGCAGCAGCAGCAAGACTTCGAGCACCGGTCTCTGGATGACCTACAGGGTGGTGGTGCACGTATGAATGAGCGTCAAGATAAAGAAGGACAAGAGCTTCGTAATGATGACGCCGTCAAGCGGAACAAGCACGAGAGTCCTGCAAGAACTTCGCAGCAGCATCACAGTGAAGATGCTCCGGTGGCTGCATCAGGACGAGCTACTTCCACATCAGTGGCACCTTCTCGTGGTGAACAAGTAGAACCAACAGCCAGCAGCAGCAACCCCAAGAACCCAACCGAACAGGAGCGGAACAAAGGAGCAGAAAAAGAAGTGCAGCCTCGGCAGGGCGATTCCGATTTGACGCCGGCACAGCGCTGGAAGGTGATGAAAGACTACGGGACGAAGCAGTACGCGAATAACATTTCGAAGCAGCTGCACTTGGAGATGCTCTACCAGCGGTTCTCCGGCATCCGCGACCTACCCGAGAAGCTGCAGGACTTTCAGACCACGGTACAGGGCTTCGAGGAGCAGATGGTGATCGCGGCACTCTGGTTCACTCTGACGCACAACGACAAGACCATCATGCACGACGTGCTACCGGACGTGGCCTCTCTGGCGCCCTTCACCCCGGGCGACGCGAAGATCATCGGGAACCGGCACTTGAAAAACAAAACCGAGATCGAGCAGGGTGGTGGGGGCGGTCATGCGGCGCAGCCCGGCGGCGCGGGAGGAGCGCAAACCCGCAGAATGCCTCCCACTGGGTTGGTCAATGGACCGAAGGAACGACCGACGAATAAACGGTACACGACTTTTAAGGTCATACAAAAAGAAAAACTTGTTCTGCATGCTGTAAGTACATCTGCTGACATGACCACTGTGAAGACAGAGTAACAAATTACAACACACAGCGCGCATTTGAAGATGGTAATGTTTTTGGAAAGAAGGAGTGCCATTGGCATTGCTGTTGACTCCGGTACCGGCTCCACACTTTCGAGTTTTTGCATGCAGAAGCAAGCATTCGACTTATCAACAGCTTGAAAGTTAGTAGTTGATGTTAGAAAAAGACAAGCATCATATTGTTCATACTAGCGTCATATATAATTCCAAGAGCACAACATCAACAAACAGGCCTGCCAGTCAGCAGCGCGGCGAACCGCAAGGCGGTTACGTTCCGCCGTCTTCCACAGTGCACCAACCCGGGCAACAAAGCACAAGTCAACGGGGCGGGCCTTCCAGCTCGGACCCCACATCGAGTGGCGGCGCGATCGTTCGACCAAATCACGGAAGCAAGCCTCGTAGCGATCGAGACCGTCGTGACCGTGAGATGATCCTACGCCCAGGGGGAAGCAAATATCGAGGCGGTGGTGGGCCTGCTCCTGCGGACCGCGATCGTGACATTCTACGGCCAAATGGGAGCAAACATCGAGGTGGAGGCGGGGCCGCCGACCGCGATCGTGACCGTGAGACTTTGAGGCCCAACGGTAGCAAGCAGCGAGGCGCCGGGGCTGTTCTTGACCACCGTGACCGGGACCGCGAGATTCCACGGCCTAATGGTAGTAGGCATCGAGGAGGTGGAGACCGAGACGCACCTCATGGTACAACGACTACTTCGCGACAACAGGTTGGGGCGAGCAAGCATCGGGGATCCGATAATCATCCTCGCGGCGGGCGCAACATCCAAAGCACCGCGCGGGGCGCGGGACACCACCACCAGACCGATCGGCTGGATCGAGATCGGGAAAATCGCTTTCACGGACGAGGACAGAGCCGGCGTGGCGGCGGTACTACTGGCAAGAAAGACAGCCGCAATCACCGGGATAGAAATGTTGGCAATGTTAACGACAGCCGCGACAATCATGGCAATGCGGCTCCTCGAGGCGGAGGTGTACTAGATGAAAATATTAATCGAGAGCAGCAAGAACGTGGTCAACATAATGTTCCCCGGCGGGACCATTCCGGAGCACGATCAGTGGCACCAGGCGTCCATCAAATAGCCGGGAATAACAACTCTTCGAATTATACTTCCGCCGGAAACCTCTCGTTGATCCCAGTGGTCACCGCATCCAGTACGGGACAGCACAGGAGCGGCGGACCGAACAACGACCATCGTGGCATCAACAACCGAGGTCATAGCCATCGGACGAATCGGGGTCACAGTGTAGCCCGTGGCGGCCGAAGGAGTCCCCACGGCCGCGTCGGTGGAGGGCAGAGCTCGGCGCGCGGGCGCCGCAGTTCGATGTCGATGGCGGGGGGAAGTTGCAATAACCACGGCCGCGGTGGGAACAATCAGCATGATCGCACCAACATTCGGGACCGACCCGGGCCGCTCACAAACATGATGCGGAATACCGAGCGGGCGAACGCGGGAGTAGATCTGCTGGACCGAGAGGCGCAACTCCTACGAATAAACAACAACATCAGTGGGCGCGATGGAGCTGCTGGTGTACTAGGTGGTGCGCCTCCAAGGGAGCAACAGCGCAGCCAAAACAAGCGCAGGCACAACGACGACAGAGGGGGAGCTCCTACTACGGGTGGTCCAGCGGCGAAAATTCGGCGTAAGGAGAACAACCACGGGGGCCAGCAGCCAGGTTCGTTACCGCAATCCCGCCAAGGCTCGCCGGCGGGGAGAACGGCCCGATCCGGTGGGGGCGAGCGTCGGGGCTGCTCTCCGGGCGGGGGTGGCAGTCGCGTCGACTATCCGCATTTGCAGACCGCTGCTGGCGGCTCACACCGGTCGGGGGGAATGAATCCAGCCGCGAATAGTGGAAACCGAGAGAGGAACGGAGGAGGAGGAGGTAACTACAACGGGCAAAATCGCGGCAGAGGCGGACCGATGAAAAAATGAAGAGGAGCAGGCTTTTGGTTTTCTAGAACTGCGTGTAATTTAGAAGAAGCAGTATAATGGCACAAAATCAAATTGAAGGAGGGTAAGTAGTAAAGAAGTAAGTGCCCTGTGGCTGTGGCCGCGTGTTCATGATGCAATGAAGATTACTTTGTTGTTGAGTAGCCACTGCTTCTGCATAAACGCTGGATGATGTTCATACAGCGAATGCGACTACATGCAAATAATTTAGCTCCTGGAGTTACACTTGAAGTTGTATTCGTACCTCGATTCCATATGCAACGTTGTTGTAATCTTTATCTTTGTCTTTGCTCTCTTTCTTTAGGAGTCGTCATCTGTTATTTAGTTCTTAGGCAAATAAAAAAGAAACAGAGCGACTCCATCTGCACCAATTGTTTAAGTTGTTGCTAGCACGACCCCATGATCTGTAACTCTATGGTTGTATCATGAGCATGACCGGAGGAAGGTTTTTTTGATTGAGCTTTGCACGACACGGCGAGGCTCATGACCAACGTCAAAATGTACGAACACAACATCTGCGAAATATAAACAACAAAAAAAAGTAGCCAAAAATGAAGACAAAGACTGCAGTAGCTAGGGTAGTACTTCCATTTCTTTTTCTCATAGCATTTTGATGGATTCACTGTGACTGAGTTGTACTGCTGCATTTGGCGCCGTCAACGCGGAGGGGAAATTTTCGCTTGACATGTCATCGCCGCGCAGAGGGAAACTCAGTTGCACTTGCATCGATTGCTTTGATGTACTTACTCAAGTTATTGCCGAGTATGATCTAGCTGTAGGTAAATTTGATACTAGCTCCGGTAAAAATAGCACGACTACTTCCACTAACTTACTAGCTTTCCCAAAAGTAAAAAACTATTTAAAAACTTTTTCAAACAGAAACTTGAAACCCGCGAGCGACAACTAAGAACGTAGAAGAACTGATAAACTTTCAATTTTGCACCGACTCTCTACAAGCAAAGAGAGGCTATGACTACCCATAATAGGAAGTATTTAGATTTACATTTATCCCAACGACCGTTGTACCACATCTTCACACTGACATGATTTATCAATTTTTTACTTTCGATTTTTACAAACATATCTTTCTTGTTTTGGTTCTACTTCTACTACGTCTGTCTCCTCACCTTGTCGGGAGTACAGTACTAGAAGTTTATCTACAAAGTGCAGTTGCAGTTTCCTTTTTTCCCTGGCCCGGGCGCTTGTATCATCCGGAAAAACAGTGAATTAGTCGATTTTGGGAGTACGAATATTGATATTCTCCAGCAGTAGGATTTCTTTTGACAGTGTAACCGTAAGTATGCAATGTATTAAGGCGAGATGAAGTAAGTAGTACGAGCATCATCAGCGAAAACGATCGGTAATTTCGATTTTGCCATGTTATAGTAATCGACAGTCGATTGTCATTGTTGACCACGAGATGAATCCTTGCAAAAGTATGAGTAGCGACAAATTGCGACAACGTTCTTTCTTGAGACCATCGATTGAGGCGACAGAAAATGGAAAAGTGCACGAGGCGAAACTCTTGCGGTCGTGAATCGAAATCGTTTTCACATGACCTTCGAGATAGTATTATCGATTTCGAAGAAAAGAAGTCTGACTCTGAGGTGAAGTGCGTTCGTTTTGCATACTCACTTACAGTACCAGAAGGCCCGACGTTGCTGCCGTTTCCTTTTTTCGCCTGGAGGAGAAAATTATGGACTTGGTAGGGAGGAGCAACCGCTTTGGCGCGACGCTTTTTGTTTTTGGTTTTGAGCGAAAAATTAAAACGTTAGCGTTAGGAAGACTGTTGCGTTATGTTTGTGTTTGTTGAAGATGTGGAGAGCTTCTTCTTTTGTACGCAGAAGTCTTACTTTTTCTTGGGTCGTGTCCAAAAACGAATAAAGCCATTTCGTTGTCTTCTTTTTCTCTTTATACTGCATTTTCGAGTAGTTATTCCCAGTGCTGCAAAGCATTGCATGGCCGGGCTTGAGGTTACTTTTTCTGCGCGTTTTTCTTTTTTGCTAGAAATAGTGAAGCTCTACAAATAGTGAGTCTCTACAAACAGTGTGTGAAGCTCAGCAAGAAACACACTCTGTTTTTTTGTGTTTTCATCTGCGCCCTTCCCTAGTCAAAAAGGTGAGTACGCAACATCCTCAAAGAGCTTCACCCGCCCACCCGTCGGACTAGTACCAAAAACAGTCCACCAAATATCAAAGAAAATAAAAGAAGGAGCGTTTTTTTTTGTGTGCGAAACCGCACCGGGGATAGATTTTGAACAGAAGATAAGCAAAAGAAAATTGATTCCAAAACAAAAACCGTAGGTAGTGTAAGCCACCTACGTAACACCAGCAACACCTCCACATCTTTGAGAGAGAGGAGCTGCACCAGCGTGGAAGTAGGAAGTTGTGAGGAAATTTTTACCGTCACAACCTCCCATCCAGGAGTTGATTGTAAGGCAAAGACAAATTGTAGTTCTTTTACTCTTGTCATTGTAGTTTTAGCACACATCTGCAGCAAGATTTGCGATTAGTGCAGTACAGGTGCACTAGTCGTGTGGCTGATAGCCCCGAGTTGCACGCAGCTGCTGTCGTTCTCCTGTAGTACTTCAACTTCCTTCCGGCGCGACCACAACCACTGACTTGAAGACAGCGACGTTCTTGCTCATAGCTGTACATCCCCAGTAGACCACCGCGGCATCCGCAAAGCGTCGGTCGTCGCCAGATTGGCTGCCTGCTACTTGTTCGACCACGCCGACAATTAGAAAATACCGGTGTTCTTGACCGTGAATAAAATACAAGATGCAGGACCTCCAAATGCAAGATCCAAACGACCACCGCAACCGTAATCCTTTCGAGGTGGAGCGACAGCGGCTTGAAGGAGTCAATGCTGGTGAACAAGAGGATGAAATTGACTGCATGGTGGGCGGTCAACAGCATATTGGAGATGTTGAAACAGGTGATTATGATCCGGCACTGCTAGAGCAACCTCTAGATCATGAGCAGGCGTCAAATAAGCGGATGCTAGACAGCACCACTTCCGACGACGCTGACTACGATTTTGACCAGGAGCTGGATCTGGACCAGATGCAAATTCAGGTAGACGAAAACTGCTCCTCTGCAGGCACGAGGACCACTGGTTGTACTATGGCAAGTAGTACAACAAGCAGCAACAACTCCGGGGGCGGTCGCTCCGACAAGGAGGCTGCGGATATTGCGCAGCTCGTGTCTGACTGTTTCAGTTTCGACCCGGCAAAAGACAAAACCTCGTCCCTCGAGGAGGACAAAATATTAAATTTGGAGCAGGAACAAGAAAATCATAAGCAATCCAGCAGCAAGAAGAAGATTTCCACCGAACAATTGTACACCCCGTCCGCACAGCCGGTGCTAAAACCCTCAACATCTTCGAAGCCTTCCTCTGCGCAGCGGTCCCCGGCGGTGTCACCGCCGGCGGCGATGAACGAGGAGCAGATGAAGATCACGGAGTGGCTGTTCAAGAGTTGCGTCGGCATTCCGCATATCAACTGCAAAAATGTCTGGGTCTGGGAGATTGCGAGATAATTTGTCATGCTAGTCTGGCATGACTCTGAACTCTGTGTTGCATGTTGGCCGCGAAGAGCCCCTCCTCCTTGTCATGCAAAAACGCAGTTTCTCATGCGGAATAGCAACTCAGAAACATGAAAAAAACTTGTCATGCTTGGCAGCGCATTATAGTGAGTTCACTCTTCCCTTTCTTGCATCACAAGTTTCCAGACCCAGACATTTTTGCATTTGATACCGCAGCGGACCAGCATTTCGCCCTCGGTGTCCGTGTCGCCGAATTTGAACAACGGGAACAAGTATCAAATGCAAATACTTATGTCTGGGTCTGGAAGAATGCAAACTTGTGATGCGCATTCCAGAACACAGAAAAATCTCTCATGCCTAGGCAGCAAAAGTTGCCCACTTTCTGTCTCGAAAGTCAGGGACTTGTCATGCGGATTCGGCATTGCGGGAGCTTCTCGAAACCTGTGATGCTAGAGCTTCCACGCCAGACCTTTTGCGTCATGCAAAAACAGCATGACTCTTCCAGACCCAGACATTTTTGCAGTTGATAACAAGAGCGGTCGTGGCAATAGCAAGAAGAGCGGCGTCAATTCTACTGCTGGTGGAGGTGGAAGCTGCTCCTCTTCTTCAAATCCAGCCGCGGATCGGAACAACGCCAATCTGAGTGCAACGGAAATGAACAACATCATGACGCTGCTATGGCGTTCTCAACTGTTACATTCTCAACTGTTACATGAATTTGTGATGCAAGAATGGCAAAAGTGATAGGGGGGATCTTGCGCGTCTTGCATGACAGATTTGGAACCGATTGTCAGCCTGTTTGGCCCTCTGAGAATTTGTCATGCGAAGCAGCTTGATGGTGACGATTCTGAAGGCAATTTTGCATGACAAATCATGTAACAGTTGAGAATGTAACGTTTGAGAACGCCATAGCTGCTCACCGGCGGATGCAACAAGACTAGTACCAGTAGAACTACTGCAGGAGCAAATACTAAGCGGAACAATGCCGCAGGAACAAGTAGTAAGATCTCATCCAAGAACACAGCAAATTCCAACAGATCCTCGAGAAGCAGTGTCGTTGTCCAGAAACAGCGCAGCCTGCAGCAGGCATCAGGCCCGACTGCGGACGAATTCGATCCTGCAGCGATACCGATGGTCGGGGGCGGCGGGGAAAGCCAGGAGCATTCTTCCGATTCGAACGGAGCAGTAGAGCACCGAAACGGGGGCTCTCCAGCAATACTGGAGATCCCAGCCGGAGCAACGACCACAGGCGATCTGGATTTGGACGCGATTCTCGGTCTGACTGCGGCGCGCCAGCAGCAGCTGCAGCAATACGCCAACTACAAAAACAGTATTTCATCTTCAAGTTTAATACCAGGGTCGTCGCAGCATCATCAACAGCACTCGTCGAACAAGCAAAATCAGAATTTGATCAGTTTCAAACTGAACAAAACAGTGTCCAGCTGTTCTTCCGGGTCCACTGCCTGCAGTTCTGGTGGTTCTATGTCCACTGCGTCCAGCACCCTGGTGGACAGCGCTCGAACCACTCCGCAAGGTGCGCACGTAATTCACGGGACGACCCTGGAAACGCAGGAACAGGTGCAGCAGTTTTTGTTGAACGTGGGCGCGGGTGCCGCGTCGGTGCCCGTCCAGAACGTCGTCTCCGTGTCTCCGGTGCTGGTCAGCACCGAGAATGGATTGATGCAGGTGATTGACGGCACAACAAGAAGCGGGGCAGCTTCATCAACAACATCTTCCGGGGCTCCTGCACCGGGAGGTACAGCTGCACCGGTACAACATCAAGTTCTTGCAAATCTAGTTCGCCAACCGAGCAAAAACAGCAATAAAACGAAGCAGGTGATCGCGCTCGGCGGGGGTGGATCTGGTGGTGCAAAGAAACAGAAGGTCGAAGAGGTACAGCAAGTAGGGGTTGTTCAACATCCACAACTTCCTCGTGGAGCAGGACAACTGATCCTACACCCACCTCCTCCGGGAACAAGCACTGCTGCTATCAGTATGCTCCAGCAGCACCAGGATCTTCAGCTTCAGCGCACACACTCGCAGTCCAACGTGTCGATGATATCAACCACCGCTTCCTCAACCTTCACCCAAACCGTCGAGGAGTACCACCGCGAGGCGGACAAGTACTCAGAGGAGTGGAAGAAAAATCTTTTTCTCTCCCCCCCGCCGGAATCCCGGTTCGAGTGCTCCATGCAGGGAACGGACATGAACGACCAGAAGATGGCCACGTTCCACAAGTGGCTGAATGAGATTCTCATCGGGGTCACGCAGTCCAGAGGGCCCCTAGTGAATGCGATGGTCGATTTCTCGGGGAACCCCGACCTGACCGACATGGCTCTGCGGAAGTTGCTCGTGGTGTTGAAGCGATCCAAAGTGCACGTGAAAAAGCTGGTTTTGAACAAAACCGGGATTTCGGACGTCTCGATGCAAAATTTGTTGAACTTCCTCACCCCGAAGAACAATAGTGGTCAACAGCACAACGCTGGGGTCGAAGGTGGAATTCTTTCGTCGTCGCAAAACCAGCAGCACCAGCGGCCGATCGAGCACATCTGCTTCGAGAGTTGCCCGAACGTGACGGAAAACGGGGTCTTAATCCTATTACGACACTTCGACCAGAACCCGCTCTACCCAGTCCGGAAACTGTTGGACAACAAGCACGGAAAGCAGGACGTGCAATACGAGTCGGTCAACGTTCAAGCGAAGGCGTGCGAGAACATGAACTACGTGAATTTGTTCAACCGCATCCAGATGGTATCCACAGAAAAAAACCCATCCACATACATTTTTTGCATGACAAACACAGAGTCGTCGAAAACCGGAGTAAGAGGGGCCGTCGGACCGGGAAATCGCTTGCTGGTTAATATGTATGCGTGACAAGCTGGCTGCGTTTTGCATTCGTGGCAGTCCAGGAAAGAGGAAGAACTAGTGAAGCGATCGGATCGACGAGGTGCGTCAGGGGGCGTCACTCATTCATTCATTCATTCATGTATGTTTTGCATGACAAATTGGATGTGGATGGGTGTTTTTTCCTGGATAGATGGAGACGAAGTTGTCCTATTGCTTCGACGACCGCATCGCGTACAACAGGAACCCGCTCAAGTGTCCGGTGCTGATGTTCTCCGGCGGTCTAAACCCGGGGTACACAGGGGGAGCTGGAAGGAACAATCTACATCCCAATAGTGCAACTACGGCTACCTCTACGGCGGCGGGGGTCCTTCTTGCGCAGCAACATCAGAACATGATCGGAGCTGCGCCAGGTGCAGCAGGTGGTCTACAAAACTACAACCATCTTCCCGGAGGTTATAATCTTCCACCACCGCAGCTACAGGCCCAGTTCCAAAATGTCTACACGGGCGCGATTGTGGGCACGGTTCCCATTGGACCTGAGCTCCACCACCTGGGCACGACGACTTCTACACTAAGTTCTTTCGGAGGAATGCAACACCAGCTTCATGCAGCGCAGCAAAACCACAGCTCCTACGGCAGTCAGACAAGAAGTTGCGCGAACCATGTCGACCCAAGCGCTAGCACTGCTGCTGGCACTACTGCAGCAGCTACCCGAACTACTACACCGGATCTCGAGGATCAGGACCCCTTGAAGGCGGTGCAGGACATCATCGGCGAGATCAGCTCGAGTACGAAGGCCGGTGGCAAGAATACTAAAGGCGGGCGGGGGAAAGACGGTGCATCTGGCGTCAATGCCACCGCCTTCCCCGGTGGAGGAGATCGCGGTACCGGGAAAGATTCCCATTCCGCCGGCTGTACTAATGGCGGGCGGTACCGCGCGAACAGCCACTGTCTGCAGATGGGCGATACCATCGGCCCGCCGCCGGGCAAGGGCGCGGTGGTGTCCGGAGGGAAGATCTACTACTCGACGCCAGCACCGGTGCAGGGGAATGGTATAAGTACATAGTTGTTGATATTTCATCTCATATCACAGTACACAGGCTAATATAAGACGCCCCTGAATAAATAACTAAGTGAGTACTTACAAACGCTTATGCCCATAGAGTTAGGACTGGGTTTGTTTCCAGTTTAGAAGACCAGGAAAGGAGCAGGACAGCTATCCGCCTAGATGATATGTAGAATAGCGCGTGCGCTCGGTTTTGTGCCCATTTGTCGGTTGCTTAGATAACTTTTGAAAATGTCGGCTCAACTTCTGGATTGGTGAGTTGTTGTCACCAAGATCCGCAATAAAAACAGTTCGATCTTGAGGTTCTTTCCGACTTTCTGTTATTGTGACTTTCTGTTTTCTGTTGATGGTCTGAGTTTTTCGTTTTTGCGCGATCCTTTTTTTGTTTTCCTCGAGGTCGAGCGAGGATACTTTTGTCCTCGATACGTTTTTCATTTTTGTTTTCCACCGTGTGGACTTTTATCCTGTTTGTCACGTTTTGCTTTTGCTTGGTTCTTGTTTTCTTTCTTGCAGCTCCCTCTGAATGATCTTCAGTACCGGCGTGACGTAGCGCACAGACCAAACCCGCAACTGCCCAGGAGGGAAGATTCGCATTACCAACGCAGCAGATTATGAACCAGGGAGATGAGTGCGATCATCATCATGCTTATGATGAACATGAACTGTGAGACAAGGCTGTTGATGACCAAGAAGTCCAAGAGCACGTGATCATCATTCTCATCAGATTTGAAACAAATTTACCACAATAGTTCCGCGCCACAACCTGAACCACCACGGATCATCCGCTTCGTCCTACGGCTCATATCAACATCACTCTACTGCGGCCTGTGCGGCCTCAACCTCCACGACTTTTCGGGCACCGACCGGCTCCCCGCATCACCACGCGTCGTCGAGTTCCTCAAGCTCTCTGTTCGGAGGACCATGCGCAAGTGGCCAGGCACATGAAGATGATCAACACCACGAAAGTAGCGCCGGGTTTTTTCCGCATGGAGATCCTCAACATGAACATGCTAGTGGAGACCAACATCATTTTTCTTTGTCTCGTGGCGTTCCCCACGGTGTTCAGCCTCAACATTCTCGCGGAGCAAACATGAATCGCAGTCGCGGGCGCTCTCGCTCGCGCATGCGCGGTCGGAGTCATGCGCGTGGAACAAGAGCACCAGGACGAGGTGGAATCTTCGGGAACCAGCTGCAGGGACAGCATCCTCAACAAAATGGTTCCAGCAGGAGTCGCGGCGGTAATAGGTCCAACAGCAACATCAAGTTTGTACCAGAATTATCTTCTCGGAGTGGGACGAGTACAACTGTCCCAGGCGTTGCTTCTTCGTCGAGCAGCGGTAATAGAGGGTCGGCACGTCAGGATCTGGGTTTGTTGCGCGAGGAGTTCCAGTTTATGGAGAATGAACACGAGGAGGATGTTGACCACCTTGGCACGACCAGCAACACCGGCTACAGCGCAGGGATGATGTTGAAGGGAGCAGCTTCAGCCGAGCAACACGAAGAAGAAGAGTATGACCCGTTTTCCATGACACCTTATGAGTCGAAGCTGCTCGATAAGGAAATTCAGCTGATGAAGATGGAAGAGCGGATGAAGGAACTAGAACGGGAAAATCAACAGAAGAGCAGCGGCGGTGGTGTTTCTATTTCCTCTTCTAGTACTATTCAACATGGCACAGCGAGTAACACCAGCACGAACACGCCGCGACATGGGGCGGCGGGTGATCTAGCGCTTGCCCAGGCTGCAGCGGCGCAGCAACAACAGCAGAACCGGAAGTACGAGCAGCTGTTGCTCGAGCAGCTGGTGCTTCGGAAGCGCGAACAGGAACAGCTGAAGATGAAAAGCCAGGAGTTGGAGCTGTTGCAATCGAGACTGGGGTCGTTCGTCGCTGCGGGCGGCGGGATCATGAATAAAACAGGTGGAGCAGCACCAGCGGTTGGGGCGGGAGCAGCAACAGCATCTTCCTCGTCGGCGTCTACTACTGAGCTGGAGCCGCAAAGCGGTAATGGACAACAACTTCAACAAGCGTCCGCAGCCAGCAGAGCGGACGTTGTGAACGTGACCCGAACACTGGCGCGGAAGTGGATCAACCCCCAGAGCTTGTCCGTCGACGAAGACAGTTTGAAATGCCTGCCGTTTGTGAAAAAGGGAAAACTAGTGCGCAAAGTGAAGGAGATCACAAGTCCAGAAGACCCTCAACCGCAAATCAATCCCATCACGTCCATAGCGGAAGAACAGGAGGAGGACGTAAACGAGGAGGATTTGGACGGAGTGCCGCTTGAAGATCATCATGCCGTGGAGGTGAACATCAACAACAACATCGAGACTGGGTCACAACCTCCAACGAGCGGAGAGGTGGACATCAAGATAATTGGTGAAGGTGACGTTGAAATGAAGGAGGTCAAGCAGACGTCTCCGCCCCTTTCCACCACAACCACCCGAACTTCTTCTACCACCTGCACGAGCATCGACCACTCTTACTCGGAGGGCGGCGACGGAGGGAGTTCTTTTACGGAACACGACAACTCTGGACTCTTGCAGAAATCGCCCGAAGATCTTCTGGACCAGAATCTAAATCGTGAGGATCACGATCATCTCCAAAGGCAGAGTCTCAACTCGGTCGGTGGCGAGGAAGGAACTAGTGAAAAGCAAGACGTCGAACAAAACCAAAACGAGAACGCCCATGCCAATCCCTTCCACATCAATAATGCTTTCCTTGAAGTCGTCAACCAGATGAAAACTACTTCCAGCAAAAGCGCGTGCTCTCCAGACTTGGAGCAGAGTGTGAGTTTCACGGCGAGTAGTTCGACGAACGCGACGAAGTCCTCGACGACGCAGCAGCCGAGCTTCACTGGACCACCTGGACAGGCAGAACCGCAAAAGAACAAATCGGAGGAAAAAAAAATGCACCAGGACCTGCGGATCCAGAAACCGACCACCACAACCGTTCTGGAGTTCGACAACAAGAAACACGACGGCACCACTGTCATCCCCCCGGTGATGATTCGGAACGCTTCGTCGATTGTCCCCGTTGAGGAGCGGATGTCGAAGGAAAAACGGGAATTCGACCTGAAGACAGAGCAGTTGATCCATTCTGCGAAAGTCGCCAACAACGCCGTGAAGCGGAACGTCTTACCCCCGCCGCCGCGCACGCCGGCCAGCAACATGGCTGCGAACAACGGGGGCACGACCATCGGATTCTTTCCGAAAAATAACTTCGGTGGAGACGGAGCTGCAGGTAGTACTAGTAGTGCCGCTCCTGCTGTAGCTGCGGGGGAGCGGTCCAGTCGAAATCAGGACATCAACCGCATGAAGGACGGAAGCCGAAGCACGACGCACAGGTCCTATCCCACCAGGAAGAAACTGTTTCACTGTGATGATTTTGCGGTAACGGTACCTACTTATCAACATCTGCAGCGTCACAAGTTTGTCACAAACACATGAGGACAAAGAAAATTTTCCATGCACGCTTTCCAACAAGGGAAAACACCAGCACGTTTGAAAATCCAATGTCTTGCTGCAGGTGTTGCAAGACAAATTTAATAGTTTCATTCTATGCATCACCATCACAAGCTCAACACATTGAAGCAGTTTTTTCTTGCGATAGATCCGCAACGGGCGGTAATAATGCGGTGAGCACGTCGGTTTTGAAACCGCCGGGACGGGCGTGAGCGCTGATTTATTCACGGTAAATACAACATGACGAAATAAACGAGGAACTTGAACTTCGTGCACTTCAACGACTCTCTTACAACTACTCCGCAGTCGGTTTGCGAAATTGAGATATTTCGCAGCCGCTGCGCTTGAACTCTTCTTTTACGTCCGCAGTGCCGCATGAATGTGGCGTCTTTACGTCTTTCGGATTTACACAGAAAAGAAATACAACACTTACAACGAACTTTTGTCGGTCTTCGTTTCGTACAGTTTCAGTTTCCGTTTCAAGGCATAAAGCAAGATCAGCAAGTAGTAAACTCAGTAGAAAAAGCACGTGAAAATCTTCGAGAAAATCGGTTGAACTGAACTCCATTTCTAACTATTGATGTCGTCAATGATGATGAAGATCAACATGTTGAAGCAGGTATGCGTTATTGAACTTTTGGACACTTTTAGAACTAGCACCAAAAATTTCCGGAGAAATTTCAGTCGCACAAAGCCAAGATCATGAAGCAAGTACACCAAAATCTAGCGATTTCTTTAAAAAAGGCAAATAAAGATACAGATTGCACAGATTACAGCACTTTTGATTTTTTCAGTATGCTATCCCTAAATAAAAATAAAGAGTAAAGTTGCAGTTGGAATGAGCTGGTGCTGCCTGTTCAGCGAAACAGTAAAGTTTAAGTATAGTTGTGATTGACATTGAGAAGAGCAAAAGCAACTGCGATTTAGCGAAAACTCATCCACAGCACCAGCAGCGAGCTTAAATTGATAAGCTAGTGGGCAGAGTAGGACCGCACACAACAGCAAGACTGTGCTGATGGAGTCAGACCTGCCATAATCTAGCGCTACTATTTTTTCATAAGATTGGATACTGTATTACTGTTCGAATTTACTACCTCCTACAAGGCGCGGTAATCGGGCCACCGACAACTACGGGTACTACGCCGGCCGGAGCGGGAGGATGCCAGACCCACGGTCAACACCTCACGACAGACCGCCAAGGTGATTATCATCAGGAACACCAACCACCACGCCACCAGAGCAATCACAATTACAACCACGGTGGGCGCACCCACCGGCACAGCATGAGCATGAGCCGCGGAGGTGGGGGACCACGGAATCACAATCAGAACTATCAAAACGGGGCGACGTCCGGAGGTGGAGGCTCCATGAACAACAGTAGAATGTCACGGGCCGCGAGGCAAAGTGTCACACCCTACTACCGCGGTGCGTCGAGGGCGAGAGGCGGCGGCGGGAAGGGGTACCACCGCCCGGGTGGAGCTGGCAGTGGCGAGAATTACCACAACATCAACGGATTGATCGCTGGAACAAATGGAACCACAACCAGCGGTGGCACGTTCCGTATGAAGGACTATGTGGGAGGGAACAACCAGAACCAGCCAAGCGCCACTTTTGACCGTCACCACTACAACCAGAGAGGACACCAGCACGGGGCTGCGACACCAAGGATACAGCAACATTGTTCCGGTCCTCGCGGTAATATCACATTGAGTGCAGGTTTCGCCAGTGCTGGTACCAACCCCTGCGCACCAGGGGATACAACAGAGCAACCGGCTTTTTCTGGAGGTCCCGCGTCGGCTTCTGTGGAGCACAGTCGGTCAAATCAAGCTGTAGGGCAGGGTACGTACAACCAGTCACCTGTTCTGTAGCAGGCGCGTCTTCAAATAGAAGAAGACGGAGGTAGATGTAGTTGTTCACTTTTTATTCTTCATGATGTAGCTCTCGGCCTATGTTCTTTAAGCCCCTCTGATGGCACTTCCCTCTCGTGATGCCGGATGAAGTGCTCGTCTTTAGAATAAACGGTCTTGTTAATGGTTAACCGAGCTTTTCTTGCTCTCTCCCTCCCTAGATTTCCGTCGTCGTCGCATGATTCTTTTGCATTTCGCTAGATTTTGACACAAAAATTCGAAAAATTTTCAGTGACTACAGATGAACCAGTACCGGTATAGTACTAAAGTTGCTTTTTCTTTGCTGTGCTGGGTGACACCAAGCCTGATGCTGATTCTTTCCACGCGCTGCACTTTGCCGACTAGGTTACGGTGTGGTGGCAGTTGAGCTTTTCCTTTTGTTTACTTTGCTACATCAGAAGATCAATTATCATCTTTTTCATTTTTATACAACGCTAGAAGGTACTCGTTGCAAAATAATCCTTTATCGAAAATTACTTTCTATGAGTGGTACTGGTACGCCTATCTTCAGAGCTCGCATTTGCCGCGGCTTCATCTTGAGCTGATTACAACCGTGTACGTACTTCTGAGGATCTGGATCTTGACAGAGGGGCTGCTCTTCAAACATGAACGCTAAAAACTCCTGTAGAAGATCATGAGGTCGATGCGGCCGCGAAGCAGCAGGAAAAAATTCACGTATTTGAAAACTCAGATGAAGACAATGGGGGCGTACGAGTTCCAAGTTTTTACAACATCAGTCTGCCAAAATGCTTCCAGTTCCATTTGATATAAGCAATAAAAGAAAAAGACCATCAATTAGCAACTTATCCTGCTCTGCGGACAGGAGCAAAAAATTTTAATTTTCATTACCTGCTAGAATTACAAAATAAAACAGCACCTGAACTGCGCACAACGACACAGTTGTGTTAAGTTTAGTTTATCACAGTTCTTCTTCAAGTACATTTTGCAAGCGCGGTTAAGGTTGTGCCACCGCTGAATCAAATATGTTTTCGACAACTTCTAACGCTTTTGAAATTAGTTTCATCCAGATGAACGAAATAATTTATCAGGAGGACACAAAGAAGTGGAAGTAGGCATACTGCTAGCCGAGCGCCAGCACAAATTCCTTTGTGATGGTTGCTTCGCGACAGCTTTGCCGGAGAGAGAAATTCTACGCACCGTGGAGCAACAAGTTTACGTTTAGGATGAGGGAAACAAAGTTAACGTAGGATGAAGTTTTTCGGCCGGGTGATAAAGAAGTGGTAGACTGGTCGTGGACGGGAGGAGGGCGAGTTGTTGTCGAGGCAAGAAGCGGGTTTCTCCAGTAGTTCGAATCTGTTGCCTCACGACAACAACACTATCCCCCATCAGCGAAGGAAACGCCGGTCTACTCAGCCTTTTCAACTGTTTCGGATTTTGTTTTACTGATTCACTAGTTTCGCTTTCATTCTCTTTGACAACTGTTTTTGTAATGATAGAGCTCTTCACTTTGTTCCTTGTAATATTTTTTAATCGATAGTAGTTGTAGGAAGTAGGGTTTAGAAGTACAGGAATACAATGAAGAAACAGGAGTATGTAACACTAGGGCTTCTAGAAAAAATCGTTTCTGATCAATTTTGAAATTGCGGAAACACAAAAGTAATTATTCCTCTAGGCGAGCTTGAAAGAAAAAGATCTTTTTCGGTGAACTGTTCAACTTTTGGGCAAAACTCAAACTACTATAGTCTTGTCGAAACTCAAAAACAAAAAAACACAAAAAAAAATACAAACAAACAAGCTGTGATGCAGCGGTTCCGGTTCGTTGAAAAAGCAACAGTTCGTTGAAAACAGACTACAAGACTTTTCGTCCTCGTCCTCGAGCTGTCATTCGGTTTCGCTTTCTTTCGCTTTTAATCACCTACCGATGCTGGGACCTGTTCCACGGAACTAACTACGTACAGGGTTGAGGCTCGACGCTGCCTCTTACCAGTCGGATGAGATGATCAAGGAAGATCAAAAGTAGTTGAGTTGTGCCAGTCGGATGTGGATGTGCAACGACTATGAGGTGATCTTGATTGTGTAGTTCCTTTTATTTTTCAAAGATCCTCGAAAAACAAAAGGAAAAACCTTGATGTTCGCTCGCCGTTCCTCTACTGCGCAGCTTTTCCAACCAGAAAGGTTTTTCATTTCGGATCAGTATTTTTATCCACCCAGATGATCCTGATCATGCACTATCAACAAGTTTGAACTACAACTACATAGAAAGCAAAACCCTGCACGAGAAGGAGCACGACAAGCAAAAAAGAGTGGTACTTCCGCGAGACAAGAAGAAGATGGCGCCTCCTCCAGGCCTTCTCTTCATCCGCGCCGGCTTGTTATTGCTGGCCGCAAGAACTACGACCACCGGCGACGTCGGCCTCCTTTTATTCGCCGTCGCAAAGCAAGACCAAGATGCACTCCTTCCGAAGCACAGTTTTTCAAAGCCTCCCGTCTCCCCTTTCGGGAAGCAAAATCCGTATAACCACACGATGACGTACCGTCCGTTAGGGAAGACCGGGCTCCGTGTTTCTACCCTGTCTTACGGTGCGTGGCTCACGTTTTCTTCCAACAGCAACCAGATTGAGACGATCGAGAAGGCGAAGGAAATCCTGACCGCGTGCGTCAAATCGGGGATAAACTTTTTCGACAACGCGGAGTCCTACGGGAGTTTCCACGGGGAGTCCGAGTTGATCATGGGTGAAGCGTTGAGGCAAATGACCGAGGAGGACGAGTTAGTCACCAGACAGGAGCTGGTTCTGACGACAAAACTGTTCAACGTTCGGGGCGACGGGATAAACAACAAGGGGCTGTCGCGAAAGCACATATTGGAAGGCATGCAGGGCTCGCTTATGCATTGCAAAAGTAACGTAATAGTAGTTCTAGTTGTAGTATAAATTGCATTACAAATTTTCGCAAGAAGGAAAGTGGAATCTGTAATGCTGTTTTACCTTTGGAGGAAGATTTGTCATGCATATTTGCAATTAGTACGATACTTTTGCACAGCATATCGCTGCAGCGGCTGCAACTGAGCTACATCGACGTGGTGTACGCGCACCGGTTTGATTATGGAAGCGTCAGGATCGGAATCGTCAAAGCTGAAATGATTTGCCATGCATAAAATGCATGACGCGAAATACGTGCGTTGCAGAGCAGGCAAGTGAGGCCGATTGTAAGCCTGGCGTTTGGGGTTAGTGTTAGAGCTCGAGCTGCAGAAGTAGCATGAGAGAATCAATCTGCTGTACCTAAACAGCATTACAAACTGGATTTAGGCACAACCAAAATTTGCCATGCGGCACTTGGAAACTGGGGTCCAACTGGCATCCATTTTGTGCATGACAACTTTGACGATTTCAAACCTGACGCTTCCATATTGATCCCACGACCCCACTGGAGGAGACTGTGAGGGCATTCAACTACTTGCTCGACCACGGGAAAGCTTTGTACTGGGGCACATCCGAGTGGACGAGCGAGCAGATCCGGAACGCGGTGCGAATAGCGGAGAAATTAAACCTCGTCGGGCCGATCGTCGAGCAGCCTCTGTACAATTTGGTCAACCGTGATCGAGTGGAGCTCGAATACTTGCCGTTGTTGCAAAACAGCAATAACGGATTCGACGGGATCGGGCTGGGGTTGACAACCTATTCCCCCCTCGCCGAGGGGATCCTGGCGGGCCGGTATTTGAAGGCGAACGGAAAAGCGCCGGAAAATTCGCGGGGCGTGTACAAGGACCGCTTGCTGGAGCGGAAGGAGGAGCTGGCGCTGGCGGAAAAGTATTTTTGATTCGCTTGGATTTCTCACTCTTGTGCTTTCTTTCTTGCGAATCTAAATGTCAATCACCGCGGTAGTTCATCGGTACGCGTTGTACTCGAAGATGCTTGTCTCTACTTTCTTCGTCATTCTCATAATTTTCAACACAATGAAAATGAATTATATCAGGCTCAACCCCCTTGCGGAGTCACTTGGCGTCACGCTCGCACAGCTCATTCTTGCTTGGACCATGCAAAACCCGTTTGTTTCGTCTGTTATTATGGGCGCCAGCCGCGTCGAGCAGGTCAGTGACAATGTGAAAGCCGTGGAACTGGCACAGACGCTGTTTGCGCCATTACCATCAAGTACGAAGAGCAAGAAACCGAAAGTAGAGAATTTGAAAGAGAAGATCGAGGCCATCGCAAAGGAGTTTGGCTTCTCTCTAGGCGTGGACAAAATACAGGCGATGGTTAAAGATGCTTTTGTCTCCCATCGGGGGGAGCTGCTGTGAAAATGCAACTAGACAGGAGTTAGAGTTAGTCCGCATGCTCTCGTGCGTGCTTGTGCACTGTATGCCTATGTGGTGGCTGTAAGAAGACCGACCTTGTAGGTCATTGATACATGATCAAGGGTATGCGGTGAAGGATTGTACGTAAAACTTAATACAACTGCCGGAGATCATGCCAATGCCTCCATCAAGCGAGCCCATAAAGAAAATTGACGCGTCTTGGTCTTCTACAACTGACAGCGCGTTCTTCGTGTCCGCGAAGAACGCGCATGCGATCGATGTTCGTTCTTCCTCGTCTTCCTGTGTGTGAAAAATCTATAATCGCCGACATCAGCAGGGGGAGCGTTCTTGTTATCCGATGCGTTTTGTCGTCGCCTGTATCGTGAAGAAGAGGGAAGATCATGAGAGAAACAGAGAAAATAAACTAGGAGAAGCTCAAGGTCGTTTGCATAGAGTAGAAGTAGTCGGAGTGATTCGTATTGTCAATTGACGACTTTACTTTATCTCGTTAGCCCGTGGGTTGGTCTTGCCAGGCTGCTTTTCAACGTTTTCACACCATCAAGAGACGACAAATCCGCGTGTAGCTAGAGCATGCCCAAGCAATTGCATGCGAGAACTCATACACTCACACACTTTTGCGCCGGAATACAGGAAAACAGTCTCGACAGAGGTTCATCATAGGAGAAAAGCAATACCAATATCGTCAAGATGGGTGCAGCGCACCCTTCCTTTCTTCGAGCTGGTTCTGCTGCTTCGTCTGAGCCGGCACCTGTTGCAGCAGCAACTTTCGACAACCTCTATGACGAACACAACAAAACAAACCAGCGAAGCAACGACGCGACGTCAAGCAGTCGCAGCGCCGGCAGCACCAGCACGATATTCGGCACTACCTTCACGACCAATTTCGACTCTTTAAAATGCTGCACGACGATTTCCGCTGAGCAGCTGAAGGAGGAAAGGCGAAACGAGCTGGATGACCCAATGGTCCCGCGCCGGGGCTCGCCCTTGCGTCGCCGCAGCGGCAACGTCGGGTTTGCGTCCTCCTCCGAATTCGACTTCGTAGACAGCTTCAATATGATGTTCAGCAGCTCGGACCGAGCGGAAGGAGGAGGACCAGGAACAAACATTTTCTGCCGAGGTTCTTCGGCTGCCGGCCAGCTGCTCTCGTCCGGCGCGTCGTCGAACATCCAAAATCTTCGTGGTATAACGACAAGTTCGTCTGGTGGTACTAACCGGGGGGTCAGCTTTTTGAATTGCGATATCAAATGTAAAAATGTCTGGGTCACTCTGGAAGAGTCATGCTGTTTTTGCATGACCCAGAAGGTCTGGCATGGAAGCTCTAGCATCACAGGTTTCGAGAAGCTTCCGCAATGCCGAATCCGCATGACAAGTCCCCTATTTTGCTGACAGAAAGTGGGCAGCTTTTGCTACGTATGCATGAGAGACTTTTCAGTGTTCTGAAATACGCATTACAAGTTGCATTCTTCCAGACCCAGACATTTTTGCATTTGATATGCGGGTTAATGAAGCAAGATGCGAGAAACGCCTTCTCCTCCGCCAAAGTTGAGATGATTACACCTGGAAGTTGTACAACTGCAAGTGGCGCTGCAGGGGCAGGAGTGAATAACAAATTTTCATCCACTTCGAATGTTCTCAACAGAAGCGGCTCGGAGCAGCGAATCAGCATCTCGAACAGTACCACAGGATCGAACACGTCGTCCAAAAATAACCGTTATTTTGGCTTCACCACTACTTCAAACAACTTTGCCGAGAGTCCGGTCAGCCTGCTGAAACTGCAGAAGGGGTATTTTGCTGGCGGTGGAGCATCAGGCAGTGGTACTACAACCGCGGCTTCAAAGCACGACTATGAGCAGCAGCTTGAAATCTGCAACCAGTACCTACCCTCCTCGCCGGAGAAAATTTCGAAACGGTTCGAGTGCATTCTGTACTTGAATATCTCCTCTGCGAGCAAGCAAACGACGACGAGGAACTACAGCCCCGCCGGGGGGGGCTTGAACAATAAATGTACAACAACAACTTCCACCAGTAAAGACAAACCCTTGGAGCTGGGCGTGGATGTGAATCCGTCGAAGGACCAGAAATCGCTCCGCGTGGAGCTGGTGAAGCGGAACGGGCTGGTGCACTACTACAACTCGAATCCGATGACGACGCCGAGCCAGAAGATCATGATCGGGGACTACATAACCGGCGTGAACTATGACAGTGCACAACTCCCCCTCCCCCTCATTTGTCATGCAAAATCCCAAATCTACCTTCTGCCTGCTAGCACTCTTTGCATGACAGATTCCGAAACCGAAAGCCAAAACAGAATTACAATCACCTAGGAATTTGTCATGCAAAAGCTGCATCTTTGCCAGCACTTGCGTTGCTGTTCGTGCAACACAACGAGGGGGAGGGGGAGTTGTGCACTCTCATATGAACGGGGTGCGGTTCAACGCCGCAAAGATGATCGCGGAGTGCTCCGAGTTTCTGAACAACGACGTGGTGAAAAACCGCAGCAGCGGTATCAACTGTAAAAGTGTCTGGGTCTGGAAGAATTCACGTTTGTCATGCTTGTCTGGCATGACTATTAAATCTGTCATGCACGTTACCCACAGAGTTCCGTTTTTCTGTGATGCAGAAGCGCAGTTTGTCATGCAGAATAGGCAACACCTAGGAGCTCAGAAACTTGTCATGCTGAGCCAGCATCGATCTGTAGCCTCATCATGAGACGCCACCCAGCATCACAAGTTTCCTGACCCAGTAGACATTTTTACATTTGATAAGCGGCTCGGCCCTGCGATTGGACATTCTCCGGGTGGAGCAAGCGATCGCGGGGGCAGCTCCTGGGGCTGCGTCCAGAACAACTTCCATCGGGGTGAACTAAATTTGATACACTATCGCAGAAAATGGCGATGAAGATTGCATTTCTATTGCACAGCGAAGCCAAGAACGGGTGAGTGACGACGGAAAGACAGAAAATGAAAAAAGAAATTTCTCGAAACTACTGTTGTGTAGAAAATAAAATGAACAATGCGAGTTGTAGGGAAGTAGTCTAGAAGTAGTAGCACCACTACGTCGACTACCCGCCCGACGACCTGTCGTACAACAACTTGGCCTCGACCTCTAAAAACACCTTTTTCGAGTTTGAGCTTGCCGCTACGGGGCTACAATTACGAGAGCTTTTCTTTGTGAATTTTACGGAAGAACAAGAAACAAGGCGCTAGCGCTAGGGGCGCACGCGAGCGCTGCCAAGAGCAAGATAGAGAACCCGAGAAATGAACTTTTTGCAAATGTTGCACCTATGTACAGTTAGCAAAGTATTTTGAAGAAAGGAAAACGTAACGGCATGGATGGCATTGTCGCACCTGATGCCGCGTCATGTACTAATTATTTCGTGCGAGACGCAGAATGAAAATCTTCAACAAAATGTTCGATAATTTTTATTCGGTTTCGTAGTTCTCGTCCCTCCCGTCACGAAACACAATTTGCTTGTCGTGCTTCGTTTTCATTCTTGTGGTAGTCGTCAACATCGTCAAGTTGTTCTTGTGTGCTCGTCGTCGCTTTATCGTGCAACATCGTCCAGATAGTGTTTTCGTTTTCCGTTTTCGTTCAACAACTTTCGTTGGGTCTGCAAAAAGACTTTCGGATTTGCTGTCGAGGACCTCCTGGTGACCGTTGCTGAGGAACATAAACCAAAGTGAAAACTATACGTTCCCCTCCATAAAACATCAGGACCCCCAGCCCGATCATACTTGGATGGATCATGTAGTTAAGTAGCAATCCCCACGTACTCTCACCGTCACCCCCTAGAAAAATCCAGTCGTAGACAGTTGTACCTATGTGTGTTCCCCCGCGTCAGCGATTGTTGATGTTGGCTATGTACATGAAATTGAAAAAGAAAAACAAAAGCAGGTGACTGCGACTTCCCGGCCTCCTCATTTAACCCCACCTCCCACCACCAGATCCAGAACAAATCCAAGAAAGCTAAATTATTCGAAGTGGTGTTGCTGTTGTACGACGTGCGGCGTAAGCTATCACGAGGATCATGCTCCGACAGAACCAGAAGATGATACCGGGCAGTAGCTTCCGTGAACAAAAGCCGGCATCGGAGGTCGTGACGAAAACGAAAACGAAGATTGTTCGTTCGATTTTCCAGTCACGACACAACTACAACTAGTGTCGCTGCAGTACTAAAACACTTCTTGGAACACGACGGACCGACAAAGAGAATGTGGAATGCTCCTCATTATCGAGGCGCAGGAGCATTCAGTAGGGCGTCAGCAGCGTTCTCGCTGTCCTCGCGATGCTCCTCCCGCACCGCGGCGAGTTGTACCACGATCATGCGCGTATTCGCGCGATCGTGCTTTTTGGGCACGCTCTGGCTGTATCTTTTCCACGGCGACTTAGACTTTTTTGATGAACAAAGTGGGTGCGGTCGTGGGAAGTTAGCCAATAGGACAAGTAGCAGGAACAGAGGTCACAGGCGGAAGGTCGGGACGACCGATGTACTAGTACCTGGAACTCTACTACAAGAAGCTAGATCTGAGAGGACATTAGCAGCAGACCCGGCCTCCACCTGCTCGAGGAGCGGCACAACGACGGGAGCAAACCAAGTAGAAGGCTCGTGTAGAAGTCAACAACAACAAGTAGAAAGACGCGTGGCGGCTCCCTGTGCTAATGTAGTTTCGAGGTCGTCCTCCTACTCTGGGCCGATATTCGCCGCCCGTGCCATCAAAATCGTGCAGCAGAACGTCGACCGGCACGGTGCCCGCCGATCGAAAAGAACTACGCGTCACCGGAAACAACTACCCACGGCGCAACAAGGAAGTACTAGCCACAAGACTGCCAGAAGTTTGCCAAGCTCCCGCGGCCACTCATCCCTCGTTTTTATGGGCACCACGACCAGCAGAAGATCACCTACACCTGCGTCGGGAAATAAAATCAGTACAACGACAAGCGCTTCGCGAACGAGCACATCAACCAGGAGTAGAGATCGAAGCGTGGAGCACCATGGGGAACAAAGTGCCGCGAAAACGTCAGGAGAAGATGAATCTGCTCTTTTGCAGCGAGACGATGTGAAACTACCTCCTTCGCGGCCAACTTTGGCGGGGGGCGAGCGGAGAGATCATAAAGAAAAGACGCAAAGTAGAGCGCCTGCAACGCGGCCGCCCGGAGGTCTCGCTTCCGTGAAAAATAATATCAAAGCGGATCAAGAAGAAGAAGGAACACCATGGGCGGGCCAACTTTTATCCGAGGGGGCCGTTGAGGAAATTATACCTCTCTCAAGCACAAGATCCACCTCCATTGCGGGTCGTAGTTTCAGCAAATTTATTAAAGTAGAGGATGAGAAGCGACGAACCTTTCTGGCACTTCTCGGCGTTGGGACCACATCCAGTGCTGGGAGAAAAAGACAACTTCATCTACCGACGGCAGACAATTATCGAGATGAGGATGGCATCGAAAAATCTACTAGATCTTCCGGTAGAACAAGTTCCAGTGATATAGAATTCTTTCCGCCTCCGGCGACTGGAGCGCCACACCATCACGTCGAAGACGACAATGCGATAAAGATTGGAAATAGAAGCAGTAGAAACGAAAAAGTAAAACAAGGTACATCAACTTCTACATCCTCCTCTCCTCCAGATGAGGTTGTTGACCGCAGTAGTTTTCTCCACCTGGCAATAAAGGATAAGGCCACAACAACTGCTAGGCGGAAAAAGGTCCAGTTACACGCGGACCTAACGTCCCGACCAGAGGACGAAATAAAGCCCCGGCCGACCCAGTCGGGCGGATGCCTAGCTGGCTGTTTCCAGGAACAGGAAGAAAACGAGGTCCCCCAGCGACTCGCTTCCAGGACGACCCCGACAGAAGAAGTAGAGCTACACGTCGAAGATGCTGACCACGACACTAGTACAGCAGAAGATGTTGAAAAGGATGACAAAACAAGTGCAGCGGCCACCAGCAATCGTCCAGATAGTAATACTGGTACTGCTGTACATGAACGACTGGCTGCCCGCGAAGAACTCTCCGAGCAGGACGAGCACGCGGGGCCCCCAGCACCTCATGACCCACGAGACCGTCGCGATTCAAGATCGCGTACTCCTACTTCCGATCGGGACGAGATATTGTCACCAGACGCAAGCAGCGCACACAATTCTGATGCAGGCGGGGGAGGAGGCGGAACTGCCCCTGGAGAAGATGAGGAAGGGCGCTCCGCTGACAGCGACGCCGTAAGGTTCGTGCCACCTCCTTTATCCAAGAAAAAAACATTGTAGGTGTAACTTTCTTGGAGGATTAGCATGACAAATATCTCTCGCATGACAGCAAAAACCTGTCGTGCGCAGATACTACATGAAAACGCCCTTTAATGAGCCCTACGATGCATGCCAAGCATGACAGACGCAATCATCTTGCATGTTGCGCATTACAAATTTACACTAACAACGTTTTTTTCTTGGATATCCTTCTCAAGACGGCGAAAAACGACGCGGTGACGATGAAGAAAATGAAGCCGTGGAGACCTTTTGGACCGCACCCGGGAAGCACATCGATTGGGTGTTAAAACACCCGCAGGCGGTGTGGATTGTGGGTGGGGTCGTCCTCTTCTTAAGGCTCAAAAAAATCCATCCGCTCAACGGCTCCCAAAATGTTTGAAGCCTGGCCAGAAAAAAGGCATCTGCGCAAGAAGACACGCGCAGCAGTTTGTGACGCTCGGCTTCGTGAGCGCGTTCGCGCTGCAAAGTAGCGATTTGATTTTTTGAACCTTTTTGCGGGCCTTCATTTGTGATCGTGTGCCTTTCGGGGCGGAAAAGGAGCTGGGAGCGTTTTATCATCGTTTCCCGCTCTTTCGCAAGACTCTGTGACTTGCAGAGCTTGCAAATTTCTTTCAAACTTCATTTGAAGTTCAAATTTGACTTGAAGCTTTTAGTCAAATTTGAACTTCAGCCGAAGTTTGAGAGAAATGAATTAGTCCCACAAGTGGGCCCAACAAACAAATTTCCAATAGGATTCGGCGTTTTCCGGACTTCTGTCGGACACCGCTGAAGGAGTAGAGCAAACAAATGTGAGCAAAAAATTGAATACCGGCAAATGTACGCGAAACGGTGAAAGGTAGGAAAAGGCTGTCAAAATGGTCGCAACTCGTGTTTTTTGATGCTCGATGGGGGGCGCTTTACAAACTACAGCCACAGCATCGGCGACGGCATGCAAAGTGCAGCTGTGATATGAGTACGGTCTCGCCAACCGCATTGCAACAGCTCGCGCACGCAGATCGCGCAAAGTGCTTGGCTTTGCTCTTCGAATGCGAAGCGGGGCCCTATCGACTTTTCATCCCTTGCAAGAATTACTTCAGCAAACATTTTGGGAACCGGGCTCGGAATGGATTTTTTTCACCCCTAATCTTCCTGCTGGTGGTGTGCTTTGCGATAGGCCTCGCGGTCTACTACTGGTGCTGTTGTTGCAATTATAAAACTGGCGGAGAAGAAGAGGATTTAGAGGACAATAAAGAACATGGTAGTAGAACGATAGGCACTGCAACTACAGAAGGCACAACAAGAACTGGAGCAGCTAGTACAACGGTTGTGCAGTCCCCTCCACCTCCACCTGCACCAGCTGCACCGGACTACTATATCGGAGAGCGAGGCGCAAGGCTTGAAGGTGGCGCAACGCGAGCCACGACAGCGACGGGCTACAGTTCGACACGGGAGCAGCACCACGGGGGTATAATGATAATCGCAAGCTGGTGCCCGTGTTGCAGCGGCATTTTCGGAGTAGACGAGCAGGATCCTGCAAATTGTAATAACGGGAAAAGAACAAAAACACCAACGGAGAATGGGCCTGGTGGACCAGTCTCCGTGGATGTTTTTGCGTGGACGGCGCAGGGGGACCCGGTCGTGGACGGCGCAGGAGGAGCTGCACCTGTTTCTGCTGCTCCCATTACCGTGTCTGCCGCCCATATGGAAGCGTCAGGTTTGAAATCGACAAAGTTGAAACGATTTGCCATGCATAAAATGGATACCAGTTGGAAGCCCAATTTCCAAGCGGCGCATGACAAATTCTCGGAGCAACGGAATCCAATTTGTCATGCTGTTTGGGCACAGAAGACTGCTTTTGTCCTGCTCCTTTAGCAGCTCTATCCCAAACCCTAAATAGGCTCACAATCTGCCTCGCTTGCCATCCCTGCAAGAGAGGCGCTTCATGTCTTGCAGTTTATGCATGAGAAATTATTTCAACTTTGACGATTTCAATCCTGACGCTTCCATAGCCCAGGCCGCCGAGTTGATGCAAATGAACGCCGTTGACGCCCGCGGGGAGCTTCTGATGTTCGCCACCCCCTTATCCTGAGTAAAAACGTACCCACACCAGAGCTGTAATGCAGATTTGCAAAGACAGGAAGACTTGTAATGCGCATCCCCATGAGAGCCATTTCCAATCGTGTTTTGAAATTTGTGATGCTGTGAACAGGATGAGCAGATGAATCTGTGACGCGGCTGCACTTGCTAACCAGCACTACACTGCGGAGTGCAATTTGTCATGCGTGACTCCCAAAACTCCTAGGCTTGTGCTGCAAAATCCCCATCCTGACTCTGGTGTGGGGACGTTTTTACTCAGGATACCCCTCCGGGCAGCTGCTCTCGCCCGCGGAGGTACACGCCTTGGCGGTGGAAGAGGGGAGCGCGAGCGGGCTGCCTGGTGGCCAGACGTCCAGTTTGTTCCTGCACATTCTCAGTGGCCAGGACGAGTCGGGCGTTGTCTCTTTCGACAACGCGCGCGGTGGTGGAGGACCGCCTATTACAGCCCAGCAATCCCCTGGTATTCTAGTCGGAGAGGACCAGATGATCTACTCCAGCCATGGAAGATATGGAAGTGTCACGTGTGAAATCGACAATAAAGTGAAAGTTGAAACAAATTTGTGATGCAAGAAAACAAACGCATTATATGTAAGTAAGTATCTATAGCGTAGCCATAGAAGAGTGCGAATGCCTGTATTAAAGAGCAGGCAAGTTGTGACAGCGAAGGCCGCGATTGTGTGCCTCTTGGTCGTTGGGTATGGAGCTCGAGCTGCTGAATAAGTCGAATAGGAAGAGAGGTCTGCATTCCGCGCCAAACAGCCCGAGAAATCTGATTGCGATGCTGCCAAAATTTTAATTTGTCATATAATTGCGCGACGTGGAGGTGCATCTGCATCTGCAAGCGTGATGAATTATTGCAAACCATTTCCTTCGAGTTAATATTTGTCGATTTCGAGCCTGGCACCCTGATAGCCAACCCGTTGCGGAGGTAGTTGCGCAATCGCCTCGGGGTGTTCCACTCGGAGCCAAGACGCCGTCCGTGAACGCGATCAGACTGTTGGTTCAGGACCCACGTGCGGATCTACCCTTTCTATCGCCTTTGTCGACCTTCACAAACAAAATGGTCAATGACTTGGTCGACGGAACAGGCGGTGGAGCACCAGCGGGCGCCAATGACAGCCGAAACAGGCGCCGGGCCTCCAGTGTCGGTTATGAGTATACAGTGGTGCCAAAAATACCGTCAGTCCAACCAGCAACGGACTCCATTTTGAGGTACGAAATCGAAAATGCTCACCAAGTAATGTGGTCCGCGCCTGGTACTAGCACTAGGACTAGGAGTAGTTGTAAACTAAGTACAAACATCGCACACCTCGCACCTTTCAAGAAAAACATCAGGCTCACGCCATCAGCTAACTATGATCAGCAGAGATGAAGCATGATCTCCATTGATGAACGATATCATTATCATATGAACGAGCTGGAGCTACTTTGGTTTGCATGTAGTTGCGTCAAAGTTCTTCGACCGCCTTCAACGAACTCTGTGTCCTCTGGATACTTACACCGAAGAGCAGTAAGAGACTGACAGTCTCGCGTGAGAGTTGCGAGTTACTAGAACAAGCAATGCTATTTGAATTTGATGTTAGTACCAGAAGCGGCAAGATTTCTTGCGTTGCATATCACGGAGGTAGCCGGAAAGAACGTGATGGGGCTGGATTCGGACATGGCTATCGTTGCGGAGCCTGAGAACAAGCAAAAGCAGGGTAAGAAAAAACTGGATCATGCCAAAAAGAAGCTGCGACAAGTCACCGGTTTGAATAAAAAACCTGTGAAACCTAAAGTGTTCGTGCCGGGTCCGATGGACGGCGGAGTTGCCGTGGTCCTCGCTTCGCCATCCCCCCGCGATCGGCCTAGCAACCTCGTCCCAGCAGGAGGTGGAGTGCAACCTGGTGCAGAAGCAGGAGCTCAAGGCACTACAACATCTTCTACTCCCCTGCCCGCCGGCGCCGCCCCGCTGGCCCTTACTCCCAAGACAGCGTTCGAGATGAATCCGCAGATGAATAATAATAAACTAGTTGCCGCAGGAGGTCGCGGTGGCACTGGCACCGTCGCCGCCCCCGCCCTCGTTCCGGTTATAGCAGTGAGAATGGGCGGCTCTTCCAAGAAATCCCGTGGAACGATGAATGCGGTTGAACCAGGAGACCAACCTAGTCCCATTTTTACGAGTCCCTCCGCAAGCAGGCAGGGATCGAAAACCGCGGCTCCCGACCACCGCGGCGCGCCAGTAGAACAACCCGATCTGGGGGTTCCAATTACGGATCCGTTGTCGGACCTTATTCAGCTCGGAGGTAAACCCCGCCCACCAATCACTCGCGATGCCTACTTTACGTGGGACAAAACCAACGACACGTTTGCGAAGCCGGCGTACTCGTTTGAAGACCGATAAACAACTAAAATCATTTTCACTCTTCTTCATTAAGAGGAGGTCTTTTTTTCTATGTCAAAGTTACTGTTACAGTATGACTACTTAATTTGAAACTCAAATCTCAAATTTATCTTCGACGTCTACCCTTTTTATTCACCGAAAAAAACGTTTCGCTTTATCCATGTTGTGTCGACGCAAAAAATGACGCTACTGAAAAATAGTTTCATTTTCGTTTGGACGGTCGAAAACAACATGAAGTCGCACGACCCGCTCTACTTCGTGCAATTGTTGTGACAGAACTCATGCACTCGTTGGTTTTCAATTTCAAATGCTCCAACAAAGTAATAGGAATAGAGCAACGGTTCTCTTGTTGTTCTTTGTGCTTAGCTGCGTTCCGTCGTCGAGCTGCAACACCTTCTAGTAAGTATCAAAAAAAAAAAAAAAACGAAATCGTGGCCAGAACATGAACTTGCACACCTTCGTCGTGTAGTAATTGTGCGTACGTCCACGCTCATCTTACTTGTATTGCTCGTGGTTGAGCTCGTCCGTGAGTTACAACTTTTTCGTGCTCGTGCTCGTGTCGTTTAAAAAGCGCCCCTTTCCGTGTCGTCCTTTGTCGTCGTTCTTAAAAGAAAATCTTCTATGGAGGTCGTCGCGGCTGAACTATTACACACCTCATTGAACAACATGTTTGCTATTTTCACAGGAACATGATACCCACGCTGCATGATGTAGCGGCACTACAACTCGCAGATTTAGGTCGAGTGGATGATACAGGACGACAGCATGTCCTGCTCGCGTAGAAGTAGTACTAGCAGGCCCTCCACCAACACGAGGACCCTTGTAAGTGGCCTAGTAGCTGCTCCTGCTGGTCGTGTGTCGGTTCTCCAGTGTCGTTTGTACAAGCTTCTCACCTTCTTTCTCGCAACTGGATTGATAGTGTATCAGCAAGAAGTAGACGACGAGGAGTCGGATATAGTTATTTCAGGAGTCCGATATTCATATTTTGACGTATTAGGTGAACTTGAAGATGAAGAACTCTACTCTGGCTTTCTTGCCAACGAGAACCAACTCACTAGGCCACCGATAGGGAAAAATGCTTCTCCACCTTCAGAATTGCACGGTCAGAGCAGTTGTTGCAGCTTTCGCGCATTCTCAGGAGCAGCAAGTACAAGTAGAACGCCAAAAACAACTTCTCGTCCAGTCCCCTCTTCATTTTCACTTTTCGCAAAAGCAGCGATACTCTTAACCGACGCGCGGCGGGTGAGAGTAGAGCACATCGTAGTTGACGATCAGCATCAGGAACAAGAACGAGTGGAGAATAAACAGACCAAATTTTCATTTTCACCGACGATCGCAAAAAACTCAGCACAAAAACCATTACTGCAACGGGGTAAACAGAAAGCGAGGAGGACGACCGCGGCAAGAGCCGCGACGAAGCTCGCAGAAGGTGTGGAGCTGGGAGAAGATGAGGCTACAGCACGAGCCGGAGTCCCCCTGCCGTTGTCGCTGCTGGTGCGACGAGCAGGTGTCGTTCGGAACAGGACGGTGACCAGAAGAACAATAGCAAGTTCTACAACTTCATCATCCCGCCAAGTTGTTCTCCCAACTAGAAACAAGAACATTACCCCCGTGGTAAGCACAGATAATTTTGACCACCGAAGAAGTAGAAAACCAAAAAGTACGAAAGCACCGCCAGCACCTGCAAAACCTACAGAAGAAGTTGCACCTCAAGAACAACAGCAGAACCAAGGAGCTGCTCACACGCTCGGGGTGGAGGAAGAAACCAAAACCGAAACGGAAACCACTAGCGCTACATTAAGCACGAGGACTTCTTTGCAGGAGTCGACTGTGGAATCGCGATCTGTAAGAACTACGACCTCCTCTGCTCCTCCTAGAGGGCCGCAAGAAAATCTTCATCAAGGTGCCGCGGCCTCGTCGACTAGTATCACTGCAGCAACTGGATCTGGATCATCTACGACCTCGTCCACCGCGACCTCAACTACAGCAGCATTGAAAAAAAATCTGAAACACGTGTTGGCTTCCCGGAACAAATTGCGACTAAGGCTTGTCCTCAGCGAAAACGTGAGGCGGAACCAAGTGAAGAGGGACGTGGTCTTCCAAAATGCGGTAAACCGAGGCCTGATAGACGCGCTGAATCAGGCGATAGATGAGAAAGAGACTCAAGAACTACTTGCCGCACAAAGAACCACAGGGGCGGGTGGGAATGGGATATTAAACGGGGAGAACAAGAACATTAGCAGCAGCAGTTCGGACGAGGACGATGTTGAGCAGTTCGCGGTAAAAAGAACTCACAACAAGCCGAGCGTGAAGGACCTCACAAAGGCGCAGACGCTGCGCAAGATCGCCGTTTCCGAAATAATTGCAGAAGAAAATGAAACTACAGAAGATGATCATCCAGCACCAGCTGGTATTGGAGATCATCAAGACCAAGTTCCAGTTCGGAACAAGTTTCTTGCTGAGGCAATCCTCCAATTTTCCGTGCGTGTCGAGGACCCCTTGGTCAGAGAAATTTTAAGAAGCATGTGGCTATTCAAAGAGGAAGATACAGAATCTGCAGAAGGAGAATCCGTGGAGGCGAGTGCAGGAGCAGGTGCAACATCCGCGTCATCTCCAGCGGTGAAGAACCTTCGTCACGATCCGGCTTTGGTTCCCAGCCTGTCGGCAATAGGAACCAGTATCTGGGGTGCTGTCAAGCAGGAGCAGGACGACGCGAGACAACACGAACAAGAAGTACAACACACGATGGAAGGAGCGTCTGCTTCAAGGGTGAAAGTGAAGACCAGCACGTCAACGTCGTCCATTGTCTCTTTGATAGAGAAGGTCGAGGCCAGCGTGGTTCGAAGCAACGTGTTTTCTGGTCAAAATCAGAACGATTCCGACGAGAAACCTGATTCAACAACCCTGGACGATGAGAGCCCAATCCATGCAGCTCCTGCGCCGATGAACTATATCCATTTACTGAATGACAATGAGTCGAAAAGTGCCGGCACGGCACAAAATCATACGGGAAATGTCTCAGAACAAAATCAAACTGGCAGAGCAGGACCAGGATCATCTACATCTTCCGAGCAGGCGCTGCAAACGTCAAACCACAATGTCTCGTCCTCGGCCCCCTCGGAGGCTCCGACCACAGAACGCGCGCTGCTCAACGCGGCCGATACAAATGAGCTTGCTCTACTTCAGCCTAAATCTCCCGGCGCATTGATGCTCCTCGTAGTCGGTGCCATTGTGTTCTTTGTCGCCGGCGTGACTTTACTTGGCTATTGCGCGGCTCGGGACCGCATTTTTACAGGAGGCACATTATCTGGCGGAGGAGGAGGCCACGGCGATCCGGCAGCAGGAGCGGCCGCAAGAAGCGGAGGTGGCACCGGAGGACTGGAACTATTCGAGGATGAGGAAATAAATGGAGATCATGCTCTTCAGCTTGGTGTGACCGGAGGACAGACGCAGAGAAGCAAGAACTCCGATCCGAGAGCGAGAAATCAGAATTCCCCTCCTGAGGCAGGAGGAGATAGAGGTCTTTACAACTCCTTAACGTCTAGCGGTCGCGAGATTCAGCGGTTCAATGAGCAACAACACGTCGCACCGACTTCAGACCAAATAACCGCCCAGCTCGAGTCCAGGACGACGCTGCCTGACAGCCGGCTGACTGTTGACGCGTCGTTAACTACACCAGAACTTGCTGCCTCTTCTGTGGCGCTCGTTTCTGCGGGTGCTGGAGGAGAGGAAGACTATCCGAGCCAGTTCGCCGGATTCGGGGTGCTGCCGCCAGTTGTGCCAGCCTCAGCCGCAACCATTCAACTGAACAAGTACGGTCGCGTTGTTGATAAAATAAATGAGAAGCCGACCACCGCTACTGCGGGCTCTGCGAGAAATTCGCCATCTGCTCGCGTAGTAGAAGAAGTAGGGCCAGTAGGAGTTGCACCAGCTCCAGAAACAGGAACGGTAACAGCTGTAACTACAGGTAATAGACATAAACCTCGACCTCCCGAAGAACAAGTCGTGAGTCATATTAAACTACTGCAAAGCAAGAAAGGCGCCTCGTCCTCGACATTGCAGGCACGCGGTCACCAACACACCAAGAAAGCAGCAAAGCCGACCAAGCGAAAGACCCCGGATCTTCATGCGAAATCAACATCCAAAGTGGCGCTCGGCGGCGATTTCCATGGAGGCGAAGCAGAGATAATTCACAACATGTATCAGTCGGTAGCAAAGGCGTTGATTCGATCACCATCGGCTGCATCTTCGCACAAATCATCAGTCTCAGGAAAGTCATCGGCTTCCTCTGCACGAAGCGCATCTTCAAGGGGCAGCAGACCGAGTGCTGGGCTAGCATTACCATCGCGCGCGCATGCTTCAGAAAAAAAATCATCAAATTCCTCTGGGACGCGAAACGCATCAAGAGGCAGCACCAGACCAAGCGCTGGGCCAGCAGTACCACGCCCGTGATATGCTTCAGGACATTTCCACTCACGACAGACTTCTTCCGCAATATGACTATGATGTATCTATGAGCTTTTACTAGTTATGTACACGACTGAGACCGATTTTTTTTTGAAAAGATGAAGATAACACTATCTGGTCGAGTCAATTGATCTTCGTCATTCATCATCACACCTCTGGAAAACAGAATATTCCGTCAGAAAAAAACCAATATGATGATGGATGTTCTTTTTTCTTGTTCGCCTCGGCGCTGCACTACTACTAGAAGAGTCGTGAACCAAAAAATTCAATGACCGCGTAAGGTGAAGCTCTTGATCCATTGATTTGAAGAGGAAGAGTGAGAGCCGTGGTTGTGTTGGTGCTGGGTTGGGATCTGTCTATCAACATGTAAGAACTCAGAGTCGCGCAGTACCAGAGCCTAAAGCTTTATTCATGTTTACCCGCGCACTTCCCATTTATCATTCGGTCAGATTTGATTTCTATTGTTTCTGCTACTGGGACGTGATACTATTTTCCGTTTGACGTCGGTTTGGTTGTGTTGCTGTTGTTGCTCCTCCACCTCCACTAGTGTGTGGTAATATTACAGACCGAGGTTGGCGATGGAACGTCGCAGCTTAGCAGCTCATCCCTTCGCAGCTTTTTTGTTATTAGTAATAAAATAGAAACATACCATTATGAGTTTCATATGGCTACGGGTTTCTAATGTCCATGATGACCCACGAACTCATATATTGTAGTGAAGTAAACGACCAAACTTTCCGAACTGGAATCGACGAAAAAACTAAGTACGAAAGCAACGAATATCAATACCAAAGATGCCCTAGTAAGTTATGCATTCCTTGCACAAGCCACGTCGATTCTATTCTTGTCTGGAACGGAAAAACAAAAATCTATACTAAGTGGGCAAATCCAATCTCATGCAAAACGAAAAACGTAATATATGCAATGCAGTGCACCCACTGTGCTTTGATTTACATAGGCCAAACCAAAAACATGCTTCGCGAGAGGTTTTTCGACCACCGTCAAAAGCTGAACGAAGCCTACGAAGCACGACTTTGGCAAGATTTTTCTGGAATTAGGAAAAAGCATAGCGCAATACTTTATCATCATTTTGCCCGATGTCCGGGTAGGCCGCGGGTCATGCCTGTCAACATCACTTCTTCATCTGAGCTTCTCACCGAGCTCGAGGAAAAAATGATGTGCTACGCCCGTTCCTTATTTCCATATGGCCTAAACGATAAATACCAAAAGAAGTATATGAAAGTACACTTTGGCTCTTGTTGTGTATTTCAGATTTTTCGTTCCGTGGCCCCAATTTCCAAGAAAAGGTTTCGGGGTACGCGGAAACCTGCTCGTGCGATAACGGCGCAAGATTTCATGAAGCAGGTGGATGCCATTCGGAAGGCCTCCATCGGTACACAAATGAAAGATTTTGATGACAGGTTGCGCGCTTATATTTTTGGGCTTTCATCTTCAGTTTTGAAGTCATTTCTCTCTGATACTAGCCTTAGTTTCAATCTCCAAAAACGAGAACAGCATGTGCTTTTTGATTTGCTAAAAACTAAGCTTGCCCCTGACGAAAAAGTAAAGCCTAAAAAGAATGGCATAAACATACAGTGTTTCTTTCCTAATAAAGTTATGGAGTGCTTAAAAATTGAAAGCGCTCTTGCCGACGCTAACAAGGCATTCCCCCTTGCTGGTAGTCGACCTATGTTGGTATACAAATATCCTCCCCCATGTAGGTGGATATACTCTTACACAAAAACCTGCAGAAGTAGCACCCTTGATAAGTGGACTAATATAAATTCCTTGCCGTGTTTTTGCAAAAGAAACGAATTCAGTAAATATCGATCAATTCCAGGCTCTACAGATCTACGTGAGCATGTAATTACAGGCGACTCGTCGATTTTATGTGAGCCCGCTCTAAACATCGATGCCAGCCCGGAAGAAGTTTCCAGGCTGGCAGAGATTGTTTCGAGGGGTGCCAAGTTTCGATTTCCAGATGAAGAATTTTCGCAGCCCGAGGATGTAGTAGAAAAATGCATCCGGTCTCTTTCTTCCGCATTAGAAACATGCAAAACGAAACTGATCGAGAAGAACAAGAAAAGCATTACTAACGAAAAAGTAAAAGAAGTAGACGCATGGGCTTCGCAAATACTGGAGAAAGCTCGGAGTAACACGGGGGCAGCTCTCGCTTCCTTCGTGCCTTCCGAGAACTTGCAACGACTTCAAGAAATAATGAAAAAAGTACATCAGAGGCTAGAGATAGTTTATACTGACAAAGCACCTGCAAGCCCTGCGATTTTATGTAAGCGACATTTTTCCGCCGAGGTTCGGCGCGAATCTGAAAAAGCTAATATGTATGAAGAAATTAAAAACGTATCTGTGGACGATATTGCAAAGCAAGAGCAGGAAAAGACTAAGCCGATTCATGAAAAGATCGAAACCCCTCCCAAGCTTCCCTCTGTGGTGCTAATTCCGAAATTGCATAAAGTAGGTATACGCTTTATATGCACGCCCACGAAGCACACAGTGACTCACCCGCTTGCGCGGATGGTTTCTGCGTTGCTTGCCCATATCGAAGAGTACGAAAAGAGATACGATAAAACCGGACACCATGTGTTCGGTTAGCCGCGGTCTTATATTGCAGTTAAAAGCACGGACGAAGCATTGGAATTGCTTCGTAAATTCAAGGCCGAAGTCAAGTCCATCAGTGGCGAAGACTTCGACAAGTTATTTGATAATATAGATTTAGACCGGGCCTCTAGTTTAGTTCGACCGCTTATCACAGACATTTTTACCCGCGCTGCAGACAAAAAGGACCCGCAAGCAGTTAAATACCTAACTTTTTCCAAAAACGGCAAGCATTGCTACATAGCCAAAAAAGCGGTCCGAGTCTCTAGTGTCTTTGACTTTAGAAGAAACCATCGAAGCCTTCGAATTCATATTACGGAGGCAATTTATACAAATTGGCAAGCGTGTTTTTCGACAGCTATGCGGAGCCCCGATGGGTTCAAGCCCTGCCCCGCGCTTAGCCAACCTGATTCTTTTTATTTTGGAAAGGGCCTACATCTTGGCCCCAAGCAGGGAAAGGGCTAAGGTGTGGGGGGATAGTTGTTTTCTAGTATTGCGATTCCTCGACGATGTTTTTTCCTTGAATTTAGACTATGGCGCGCTTGTAAAAATAATTTACCAAGTCCCGGAGGACAAAAAGCTGAAAGCTACTGCGTCAGCAGTAGTGAGTAATAAACTACCATTTTTAGATATAGAAGTAAAGAAAATGGGACAGAAGATATTTTTAAGTACCTACGACAAGCGAAATTTCTTCGGATTTCGCATAAATCGGCTCCCACATTGGGAGTCATGCCTTCACGAAAAAACGATTTGCGGCACACTAGTGTCGCAATTTCTCCGTGCGGCGAAGTTAAACGATGGCGAGCGTGGCCTGCAGGAGCACTTGAAGACGCTTCTAAGGGCTGCGCGGTTTAACTGTTACCCGCTTAGAATTTTGCTCGAAGCTGCCGCCAAATTTCAAAAGCGCCATGCGTATAAGTTTGTAAAACGACTCCAATGCCTTCATAATTTTGCAGCCCTAATAACTGACATAGATAAAGAGATTAGCGTAGTTGCTTAGTGATATCTTAGTAGCTCTTTCTAGCTCCATGCTATAGCTTATTTATACATAGTTATACTCTTCTTAACCTGGTCACGCCTAAGGCGGGCAGGTTTCCCTCATCCCCTTGGGGGTATCTCTCTCTTCCTCTCTTCCTCTCTCTACCCACAGTCACGCCAAAGGCGGGCTGTGTTTTCGACATGGAAGTCACGCCAAATGGCGGGCTAAATGTCTCTCCTTCTCATCCAAATAGCAAGGATTGAGTGCTAGCAAGCTCGAAGTATATTATCCAACTTGTCAAAATGTCGATGATACACGCACCAAAATGATTCCACTTTGCAGTTGTCTTCTGCTTGTTATCTTGGCCTATTTGCCAGCTCGATCGTCCTTCATACTTCGCCGGCCCCGGTACAGCAGAAAAATGTTTCCGTCTACAGTCCACAGGCCGAGGCAGGAAAACGAGCCAGGCACCAACACAACAGTTACAGAATCCTCTTCCGTCCTGGTGTTTTCGTTCGTACCAGAATACATAGCAGGAGCCTTATCTTCAATGAAAGCAGCACAGGCATCGTATGACGCAATTCGAGATTACGGAATGGAGCAACTAGGTTCTTACTACCTCAGAACAGCAAAGCAGATCCACCACAACGCCACCGAGGCAGCAATTCCGGACGAAATTGAACAACTCCGCCTCAAGCGCTGTGAATCTCTGGCCGAATTTTACGACACGCCGTGGTACAAGTTTTCCAGCGGCGACCTCCCATATGACAAAGAAAAGATGCTTGTCGTAACCGCGCCGACGATTTGGCGATACTGTGAAGCAGTAGAAAAACTGGGCGCGTCGATGTGATTGTCGCGCAAGCCAGCGACTTCATACCTTTGAATAAGTTTCTTTGCAAAGGAAAGAAATCGACAACGGTGGAGCTACAGATGAAGTTGGGCACTCAGCTCTCAAACAATTGGCGCCAAATCTACGACGCCTACTACGAAATGGGGCCCACCTTCAAAGCATTGACGGAAGAGCAGAAGAAACTAGTGCCGAGAATGACGCTTCTGAAAATTCCAGTACAAAGATTGAGCGTCTTCCTTCCGTTCACTACGCCAGCGCCTGCAGCGGGGAAAGGAAAAGGGAAGGGCAAGAAGCATGGAACTACAGCTGCGCAGCAAGGTGCTGCGTCATCGTCTTCTCATACGTCAAAGGGTGGCGGTTCTTTTTCTACTTACTTGAACCAGCGACAAGATAACTCTACCCATGCTGCCCCCGCAGGTACCTTGTTGGGGGATAACATAACGTCGAAACTCCAGACGAGAATCCTCATTCAAAATCCGGAACCGACCAAGCAGCTGATACGGAAGCAGAAAAAGTGCAGCATGATTACAAAAAACAACGAGCGAATAACTCCGCCGAGCTATGCGACGAAGCGATGCCGCAGGCATCAACTTCTTCTTCCTCCGCCCCACCTGCAGCTTCAAATTCCAGTATCAACGTCGGTAAGTCCGCATCTCACATCCAGCATTCAGAAACTAAAGATGGCGCAGCTGGTTCCTCGTCTGCCGGGATGCAGATGCCTTCGTCTACATCTGCCGCGGAGCCAAAATCTTCATCTTCAGATGCGGGCCAGGAAAAAATCAACGAGATTTTTAAGAACAACAAGGGCCACAGCTTCCACAGAAACAAAAGGCCCCACCCAAGTCCCAGCCCTTCGCCCAACTTCAACAAAATCGATGACCGGGCTCAGGGAACAAAAGCGTCTTCTTTTTCTACTGGCGGTAAACCGGCATCCTCCTTCGGAAAAACTTCGGCTCCCCCTGCAAGCGGCAGCAACAAAATCAACATCAACAGCAAAGGACCAAATAACTTTCAGCATGTAGCTGCATCTTCTTCTCCAGCATTCCACACGCCGCGGGGTGGAGATTTTTCTACGAATTCTGGATCAGCAGCTGCATCCTCAAAGAACCAAAATAAGCAGTCTTCCCAGCCCAGCAATGTGTGGAGTATGAATACCCAGCAGTTTCAGTCCCAGTCCCAGAACCACACCGCCGCCTCTTTTCGACCCCGCTAGCCCCGCAGTCCTTGTGCCTTTCTTCCGCTGTCTCCACCTCCGCCGCTCAACCCAAGGTTGACGATGACAAGATAGAGGCAGCTCTCTTCAAATATGATTCGATAAATTAACTGAAGTACATGTGTTCTATTCCTCTTCGCAAGCATTTTCACTCGGTGTTAGTATCGTTTTCTTCAGCTAAAGCTAGTATTTCCGTCTTCTGTCTGAGAGAACATATATTTTTATTTTTGCATGAAGTATGCGTCTTCTTCTGTCTTCTGAGAGTCCAGAAACCTTTATTTTTGCATGACAGAATGTTGAGCGACTACTTTAATTCTCGAGAGGGTTTCATTCTTTCCTGCCGTTGAGCATCTTACTCTACTGCTTCATGAGAGATTTTACATTTCATTACTTCTATTTCTAATGACAAATTTTGCATGACAAACTCAAAAGCACGAGACTCTCCTGGGGATCAACTTTTAGAAAGCTAAACTTTTTTTTTTTTTTTTTGAAAAATGCATCTATTCCTCCTTCACATAAATCCACGAATGTGTAAATTGTTATAACAGGCGCCATCTATGCAATATCTGTTCATACCATGATCCTCATGAGAGAAAAAAGTAAGTGAGAGACGAGAGCAGCGCTGCGCCGTCTCTTCGCACCCACCGGCTTCATCTTGCGGAGTTACAAATGGCTGGAGCCGCGGATCATGATCGGTCTGCTCCCCGTAGGCAAACGGGGGGTAGGTTTAGGCCGGCGCTTAAGGCGTAGGTGAAGACGTTCATCACCAGCAGACCACCAGAACGCAAAAAATGAAACGCTCTGCTCATCCCTTTTCCTCCTCTTCCTTCATTTCTGTCATGCTTATTTTCCTTTCTGCACACAGATGCCCTCTATTGCTTTCGCCCCTGAACAATGATTCCGTTTCCAGATTTGAACCAACCCATGAGTGCAAGTTCCACACTATAAATTCTATTTTTCAAAACAGAAAAAGCTTTCTTAGCGTAGTGCTTTTTATATTTATTTGTAGTTTTATGTTGTTTACTTCAAATGCTATTATTGTTGTAACTCTATTAACATTCGTGTCGTGGTGTACGTCATGGTCATGATCGGGGTCGTCAAGAACATTGTAGCTCCAGCTTATTCAGGTGCAACAGTTGTCCGTCGTCGTTTCGGATCGGTATCCTATCAATGTCCTCTCGTTCCTGCTGCTCCGTGAGTTAGTCTACAACGAGCGACGAAACTACAGTGAAGACGAGTTAGTACAGGGTTGTGCTGGTGTTGATTTTTGTCGTGCTAAGCCGCTAAGAGTCGGAAACGTGATACGATCCGTCGTTGCAAGTAGACTCAACCAGCAAATCGAAAAAAGTTAATCAGGGTCGTACACAGTAGTAGTACCTCACTCATTTTGATAAAAATAAACGAGCTGAATATTAGTTCGTGACACGTCATTGGGGTGGAATCGGAAAGTCAAAGTGGCTAGCAAGGAAAAGGGAGGACGAGCTCCAGTAATTTGGTCCACTCTTCGTTGCGAGCCGTAGCCTGTAGACGTAGTCGAGATAATTTTCTTCAACGACGGCTACTGTCATGCAACTCAGTCACCCGCCACTGCATACTATTTATTAGTTTAAGTATAATTAGTTAATTTTTTTTCCAATAATTTTTCAATCGACAAGAGAAAGACAAAAAGCTGAACTCATCGCATCGCCGACGTCCCCTGCTTGTGGTTTTCGAACAGCAGCTGCCTTTCATCTTGCGAATTCTCGCCACGACTCCGTCACTCAAACCACAAACCTGCGCCTGGTCTTGCCTCGTATCAAGGAAGACGATCATGAAGAAGTCCTCTTCTCGTTCTCCCTCACCCATGAAAATGGGAGTGGCGTCGTCCGCATCCTCATCTTCAGTGATGAAAAAGATGACATCGACGACGTCGCCCAAAAATATCCACAGTAAATTTCCCGTACGTGCATCTAGGTACAAATGCGGTTCTTTCCGCGTGACAGAACTTGTCTTCGGTCCTGCTTACTACACTTTATCTCTAAGTTGGCGAAATTTACTTGTGAAGATGCATTTTGTACGTTTACGGGATCGGGAAATTTGTGTTGCATAAAAAATGGCGCAACTACTACATCAAATGGCAACCTCCACCGGCCGGTCCGGTCCTGCCGCACCGATCAACAAGCGGCCGCTTCGGCATCTTCAAAATCAATGTCGATGTCTATGAAGCAAGCTCCGTCGCCGAAAATGATGCAGCATTCTATGGCGAGCAAGTGCATGAACATGAAACAAGCAAAGTTGCCACAGCTCCCGGCAGTACCGATGAAGTCGCCGTCTCCGATGAAGAACTGCTCCGGTGCTGGAACGACATCTGCTACTACTTCATCATCTAAACCTGCGAAATTGCCGAGATTACCAGGAGACCACGGTGCATCAAAGCGGTCGGCCTCCAGTGCGATGAAGAAAACTTCCTCTAGTATGGTGAAGAAAAAACAACTGAAGCGCAGTAATTCCGCCCCCGCGCCGGCGTCGTCGACAAACAAGAAGAAAAGTAGTAACCCCGGAAGTAGGACATCAACAATTTTGATGAAAAGCAAGCCCGCTAGTCGTGAAAAGGAAAAGATGAACAAAAAATCCGCCTCTTCACCTGGCAGAACAAGTTCTGCCTCTTCTTCGCCAGCTCCGTCGAAAAGATCGAGTTCGACCCCAAGAAAGGACACAAAAAAACCGACCACCCCCGCACCGAGTGCTGCTAGTAGTGCGGAGAAAAAGAAGAAGTCTTCCGCATTTTCGCCTGGTGCGATCGCGCCGTTGGTGCAACACCCGGAGGCCAACCACAAGACGAAGCGGCGAGACCAGGTTTTCAAGAATCTCAACGAGGAACTCATGAGAGTAATTCCACCTCCTTCGAAAAATAATCTAAATTCCAATTCGGGGGATTCTGCTGCGACTACTTCATCATCATCTACGGGGCCGCGGCAGCAGCAAAATTTCAGGCATGAACTTCTACAACAAGACGATGATCAAGACGACCCCATGGACGTGGATTCGCACCATGAGAAATTTGCTGCCTTTGCTCTCGAGGAACCACTTCCGGAAGAACAGGAGGACCGGAAGACGAGCAATTCATCTGTTGCGAAAATCACCAGAGGAGCAGGTCCTGCACCTGCAGTAGCTTCCTCCGGTAGTAGTTCTAGCTCCTCGAACAAGCGGAGCCGAGGGTTAGCGTTTGATGCCGGCTGTGGAACGCAGGTTGGCGTAACATCTGCTCGGAATAATAAAGCTAGTCCTGTTTTGGCTTTGCACCCCTCGGATCATCAACAGCACTCCTCTAATATTTTTACGGGAGCTGTTGAGCCAACACCGAAAAAATTGAAGAGCATTTTGAAGAGTCCGGAGAAGTCCTCTACTTCGAGCGTTGCTCTAGACGGTTTCGTCGGAACGGGAGCGGCTTCATCCTCCTCTTCCTCCGCCGCCGCCGGTGTTAGAGAACTTGTTCCAGCTTTTGACCCGCCTCAGCGGTCGACGAAAATGAATAATTCATCAACCGCAACTACATTTTCGAAGCAGCAGCAGACCACGACACAACACCTCGCGAACATGAAGTCCGCCTCCTCTCCGTCGAAGTCCAAGTCCCCGCAAAGATCAACCTCGAAATCAAAATCCAAATCGCCGCGAACATCCTTGGTGGGTACGGCTGCGAAAAACAAGAGCGGCGCTAGCTCATCTGCTGACACGCTTGCCGCACTTGCTGCGCAAGCACAGGCGAAGAAGAAATCGGTGCAGTTTGTGGAACGTGGTCCGGACGTATCCTCCTGTGCAAATGTATCGTACTCGTATAAATGCTTGCTTTGCATCACAGATCCAGTAGCTTATCTGAATCAGCATGACAAATTGCATTTTTGCTTTTCGGAAAAAATTGTAATGCGATTTATACTAGTGCGATAGTTTTGCAATGCATAGGACGTTTTCAAATACGATGATGTGTACGACGACGGGTACGGAAATCGCCGGGCTTGGTTATGACACCCTCAGAATGGAAATCCTCAAAGTGGAAATAATTTGTGATGCATGAAATGCGACACCAAAAAGACTGTATTGCAGAGAACGCAATGGAGGCGGATTATTATGTTTCTACGGGTTCAGAATTGGGCTGCTGATTAGCATGAGAGAAGGGCACCCCTTTGCTTAACTAGCATGACAGACACGTTTTGAGCGCCCGGGGAATTTGTCATGCGCCGACTAGAAATAGCGCTCCAACTGGAGTCGTTTTTTTGCATTACAAATCATTTCCACTTTGAGGATTTCCAACCTGAGGCTTTCATATTGGTTCCAAGGACCCTACGAGCACCAACAAACGCAACTGGATTTTTTGGTACACAGATTTCTCTTTAATATGCTCTCTTGGAGCAAGAGCAACTACATGCTCTACAGATCATTTCTGGTGGTTGTCACACCTTAACTTGAGCTTGCCCTCGTAGAAGTACTGCTCGTGCTCCTCCACCTCCTGCTGCCTCTTGCATTAATGCACATTCGTGTGGTGAGGGTGAGCAGCAGGAGCAGCAGCGCTGGGTCTCCTATGGCCACATTCCGCTTTAGAAGATGAAAACCAAACGGAAAGGTGAAGATTGAACGCATATATAAAATTATACTCCAACACAAACAGTTCGGCTGGCCGGAAGACTGGGAGCGGGAACAGGTTTACGAGAAAAACCAGCGCTATGGATGTGTCAGGATCGAAATCGACAAAATCGAAAAACTTGTGATGCATAAAATCGATACCAGTTGGAGCCTCAGTTTCCGAGTGGCGCGTGACAAATTTCGGGAACGCCCAAATCCAGTCTGTCATGCTGTTTGGGCAAAAAATGCCGCTCCTGTCATGCTATTCCGGCAGCACATTGCATACCCCTAAACAGGCTTACAATCGGCCTCATTTGCCTGCTCCCCAATACAGGCCTTCAATGCCCTACATTTTATGCATCGCAAGTTTTTCGATTTTGTCACTTTCGATCCTGACACACTCATAAGCGCTATCCAGATGATGATGATGTACGTTCGAGTTCCTGTGAGGTTCGGTTGGGTTTGTTTGCATTGATCACCAGGAGCATGACCATCATCATTTAAAAAGATGATCATGATGAAATAAAAGGACGGGTGCGCTTCGCCGTGTTTCGTTCAAAGCACCACAATCATTCAAGAGCAAGCCAAGCAAACCCTTCCTCAGAGGAAGAACAACGTCACTTCTCCCCTCCACAGCCCGAAGCGGCGTGAGAAGTTTTTCCAGCTCACGAACGGGCTAGGTGTCGGTGGGTCAGGTGAGGCTTGGGGTGACGAAATGGATCCGAAGCAAACGGACGAGCAGGACCTGTTCGGCTCGCCCCTGAAATTCGAGTCCTGTGTATCCAAGAAAAAAACGTTGTGAGTGTAAATTTGTGATGCGCAACATGCAAAGCGATTGCGTCTCTCATGCTTGGCATGCATCGCAGGGTCCATTCAGCGGCGTTTTCTCGTACTATCTGCGCATGACAGGTTTTTGCTGTCATGCCAGACAAATTTGTAATGCTGTTCCTCCAAAAAGTTCCACCTACAATGTTTTTTTCTTGGATACTGTGCGGAAGGCGAGGATGAAACGAGCAGTAGTCCGTTGCAGCAACGGCATGTGCCCGTGTCGCAACTACAACAGCAGGCCGCGAACACGACATCTACTCCCTCGGCTGGTGTTGGTGGAACGGTAGTTCTTGGCGGGGGCAGCAGCAGCAGTAGCTCCGCAGCGACAAACACCTACAATTACATGCAGCAGGAGCAGCAGCAGACCCAGACGTACAACAACTCTACTACTACTTCCGGGACCACGTCAAGAGCGAACACGACCAGAGCACCCGCGCCTGGCCCGTCGGCCGGGGTGGAGGAAGTCGTCGGCTACCTAGTGAATGAGCATGAACAGCATGGAAAAGCAAAGGGCAAGGGACAGCAGCGCTTCTGAGAGAACTCCTGCGGAAGAGCTGTGTTCTTGACCTTCTTGAGTATGCATGTTGCCAGGATCATAGGAGCTGTTGAAGACGTCAGTAAGAACTAGTACTTCCCACTGACGACTGCTCCTGCGCTAGACCCTGCCGGGTTCTACTCGTATTCTGCTGCCACAGGAGCTTCTGTCTTTCTTCTACTTCCACCATATACTTAATTACTTTTACTTACGCTAATCCTAATACTGTTAGAATTTGAATTTCAATCTCAATGCCGAGTCACACTCACTTTTTCACCAAATGTCATGCTTGCAATCGGTGCTAGCTAGGCGGAAATGTTGGACCTCGTTGTATGCTGATCTGTCATTCTCATTGTGCTGGCACTTGGACGCGGCGAAGGAGCTCTCCATGACTAGCAAAACAACTAACAGGCTTAATTCGTTCAACTTCAATCTAGTCTGTGTCTCCATGAAGATTTTTTCTGCTCTCCTACGACAACATCAAGCAAATGCTAATTCTGAAACTTATCGAGATGCTCACACATCATTTTTAGCAAACATGTTTTTCTCTTTTCATAGCTTAGAATACAACGAGTTTTACTATATACCTATTCTTTTCTGTACAATGCTTTTTTCTCTCGTTTTCCACGTAAAAAGTTCCAAGGTCGAATTCGAACATTTTACTACTACAACTACTCGTCGATGTTTTAGATGCATCGATGATTGTAGTAAAACGTTGCTAGTACTTGTTGTTAGCAGCGCAAAATGGAACCTACGTCTTCAGTTTTCCATTTCTTTTCTGAACCAAAATTATCAGTTGTGCTGGTGCTGTAAAATTACCTAGGTCTACCTTTTCATGAAACATGTTGGACGCCAGCATCTTCGTGCAACAACCTAGCTTCGTACTGAAACACACTGCTGATTGTATTTTGAGTTTGTAAACAAGCTATTCAAAAAATTTTATACACGTCAAATTCTACGAGCAGCTGACCAAAGCCCTTCGCCACAACAGAGACAGATTATCAACATTTGTGTTACAACAACTGGAGTTGTCTACTTTGTCTTTCATTCGGTCCTTCTGCATCAAACGTGATTTGCAACTCAGTGACCGTGTCGTGAAGATTCCTGTGGTGTGACTATTTTTTCGGTCATGATTGAACGCAAAAACTAAGAATCTCGGTTTATAATTTTGTCAGATGAACAAATCTCTTTTACTCCGTAGATTTTGTCAGAACAAATTTTTTGATCCCTCGTCCATCGGTAGTGAAAGCACTCCGAATTCGTGTCATCGGTATCGTTCTCACGTGGTCGTCGTGCAAGATGACAAACAGTAGCACTTCTAATAGCCGTATGCCAATCGCAACCGTCAATCCTCGTGCATTAACGTAGCAGATCGTACAAGCGTGGCGCCATCGTGAACGCGACCTCCCATCATGGCGCTCTTGAGTCAAAGCATAAACTATACTGCCACGCGCAATCTATCAGCTGCAATTTCCCCGTCCTTGTACCGTTTCAATTTTTGGGCGGTCAAGTACGAGCTCGCGACAGTTCCATCATCTACAAATCAACTTTGAAAGAACAGCAACCTCGCTCGACACCTCTCCGAATATCTTCACTTTTGGACGAAGGCGCGACTAGGACTACCGACACACCGAAATACAACCCAACTTGAGCTTCTGTTCAACAGAAAAGTAGCTGCTTAACTAACAACAGAACTGCTTTTCTAGCGTGCAGCCTCTAGCACTTCTACTTGGGCGCCTCGTTACAACTGATTACTTTACTACGTCTACTCGTGCAGCCTTCTCGTACAACAAGAACCACCCTACTCCACGCTGGCCATGATGCTGCGGAGCAAGACTATCGTCACTGCGCTGATGGCAGCCGCAGCGAATTTTTCCACCTCCGCCAGTGGCGTGATCTTGCCGACGGTTTCTGATACGACGGAGGATTCGCAACACGGTACCGCTTGTAAAAAAATAATCAGTCCAGAAGATCGAATATTAGAGAGTGAGCGCCTTGCGTTCTTCTTTTTGTTGTGCTACTTTTCTTGCATGACGCTGAAGCTGAATGCACACTTATATGTACCTAGCGACGAATCCGCGCGGCAGGGCGCGACTTTTGTTGTATTTGTTGAGGATATTATTATCATCAAGCTCAGCGCTGTTTCTCTGGCGTCGTCCTTGATATATTCACCAGTCTTCGTTGATATTCATATTTTTCTACAGGCACTTCTACCTCGGAGCGGAAGATGGCGCTGGAAGCTGCTTCGCGGCCTGCCGCGTCCTTTATGGACACTGGTGACGATATGGAATGGGAGACGTCAGAATCGAAATCGACGAAGTTGAAAAAAAAATGACTTTTATTGCATAAAATGCAAACACAAGGTGACTGTCTTGCGGGGATGACAAGCGAGGCCGATTGTGAGCCTGTTTATTGGAGGGTGTTGAAGAAGATGGAGCTGCTTGCTCTAAACAGCATTACGACTGAAGACTGGATTTATAATATGATGCCGAAAAAATTTGTCATGCGCCGCTTGAAAATTCGGCTTCCAAGTGGCATTGATTTTGATTTTTTGGCAGCTTATACAGTGCTCACCTTGGCAGCTTATACAGTGCCGAAGAAGCTTGTCCCAAATACAAATTGTTTTTTTGCATGACCAATATTTCAACTTTCACTTCTTTGTCAAAAAATTCGATCCTGACCCTTCCATAAAGGACGTCGGCGCACAAATCCTGGCCGACGAGGCTGAAAAAGAGGCAGTGAGTTTTGGAGAGACCCAAGACAACCCAGCCCCGGCCAAGGACAACCGGAATCTGGGCCAAAAAATCAAGGACTTCGCGACGAATGCGTACGGAAAAGTGAAAGACGAATGGCAAAAGGACAGCAAGAAGGTCGCCGCGGTGACCGGCGCCGGCATTGTCGGAACGGGGCTCACGGGTTTTCACTTCTATCGGATGTTTAAGCGCATCCGGGCGCGTCGTGCTGCGGCCGCCAAGAAGGCCGCCGCTGCGAAGAAGGCCGCCGAGGTGGGGGCGCAGCCCGCCACTGACCAGGATGCGCAGGCCGCCGGCGCGAGCTTTCTGCAAAAACACGATGCGGCATCTACGCCGGCGCCGAAGCTGGTGCTCGCCAAGGAGCGTGTGGCCGTCTCCGATGGCGACGTGCCGGCGACCGCCTTGTAGGTGACAGTAACTGCAAGGTGGTGTGTGCTTCTACTTTCAAACTACAACATAGCAAGCGGCTAAAAATAATATGTAAATTTAAACTTTCTTCTCTCTGTCTCTGTCGTGTCGTCGGCGGTAATGAAGAGGAGGACCACGACCAAAAGCATTACCCGAGGATGCGAGAAGTAGTTATCAAAATTAAAATGATTTCAATCTTATTATAAATGCCGCGAAGCGATGAAGGCGAACATAAAACAACATGCGAAGGAGGCGCAGCAGCAAGTAAATTCATCTATTTTTAAGAGTGAGCTCTATGCTAACGCCGCCAACGCATTAAATAATGTAAAACGAATTTTTCACACAGCATCCATCGCGAAGAGGAGTGCCTAGAACTTTTTCAAAAGAAGATCGCGCCATCTGTTTTGGCGTTCTCGATAAGATCAAGGAAAACAAGAGCCAAGTTATCTTTCATCCGTGCAAGGAAGAATCAGACCACATGATTACCAGGAAGCTGCATGGCGCTACGTCCATAGAGCAGCCACGACCGTGGGAAACGAGGTGGGTGACAAGCAAATAGGATCGTCGCGCGACTACACAGCGACCACAGCGCGAAAACCTCTCGCCCTAACTTGTACGCTGACTGAGCCGCATATGGTGGAAGTGTCAGAATCGAAATTCACAAATTGGAAAAATTTGTGATGCATAAAATCGATAAGACGAGTTGGAGCCTCAGAAGTTTGTAAGTGGCACATGACAAATTTCGGGAGCACCCAAATCCAGTCTGTCATGCTGTTTGCGCAAAGAAGACCGCTCCTGTCGTGCTACTCTGGCGGCACATTACATACTTACTCCTACCTAAACAGGCTTACAATTATCGGTCTCATTTGCCTGCTCCCCAATACAGGCCCTCAGTGCCCTACATTTTATGCATCGCAAATCTTTCGACTTTGTCGATTTCGATCCTGACACATCCATACCGCAGGCCTTCGGAGGACTGCCTCAGTTTGTCTTTGTCAGTTGTGTCTATTGTTGACTCCTGGAGCTGCGGCTGCGGGAGATGAACTACACGCATGCTCGTACTGCTGGCGGGCTCGTCCACTAGATGACAAACGCAACAGCTCTAGTGTACTTCTCATGCCACTTAAGACTTAATATCTCGGAGATGAAGCTGCGTGTATTACTATAATCAAAGAGCACTACATCTACATCAATCATCACAATTTTGTATACTGGCCAGCTGTGATGTGCCGTCGCTTTGATAGATCTTGCGGCGCCGCACAACGGGGGCGGCCAAGTTCAGCTTTACGAATCGCGTCTCACCTAGGTACTTCACAGAGCGGATCGGGAACTACAATCTCACCCGACGAGCAAAATGATTACTTCACAGAGCGGATCGGGAACTACAATCTCACCCGAGCAAAATGATAAGATCCCGGCGAAGGTAGACGTATCTTCGTACTGTGTCGCTAACATTAATTTGAAGAAAAACATCACCTGAATGGAGAAGCTGATCGAATTTCTAATGAAAGGGCCTCCCGGTATTGTTCCTATCCCCAGAAGCCTATCGCATTTTTCATATGTCGGTAGCCAGTGCACAAGGACTAATCTCCTCGGTTTATTATTTTATCAAGAAAAAGAAAAACTAAAACAAAAAGATACAGAATCAGGTAGTCAGTCTTCATGATCTTCTTGACTGATTCAATTATCCTTTTCTCTGCCCCTCCCGCACTCTCGGTTTGTTTCGGTCTCGTATTTTTTTTCCGAACTTCGGGCACGAACTCCGGTCATAGTCAAACAGATGTCGGCGTCGGTAGAAGGGCCAGGGACTTGCATTTGTCACCTTTCGGTGCTAGAACTAGCTTTCGTAGGCTGCAATCTTGTTCGAATAAAGGAGCATTTGCATTGCCCCTTCTTCATCATGATCACAATTATACGTATTTTACTTAACAAACTTGTTGTACATCATCATCAGGATGGACCTAATTTATTCCTTTTCACCCTTGTTTCTTCTATCCACCCTGATCATCCTGCTATCTATTTTTTGTGAGGATGTTAGTCTTCTGTATGGGTTTAGATCAAAACAGTGGATTGGATAGCTTACAAAACAGTAGCTTAGTAGAGGTTTCCTCCTCCTCTTCCTGTAGCTGTATGGATTTAGATCAAGAAGATGATCGTGGTCATTTTCATCGGCAATCAATATCAAACATGAGACTAATAGCTCAAAGCTAGCAGGAGCGCTCCTCCCTGTGATGGTTTGGTTGAAGCTCGAGCATCTGACTCGATAAAGAAGAATCAGTCAAACTACACCTCCACACGCACGACCGATCGGGGCCTACTTCGTTCTCCCGCATCAAAAATGGGAAACTCCGCCACCGCGGGAGTTTTTGTTGAGCTGGAGGAGTATTCGGTCCATCCGGGGAGTGTCTTGCGCGGCCGCGTCCACGTGAATGTGGACAACCGCATGACCCAGCTGAAGTCCCTCAGTCTGAAACTCACCGGCTACGAGCAAACCAACTGGCGCACCGTGGAAAAGAAATTTCAGAAAAAAATGGTCAACGGTAGAGTGGTCCCGCCAAGAAGGGTAAACGGAGCCGACGTATGCATTGCAAATAATGATAAAGCATGTAGTTCTAGTTGGGTTCTCCTGCTCTGGATGAAAGATGCAATCTCTTATATCAATCTGTCTGACGTGATGTTGGCCTTGACGAGCAGCAAAAGTTGCTCGTCTTTGTTCTTCTTGCCAGCTCTTCGAGACCACGAGTGTTGATGAGTTCCTTATGCTCATGCAGAATATGCAGATACACTGAAGAGTTTGAAGATCCTTTCGTAAAACCTGAACCTAAACCTATGCAGTGTTGCTAGCAAGTTTAAGATGATGTGTATGCCGTGTACAATATCAGATGACTTTTATGTGCTGACACAAAAACTGACACCTGATCCTGACGAGGAACTGGAACAGCTGCTGCTGCATTTTTGTGCCAGAGGACCCAGATGAAGAAGACATACATATTTGCAGTGCATACCCCGTTTACGACTACGAGGAGGTGGAGGAAATCAAGCTTCACTTCGGGCGCCACGATTTTTTCAAGATGACGCGGCCCATTTCAGGCGGGGCCCTGCTGGGGTACGGTCAGTACTCGTTCCCCTTCGAGATTTACCTGCCCGACAACCTGCCGGGGTCCTGCAGCGTGGGGCGCAACCCGAAGCTCGACCTTCCGAAATACAACGAGAGGTACTTCTTTGGGCAGTGCCGGTACAAAATAAAAGCCTTCCTGGAATACGTAAAAAACCCGGAGGACCGAGGGATTTTCTCTGCCAAGGAAAAACTCGTGAAGTGCTCGCAGGAGTTCCAGATCGTGAACCGGTGTCCCCCCGCGCGGGCGTGCATGAAGAACATGTCCACGGAGATCAAGGTGTGTGGCTGTTGCTGTAGCAAAGGGGTCTGCCACGTGGGTGTGCAGATGGGCCAGGACGCTTTCCGGATCGGCGACCAGGTCGGGGTTTTAGCCATGTTCGACAACAGAAAAACGACCGCAGACCTGGAACAACTCCAACTAACTCTGAAGCGGGTGGTGCGCCTGCGCTCGTCGAACACAAACCAGTTGTACGAAGACAAACGAGTCATTTGCCAGGTATTTTAATTTTTGCTGACTGATAGAGGTACGTCGCTCTTGTTCAATAAAGTAGAAATCTTTTTGGTGGATCACGTTGGTTGCTACTTCACGACCACCTTGAGGGTGGCGCCAGCATGATACCATCGGTCCAAATTTTGGACCGATGGAGTGGCGAGCAGCTGCAAAATATAGCAAGGTTCGAACGAACAAGATAATTTGGTTTAGTATTAGTCATACAAGTTCTTGAAAAGTATGTTTAATATTGCTACCCCCACCCCCTGTGATGTGTGGAGATCATCGTCGATCTCCGTGTAGTTGATGTTTTCGTTTCGCTTTTTCTTTCTATCGTGCCAGAACAATAAATATCATGACGTCGGTGTTTTTCCAGGTCGTCAAGCCGGGGTGCCGTGCCGGGGTGGCCAAGAAGGAAACGTTCTTCATGCAGCTGCCCGGAACGGGGACGGGAAAGCCCAGTTACGACTACAACCAGCCTCGTACGGACCTCACCGTGCCTAACAATAACGAAGATAAGCATGACTCTATTTTTATAAGTAATCATAATGAGTATTTTTTCATGAGCATCAACATTCAGTGCATTCGTTTTTATTTCTTCGAGTTTTCTACGAGTTCTTGGAGTTTGTTTATTTCTATTAATCGCTTGATCGCTTAGTACTTTGTTTCTGGTGATTTCGACGAGCCTGAAAAACAAAAAGATCCTGATAGGACGCTGCAACGAAAGGGCAAAGAATCAGATGCGACCCACGACTAGTTATGTGTATTTTATTTGAGTTTGTTTTATCATGAAAAAAATCGCGATAGATGAAAAAATTGCGATGGATGTCAGCGGAGACGGAAATCTGCAGGCTGCCACGGAACGACACCGGGGCCCGTTGTGCAGCGTGTTTGGTATTGTCCGCTGAGAGTGATTTTGTATCAGGACTGCAACATTGTAGTTTAGTAGACAGCGTCGATCGGTTTCCTCTGCAGTGACTGTTTCGCGCGACGCTCGACTGCCTCCTAGTTCGTGTAGCAAATATTTTGCCAAAAGGCCACCTAGTTGCATCTGACACCGAGTGTCCCCTTTGTTTCGGTTCGAAAAAAAAACTGAAATTTTTTCCTCGTCTCGGTCTTGAGCTTGAACGTGTCCTCGCGAATGTGAGTCATCGGTCGCTCTTCGCGCAAAGCTTTTGGATTTTCGGTTTATCTCGTTGCCTCTCTTTCGCGACTGGTTGATGTTTTTTTATATTGCTTCTCGCAACATCAACATCCAACATGTCAATAAAGCTCGGTGTCGATAAAAACAAAATCGCACACCCTGTCGGAAACGCAGCTGTTTGTCTCAAAAAATTACGAAGCGATAAGATCGCAAAGCAAAATGGTTAGGGGGTTTTTCCTTAGGTGCGGATCATGCGCAGCGGATTTTCCGCAAATTGTAGTCTAGTTATGTGTGCGAAAGATTCTTCGTCGTTCCTGTATGACTGGCTACAATTTCACAATCAGGACCGCCTCATTCGTATGTATCAACCTTTCATATGTTCAAAAGCATTTTTCATTTTCCAATTATGACTATGTTTATCATTCTTGTCCTTGCCTGAGTAAGTCTAAACACTAAGAAGAAGTATGTTGCCGTGGTCGTGACTAGTTGTATAACTAGAACCTGATTGGCCATCGGAAATTGATGGGAATGGCTCTGCCTATCCCTATGCTTATTTAGCCCCTGCAACTGCATGTAGTAACTATCCAAAACACGATGTGCTAGCTAGTAAGAATAGTGGGGATTCTTGCGGGGGCTCGTTCTGACGTCCCCGGCCACCGAGATCCGATTTTAGCATCGCGAGCAGCTGCAGGGAGTTATAAAATTCGCATTTTTTTACGAAAAGGAAAACATGGACGGCAACTACCACGAACACAATGATCCTTCTTCTCCTTCCCGACGGACTGCAGCTGGCGATGACCACAGTAGTTCCCGCAACACGACCAACACGGCGACGGCGTCTTCCACGAGCACGAACACGCGGCAGGTCCGGACGGCCCAACTCGGCTACCGAATCTTCCACAACCGGCCCTCGCAGCGCCTAGACCGGCTGCAGGAGCGGGAGCAACGGGTAGAGCAGGAGTACGGCATTGCAGCGGATAGAACAAGTGGCCGGCGCAAAAATTATGGAGATGATGTTGACAGTGATGTTGAACAAAACGCAAACGACGAGGCGAATAATAACGGAAATTTCTATCAGAATGTTGGTGACAACAAGAAGCATTTTTCGTCGAGTAGTAGAACCGATAACAGCAGAAGCAGAACAGTTTCCAACGCCCTTCCGTCTTCTCCGGGAATGGAGTATGAGGAGGATTTCTCGGCCCTGGAAGCCCGGATGCTGCAGGAGCTGGATGAGCACCTGGAGGAGGACGACAGTGAAACATCGGCTTTCCTCGGTTACCGAAAGGTCGTGGACAAGCAGAAAGCACTCGATGGCTATATGGCGAACGCAGAGACTTTTTTTCAAGAAACTTTTTTTTTTTCGCCCATGTCCTCGGCCTGTGCATGATAGGCCTTTCAACTTTTTGTAACGGGTCTACGAAGGGAGTAGCAAGGCCTGCCACGGCTCATACGAAGCCAATCGCGTAAGCACTTGCGAAGACGCTTCAGCAGCAGCAGGTGCTGTGGGCTTTCGGTGTGCCGCTAGTCCTGGGCCCGTGCCCCTTTCACTCCCGCACACCAGCGCCCGTCTGAATCGGGCTTGATGCTACCGGGGCACGCGCCTTCTTGCGCAGCACACGCTGTGCGGAGGCCAGCTTCTGTGTTTCACCGAAGGGGCTGACAAGTGCGCCGCCTGAGGTCGCCATCCCCCTTCGATCATATTCTAACGACCCCTGGGGAGGGCAAAAGACGGCCCAGATAGTGTTCTCGAGCCCGGGAAGGCTTCTACACAGTTTCCGGAAGCAACGTCGCGGAAAAGGGCGCTGCCGGCCCTTGGCCAATCTGCCAGAAACCAGCGCGACGCCGGGGACCGTGCGCATAGACGCACCAACCTGTATGAACCGCGCCTCCCGCGCAAATTTGCCTCATAGCTCGAAGGTGTCCGACCTCCTCTTGAGGAGACACGCCGAAAACAACAAGAGGGAGGCCCCTCGGAGGGGGGTTGGGGGGGTGGGTTGCGCGACCCCCGCCCCTGCCTCCATCATACCATGCGGGCTAGCAAAAAAAGGGATCCCGAAGGGGGGGGGTTACCCCCCCCCCCTCCGGGGCCCCTCGAGCCGGCATTTTTGCGCTGCCCAAAAAGATTTCCCGTTGTCTCCGATGCCACCAGGCCGGGCAAAAGACCTTGGGGCTTAGGGCAATGTGGGGAAGCCCGGCGGAAGAAAGCCCACTGCACGCGGGGCTCTGCGAGGTTTTTCTCGCTCTGACCTAGAGTGCCTCCACGCCGCTAAACCTCGGCGGGGCCCCGCAGCCCAGCAGCAGAGAAGATTCAAAGCAACTCCCTTCCTTTCCTCTGTTTCGGGTGTCGTGATGAGGTGACGCGCCCAAGCCATGGCAGCCCCTCGGCACCTCTCACACTGCTACCGCGTAGTTTTGGTAGCACGAGGGGTCGGCGACTGTTCCTGCTCTCACAGTAGCCATCACCCCCTGCGGCAGGACCCGCGCCGCACGCACAGAGCCTGAAAGGCCGCTTTCCAAGTGGTCGCCGAATGCCTGAGCGGCTCAGGCTGTTCGTCCTGGGTTCTCTTTCTAAGCCGGAGTCAAGGCATGGCTGCACTAGCGGTTAAGTCCTCCTATCAAGAGTGCGCCGGCGGCAGACGAACAAAAATCGACGGCACCGCCCGCACTTGATATTCGGATGCACAGCTATGGGCAAAAAAAAAAAAGTTTTTTGAAAAAAAGTTTCTGCGTCCGCCATAGGCTACCGAAAGGTCGTGGACAAGCAGAAAGCACTCGATGGCTACGGATTCGGACACGACCGGAGCAGTAGAGGCCGCACTGCAGGAGCCCCTGCTTCGAGTAGAAATTACAACGCAGCTGTCGCTGAGCAACAAAATTCTGTTCTTTCCCGAAAGCCGCGACTTGATGTGCAACCCTCTCGAGGTCCGGATCGCGACGCCGAAGAGCCACCAAACGCGACGTTTACTTACGTCACCGCTGCGTCATCCTCGCCGCTGCGACAGCCTGCATCGAATTCGAAGCCTTCTGGAAGTAGAACAACAACTCCCGGTGGATCTACTACTTCGAGGGCGAACAATGCAATAAAGTCGCCGCGAAGTCGTGCAAGCTCGACGGCGGCGGGACGAAAAAAACGCGAGAGTAAACTACCGGTCGCCAGTCCGCCGGGAGGGACAAGGCGGCGCACGACTATCAACCAAAAACTCAAAAATGCGCTCGACGTTCCCGGAGTTGGTTCGCCAAAGAACATTAACGATAAGCTGCGTCCTTCTCGTGTGAAAAGGTGCACATGCTTTGGGCGAAAATTTGGCTACAGCCGGACCGTGTGTATTCTGCTGATTGCGGTGTGCGTAGCTTTGCTCCTTGCCCTGAGCCTGGGGAGCTGGGTGGTCTACGATTATGTTGCGCGAAGTGGTGGAAACAACGACGTGCCTCCTGACGTGGACGATCGTGATTGCGCGGAAAAAGCCCGGGACCAGTGGTGCGTGGATTTGAAAAACATGACGTACAAAAACATACCTTCCACGGACTTTTTCGCACAAAAGCTCGGCGACAAAACGTTCGACGTCGCGATGAACGAAGTTGACGCAAAAAATGGGAAAACCCTTCCGAATCAAGCTGGGTGGTCGTGCCGAAAACTTGTCCGCTCGAAGTCCTTTCTCCCTGGTGGGGAAAGGAGAATTCTCCGCAACGGGCCGCGCCGACCCGCGGATTTAGAGGATTGGCCGAGGATAAAGATCGCGAGAAATGCCCCGCTGCAGGAACACATGAATCGGGTGGTACACGAGAAATGCAAGAAAAACGACACGGCGTCCTCTACTTCCGCGATTGGAAGTAGTGGCACTACTCCTACATCTGGAGGAGCTCGTCGTCCTGCTTCGCTCGAACAGCTCAAGGGAGAGGCTCTCGGCGAGGAGTGTATGACAGTGCACAACTCCCCCTCCCGCTCATTTGTCATGCGAAATCCCAAATCCAGTCGCTTCCACTGTGTGGCACCGTTTGCATGACAAATCTCGAAAGCTCAAACAGTACTACAGTAGGCACATATTAAATTTGTCATGTACAGGCTCCAGGGTCGCTGGCGTTTGTATTGCTGTTCATGCAAAAATACAAATGAGGGGAAGACTGGGAGTAGTGCACCGTCATAGAGTGCTGCCGAGGAACACAGGACCGATATTGCAAAACTACCGTCGCGGATGCCGGGAAGGAGAGCGGCAACGAAATATGCCAGGACCTCCTGGTTATGCGAGGTACACCCGGCGTAACTAAGGACTTCTTTTGCCAGAAAATCGACGGGCCGCCGATAAACGACCCGCAGATGCCGTCCTGCTTCCTGACAGATGCACAGAATCGCGAGGTGAATGCAACAGTAGAACATAATTGCTTCAGCCCAGGCACTGGGCCATTGCCCAAAACTACAGGGTTGAACTTCTGTCTTGCCTCACCCTGACTGTCATGATCTCCGATTTAATTCCACGACTTTGTGATACTCCTTTTCACAATATTATTAATTGAGCACGATCCACCACTTCTAATTTTGCTCATCGATAGACTGAAAAGAAACTTCAACCAGTGCCACTTATTTATGATTATAGGCCCGCGAAAATACACAAAAACAATGCGATATGACAGATGAAAAAAGCACGGCATAATAATATGCATAGACTTGCACCGCTTGATGGAGATGGATCATTCTGCCGCTGGTTCTGGTACGAGGTAAGATATGTTCCCCAAATAAAGACACGATGTGAAAAATGTACTTACCAAACTGCAAGCTGAACGAAACCGAAGATGATCAAAAATGTCGGTTAGATAAAGGGACGAAGATATCAAGACCATGATCGGTGTGCTGTGTGACTACAGCAAGTCGGAATCGATTTTTCCGCCCAACCGAAAATCGCAGTCTCCAAAAGCGGTCGAACGTTGAGATCTCATCATCTGTCTGGCGAGCTATTTCTTGATGATGCCCGATCATGTCGGTTGTGTCTGGTATCCGAAACTTTCTGTGGCCCTACTGCAAGACCATGATATAGTGTTTTGCATTTTGTGGCACTGGCGGTCCAACCACAACGACGCTGGCGGTATCATAGCGCCGACATTTACATGTTGTACATGCACGAGAGCAAAGAAAATGAAAAATATACGTGGAGCCAGTATTCCTCCTCATTCTCACTCACACTGCGGGTTGATCAACATCTATGTATGATGTATTGTGTTGAGTACCACCGACACTGCCGTGCTAAGAATGGAGTTGGACGTGTTGCAGCTGCCTGCTTCGCCACAGCACCTGGTGGACCACTTTGCACTTTTTTGTCAAACCTACCGCCGAATTCATTGCCGTCTTTTCTTTGATAAATAAACGAGTACAGGGACGATTATCTTCCAGAACTCTCCAACTCTCACTCTTCACTTGGTTCTTTCCTACCTATAGCTACAACCCAGGTGGTAAAGCACCTCCTCCAAAGTTATGTTAAATTTGCTAGCATGATGAACATGACATCAATCACGCCCACCTGATGTCGTGACCGCTGTGACAACTTCCACCTTTTGAAAAAATTTTGTCCTATAATGTTGTGAAGCAAGGATGTTGACGAGCTTCAACATCAACATCTAGTAATGACTTCATCTCTGTATTCAGCAGCCTGGAGACGACCTGATTTTCCAGTGCGGCGGAGTGACGATCGGAGAAATTATATGACGGCTGGAAAATTATAGCTGGTCACTTTCGGGAACGGGCCTAAAGTGAGGCACTCGACGTGGCTCGTCGTTGTCCACCTCCTCGGAGGCAGAGAGCTGCAGCAGCTGCATAAGTGGACCACGAGCAGCTGCTAGAAGAACAAAAATTATAGATACTTACCATGTCGGCATCGTCCCGCCCGCACCATCAACGTCAGCCTGCTGTCGCTCCTCTCGGCCGCGAGGGCGACGAGCAGCAGCAGCAGCAGCAGCAGAGTATTCACTTTTCCGATCGCGCAGTTCTTGGTGAAAATGATCCAGAACATCAAATTTTGGTTCCAACGTCCCCGGCACAAATGACGACGAGCAGAACGCAAAGCGAGCGGCTCCGGCTGCTGACAGAGCGCCAGAGTGACGTGCCAGCCCTTGCACCGCCGTCCTCGCCGGGAGGTGTTCTTTCTGCCGGACCGGAGATGTCGACGAGGGAACAACTGAATGAAAATACTTTCGTGCTAGAAGGGGAACAGCAGCAGCTCCTGCAGAGCCAAAGGCATCACCTTGAGCAAGAGCAGCAAGAGGAGGGTTTAGGGTTCCTCCACGACAATGATGTTGGAGAAGGCCGCGGCGTGCCAAAAGGCGATGAAGACGACAGTGTTAACTTTGGCCTCATTCTCGGGTATCGCGAGGTAGTGGACGTCCGGAAAGCAAAGCAACTCGCGCAAAGAGAACGGGAAAGAGCGCGAGCGCAGATGAAGATGGGAGCAGAAGATGTTGCAGCGCGAAGAGGCGGTGACTATATGGAAGAAAAAGATGGTGGTGCGCCTGCGCGTCCACCAGGAATTGAACAAGAGCAGAAGTACGGAAGCAGGGCAACATCCCACTCAGAAATAGGCAGTTTGATGAGCCTTCGAAGAAGGACCCGAAGCAAGATAACGAGCACGCAAAGCCAAAAGATTTCTACCAGGCCGAAGCGCTGCGTCTGCATGGGCAAAAGGACAAAGAAATCGCGGCCCGTTTGCGTGATGCTCCTCCTTTCGATTTTCGGCGGGGCTTGTCTGGTCAGTCTTGCCGGATGGCTGCTGTACGAGGAATTTTTTGCCGGCAAGGAGAGTCCTGCGGTCTGTGGTGCGCGGGTACGCGATCAATGGTGTAAGAACCTGCCGTCTCTGAAGTACGACCCCACAGATCCGACGGAAAGACCCTGGTTTGACCACTGGGCCGGCATCGACTTGATGCAAACCGGACCGAAGCGCTTTGGTCTCACCAGCAAGCGTGGCACGCCAGCCGGTGGGCTTTGGTCCAAGCCGAACAAGGCCACAAGGACGGCCAAGGGCTCCTGGGTGTGCAAGAAGAGCACGAACTTGGAGGGGCGAGCCTTCGGGGACCAGCTGCCTTTGTGGAACACGCCGGGTTTGACCGATCATGTGAATCTCGCGGTGGACCTGTTCTGCGGTGCGGACGCGTACGTGGACATCGATGGAACGCAGCCCGTTTTCAAGTACCAAAACCTGACCAGAGAGGAAAAGCACGCCGAGCAAAAAAGAATTGCCGGTCAGGTTCTCCACGACACCTGTTGCCGCGAGACGCAAGAAACCTTTTGCATCGAGAGGATGCAGCCACAGGCCGGACGCGACGAAGCGTGCCGCGATGTGCGGGCGATGCGCTTCTTCTGGAAGAATAGCAATGGGGAGTACAAACAAACAGCGGGGAGCCAAGGGGGTAGTACAAATACTGATAAAGGGAAATCGAAGGGCATCCAACTGCAATCTAGTCGTGGTGTTTCGAAGGCCTGGTTTTGTCAAGACTTTAAAAACTCACCCGGTACGTGGCTCCCAGGCCAACCCCAGTGCTTGGTCGAAGACCTAAACTTGGAGGCAGCCCGAGCGAGCGTGCAAGCAGCTTGCAGTACCCACTACCCAATCCCTACTACTATTTCGGCGTATTGCTCTTTGAGTGCGTAGAAAATGTGCCTCTTTCTTGGAGATCATGTATCATTGTTCTCGAGAATCACTACAAGCAGGCACCAGAGTCACATTTTTTTACCAGGGAGTCCTCCGACTATGAATATCACGAGGACATTTCTTAAGCTTTGAATGCGGGTGGGGATTCCGATCCAGCACCAACACAAGAAGAAACGATTCGATTTTAAATGACAAGAGAGAAGAAGAATATTATGTTCCTGCGAGAGAAGATTCTGATTCAAAGATCGAGAAAAGAAAGCCGAGCGCAAGCCCTAGTCGACAGCTAATGCTATGGAGGCAAGTATGGTCGGCTAATTTTGAAGACTATCGACAACATGTTCTTCGTGGTTATCTCATCCCAGGTTCCTTCGACGTTGACCACGTATTCTTCGACAGGACGGTTTGTTTCAAGCAATTGCTCATCTATTTTGAATTCCATGATTTCCATCGTCATTTCCTAAAATGAAAATCGTGTGGGTGTAGGTGAGAGAATCGTAGTCGTTTCTTCGTCGATTCTGATTCTGTTCCAGTTGCTAATGATGTTCTACCAATAAACTAAAAATGAGTGAATGTGCCAGCATCGTGTGGTCCTCGTCGTCGTTTATCCTCGCAGCTTTGATAGAAATAAGACAAGGGTACTAGGACACTATCCTATCCTCCAGTTGTAGTAATTTTTGCTCTGTGTCTCTCTCTGAGAAGCTATGACTATGAGTAGAACAAGAAAGAAGCATAATATTGATGCGCGAATCATGTTCATGTCGAAACCCAATGTTAAATAATCTTGAGAAAGAACAAAGTAGTCCCATAAGTATTTATCAGTATCATGATGAAGGTCACCAGTCCTGCAGCGTGCGCAGACAGCGTTTTTCGCTCTCTCTGCTATGCCGGTGCTGTAGTTGTGGTCGCGGTGCTTTTCCACGAAAAGTTCCAGCAGAACGAAGGTGGAGAGCAAGGACGAGCCGACGGAACCAATGAAAGTAGTGCGACTAAAGAAACAAGTCTTGCGACGCCCATCGCGACGTGTGTCGTACTGCTTTTGTTGCAGTCTATCCTCCTCCGCCTGCGGTACAGATTTTTGCAAGATCTGCAGCTGCACGCGACGAAGTGTCTGTACTTTTGGAGGCAGATCGCAACCCGCGGCGGAGAGGAAGAGGTCCGCGCGTCGAACCTGCGCGAATTAGCGTTCTGCGCCTACCAGGATGTCCTGTGGCGGACGACGAGAACCAGGGGAGCAGGGCAACTACATCCGCCGAAGATGAACTCAACATCGATGAGGACGTTGTCCTCACTCGCAACAGCTTCTGAGAGCGACACTCGCAGGACGAGCGATACTACGGGAGCTATCATGCTTGACGGGGAAGCAGAAGAGCACGCAGATGATGACGTTTCCTTGGAGATTCACGAAGATGTTGGCGTTTTTGATTTTATTCCGGTGGAGGCATACTCCGACCGGATCCTGGCTTTATGTACCTGCGCCAGAAGTGCAACTAGATGTAGAACTACAACCACTGGCAGCGTAACTTCAACTTCTTCTAAAATTGAAGCAGATCCGGTACTACCGTCAAAGTCGTCTTGTAATTCGACTAGTACATCTGGATCTACATCTTTGACGAAGGCGAAGCGCAGCGCGAACAGTAGAAGCCCTCGATTCGTTCAGCTCGCTGCCACTGCGCAACGTCTTGATGTCAGCACGAACACGTGCGTAGATTTGCTACATGGCCTGAAGCATTACCAAAAGTTGACGGCTTTGCTGTCGAACGCCGGTGGTAGATTCGGCGGAGAACACGGGTGGACCACGGGGAGAACACCAGAGGCTTTTAAAAATACCACAGAACCTGAAGCAAACAGAGCCTCGTCGAGAAACAAGGCCACAGCTGCACAGTTTTCAAACGAACTAGTTCAAGAGCAGACACCCACCGTAGTTCTACAACCAGCTTCTTCGGTCTCACCCTTCGCACGACTTCAGCTGTTTTCCAGCCCCGCATGGAGGAGTTCTGTCGCATCAACCCTTTGCAGCAATTCGCTGCAGGCGATCCTGTTTGCGTCCAGCTTGGTGTTGGCCCTGCTGCTGTTTTTCTACATCGTGGAGGACAACAGATCTACCTCGAGCGCGGCAAATTTTTACGCCCTCCTCTTCCTCCACGCTTGGGTCATAGCGGGCCTCTATGAGGCGGAGCAGGTCCTCCATCGAATCGCGGTGGAGGCTGTGTTGCGGGATTTCGGGGAGTTTCGCAGGGGCCTCAGGGCGGTGATTCTTGCGAAGAACAAATTGACTGAAGTAGAGGGATCGCCCGGGCGGGGCATCGAGAGAGCTACTAGAGCAAACGGGATCAAAAAGACTAAGACTTGCGAAGAAAAGGAACTGGATGTCATTAGCATCGACGTGGAAATAGGCGATGCGCATTGCACACCGGAACCCGCATTTACGGCCACCAGTATTTTTCTTCGTTCAAATTCTTGAAGCTATGGTCTAGACAGCTATTACACCAAATTGGAGTACAATGAGTAAGTATTTACCTGCTAGGAGCGTGAGCGACTTGTGGTTCTCCCAAAATAGCGAAAGCCTTGCTTGACCAAGAAATAAAACTGTAAAATTTCGCAGGCCGACAGCACGAAGATGATGAGAGCAGCGCTTATCGGTCCACGCAACGAAAGGCCGCCAGAGCGGCAGCAGGAGCAGCCTTTTCTGGTTCTGCGCCACCACCAAAGCCACGACCGCGAAAAGACAGAATCGTTGATGAAGAAGGAGCTGCAGCCGCAACAGTAGTTGAGCAAGACGTTCTTGCAATGGAGCGAACCCCCAACAGTCTCGCTGTGAATCACGAGGAAGACTTGAACCGCGATAATTCAAGCGTTGGAAAGAATATTAGACTCGGGTCATCTCCATTTCTCTTCTCTTCCGCAGACCGGGGCGCCGGGTGTCGAAGAGCAAGTACAAGAAGTTCAAGTGTCAGGAGGTACTACGGTCCTGTGGGTGCAGGTTTGGCGGGCACGAAATTCGGGTTGAGTACGGAGGAATGGAAAAATATGAAGCGGAACTTCAACAGCAAAGACGTAGTTGCGCGTAGTCGCACTGCGACGCCGAGAAAAAGCATGACGCTGATCGGACGGGCAGCTGCGCAGCAGCACACTTCATCGGATAAACCGAATAAAGCGTCTGGTGGACCTGGTCGTGCTGGTGCGGCCGAAGATCTCCAACAAGGGCAGCGTTCCGTCGAAATGAGGCTGGTGCTTGACAAGGATCTAGAAGATCTCCGATTCAACGTGGAAGAAGCGAGCAGCGCTAGGAAGACCGACCGCGACGCTCTTCGTGCAACCGTGTTTGGAAAGAGGAACAAGTACAACTTTTATCGAGCACCGCGGACAACTGAAGAAACGCGAGGGGGAACAATCGAAGGTACTAGAGGACGAAATGAGGCACCACCGGCTGGACAAGCAAAACCAAAAGCAAGTCCGGTTTTAACGGTGTCCTCCTCCTCGTCCTGTGCCTCGTCCGGCGGGTCCGCTAGCGTAGCCGCGCTTGAGGATGGATTTCTTCGTGAAAATAAGGAAACTCGATCAAATTCTTGTGCAGATGAACTACCGGAAGATCGGATTACCGAGCGGGATGGTCTCGACCTACTTGCCGATGCGGCTGTAAATGTTCACGTGGATGAACAAGCGGATGATCCCGATTACAGCGCGTCGTCGTCCTCGAATAGCACGAGCGAGATACAGTCACAATCGGTTTTCACCGCATCATCTAAGAGCGGCCAAGAGTCAACATCCAGGAAGCGAACGCGTAGACGGACAGCTGGGGGAGAAGGGAAAAAGTGCCTTGGCAGTGGATCATCTACTGGTAATGCAGCGCAGGATCAGCAGGACAGGACAACACGGAGAACCCGCACAAGAACCAGAAAAATACGAAGTGATGAAGGAGCTACAGTGCCGCCGGAAGAAAAAGCACAGCCAGCACAAACACGTCAATATGTTGAAACGACATCAGAAGTAGAAGATCCGCGAAAGCAGCAGGCAGCGACGGCGCTAGCAGATGATGCAAACAATGAAGTCGAGGGCTATCGACGTTCTTCACATCACGACGGGCCCGCAGCTCTGTATGTTGATCAGGATGACAAGGACGAGGGACAACTTCCACACGACGTTGGAGGTGGTGACGAGCAAATCTCGATGAACAGTGCGGTTGATCTGGCAGCACTGGGGCTGCAGGACTCCATCCTTCCAGAAGATGAGCAGGATGAAGTCATGAGCGCGTTCATGAGCAATCTGTCCGTCGCAGGATTTTCCTCGCCGCATGAGAAGAAAATGAGAGGAAATAAGTGGAACACGAACAACTACTACACTTACACGCCAGCATCCGTGGCTAGTACGAGCAGACCAGAAAACACCGCACGAACAACGCGAGATCAGCAGCGTCCTGGTATTTCACCAAGGCCAGCAGGCATACTACGTGAACCTGGACCTCCTCGGCCACAAGAATTTCGTTTCAGTTTGAAGCCGAGCAAAACTGCAGCAGAAGAGGACACCGAGGGCACTAGCAGAACAGCAGAAGCACGAAATAAAGTAGAACTACAAGAGGGACAAGGAGAGACGCAGGACGTCGACGTTGTCGGCGGCGCTGCGGCAGCACGACCAAACGGAATAACAATAAACGATAAGATCAACATGAGCGATTGGCCAACGGATCAAAGGCAGCAAGAAGGAGATCCAGGCGATTTTGAAACTGCTGACGCGTGGCCGCCTGCGATTTCACCTTATCTGCCGAAACCCAAGCCGCAAATCTCAACGCGGAACGCGCTCGGATCGCTGAAGGACATGATGAGAGTTGATCTTTCAACTATCGTAAAGGAACCTACTACCGCTACCGATATATTCAAATTTTTGAGGGTCGAAAAAAACAGCTCTTCAGGATCCAAAAAAAAAGCTTCTTAGGGTTGCTGGAATCCCGACGTCAGGCTGCGGATCCGACCCTGCCGAAAGCCTGAAGACCGCACTGCTTCAGCATCGTTTCGTCGTGGATAGCTAGTAAGAGCACACGACTTCATCATCATCTTCGTGAGTTGTAATTTGATGTAGTGCAAGAAGAAGAACTGCAAGTGCTGGCATATTATAGCTAAAGGGTTTACTAGGGTTTAGGGTGTAAAGTCTTCATTTGTGAACTAGCTAACTTCCCAAAAAAGAAGCGTAAAAAAGGTCGAACGACGGAAGCCAATCCGCCCGGGACTGTCGCTCTGGCCCCACCTGGGGCCAGAGCGACAGTCCCGGGCGGATTGGCTTCCAACTTTCGACCTTGTTTTAGCTTATTTCCTACGGAGTTAGCTAGTTCACAAATGAAGACGTTTAGCTATAATGTGCCAGCACTTGCAGTTGTACTACATCAAATTACAAGTCACGATGAGCATGATGATGAAGTCGTGTGTTCTATCTTACTACTTAGCTATCCACGACGATGATGAAGCAGCGCGGTCTTCAGGCTTTCCGCAGGGTCGGATCCGCAGCCTGACGCCGGGATTCCGGCAACCTTGAGAAGCTTTTTTTTTCGATCCTGAACAGCTGTTTTTTTCGATCCTGAACAGCTGTTTTTTTCGACCCTCAAAAATTTGAATATTCCGGTAGCGGTAGTAGGTTCCCTTTCGATATCAACATCGAAAATGCGGATCAACATGAACAATCGCGATGCAGAAGATGAAGGGCAAGCCACTAGTAGGCAAGAACCCGATCATCTCCGAACCGCTGAGGACGCGCACCAGCACCAGCACTTGATTCTTGAAGTTCCGAATGGTCAACCCGACACAGGAGCAGAGACGCGAGTTGAAGCTGAAGTTGCTGCGCAAGAAAGTACCAGTTGTACAAGAAAGGACGCCGGAGGAGCTTCACCTGTACAACCTGCGCCTCCACCACCACCTCCATCTCCATCTGTGATGATGTTTTACAAACAGCAAACCGACATCAGGATGACCGGACAGCCTGCTGAGAAGGATTGCGATTGGTTCGGTCAGGTCGGTGTTCACGGCCAGTTCGTGTCACCGCAAAAACAAAAAGGTCCTCTGTACCAGGACGAGGACTTAAACAACCAGAAGAACAAGTTGGTAGCGTCTTGGACTTCTTCCCAGGCTGATCATTCTGCAGCAACTCCGGCACCATCAGCTTCATCGGCACCACATACAGCTTCCGCTACGAACACGACGAGCCAGCTCATTGACAACATCTTCAAGAAAACTGCGACTGTTGCTGCAGCAGCAACTAAACAAGTACACCAGATGAAAGAGATGCCCTTGCCCACCACATCGAAAGAAAAGACGAACAAGGCTGCTGTTGAGAGGCTGAAAGAGAAATTTCCGGATACCCACGTCGAGTTCTACGTCAACGTGGATCCGAAACCGGGTGTGGGCGGCGGGAGAAGGAGCAAGCAGGAGGACAGTTATCGGGATCAACGTGATCTTTTTCCAGGAACACCGCCGCCCGCTGTAACGCCGCGGCTGATGACAGTGTCGAGAGTTCAAGACAGTGTCAGTTATGGCGGGAGCAAAGTGATATTTTTGAAAACAATAAAATTTTCGTCGATGGGTCTTGAGGTACTTGCGCTTACCATATTGAAAAGCAACGCAGGAAGAAAGCCACAAAAATATGCAGGGCAACTAGCTAGCGAGAAGAGGCGCGACGGAGCGGCATCAATTCGGGGGAAGGACGGCCCGGCCGGTCAATGTCGTGCGTTAGAATGATGCGCGGGCGGGTGGTTGGGGGGCGCCGTGATTTGCCTGCCTCGAAGACTAGCGCGGCAGCCGACCTGCTTGGCCTGGCAGAGATTGCGTGCCGGGTTCAGTCCCTGCGCAACAATAAGGGGCCGCCGCTTTGCAATTGCCATGCAAATAAGGGACATGGGGCGGTGGCGCAGGGACGCGCTTTGCACCGGGTGGGCCAGTCCGCAGGCCACAGCGGCCCAATGAGGTGCGCGTAAGCTGCGGCCGTTCCCTTGCTGGAGGACCTCAGCCGCAAATGGGCGGGCTGCAACAATGTCGGCGCCGAGACTCCTTCCCACCGCCGCTAGTGGCTAGGGTCTGCAGAGGGCACCGCCGCCGGCGTTTTTCCTGGTGCCCAGTCTTCCCAACAAAAGCCTGAAGCCATAGCGACCCCCGCCCGGGTAGCACATTGGCGGGCTCTGTTCTGCCGCCACACAAAGCGGCCACTTCAAAACCCACGACGCGCTGCCCGGCCCCGCCCCCGAGGGGTTGGCGCGCATGGCTTTGGGGCCTTCTCCGTCGCGGTCCAGAAACCCCAACGAAAGCCCCCCCGCCTGCAGCGTCGGCAGCGCTTCTCAACCCTGTGCCACTTCCTCCTCTGTTCGCCGTTCTCTCCCTGCTCTTCTCATCTTTTGCGAGCATTTCAAGCCGGGAGCGGGTTGGGGAGATGTCTTGGCTACCGCGGCAACGCGATCGCCATGGCCCGGCTCCCGCGGGGCTCGGCCTCACCCAAGGGGCCAAGGGTTGTGAGCTGGCTTTGTGATTTCGGGCTTCGGACTTGCAATGCCCCTCGCGCCGTACTTGCCGCGGCCCAATCACAGACCTTGAAACCATATAAAGCCCGCAGAGGGCCGACCCAAGATCCCTATGCAGGTTGTGCAACCTCGGGCGGGCGTCGGGCCCCAAGTCCACCCGGACCCTTTGCAAGACCTGAAAACGCGAGTGTCTGATGGGGGATGCCGGGCACTTCGGGTGCCCGAAGGACCCCCCCCCCGAAATTTCCGAGAGGGGCCTCCCCGACATCCCTCTGACCCCCCCTCAAAAAACCCGGGGACAGACTTCGCCTTCCCCCGATGGTATGGCCGCTTCGGGACCCCCCCCTTATTTTTCGCCGGGACCCCCCTTCAGGACCCCCCCGAAGAGGCCCGCCAGGAAGGTCCGGGGCCCCGGCCTTTTGCAAATAACCTGGCCCGACGAGATGCCCATCTTGGCGAAGCCCCCCCCCGTGGGCGCGCGGGCGGCCTGTATTCTTGTGTCCCGGCCGCCTTCGCGCAAACCAGAAGAAAAAAAGCGGGCGCCCGGGCCCCCGCAAGCTGACCCCGCGTGGGCCCCCACAACCGGGGCCGCCCCGTGCCCCAAATCGCACACCACCTGCTCGCCGTTGTCCGCCAGTTGTTGCGACGGCTTGATCGCCTTCGGCGCCCCCCCTGATTTTCACAACTGCCTTCGCCCCCCCTCGCCACTTCCGGGGGCCTGTCGCGATGGTTGCTGGGGCCGACACAGGGTCGGGCATGTTGCTCGACAGCCAACGGCCAGGTGGCGCGGGGTGCGCCTGCCACCCATACGAAACAACCCCAGGCGTTGCCTGTTCCCTGACTATCCTAATCGCGGGGGAGGTTGACGGCGAAACGGCCCCCCGGGCGGCTCGGTTTGTTGGCACTCTTTTGGGGCCCGGTGTTCAGTAGCCCCGTTTTCGAATTTTAAGAGCTTGGCCCAGATCCGGGGCGCGCTCTTCCTGTTTGCGAAAGGTGCAGACCTGTGGAGCGGTCCGTGGACCGCGCAAAATTTCTGCTATGCATGAGGAGCAAGCGCGCTCCGCTTTAAGCCACGCTGCGGGCGGATACGCCATGCAGGATAGGCACTGCAAAGCCTTTGCGAACCCTGCCGCGTCAGGCCCTGCCTGCCAGACTCCCCCGGCCGTGCAGAGCCTGCATGGCAAACCTCTGACCTACCTGGTTCTAGGTGCTACGGGGGATGGGGCTAAGTGCCACCTGGTCATCGCCTGTCGTCGGGCTTCTGCGATTCCCGTAACACAACAGAAGACCGAGCCATCAGCGCCTATCTTTCTCCTCATATTCATAGCACCTCGACGGGCACATTGAGGCGAGGGCCACTGCGTCCCAGATGTGATACTGCGGAGTAGGTCAGGGCCTCGCGTTAGTGTGCAACTCTGGGCACACCCGTGGGCCAGGAACTCGCCCAAAACCATGCGCTGCCCCGGGCCCGGGCCATCCTGGGCTAGCTACTTAAGCATGGCGATTAGCTACGCAAATCATGCAAGCGCGGCCATGCGTTCCCGCTATCGCATGCATTTTTACCCATCGGGCAAAATTTTATTGTTTTCAAAAATATCACTTTGCTCCCGCCATATCAGTGAGGTATCTAAGGGACGGCCTGTGTTGGTGTCGTCCTCGGACCTCCGACCGCCACTTGATGAAGAAGATCAAGTGCGGGACAACTTCAAAATGAATCCGGCCAGTAAAGACAACTCCTACACATTCGGAGAACAGCAAGACAACGACAAGCATTCGAATGGAACGAGTAGAAGTTCTTCATCAAATAACTACAAAGCGAGCGACGCTCTTTCCGGGGATTCGAATGTGATGGATTTGCACGATAACTCAGACGTAGAACAAGTCGAGGTAGTACTAGATGAGCAGCATGAAATGGTGGAACAAAGTGCGCAGATCTGCAATGATTCGTCGAATTTTGACTTCGGCCAGACATCCGACGACGATTTTGTGCCCCCGATGGGCTCTAGCGTAGTGAAAGAAAAGGTGGATAGCATCAAGTCGAGACTTTTGACGGCGAAAAAGCAAAAGGGTCTTGGAATAAGCAAGACAGATCAGAGAATGAGAAAGCTGGATTTCGAAGATGAAGAGGTAACCGACAAAGCCGACAATCGAACGGATCTTCCAGTAGAAGTCGCGCCACAGCTGCAAGTTGGACTTCTTGAATTAGAGAGCGAACAAGGATTTTTACCACCTGGAGGCGACAACAAAAGGCCGGCGCGCAACAGAACAATAACGAACGTGGTAAAGAGCAGTACCGCATTGTGGGAACAGGAGCATGCCGTGCAAATCGACGAGAAGATTTTACGGTCGTTCGGGCTGATGTCTACTTCCAGTGCTTCGTTAGTTGTAAAACAACCTGCTTCACCACCTTCAGCGCCGTCGCACCAAATTGGAGCTCGCGGTAGTACACGGGACGACGACCGGAGAGGACAACACCTCCGTCGAGGCAAACAAGACCAGCATCCCAATTTTGACAGAAGTCAGTCGGTAACGACCGTGGAGCACGAGGAGCGGCAGGACCACCACCTTGAGCAAGATCGTTCCGCGCAGAACATTTTTTTGCCGAAGGATGTTGATGAACCAGAACCCTTCTTCCCGACTTCTACACAGCTTCATCTGTCGGAACAATTAGAAGATCAAAGTCACAGATGGCTGAATGATCCGTCGTGGTCGAAGAATTCTGTGATGCTGGATAATTTCAAGACATCTTCCGGATCATCGTCATCAGCACAACTCATCAGCAGCATCAAGCGCATAAACGAGGAAAGGAGCCGGGCCCTGCAGTTGTGGGAGGAGCAGGTCTAGTGAAATGATGAACATGTGCGGTTGAAAAAATGCTGCCGGTCTCGCTGCTTGAAGAATGCTACCACTGACTTGTCGAGCTTCTGTTTCAGTTTCAGCACCACAAGAACGACGACCTTGTTATCGTGTGAAAAACAAAAATTTCGTTTCTTTTTCTTTAATGAACGCGACGAGCATACGAAAACGAAAAAAAAATGTCCACGAACTCAAACGTACCTAGTACAGATAGAGGCTAGAGCTCTTCGTTCTATTTGCTTGCGCGACAGCTTCTCGCAGTGGAGTTGCTTGTATTTTCTGCCAAAAAAAAAATACCTAGCGAGCAGTGTCGACGAGCTCGGTTCTGAGTGCACATAACGTGCTCCTCATCCAGCAGTCGTGCAAGAACAGGCGTTGAGCAAGTTCCTGACTCGTTACGAGAAGACGAATAAACGGGAGCAACAATGAATATTTTTACAAGGATCATGTCGCGCTTTCACCAAAAAGAAAACACGACTCGTGCTCGTCTTCTTCGGAGCATAGAGTTACACAGCAGCCAGCGTCTTGCTTTCCTCTTTGCAGCGAAAGCGATTGCTCGCGTCCCCGGGCTTGTTTGCGTCTTTTTTTGAGCTTGTCGTCGTGGTCGAGCTTGTCGTCGTGGTCGTGCCGCACACTGAACGCACAAAAAAAAACAAAAAAAGAAAAAACATTGCAGCTGCAATACATACTTTCATAAATTCTGATTGATTCTTGCGAGTGGCATGTGCAGTGAGGGATGGCGACGGGCGCGGAAACAGGCTGCTATGGACGAGTAGAGGATGTTGATGTTGAAGGCTGTAGTTGGGGAACCGGGAGCAAGTCAGCGGACGAGATGTGTTTGTTTAGTCGTGGTCAGTAAATGTAGTATTTTTAGTAACGTAAGTACTTAACAAAATGCAAGGCTGTATTGGCGGTCATCTTTCATGAGACCGCGTCATCTACGTACATCTGAAGAAAGTACTAGCGAAGTGAAGATGCGAAATAAGGCCGCTAAATCAAGGAAAGCTCATCTTGTAGCCCAAGTTGAGTGCTCAACTTCTTTAGCAGCGTGGCAATAAGTAGTTCACGGTGTCATGGTACAGAAGAGTTGTGGTCTGAAGATCGCAAAAGCGGACGTCACGAAAAGCATACGAAAATTATGAATAGCACCAGCGGGGTAGCTGCTACGTCTCCGTCTGAACGAAAGAGCGCAGCACGGCCCGCAGGTAATATTGATGAGTCCTTCGATGAACTCGCGGTGTCTCTTGCAACGCAACTGGAGCGCGCGATCCTCACCGGCAACGCGCAGAGCGCAGCTGAGACGGCGCGGGAAATTTGTTTAGCGAAGAAGTTGCGCGAGGAGACACTCCTGGCAAGAAACGAGAAGAACACGGTAGCACCAGGCGAGCAGAACGTGGGCGTGCAGAAAACTCCTCAACAAAGAGGTGGTCCAGAAATTTCTTTTTCCCTAGATCACCGTACAGCGGCGATCCGTGCGGCGGAAGAAGTTCGCGGCGCAGGTTGATCATGACATTAACATCAGCATTAATCATCTAGTACTAGCATGATCACAACTGCGAGCAACAGGAAGCGCGACTCTTTTACTTTTTCCACAGCAGAAGAGCGAATAACCTCAAGACTGCAGGTGGACCACGAGATGAACATGAAGTGCACGATCAAGACATTTGAAAAAGACGTTTCTACTGCGTCGTGGCATCTGCCACTGATCTTTATGAGAAAAAGCGATTGCGACGAGATTCGCGTCGGCAAAAAATGTTGCTGTTCTTCCACTATGTCTTGTCAACTTTTGTAGTTTGTCTTGCATAGTAAGTTGCTCCAGCTGACCTTTTCGAATACTAGACATAGAAGCAAAAGCATGATAAATTTCCAATAGCGACCGATGCTTATTGATATTTCGAATTTGATAATACACTTTAACCATACCGGATTTAAAAGATTCAAATTGATTACTGAAGTTGTATTGTAGTGCCTACTTGTGTTACTTTCGCTTCATTTTATTTTTGATCAGCGTAAGTGTTGGTGTCGCTTTATTTGCAGGCAAAATGCACGGAATTTCTGTCGTTTCATCTTTTCCAGCCTGCTCACAGCACCCCCGATGCCGCAGCGCCGCAGTTCATCTGGTGCTGGTATTTTTGCTAGCGTTGCGCCACGATTTGTTCTGCTCGTCGAGCCAAGCTCTATCCCTATCACGGAAGTCTTCGTCGTTTTTCGGAGGTGGCGGTGGGGCCGGCACTCCGTTTTTGTCTACCGCGACCTCCGCCACCGGCGCACCTCGAGCGGGCGCAGTTCAGGCCGCACGGCCAGTCCCGCTGTTTCTGCAAGATGAGGCATCAAGGACGACGTCGAAAGCAACAAGTAGCAGCGACGGACCTTCGCCTGCAGCTGCCGCAGGAGAGGCCACTCCACCCGCCCAGGAGACGATGGGCGAGAAGAAGTACAGGAGCCCTGCTGAAGATGTCAGAGGAGGTCGTCGAGTCGAGCAAGCTGAAGGTGAAGGTGGTCCTAATCGTGCTAATGGAGATTGCAAGCAATACTCAAATCTTCGCAGGAAGAGGACCATATGGACAACATCCAAAACAAGATTCCGCGCAGACGATTACCGTTTCTACGACCTCCTCCAGTACTTGCAATATGACGGGGGACCGGAGTTGAAACAGGATATCACCTGTCCCATTTGTTACACGGGCAAACTCGCGGAAAATTCGCGTCCTGCTGCTGTCGAAGCGCAAGGCGGCGAGGATGGCCAGCTGGAACATCAAGCCGGAAGAAAAAAACACGATGCTGCTGCTCGACAAGGCGAAGCCGAACGAGAAGCTGAGGAGCAAGGCAACATCCGCAGTCTGTTCCACTCTCTCCTATCTGCGCGATCGTTGGATCTGCAGCAGAGTGAAGCAGTAGAAGGTGACCACAATAGCATGGACATCCAGAACAAGAGTCAGAGCCTGCTGCATCTTCACGCGCTCGAGAACGACAAGGAGGATCCGGACCGCAGGATCTTCGTGCACTTCTGCGGACATTTCGTGTGTGACGAGTGCCATGCGAGCGGGGCAAAGTCGGAATTCGCACGGATTGGCTGTGCGCAGTGCAGACAAGGCAATCCGGAAGATTCCGATTTGCTACCGATGCACAGAGGAGCCGGGTACGAAGACATTGAGTTCGAGGATGTTTCCTTCAACGCGGTGTTGAACAGTGCAGAAGCTCTCCAGATATCAGCGCTGCCAGGATAAGAATCGTCCAAGGACCTCCTACCTCGGCGGATCTGCATGAAGATCCTGCACAAGAAGCTCCTGCACCGATCATGTTGCATCATTTGCAAGACAGGGCGGACCCGCACCACTCAAGACCTGACGCAGATGAAACTCGTCTCCATTGCCCCCGCTGGCGCGCGAGAAAGCCAGTCTCTATTGCTGAAGTTGATTCTTGGTTGAGTAAATTTTTCCCTGCAAAAGAAAATGACGAAATCGAAAGCGGCGGAGATTCTTTTCCAGGACCAGACGAGGACCCTGGTGCTATCTTCACTACATCTACAACTTCTACAGGAATTGCAAGCGCGCCTACGAATTCACTCCCACAGCTAGGAAGAGATGAAAGCCAAGATCTACTCCCTTTCCACATTCAAGTAATCAAACGCAGAGAACGCCGGTGGCAGCGAATCGTGGAGCGCATAGAAAAATCGAAACGCAAGGCAAGGAAAGCTATGGAAGATCAGGCGGACGACAAAGTGTACTACTTAAGCAATCGGATGGTAAAGCCATCGGAACTCCGAGCTGCACAGAGCTCGGGGTTGTTCTATCGCCGGATGTCTATGGTGGACCGCGTTATCGATCAGGGAGCCCTGGAGACCGTGAAGTGGATTCTGGGAATTCTCGTTGCCAATGCCAAACGAGTTTTGGCCGATGAGCAAAGAGTCACGCGGCGGACTCGACGCGGGGCCGGTGTGGGAGCATCGGCGGGAGCTGCGTCTTCAACATCGTCGAACAGCGTACTACAACATGGAGTTTCTGTTCCTGGCAACATCTACTCTCCTGCACCCTCGACGCCTGTTGGCGTGGTTCCGTCACAGCTCCACCTCCCGGGAGCAGCAGGAGTCCCAATTATCCCCGGTGCCGCCCAGCAGTATCATTACAACATCTTCAGCGGCCCTTCGTACTACAACGGTTTTCCGCACAATTCGTCGTGGTATCAGGAGCTACTGATCGCAGATCAGTCCGCGCAGCACAACGAACAAATGCTGGTGGAGACGGTACAACTTCTAACAGGAGCAGGAAGCCAGCAGGGTGTGCTTAATCCTCAAGACCACGCGCCCAGCAGCACAGCTGGTGTTGCACCACCACATCAAATGCAAATTGGCCCGACTGCGAAGGCGAAACCCCAGGCCAAAGCAACTGCAACGGCAGCGCCTAGTACTAGTACCGCCACCGGGGTGCCGCCCCCCGCGCGCGCCCGTCGTCTGCGGCGAAACAACCGCGCGGCGTCGAGCAGCTGCGGCGAGTGGGTGAGAAACCAAGTTGCTGACTGCAACGGCAGCATCGATGCCTTAGTCGAGTCGTGCTCGCCCTGTCCTAAGCGTTGCCTCTACTGGCCGGAGCACGTCAACGCCGCAGTTTACAACCATGGCGGCGAGGACCACCCCGAGTGGAATCCAAATCCTATTGAGCGCTGGCACAACAACGACTGCGCGCTTGCCCCCGACCCCTGCTGCTGCGGGGATCACAACTGTGAGGCCTCGTGCTGGCGTGCGTGTGCCGTCTGGAGCTGCCCCTTCATGTGCGCGTCCGCTTTTTGCTGCCTGAAATACAACCAGGACGCCCCGGAATGCTGCAATAAGATCGCGGTGCCGATCTGCTCCGACCTAGCCTGTCTCGCGCTCTATTGCACCTGCTGCGGCATGTACACCTCTGCGTGTCTTGGCGGCGTGAGCTGGTGTGGTCCCTCGGCGCACGGGGGTGCAGCTGCTTCGACCTGCTGTCCCCTACCCTCGCATATTTGTCCCGTAGAAATGCAAAGTGCGAAACTGTGTCTGCAGCATTTTCACGAGACAATCGGACCCTGCTTAAGCCAGGCGCTTACCTGGACATGGTTATCCTGTGCTTCGCACAGAACATGCAGGATGGTTTTGGGACAAGGAACTCCTGGAGCCGACCTCGGTTTTTTGTGGCCAGACGATGTCGCTCATATTAACTCAAACGCGAGTGGAATAGGAGCGAGCTACGATGGAGCGGAGCAAGGGGCTAATCATGAAGCTGAGCTTCTTTCCCACCGGGACCGGCCACTGCAAGAAATGGCGAAGCAGCGCTGCTCCTGCGATTTCTGCCTGATCAACGCTGACGGGACTGTGGAAAATTGCTGCGAACCCAACGACGATTGTTTGTACGAATGCGGAAAGCTGCCATGCTGGGAAACGTGCCGGGCCGCGGTCGCGGAGGCGCTTGCAGCTTCGCCTGCCCATGTGTCACCGTCGAGCAGTGCTGGTGGCTCAGGAACTACAACTAGCATGATGTCCGCCACAAATTATCAAACACTGGGAGGAACTGATGGGCAGCAGCTTTTGGGTTTCAGCGCATCATCTTCCTCTGCACCAGGTGGAGCTCCTGCTTCATCTTCAACGTCACAACTCTGCAGCTCTCTACTCTTGGATTCTTTGCGGTGCTGTATGGGTCAGGGCCAAATCAATGAAGAGCAGGACGTCGAGCTGCATCAATCACTACAAAATAGTGATGAACTACGTCACGAGGAGATCAGTAAAAATGCTGGACATGAGGGCCGCGTGGAGCAAGAAATTGAAAGAGAACTATCTCCGCCAGAGGACCCCTTCCGTGAAAAGCTGAACGCCCTGGCGAAGAGGTTTCTAGCACTCCTCTTGGAACGGCCGAAGGTGCCTGTGCAAGAGTTTTCCATCGTGCAGGACTGGATTAACATCGATGGAATCAACGGAAAACGGTTCTGTCAGCCTGCTTCTACTGCCCATGGCGCAGCTAGCGAAGCTTCCGCTGCATCGGAGGTGCGACGCGGAAGTACTGGTACAACTACAGTTGGCGCCGGCGCTAGAAGTAGAAGTTCCTCGTCTTCACAAATATTTCCCAGAGCAGCAACATTCCTAGCAGCGGCACCACTTGCACAAACCATGGTGGCCGGTGGTAGCGGTAGTGGTGCACCAGCGTACTCTTCATTACACACCCCCTCTCCGCAAGAACAGGTCCAGTATCCTCACGGTAGTACCGCATCCACGGAAGAAGATATTGAGGCTGCTGGTGGTGCTTTCCCGCCCCCAGTGAGGAGGAGCGCCGCATCTTCTCGTCCTGTAGTGCTGCGGCGCCCTTGGCTGTGCCCTCCGCCAGTCCATAACTACAAATTGTTCAAAGACCAGTACGCGTTGAACCTCGTCATTGACGACCTGCACTTTGCCGTGTTGTACGTCAAAGCAAGAGGAGAAGAAGGCGAATTGTAGGCGCATGCCGACGAGGTGGAACATACAGAAAACTATAGACAGAGCACAATCCTGAGAGAGGGAGAGCCTCAACTTCCTCACTTGATAAAGTGGAAGAAAAATACTTTCGCATGACCTGTTGGCGAAGATGATGTATCACGGAAAAAATAGTGCGGACGCGACATCTAGCGACGCATTAAGTGTTGACCGTGCTGAAGCTGAACAGTAACGATGTACAATATTCAAACGACGCGGCGATGTAGAAGTAGTATCCGACAACATGTCCGACTATGTATCCGCCTCCGAGCCGGAGAAGAATGATAACTAAAGTGCAAGTGGAATAATAGAATATTAAGGCAGACGAGAATACAGTTTTATGTTGACGCGGAAAATCGGGTTTCTGCAGGAGCAGGACTACACTACAATACAAAAGAATCGCTGAGGCATCCTGGTTCATCTTTTTCTTTTTGAAGAACTTGCACGTTTTACCGTTTCCCTTTCCGTTTGCGAATGCATTTTTGTAGTTGCCTCACGGTTGTATTGAGGCAAGTGTACGACCTGTCCAATCCGCACTGAAAATCCTCCACAAGAACGTGGTCGAAAGTATCCATTTTTCCCCAAAGTGCAGTACTATGGAAATCAAATGTCAATACATTTTGCTGCTCTATGCTGTTCCAACACGTTCCGTCGCAATCGTGTACGTGTTTCACTAGATTACCTCCAATGACGGGACACTAGCGATGTGAGTGTGGTGGAGGATGATGATGAAGATGAACTACAAGATCGCATCATCTTACATGTCCTTGACCTTGAAGCTTGATTTTGAGCATTACTAATCCCTATTGATTCTCGCATTCGCTCGGTGTAAACAGTCGTGTGTACAACAGTCGCGATCTTCATGATCTATCAGTGTTGGCATATTGTTCCTGAAGGATGTGGATGATCCTAGTAGGTTTAAAGTATTTTTGGCCGGGGTTTATTCGAGAGCACCACTATCGACTACAGATTTGTTCTAGTTCTCCTGTATTTTGCTCACATTATTTATGAGGAAAGGTGTGCGAATTCGAATGTATTGATCTGTGTTAAGTACGCCGGAGGCTGGGCTTCCCGGGATGAGAAGAAAATTTCAACAACGCGAGGCTGATCTCTTTTGCCGTCGTGCTTCTTTCCTTTTCGCAGGTCTCGATATAGTAATAGTGTCTCTCTGTGGTGCCCCCCCCGACGATGTGAGTACTAATGTGGTTGGTGTGTGATGTTGCTGGTCGTGTCGGTCCCCGCCTAACGCTTCGGTCGACCGTCATATGATTTACGTACCGCTTCTAGTTCCAGACAAGGAGTTGTAGTCTATTTCCCGTTCTGTACGACTACGACAGAAACAGGTGAAGACTCATTGTTTTTTTTTTCCTCTACTCAGTAGACATTGACACAAGCACAACGGGGGCCAGAAGAGCACAAAGCGACGGAGATGAGGTTGACGAGGATTGCGATTGAGTTGGGGTTTCCGTGTCTTGTCCTGAAACCGGGAGCTGCTCCCCGCCTGCTCAACGTAATCTCGGTTTACCTACTCGTCCCCGGACCCGGAGGTGGCCCATCAACAAGTAGTATACCCCACCTTTCCGTCGTCCACGCCGCCGTTTCGACCGCGAGTTGCGATTCGCTGACCTCTTGTTCCCCCTCTGAGTGCACCGTCAGCTCCGATGCAGACTGCACGTTCAACACGAATGTGCCCGATTGGTCCAATGTGGTCTCCTCGCAACTGCAGTGCAAGACGTGCACAGTGTCGACCCACAACAAGTGCGCCGCCGCCTTGCCCTTGGCGGCGGCGAGAACGAGTGACGCCGGCAGTTCGATTCAGGCAATTTACTGCAACGACGAGTATTTAATCGTGGCCGCGTCCGGGTTACCGCCAGCCTACAACCCCGGGCAGACGGGCGGCGACCTGTACTTGAAATCCACCCCCCTCCCGCCCGGCGGGAATACCGCCTGCCGGGTGCGAACGGCGGCGGCACAGCTGAACGTGTTCAAAATTCCGCTGAACCCGACACAAGTAGCCGCCGGCCAGTCGAACACCATCGCGAATCCGCTGAACAACGTTCCCGGCATGCCGAACGCGGGGGCGATTGCCGTCGCCATCGACGGCATTCCCATGTTCCCCAACTACAACAACCGGGGGCTCTTCACCTGGACCAGTTGCGAGGTGGACCGGTGCAACGCACACAGCGGGAAAGGCGAGGACTACCACTACCACGGCGACCCCTTCGGGACGAAGTGCCTCTACACCGAGGCAGACTTTACCGACGCAACCAACGGCCACCCGCCATTGATCGGGTGGAGTCTGGATGGGTACGATGTGTACGGACGGTACACGAAAACCACGCAATATCCTGTGCAAAAGTATCGCACTCGTACAAAAACTAATGCAAGTCTTGCATCACAAATCTTGTTTCCAAGGCAAATCTGCATTACAAATTTTATTTCATCTCATGCTGAGAAAATTTGTAATGCATTTATATTACAAGTGCGATACCATACTTTTGCATTTCATACGCAACTCGGGCAAGCAACCGCGCTAGACGCTTGCGGCGGCCACGAGCATGGTACAACAACCGGGGGCGGCGTAACGTCGATAACGGGCTATCACTACCACCCGGAAGTTGAGCAGAAAACGACCTCTTCGCTCGATGGCACCAATTTGAACGGAGCGACCGTGACCTACACGGCGTATAAGCTGGCGCCGATGGAGTGCTGGAAGGGCTATGCATTGCAAAAGTAATAGCGTACTCGTAGTAATTGCAATCCTGCGTCACAAATCTCCATTCCAAGGTAAAACAGCATGACAAATTCATTTGTCATGCCGAGCACGCAATAACAACCAGTACCAGTGCGATGCTTTTGCAGTGCATAAGGGCAACGTCGGCGCGATTCCGAACTTCTGGACCAGTAACAACGGGCAGGCGCTGTACGACAGCACCAAGAGCGCGAACGGGCTTTTGTCCCGCGCAGACTTGGAACAGCTGAAGCCCTGTTGTAGCATGACCACCGCACAGTACTTTCTCCGGGCCGGCGTGACCGGCTTTCAAGGGCTGACAGGTGGCACTAGTTCTTCTTCTTCTTCTTCGCCGACCCCATCGCCGTCTCCAACTCCCACCACTACAAGTTCTCCTACTCCGACACCAACACCCGCTCCGAGCACGAGCAGTACTAGTAGTGCCACTACGTGCACGTACGGCACCTGTGGGTCGGGAAACGACAACACGGGGCGGCGCTGCCCCGCACAGTACGGGAACGGCAGACCCGATTGCCCGCCCGGCTGCACGGCGGTACCGGCGACAGGATGTAGCACAACGAGTAGTGCAGGAACGTCCTCACCTTCTCCGACACCGTCTGCTGCAGCTGCCCCCTCGCCGTCCCCCTCTCCCAGCCCGATCACCGTGAACAGTGCGGCCTTTCGCAGTACGCGTGGAAGGACCGGCCATGGGGTGCTGTGGGCTTGGAGCCTTGACAGTTTCTGGGATCGGGCCGTTGCCGTGGTGAACATGATGCTGGTACCGATGGTGTTTAGCAAATTCTTCCACGGCTATCTGTTTCTACCCAGTTACTGCATCGCGTGAAGAAGATACATGTTACTGCAGTTACTGCATGAATGATGAATGCAGTTCTTATACGAATAAACTCGAAAATGTAGGATGGCACTTGCAGTTCTAAGACTAAAGATAAGAGCGGGGTAACAACGTCGCCCCGGCGCCTTAGTCGTCCGTCCGGCCGGACGGACGACTAAGTCGCCGTTTGCGGCGGGAAATTTCGTCCATCAGACTGGTGCCCCGCCCAGAACCAAAATCGGGACCGCGTAGCGAACGCCTCCAAGTAACCGTATGCAAAAACGCACTTTTTCAAATGGATTTTCTCGGTTTTGGTATATTTTTGGTTCCCGAAAAAAAATGCTACACGCTCTCTGCGGTGTATTTTCTTGGTTTTGGTATATTTATTCAGCACGGTAATCGCTACTAACTGTTGCCAGTCGCGATTTCTTTCGTCGTAGCTTTTGCAAAAAATCAAATGTTGCCGCTGGCGCTTTTGCAAATAAATCAAATTTCCATTTGAAAAAGTGCGCTTTTCGCATTTGAAAAGTGCGCTTTTCGCACCTCCGGTCCGGCTCCAGTCCCAGTTCCCCGGGTGCGAATGCGCAACCCCCCCTACCCGGAAACTGGGACTGGAGCCAGACCGGAGGTGCGAAAAACGCACTTGTTTTTCAAATGCGAAAATCGCACTTTTTCAATCGGAAGTTTGATTTTTTTGCAAAATCGACGAACGAGAAAGAAGCTGATTTCCAAAAAGAAGGATAGAGAAGTCGTGACACGCAACAGCAACAATGTCATAATATGTATCATATGACGGGGCTGAGTTTGCTGCGTTTTTTTTTTTCGAAAACCGAAAAACAAAACATGCGAAAACCAAGAAAATCCATTTGAAAAAGTGCGACTTTGCATACGCTTACTGGGCGTTGTTCGCTATGCGGTCCCGATTTTGGTTCTGGGGGGCACCAGCCTGATGGACGAAACTTCCCGCCGCAAACGGCGACTTAGTCGTCCGTCCCGCCGGACGGACGACTAAGGCGCCGGGGCGACGTAGTTGAATCAATTGTTACCCCGCTCTAAGATAAAAATGGAGAGAGTGTATCAGGTACTAGGACTTTATGCGCAGTTGAACATCAGGAGGATAGCGCTTAGATACGCGCTTGGGCTTGCGCAGGATCGTGCTTCTGCATTATGTGCTGCCCGCAACTTGTTTCGGTTTTGTGTTTCTGGCATTTGAGAAGTCTCTTTTTATGCTTTGTCTCGTGAAGGTGAAGAGCTCAATTGACGTAAGGACAAAAAAACGATGACAATGGCTCGACGTCGACCCTCGCTGACAAAATTATCTGCGGAAAGGCAGAAGTGCAGAAAAATTCACTACGCTTCATTTACTATGTTTCAGTGGGACGAGGAGGAATACGAAAAAATATAAATATGATCCAACAACAAGACAGCCACTTGTGGCACTGCCAAGAGCTTGACGGACCTTGGCAAGTGTTCGTGAGTATCTTCGAAACACGAAGAAAATGGAGAACCGCGGCGGGGGGATGTTGATATAGTTGGAACATTGCTGTGCGTGCCAGTGGGGGCATCTTGAAGATGACCGATGATGATGCACGTAGTATTGGTACGCATTGAATCGGTGTCGATCCGATCTTGTACTCCTCGTTTTTCAAGCCGGCACAAGAAGAAGGTCAGTGTCGCCCGCCGGCAGGCAACATCGTGCTTTCTAAATCAAAATCATTACAATTACTTTCAATGATAGTATGTCGCTTCATCAAGCATCAGCATTGATTATGCAAGCTGTGCTGCTTGTGCATTATCATACCTCGTCCAGTTTTCGGGTAAGCGCAAGGTCGAAACAAGGCGCTTCTCATGCTGCTGTGTTGTTAACGTTATTGGTTATTCCTTGACACTATTGATTCGCCCCTCTTTATTGCTGCGAGGGCTGGACCTACACCTGCCAGTCGAGACGCAAGAATGCCTATCCTAAACCACTCTTCTACCGTCGCTTTGAACGCGATTGGTCACGAGGCTTTGAAGGACAAGCATGCGGCTCTGCTCCGCGACCTTGCTTCCACGGAGAAGGAACTGAAACGAGTGGAGAGCTCGCCGGCATTTTTCATCGCGCAGGAAGGGGAAGTAGATGTAGTTGACCATGCTGAGACATTTCCGCAACGTGCTGGCTCATCTGGTGGCTTATCGTCGTTTTCCTCTTCTTTTTCATCCAACAAAAACCCCATTCCGCAGAACCGGGCGCTGCAGATTTTGCAGCAGCAAGCGCTCGAGTCCGGGTTGTTCAAAAATCCCGCGTTCGTGAAAAAGGAACGAATCCGGTGGCAGAGTTTGACAGTGGAGGAGCTATCCAGGAAAAAACACCCATCCCCATCCATTTTTTGCATGACAAGTGCTGTTTTTGATGCGTGTTTTGCACGACAAATTGGATGGGAGTGGGAGTTTTTTTGTGGATAGGAGCAGCAGGCGCAATACGACGCCATCTGCGCGGTGGTCCAAAATTTCAAAAATTGGCTGGAGGGCTGTGAAGAAAAGAAGAGCTTTAGTGGTGGTGCTCGTGCTAGGCTGCCGACCAGTAGGAGCGCCTCTACTTCGAACGGCGCTAGGGACGAGGTTATATCTGGTGCTAGAAGCAGAAATACAAATATTGACGATAAGTATACGTCATCTCAAAAAGAAGAGCGCGCACTTCTTCAAGAGCACGGCAAATCTTCGCACGTCGAAATTGCCACTTCCTATCCACGCGGTAGAGAAAAGCTTCGCGACTGGATCAACGAGCTGTATGAGTCAGGGTTGGAGCTGCTCAATGAGACTGGCTCGGTGTTGTTCATTTTTACCACCTTGAGACCTGAGTCTGACGATGATCATGATGGTCACCAGCATGGCGGCGCTACGGAAAAGTCTTCGGCCGACCTTCTCAACGACGACGCTTTTCTCAGACTGGATACATTGTACGCTTTGGCGGTTTTTTATGAGAGTGCACAACATGCAGCCACCCCCCTCAGGCTCAGTTCTTGTCATACAAAATGGAAAATCCACATCCATTTCAACCCGCTCTGGCCTTTCAACAGCAGCACGCCTTGCATGTCAAGTTTGGGTCCGGAACCCCAAACAGATACAGAAATACCATCTGTGTGTGGGTTAATTGTGACACTTGTTACAGAACAAGCCGCCCTTGCAGAATTACGAATTACCTTACTTCTGTTGCTGCTTCTCGTCATGCGCCCGGCGTACTTCATATGAGTTTGAGTAGGAGGCGGGCGAGCTGTAGTAGTGCAGCAGTACTTTCATACTCCTACCTTTGTTTTGTCCCTGTGCACTCGTCTGTTTATCGCTTCGTCGAACTACCCGGAGGTCGATAAGGGGTACACGGTCCGGTCCGATCTGTCAACGGGCTACCTGCGCGTAAAGAAACCAAACGAGGACGGGCGGCCTGACCAGCGGGGCAAGTTTTTTGCCGCTGTGGTTCTTTACCTCGTGGAGCCCAACAGCGGCAAGAAAATGATCAGTAGCACCTTCCGCCGCACCAGGGAGTTTTTCAACGCCGACGGCACATCGCACGAGATGCACCCCCTGGCGCTGGAGTATTTCTTGCTACACACGGAGTGCAAGCAGAACATTCGCACGATTCTCGCGGTAATATTGCTGGCCGACTTTCCGGAACTCATTATCGAGTTTCTATTACAGTGAAAAGTGCCCCCCACCCCCAAAGTTGCAAAAATTTGTGATGCGAAGTTTCCAAATGAAAACTTTTTGTCATGCATGAAAGGAGTACGAATCTTTCGGATGCAGAGTCTAGTCGTGTTTCGCATCGCTTGCATGACAAGCACCGCTCTTGCTGGGATCTTTTGCAATACAAATTTTTGCTATTCACCATCGGAAATCTGTGATGCTGATACATGCAAGAGGGCGAGCGTTTCATTTGGAAAGGTTTGCAATACAAATGCTTTCAAGTTCGGGGGTGGGGGCATTTTTCATTGTAATAGTTTCTCTACGCGATTTTGCTCCTGAACTACAGCAACCAAACGGTCGAATTTGGCACAACTACCACCTCGAGCTCCACTAAACCCGCCCTTGGGCGATGGCCAAGGCGCAGTGCAGCTGGAGTGGATCGCCTGCCACCTCCACCATTTCGTTTTCGGCGCTGCCAGTGCATGAAGAGTGGAATTTGCTTAAGATGATTTTCGTCTACTTCTTTCAATTTCACCATGCAACATCACATAAAACATCAAATCGAGCAGGCGGTGAAAATACATACTTGATCTCGACAAACAGACCGGTATCCCGCAGGAAATTATAGCCATCGCGCTGATGGCACTGGCTATGAGAGTATGCAGAAGATGATAAAAACAAGTGGCGCTGCAATGCACGAGCACCATTTGCAGATGTATAGTGCTCCTCTGCTGGCGGACATAAGTAGTCACGGACGAGATTCACACTCCGACACTTTTTCTTTCTGCGAGTATACCACAACTTTATTCCACCAGAAAGTGAAGATAGCGGTGTTTGGAAAAAAAGGAGGGACTATCGCACACAAGGAATTCATGCCATGCGCGGCACCGAGCCCTTTGATCCGCAGGGCGGCTCATCATGGGCGGCGGGTATCAATAGAACGAGAAGCGCTGGTGTAAAGAAAACCATCGGAAAAGTGAAAAATAGAATTAGAAATACGTTTTCTACACGTACTCGAAAAAGTAAAGGTAAAGGAAAACACGCTTCGCCGATGAAGAGGGGCCAGCCACTGGACCAGCGTCGCTCGACAAAAAGCAGCAGTTTCGTTGAGAAAAGCAAAGAACAAAATGAAACCACTAAGAACAAGTAGAAGAAGCTAGCAAGCGATATAATCATACATCATGATCGTATTTGAGTGATGTAGTGGTAGACGTTACGTGCGACGTATTTTATCATCAAAAAATAATAAGCCAAAAGATAAAGACTTTTTGATCGATGTGATGTGCTGCTGCGTTTTCAAAATGGATCGACCGCCACAGCGAAGTAGACGACAACACTCAAAGTGATACAACTGCCACTCGTTCTCTATCTCTGTCAGCCATTCAGATCTACTTTGAGTAACCTCCTAAGAAAGCACATTTAGCAGCTAGGGAAATATTCTTATGGTGTCCTGCTTCTTCGACGCAGGCGCAGCTTTGATTTTGTGTCTCCAGGAGCTGTTGACGTTCCAGTAGGTACTTTCGTTTGTGCTTGAGATGCGCCGTATCAACATCAAGCCCTCCTCTCCCTGCAAGAAGACAGAGAATCCGAAAAGAAGAAAACAGCTTTTCCCTGTAGTAAACAGGCTTTCTTAAGAAACTACTTTTGAGCTTTCGTACAACTTTCGAATCTCTTTCAGAGTCCCTTGGAGCAAGCAACTTCTCATCCAAAAGCAGTCGGCTGCACCCCACGTTTTCGTCAGCAATGGCAACTTTTAAGCTTTAATTTGATATTTACGCTTTTAACTTATCCTTTTTACAGCACCCGTTTTTCTTTTTTCAGGCGGAAGTGCAAAGTCACTCAGGCGCAAGTGCTTCTGACCCGGAAACCATGACCCGGAAGTTCATCACGCTTCCACTCATAAAATTACAAACAAAAATAACCAAAGATGAAGATTTAAAAATTAAATTCGTAGGCGGCAAATAATTTTAATCACCTTTATTCCCGATCTGGCATGATGAACATGTGCGCGCGCAGGTCAGGGGCCCAGTTTCTGGAACCAGTGAACCGGACGAGAGGGAGTCGCGTACTCCTGGATTTTTCACAAGTATGCAGATGAACTACTTATTAAAGATAAAGATAAAGAGTTTCTCTACGCGATTTTGCTCCTGAACTACAGCAACCAAACGGTCGAATTTGGCTTGGTGTTTATCCTGTGTGATCATGAAAACTTTTCCGACAAGATGAAGCTCCATTTCAACATAACATTCTTCCCGCTGGCAGCACTACTTCTTCATCGGGTGCTTAGGCTTACACAACCACAAGGAGGTCTAATGCAGGACAGAAGATTATGCATGAACATGAACATCAAGATCATGTGAGTGGGTGGATGTTCATGTTGGGGTGAGTGTCATCATTTACAGAGGATATTGCTCTGGGTTTCCTTGTTCGGAACCGTGGTGCACCTCTGCCGCCTCTCTATCACGTGCAAAAGGAAAAGCATAAACATGAGTAGCCGCAGCCGGTCTTAATCTCCATGAATGCAACAGCACTGCATCAAGAATCCCAATCTGCACTATGTCTATGGGTTGTACTACGCTTTTCCAGTGCATACTCTCGTTGGAGCTGCAATACGAACTGAAACACGTGGACAAGCTGAAGCAGGTGGTCGAAAACTGTGACATCATATGACAGCGCACAACTAACTCTCCCCCTCATTTGTCATGGAAAATACCAAATGCTATGCACACTTTGCCTCTTGGCACTTTATGCATGACAGACTCTGGTAGCGCAAACAGCACTACATTCCGCGTCGCATTTGTCATGCAAAACCTGCAGTCTTGCCGAGGCTTGTATTCTTTCTGTTCATGCCATACAAATGAGGGGGAGGGGAAGTTGTGCAGTCTCATACATCACCTTCACAAAAGAAGACTTGGACAAAGAAGACCCTGACCACTCGGGCATCATGATACCACCTGGATCTTCATCTCGCGGACGGGGGCATCAAAACGTGGCCACGACAGGAGGAGCTGAGCCGGCGTACGGAACAACGATAGCCCACGACGGGGATGGAGGCGCCGTCGTAGCGCCAGGTCCACCTTCCACAAAGAGGAAAGTGAAAGAAGTTCGCGGCGCAGGTGTCGCTCGTTGGGCGGAAAAACACGGCTCTTCCTGTCGCGTGTTGACCATCACGTCAGCGAATATTCCCAAATACCCGTATCCATAGAAGAAATTTTGTTCAGCTGGTGATAGTCCGTCGTGAGACGTTCTCTTGCTCCTCATATGAGATTTAAAAGTCGTTGCTTCATCGACCTCCGGGAAGGTGGCTGATGATATGGTTGGACGAGTTAAGAACACTCTTCGTGTTTCAAGTTTTAGAAGCATAAACCACACTCATCTCATCACGACGTCGACATCTTCACACATATGTTTTGGCGTTTCATACTGCTGCGGGCGAGGCGATTGCAAACCACTGCTACCGGCTGGAGAAGCTTTCTGCCGCGGACAACTCGGAGATTGACGACGAACTAGCGATTAAGCTCTGCAAAAAGATCTTTGACAGTAATGGGCAAAACTCCAAGCTCGAGAAGCTGTTTCTGAACGGCACCAGCGTAACGGACGCCGGTTATCCTGAGTAAAAACGTACCCACACCAGAGTCAGGATGGGGATTTTGCAACACAAACCTAGGAGTTTTGTGAGTCACGCATGACAATTTGCACTCTGCAGTGTAGTGCAGGTTAGCAAGTGCAGCCGCGGCACAGATTCATCTGCTCATCCTGTTCACAGCATCACAAATTCCAAAACGCGATTGGAAATGGCTCTCATGGGGATGCGCATTACAAGTCTTCCTGTCTTTGCAAATCTGCATTACAACTCTGGCGTGGGTACGTTTTTCCTCAGGATACCGCATGCGGCGAGTTCCTCAAGTACTGTCCGAACCTGCACATGCTGGCGCTGAGCCGCTCCAAGTTCTCGGACATTGGGGCGAAGGCGGTGTCAGAAAACTGCCGCGAGTTGAAGGTTCTCGGCGTCAACAGCTGCGGTTTGACGGACAAAGGCGTGCGTGACCTGCTCTACGTGACGAGGACTACTTGTACAACGTCTTCAACTTCTGACGATGGATTTATTTTTGCAGGTGCCCCCGAGGGCGATAGAATAGTTGTACACCGCGAAGATCATGATCCCCACCAAGATCACGGACCGCGAGCTGCACCTCGTCCAGGAGAAACAGAAAGTCTGAACAACGTCGACAGAACCGGATTTTCTGAGCAGGAGCCAGAGACTGGTCCAGCTGCAGAAGCGGTACTACTAGTTGCTGCAAATACAAGAACTAATTATACAAGGACCTACAGCACGCCCTCCACCTATGGCAGCTCAAACCTGCACACGTTTAAGCTTGCGGACACGCCGATCACCGACGACGCGTGCACCTCCATCGCGGTGTCGCTGAACATGAAGTTGAAAACCCTGCATCTGTTCAAGTGCGACCGCGTCACGGACCAGGGAATCCGGGTGGTGGCGGAAAACTGCCAGAACCTGGAGGAAATAGACCTCCACGGTCTGCAGTTCGTCACTGACTTGTCTGCACATGCTTTGGCGGACAACTGCCCGCATCTGAAGCGCTTTTACCTTTCTGACACCAGCATCACCGCCCGGGGGTTGAATCGTCTTCTGGAAAAAGAGAACGCCGTGAAGATCATGCGGCTGGAGGCGAAAAATTGCGTCTTTGAGGAGGCGGAGCGGAAAGCGCTGCGGGAGAAAGCTACCGTGCTCTCGGAACAGCTCCAGCTCGTGCTGTGAGATAAGGGACGTTGTACTGCGAAAGCAACTAAGTTTAAGTACTACCCGACGAGCAGCACGCTCTTGTTTCCATGTTAGCATGACCTGCCGACGGCGCTTTTGGTCCAGCTGGTGCCGCTGCGATACTTACGGGGCTAATATACTAGAAAAGACGTGTAGTTGACAAATACAAGTTCGGTCTCCATCAAAGTTTGTGCTTGGACTAGAGATGTGTCGTTCAACATGATCGTCAGGAACATTTATAGCAGGCTTGGGCGTCTGCAACCGAAGAACCCGCATCGGTTGCGCCCACATCGCTCTTCCTTCGTAAGCACTTCATAATCATTCAAAGAAAAGCCGCCCTTGTATGATTTGCTCTTTGATCGCAAATGTCTACCTGATCTACTTTGTCAGGACCAGGAGGAGCTGCTTTGCCAGCAGCATTACATCGGTACTAGTTGGTGGTCAGACACTACTAAACCTTGTCGGCGTTTTTCTCCGTTCGCTACAGAATGTTGTTCTACTTTATCGCGACGTGTTTACACCGTGACTGAAGAGCTGCGCACGATGCGCATTTTATGGCAATGACTACAGGTACAGGAGTAGTACAAGAGCCCGAGGAGGGGCTGTTCGTGTTCGTGACCCATTCGCTCACAACCTCTATTCGTTTTGTTTATCCGTTCGTCACTTGAATCGGTGTTCTCCGTCAAGTTTGCGTCGCCTGAAAGAGAAAATCAAAATACAGAAGTAAACACGACTACATCTTTGTCGGTGTCGTTTTCTGATTCATTTATTTCGTACAAGAACTTCATCGTTTTCGTCCATCTTGCCGTATTTTTGGTACTAGTATCTTCATCTTGTTCACATGACTGTGATGTTGAAGAAACCAACGTCAGCATGTCTACATCTTCTTGCACATTTATATCTTTATGCCTCGTTTCGCGCTTGTTTGTTTCAGCAGGCTGTTGCAGTTCGGACACCCTCCGCCTCCGTCTTAAGGGGCTACAACTACGTACTTATTTTACACTCGGAATCGGATATCCTCCGTCCTCTTCCTGCACTGTATAGTAAAGACGTCATCACAAATTAAAATATATAATTATCAACCAAAACCATCTAAAATACTAGCACCTAGCAGCAATCCCCCTGCCAACTAGTACGAACTTTCCCTTTCACTATATCACTCTGCTTTTGCAACTATATCAAGACCAAGACGACGAGGTGTTTCACCTCGACCCAAAATTTTCGATATTGTGTCTAGTATCCCTGAGACGCTGCAAAGAAAAAGTACCTCTTAGTCTTACTACGTCAAAAGAAGTATATACAGCACTTCAAGTTTTGTCGTTACATCATACCTAATTGTAACTGTAATTAATCTGGATCGACTGTCAGCACTGTCACGACGCGCGAGCAGAATTACGCCGGCGATCTGCTCGAAAATGGCGGCGCCGTCAAGTTCGCTAAGCGGCCCAGCTCGACCTGCGCGTCCTGCTCCTGTCCGGGGCAGAAGCCAGCGCTTATTCGAACGTAAAAATCGCCCGGCTGGCGCAGGTGGAGGTCCTCGCCGCGCCACACGGGGCAAGAAGAAAAAGAAGACAAACAAGGCTGGTGGTGCAGCGGGCTGTACACCTGCGGAGCAGGAAAAGAACAGGAACAACCGAGCCACCTCTTCCTCTAGCTCTACAAGCCGCGATGGGAGCGCTAGCTCGAGCTCCTCCGGAAGCAGCAGGACCAAAACGAAAAACGAAGCGCCACGATCTGTTCCTGTCGGAAACATGCATACGAGTCATCATGAGCACAACAAGCATGATGCCAAGAACACGGAAATGAGGAAAAAAACCGACCATTACGCCTCCTCGTCCTCGTCCTGTAAGGTGGCTGAAAAAGACGAGCGAAGCTTTTTTTTGGCCATTCACGACGCCCTGATCGCTGCAGCGAGGGAAATAAAACTCTCGCAGTCCCCGGGACAACCAGAAGCTAGACCAGGGGCAAGCGAGCGGGAGCGCATCGGAACCGGGCATGATGGGATGTTTTCTTCTGAAAATGAAAATCCAATTGTTCCTTGCCACCAGGACACTAAACTACAACATCGACACAAGTCTACGCCGGCGAAGATCAGCACGCAAAAACTCCGTCCCCAGCACGGTCAACGGCGGACATCGACTTCCCGCCTGCAGACGGCCGCACTGAAGAAGTTGATCTCCGGCGTTTTGCTGTGGCAAGCCGCAGACACGGTAAAACCGCCGCAAAACGCTGGCGCGAAACAGCGAGTGGAGGAGGACGACGCGGGCGCAGAAGGTGTCGCCGGTGATGAAGAAGCATCACCACCTCCCGTGCGGGGGAACAAAAAGCCCAAACCTTCGCGCTCGCGCCGCGCTGCGAGAGCCAGGAAGAACAAGAACGTGGACGCGGGAGTGGCTGCTGACGTGGCGAGACACAGTTGGCATTTTCGCAATCTCGGAGAGAAGCTGCAAAAACAGGAAAAAGATCTCAATGCTGGATCTTCGCGCGACGCTTCTTCCGCCTTTGCCGAAAAGAAAGGGTCACGAAGTGGAAGTCGAAGTACAACGCGGAAGAAAAAGTCGCGCAAGGGTAAAAAGCGCAGCAGGAGCAGCTCCTCCAAGAACAGTCGAACTTCTTCGACAGAGGGCGAGTCATCGTCTGCTCTGTCGCAAGATGAAGACAAGAAATCTTCGGGTGACGACGTGGCTTCGCGGCCCGACTTTCCCAGAAACGCGGACGCCGGTCGTGAGAACGACCTCGAAGAAGGACCGAAAGATGGGACCCCCGCAGCCGATTCTTTTGTGGAAAAGCCGGAAAACACGGCCAGTGACCTGCTTGGTGCACCAGCGGGTGATGTTACTGCTTCTTCAAAAAAGGAGTCTTCGAGTTCGACAAATAAGCGTGAGGACCGCAAGCGCAAGCGAAGGAGCAGAACAAGCTCGTCCTCCAAGTCCTCTAGAAGGCGTGCCGGAGCCTCGTCTTCAAAAACACCTCCATCATCACCGCCGGTGGAACAGATGGCCTCGTCGTCTGCAGCAACACAAGCGGGGCCAGACCAGCCAGCTGAGCGTGGCCGTGACGTCGAGGACAAAAACGAGAATCGTGCGCCGGGCGCTCCTGCCGCCACGCAGGTAAGTACCTTCTGGGTCTTAGTCTAGTCATCACTTTCGAGGGCACGCAGTTTTCAGGGCAACGCCCGCGCAACCTCGTGAGGACCGGGCTGGGGTATCCACCTCTCCTGTGGGCCCATTTTAGTAAAAAGAATTCAGGCAAGAAACAGCCGGAATTTGTCGCAGACCGATGCCCAAGCGGACGGTCAGCGAGAGCAGAGGGGGAGGCGCCTGACCTCCCACGACTGCCACGCGCGCGCATGTTAAAGACGCGCAGCGCTATGGCGAAGCTGATGTTGATGACGCCGGCCGCTAATGCAGTTGCAGACGCGTCCTGGGCGACCGTGGCGCGGGTCGTACGACCCAAATTTGGACAAAAGTCCACCGAGTTGCGCCATCCTGTGTGCCGACCCATAGGGAACTGGGGGGAAGGCTGCGAACGCGAAGTGGCCCTCGGGCATCACACCAGCCGACCGTATCCCACCTGCGTGGCACTTAGCTAGGGACTGCGTAAGCAACGCTGCAAATTTACACTTCAGACGATGATTAGAGATTCCTCGGAATGGAATGCTGCCTGTTTGGCGTGTTTGATGCTTTCACAGTTTTGCGCCCAATTCAAAGGTTAAATATTGGGGTTGGTTTTGATGCTAATTCACTCAAATGATCTAAAATCGTGCGTGATGAGTAGGTAGTGGCTCCTGCAAATGAGACGATGACGCTGATACTGAGAATCAATATTGAGGCTCGTCGCTTCTAAGCATGTATGTTTTCCAATGTTGTGGTCAAAATCTTCAAAATAAATCAATGAAAGTAAGAACAAGAAGGAGGCTCGCTAGCGGAAAACTGTGCGCACGCCATTTGTTCTGAAACTCGTCCAGGGAAACGGAATAAAGCACCACTTCGTGCTCCTTCACCTCGTCGTGTTTCCCCTCCAGTAGGGCCGAGTCGATTCTACTTACTATGTCTCTTACATTACCGTCGCTGCTCCGCATTCACATTCACTTTTCCAAATTTAACACTACAGCCCGTCCCCGTCGAGCGTGGCCGCGACGTCGAGGACAAAAACGAGAAGGGAGCTTCGACGACAAACCGCGAGGACAAGAAGGCAGATGAAAGCGTCTTGATTCCCCCCGCTCGCGATGAAGGCACCGAAGCCCCCGACCACGCGTCAACACCCAGCGGGAAAACGAAAAGCAAGGCAAATAAGAAGAAAAAGCGGAAGAGCAGTAAAAAGCGCAGGAAGAGGAGCAGGAGCTCCTCTACATCGAGCGCAGATAAAAATTCTGAAGCTGAACAAAAGGAAAATGGAAAATCCGCAACACCAAAGGCAGCCTCGGAGGACAACGAGCAGGACGAGCCCTACGCTTTTCTCCCCGACAAGGAAGATGAAAACAAGCACGAGCAATTATCACATGGAAAAATCCCCCCTGCTTCCCATATCAAAAGAAAGTTTCTGATCCTGCTGAATTTGCGTACACAAATCAGGTCTGTCATGCAGTAGAGGACTGCAGGACCAACCCATACCAAGATGCCTCAGTAGAAGGGTTCTGACGCAGGCACGTAGCATGGCAAATCAATGTGTACTCTGTAGGGCCCATAGCATCACAAACCGCCTTCATAATGCGGCGGAGTCTCCGGATTGGCCTTCTTGCAATACAGACACGATTTGTGGCCACAAATCAGCACCACAAATTTCCAGAAATGTGCCTTTTCGGTATGGGGAGGCGGGATTTTTCCTCTCAAAGTCAACAACCCTTGCCGCCGCCGGAAGAGCTGCAGCGGATCATGTCTTCCGCACGGCCGCCAGCAGACGAAAATGGTGGAATGTCGAGCAGGATGAACAATGCAACCACGGCGGAAGCAGGGGCAGCGGACGAAAAGATCACCTCGTCTGCTCGTGCTCTCTCGGGGACGTCCCAAGAAAGAAAAAACGAACAAGAAACACCAGCTACATCTTCGCATGACCACTCGCAAGCGGATCATGAACGGCCGCAGAATGCAAATGCCGAAAAGGTCGTGGCAACCAGTACCATCACGAAGACTACCACCAACATGCTGCTGCCGGAACTACGTGGCGGTCGGCCTTCCACACCGTTTGCGGACGAAGAAAATGGAAACCACGATGAGGAGAAGCCCAAGGAAGCAGCTGATGGCGCATTAACTCTCCCGAAATCGGAGCAGTCGTCCAGACTACAGCAGGATGAAAGGCAAAAACCGAACGGAGTTGAAGATGGGGGAGCAAATGCAAAAGATGAGCTTTTACTGCTAAGTGACCACCCAAAACAAGTCGACGAAGTGATGAACAAGCAACAGCACGAAGAAGGAGCAGCAGAAGAGGATGCTGCTGCTGAAGAGACGAAGCCTCATTTTGAGAGCGATGCTGCACTTTCCACTTCGGAGAAGAACCGGCCTACAGGAGAACTACCGGCTGCAGCTCTTGTCGATCGTTCATCTTCTCCTGCTGTGAATCTATCCGCAAAAAAGAAACCATTCCCATCCCATTTGCCATGCAAAACGTACATAGAATCGAATTTAAAACTCTGTGTTTCTGATGCAAAAAAATAGATGGGCATTGTTTTTTTTTCTGTGGATAGAACCACGATGAAAGCGATATGGATCTGACCGACGCGCTGACTGAGCACGACGAGGAGGCTCTGCGGTTTGAAGAAGACCAGCAGTATCGAGTTGTAGACGAGCAACAAAAATCCTCCACTTCTAAAAGCGAAGCCCTTGCAGACCTGCCGGAAGTTAATGAAGAGAGCAAGGTCCCCGTGCTGGACGACAAGGTGAAAGGGCAAATCAAGCAGGACGAAGAAGAAGAACTTCGTCGTTATCAGCAGCTCCTCCCTGGAGAACCATCCGGGTCGCCAAAGACAGAGAAGGACCACGGTCATCATGCTTCCGCCGGACCCAAACACGATGAAGATGCACTCACGGATCGGGATCCATTGACGCAGACGCACGAAGCGGCGGCACAAGATGCTGATGCCGATCCCGCAAAAAGAAAAGCTGACTTCGATCTTCGTCTACTCAACACGAGCCAGAACAAGCAAAAAGAAGATCGGGAGCGCGTTCTTGACAGACATCCCATGTTCTTGCCCACCAAGGAAAAGGAGAAGAGCCCTCCAGCGCCAGCGGGCCTCGAAACTGATAGTAATGTAAAACAAGAGAACGATCCACCAGTCGTCTCGTCAGACAGCATTGCCTCCTCCAGAGTGAAGAACTACAACAAGACGGAAGGGGATAGCGTATTTTCCGGCGCGGTGAACCCCCAACATGTGGAGGACCAGAGCCGCCAGTCTTCGCCACGCAACAGCACGTTTGGGGGTTCGGTAGAAAACAACGAGACCAGCGGTCCGCCCGTGGAGATGATCGCGCAGCAAAAAAGGGGAGGAGCACACAGACGGGGTCCGCTGCCTAATTCTGCTGCTGACTCGGCCCTTGGCGGAGAGATATCATCGTTCGAGAAGGAGGACCACGACGGCCGGGCCCGGGCGGAACAAGAAAAAAAACAAATACCAAAAAACAGCACTAACGAAGCATTTTCAGTTGTTGTTCCTGTGATAAAAGCCCGCACGCAAGATGATGCTGAAACAAGAAACGCTACACGCCTGGCGTTGATCACAACCCCGGCGCCAGCGCCGCTCCTTGCTGCCGCGCAGGACCAACTACTTCTACCTGCTGGCGCTGCCGAAAATAACACGGGGAGAAACGCCTCAGACGGGACGTACAAGGACGTCGCCTCGGGCTTTCTGCAGTCGAGCACCAACCAAGGCACGGACTGGCTGGGCGGCTGGATGAGCGAACACGGCGCCATGAAGGAAAACTTTTGGGAACTGTGGAAAATGGTAAAACAAAAAGCATCTTCAGCTGCAATTTGGGGACCCGGATCTGGTGGCGCAACAACTCCTACTGCTCCTCCACCTCCTTCTGCGACCAATACAATTTTCCTCTTGGATTTAACGAAAACCGTGGGGGGCGGATTGAAATCAATGCTGCCGCAAAACGAAAACCAAAACATTATCGCTGAACTTGAGCTTGTGATTGATGAAGTTGTCTCAATGTTGCAGCTTGTACCACAGTGAAATAAGGGACACAGAAAAAAAATTAAAAATTCGGTTGCATTGGTCGTGGAGAAGCTCCGATCCTCCGCAGATTTAGGTCTAGGATTTACGAAACTGGTAGCCACCGGAGAGCCGACATCTCGGACGCCGAAGACCAGAACTCCTCCGAACCGGAGACACCTGGATGCTGCCGCCGAATCACCCGGCTCCGGAGCCGGAGATACCTCGACGAGAAGCCCTCGTCTATTGTTTTTGATTTTGTTTTCAGAAGTAGTAAGTAGTTGTTTTCAGAATATTCGACCGAAGTATGAAGTAAGTAGGTGTAGCTGTAGGAGGCTTAACTCTTTTGCTCGTACAAAACCATAACAATCTCTGCCCTAATCGCTCTATGCTCTGGAGCCGGCCAAGGGAAATCATTTGGGAAGGGAGAGCAGGGGAAGAGTCAATTGCTTCTGGTTCTTTTTTTTTTAAGTCGGTCGGGGGGGGCAATGGTTTCAGGGTAGGGTCAAGGGTTTTAGGGAGGCAGCTGGGGGGTGCAGGGTGTAACTCCGTGTTTTCCTGCGTTCCCCGGTGGCGTTTGCGTACCGCTACCAGAGCTCCGGCTCAGGTGGCGCAGGCAGGAAGGGCAAGAAGAGGAGTCTTGCTTAGGACCTGGCATTTCTATAGCGCCTGTTCTGACGCGAGGAAGGGTAAGCAGAGGCGGCTTACCTTGGACCTTGCGGCTCAGCGGAGGTTGATCGAAGCACTGCGGAGGCGGTAGTAGTGCATCGCTCTGAAGCCGGGGGGGATTGGGGGTCTCGGCTCACTTTCCCTCAGGCAACTCCCCAGGTCGCTTGGTTCACCACTAAAACGGGCGGCGTTTCTCGAGGTCTTGGTGGTGACCGGTTGAGACACCGATCGCCAGCTACTTACAAGCACGAATATAGATAGTACGATAGACAGTCGCTCGCTCGCCTGAAGAAGCGAGCACGCGATTGATTTTGTTTTCAGTAAGTATAATGAAATATTAGCTAAGCCTGCAGCTGCAGGCACAGTAGCTACTTGATTTACGCGCTACGTACGTAGCCACTTGTTGGCCCGACGTGTAAGCAAGTATTTTAGCACGGAATTGAGGGAGTCTGCTAGAGTCCTTCAGAGGTGTTCGGGCGCCATCGGCGAACGGTTCCCGCCACGCGATATGGACGGCATGCGGCCGAAGTCCGGCCTTGTTGCGCCATCTATGGCGCAACATGAGCACTCCGGTGCCCAGTGCTGGCGCCGTATTTGCCTCCGGACCTGGCGAATAAAGAGAAGAACGGATGACGTCTCGTCGAACTATCTGAACTGGCTTCCTTAATAGCTGCAGCCTAAATCAGTTACATGGTTCTTTTCGCTGGGTCTTTCACTTTCTTTCTTTCCATGCCTGGGCAAGGCATCAATTGTTCGAGGCCCTGAAACATCCGCTTTTCAATTCTCGGATCAGATCGCTCCTGTCAACATCAACGAACTGCGCGCCGGGTCTTTCGATACTTACTCAGTCTCGGCTGATCTAGTTGGAGCTAGTACATCACAAAAATGCAAACTGCTGCTCTTAAAAAGTGCAGCCTTCACTTCAAACATTTTTCGCCTAGTTATTTCAAATGCAGAATCAGAAAAGCCCAGAACAATAGCCGATCGCCGGCGGCACTGTGCGTCCCTACTTACCTGTAGTTGTCGCCCGACCCCGAGGTAGTTGATCGACACAACATCTGCGTCGTCATTCCCAACGAGAAACCCACGCCACGACTTCAGCATAAAAGAATTGCTGCTGAATGTTTACAAATTTTTCGGCTTTTTTCTGTGTGCCTTATTTCACTGTGGTAGCTTGATCTGAAGACTCATTTTGCGATCAGCACCGAGAGCGACAAGCGCACCGAGCAACGACTTCTTTACACTCCGCCTGTGGAGCTAATCGCTCATCCTCATGGCAAGACAGGACGAGTAAAATACGAAGTCAATTTCCTTGACACGACTGAAAAAGACGAGACCAAGTGGGAAGAAACAGGCCTCCAGCAGGTTTACCCAGAGTGGAAACTACAGAAACAGAAGGCTCTGATCGGGAATGCATTTTCAAACCCACGCGAGCGCTATTGGACATTCTTGGACTTCGACAGCCCCGGCGGGTTTGTCTGGACGGGTCCAAGTGGAGCGATGCGCAGCGGAATGGTCACATTTATAGTCCCTCCAAGACTCATCGGCACTGCTGGCAGGAGTATCGTAGAGCCTCATCCCGCGCTCGAATACAGGTGCTCTAACCGTCAACTCTGCGCGGAGCCGATCGAACAACGCGGCTTTTGCTTGCTTGAACTCTTGGCGCCACACTGGCAAGTAAGCAGTATGTTTCAGTTGGCACAACTACCACCTCGAGCTCCACTAAACCCGCCCTTGGGCGATGGCCAAGGCGCAGTGCAGCTGGAGTGGATCGTCTATGAATTCGTGCACAATCTTCTAAGGGGAGAGGAGCTAAATATCTCGCCGGCGGACAGTACTACTGTACGTCATGTGCCCAAGGCCAGCAGTCTGGGTAAATACGAGGGACGGCTGGCGTGGAGCGACCGCACTTGGCAAATCCTTTTCCCGGGCGAAGATTTTCAGCCAAGGAAGAAAGACCCGCAGGTGCAGTTGCATGCCGATCGAATAAGAACAATATTAAAAACAGCGCTACAATACTTGGCCTGCAGCATTGACGGACTCGAACTCGTGGACTGCCAGAAGAACAAGGTGCTGATCTATGACGTCAACGAGACGTATATGACAAATATCAGAACGTTCTGGCGCACGATCTCGGAGAGGAGGGGCGACGAATCAAGGGCGGAAAAGAAAAACCAAGAAGTTGCGGAGGGCGACGAACCAAGGGCGGAAAAGAAAAATCAAGAAGTTTATCTCCGCATAGTTGGGTCGCAGGCATTGCGAACTCCGTGGGACACGAATATGCACCATATAGTGGAGTTCCAATCTTCCGTCGACTACGAAAACGAAATGAATAACTGGGGTTTTCGGGCCGCCTATGGGGCATCCGGGCTTATAACTAACGAAGCACGGGGACCGCGAGAACAAATTTTGATGACCCAAAGGGTTCCGATGTCTCTCGGAGAGGTCATTGCGTTGATGATCGCATCGAAGTGGATTGGCTTCGGCAGCGGGGCGAACTACCAACTCGTATCCGAAAAAAGGACAACGATTGAAGGCTTTGTCAGGAGACCCTTCTCAGGTGTGAAGGAACAGCTGAAAAAGAATCAGAATGAGAACCCTCTCAATGTAAACGGAGTGCCAATCCGTCGCAGACAGCCACAGAACCAATTTAACTGCCAATCCCTGGCTTATTTCATATTAAATCTTCTCGCCCCGCCTGATCTATCCTCGACGTAGAGAACATATCTGTCCGATTGTGAATCGTTTCGGCTGCTGTCCCTGTCTTGCATGATGAAGTGTATTTTCTACTATCCAGCACGACGATAAACCTCCACCATTTCGTTTTCGGCGCTGCCAGTGCATGAAGAGTGGAATTTGCTTAAGATGATTTTCGTCTACTTCTTTCAATTTCACCATGCAACATCACATAAAACATCAAATCGAGCAGGCGGTGAAAATACATACTTGATCTCGACAAACAGACCGGTATCCCGCAGGAAATTATAGCCATCGCGCTGATGGCACTGGCTATGAGAGTATGCAGAAGATGATAAAAACAAGTGGCGCTGCAATGCACGAGCACCATTTGCAGATGTATAGTGCTCCTCTGCTGGCGGACATAAGTAGTCACGGACGAGATTCACACTCCGACACTTTTTCTTTCTGCGAGTATACCACAACTTTATTCCACCAGAAAGTGAAGATAGCGGTGTTTGGAAAAAAAGGAGGGACTATCGCACACAAGGAATTCATGCCATGCGCGGCACCGAGCCCTTTGATCCGCAGGGCGGCTCATCATGGGCGGCGGGTATCAATAGAACGAGAAGCGCTGGTGTAAAGAAAACCATCGGAAAAGTGAAAAATAGAATTAGAAATACGTTTTCTACACGTACTCGAAAAAGTAAAGGTAAAGGAAAACACGCTTCGCCGATGAAGAGGGGCCAGCCACTGGACCAGCGTCGCTCGACAAAAAGCAGCAGTTTCGTTGAGAAAAGCAAAGAACAAAATGAAACCACTAAGAACAAGTAGAAGAAGCTAGCAAGCGATATAATCATACATCATGATCGTATTTGAGTGATGTAGTGGTAGACGTTACGTGCGACGTATTTTATCATCAAAAAATAATAAGCCAAAAGATAAAGACTTTTTGATCGATGTGATGTGCTGCTGCGTTTTCAAAATGGATCGACCGCCACAGCGAAGTAGACGACAACACTCAAAGTGATACAACTGCCACTCGTTCTCTATCTCTGTCAGCCATTCAGATCTACTTTGAGTAACCTCCTAAGAAAGCACATTTAGCAGCTAGGGAAATATTCTTATGGTGTCCTGCTTCTTCGACGCAGGCGCAGCTTTGATTTTGTGTCTCCAGGAGCTGTTGACGTTCCAGTAGGTACTTTCGTTTGTGCTTGAGATGCGCCGTATCAACATCAAGCCCTCCTCTCCCTGCAAGAAGACAGAGAATCCGAAAAGAAGAAAACAGCTTTTCCCTGTAGTAAACAGGCTTTCTTAAGAAACTACTTTTGAGCTTTCGTACAACTTTCGAATCTCTTTCAGAGTCCCTTGGAGCAAGCAACTTCTCATCCAAAAGCAGTCGGCTGCACCCCACGTTTTCGTCAGCAATGGCAACTTTTAAGCTTTAATTTGATATTTACGCTTTTAACTTATCCTTTTTACAGCACCCGTTTTTCTTTTTTCAGGCGGAAGTGCAAAGTCACTCAGGCGCAAGTGCTTCTGACCCGGAAACCATGACCCGGAAGTTCATCACGCTTCCACTCATAAAATTACAAACAAAAATAACCAAAGATGAAGATTTAAAAATTAAATTCGTAGGCGGCAAATAATTTTAATCACCTTTATTCCCGATCTGGCATGATGAACATGTGCGCGCGCAGGTCAGGGGCCCAGTTTCTGGAACCAGTGAACCGGACGAGAGGGAGTCGCGTACTCCTGGATTTTTCACAAGTATGCAGATGAACTACTTATTAAAGATAAAGATAACAGATGTTCTTGAACTACTCGAAGCACGAACTGTTACTGTAGTATACTTATAAAGCTGTAGCCTCTTAATGTGTGTTGATCTTGATACTTCCGTAAATGAGCTGTAATGCAAATCAATGTATCCATCCCTTTCCCACCTGAAATAAAACTCGCGCTCGCACTCCCCTTGCGGCGCAGAAGCAAAAGAAACGCCTTCACTAGCCTCCAAAACAACAAAAAGCACTCAAAGTCAAAGCATCACATACTGCCAAGGATATAATTATTGCGTACGAGTGTCATTTCTTTCTTTTCGAAAGCAAAGGTTGTTATTGACAGCATTTTTCGCCAAAATGGTACATACTTACACATACGAGATTACAATTGCTAGCGAATTAGAAAAGCTTTGTCCTCCGAGCAGAAACGGATCACTTGAGTGAAAGCGTGAGTACAAGAAAAACAAACTCACTGTAGGCCATTATTCAAATTGCCTTGACGTTTTTGTGTTCGACTTCGACGGTCGTGGTAGGGGTAGCTGTTGTATGCCAGCCAGGCATCTCCTTTTGACATTTTGACTTTCGATATTGGTGCATTCCTTGGCCGAGCAGCGCTCAAACCGGCAAGCACAGGACGCGATCACGATCTCTGATATTTTTACATGATAGGTTTCAGTTTGAACAAACTGCTCAGTAGAATCTAGCCTCCGCTCGAGAAGTCGACCGATCAACAAACTGTTTGTTGATCGGTCGACTTCTCGAGCGGGGGCTAGATCATTCTAGGTGTGGCTGCTGGATGATGTGACGCAAGAAGTGCAGCAGCAGCTATTCCCTTGATCGGACTCGAATTCGAACCGAAGCTATCATGACGATTGCACGCTTCTAGATTTCCTGCCTCGATCTGAAGCTGCGTCCGCACGACTTTTCACGTCCAGTCCTGAGCTTTTGACTGTCTCTTTCTTGCGATGCTATAAGTATAAAAAATCTTGTTCTTGCTGTTACTAGTTAACACAGTCTTAATTCATAATATGCCGTTTACATCGTGCTCGAGTGCAAGAGCAAGTCGTGAGCGTGACAGAGAAGTCGACGAAGCAAAGATGAATTGCAGAGCGCTGGTGAGTAGAGTAGATGTTAATACTGTCGGCGCCGGCAACATTTTGATTTTGTGTGTCGGTCTGTATACATTGGTGTCTGTTGTTCTTGAAGATAAACATCCTGCTCGAGACAGCGGATAAATATTAGAGAATATTAAGAATTGTTACGTCGCTAGGTGAGCGCGACACGAAACGAGTACGAGCGAAGCAGAGACATTGACACACACGATACTCAGCAATTACTTCGTTACTACTAGTACACGCATCTGCAACAGACATACCATCGGACCGCAGTGCGTCCGTAGTACTCGCAGTTTCGAAATTATCCACCACAAGGTTGTATCCATTGCAAATATCCTCGTGTCGACCGGGTCTGGAAATAATTTATGACGCTGACTGGTGATCGCCGAGCACACTCTTCATTCTTGCGTGGACCCAAGGAGCATGACACATTTTCAGGACGCTTTCTCATTCTCATGATCGCGCATGATATCGACAGATTGCGTCTGCGCAGGGCACAACAGCTGTCCCGGTTTTGTTGGTCATACATCAAATTATTTGCATGCAATAAAAACACGAGTCAATACGTTTTTGTTTGCAAGAATTATCATGCGAGACAAACTAACAGTACATGCACGGGTCGTCGCACTTTTCGTCCAGACCCTGGCAAGAAAAAGAATATATTTGCAGTTGATAAATAAAAGAACGAAGACGAAGAGAGACATCAAAGTCAAGGGGCAGCAGGAGCACCAGGAGTCGCCCACAAGAGCCAGTGTGTTTGGCACCTGTTGCAGAAGCAGAAGAAGCGAAAGTGTAAGTGAGCACTTGCATCCGGAAAGACAGCTGCGTCTCGTGTTCGCGTTCTGTTGCTGCACTTTCAGAGCTTCGGGCCGCCTCGATCTTCTTTACGACCTTCGTCGCGGAAAACAGTGCACAACTGTGGTCCGTTGTCTGCTGCTGGTGCTGCAACTACGAACGGCAATTACTATTTCAAGCAGAAGCACGCCGGCACTTCTGCACCAGCATCTTCAATAACTACATCTCCTGCATCATCAAAGACCACGACCGGAAAAATAGTTAAAAGAACATCATGGCGACCTCTTCATCGTCGACACATCTGCAGCCACATCATGGCTCGGCCCATAACTCCCACGCCACGTCGTCCTCAATGTCGATACGCAATGCAAATATGTTGTTCATCTGTGCGGAAAAACATCAAGTGGAAGAGCGTCGAACAAGTCTCAACCAAGAACATTATGTTCCCCGTGTAGATGTATGTATTTAGCGCTTTCTTGATGTTTTTCTCCTTTGTCTGTGCTAGCTATAATTGGTATTTCCCCCTCCTCGTCGTTTTTGGCCAGCACCGTGTGTATGAAGACATAGCTGCAATGCATAATCGACCAACACCGACGAAAAGTTTCAGCGCCTTCTTCGCCGCATGGAGCACTGCGCTAAAGCACGAGAGGCAAGCACGCGAGTCCTCTCCCTACGGTTTGCGGAAAGAGACGTGGTCAGAAGCAGCTTGCAGCGGGAGAGCATGGTTTTTTTTTTTGTGAGTGCAGTTCCTTTTGATGCAGCTTTATAGCTGGCATGTACTAGTTCTTTTAGGCAGCTCATCATATACAACGTAGGCCTTCAATATTCTTCTGAGCCTCCTTTGGCCACTTCTACGTGATCGTGGTGACGTGCATAGTATGTACAAACTAGTACACCGACAATCAACAAAATCCGTCGCGCACGTTTCTAGATGCTTACGTCTGCGAGATAGCAGGACGACTTGTGCGGCAATTCAATGCCAATTCAGTGCCCCCGGCACTTTGCTGAAAGACAACTTTCTGCAATCCAAGAAAACCATTTCTGATTCATTCTTGATTTGTTTCGCGTCGCTATCCAGGAGAACTCTGTAGTTAGTCTAGCTTTCTACTAGGACGACCGACATCGTATACTTACAAGCTCGCATTGCATCACGGAGAAAATATGAATGTGCCCTCCATTAATAGCAGCTATAGGCACAAGTACTGCAACTAGAAATCGCCAAGCCGACAAGATGGGCGTGGCGCAACTACTGTGTCTGTGATTATCTCGCATATTGTCTACCATGCTGATGCGTTTACTCACTACATTTTTTTGCCTGTCTTGCATGGTCACCCCTACTAAAGCCAAACCCTAAACCACGGAGTTTTTTTCTTGGATACGCGACAGGCTGCGAAGGATGCGTATCACGAGGCCGACAAACAGTATGAAAAAAGTCGCTCAGTCTAATATATAAAGTTTGCAAGAATTCATTGTGCGGGGTACAACGAAAGTTGTAAAGTAGACTTGAAGCACTTAAATGATGAGACGAAATTATTTGTATTTTTCTTTTCCGACACAGAATGGACAACTAGACTACAGCTGCAATCGAGCATCTGGAGGTGACCGAGATAGCAACCAATCGATATTAGTACTGGCATTGCAATAAAAATAGTTCCGCTCCTGCGCATGGCATGTATTTACTTAAATTTTTTGTCAACAGAGGTAACAGATAACTTCATTGATGACAGTTTGATTGTCCACTCGGCCAACGACAACGTCTCCAGAGCAAACTTTCTGCAGACTTTTGAGACTGCTTATTGTCCCTGTTGGATAAGTAGCGGAGTGAGCGTTGGAATATGCCAGACAAAGCCAAAAGCATTGCACTCGTAAACATAATTGCATGCCTTTGCGTTTGCCTGGCCGATTTAGCACCAGCACGATTAATCCAGTTCCAGCATAATATTGCAGATGACGCCGACTGCGCGTGCTGGTTGACCAGTGTACTTACTTACTCTGGGATGCGCACCATATTGCTTGTTGTATCAGTACTACCGAGGATGAAGTAACCAAACTCAGTTGATACAGTGCCTTGACATTTCAATAGGAAAAGCGCTCCCAAATAAAGTAATATTGCGTCGTTTGTCTTTGTTGCTCCTGCGAATATAATATGAATGCAGTCTTGAAGGCTTTTGGTTTTGCGTTGCATAGCGAAGCAGAAGTTACAGAAGTCGCCCTACTTAAACGACTTATCCGCAGAGTACGAGATGCTGACCGAGGAGCAAAAAATCAGAGATCGATAAGACTTGGTGAAAACGGTTCCCACTACCGTAAAACCAGAACATGAAATGGGAAAGGAAATAAATGACCATGCATGGGCTTGAGCACTCTTCAATATATCAAGGAATGAATCTGGCGGCACTTTATCTACTTCTCATTGATTGATGTTGCTTCTGGATGCGAGAGGCGGGGCAGCTCCTGTCAAGGTCGGACTGTTGCAACAAGAGCGCAGCTGGATCGACAAGTCACATTCGAAGATGACAATGACAAATGGCATGCATATAATCCACAAACTTTTAGATACATCACATCTAACAAACTGCTTTTGATGCTGGTGATGTTTGTTATACCGATGAAAAATGTATAGATGCACACCCTGGATTGCAAAGAAACACGGATTGCCCGCTCTTATCAGTGGAAAGGTAATTATTAGTATAGCTCTTTTGGGGCTGGGAGCAACAGTTTTCACCATGATAGCGGAATCGAGAAAAAGAAGCAGTATCTCATGAAGAAAAGGCAACAGGATGCAGAGACAGCGGTACTCTCTTATCAATCGTACGAATTTTGAAATCTTGTCATAGATTTCGATGTCCTCTCATCCAGTCTTGTTGCCGTACTTCAGTTTGTGGTTGAGTTAGTTTGGAAAAAACAAAAAGGAAGGAGAAAGAAATACTTATAGAAAAAACAACTCCCAGGTGATCCAGCGCATGCTCAACGATAAGGATGAGCTCGAGGCTATCCTGTGGAAAATTCTACGTGCCCGCCCCGCTTCCCGAGAAACATCAAAATGCGCGGTAAAAAACCGTCCCATAAGACGTATTTCTGACAGTCGTGATAAGCTGTGCTGTGAAGGTGGAATAACTTCTACTAGTAACTTTAAGGCACTATGAAAATGAACCCGAATAATCAACTGGCTGCCGTGCGCCTCTTGTAGTTGCGCTTGCAATCATGTTGGTAAATGGCATTCTGAAATACGCACCTTGTGCTCGTTTTTTGTCATGTACAAAAATTAAAAATAAACACGAAGACGAAAAGAATTCAGAGAAACAACTTCTTAGTTTATTGGGGCTGCAGCACCTAGGTACATCGAGCATGGAATCTCAATCTTGTTGACCTCGGGGAGGCGTTTTTTTTTCCGCAGGATAGCTGACCTCCGAAAAGACTACCAAAGCAGAGAAATCTTGGGAGAAGTCAATAAAGCAGTCATCCCAGGCTCTTTGGTCAAGCAAGTTGCTCGTCCTCTCGTAGCTAAGAGCAACTTGCTGGGAATAATTCATCCACCTCTTGTCAAACAAGCTGTGACTCGGGTCCATTGGATTTCACACCGACACGCAGGCGCATCAATGATCCGTCTCTGTTTCTTTCGAGCAGAAGGCAGACAGGCACAGGAATCTAGCAAAGGCGCGCTACTTTTTTTTCTCAGCATGGTCATGGAGTTAGGAATTGATGTTGGCTCCGTCCTCGGCCAAGAAGCTGTAGTACGTCTGTCATGACTTTGACTTGTCTCGAGATTTGTTTGGCTGGATAGGCAGAAGAGGTATCTCATACAACGGGAGAAGGAGCTGCAATCCGTCCGCGGTATCATGTGCGACAAATTGATTATCCCATCTTCGTCATGAAGAAGATCTCCCTTTTTTTCATCTTCGTCAACATGATCTCGCTTTTTTATTTTTCTACTCCCCCGACCTCACCTGTAAAGGTCGTGGCGGTGGTCCAGCAAGAAGTCCAGGAGCTACCTGCAGTAAAAGTTTAAGGCTCCGAAGGCCGCGCTGCTGCAATGGATACTTATCTTGCAGGTTCCAGTGGGCATATAATAGATACTTTTATAACTAAACGAGGCGAACCAATCGTAGCTGTCGCACATGATACCTGATTTGGAAAAGACCAAGGCCAAGTGCGCCCGGGTGGACGCGGAGCGAAGACACGTGCTACTCGACAGGGAGCTTATGGGAATGCAACACGTCGAGTCAAGCTCAAGCTCAAGATCAAGAAGGTCATGCTGGAAGTGGTCTTGAATTGCAATAATTGGGATTAAAATGCATGACAAAGCTCCTGTGGAGAACTACAAGCCTAGCTTCTTGCTTAGTAAAGTAAAGTTGTTGACGTTCATCAGGGCGGAGGATCATGGACGTAGGAGGTCGTGGACGTCAAAGTCATTAGTTCCGCACTCATCTACTCCACCATACATGGGACGCGAAGCAGGCATCACACATGTTGAAATAAAATCTCCAGATATGAATAGAAATAGCGAAGAATCTGAATCCAAAACCAAATCCATAAATCTTCCGCATGACACGACGTTTGTCCTGGATACAACACGCGCTGCTGCAGCAGCGGCTAAAGGAAAAGCCCGCGGGTCATTTCCACGCCAGCCTATCAATGTGACACTACATGGTCATCTCGTCGCTCTCCCTTGTCTGTAATCCCTCCCGTGTGTTAAGAAACTGTCGAAACTGAGGTGGAAAATGTTGACGGACGATTAAAAAGTGTGTACCTGTGATGTCGTCAACAGCGGCGTCATGGTTTTTGTTTTTGTGCGAAACCACACCGGGTTGCAAGGTTTTTGCCTTTGTTCTGGTGCTGGTCCCATATGTCCTGCTTTTGTCCTCGTGGAGAAAGAGAATGACGGACTGAAGATGTCGTCGAATGCATGATGCGTAGTACTTGTTAGCTCTGCAGCACCACACGCCAGGGTTGATAGAGTCTAAAAGTAAAAGGGACGAGCAGGAGAAGATGTTGTCACACGGCATAAAAGACTTCGACGAAGCAGGCCCTAATGGACTTGCAGGAAGGCTAATAGCTCCGGTGGCTGCGCACGGAGAAGGAGCAGGGGAGCACAAAGTGCAAGGCCGGACAAGGGCTGAAGAATGAGGCACCAGCGCAAGTTGCCCCCTGTAGTCTATTCTATGCAAGCTGTGTCGGGGTGAATAAACATTTTCATTCTCTTTTCTATATCTATTTTTTTGAGTCAGTTTAAGATCTAGTATCCCGGTGTTGACAAGGGTAGAAGTGTGACTACGCACAATTTCAAAAAGAATACTCCAAGAAAAACTTCAAGAGACTCGTGAACTCTATCACTATCGTGAAAGAACACCCTGGAAAAAATCTGCCTTGTTCTCCCGCCGCGCCCTTGTCCGCAGGCAAAAGGCCTGTAGCCTGTGGCGGTGCGCCGGTTATTTATCCATGAGATTACAAATCCGCTGTTCTCTACTTTTTCCGACCCGCCGGCCGCGGGAGCGGAGCGCCCGCCCGTCGAATCTAGAGTCCAGATTGGTGGACCATGTTGTTGACAACGAGAACGACAACGACATCGAGAAGAGAGCGACTTATAAATCTCAGAGAGAGCCAGTTGGAGTTGGAAAAGGCAAAATAGTTGTACCCCATAAACTTGGTGCATAGGAGGGGACATCTCGTTCTTGGAAGATGAGTCTGAATTTCAGGACACGATGCACCACGTTGAACACGAAGTGACAGTGAGCCAAGAAGAATGTTAATTAATAGTGAAGGGAGGGTTGATGTTACCACATGAAGCAAACAAGGAAATTTGATTATACATACATTTACATTCATACCTTTACAGCATTCGCTTGCGTCACTGCTTCAACCGCTCATGGAAATGAAGTACGTCGACAAAAAACTTGCGTTGAGCCACATTTACACTATCACTTGAGAGTGAGTACTTGCTCTACAACTTGTTGCTTCTACGACATGGAAATAATCGCTCCTGACGAGAAGGACATATTCCATCCTTATTGCGCCAAGTACGTACATCGTGAGCAGAACCGGTTCCAGGCTAGGACCCAGGAGCATAGAATGTAGTTCCTCGCGAAAGCTGTTGTTGACCTCCTTGATGCACGACCATGATGACCATCTACTACGGTTAACTGTTGCTGCACCGGGCTCCTAATACTCTCGAGCTCTCCATCTTCTGCTTGTGTTTTTTTTCCGCACCCAGAAATGTAAATCGTCCCGAACGAAAGAAACAAGCGTGCGAGGCCCATCTGTCGCCACGGGACCAAAGCGAAACGGAAACAAATCAAGCAAGCACGGCGTCCTTCATCTTCCGTTCTTCCAATTTGATGTGCGCGGTCGTGCAGCTGTTGGTTCATTTGAAGAATACGAATAGCAGTTGGACCCATTACGGCAAGACCGCGCAGCAGCACAGGATCGAGGGTCACGATGAGAGGCTCCTTTCTGACCGACTTTGCCCGTCGTCGAGGACGCTATCCATGAAAAAACACCCATCCCCATGATCCATTTTGTATATGAGAAAACACTTCTAGACTTTATGCATGATGTTGTGCAATACAAATTGGATCGGGATGGGTGTTTTTTCCTGGATAGACGCACGAATAAAGCTACAAACGACCAGTAACTCGAGTCGCGAGTTTTTTACTTGAAGTCGTCTCTCACTCTGTTGCTGCTCGTGCTCGCCTTCTAAGAAACATTGGAAACCGGGTGCGTTGTGGTCGCCAGCAGTGCCAGTGGTCTCGAATTGATAGAACGAAACCCAAACCGAAACACGCCTTGTCTCGTTGCGTGAAGTGGACACTTCGGGGCGTAACAGTGCAGGAGACGCGCAACGGGACGTGTCGATTTAGTTCATCAACAGGGAATAAAGTGCTCTTTTCCCGTCGCACTGGCTACGTCGGACGACAGAGGAGCGCGTGGCTTCGTCTTGCTCCTTCAGAGGTCGGCGGAGCACTACAAACATCACCGTGTGTTGTACCACAAGAAGAGCTGACGTGAAACCCAATTCGAATTTTTCCCTCGTGCACCCTAGTACAGCGGAGTTTTCTTAAACCGAACCCTGGCGAGCTTTGATCACGCAAAAAGAACACGCAGCACATGTTGATGTTCAAGAAGTAGTAGAAGGCGAAGCAATACTGCGCGAGCCGCGTGCTGAGTACGAGAAAGAAAAATCAGTAGAATCAGACAGAGAAGAAAGTGGAAACAAACTTTCTAGTGCGACTGAAGATCACCTGCACGACCTTGGTCCTCTAGAAGAACTTACAACGAACTACACTGAGTGCGGACTACAGCGAGCTGGTTCAGCTGCAGTTGGGCCGCTTGCTGGCTACTTGAGTACAGCAGGCCCCCAGCAGCACACCCACAATTTATCGATAACGTAGTCTTCTGCAAACGAAAGACGAGCACAGGAAGAGCAAGCGCATCCGAATACCAGAGGCCGTCTCTGCGCCAGTGTAGTGGTCCTCACTACGCAACTGCAACAGCAGGGCCTCCATAGCCTCCACGTCGAAAGAACAAGTAGGTGGACGTCGAAAGCGCGGCGCTAGTACAACAACATCAACAAGTATCGTACGAAAAAACTGTTTCACTGTAAGGATTTTGCAAGTTTTGCATCAAAAATTTGTTCTGCATGACAGAGAAAATTTGCCACGCGAGATCTCCAAGGGAAAACACCGCCAAAATTCCATTGTCTTGCATGTGTAACACGACAAACACTTCTGAGATACATTTTCTGCATTAGAAGTTTACAGTGAAACAGTTTTTTCTTGCGATAACAAGATGCCGGTCCTCACGCAGCAGGATATCGACGAGTTTCTCTCGACCACCGTCTACGGCCTGCTATGCATTGCAAACATGTCTGGGTCTGGAAATTTTCGAACCTGTGATGCTAATTGTTGAGTTCACAACACAAAAATTATTTCTCATGCATACTAGGCAGCAAGAACAGTCATGCGAAAACAGCATGACAATCTTCCAGACCGCCCAGACATATTTGCATTTGATACCTGCTGAAGAATGACAAAACGGTCACGCCGCAGTTCATTCAACGCCAGAAGGAGCTTTGCAACCTGCTGCAGCAAGACAGGCATTTGATCACCATCAAGAGCTCGAAAACCAAGGTATAGTCTTTTATGGAATTGTCGTGTGAACTTTATTTCTTGAGAGCGGGTTGTAGCTGGAGCTGCGTTTCCTTTTTCTGCGAACTTGATCGCGGATCTCATAGGGACTGACGAGTTTGGTTGCCCAGCGGCAGAGAATCCGCAAAAATGTTTACAAACGTCAGATGTCTCTCCTGCATGCGGCGGCGTCTAACAATGCTCTGCTCCTAGGGAAAACTCTCGTCGACCACGTCAACGGGATAATACTGGGCTATGACCCTTTTGTTATCCACCGGAAAGTAGAGAGTGTCGCGTTCTTGTTCCCCTGGCAACCTTAACCCGTCAGCCCCCGTTGTTTCATCTGACCAAGAAGGCAAAAAAAAAAAATTTTGATAGTAATATGGGAATGGGGACACCAGTTTCATATCTTTATCGTTTACGTCTACTGCACGACCAGCGTCACTGCTTTTCGAATGCATATCGGATCCAGACCAGCAAAAGCGAGAAAAAGAAGAGATGGACATCCGAGAGCAGCGGCGGGCCCTCGAAAAAGAGGAGCTATGATTTGCAAAATCATCTTCACGTCGCTCACCCCTGATCTGTTGTAATATTTAACTTAGTTACAGTAAGTGAATGGAAATACTAGAATTGTAATTGTTTTGTTTTTGTTTACTGACTTGCAACACAATCAAACTGGCACGCGTGATGGCGACGAAAAAAGCGATAATCTTTTTGCATTGCATAGCAAGAAGAGAAATTCCAGAAACAGGAGAACCGGAGGCGAAAGTCCGTGGCCAACAATCCGAACGCGCTGGCCAACCTGCGACCCTCGGAGATGGTCGTGGTGCGCTCGAAGGAAAACTGGGACCCGCGAGGCGACGACTTCGTCGATCTAATCGAGTCCGAAGACCTCTCCAAAATGACGCCCCTCATGTACGCCGCCTTCGAAGGGTGCGAGAAAGAAAAAACCTCCCTCACCTTTTCAGTCTCTTCTCTGCTTCAGTGATTTTTGAAATTTCTTACAAAGAACAATGGTTAAAGCTGCACCAGCACGGACGAAAGCAACTTCAGTTTTATCAAGGATGTGGAGCTTCTTTGCTTCGGCAAGAGCAACTGCTTGAGGGCTTCTTTGTAAGGTTTCAGGTGCTAATGTTGCTTCTAAGAAGCGTGTGAGTTGTAACGCCCGGCTTTGAAAAATTACGATACGTACGAATAGAGGGTTGACGAAGGACTTCTGAGACTGATTTGTGATCCATCGTGATTTTTCCCCTGCATAAAAGAAATTTGCCGTTCATAGACCTGCTCTGCGATAACGGAGCGGTATGAGAATGCACAACTACCTCCCCTCCTCTTCATTGATTTGTGAGACAGTGTGCCAATGAATGAATCCAGCCCACACCACTTTTTAGCAGTTTTAGCATGACAAGTGCTGGAGGCGAAATCAAAGAACAGCAGCAGCACTACACTACTCCGCAGCACGGGTTCTTTTTCATTTTCGTGCAGTAGGTGCATATATTAATTTTGCCTTTGCTTCTATCTATTTCTATTGCTGGAGCTGCAGACCCCAGCCAAATTGACAAGGAGGAGGTGCTGGGGCTGTGCACTCCCACAAGCGGATCTGCTGGCACAGGACGAGCTCGGACAAACGCCACTGCATTGGGCAGTGCAAGGTAGAATCAACTGGCATACTAGAACTAGTTCATTCTTGTTTAGGTGGATCACGAGAATACGATTTCTACTTGTATGTGCCACAACGACAACGAAGAATTTTTTTCGTTGTGAAGACTGACACAAGAAGAACTGAATCGTACCAAAATCAGGTGGCGAGCACAGTGCGATCCAGCTTCTGCTCCAGTGGGAGAGAGGCGCTATTCCGGCAAAAATACGACTACGAGTCAACATCGCAGATTAAGATTTTCCGATTTGCATTTGAATTCGATGAAATGGTACTGAATAGGGACACATAGCACTTGTTTGTGAACGCATGTTGTAGAGGTGGTCCATGGTTGCAGAATGAAGAAGAAGTAGTCGAAGTGTGATATCCCGCCCAAATAAAACACAAACCAAAGAACGCCAGTTGAACTTACGCTTACCCAAACCTTATTCAACCCTGAAGAAACATACTGAACTGATAGCGCAACCCCCGCCATACGAGATCTAAATCTTGCCTCGTGGGCGCTTTTCTCCGGCACACCTGCACAAGCCCTGTGTCTTTCGGACCGCCTGGGGCAGACGCCCACGGACATTGCCCGGACGTACGACCGACGATTTTGGCACATACGAAACCACAAGAGTTTGCTGGAAGTCCTGGCCAAGGAATACACCACGATTAAAATTCCGACAGTGGGTATTGAATTTTGACATCTCGTTTTCATATGTGGAACTTTTTCGATTTTGCCGCAGATGATCCTCAACTGTAAGTAATTCAAGTTTGATGCCTCAATCGTCTTCATCAAGATGAAAGACTTCTATTTAGAAGCCGCAGGGTCAACAAGTAGAAGTACAGGTGGGGAAAAGATTAAAAAAAAAAAGAATGACGCTTTTCTTCTCAGGTTACTTGCATCGGCAGGAGTTGAAGGGCAGATTTCTCTCCAGATTCGGCGAATGGAATATCCAAGCGAAATGTTGAGTTGCCTTCGTCCAGCAATTTTCTCATCTTCATGGAGAAGGTGCCATTTCTCAATGCAATAAAGTCACACTCACGCGGCCTTTTTTCTGCAGCTGTGTTAATATGACATCCGCGTTGTATCTATGCATTTTATTCTGCGACGCAGGCAGTCGCGTCGTGATCATAAGTATCACCATGCACCTGAATTTCAAATTATTGGATTTGCAACACAATTTCCGTTTCGTGTGGATATTTCAAAGAAGAATAGGCGACATCAAACTTGCCAGCAGTATTCCCAGTCGGTCGCCACCAAGAACGGAATTTCGCGATATAGGCGGCGGGTGGATACCATAAAGTGACGCGTCGTCCTTTTTTTCAAGAAGTTCCCAAAGCAAAGAGATGAAGGCTACATTATACAACTCGAGATGTCTCTTTGGCGTTGGCCCCAAAAAATCGTGAATCCGAGAAGTATAAATGATTGTTGGGACGAACGCACTTACCACGACCGCAAACGCGACTGCGCCGAACGCAAAAAATTATCGCAAGAGCATTTCCAGACCGTGCAGGTGCGCCGATCATTCCATTTTCAAAATCCTGGCTGCAATAGCCATCGCGTTTTTACCGTTGGTTCTTCTGCTTCCTACATCTAAAATTCATGTTGGTTCTACTTATCGATATCGTCGTCTCGTCCTTGACCTTGTCTCAACGAAGATTTTTGTGCCGGGTTTTGCACAACCGGAAAAGCCAACGAACGTCGCAATAATTGTTTTTGACTCTCACAACAGTTTTGTTTATCTCTGCATTGAACATCGTTGTCGTTCTTCGTCCAGTCTCTTCATATTAAGACAGCAAGTGACGTTCACGTTCTCGTTGTCGTACTGTGTGTTTGTTTTTACTTGCCTCGTCTCAACTCGTCCTTTTCATCGTTTTCCAGAACGATTATTCGTCTGGCGGCTGGATTCGTACACATCAGCACAGCACGCAGGCCTCTCCAAGCGTACGGGATAAGTGCCGGACTGCGACAAGTAGGAGCAGGACGTTTCATCCACAGGAGGATGAAGTGTTGTTTTATGTAAAAATCATGTTTAGACGAGGTTATTCTCATTCAAGAACTTAAAAAGTACTTCATTCATAGCAACCTCGTGTCATCTCCTTCGTCTTTTTATTTCGACCATACATTGTCGAGCAATAAGAATAACCTTTCAGATGGACCTCCACATCAGACGAACTAGAACTAGAGCCCATGCTGCCTCGTGCTGTGACATTGTCGCGTGTGGTGCCAGTGGAAGAGAAATAGAAGAATTGATACTTACTACTTATTGAACCGACCTTCAACTTCCATTTCGCACATAAGAAAAAGAGTACATCATAGCACGAACAACATGCAGATGCTCCAGCAGATTTTTCGGCAACAGGATCATGCTGGCAGTTCCCCGACGGCCTCCGCGACCGTCGTGCAGCAGCAGCAGCAATCCCGCGGGAGGACGCGCCACCGTGCGGGCGATGCGACAGAAACTACACATCAAACACAGCCAGACCTGCTGCAGAACACGACCGTTATCATATCCTCGGGTCGGCCCGCGAACGTTCCGCCCATCAACTTTGGCGAAACAACGAATGTTAGTAGCGGCGCAACAGGTTCGGTATCAAAAGGTGACCATGCAGTACTGCATCACCAGAACAATAACCCTACTAACAGTGAGGACGAGCTGGACAGTTTCGTGCAACTGACGCCACCCGGGGGTGATTTTGGCGGCACGCACTACGAGAAGATTACAACGACGAGTTCTTACGTCCCGGCCGGCGCCGGTTCGTCCACGACCTTGTCCAACACCCCGCCGTTTCCGGGCGCCGCGCCGCTGACGTTCGGGTCGGTGCTAAAATCCTCCTCGAACGAAATCAACGCACAAGTCACGCCAACGAGTAACGGGAGCAGCAGCGTGGCAGCTTATTATACTGGAGCGGGGAGTGTGCCAGCAGGAGGTGGTGGTGGTGCACCTGGTACGTCTAGTAACGTCGCAATGAAGGACTACTACAACGGTAGTAGCGCAACCTCAACGCCGACGAATGCAAGGACGGTAAAGCAGGACCACGTGATCATCAGCAAGTCCATCCGCACTGTGTCGCTGTCCCCGCAAAACCGCGGGCCTTCGATCGTCAACAGGACGACCCCCTTGCACGTGATGAACAACTCGACTTCAGTGAGTGGGCTGAGCAACAACGCTGGCCAAATCCTTCCCCTCCAGCAGCAAGACCCGGGCTTTTTCCACCCGCGGCGCGCGAACGCGTTTGCGCAGGAGGCGGTCGAGCGACTGCGGTCGGCCTCGCTAGAACAGAACAGAAAGTGGATGCCGCCAACAGTGCCGGCAGCCGTTTCACGAACAGGGGACGGGAGGCTGATGGTGAATAGCAGTCTCGCGACGCCCATCATGCCGATAACAGGTCCGGCTGGAGGGAAGATAAAATCCGTGAGCTTTCTGCGAGTGGGAGGCGAGCAGCAAGTTGTAGAGGCCGTTGCACAGCAGGAACCGATGGCGATGGCCGGAGCGGCGGGTGCCGGCGCACCGGTCACGCGGAGCAACATTAAAGGTGCACCAGCAGCGGGGAAAAATAGCAATATGTTGAGAGTCGCGCCAGTATCTCCTGAGGGGGAACAGCAGGGCCCTCTGATTATTTCTTCTGGGGAAGAGCCGCAACAGCCGGAGCTAGACTTACAACGAGCGGCGCGCGCCGCACCGGGAGGTACTACTGTTGGTGCACAACATATGAAACAGCAACCTCTAGCCGGGCGCGTGCCCAGCCCAATGCTGGTGCGACGGGGGAATCATGTGAGCCCGACCGAGCTGGAACAAGCGCACAACACGCAATACATGATGCAGCAGAAAATCACGCAGCCAGGACTCGTCGCTGTAGGTGCTTCATCTTCTACGAGTGCTCCCGCTCCCTCGCAGGACTTGTACCAGCAACACGCGGAGTTCATGAAGATGAAAGCAGACACTGCAACAGCAGCTGCCGGCTCAGCGCTGAGGCAAAACTACTACTCGGGAGCTCCTACGGGCGGGGCAGCTGTTCCATCCAGTAAAATAAATGCGGCTCCTTCTAGCTCTACTGTTGGTGGTACACGGGTGGAGAATAATAAAGAAACTTTCGAAGTTGTAGACCAACAGCTGCTGCGGCAGGAGAAGCTTATGCAAGAAAAGGTGAAGCACCAAGTGAACAACTATTCCCGCACGACAGAAGTAGTGGAAGCCCAATTGCGAGAGGAGAGCCTCTTGCTGCAAAAGCAGAAAGAGCAGTACTTGAGCCAACTGGAGCTGGAACTGAAAAATCGAGAATCGGACGTGAAACTATTGCAAACGAGATTGCAGGAACAGGAGATCGAAAAGCAGAAGCTGCAGCAGAACGCACAAAAGGAAATGGAGAACCTGGAGCGGGAAGTTCAGCAAATGAACAAAGTGCTAGCGATGCAGAAAATGAACACGACTGCTGCTGCTGTTGATGAACGCGAAAGAAACGTCGAAAAGGAACTTCGTCAGCAGGAGACCACTGCTCTCGAACAGCAGGAGCAGGCTTTGAAAGCCGATTTCGACAAGTCGTTGAAGGAAAGGCTCCAGGAACAGAAAAAGCAGTTGGAGCAAGCCTTTTTTATGGAGCTGAACAACAACGAGCAGGCGTCTCTGGCGGTCCGGAAGGATTTTGAGCGACAATTTCTGGAACTGGCCCGGAAGATCGAGGACTTGGAGCAGAAAGAGCAGAAACAGAAGCAACTCGCGGAGGACTACGAGGAGGAGGTGACGCGGCGGCAAATTGAGCTGGAGAAGGCCTACAAAAACGTGGATCTCGCCAACCAGATGTACCTCTCCCAGAAGGAGACGGCGGACCAGTTGGGGGAGCAACTGGCCCGGCAGAAGAAGCAGCTCGAGGTGGAAAAGCAACTGCACGCGAAGCAGCTGCAGCAGCTGGAAGAGAAAAGAAAGGAGGACTTTTCTTCGGATGTACAAGAGAAGGAGGCGTATTTGCAACAGAAAGAACAGGAGCTGCAGGACAGCAAGGACATGTTCGAGCAACTGGTGGAGAAGGTGTCTTATCGTTTGTAAAAACGTCCCCACCCCAGAGTTGTCATGCAAATTTGCATGCCAAAGAGGTTTCTCATGCGGAGCCCCATGAGGAGCATTTTCTAATCGCGTTTGGGAATTTGTGATGCTAAAAACAGCATGATATGCCAGATCTGTGATGCTGCTGAAGTAGCTAAACAGGATGACACTGCGATGCCAAACTTGTCATGCGAAACAAACAAAGCTGGTTGATTTGTCTAGCAGACTTCCCATCTTGTTGACTCTGGTATGGGAACGCTTTTCCACAGGATATGTCTGAGGAGAGATTCGCGAAGGAGAAGCAGCGCCTCGTCACGGAAATCGAACACCTGGTATCAAAAGGAAAAATCCCCGCTCCCCATATCGAAAAGGCATCCTTTTGAAAATTTGTGATGCTGATTTGTGGTCACTAATCAGGTCTGTCTTGCAAGAGAGCAAAGCCAGAGCTTTCGCCGCTTTTTCACGCAGGCGATTTGTAATGCTGCTGCACCAACAGGGCAAACGTCTGCCATGCTGGGCGCCCACCTCTAGCCAGCCCCTTCCGGGCCTTTTTTTTGCCTGCACTCCCATACTGCAAGACAAAGCTGATTTGTGTACACAAATCCCGCAACACAGATTGCCACTTTGATATGGGGAGGGGGGATTTTTTCTTTCGATACCTGGAAAAGATCGACCAGGCGGCGGAGAAAGAAATCAACCGGCTGAAGGAGCGGGAGCGCGACCTGTTCAAAAAACAGCAAAACCAGCAGAACCACTTGGAAAGCTTGAAGGAAGAACGGGTCGCGCGGAAAGAGGCCTTGCGCTTGGTCCAACTGGAACTGGACGAAACGAAGGAGCAGTTGAAGAAAGCGATGAAGAAGCAAAACGAGCAGAACCTGCACGAAAGCGCGCACAACCAGGAGCAATTTTACTTGAAGGAGAAAATCACGAGTTTAGAAGATCTGCTCGAGGAGCTGAAGCAGGAAAAGCTGCAGCAGGCCGAAGAAGTGAACCAGTTGAAGCACCAGCTGAAGCAGAAGCAGATGGAGATCACCGACATCCAGGGGAAGCAGAAGGCGAGCGAGAGCACGCTGGAAACGTTGAAGCAGGAAATGCGCAAGCGGGAACAGGACCTGGAGCAGCTGTTGCTGGAGTACGCGGAAGCGGCGCAGCTTGCGGATCGGAAGTGCAAGGAAGTCGAACAGAAATTTCAAGAGTACAAGGAAACGGCGGCGCTCGACTACGAAAAGATGAAAAACCAAGCATCGACGGAGTTGGAGCAGTACAAGAGACAAGCGAACATCGACTACGAGCAGCTGAAAGCGGACCACGAGTCCGCGTACGAACGGTTGATGAACAAAAAGAACGAACTGGAGTTCAAGCTCGCGAAGTTACTGCAAGAGTTGCTGGAAAAGGACCAGGATCTGACGAAGACCCGGAAGGACTTGGAGAACAAGCAGGAGGAACTAGACGTGCTGGACTACAACAAGACGGCGGAAGTGCACCAGCTCGAGTACGATATTCACAGAAAAAAACTCATCCACATCCAATTTGTCATGCAAAACATACAAAAAATTCTGTGTTTGCCATGCAAAAAATGGATGTGGATGGGTTTTTTTCTGTGGATATACGAAAAGCGGGAATTGCAGCAAGAGGTGGAGAATTTGAAAAGCAAAATCGAGCAGATGAAGGAAAGCTTCAAGTCCACCGAGGTGGAACTAGCGCAATCCCAGCTCGACCTGCGCGAAATGCAGTTCAAGCACCAGGAGCAGAACTGGCGGGGGCGAGTCTCGACCGGGAACATGGTGGCCAGCGGGAAAAACCTGAATCTGTTCGATCCGTCCGGTGGAGATGAGAACGCGGGAGGTACTGGTTTGTTCGGGAGGAACGAACAAAGCGGTGTGACTTCCCACGAGTTGGAGCTGCAGCAACAGGCGTATGTGGAGAACCATTTGAAGCAGCTCATGTCCGAGCTCGAGAGCAGGGCTGCCGTGATCCTAGACCTGCGCGTCCAGCTGCAGCAGGCCCAGGAAAAGGTCAACTCCTTTCCAACGACCACAAGCCCCAACTCCGCCGCAAGCTCTTCAGCGACGGGAGGTGGAAACACGGGCAGAGGGGGGGGAGGTACGTATGATTTTTTATGTGAAACTGCATGTAGACGTGTTGTTCTTGGTGCAGCTTTCGTGATCGAAATGTCTCATGTCCTGCTCTTGCTGAAAGATAAAGAGAAAAAACTGCAGACCTACTCGTTGTGCAATTTCTGATGCGCTGAAATGATAAAATGAAATCCGAATCGTTCTGGCATATTCTCATCACATGACCAACCACAGACGCCCTTTCTGACGACCCCAACTCCATCAACCACGAAGCGCGGTGTCTCGTGTTAGAGCGTACCAACACCGAGCTGCAAACCCAGCTTTCCGAGCTCCGGGATGTCCTCGCGTACGAGCGGGCGAATTTTGAGAAACGCGAGAAGCAAATTCGGATGGGAGCCGCGAACACCTCTCGGCCAGGGTCCAGTTCTGGCCGACAGAACATCGGCGGGAGCATTTTCGAACTTGGGCCAGATGGAAGCTTGCTCGCAACCGAGGAGTATGTGGAGTGAGATCTCAAGAACAAAAAGAACGACTTTAAGTTTGAACTTTTCATATTTCATTTGACACGTTTTTTTAGCACTAGACTACATCTAACAGCACCGCTACGCATCCTCATCCATTAGTCCTTATTCGGGCGTACCCCGCCCCGACAACATTCAGAAAAAAGTTCGTATTTTGCATTCGAAGAAAAATAAAAAAGCATTTACGCTTGTGCATCAAGAAGTATCAGAATTCTACCCATGAGAATCCAATTACCGTCTACCCACTTCGAGTCGTCGATTCGACCGGATACCCTCCGGAGTGAAGGCGAAAACAGTGTATGATTTTGAATTTGCTGTGTTATCTTCATGGCTAAAACTCACAATTCACAATATTAGCGCGCTTGCGACTTGTTCATTCACAACTGTAAGTAAGATTTTGACTGTTTTTGTCCGAATACACTGGAGGAAGCACCAGATCCAGACACAGGAGGATGCATCGAGGTTCCGGCTCCCACCAGCACCAGGCTACCACGAGAGCGGGTTCTAGTACGTGTTCTTCCGGTAGCTGTTTAACCACATGGTCGTCGTCTGTGTCTGCTCTTCTAGTATTTCATTGCAGTAGTTTGGCGAACACGCCAAAGCTGTTCAAGTTTATTTGATATGAACCAATAAATCAGCACTTGTCTTCGTGATTACGATTAGATCCTTCTGTATGTACATCTAGAGCTCCAGCCGGATCCTCAACCGACACGTGGCGTTACAAGGAAATCGTCAACGCATGCCAGCGTTTTAATTTTATCCCACTAGCGCGATCATCTTCCTTCGTCTTCGATGTTTTAGGTACGACGAGCATTGACTGATTTCTCCACTCGTTACAACAGACCCGTAGAAGTACTTCTACACATTTTCAGTATTATTTCGCTCTCCGCGACGCCGCTTCAGACTGAAGATGTCCCCTGAGGAAACCAGGTTCGATCTAAGGAGTAAAACCTCTTGAAAATAGAGATGGCTGCATGAAACGGCCCTGCTTAGTGCAGTCGCCGACGCAGCTCCGGCAGCTGCGTCTTCCACGACCGATATTACGCAAATCCACTATATCCCTTACTGCGGCTTACAGATCTTGTTCTTTTTCTTTGTTTTCAGCTTGTTCGTAAAAATCTTCCTAAACCGAGAGCCACAAGTAGATGATCGACGAAGCGTGATTTGGTCGAACTCATTGTCGTTTCCGAGGACCCGGTTTAGCTGCGGTGCGAGCGGGCAACGCAAGTTCCGACGGGCTCGGCTCGCGAGGAGTCGGAATAAGTATGGACGTTGCAGCTCCAGCTGTAGCTGTATGGCAACCTACACTTCGCTTTTCGATGCGCAAAGTGGTGGCGTTTTCATCGTTCTTATTTTTCGCGGCGCGAGAAATTCAAAGCGCTGCTCGAGACGGGCCGCTAGTTAGTACGAGCAAAAATGATGCGGCAAAGATGGAGATGCTGGTATGGAAAGGATGAGGAAATATGTGATCATTGGGAGTGCTTCTGTCCAAACAAAAAAAAAAATCCCAGCTTGTCGCAGCGGGGCCATGCCAATGCACGTCTCTTTGTGATGAAAAGCACGCACGAAATAAACTCACTCTAGATCGGACGGAATCAGTCAAGTGAGAGTGACTACCCTGCGCGATCGGGGTCGCGCGCTTTACTTTGCATGACAGTCGCGGGGCATGTTCGGGTGTTCCGGGCTGTGCTTTGTGCACCCCTCGGACCCCGCACCCCCCGGGCTCGGTAGCGCAGTCTGTTAAGCATGACAAATACAAAACATAAGATAACAGCAGGCCATACCATATAAGCGCGCGAAGGGCAGGCTCCTGCGACTTTTCTTGGGTCTAGCAGCAGTCCCTCCCAAGAGAATCACTCACTTCTACTTTTCTATAGCTGGCTGTCGCACTGGACGGGAGCGCGGAGGATGTTGAAGGCGGCGAATCCAATTCCCAAACGACCGCTACCACGAGCGCGACGAACGAAGTAAGAGAATCGTTGGAACCGCCGCTAAGTAAAAAGCCGTCATCTTGGGCACAACCACAAATGAACATCGCCCGGGGCGGAAGGGGTGCTTCTGAACCTGATCCGCAGATGGACCACGATCGAAGTCATCCGCACCATCACGCTGGCAAGAATTTAAATTTGCCAACTGCGAACGAGATTACGTCGCGGGAGAAGATGGAGATCTGGGATGACGAAGTGCTACTAGCACGGTTCGAAGCCCAGTTTCTCATGTACGTGCAAACCATGGTGAGCCTGGAGCAGCACTTGCTGGACACGATTTCTCCCAAGGAGCTCTGGAGATTACAGGTATTCATGTTTGATGAAACGATCGCGACCGACTACTAGGAGGGCGTGCTTCTAGTTCAATAAAAAAATGTATGACCGGGCACGCGTGGTCTTGCGAGCCTGTGAGTCAAGGCCGACAGTGGTCGTTCTATATTTTATGAGCGGGCTCAGCCCGCCCATCACGGTAACCAAAACCTGAGAAGCATGAATATGAACCAGACAGGGGCGCCGTTTCGCGTTGATTTTCCTGTTCTGTGTTTGACATGCTGGGTTTTCAGGGACTTGCGCCCCTGCCGATGGTAGCTTGATTGTGATTCGCCGAGGGTGATTAGAGCTACGATTTCGCTCTGCCTTGGGCCGGTTTATTTCCTCCTGATTTCTCCCGTTCTGGAGAGGGAGTGTGTATTTCCAGTCCTAGTTTCAGACTAGGTTGGATCTCACCTGATTTCTCCCGTTCCGGAGAGGGGGAGCGAGTTTGTTTCCAGTCCTAGTTTCAGACTGAGTTGGTACCTCTCCTGATTTCTCCTGTTCCGGAGAGGGAGAGCGAGTTTGTTTCCAGTCCTAGTTTCAGGCTAGGTTGGATCTCTCCTGATTTCTCCCGTTCCGGAGAGGGAGAGTGTGCGTTTTTCCAGTCCTAGTTTCGGGCTAGGTTGGATCTCTCCTGATTTCTCCCGTTCCGGAGAGGGAGAGCGAGTTTGTTTCCAGTCCTAGTTTCAGGCTAGGCTGGATCTCTCCTGATTTCTCCCGTTCCGAAGAGGGAGAGCGAGTTTATTTCTAGTCCTAGTTTCGGACATTGTTGGATGCCCCCGGTTATTTCCTGTTCTGGAGCGGGAGTTTTGGTTTTCGAGCAAGTTTCGGGATAGATTGATTTTCCAGCCAGTTCTGGGGAGGAAAGCTTAGTCCTGCTTTCGGACGATTTTTCGAGTACCGGGGAGAGGGTTGGGAACCCATTTCCCCCCTGGCCCGATTCTATTTGATTCTCCGGCCCTGGCGCGAGTGAGAAATGAGTCTTGACTTCGATCCGCTTATTTTCGGAGTATGTTTTGCCACGTTCTCCAGTGTAGGGGCGTGTGGTGTCCCTTGCTTCAGGGAGTGAGCTTCATTTCTAGACCCAGTCGGGCTTTCTCGAGCAGTCTTTTTCGCCACATATGTTCCGTGCTGATAGATTGGCTAGCATCGGCCGAGTTTTTTCGGAGCTTGTCTATTTCCCCCGCTCGGGGAAGAGGTTTTTCTGGGTTTTCCACTTAGGGGTGGACAGGTCGATCGCTCCAGGTTCTCGCTCTCCCGCGTTGGAGATGAAGGCGTCGGGGTATTAGTCTCTACCTGTTTTGGTTTTCGCAGCATTTCTGTGCGGCCTTTATTCCGGGGTAAGGAAGTTTTTCGCCTCCGAGTGCTGGCTTTGGAGTGGCGCGCAGCTCCTCGGTGGATAGACTTTGCTATCCGGCTCAGAACTTCTCTATTCGGCATATCTGTCCTCTTCGTCTCCCGGTTCGGAGAAAGATTTTGGGCCTGGCTTGGTCAAGCTATTCTTCTACTTTGATCTCCGGTCTGGAGTCTCTTTTTATCGGGCTCTCGAGGAGCCGCGCAGGTCTTAGCTAGTTGCGGGCTACGTTACGGATTCCCGCTATGCCGTTTTCCGTGGTGATGAGGGCCACGAGGTTTCTTGTTCTTTCGGCTAGATAACCTGGCGGTGATGTCAGGGGATGCTTTGGGTGAGGTCTAATTGCTAGCGTTTGCCTCCGTTGTTTGCGGCGGACGGCTCTTGTCATTCTGACCTTGGTTATTTTCGTCTCAACTTTGCTCGGCTTTGTGGCACTGGCGGTTCGAATCCGTTAAACCTAAAAGAGGGCAGGCGCGAGATGGAAAGGCTGGGGATTTGCCCGGCGCCTAGTGCGCCGGGGCTTTGTTTTCGCGGATTCTTGTGGCTTGCGTTTCCGGGGTTCGGCAGTCCCCAGCTCCACGAGCCGAGTAAAGGCTTGAGAGGAAATGACCAAGGTCAGCACTGGCGCGCGTTGCGTGAGCTTTCTCCTGTTGAGGCTATCCCCTTCGAGGTGTTTGTGATTTCTCATCGACGTTGGAGGAGGTTTTGTCTTTTCGGAACTTCGTTTTCCTCTGGACTTTCGTGTAGCTTCAGAGGATTTCCAGATCCCTGCTGCGCCGGGGGTTCAGATTGTTGTTTACATGGGCGCTCCAGGTCCTCGTCCAGGTGCATCGTTTTTTATACAGCGACGCGCGTGTCCGTTGCTTCTATATCTTTGGCTGTGGCCAGGTTTTTTTTTCGGGCCAGGGGGCAAGAAGTGGTTGACTGTGAGTGTGGGAGATCGTGGTCCGTGCGACGCGTGTCTCCCATTTGTTCGGGCGGCCCGTCGGTGCGGGTGTCAGTTTGCTACCGAGAGTTTCGCTCTCGGCAGGTTCGTAGCCAGAGGGCTCTGCGCTTTCCCTACAGGGCTTCGGCACTTTCTTTCTTGTGATGCGCTTCCGCGTGGCACCGAACACGTGCACTGCTTTCCGCGGTTTTCGGCATGATTGAGATTGTTTCTTGACCGCACAGCGACCGCTGCTGATTTTGGTGTCTCTTTTGTAGTTCCTCCGGCAGATGTTCTTCGGGGTGTTGACCTGCGTCTCCGGAAGTCGCCCCTGAGGGCTATACTGTTTCCCGGGTCCCACGGACTTTCCTTGGGTCATGGTGAGGCTTGCTTCTGTTTTGTGGATGTCTCGTTCTCGGTACAGCTCTTGCGTTGAGCTGAGTACAATATCCTTTGCAGAGGAAGCTTGCGTGGGCGTTACGAGCGCCACCACAAGTTTCTTGGTTTGGAGCACAGGCCGTCCTTGATCGGGGGGCGCGTTCACGCCCGTTGGCTCTTGATATTGGTAGTTGTTGACGCCGGCTCTTCGTCAAGCAGCTCGGCGATCCGGCCGGGTTTTTCCTACTTGTTGACGAGCTCTACTTCCGTGTCCGTCGGCATGGCCAAGTGCATTATTTTTCTAGAGTGCGGCCGCGGCCGGCGCTTCCCGGGATCAGTTCCTTTTGTTTTTGCGCAATTTCTGTAGCGCGTTCGCCGCTAGCAGTTGTCGGGTAACTGGTGTAGTGCGCTTGGCACCACGGGCGAGAGCGGTTAGCGGCTTTTAGAGCGGTGTTGGGATGCTAGTTGGCAGTCTGTTCCCTGTGTGCCGTATTTCGTTCTTTGTCGGTATCGTCGCAGCGCGCCCTTGCGTGTGGGGCGGCTGTTCGGTACCCAAATTCATCTCCAGCTGGGGCTGTAGGGTTCTTTGGGTCGCGTCGTTGCGTTGCGTCTCCGCCGGTGGGGTAGGCTCTCCACATGTTAGGTCGCGGGCGCCTGCGCCTCCTGTTTTCCGGAGCGCACATCCAGCGATGATCATCCATAGGATGATCTATCCCTCGGAGATGTTGACTAGATCACAAAATGTATGACCGGGCACGCGTGGTCTTGCGAGCCTGTGAGTCAAGGCCGACAGTGGTCGGTCTATATTTTATGAGCGGGCTCAGCCCGCCCATCACGGTAGCCAAAACCTGAGAAGCATGAATATGAACCAGACAGGGGCGCAGTTTTGCGTTGATTTTCCCCACCCTCCCGCCCCTTTTCTTCTCTTGTTGTCTCTTCTTCCGAACGGATGGATCATGAGGCTTCGCGCCGCTTCTTTTTAGAGGTGTGACAGAAGCCCATCACTTGCATTCGGGAACTGGGGTAGGCTCTCCACATGTTAGGTCGTGGGCGCCTGCACCTCCTGTTTTCCGGAGCGCACGTCCAGCGATGATCATCCATAGGATGATCTATCCCTCGGAAATGTTGACTAGATCATAAAATATTGAGCGCCAGCACCACACTCCAAAGATATGTTTATAGATATGATACAAACTCGCAGCTGCGCTGGTCACCTTCATATGTTTGGTTTATCTTTTTACCTCTACCTCGTCCAGGTACTCAAATATGAGCACTATGAAAGAATATCAAACGAGACAAGACCTCGCATGGTGCGTCCCACGAAAAATGAATTTATACTTGCTACGTAGCTTGATGTAGTTTTGCATTCCTGCTTTGCTTTCCCAACCCTTCTGTGAGAAAATCTACGGCTACACCACAGGTCATTCGTCAACAATTACAAGTCCACGCTCCCCATTTGCTGCTGAATTTCATATCCAGAAGATGGAGGTGCAATCTTGCTTCGCGTGCAGAAAAGTGACGTCTAGTATCCCAAAGATAATGCGAAAATGGATCAGCCACACGAGAAGAACACATTCTCTTGTACAAAAGTACTGACAGACACGACTTTCGAATTTTTCACGCGGCTCTTCGAGGTTTAGCTTACAACTCTACCTAGTGTTTCGCTTTTTTGGGGGTTTTGGTCATGATCGGATTATTCGCGATACGTACAAGTTGTAGAGATGGTTTTCTCATATGTCGACGTCTTTCTTGCCGGGGCTGGTTTAGCGCTGACAAAAAATACGAGAGTGATCAATATACTTATTGTCGCACGACCAATAAAGCAGGCACTATAATAAATTTTCTAGGAAATAAATGTGATTTCTGTTTGTGGTCTACAGTTCTTGCACATAGCGGGAGTAGGCATTATTTGCAGTAATAAATAGACGCTGAACTAGCTGTGAACAGAGAAGTATGGAGAGACGTCAAGCCTAAGTTAGCTATGCGTCTCGTAGTCGGTTTCGTCCGTGTGTGTGTTCGTCGTGAACTGAGTAAATTCGTCTAGAGTCCGTGTCGTAAGAAAAACAAAACCAAGATGGGTTGCGAAGCCCAGAAGTGCCAAGAATCCGGCCCAGGCGGATCGCGGAGCCCCGGCTCGCAACCGGAGACACGCGAAGGGGAAATCTTTCCGAGGTTTTCTTTTTTCGCTGATCTCTTTGGCATCTCAGCTTCCGCTAGTGTCTTCTGTGCTGCTCCCCGGAGCCGCTATAGGAGTCCCTGGCTGGAGGCGCTCGCTCCGGAGGGGGCGTCGAGATATCAACACTTCTCCTCACCGAGTTCGGAGGGTCGAGTATGTTGATGACTATCCGTAGTCGCTGGCATTTTAGTTTCGCTGGATGAAAAACCTCCGGGGCCCTCCCCACGCCGAGTTGATATACTCGCGGTGGGTCTGTGTCAGAATACTATCCTTAGTGAAGCCCGTTGCGCTTCTACGCTACAGTCTCGGCTACGAAGACTAGAATCATATGTGGAAGGGAAAGCCCTGTCGTGTGTTCACAACCCGAGAAGAGCAGGCACCTCCGAGCCTTTGCGCGCTCGTGTATGGAGGTCTGAGCCTTCGCGCGCTCAATGGCTGTCAATAATTTTTTACAAGTCGATACAAGTGTGAGAATCGGATGAAATTCCCGAGTAAGCCATGCAAGATATGAGTAGCTTCGTGCGCTCGCGCAGTCGTGGCGCCGCAGATGTTGAAAAACGCCAAGCATGCTGATGGGACAAGGTATCGTAGGTATTAAGGAATGCTTGGCATCACGATCACACCTAGCTGCGTCCACAATTCTGCTGCTAGGAAGAACCACGCTTCTTCAAAAAAAAGAGCGTTAGTTCCATATGCGGAGCAGTCGCATTGTTGTTCGTTGTTCCTCATGACATTCACAACTTGGATCGCGCACAGGAATCGAAGGGGCCGCTTTGAACTCTAACTCGTTCTGTAAGCAACACAGTCAACGACTAAGTCTGGCTTGAAGGGTGCGTAATCATGTCCAAGCTTGTAGCGTCCAAAGATAGCTGGCGGCCGGTTAACGAGACCGACCAGATTTACCTCGATCGGGTCGAGGAGTTAGAAGTCATGTTAGATTTAGATAAGCGTGTGCACTTGAAGCGCAAGGGTGTGATGGCTTTTCACAAGTCTCTGATCCGTGCAATTGAGGAGAAATGCTCTAAGAACGTAGTAGCAGAAATCCGTCGCAGTGCCAATGACCAGTACGCGGAAGTTTTGTCACAAGATCCGTTGAGTAACTGGGCTGACGAACTGGACCATAAGCGCAGTGACTATTACGCTAATTTCTTAGAGCGCAAGCGGATTCACGAGGAAAAGAAGAATACGAAGTCTTCGGGTTGTAGTAGCAAGGAAAAATAAAAGCGGTGTAGATCGAGAGTCATTATTTTTCGCGTCAATCTTCAAAGTTGAGTACGCTGATATTTTACGAGGAGGCTTTTTCTTGCATTTATTATCTACGCGAAGCCATGTTGTTCACGCTGTGCGAGCTGGCGCGGACGTGCCGCAAGAGGAAGGACACCCAGATCGCTCACGAGGAACGCGCAGCGGTGGAGCGTCGTTTCCAAGAAACCGATAGTACGAAGTTACTGGGACGATTTTACCTGCGGCCCGCCGCCGCCAAATATTACCGGCCCGCTGGAGTTTTTACGTATCACTGGCCTGATATAGTCATGTGCTAGCAACTGTTTTGTCTAATTGCGGTTTGATGAAAGAGCATGACAGAGTGTTACTGGTAAAAATTTTTTATGATTCTCCGTTTTCATCACAGCCGCCATGAGACCAAGTTATCATTGATTACTGACTTAGGTGCGATGTCGTCGCCAAGCACAGTCTCAAGCCCAACCAGATCTCCTCCCCGAAGAAAAGGAGCTTGATTCTGGAAGCTGTTTGGGCAGCTATTGCGGGTCATATTTTTGACCGCTCTACGGATACCGTAGAACGGCGGTTCATGTATTGGAAAAATGTTTTTTTTTTTTTTTTCGGTTTCTTTTAGAAAAACAAAAGCCACGCAGTTGTAGCGAGTCACTTCATAGCACTCTCTTGCTAGCATCAGAGTTAGTATCCAAGTCGACATGTAAATTTCCACATTCACGCTGTTAAATACAGCCGGGCGCTCGTCTTACGCAAGATGATGATGCGGGATCAGGCGGGCGGTAACGTGGTGTATAAAGTCTTAGCGGCTTTTGCCGTCAGTGAAGAGATCAAGGGCACCATCCTACCCCTGACGTCGTTGCCGCAAATCAGTTCCGCTGCTTTGATGGGTGCCAGCACCAACCCCCAGTTGCTCTCGCTCACGTTTGAGGAAGCGCTCAAAACGAAGGTCGCGCTCAGTGCCTTTTACAAAAAGTTTTCGTTGCTCCATCCCGAAATCGCGGCGGCACAGCACGACGGAGCTGCTTCCGAGTGCGCTTGAATTTAACTGGAAGCGTGTTGCTATGTTGTTTTTTCATCGTGGTTGCATGCATGATAACAAAATGAAAGCTCCACGGTCACAGAAGCGAAATTTTATTGGACAATTCAAATTTAAGGCAATCAGTAGAACAAGAGTTACGGAGTTGGGAGGATGCTGATCAACCAGCTCACACGGAGCTGCCCGACAACTAACAATGGGCATACGAATAAGAAGAGGATGTGACAGGATGTTCCTCGTATGCAATGTGGACACAGCTACACGAAACAACAGGCCAAGAGCGATTATATATTTGATTGCGATGAAAGTCAAAGACTTTACAAGTACGCACAGGATCAATTTTTATTTTGCAACTACTTTTGTTTACGAGGATATCAGATTTACTTCTTGCTGGTAGCGTCGGGTGTTGATTACAATAAGTATAGAAGCCTTTTTTTTTGATGTTCGGCTGCACTAAGGACACGATGAGGAGAAACATAAGCAGTAGCGCACGGCCGTTTAGTGCGCTAGATGTGTATGAATGGCACGCCAGGCCAGGCCAAAAAGTACATCTATGGCTTACGTGCAGTCGCCACGCGCGAACAGATGGACTTTTGGTTGTGTCAATCGATAGCAGGCAAGCACGCAAACAGGAAGCCTTTGTTTGAAAATGCAACTTTTGTATATGCAGCGCGTTACTGCGAAAAGATTCTAGGGCGGATTACCATTGTGCAAGCAATTGCTGACAACTACGCTCCTGCGGCTTTCAAGTAATACCTCGCGGCTTGTTCTCCAATAATGGCCAACGATTTGCGCCGGGTGCTTAGTAGCCCGTACACTGCTACGAGGGTGCTCTACACAGCGGGTCTGATGAAAAACGTGATGAAGTGTCACAGCAAAGATGTCAAAGGCCGAGTTTCTAAGGGAAGTAAAAGGAGGAACTCCATCTCTTGAGAAATAAAGTGCGTTTTGAGGGCGCTGACAGATGCAGGAGTGCGTCTTCCGAGCGAGTAGTGAGTAGCGAATAATTTGCGCGTCTCGTCTTGAAGTGCCACACTTTTAGACAACCAGCCCTGGATACAACCAATGGCGACTCGCTCCCTCGCCACAAGATGCCTGCTTCACCAATCCGCTCTCCTTGTGATACGGAAGCTATCGCCGACTTGCGCCGCAAGCTTGAGCTTGCCTTGGCAGAAATTGAACGGTTAAGGCGACGCATCACAGAGCTGCAAGCAGCTCGGGCCGATCGCCATACCGCACAAGCAGGCTCAATAACCCAACAGCAGAATAATAGCGACCCAGTTCCGTCTAATTACCCTCGCCCAGTACGCCTCCCGATATCTCCAGAACTTTATGTAGACGACGAACTGCCCCCCTTTCGCTAACGGAAGACACTAGGAGTAGCGTTATGCTGTTGCACACACACCCGTTGCTTACAGCCGAAGCGTATCTAGTAGGTGCACATAGAGTAGTAGTTACGGTTAACAATACCCAGTGGGGAGTTACATTTTTTATCTACTCCACCCTGATAGTAATCAGCATTAGTAGGCCAGGCTGCGCCCGTTTACTCAGATTCTACACACCGCAGGAGTTATTGCGCACTATTACTAGCAATGCGTGCTGGATCGAGGATTTAATAGTAGAATTTTTCCCATTTCCTACGGTTGTCGGCGCGTAACTTTTTTACGCTGGCAGCCAATCAGTAGACGCATGCGTCCCGCCAACTCAGCCCAGGGGGAGCCACGAGCGGAGCCTGAGGCTGGCGTTAGTAGTCGCCCTCTGCGAGTAGTAGTGTACAGGGTGCGTGCAGGCGAAGTTCGTCGAACGCAGTGTCTAGCGTGTCGCTCGGAGTATCTTCCGTTGTTGGAAGACCCGCACTCGGCTGCTCGCGTCAGAGAACTCGAAAGGAGTGTTGCGGAGCTGCGCAGGCAGGCCAATCAGTTAACTGAGCGGCTTACCGAGCGGGGCGGGGTCATTAGACGCCTCCAGTTCCAACGCGATAGCCAGCACGCACAAATCCGAAATTTAACCCATAGACTAGACAGGAATCGCTTTCACCAGTTGCCGCGTGGTGGTCAGTTTTCAGACACCGAGGAAAATAAAAATGAAAATAGAGTACGTCAGCGATAGCATCGATGTTATTGGTTTACATGTTGACGAGAGTCGGAGTTTTAGGCTGAAGTGCGAGAAGTGCGATCATTCGTGCGTAATAAGATTGCGTGGCGATGCGTATCTAGCCATAATTCGTTCGCTCAAAAATAATTTACAGCAAGAATTGGCAGCAGTAAAGGAACTCAAGAACCAGCTATACAAGATTCAGAACGAGAGTAAGCGTATTCGCGACGAACTAAGTAAATTGCGTACACAAACCGGGACTCGTGAGTCTGGTATCCGCGTCAGCCCTCCAAAAATTAAGGTTACTGACGACGGTTTAGCATGGGAGCGTCGTAGAATGAGCGACCTCGTTCCCATCGTAGTGAGCGTTGACGTGGGCGCATATCTTAATTCTGAGTGCGGCAAATGTAAAGCCAAAGCTTGCTCTCGGGCCGTGAGTACTCGTTTAGAAGCTGTGGCTTTGGATTTGAAAGAGGAACTTCGTACGAGTCAACAAGAGGCAACGAGATTAACGCCTCGCATCGTAGAACTGGAAAGGGAAACTCGCCAATTGAAAACCATCATCGTGAATCTCGAAGCTAGGCTATTTGCGCGCGGCGAGTTTGTGTTGCGCAACAGCCCGCCCAAGTCGGCGTCTTGAATCATCACAAAGCAGATTCCTCTCCTTGTTTTTTTTCACAACAAACACACAGAGTTCTCTTGATAAAGAGCGCTACATTATATGTTCATCACTATGGAAGCAACTTGTTTTCTAGTAATATTTTTATGCGCTAGCTTTGTCTCGGTCACTAACATCTTGCACGAGGTAGAGCACGAAGTACAGCAGCGATAGCATGTAGGTGGAAGTCCTAGCAGCTGCTTCTGTGGGTTTATGTTGCTTACTGCTTTTTAGAGAGTATCAATATTACACTAAGATAAGAGAACTTCGCCGCTGAGTACGCGTCGCAGAAGGGTGCAATAATTTAATTCCTTATCGGGTATATGAGTGTTGCCCTGGAATTACCGTGGCGAATTTTAAGTATAGCCCCCAGATGAAAATTTTATTTTTCTTGTCGTCCGGAACCGCTACCATCTCGCATTTTAATCAACCCCCAGAATAATTAAGAGCGATGAGTAAAGATACCCTTCCAATTGCTGGAGGCGCTGCTAGCGAGCAGCCTGCAGATCGCGCTCCTGACCAAGAAATTGCTGAAGCTCCGGTTCTCACGGGGGTGGCAGAGGCTCCGGCGGAACCCGCCGAGCTGCCCCAGCAGACGCGGGGAACAACAGAGGAACCCGCTACGACTAGCTCGTCTACAGCGGGGAGTGCACCGTTGCAGCAGCCGGATGCTCCCGCTCCCAAACCAAAAAGCAGTCAGTCAGCGCCTGCGACCAGCCCGTCTCCGAAGGCTACACCCAAAGCAGCCGCGAGCTCGGCCAATAAGAACCCACCGAGTATGACCAAGGCGGGAAAGAACAAGACGACATCCACAGGAGGGGCATCGTCCAGCTCCGCCGTCGCCTCTGCTGCGAGCACTGTTAAACATAACATCCTCCCTGCGCAATCCGAAATCGATTGGAGTGTGGTCGCAGATAAACTCCCGTCGAAAGAAGTCGAACCATGTATCGACTACTTCATAGGACATGCGATCCTGCCGTCTCTAGATCTGCGTCGCGATGGGCGCGACTACACTCTGGCGCAAGTGGATGCGGCTCTGAGGATGACGGACGACGAATTGTCGGCGTTGTACGAAAAAGGGCAATGGGAGCAGAAGCCCCAAGAATGGAATGTCTTCAATATGGTGGGGGCGAGAGGCATGTATGAGTTTTGCGATGTATGAGCCTCATACATCGCAAAACTCATACATCATACATCGAAGATTTGAGGAGAGCGCGACGGTTTCCGTGTGCGATGTATAATGTGCCGCACATGGTCCAGTGTATGATGTGCGACGTATGATACATTGATGCGTCATACATTGCAAATTGGATACATCAATGTGCGACGTATGATACATCGCACATTGATGTATCATACATTGCAAATTGGATACATCAATGTACGATGTATGATACATCGTGCATTGATGTGTCATACATTGCAAATTGGATACATCAATGTACGATGTATGACACGTCGCACATTGATGTATCATACATTGCAAACTGGATACATACATACATACACGTTCCACGCGGCTCTGCGAGAGGTTTGTGGTGCTCTAAATTTGACCCTGTCTCCCGGAAAGCGATCCACCCAACGTAGTACGGGCGAGCAAGGGTGTGAAGGAACCCTCTGCGTTCGTGATGTGGACGAACGCCGCAAGAGGTGAACAAGGATCCTGGAGGTGCCTGGGCCGCCCTTTGCTGGGGGGGGCGACTTAGAGCGCACCGGCGGGCTCTATATCCATGCTCCTGATGGCCGCATCAATGCGTCTTCGCTACGAGCGTCGTGTTGATTGATTTTGCCACGATCTTTCAATGTCGGCGGCGGGCTACAAGCCTTGTGCCGCGTTCATCGTGCATCCTGTATTCTAGCGGATGCTACTGCTCCATCTCTCCACAGATAGAGAGAGGAGGGGGGGAATCTACTACGAGCAGGCCCCCCGATGCCAGGGCAGCCTCTACGGCAGCAACCCGGAGGGCAGACGCGGACGCACGGGAAAGGCGCAGGGACCAGCCCTGCGAGGGCATTGCATGCGTCAACGCGCGTAAGTAAGAGCGATGGGGGGCGCAGCCCAATCCTTCGGACGCGGGCCCATGGCTTTCAGGTGCTTGCTAGGTGGCAGGGAGGCGCATGGCAGTCGCGGGCCTTCGTGTCTCGCACATCTTTGCGCGCTCGCTGCGTGGCCCTGTATTGGCGTCCCGTTGTCGTATGCTCCGGGGCTGCACACGCAACCGATCGGATGCGACGGGCATGCCACAGGGGAGGCTACAGGGGCGTGGGCAATGTTTTTAGACGCTGAAGGCGGCGCGCGATGGTCTAGCTGCGAGCTAGACCTGCTGCGACGAGCGTTCCACGGACCGAACTAGGCCAGATGCTCCACAGGCCTCGCGTAGCTGAGGCGGATACATTGTCTCACTCTGAGCGCGTTGCCAGTCGGTCCTGGCATCTGCTGGGTCCTAAAGACAGACCAAGCACTTTTGTGCTCCGAGCACATGGGCTCCCTTCCCTACAAGGGCGGGATGCAAATTGGATACATCAATGTGCGATGTATGATACACTGTACATTGGTGTATCATACATTGCAAATTGGATACATCAATGTACGACGTATGACGCATTGATGTATCATACATCATACATTGATGCTTCATACATTGTGCATGGATGTGTCACATTGCAGAATTTGCGATGTATGATGTATGATGTATGATGTACGAGGTACCTACCGCGCAGAATTTGCGATGTATGATGTATGATGTAGGAGGTACATACATCGCAGAATTTGCGATGTATGATGTATGATGTACAATGTTCGAAAGGTCGTTCTCCTCAAATCTTCGATGTATGATGTATGAGTTTTGCGATGTATGAGGCTCATACATGAGGCTCATACATCGCAAAACTCATACATGCCTCTCGCCCCCACCATACCCAATGTCTTTGCGGAGGTATTTTTGTGGTTAAACATTATTAAGGAGTCGTTGTATGGTGGGACAAACCTTCACCCTTTCCTCATTTTATAAGTGAACCACTACCCTTCTAATTGTTGTTAATTTTTATAACTATGATAATTGCAATTCTGCACTCGGTCTGGTGGCAGCTCCATTTCTTCCGCTTTCGTCGTTGTTTTTATCCGTTCACCATCGTCGATCTCGATAGCAAGAGAAGAAATTGCTATTCATTTTGCATCGTCGTGTTCTCGTTTCGTCGTCGGTTTTTCGTCGTCACAGCCATCGAATCGTTGGACGGGACGGAGACGGCGCGAACCGGATTGGATGAAGCCGATGATGGGCAACCGCACTTGAAAGATGATTGAAGTTTTGTTTTTGATGAGCAGACATCTATTTTGTTTTGACTGCACTGCGAATCGCCTGGATTAAATCAAGCCGAAAGACACATTGACATTTTATCAAAACGAAGTTGAAGACGAAAAGTGAAAAACAAAATGAAGAACAGCAAGCAGAATGAAAAGTGGTACGATGCCGAACAGACGCAAGGCAGTCGCAGTCTGGTCGTATCTGTCGAGCGTGTTGAAAATCTTCACCGCTCCGCCCACATCCGCCGCGTTCTCCATCGTGGTTCGTTTTGATTGCGCAAGCTGCCTGTAGGATTTAGATTTTTGTAGTCGTAGTCTTGTTGTAGTTGTACTTGGCCAATGTGTCGGTTTTGGTTTTGGGTCGGAACTACGAACCAGCTAGCATTTGCGGTTCAGATTTTTTGCGTCTTACTCTTAATCGTTTTTACGCCTTCGCTCTCAGCTCCAAACTAAAAGTAAAAGTTTACAGCACTGTCGAGCTTCAAGCTGAGCACAAAAGTTAGGAACTAGATGTAGTCTTTTTCTCATCGTTTTATGTTTGTCGAAAATCGAAATCGAGGTTTACTTTGGTATACCTCGTGGGTCGTGGTCGGAGTGTCGTCAGCTCGTTGTGGGAAAGTAGATCGCGAGTTGCTCGGAGGACATCGGGACGGGGTCGTGAGTTGTAGAGTTGTATCGTGGTCGTGTTTTTTGTTCTCGCTCGCGTTAGGACCTTCGACATCGAACAGCTAGCACGAACTAGTACGGGCCTAGACTTCGAAATAGAGCTACAGCTGCAGCAGTCTCTCTTTCGTTTTTTTCTTCTTCTCACCCTGGCAGCTGACTATGGATTTCATACGTCCGTAAGCCTAGCACTAGTTTTACACTTTTCGCTCGATGTCGACCATAGATTTTGATTTACGTTTGCGTTTAGATTTGAAAAAGCTTTCAGCTTTACAGTTTTAGGCCAGAAGAAAAAAAACGGAAGCATCATGGTGCCTCCTCCGCAGTATGGCGAGGATGTGCTGTCAACTTCTGGTGCGAGGTTTGCGCATCTCCAGAAGTTGCTCGTTTTCTATCATCCTGTTGCCCCGCAACCCGCCGTAGATCGTGCTGCTGTCGAAGTTGGGCTCGTGGCCAGGGAGAAACAAATCGGAAAACCAAAAACGAAAACGAAAACAGGCGATAACAAGGTTGCAGGATCAGAAGGCGAAGACGAGGCAGTCGCAGTTCCGACGAAAGACACGCTGCGAAAACGGTACGACGTGTGGATGAAGGAAAGTCCCGCGATGCGGTGGGAGGACTTCGCTCGGATTCAGTGCAAAAAATTCGGAGCACCGTACTCCCGCGAAGAAGAAAACCAAACCCAGGGCGAAAGCCTACTTTCTCAGCTCGTAGGCACGGATGCGGAGCAATCGCAGCAACAAAAACAACGACCTACTGGCACTGCGGCAAATGCTTCTTCTTTTCGCGCAGCGATGAACCCGTCGCTGCAGATCGCCGCCCAATCATCGCGCGACAACTACCTGCGAAAGCTGCAAGATGAGCGGCCCAAGGAGCATCTGTGGTACACTTTGGGAAAAAGCGGTGGAACGGCGCGAGCGCGGAACAAGACGGTGCAAATAACCCGCGACGCGAGCACGCACAGTCGCCACACGAAGACGACCCAAGGTGCCAAGCTGCGGGTCGTGCATGGAAAAGCAAAGTCATCTTCTTCAAATGCGCGAGCACTGTGTCCGCGACGGAAGAAGCAGGTCGTGGCTCAGCGCCGGCGTGGAGACGTCGCGATGGATGAAGAAGACGACTTGCTTGAAGACGACAACCCGAACCCGCCAGCACGAAAAGATCCGGACGAGCTGACGGACTGCTTGACCGAAATTTCCGAAACGGACACGTCGTGCATCGAGTCCAGCAGTGACGAAGAAGAGGACAACAGCGCTCAGTCTCAGAGGGATACAAGGCTACACAACAAGCGGAACGCGTTGTTTTCCGATGGTGTGCGGGTCGCGGCAGGTGGATGGTCGGAAGACAAGGCGAAGAAAACCTGCATCAAAGAAGAAAAAGCAAAGATGAACGAGGATGGGAACGATCGCAAAGAGGCTTCGAGAGCGGAGCTGCGGTTTTTCGACATCGCGCGGATCTCCTCCCGTGCCCGCATGATGTCGTTTCTCGTCTCTACCGGCGTGGTTGCTGATGATCGAGGAGCGCGTCCGTCCAAAAATGAAACAAACGAGTCACAGGAAACAACAGGCTCCGGGAGGACAGCATCATCTTCATCTTCATCCGCAAAAGCAAAGCTCGGCTTCGCAGGGCGGGCAGTTGCAAGAATGCGGGATCTGGTGAGCAGTGGGTATGACGCCGATGATGAACCTGCGTCGCAGATGGACTTGGAAATTGGCGGCTCGCTCGCAGTTATTCCGGAAGATGAAGAAGGTGTTTTTCTCGACCCGGATACCGGGTTGGAGAAAAACAAAAACGCAAACGGGTTTCGCAGCGTGTCGAAGGAGCGGATCGGGAAAATGACAACCAAAGCAGCCAACAACATGCAGGGCATCTCGAGTTCCTCCTCTTCAGGTCCGCTGAAGCTGGACCCTGTCACGGGGCTACCGCTGTCTTCCACGGGAAAACGGCCGCGAGGCAACACGATTGAGACGTTGTTACCGCCACTGGGTAGGTCTACTTCAACTTCTTGCTTTTGGTCTGAGTTTAATTCTACAACCAGTTGCAAGCGCAACTGGAACTGCTACTGCAAGCATCGTCTAAGAACGAAACTGACATCACTGCGCATGACAAAACGCGCTTACAAGTTTATGTTTTTCAAAAGCGACTCGCTTTTGAAAAACAAAACCAAAAGCATAGAGCTGAATCAAAACCATTGCGCTTTAGATTTTGTTTTTTGAAAAACAAAAGCGCGAAGATGAAAACGACATCGACTCTGACGCTGCAAGTGCAACTCGTACTCTTTCTCAAAAATAAAACAAAAACAGATGAAGACGAAGAAGTCGAACCCGCTGGCAGCTTGCTTGCTGGAAAGAGCGGAGCCGCATCTGCGGGGCAGGTGCAGACCAGCAGCGTGTTCGTGTTCAATCAGGAGAACCTCGCGCGGGCGGATGCGGCGTCGGGTTCAGGCGGTGGCTTCGGGTCTTCTTCATCCTCGCAAGCTGCGGGTGAAGATCTGCAGGCGAGTATGAACGATATGTTCCGCAATGCCCGGGAAACAACTAGCGTCTTCGGTGACGCTGTGACGATGGACGAAACGGTGGTGAAAACCGCGGGCCCGACCGGAGAGCTGACAAAAAGCGGGCACCAGTATGGACCGGGGGTGAAAGAAGATCTCGGACAAAGGGAAAAAAGACCAAGAATCGCGATCAGGTGCAGTCCCGACGCGACTCCATACGACGAGATCAAAGCCATGAGTTGTTTCATGACTTTGTTCAAGAGCGACTTCCGCGACCCGATGATCGTGTACAGCCACGACGTCGCTCTGCCGACAATCTCCACGGCATCGGGCGCGGAAAGTTTTCTGCAGGACCTGTACGAAGCTGCGTTTTCGGTGGGTTTTCCGCTGCCGGGAATGTGGTCGAAACTTTGTAGGGTGGGAGGAAAGATTTTGAAGTTTCGTCCGTCGTTGATAGTTACCAGCGACAGTGGATCGGATCAGCTGGAGCCGCCCCCGGCGATTTGCTTGCTAAATCCGTGCTATTTTTTGAAAGTTCCAATCATTTGCGCGAAGCCGCTGCGCCCCCGCGGGGCCACGCGGGGGCACCCGGGCGGCGGTCCGGGGGGCGGCGCCTGTTTTTGAAGCGCCCTTGGCTAGGGTCGCAAGCGCGCCGGCCGGGACTCCCGCTCTGCAGGCCCGGAGGGCCGGGGCTCCCTCACGCAACGGAGGCCGCCCTTCGTCCGCGCAACGGCCGGGGGAGCCTGCCACCCCCTTCGCGCGGGTTATCGTTTTGCTATTTTTTTTGCTATTTTCGCTGCCTGCCAAAAACACAGGGAAATCGCATTGGAAAAAAAAGTCCGGGGAAATAGCAAGGGCGGGGCAGATTTTTTGGGGAAATTCGGGAGGGGGGCATAGAACGCTAATTAGCAAGGGGAATTAGCACGCGAATTAGCAAAGGAATTAGCACGCGAATTAGCAAGGAAATTAGCAAGCAAATTAGCAAGCGAAATAGCAACGAAATTAGCAAGCAAATTAGCAAGGGGGGCCCGTGGAATCGGGCCAAAAGGGGGGGTGGGAAGTTGGCGCTTTTCGGGGGTTATTTTTCTTTGAAAATTCTTGGACGGGCAAAAAAATAGCCCCGGTTTAGCACGGCCGCGGCCGGCACCGGCTCCGACCGAATCGGACGTGAAGAAGGGGGTGAAGTTGATGACGCAGTGGTGCGAGGCGCAGCGGAAGTACGACCCAGACGAAAAAAATGGCGAACCGCATTGGACAGTGGCTTGGTTGCAGTGTCAGCTCCACTTGGCGCATATCATGGGCGGAACAATCACCAGCGTAGCGTCGAAGTTGTTCAGCCTGGACTTTCGCAAAAGCCTGACCGCGGTTTCCAAAGCTGTGAACTTGTGGATTGCGCCGAGGAGAACAGGGAACGACCGCAAAGGGAGGGGAAAGAAAACAGTGGAGGAGCTGAAGAAAGAGTTGTACGCCGTCGATGCAGAGCAGCAAAAACTGTTGGACGGGATGACAGCGATTGACCGAGAAATCTGGCACAGCGAGCGGATTCGGAGCGACCCGATCTTGCAGGAAAAGCAGACGAAGCTAGAAGAAAAAATGGAGAAAAACAAAAACCCGGTAAAACGGGTGAAGTCCTTCGTCCGCACCCGGTGGCTGAGTATCGGGAAGTGCATCAAAGGTCTTTGGACACAGCAGGAGGAGATCAAGGCGCGCATCATGGACCGGACTGATAAGGATTTACAGGATAAGAGCCGAAAATTTTTACAGCGGGCGAAGAAGGCGATGCTGGCGCCGCTGTGGTGGTCGGGACTGCGGATTCTCCACCTGCTGCTCACCGAAATTGACCGGGTTGCTGGTGTTGTTATGCATTCGACCAGCAAGGAGATGGACGGCGCCTCGGTGGAGGCGTTCGTTAAACATCTTCCCAGATGCCACTCCGTCGACTTGTGCCAGCGTGTCGGGGAGTTTTTGATTACGCTCGGCGGACTGGTCTATCGCGGCCTCGAAACTGTCGGTCTTGCAGCTCCTTTAGTCATTTTGTTTTATACATTGACTAAAGAGCTCGACATCCGCCACCGCCCGCTCCGCTCGTGGCCATACCGACTTGCGTTTTTATTTTCGGCGGACCAGAAGGAACGGCTGCAGACCATCCAGGACTTGTTGAAGGATTGCGAAGACGAGGCTGCTAGAAAAAGCCTTCCGCTGGAAGTTCGGGACTTGTATCGGCTTTTTCGTCTGGAGCTGAAAATGGTCGCGGAAAAGCTGAAGAAGAAGCAGTACATCGGGTGGAGCCGGGCCTTTGTTCGAAACTTAGCGCCGATTATTCGGGCGTTTTTGGCTTCGAGCCAAATCGCCGAATCCCTAAACTCCACTACCAGCTGGATCAAGCGCGAAGCTGGTGGCTTAATCGGAATGCTCCTTGCTTCTGCGCGTTTGTTTACCCGCCGCGGAGCAGGACGGGACGTCGACTTCGAGCAGTATCTCTTCGTCGAGGACAACGCCCGATGCCAGAAAGCAACGATGCAAATCCGAAAGGAGTTGCTAACCCACGGGATACACGGCGCGCCGCAGATCAGTGATCGGTCGGACCACTTTCTGCGAAACCCAATCAACCCGCAACTCACGCCGGAAGCGGTTGTTGCGGATTTTTTTGAAGTTTTGAACCGGCCGGACTGCCCGGAGGCGCCGAAGTTGGCCACAGGCGACAAAGCAAAGGGGAAAATTAGGGAAAGGCAGCAGTACGGCGCCGCGCCGCTGAACATGAAGCTGTTTCCGTTTTCGGTTATGGACATCATCGGCATCCCCAAGTACGACCAAAACAACCGCGCGAGAAAAGGAGCGGGCGCATCAAACTACTTCGTTTTGGAGAAAATGAAGAAAGACGCGGTGCTGTGCGAGGTGGACATAGTTCACGGCGGGTTGAAGGAGAAGGGTCACGAGGTGAGAATGGAGATCGACCTGGACAGCCAGTGCTGGTTCTCGGACGCTATTGGCGCGCGGCGCGAAGACCATCCCTCCAAGGCAGCAAAAAAAAACTTCAAAAACAAACAGCCGGAACTACGCCCGGTCGTCCTTGATGGCCAAAACATGTTGAAGCACTTTCACATCGACACCAAGCAGCGGCGGAAGTACTTCCACATTCGACAGACGGAGGAAAGTACGGAGGAGTTTTACTTTCAGCATCGGGTGCGGGCCGATGGAACACCGGATCCAAGTCCAACGGTCTATCCGGGAAACGAAGCAGAACAGATTTGGATTCGGGGTGAGCTGATCCGCATGGAGTGGAATGATGCCTGTTTGTCGAAGGAAGTGGAAGAAAACAACATCGAGGAGAAAAAGTTGAAGAAAGCGTTGAAGCAGGACCGGTTGGATTCTCCTACGCGGCGAGCGCGAGAATCAAAGTGGAACCTCGTACCCCTGCGGACCCGCGTCCCCGAGCTGGCGGTGAGCGGTCTGATTGGTCGCGGATACGCGATCTACCAAATCGAGTCGAAGACGTGGTGGGGCCGGTTGAAGAACGCAGTTCCATTTTCTCGGGGTAGTGTGCCAGCTGGTAGTGCCGCAGCTGTTGCTCCACCGCAGGTGCCGCCGGACAACAATCCGAAACCCCAACCGAAGCAAACCAAAAAACAGAAAAAATCAGCTGCAGCAGGCGAAAGTAAATCTGCAGGCGCGAGCGCGCGCGCGGGCGCACAGGTGGGCGCGGGCGTGCGCGCGCACACGCACACGGGCGCGCAGGCGCACGCACATGTAGGCGCGGGCGCGCAGGCAGGCGCGGACGCGCAGGCGGGCGCGGGCGCGCAGGCGGGCGCGCAGGCGGGCGCGCAGGCGCACGTGCACGCGCACCCGCACGTGCACGTGCACGCGCACGCGCAGGCGGGCTCGCAGGCGGGCGCACAGGCGCATGTGCACGCACAGGTGCGTGCGCGTGCGGACGCGGGCGCGCGCGCGCACGAGGCGGGTGCGAAGATAGTGGGTCGCGCTGGGGCGGAATTGCAATTGCAAGCGGAAGTAGATTCGGAGAATAAAAGCGGCGGCGACGGACAAGTGAAGAAAACGCCAAACGGCGGCGTTTATCGGGATCGATACTTCGGGGGGAAGAGCAGAGAGGCGCTGGTGAAAAACATGATCGAGTACGAAAAGGGGTCGAGCGAATCGCACATCGCTCCGGCGGGTGAGGATCTACTATCTGCTACTACGACGCTAACGGCGTATCTGAAGGACAACAAGCTAGTAGCAAAAAAACAAAAAGGGAGTGACAACATCGAAATGAATTCCGACGACGAAAGCACCTACGAGTCGTCGGGAACCGCCTCTGATTTCGACGAGTCTGAAACTTCTGATGAAGACTAAAGGGCGGCAGGGCGGGATGCTGAAAGCACTGCTAGCAATGTGCTTCTGATGGAAAACTCGCCGGCACTAGGTCGAGCACTGCTTCCGCGTAGTGCTAAGTTTTGTTTTGGCACTCACTATCTTGCTTTGAAATTAATTTAGTTTTTCTCCTTGTCCTTCGTGTTAAGCTTGAGACTCAGCATCAAGCGAATCCGTCATGCAAAACGAAAACCAAAATTAAAGTGTATACTTTTTTGCTCGATTGAAATAGGTGGAGATAAGCTCCACGCAGTAAGCTCTCCACCGAGCAAGAGATGAGATTTGGTTACTATTAATGCGCAGGAACTAGGCGAATTCGCATTACAAACCAATAGAATCATGTACAATAAAGCGCTGAACTTAAGATGCAATAGTTGAATTCAGTACTGCGAGTTGCATCTTTTTTATCTGTACGTGTATGATTTTTGGCTCTAGAGTTTTGACATTTTAATGGTTTCAGGATAAAAAAAAGGTAAAAAACGCAGTGAATTTTGTCAGACTAGAGCTAGAATATTGAAAAACAGTTAGTACCTTTGCGAAGATTTCTGGTGTCGTTCGGAGGTGTTTTAGCTCCGTTTCGCCACTTTCTCGTCCTGCAGATCGAGGCAGATTCGTGTGTTCCAACGGGGAAAATAGATCAGATCGAGGTTGTCCGAGACTGCAGCGAAGCGTTTCTGTGTTTGTTTTTTGACAGATGTGGGCCGTCTACCGAGGTGAATAGTCATGATGCTCGACGTGAATCGAAGTTGATTTTGTATGATGAAAAGAGAACCAAAAGACGATGACTCAAAAATTAAATTGTAGGAGAAGTGATCTCCTTCACATTGAAAGAGATGAGGACCACTTCATGAAGTAGACGAGACCTCTTTGGAAGTGGAGGGCCTCCCTTTGCCTACAATTTAATTTTTAAATCATCATTTTTGGGATCGTTTCGCACCGTCCAATCTCGACTCATTTCAAGTTTGAAAGCCGTCTCGTTTTGATTTTTTTCGTCATCATTCACCACCAAAAATACCCTAATAGGAGAAGAAAACCTGATAGAGAATATACGAAGACCAACTGATTTGCGACCTATTTTCCATCTCACTCGTGCTGAGTTTTGTGTAAAAAAAGTTGCATCACAGCGCTTTTCCGTGTAAAAAAATACCTATTTTCCACCGAATCTTCCTTCAAAATGCCGCTTCCGAACGACAGGGAAGTGGGCGACTTTGTTTCGTTGCTCGATGCGGGCGAGGCTGGTAAGCCTGAGGCCGAGGCGTTTGTGGCCCGGTTCTCGAAGCTCCCGTTCGACGAAAAAAATCCGAAAGCCATCGAAATTCCCCTGACCGAAGTGCACGTGAAAAAGAGTGGGCGCCATCCGCAAAACCGCGCTACGAACCCGGACAACCTGAAAACACTGAAACACGCGATGAAAAACAAGGGGAAAAAGGGCGGCTATGAAGGAATGAAAGTCGGTACGTGCAAACTTTTTTTCGTTTCACATGCGTTTTTCGTTCAAAAGTATTAACGTTCGTCATCATCTCATCGCTCAAGTGTTTCGTTTAAAAATAAAAGCAAACCATGAAAAAATAGAGCACGCAGTAATGATTTGTGATGCGCGTTTTGTTTTTTTTACATCATGCAGCTTGATAATTTCCATGTCAATCCTCATGCACTTGCACTTGCACACGCACAGGAAAAGTGAAACTACACCAGCGCGTAAAGTTAGAAAATAAAACTAAAACCCAAATTTGATACCAGTTTTATTCGCTGTCGATTACGGGAACTCCGGGGTCTACGACTACGTGTGCGCCTTCCTGCACGGGGGCCACACGATCTTGGCTCTGTACGAAGAAGGGTGGTTTGATTTCGGGATCAACGTGATCCTCCTCGACCCGGAAATCGACCAGCACGAGGCTACCAGAGAAACACGCGCTACTGCAAAAAAAAATTTGTAATGCAGCAAGAGCACTTGCTTGTTTGCATTTGTCCTGCAGAACATTTGCCATGCAAAAAGTGAAAAGGAAGTTTGTCATGCAGAAAAAACGACATGCAAAAATTTGTCATGCAGAAAAAACGACACGCAAAGTATCCTGCTCTTGTGTGTCACCTTTGTTTTTGCAGTAGCAGATGTTTCATTCCATAGACGAGCTAATCTCCCAGTTTGTGCTCTTGAAAAACGACGAACCCGTCGGAATGGCTCCGTCCTGGCTGGAAGTCATCAAGCGCACCGCGCGGGTACATATCTTTTCCGTTTCGAATTCGATCTGTATTTGCTCCTAGACCTGCAGCTCCAACTCCATTCGTTGCTGCGTCTTCAGGTTCTGCTGGAGCTTGAGACTGATCTTCATAAGTTATATCTTCTGACTCCGCAATGCAAGTTTTACTTTTAATGTTCTTGCATGTGTGAGTGCGATTCAGATTTTCATTTTTGTGTTGCGTTTTGTTTTTCGCAATCTAATTTTCGAATAAAAAAATATCAGAACGACGAAGCCTACGCCGAACACGAAGAAAACCAAAAGGCCAAGGGAAGAGAACCCCGCCCCATGGAGGAATGGACCGAAGGCCAAGTGGGAAAAGAGTGGAAGGGGCAGGTGAAGACGTACAAGCAAACGGCGTGCACAATGGTGAAGAAGGGCTTGTTATGCATTGCAAAAAAGAAAAATATCGCGCCAGCAAGTGGGAACAAAAATAATGTCTTGTTTCTTTACTTACTAACAAGCCTGCAAATAAAAACTTCATTTGCAAACTTGTCATGCTGAAAAATTTTTGGTCTCTGTTGTAACTTGTCACGCGACTGCACCTGGTACTGGTGCGATACTTTTGAAAATGCATGATCGTGCTTTGAATGGACCCTGTTCGGAATCGCGATCAACACCCAAGTGCCGCGGCCCCGGGAGAAGGACGAGCACATGACGTTGTTCAGCTTCGCGCGCGTATATTTGAATTTTTAAACTTATCGCTGCTTCGTTTTCGTTATCGTTTTAAATTAAAGTTTACGGCTAGACTTTGGATTAGCATTGCAAAGTAAAAACGTTTTCTAAAAAAAAGACTGTCGCTGAGAGTCATGCTTTCGCCTTCCGATCCGAATTCATTCAGAGATGAAAAAACAAAACGAACAACAGAGCAAGTTGATGCGCGTGGCCGTGTACGACGAAGAAACTCCGATGCGGAGTTTGCGTCTCGATATGCACTTTGCAATTTGGACCACGCTGCACTACGCTTGCGGGAAGACGGAGGACCAAGTCAACCTGCAGGAGGATGATCTGAAGCGGTTGCGGAACCTGATCACATCCAACGTGCCGGCGCTGAAGTTTGAGGACTTGTCCGAGCAGGCGAAGACGAAGCGGGACCCGGCAGCGATGGAGCAACTGACTCCGGTCGCGCGGAAGGAAACCAGAAACAAAATCATCCAGCTGTTCCGCGCCATGAAGGCGTTGAAAAACTTCTACGCCGGGTTGAAGTCTTTGACTTTGGAACCGCAGCAGCAGGTGCAGGCTAAGGAGCTGATGGACAAAGCCGATCCCAAGACGTACGACCTGAGATTCAACGGAAGCTGGATCATCCCGCGGGACTACACCAAAACGACCCAAGAAATTGCGGACGAGAAGTTTCTGTTGAACGAGCTGCCGAAGCTGATGATGCAGATCCACCAGTTTACCGCCAACCGCTGCTCCGCGCTGACCCTCACCGTGTGTCTGGCGGACAAGGAGTTTGACGAAACGCCCAGCCTCGCGAAGTTCATGTACGTCTGCGACCGCGAGCAGAACAGCTACTACGTGGAGAAGCTCACCGGTGCGGAACCGAAAGACGCGAAGGACCGGGTCGAAAAATCCGTGGAGAAGGACGTGCTCTTGTTGCCGTTGTACGCGAAGCACGACTGCTACGCCTTGGGCGAGACTGTGGATGTGCGATCCAACTGGGGTTCGAAGACCGGCAAGAAGACTTCTAACAAAAAGGGAAAGAAGCCGGAAGCGGAAGTGGAGGCGAAATTGCAGGTGCTACTCCTAGCCTAGTTTTTTTCTCTTCAGTTTGAATCTGACGAAACATATTTTGTTTTTCACTTCTTGTTCTTTTTCTTCGCATGACAAAATATTTTTTGATTTGAAAACGAAAAAGAAAATGAAGTCACGTGTGCGCGCGCGCCCGTGCGCGTGCGTACACGTGGGCGCGCGCGCGCATGCGCGCGTGCGTACACGTGCGTGCGCGCACACATGCGTGCGCGCGTACACACGCGTGCATGCGTGCGCGCGCCCGCATGCGCGTGCATGTGTGCGCGCGCACGTGTGCATACGCGCGTACGTGCGCGCGCGCGCACATATACGCGCGTGCGTGTGTACGCGCGCCCGTGCGTGCACGCGCGCGTGCGTGTGCGCGCCCGTGTATGCGCGCGCACGTGCGCATGCACGTGTTGGTGTTCGTTTTCATTTTCAAGTCACAAAGAGCTGCGCTATGCGAAAAAGAAAAAGTGAAAACCAAAATTGTTTTGTCAGACTCGTTAATAATTTTCTACTGATATTTGCAAACTTGTGATGCAAAAACACAGGACCAAATTTACGACATTGTCATGTGACTACGCATGACAAACATGAAAAAAAAATCAGGTCAAAGAAGGGCAGGGCGCCGAAGCGGAGGAAACTGCCGATCAGAAAAAGTCCCGCGAAAAGCGTGAGCAGGTGCTGAAGACGGATCCGAAGAAGGCCAGCTTGGAGTACTTGAAGCAGAAGCCGTGGAAGTCCCCGCTGTGGTGCTCCGTCGTGCCCAGCGAGTACGCGTCGCAGACCGAGGGGGAGATGCAGCGAAACCAGGAACGGGTACCGCGCTTGCGTATTTTGGTGAAGCCGGACGTCTCCACGTACAAACCCCCGACCGCCGACGGAGAGGAATTTCAGCTGGACACCCTGTTTTACTACCCCCAGAAGAAGAACTTCGGCGGTAGCTGGGACTTTCAGGACGACCTCACCCACTCGCTCGGGTTGTCGTAAGATTTGTTTTTTTTTGAAAAAGTTTGCCTTTACTTTTTTCACAGCATCACAAATGCAAAAAAATTGCGAGTAAATCTCAAATGCCACCGCATGACAGATGCAACATGAAAACGACACTCATTTGCATCCATCGCGATGCAAGAATCTTCATGGCCATTGCAATTGCTGGCTCACCGCATGACAAACGACAAACAATTAATCACATCAGGCATGTGGCCTATTTTTGGAAACCGGCCGACAACAATAAAGTCGACCGCTTGACCGTGATCTCGTGGAAGACCTGTGAAATCCCCTTCCATGGGCGGGATGGCAAGAAGACCAAGATCACTTTCCAGGTCCCGGTGGAGGCGTCGGTTAAATCCAGTGGAAACCCAAAAAAGGTGAAGCAGGACGAGATCCTGTGCTGAGCCCCAAGAAAGAGAAACTAGGATCAAGATGCACGGTCACGGTGGACGGAAATTAAAACTAGTAAACAGGTAAGCCTTGCAGATTTTTTGTTAGTCTTAGTTTTAAAAAGCAGCCGAAGCTTTGGAACATCTTGCACAGAGCCGTGCGACTTCTCGCTGCGTTCAAAATTTTTTTGGTTTTGTAGCGGCTTCGTTCCGGTCGTGAAATAGGCACTCATACTCAAAGCCAGGCCCAGTTGTTAGCTCAAACTAACTACGACCCCAAATCCAAAAGCAACACAAATTCCAAAAAGTACGCAGGTAGTCGCAACAGCACTACGGCCATGAAGGTACACCGCGACGGTCTTGCTCTTCGTGGTTTCAAGATTCTCCTTTTCAACATGAACATCAAAAAAGCTACTACAAAAGCGAACTGCTCTTCAACGACGAATGCAAGCGATCGACCATTTTTACTACCGACTGCGGCTGCGCGGTCTTGGTTGCGTTCTTCTTTTTGGAAGCAAAGGCGCGGAAGGGCGATGGCGGTTGAACGGTGGGAAATGCCATGCAACCTGGGAGAAGAAGTTTCCAACTTTCGCAAAGCTGCAGCTCGCAGCTTTACTGTCGATCTAGAATCAAAAAAAATCTGAAGCTCACAATTTACATTAACGTTTCGAATTTTTCCGTTCGCGATAGATTTCAGTTTTCAGTTTGAATCTCAGGAAGCAAAGCCTTCAAAGCAAAAACTATTGTCGACTGGTCGAGCACGGGCTCCACATCGCCGACCTAGATTTTGATTTACGTTTACATTTAGGTTTATCTCTACCGCTATTGTCAGGCTAGATTTATGTTTATCATCGGCGTACTCAGAGTCAGACTCAGAGTCTAAATTTCGAGCGTCAGCATCTCGGTTGTTTGTCAGCAGCGGCATGTTTGGCCTTTAGGTCTAAGCATGGCTGTGTGCTTTTTCATTTTCTTTTTCGCTTTATCGAAAAAACAAAAATTAAAACTAAAACTCAGGGTCAGAGCAACCCACTCACTTTCGTTTCCACCTCCGGGTGTAGTCATGCGACGGCTACTTTCCAATCATCAGGCCCTACTAGTACAAGTACTAGACCTAGAACTAACTCTAACAGAGGCAAAACTAAAACAAAAACTAAAAGCTTCAGGAAAGCAGTAACTTTGCCCCAAGCTGAAGAGCAAAGGCAGAACAAAATCAAAAAGAAAAAGCGAATGCGAGAGATTAAAAGACACAAATCAGAAGCCATTCTTTGCACCTCTTCCTGCATTTTCCACTACTAGAAGTTTCGATTTAACTTTTCGACTTTCATTTTCATTCTTCGCGAAGACTGAAGTAGAGGCGCAGCTCCAGCTTCACCAATTGCGATTCGGATGTACTTTTTCTTCGACGTGGTTCGAAGATTTTGACTTTCTCGACCTTGCAGCTCAGCTGATAAATTTTAAGTGTCGACCTGTACCTGTAGAATCTCGAAACCGAAAAACAAAAACCAAAAAAAAGGCCGCGCTATCTCGATGCAATGAGATTGAGAACGACATGAAGACGCTCGCCCTCGTGATCGCCTGTCAGTTTCTGAAAAAGCTGAAACTGGGCTGGAGATCGATGGATGAATAACGTGAGGTCGCAAAGGAGATCAGACTGCGGCTAGAACTAGATCCAAAAAAAAGAAAAGCCGAAGTTCCGCCAAAGACTACAAGTTGATCGCCTGGATCCAAAGGAGGCCAGCGCTCAGTTCTGAGGGGTCTAGCAGATCAAGCGAAGAAAAAAACTTCGCCTGTTTCCACGCAAAAAGCATTCAGCTTCTGGATCTCCTTGCACTCTGAGTTTCAATTTTTGAAGTTTTCATCAGAGTTTTTTCTTTTTCGCTTTCAAACTTTCAGGGACCTAATCTACTCTTATTTGTGCTTGTAGCTCGTTATCATTTCCATCTGAGTTTACTGTAGCTCGTCGCTTCCATCCACAGCAAGGTAGTTGTCCTTCCGTCTGAATTTACTTTTTTTCTTTTCCCTCGAACCTGATCTCGGGCAGCGTAACTTCGATTCCGATCTCTACGCTTACTTTCTTTTTTTGCAAAAGCAAAAAAAAAAAACAACATCAAGATGTCGGACCAGAAAGCGAAACTGGTGAAGCTGGGCCCGAAGTGTGCCGTCGACGACGACGAGCACGAGGATGGCCCGCCGCCGGGAGGTGTGCGGTTTAGAAATATTGTTGGGGCAACGCGGGCGGAAATGGAAGAACTGCACAAAGACGAAATCAACCAATGGACGGCGGACAAAAAATACCCAGGACACATGAAATGCATGATGTTCCTGGATGATGTTGACGAAGGTGCCCCCGGAACCGGATGCACCCAGGCGGAGATGTGGGTACTAATGCTGGCGCTTTTGTTTTTTATTTTTTGTTTTGCATTCAGAGGGATTAGGATTTTCATTTTGCGTTTTCGAGTCGAAGTCTAAATTTGAAATTTCAAACCTAACAGTGGGATCAAACCGAGAAGGAGGAGAACTTCGTGGACAGCATTTTTGGGATGATCCGGGGCCAGACCAAGCGGCGAAGCGGGACAGAAGAAGTGGATGCGTCGGGGATGACGAAACAGGAGCAGCTGGAAATCATCAACATGATCTTCAACATGGCGGAATCTGATGATAACGCGGCCTGGGCGAAGGCTTTTTTGGTGGACGAGGCGACCGGTGGCGCTTACGGATCCGCTTCTTCTTCTTCTTCGACTGGTTCCGGAATCACTCCTGGTGGAGCTTCTTCTTCTTCGCGCCCGAACAACGAACAGATGGAAGAAAAAACGAACGATGACGATGCGAGCGAGGAGATGGAGGTGGAGGCGGAGAGCACCCCGACCACCAAGGCCGGGAAAAAGAAGAAGAAGCAAAAGGCCAAGAAGTAAACATCTTTCACCTGTTCAGCGCGTCGAGCTCGAACTGAAAAACGTCGGAATCAGCTCGAGCTGAACAACTTCTACATCTTCAACTTCTAACTCTACTGCTAAAGCAAGAAGCTCAGATTTTTGATGACGCGAATGGCAACGAGAAACAAGCACAAGTAGATGAAAAAAAAACGACAACGAAATGCAGCCGAAGCTGTGAAATTTTTTATGGGTGTGCTCGGCGCTCCCTTCGGTGTCTTTCTCCTTCGATGATGGGTGTCATTGGTCTGACGATGGTTCATCGCGTCCTGCGACATTGCCCCGACCACTCTGACCTTCCACTGAAGCCGGCGCAGAAATGGAATGCAACAGTCGTCAGGACCGACGTCGTTATATAAATTCAGGGGCGTGGGCATCCTTCTAAACACCCACTTTTCGCATGCCAAAGTTCAACATCAGGATCAAAATCGTATTAAGAAAAAGTGGCAAATCGGTTCAAAAAAAATAGAAGTGAAGACGTTCACGAACAAAGATAATCATGCCAATTTTCATAGTTATAAAAATTGATAGTATTTCAAAGGGTAGTGGTTCACTTATAAAATGAGGAAAGCTGAAGGCTTGTCCCACCATAAATCGTTGCGCATTGGCTTGGTGCGCGTTTGGAATCCCATGCGTGTACAATTACAACCAATATAGATTGCAATATCATTTTCGATCGCGACAGGCTCTCAAGCAATTGCAATCGTTGCCGTCCGTGGACAAAGTATTGCAGTCGACCCCGGGGCTACTCCTTTCTACGCAGGCTCGCGTGGTTGCCAGCGGTATGCTCGCGCTGGGCCGCATAGCAGTCAAGGATGGATGGAGAAGTTTGCCCGATGATGTGGTCATCGATGCTGCAACATTCGCTGTCGTTTTGCCTCCCTTCGCAACAGACTTTTGCCAAGTCTTGTTTACGGTATTTGCAATATCGTTGGAGTGTGTCTGGTGTAAGGTAAATTAGGGGAAGAATGTGTTGGCATAGATGTTTTAGTTTAAAAGGAAAGAAGGAAAAAAAAAAACTTCTCCCAGCAACTGCAAGCATACGGAGAGAAGCGCGATCGTCTTGCTCGGCCAATTGAGGCCTGGGATCCCACGACGAAGACCGCGTTGAGTTTCAAGGACGTCCAGTGCAAGGACTTGAGGAGCATCCGCTTAGTATCGCTGAAGCTGCGGCTGCATCTCGTCCAACTCTTCGGGACGCACGCCCCCCACGCCATGACCGACTACTTACACTACAATTTGCGGCGCACGATAAAAGCGCTAGTAATGAACGCCCCGAAGATAGCGCTGTTGGACAAGTCGGAGATAGAACACAAGTGGCCGCTCAAGTTTCACGGCGCGCGCGGGCGATACGCCGAAGCGGCGCGGTCAGCAGTGCAGAAGGCGGAAAGCGCCAAAAGTGACGCTTTCAAGAGACAACTGGAAGAGGCGCAGCGGTCGCGCAATCATCTCGAGTTACAACTCGCGCAGGAACAAAAAGAAACCGCAGCGCACAAGCAGCTTGCTCGGGCTCTGGAACAGGAGAAAGGGGATCAAAGTAATGAAGTGGCGGCGTTACGCCTAGCGAGTGCCGAAATGGTCCAGGCGAGAGCCAAGGCCGAGGCAGCAGCTGCTGAACGTGAGACGCGTTACAGAACACAACTGCACGAGGAAAATCCCAAACAGAATTCCACTCGTCGACTCAGTCTCCCTGCAAACTTCTTCGACGATAGGAACGCGTCGCCGAGAGGGAGATCGGAACCATCATCCGATAGCTCCGAAGTACGCCCAGTTTACTTCGGATACCGCAGTAGGGAGAAGGATCGGCCGGATGATAGCAGGCCAGTGAAAAGGCGGCACACCGCGGACCACACGGACCTGGTAGACGCCACCGCGAAGTTTACTAACTTCACGCTTGAAGGACTTCCCCGGAACAGGGCGAGTGGCAGAGCTGACACATCTCCGTCCCCCAACCAGCGGGCTGCTTCTTCCCCCCTGATGTACGCAGCGATAGGGGATGGTAACCCTTACGCAACCGCCGCCCTGCTCGCGAACGCCTCCCAAAGTGCGCACGCCGATCACACCATGGATGCTGGAGCATACCTGGACGCCGCACACCACCCAGTGGAGGATAAAATTGATTCCAGGCCATCTAGTCGAGTCTCATTTGGTGAATGCGGGGCAGAAAATCTCAGCAAGAGCGTTCCGTGTTTTGCAGCGGAAGGTGCTCAAATTTGCAGAGCTCGCGCGGGTCAGGAACAAGGACGGCAAATGAAGACTTTTCTTATAGCAATAAGTTCATGAGAGAATAATTAATATATAAAAGGTTCTGGCACGCGGTTAGAAATAAGCGGGAGAGCATGACCACCACGAATGGCTGAGGCTTCGACGTGGTAACATCGATAAATTCTCTCTCTCTCATTGGCTCAGGTTTGTTGTCGGATACGCTTTTACCACCACGCGATCTTCTTTGGGCTCTCGGTCAACGAGCAGTACAAATTGATCTCATCAGTTTAGACGAGGAATCTGATCTGCTGCAATGGGCCCGGGCCTTTACGACGCTCGCCGCGAATAAACTTTTGACCAAGTCGGCTTGGAACAAAGCGGTCGAAGACCCATCGCGTGTTCCGAAAAAGACGGAGGCGCTGGCGTGGCCGTTTGGATATCTAGTGGCGGAGCAATCTGCTGCCTTAGAGCTGCTCGAGGGCTTGCTGGCAAAAACGGCTTCAGTCGAGTCGACGCAAGTCACTATGCTCTTCAACCAGGCGGCTTCGTCGGTGCAGACGCTCCAGGTAATGACGCTAATGTTGTAGTGCGTCGCATTATCATAACCTAGATTAGCGCGACCATTTCCGCATGCATTTCATGAACAAGCGAAGTCTCAGTGCATTTGAAATAAAAACACAGGCACAGACTCGCAAGGTCGCCAAAATAGTAAAAAGGCGCAAGACAGTCAGACCGCATGACCTGCAGTCAGTGACTAACACGACCGAGGATGCGGCGAAGATAGTGCTCGGAGAGTACCGCCACACTTCTCTACTGCTGGCACCATACACGTTAGCCGATTTATGGCGCGAGCCGCGGGAGAGCACATTTGAGTTGTGCGCATCGTTGAAAGAGCGAATCCGCGCGCGGCACGTGAGCGACTCGTTCCTGCAGAAGGACGCTGCAAAAGGTTTTGTGTTGTATTTCGACTACCTCCAGAACATTCAGGCGAAAGTCGTCGCGTCCAATAAAGAGAAAGCCAAACCCGAGAAGGATCGGAGCCCCGCGTTGATTTTCAAGGAGCCAAGCTTGGATGAGTTTGTTGCAGGTACGAGTGCGCAGCTTTAGACTGCGTTTTGCATGCGGAGTCAGAAGCTTAATTGATACTTGGCTACGCATAAGCAGCTTGTCAAGCATTCACATAAAAAACGTACATGATATCAGGTGTAGCAGACTTGCATCGGATTGCCGAAGAGTGGTCCGAGGAGGCTGTGGCTGCCGCAGAACGGTTGAAAACCAGCAAGGGAATCCCCAGCGGGGGAGTAAGAGCGATCGCAGCCAAAGGTAGTAATCGAGTGCGCGCTGCGGCCACAACCAAAGGTGCGAAATCGCAGGAGGTAGTGCCGAACCGTAGTCGCAGGAACTCGGACGATAACGCACCGCGAGGAGGCAAGCGGAGCAGCAGTAAAAAAGGAAGTACGGGGAAGGACACTTGGCGTCGGTCATCGTCAGCGGATAGCTGGGGTTTCCGCCAGGGAGGAGCTGGCTCGTGGGAGCAAGGCGCGGGCTACTATCGTGCAGACCCCTTTTACGCCCCCGACCACTACCACTACCAGCAGCAGCAAGGGTTCGGCAGTCACCCGTACGCTGCGTACGATCCGAACGTCGCGGGAGCGCCGAAGGGCCAGTTCGGGTCCCCCACGCCGCCTCCGTTCGGAAGTGGCACCAAGGGCGATTTCAAGGGCAAGAAAGGCAAAAACAAGTACGGTAAGAACGACTGGAACCCGTCCAAGGATGGCAAGGGCGACCGCAAGCCACCGGGCTCGCGCATCACAGAACGCAGGGCGAAATTAGTAGTAGCTTATAAGAGCAAAGCAACTGAGGAAGAGCTGCGTAAAGACACTAAGTTGTGTGCTTTCCTGTGTTGTTCTCTCAACAAAGTTAAGTTAGACTCGGGCGAGGAAGTGTATTGCCCCGCCACGGACGCGGAATGCACCCGCGATCATCCATACTCCAAGCAAAAGAGCGCAGAGCTTCATAAAAGATAACTCCAAGAAAGAATGTGAAAAATAAATAATATATTATTTGGAAACGTGCCGCAGAATGCAGTGCGTCACGGGTGGGCTCCCAAGCTGTAAATCCCCAGATCTTATCAGACTTTAGAGCTCTGTTTGTTTCGAACTGTATTTCTACAGAGCTACTTTTGATCTGCGCCTTCTTGTTGTTACACTGTAAAAAGCAAGACCGCGACTGTTACACAAAATATCTGACGGCGAGCTAGGCTACCACATGCCAGCTACGCACAAGCCACAGTCGGTGTTCTTATGTGCGCCACTCATGGGGGCTCGTAAACAACGCAGTACGGATTCGAGTCCAGTCGTCGCTCCAGGTCGTGCAAGCCAGCAATATTCGTGCGCCAAAAAATATTCACGAAAGTGTCCCTCAATTCGTCGGGTTCTTCTTCTCCGCATTACTCGGCGCCTCGCCATCGTACGGCAATTCGTCGCGAACTATCGCTAAGTCGTAAGTGCGAGGCTCTTCGTCATACTCGTGACCAGTAAAGCTTATTCTCACCAGCATCACATACAAAAACCTACCCGCAAAGCAGAGCACTCAGACCCTTTTTGGTAAGTAATTTTTTTTCAAATCTGGATCCCGCAGTCAACGAGACCAAGTTGCCGCCAGCGTTTTGCTTTTTCCAAAAAGCAAACGGGAGTGTCGTTGTGCGTATATGTAAATGTCCTGCCGAACATGCCGCGTCCTAAAAAACGTAAAATTCAAAAGCGTGAGGAAATGCCGGAACGTGGCGGCTTCCCGGAAGCAGGCACAGATGAGGTCGGAGAAAATTACGACCACGAGGACACTCTCACACAGGAGAGACGCAACGCAATTGACAAGCTGCGAGGTAGGCAGAAAATGGCCGACCTGAAGCGCATCGATCCAGTCCGAGAAGGCAAGGATCAAGGCGTTGTTAGACGAGCTCGACCAGTTCTTGCTCGCAAACCAAACAAGCACCAGGGCGATGAGTTCGAGCAACTCAAGGTGGAGATATCTCCGCACATTTGCAAAATAAACCAGATGTTTATAGGAACGGGCAAGGAGTTCGGGACGAGGAGACACAGCTCCTTCGCGATGCGCACCATCGCCGAGAGATGCGAATTCCTCAACGAGAACAAAAGAGAAATGAGATACGGGAAGCAGGGATTCGCAAGCCTTGGGCTCCCCGAGGAAGGAGAAGTACCGCGGTACGGCGCATGGCCGACAGGTCGGAAACTCTCACAAGAAGAAGTTCAGAGATTGCAGGACTTCTCTTTCCACGATCCGGCGCGGCGCCAGGCTGTCGCTGCAGCGCAGCAGAAACAAAAAGCACCACCCGAAGGTGCGGACCTGGACACTCATACCAGGTGCTACGCAGCGTACGCACAGCTGCTGACGGACGGAGTCGCTGAGTTAATCCCTGAAGACGAGGCCGAAGCGATGAAAGCCAAGGGCGACTATTTCGTGGACGTGTTCGGCTTGGGCCAGCGACCTGATGATGAGGGTCGGTTCCAGAAGGTGCGCCCGATTTCAGACGAATCGGTCCGCAGTGAGCAGCTCTCGCCGCCAACCGAACACATGGCACTACCAGGAATCCCAGCTATAATGCAGGGCGTAGTATATGCCATGAGTCCGGAATTAGAGGGGCGGTTCGCACAGGACAAAAAAGACGCGTTGCGGTCAGTTGCTGAGGGACGTAAGAAAGCTGCTGCAGCTGGTCGGAAGAAAATGATGTGGCGGGACGTCACTACCTTGCCGCGCGGAAAGCAACGATATGCCGGCCAGTCCTTCACCCCATCCTTCACGAAAAATGACTTACAGATGGCGTATTTTCAATACGGAGTCCGCCATCCCCGGCGCAATATGTGCCGCATATACAACCCGCACACGGGTAAATTTGAACACGGGCGCCTTTTGTGTCTTAATTTCTATCGCCAAAAACAACCCCTCCCTCTTTGGATAACTGTTGGCGAACTCTTGTTGCAATTGCTCGCACAGAGCCGCCCCCGGCGCCAGGCTCTCTATTTTCGCGCTAATTTTCCTACAGTCGGCGCTCTTGCGGGGGCGCTAATTTCTTGTCTAAGTTTTTGTCTAATTTCTTGTCTAATTTCCTGTCTAAGTTTTTGCCTAATTTCTTGTCTATTTTCCTGTCTATTTTTTTGCCTATTTTCCTGTCTATATTCGCGGTCTTTGCCGCCTCTAATTTCTGTCTAAGCAGCGGCCTTGGCCGCTTCGGCTGCTGTCTATTTTTTGTCTAATTTGCCCAGTTGGGCAATTTGCGTGCGATTTTGCCTATGTCGGCCGTTGCTCTGAAATTTAGGCGCAAACTTAGAAAATTTCGGGACGTGGTCAAGAACGGATGAAAGGGAAGGCGGCGCAATTGCTTCGACACTGCGCCTTTCAGGCGGGTCAACGGCGATGGGCACAAGCGTCTGCGTTCTGCAAGTCGCCCGCGCCCCGCCTGTGTCCCCGGCAAGGGTTGCCCGCCTCGGCCTATTGCCCAGGGCGGGCTTGCTCGCCGAGGCTAGGGCTTGGGCGGTTCAAAAAATAGCGGGAATTTAGGCAGTCGCCCGCCGGGGCTGGCTCTCCGCGAAATTACATGACGTGCGCAAATTCGGCAAAACAAAACTCAGCGCAAACACCGCGAGGAAGGGTTGTTTTTTCTAGATGCATACTCGCGGCAATATCCACTCGGTGTTCGGATTCACCGGCGCGAGTAGCGAGCTATTAAATCGCTACATCAGCTGCGTATTGGAAATGCCGGCGTTCGTTTACATCGACGATATCATTACGATGTCGGGCAATGTGCTGGGCAAGGTCTATAGCGACGCGGTGCGGCGTTTGTGCGCGATGATCGGAATCGCGGTAGCACCATCCAAGGTGGAATTCGCGAACCTCGCCGAAAGGTGCGAAGTCCTGGGCATCCGAGTCGAGGTCTTTCCGGTGAAAGTTTTGCTCTCTCTGTCACCGAAAAAGGTAAAGCAGGTTACCGAGGAGATAGATGCTGTTGCTAAAATCTTACAGTCGTCGCAGTGCCACACCTTGTTCAAGAGGCTGCAAAAACTACAGGGCTCATTGATGTACGCGCTCTACCAACGACGCTACCGCCGCAGCATGCCGCGCATAAAGCAGCTGTATGCCCTCACCACGTCGCCTGCCAAGTTCCGCCACGCGATTCAGGCCGAGGGAACTCGCGCGACCCTGGTGGTCATGCTCGCGCAGGCAAGCAAAATAATCGCAGCTAACGAACCAACCGAGATCGCACAGGATGTTGCGGCACAAGAACGGGCGCACCTCATGGCCGATGCGTCAGCCGATCATGGTGAAGTAGCTTACGGCGGGGCTCTGTTCCAGAACAACCAGTCGTCCGTCGGTTTCTCGCTGTTCAAACAAACGGGAAAAGGAATTGCCGGAATTCCTGAAGCGCTCGCGCATCTTGACGCGCGAGATGGTGGCGATCGCAATCGCAATAAAACTTTTTGCAGAACAGTTGGAGAACAAGAATTGCGCTAGTCACGTAGATAATAGCGCGGCGACGTACGGGATAGTGAAGGGAGACCTTCGCAGCCACAAACCCGCCGCTGCCGCGGCGTATTTGTGTGAAGTTTTCTACGCTTCAAAAAGTTGGCTTTATCATGGGTATATTAGCACACATCTTAACGCTTCAGATGCGTGCACAAGACGCGACATGCTGAGTGATCTGTTAGAGTTTTACAATACATCGCTCCCCTTTTCTAACCACCAGGTAGAGTCTGCGTTCATTCAAGTAGTTCAGGAAATCAAAGACGTGTGCGATAAGTTTGACAAGCTGCATTTGTAAAGTCTCTTTGGCACTGGGCAGACAATAGGGAAACTTGGCGTCCTTTTACATTTTTGCACATGACAAACCTGAAGCACAAAACTCGACTCTAATCATTCGGTATCATAGAAAAATGGGAGAAAGTCTCGGCCTGTTCAGTTGATAACACAACATGACCACGCGACAATCGGTATCGTCTTGCGATTTATCGCACGCACCCCGTTCGATCGAGAGTAACGTCGTTGGACTAATTGAGAGCGCCCTGTAGTTCTCGACGAGTCGGTTAGGCGATCAGTAGCCTGACCTAAAGAATCATAAAAAATGAAAACAACACTAGTAAGCTGCATCCACAGAGCAGCGTCTTAATAAATGTAGTGCCCGCGTTCAAACCATTCCCCGTTTTTAGATCTGGATAACAGCACATTGTCTTCTCTGGAGCCACGCGCATGCTTTTGCAACAATCTCATTTGTGTTAAGTATCGTGCCAGTAAATCTTTGCCCTTGTTCGTAAAGCCTCATTGTCCTTATTGCCGAACATGGTGCCTGCAGAAACCACATTTGCTAACACAAACGGGCCCCATGCCGTTGGGCCCCTTCTATCTGAATCCGACAGGAAGAAAGCCCGCATCAGGGAGCGGCCCCCTCGTGATTTAGTGGGCCTTAGCCGCGGCACCCAAAATAATTATTATAATGGGACGCGTGAGTGCTTGGATCGATGGGCAACAGCGGTGCGGAACAAGCGCACGCCCCCCATTGTGTCCCGCTACTACTCCAACTTGTGGAAGCTGCCAGACGAGTTGGTGTTACGGTTGTGGCCCGAGGAGGAAGTTTTTGCGCTGAAAGATCACGGCCTCAGTCACCGTAATTCAAAGTGGCGCGTCTGGATGTATTACTGCATGACCCAGGAGCCCAGTTTTTTCATGAAGCTGGACAGCCTCCCGACTACGCGGGAGGGGATGGCGTTGCTACGACGCAAACATCCCAGCGCTCTGTGGTCGGATTTACAAAAATTCGGCCAGTTTTTGGTAGACCACGAATATGGCGATCCGTTGGTCTACCTATCTTTGGTCGCCCAGCGTTTGCGTTCTCTCAACGGCTTAGAAAAGACTAACGGATGGAGGGGATCGCTGCAGACATTTACCTTCGAAAATGTGCGACGCATGCTGGAGCCAGTCATGCGAACAAAAGCCCTTCCCCCCGATTTCGCAAAGGTGTCGACTCTCCCGCCTCGCGACCTGCGCATCTTTTTGCAGTGGTGGGTAACTGGCCTGCGGCCAAGGTCGTCTACGTCGATCAGAGTGGAGTACGCTCGTCCCGACACGACCTTCACCGATTTCATGGAAATCCCCATCCCCAGCATGAAGTGCTTGCCTACGCCTGGCGAACAATTCGCAGCACGCGTTCCGATGGACATCTGGGACCCGTTAGTGTTCCCTGTCATGATCAAGGACCTGTTGCGCATTACAAAAGCGCTTGGAGCCACATTGTACGGCCCTCGCCGTGGGCTTGCGATTGCGTTGCGGCTGCGCGCCATCCAAAGTGGGTGCCTTCCGGGCGGTTCCCCTAAGGAACGCAGAAAATGCGACATCTGCAAGGCTCGTGTTAACAAGTGGCTCGGCTGGGCCCACCGTTCCATGTTGTGGGAAAAGGAGTACACGGCCGATCTGATCCACTACGTTGATAAATCTTTTCTGTTACATCCGGCAGTGGAAAAGTTTTTTGTTGTCACCGATGCTGATCCCGAAATGCCAACTGACGTCCCCTCCGACGAAGAGGAGATCGACCCGGATGACAACGCGAACTTCTCTGCGCTGGAGAGTGCGACCGGGTGCACTAGGCCGAGCCCGGCAGGATTGTTCGGATCTATAACTCGAGGGCAGATAGATGATTCCAGTCACAAGAAGGTGTGAAGCCGACTAATCTATAACAGTTGGCGGAAAGGAGCGCTCTTGAGCGAGAGAATTCGCGAGTGAGAAGCAGCGAGCCTCCGAGGCTACTCGCAGGACGTACGTCTGACCCGAAGGACCCCGGTCTTCGCGGAAAAACTACACCTGCGAGGAATTACGAGACCGCGTCGTAGAGTACCTTCGCCCCTGGGAGTGAAGGGCGACTCCGAGCCGACGCGGGCTGCCTCTCGTGCTAATAGATTAGCTCTCGCGCAGCATAGCACGGACTATCAGTCGAACTCATGCAAAGTTCTGACTCCTCCCCACACGTGTGAGAGTTGCAGCGAAGTTCAAGTCTATTTTTCTGATGCAAGATAAGCCCCTTGCTCGATTGAATACTGTGCTGCATACCGGATTGGGCTGGCATTGTTGCGGTTTGACGTGGACGGAAACGGCATGCTAAACGCCACGGAATACAGCCAGTTCATTTTGCAGCAGTGGTCCCATCGTGACAGGCATCGGAGAAGGACGGGTAACGGATACAGAACCGAAACCAATTACACATCGTCTGAATATAAATCGAACACCAAACAGGACGACGACGAGGGCAGCGGTAGTAACTCTGACGCTGAGTTGTGTTTCTCGAATATTGACAAAGGCACAAACCAGGACGGACAGATTTCTCCCCTCGAAATCTTGGCAGTGGGGTGCGCACAGCACTGCAGGAAGCGACAGTGCGCGACGAGCAACCCCGAAAATCGAACCCGCATTTTCCCACCAAATAATAAACCAACTGCTCAATCAAGCTCTCACGACTCCCCCCCCTCCTACCTGGAAGTCAGTAGCAGTGAAAGTGGTAGCAGTACTAGTAGTGATCACAGCGGCAGTACTTCGTCGCAGAGCAGCGTCTCGAAATGGTTCTCGGGGTTATTTACGTCGGCTTCGCCTTTCCAAAATAGCTGTGGAGTGCCTGCCCCCGTTGCATTTGCGTGTTGCAGGGAGCCACCGATCGGTGACGCATACGAGGAGAGAGTGTTTGAGTTTCCTAAAGACCACTACGACATGTATCCACCAGGAGATGGAGTCCATGGAACAGAATCAGAATACCGAGACCAGTACAGCCCCCGTGGAACAGAATTTCGAGACCAGGAGATGGAGTCAATTGCACTAAACAACGTGCGGAGCGGGAGGGACCAGAGACGCGTCCGCACCAATTTATTTGGACATGCTGGCGGAGAAGTTGTCCCCTGCTGGTAATACTGATACAATCCTTCACTGTCAGGAACAGGAACTGCCGGCATCCGAAAAGCCAAAATGAAAATGCATCGTGCTTTCTCAATATAAAGACATTGTTTTTTGTTTACAGCATGAACTTCGAAAAAAAAAACCGCTGAGTCGCGCTGCCTACGCGCACACGAGTGCAAGGCGGTAGTGTTTGCGTGCCGTTGTAGTTCTTGCAGGCCCCACAATTAGACTCGAGAACCCTGTTGCACATTTTTGGCTATAGCTAGGGCACAGGAGTACTACTAAGCGACCACGACGAGTGCTCTAGTATGTGTTCCGCCCCCGCCCCCGCGTCATCATCGATGAAAACGAATCGGGGCCCTGCTGTTTGGTTCTTTTGACCTATATTCCAGCCCCTCAAGAAGAACACGTAGAACCCGCGAGAGCGGGTTCTACGTGTTCTTGCGGTAGCTGTTTAACCACATGATCGTCGTCTGTGTCTCTTCTAGTATTCCATTGCAGTAGTTTGGCGAACAAGGACAAGCCAAAGGAGCCGTTCAACATCAACTTCAAGTTTTAGTTTTGAAATGAAGAGCCATATTGTTGACTAGAGCTTTATGCACACAGCATGCAATGCGTGTTCAAGCTCCCCTGCGTGGTTCCATCGATCTTGATCTTCAGCACAGTAACGATCCTAACCGTTTAGCTTAGTCGTCTCGTCGTCTTTGTGGTCTGGTTGACCAAACCAAACGAATCAATCCATCTTGAGACACCACCTGTATACAGATGTGAATCAGTACTCCGTTCTGAATCATTCCAAACAGAAAGATGCGAACTCGACCGCTATTCGTATGCTGTGAATGTGTTCAGAATTCCTAACATTCTGATTCACATCTTGAGCCAAAATATATAAACGATAAATCAGCACGAGCCCTTGTCTTGATAGATCCCTAGTACATTTAGATCTCCAGCTTCAGGCGGATCCTCGACCGAAACGTGCTGGCGTTCCACGGAAATATTCAACCGGTGCGTGGCAGCGTTTCATCCCACTACAGCGACCATCTACTTCCTTCGAAGTTTATCTTGATAAATAGTACGTACTAGCACTCCACTTGTTACAACAGCTCCTGGCGTACTACACATTTTTAGTATTTCGTTGGCCACCTCGGCGTAGCTTTATTCTGAAGATGGTTTCGTAGAATAGCAGCTTAGAAGATTTAGTAGAAAAAGCCTCATCTTCAAACTAGAGATGGCCGCAACCGCCCTTAGTACAGGCGCCGGAGCTCCGGCAGCTACAGCATCTTCCACGACCGATAAGGAAATCCACTACATCCCTTACCGCGGCGAAGACGACCTGTCTGAGTTGATTGCGCTGATCGAGAAAGACCTTTCGGAGCCCTACAGTGTGTTCACCTACCGCTTTTTTGTCAACAACTGGCCCGAGTTGTGCTTTCTCGCGGTGGTTTTGAACGAGGAGAACGAGAAGACCACCGACGGCGAAATCGATACAAACACGACGAATCCGGACCCTAGTAGTAGTACTGCAACTACTCCGAAAGTAAATGCGACGACATCTACTTCACTCGAAGAAAAGCTGCAGTCCCGGCAACACACGCAAATCGTCGGCGGCATCGTGTGCAAGCTGGAGGAACACAAGTCGCACTGGTTCCCGAGTTTGCGTGGGTATATTGGAATGATCGCGGTGGATACGAACTTTCGGAGAAAGGGCATCGCAAAGACGTTGGTCCAGCTCTCGTTGAACAAAATGGAGGAAAGGGGCGCCCACGAGTGCATTCTGGAGACGGAGCTGACAAATTTGGGCGCGAGAAAACTGTACCAGGACTGCGGGTTTGTGAAGCACAAGCGGCTGCCAGCGTACTACCTGAATGGCGTGGACGCGTTTCGGCTGAAGTACGCCTTTCCGCCGCCCGAAATCCGCTCGCAGGTGCAGGAGTTGCTGAAGGCGGAAAGGGGACCTGGGTACGTCGTAGCGGATGATTCTACCACAACTACCGGGGCTGGTGGCGACGAAGATACGGAGAACCAGAACCAGATTGAGACGTATAACAACGCGGTAGAGGGAGGTGGAGCCAAAAATACCCGCACTGGGAATAATAGAAGGAGAAGATAACAAGAAGAGCCACAATATCAATAAAGGCAGGATGCTGTGGGACGAGAACGAGAAAATATTTCTTGGTTTCCGTGGTGGAGCTGCTCACTTGACTGGTATCAAGCGTATCTGCACACGACAAGCGACAATTGCGACTTTAACTTTGTCATATTGGGCTGCCAAATGTCTTATTTGATGAGCGACGGCGACCGAAAGGTTAATGTGCGCAAATAATGGAAGTAGATTTAGACCCGAGACTTCGTTCTAGAAGATAGTCAAATCGTTGAACGACCACTGCCGCGCCACTCTGTCCCTATTCGTTTCGTCGCGAGCAGCTTTTATGAAAAATTGGGTCGTCTACTTCTTCCTCTTCGTGATGTGTTCTCCTACTTGCTTACTTTTGAGCCACCAGATCGTGTGACGAGAGAGCTCTTCTTGCAACGAAACAGTACGCAAAGGGCACGTGGTGCTTTGAATTTCCTGCCTGCGATTCGTCGTCGTCATTCTTCGTATTCTGCTCCAAGATGACCGCGAAAAGCCGAAATGCGTCGTACCTCCTACTTCGAAAAAGAACTAATAGCCATGCTCTTTCTGAACGTAAACCGTGAAATATTTTCGCGTTGAAATCCTTGTAGATGCTCCTACTGCTAATGCAGTTGCGCCACGTAGCTCTTTTGGCTTTTTTCTTTTGACAAAGACCCATCCTCGAGCTGAGCTCGACTACGAAAATGACACCTGAGGATCTATTGCAACGCGTCGGGGCGACAAGTGGTTCGCATCTTGCTCCAACAGCACACGATGCTGCTCCTGCCGTCGCCCACGATACCTTCGCGACCGCGCACCATGCTTCCTGTAAGACGGCGTTTTGTGGTGCCTTGCCGGTCGGAATGGGCGTTGCGGGTGCAATCATGATCAAGGACGCGCTCACGGGGCACGATCACGCTGCTGACGCGGCTGCGAACAATCCGCCACCGTTGAGTATTGATGGTCGAGTTTTTTCAGACAAGTTTCAGTTTGTATACCGTAGTTTTTGAGTGTGTCCTCGTGACACACAATTCTTGGCGATGATGCGTCGGTTGGAATTGGAAATTAACAATCTATTCCAACATAGTACAAAAATGAAAAATCCTTTACAGGTCTGGACCTCCCGTGCGCAAAGGTAAAGTGCGGTGACTTCGCGAAGCAGACCGACTCGTGGCAGAAGGCGTTCCAGGCCAAGTGCGAGGCCGAGTTTGACTTCAAACAAGAGTGCAAAGCCCAGCTGGAGCTGCAACCAAAGAACATCAAACCAAGCGAGGCCTTCTGTTCGGACGAGTACTCGGCGACCGGATTGGCGGTGGTGATGAAGAACACTGGAGATAGGATGAGTAAGAAGGAGGACGGTGAACAGAACAAAAATTCTGCGTCCGAGTTATCGGAACAGGTTGAAGAGTCAGAGGAGAGAAACCAAAACGAAAACACGAACAAGCAGAAGCTCGGTTTGGGCCAGCAGGCAATTGAGGACTACGGTGCGTTTTTTGACCACGGCGGCCGTGCAGCAACAACTGCGAACTTGGAGGCGTCAACGGCCGCCAGATCATCAACATCTTGCAGTAGCACAAAATCGACAAAAGCGACTTCGTCGTTGAAGCGGGGAAGTAGAAACATGACTTGCTGCACGCCGTTCGATTTCTTCGCCTAAAAATTGCGGAATCTGATGATTTCTTTTTGGGCTTGTTGGAGTCGTGGAAGCCGCTATGCTGTATGATTTCTTCTGTCGTGGAGTAGTTGTACTGGGTACTTGCCGTGCTGCTTCTTTGTTGTGCTTCGTGTAAGGTGCTGGCCCTCATGGTTCTGTCATTCCACCTGGCATATCTTTTTCTGCAGGTGCACCTGATGCCACGAGCTACGCCTTCGTAGAAGAACTGAAATGAAATTGTAGGATTTGCCTACTTCGTCCGTACGGTTACGTATACAACATGCAGATTTTTATGCTGCTGGTCTGAGTGCCCTAGTAGAAGATGACATGTACCAAACAGATGAAGGACAGAATGAAAATCACAATATAGAATTAATGTATTCGCATTCTCTACCCATAATTGTGATATTTACGCATAGGATCTTTAGGAAGAATCTTTAGAAAGAATCAATACGAATATTAGAGTTAAATCAGACCGAATTTGATTCAATTGTTCCTGTAAAATCATACCTCTCGTCCAGAAGCAGTGTAACACTAAAAGCAGCAGCTGGCGCGTGTTGTTTCTCGGATTAACCGATGTCCGCAGACGAGCGCGCGGAGAATGACCATGATTGAGAAGGAGACGATACTTCGAGCAAGAAGATGTCTCTGTGGTCTCTCACTCTCTTACTTAGACTTAGTAAAGTTTTGACTTTCAACATATCTTCTACGTGTTATCAATGACAGTCACAGTCAGAGCAGCAGAAGCGCTATGGAAGGCGTGTTGCAGTCGGTCACTTATTTTTGTTCTTTCGATTGAGATGAGAACCACGCGACTATATTGAAGCCAGTTCGTTGCAGGTGAACATCGAAGTGAATGGCATCCTCATGAAAGAGTGATTATCTCCGAGTGAGAGTTCTTCAAGCTCTTGTAGTTTTAACAGCAAGGGTCACTGACACTGCTACAACTGGAGCTACGAGCACGGTAATTGAAGAAGAATTTCGCCCAGTATCGGACAGAGGAACTGAACAAGAAGTAGAAGCACGAGGGTGATGTCCGTCAAGGTCTAATTTGCATATGACAGGAAAAAAGTGAAACGCAAACCCACACGCTATCTTCGCTAACTAGATTTAACCGCACCCACACATCTTAGTCGGTTGTTAGGACCACTTGATTAGGCTTGTTGTTGTTTGTTCCCACTGGATTTCACTATCACACGACGAACACTATCCCGTCAAGGATCGCTATTTATTTTCCGAAAAAATCCTCCTGATCGGCTTCATCGGCACTGTCACACATCAAGAAAACATCAAACACTCGTGACAATGTCAATGGCCCTGCGCGATAAGTCCAGAAAGACTTGCGGACCGATCGGTGCCGTAGTTGTCTCGTCCTTCATCTTCCTAACCGTAACTGTTCACGCCGACGGAACCTCGGGAAAAAATCCACCCGATGAGAAAATTTACCGCTTGCAGCTGCAAAAGTGCCGCCACCACGACGGCTTTTCCATTCACGGGCTGTGGCCGGAATGGGCGGAGTTCTGCGACGGGGAAAAGTTTGACATGGAGAATATGAGAGTGCACAACTCCCCCTCCACCTCGTTTGTATGGCATAAACAGCACTGGAGCCGCCTGCAAGAGTGCAGCTTTTGCATGGCAAATTTTCACAGGACTGTAGTGGTGTTTCGGCAGCTATCAGAATCTGTCATGCAGACAGTGCCACAAGGCAGCGACTGGATTTGGCATTTTGCATGACAAATGAATGGGAGGGGGTGGAGTTGTGCACTCTCATAAAGAAAGTCAAGGATTTAGTTCCGAAAATGGACCACGAGTGGTTTAGCTGCGCAAAACAAGAAGCATCTTCTCGCGGTCGCAGCTACAGTTCCTTCCGAGGCACGACCAGCAATACCGAGACCACAGTGACGAAAAACCAGGATGACAAAAATGATTGGTTTTGGACGCACGAGTGGAAGCGGCACGGAACCTGCAGCGAGTTCGACGAACACACGTACTTCCAAACCGCACTGCAACTTTTCGAACAATTTTCCCCCAAATGCGACCAGACCGAGAACTTGTGCCACTTTTGTTTGATGCAGAACGGTCGTGCTGACAGTTCTAGCAAAAACAAGCCTGCTGGTTCGTGGGTCGAGACGAAGTGTCCGTACTGGCGCGGCGGAAAAAGCGATAAGTTGTCTTCTGCACATGATCACCAGCAGGATAATTCCTACCACACTTCCTCGTCCTATTACAACACGATTTACGAAAATGGGTCGCTGTTTGATCGTTTTCTCCATGGCGTGAAGCGGATCTTCGGCGGCAGCAGTACCGCGGAAAACGAAAATCAACATGAGCATGACGGTAAAAATAGTAGGCCGCGTGAAGATGCTAGTACCTCTTCTACTCGTGCTGTGGTGCAACTTGATATCGAGTTCGAGAACAAAGCTAGGAGCGCCGTTTTTGCATCATCTTCCAAATCTGTTGAATCTGATCAGAAGACGGTGACGCACACGAAGAGCGCGACTGGTGGTAGTTCCAGCGAAGTGTATTCGTAGAAGCAGTTCGAAACAAGGACTATTACATACTGGAACTGCACTAGCTGCAGAACTAAGACTCTTTAGCATGTAGATCATTTCAATTTGCATAGAGAAGCATAACCTTTGATGACGTATCGAATTCCCATTCTTGCAGAATATATTGAGGAAGCCTGCTACGCATTTGTACTCCCCGAAATCTTCGCGTTTGCGTTTATGTTTGTAGATTTGATTTTGTTGATTTTCCAACTTGCATTTTCGCAGTACTACAACTTGTGTTTTGCAGGAAGAATTCGGCGTGAAAGACGTGAAGATGTTTTCGCAGTTTTTCAGAGTTTTCACATTCGCATCCCAGTCGCAGGTCGTAAGTAGCTACCTGATCTCGTCGTCCTGCCCTTGATAATTGACTTATTGAGACAGCTCAGCTGCTGATGATGTTCTTCGCAAACGGAGATGATCCTCCTCGTGCCAATCAAAAACTCGTGTAGTATAATCAGTTTCGCTGTCGTTCGTTTGGTGAGAAGCAAATAGAGACTTCACAGCTCTGAACGCCCTGCCTTCTACGGCTTCGAGCCTTCTTGTAGTGCCAAACTCGATGAGCACAGACAGGAGATATCGTAGTCTTTCTACCAAGTAGATGAGAGGGTCGTCGCGGTCATCGTCTGAAGATGCGTAAAATGAAACGTAAGACAAGCGGGTCGTGTGGTTCCATTTGATCAATGAATAACTCTTGCGAGGGCATTCATAATTGCGAAATCACAATCCATCGTACTCAATGAAACGGCAAATGCTAATGCAGTAGAAAAATCTTTCGCGTTTTTTCGCCTTTGCTTTTTGCAAGACTTGCCTCGTCATCTGTCTAAAAGCTTTTTGCTTTGCGAGACACACAAAAACCCTGCCAAGATGTTGGACTTGATGACTCTCGGTTTCTCCATGGGCTTGCAGTCCGAAATGCAGAACATCCGCAAGGAGTCCGAGTGTGGGAATGTGTTCGACAGCTCGGTGGAAGAAGCGGAAACCACCACCGTCTTCTCCACGGCGGCTTCCGCGGTCGAATCGGCGCTGCATTCCGTCGAGAACGCGGCTTCGGTGGTTCTGTCCGCCCTGACGCCCAGTGCCGAGCAGGTGGATCAGGTACGACTGGAGTTTCTCGTACTGCTGTGCTCCGTCCTGAGCAGTTCCGCGCAAAAACAATCATGAATCAATCACTTCGGTGCTCTTGATGAAGAAATCTTTGTCATAGTCATACTTACATAGTACGTGATGAATTCCGTATAGCTATACATAGTCAGCCTCACTCTGTCGTGCAAAAACGCATTGTACAACATCGCAACCAAAAAAGGTGATGTCCTGCTTCACCACCACCACCGTGCCGCAGCTGGACTTGACTCTGCCGCTGAAGCCGAAGAAGATGTGAAGTTTTTCACATGTTGTGAAACAAACCGCCGGATAGAGAAGAAAATGTGACTTAGTCACAAGCAAGAAAAAAAGGTAGTATGATAACGTTTCAACGACCGATTTCAATACACTTGAGACCTCACTTAATAGCGTTGTTTGACCAGCATTTCTTTTAGTAGTTTTATCCAGCTTTGAAAAGCATCAATTTGTGCACGACGTATTTCGAAAATCTATTCTCCAAAGACAAATCGAAATCTTGTAACTAGAACCAGTTTTGATAAACTTAAAAGCCACTTTTGTCTTCACGTCGTAATCTACATTGTATCAACATACCAACTTCAAAATCTACAAAATGAACGTAAGAAAATGTTTCACTTGTTTCACAACGCGTAGAACAGATCTCCAGGATATCTTAGCAGCAGGAGTTTTACTTCTACAAATTTCCCGGTGGCCACGTAGTACGCTTAGACTTACACTAGAGTCCGGTCCAGGACCGATGTAATGCTATTGCCCCGCAGCTGCATTTATCGACGGTGACGACATACACTAGGACGAACCGCGGAAATAACACAACAGGAGGAGGACTCAAAAACCCGTACTACCATCGTCATCAATTTGAAAAAAAAACATCATCAAGGTGAAAGACCTTTATCTTGTTAGGTACTTGCGCTGCAGCATCGGCGCTTGATACATATTGACGGAGCATAATATCGCAAATTGAATATTCTTCCGCACCGGTCTGTCGCTTTGCATCGGTCGTGCAAGAAAAAAGCGACTCAAACAAGTAACCAATTGCAATTCATCCACGATTGCTCGGTTTTGCAACTGCTAACTTTCTTCCAACTCGGTCTCGTGAGAAACCACCAAATTCTGCTTGGTGGCAGCACAGTAGATACGGAAAAAAAAACGGCTCGGTCTCATCGTCCTCTGATTCTTGTTTCGTTCGTTGCGCATGACAACAAATAGGTACAGCAAGAAAAGTGCAAAATACTTACACAAAATCGTCCTCTCGTCTTCGTTCCTGCTCTGTCTTCCCGATTGCGCGTGGTTCACTGTGAATTTACTCTAAGAATTTGAATCTCCTTACAGCCACAGTTCCCACAATACGACCAACTTTCATTCCCCCGAAGATAATTTGAGACAGCCTTTAAAATCAAGTACAAGTAGTTCCCAAAAAATACATTTTGTAGAATTAGAACCAGCAGAACACGGCCCAGAACAACCTTTTAGACTGATCCACTCCGACGTTTTCTCCCTGACACGACCACGAGAAACCACGATCACCTGAACCGCGAAGTAAAATAAAAATCCGCAGTTCTTGCTTGTCCTTTCCAGACTCTGGCGCGCTGCGGCAACGAACGGTAGAAGACTTGCTCTTCTACTTTTGGTCTATTTATGGGCGACGAACAGTCGAAAGAGGCCCAGGCTGAAAACGGAGGAGAGTCTGCTCAGCATCAAAACGCAAGTCAAAGTTCCCCGGATCCCGAGCCTCTCTCGATTTCCGACGGCGGTCCCTCATCCGGGTCGGCGAAAGCGAGTACGGTCAGCAATAAATCGCGGAGCAGTGGTGGAACTACATCCTCTGCTTCGCAAGTTGTAGACGACCCAGCAGGTGAACAACAGCAACAACCCGTGGCGGCACCATCTCCTTCTCCAGCTCCTGCTGCTGCACCAGACGAGCCTCCGGTGCCGGTCACTACTGAAGAACGACGAGAATCCCCTCCGAATCAAGTTATCAACATGGAGCCGATGAGCGTGATGCCCGGCCAGGCCACTGATGAGTACGAAGAAGTGCCGCCGCCCAAAACCAGCAGCTTCCGGTCGGACACCGATGAAGGTAAAAACAGTGCGGTGCTCAGCTCGTTTATTCAGGAAAAAAAGTGTGTAAGTGTAAATTTCTTTGAGGAACAGCATCACAAATTTGCTCTACATGACAGAGAAACCCTGTCATGCATGGTTTGTAAGGGAAAACACACATGAAAATAGGACTTCATGGCTGTCTGGCATGACAGGTGTAACTATGTTGCATCTTCTGCAACGCAAATTTACACTTACACATTTTTTTACTTGCATATCGTTCGCCCCACCGCGCGCGGATCCGGATGACGAAGAAGATTCCAGTATCCTAAGCAAAAACGTCCCCACCCCAGAGTTGTCATGGGAATGTGCAATGACAGGAACATTTGCAATGCGCATCTCCATGAGAGGCATTTCCAGTCGTTTTTTGGAATTTGTAATGCTGGGAACAGGATGAGAGACTGGCTTTCCCATGCGGCTGCCCTTGCTAACCAGCACTACACTGCAGATGGAAACTTGTCATGCACAACTCCCAAAACTTGGAGATTTGTGTTGCAGATTTACCAACTTGATTGTCGGGTGGGGATGTTTTTGCTCAGGATACCCAGTCCGGGAAGTCAACGCTCGTCCGTGCGGGCCACGCAAAACCGGACCTCGACGAGCAACCGCGCGTCGGTCCAAAACCGGACCTCGACGAGCAACCGCGCGTCGGTCACGGTCCCGGCGTTCGGAGGCGGCGGTGGCGAGGAGAACAAACCCACGACACAGAAATTCGGCGGCGGCTTCAACTTACAGTCGAGCGCGCCGTCCGCAAGAAATTCCGCGGCGGGAGGTACTTACAACCAGAATTGATCTGAAAGTAGTAATGTTCATCCTTGTTGTAGTTGTATTCGGAATGTATGATAGCTGGCAAAAGAATTTTTGCGTACGTCTGTAAGAATGGCGATGGCGACTACAGTTTTTATGAATAGCACCCTTCAGTAGTGGCGTTCGCGTTGAAAAAAGAACACCTTGTTTCTTCATACATTTTCTTCGCACCTTAGGGTCATTCCCCCTCTTGGGACCACTGAAAATGCGATCTATTAGATAGAAAGAAAACAGCAAAACGAACAAAGCGCCGATGAAATGAAAATACAGCCGTGGGCAAGGCGGCCGACCCGGTGGACCTGAGCAGGTTGCAGCAGCGTGGGCTGATGTTGATGGACCCGGCGCTGAAGGCGCAGCTGATGGCGAAGGCGGCGGACCCGCGGAGCCTCCAGGTGGGCACGCCCTACTCGAAGTCCGGCGGCGTGGCGGAAGACCACATGGTCAGCGAGATGAAAGCGCGCCAGGAGAAAATGCAACGACTGCCCTCCGTCGACGGATCCTCCCAATTTTCCAAGCTCGTGTCCGAGCGCGGGTCCCTGCTGATGGAGAAGCCGGGCCTGGACACGAAAACCGGCAAACGGCTGTCCGCCGCCGAAGCCACGAGCAAGCCGGGCAAGCTGAGCGGCGAGCTCTTGTCGGTGTTTGCCTCGCGGCTGGAGAGCGGCAAATCCCAATCCTTCCGCGCCGGTGCGGGTGCGGCGGGTGCGCCGCCGGCGAAAGCGGCGCCCGAGTTCGTGCAAAAGGCACAGCAGATGGCGCAAAGAGCAGGACAGCAAGACGCCGCAGCAGCAGCACAGGAGGCGCAGCAAGGGCAAATGACGAGCCCACAACAAGCGCTGAATAGAGGGAGTGGAGGACCACCCGGAGCTGTGTTGAACAGAGGCAGTGGTGGGCAGCAGCAGGACATGCAGAATACCAACAACCGCGGCACGGCGGCCGGCGTTTTCGGCAAGAAAAAAGACGTGCTGGATCTGCTCGGCACGCAACAGGGCGTGCAGCAGTTGCAGAAGCAGGCCTCTGCCAACCGCTTGGCTTCGCAGGGATCTGCGGACGGCGGCCGAGCCCCAAGCGGGCAACAGCAACAACCCGTTTTCACCGGGTTCGGCTTTGGAGGCGGCGCGACGGCCGCGGCGGCTCGTACAAGCGTCGTCGACAACTACGACAACGCCAAACCGAGCGTAGGCTCCACCGCGGACCGTCCGGACAGCAACTACGGTCAGCAGCAGGCGCAACCTTTGGCCTTCATGGGGGCACAGATGGGAGGAACTACAAACATGAACAGCAATATGAAGTCGGGCGTTCAACAGATCGCCGGCTCCTCTTACGGCGAAGAACCAGCGTACCAGCCCCCGCAGTACGGGGAGCAGGAGTTCGACCCCATCACGGGCGAGCGCTTGGTGCGGAAAGAGAAGCAAGGGAACCAGATCTACGTGGACGACTTGGAACGCGGCGACGCGTCCAACCACTTCCGGCCGAACTACGACAACATGCAGGATCTGTACAACTGGTACCAGCGGAACCTTTCCGCCGAGGCGCAGCCGAAGCGGTTCCAAGACGGGCGGTACGTGACGGAGCAGGCGTTGGCGTTCGAAAAGGCGCTGCCCAACCCGGAGATGGTGGAGAGTCACTTCCGCGACGTGAACTCTGACGAGTACAAGAAGTACGTGGCCCACATGCCGCAGAAGAAGATGCACACGCAGCTGGGCGTGATGGCCCCGGGGGACGACCTGCGCAAGTTGCTCACCGACATTGTGGAGTACGAGACGGGGTTGAACCCGAAACACCCGGAGATCAGCACGGACAAGGAGTTCACGGACAAGGACGTGTGGGAGCACGAGATCCAGCAGTTGAAGGAGGACGTGACCAACATTTTCGCGGTGTCCCTGAACCTGCGCCACTCCAACGCGTCCGAACTCGGCCGCACCTACATCACGGACGAGCAGCGCAAGGAGCTGCGCGAGCGGTTCGAGGCCCTGATCCACTCCTTCGGCGAGTGGTACGACTACCAGGCGGGCGAGGTGGAGGGCGCGCGGCTGAAGAGCGGCCCCCGGTCCAGCGGGGACAGCGGGCGGGGCGTCGTGTCCGCCGGCGTGGGCATGGGGCACGACAGCTACTTGGAGCAGCGGCCTGCCTCGGTGGCGCCGAGCTCCAAAGGGAAGGACCCGGACGCGTTGAACTCGGCGATCTTCAACAGCGTGGCGGAGCTGGACGAGTACCAGTTCGAGTATCAAATGCAAAAATGTCTGGGTCTGGAAGGATCCGACCTTGTGATGCGAGTTGCGGATCGTACGTAGATCTGTGTTGCATGACTGGCAAATAAAGGTGCTCCCTTCTGGCCATGCTGACAGGGTATTTCTCATGCAGAACAGGCATCACGAAGGGGCTGCAGAACCTGTGATGCTAGGCCCCGCATTCCAGACTTCCGGGAGCTTGGAAAAACTGCATGACAAATCCCGGAATCTTCCAGACCCAGAGGACATTTTTGCAATGCATATCGAGGGCATGGGCCAGATCTTCTCCGCCTTCGACAAGGCCTTCATGTCCGACAACGACATGATGCCCAGCTCCATGCAGCTGCCGACGGAGATCGAGGTGACGGCGCGCGACCAGCCGGTCAGCGTCACGCACGTGGTCACCAACGACGGTTTATTGAGAGGAAAAATCCCCCCTCCCCTTATCGCGAACGTATGTTGCCGATAATGTGTGCTGCTGATTTGAGGTCACAAATCAGATTTGTCTTGCAAGAAGACAAGGGCAGAAGCTTCCGCCCCATTATGGCAGCGATTTGCCATGCTGTTCGGCCTAAAGGTCAGCCGTTTGCAATGCTGAACAACTAGACCCATTTTTATACACCCCTACCTAGCCTGGGGATCTGGCCGCAGTGCCTTCATGCAATACAAAGCAGATTTGTGTACACAAATCCAGCATCAGAAGTTCCGTTTTGATATGGGGAGGGGGGATTTTTCCTTTTGATACGGTTTGCTGGCCTACTACCACAACCTGTCCAAGGAGGACCGGGAACACTACCCGCTCCGCAACGCCCTCAAGCACATTCTGCTCACCGAGTCCTGGGGCGACTACGACGAGATGCCCATCCGCCCGATCCTGCTGCGGGAGCTTTTACCGTCCCCGCAGAAGGACGGCAAGCTGTACCGGATGTATGCCCGCGAAAGCCAGTACGACGCGGATGAGGGCATGATCAAGAAGACCAAGGTCCGGCCCGAGGACGGTATCGATTTCGCGAAGTTCCGCACGCCGCAGTTCATGAAGGAGCGGCACGGCGTGCTGACCAAGGCCGATAAGCTGAACGCGATGGTCCGCGGGCCCCGGGATTGGGAGGGCTTGGAGCAACGCAAGAGCGTCCTGAGGTCCGGCCAGGAGGGACGAGGTTCCAAGGCGAGACAGTCAACCAAGAACGACGGCGTCAAGGAGAGACAGTCGCTGCTATTCGGCCGCCAGTCGGACTTGATGTAACTTTTTCTGGGTCAAAGAGAAAAACATACAGAAGGTCGCGAACCAGGACAACAAGAACAACAAACTTCTACAAAAATACTGAAGCGGGCGTGGTGGCATGGCACGAGCGGAGTATCCCTCCTAACTCGTGGCATCGGAGGTTCTTTCTCAATAATGCTACCTGAACTCCCCGCTACCGGTTGGCCTCGCGCCAGCTGCGACAATTAGATCCTGGCTCTGCTAGCGGACGATACAACATACATAGTACACATAATTGAAGGCACAATTGCTTTGGTGCGCACTCCGTATTACATTTCGTGGAGCTAGCTTGAGCTTTTCGTTTTCCTGTTATATATTCAGATTCCATAGCCCCGTAAATCACTTCTCACGAAGCATGTTTCTGCTTGTCCCTCCAGTAAGTAAGTTTAGTATTTCTACACGACGCAAATTTTTTACAATTAGTCGACAATTGGAACAAACAACATTTCAGATGAAAAGGTGGACCGCAGTACAACCATTACCATACAACTCGGAGGTGAAGTACTATACGGATTTGCCTCCGCCGGCTGTGAGCTAGTGCAGTCCTTCTCCTATTGGACTCAACCAAGGCTCTTCTTTTCGACACGAGTGCAACAAGAATCGACTCTCCATATCGTGTTCTTCTGGAGGACCAGACTTAAAAACTAGCTGGTACCTGAGGTACCGGTAATATCAAGTAGATCCAACAATAAAACTGATGGAACAGTGTCACTCTCTAGATCGGTCCGGTTCGCTGCTTCCTTCAACATCAACATGATCACTCGGCGTCGGCGCTAATGTTATTCATCTTGACGCGTTTCTCTTTCTCGATGTGAGACTAGAGGCGATTGCCGTCTGGTGCGGCTCCGATAGCTCCATCCGAAGGGGCGGAATGTGGAAGAAGTGGCAGTCCGCCCCCTACTTCTCATACAACTTGCCGGCACCGTCACCATGTCCATGTAGTTGATGTTCGTGCCTCGTGTAATGCGAGTAAAGATACTTAAACAGGTCGCGGCGGTGGGCGGGGGAGAGGCCAATGAAGGTACCAGCAGGTGGTCCAGTCGGCGACTACGAGCAGCTACTTCCATGACCCCCGAACAGTTTTAGTTGATCGTGTAGTCTGCTTCTGTGAGACACGCACACCAACAGGCTGCACACTCGTCATCCACTTCTACTGGCGAGCGATAACAATTCTGCAGCGTCGAGCCAGTCGCGCGAAAAAACGACCACACGTCGGAAGTATCCAAACCATGACACTGTTCCAAACGTCTCAGCTCCTCGCAGCAGGGGGAGCCGTCACGGCGACCAGTGCAGCTGCCGTCCAAATGACCCCTGCGCCCGACATCAACATGGTCTTTTGCCTGGACATTGTGCACAGCCTGGGCGCCACCGTGGCGAGCTTTTTTTCGGCCCTGACCTTTTTCACCGAGTGGAAGAAGCAGACGGGGTGCACCGACGATTTCCGGGCGAGTTCCGATCTAAACGTATTAGAGAGAACCTACAGCAGCAGAAATATCGGGGGAGGCGGGGAGGAAGAAGGAGCGCCTGCTGGTGGAGGAGCTTTCGACACATCTACTACGACCACCAGCGTATCGGGCGATGGCAGTTCAACTTCAAGTGCAGCTGCTGCAGCAGTCTCTGCTTCGAACTCGACGACAGAGGGAAGCAGCTACCAAATTGCTGATCAACATCAAGGAAAAACAGATCCGACCAAAGTTGTCCACGATCCGGGTGGGCGAATGACGGGTTCAGGGAAAAAAACAAATCGGAAAACAGGACTTCGAAGAATACGAGAAGAACAAGGCCGTGGAGGCACAGGCGGCGGTGGACGGTGCAATGTGTACCTGAAAATCAACAGCCCGTTGTCCGACGCAAACGGCACCGATTGGGGTCTCTGGAGTCAGGAAACGCCCCTAGCGGCATACCAGCGCTTGCCGTCCTGGGAAAGGCAAAAGCTGCCGCATGCGAGGTATTTAAATATGATCGATCATCATGACGCCATGCCCATGTACCACATTGATTTGAAGACTGGTTGGAACTGGGAGTAACATCAAATTGTGTTTTGAACAACAATTTACTGGTATTTGGGTACTACAAAACTTGGTGATTTCCTCGTGATGTGTGCGGTCAGCATCCACCCCCAGTCTTTGATGTCGATTGTTGACCAACGATTTTCCAGGCTGTCCGACCTCTTGGACCTTCGGTTGTTGGAACGCGGCTTGGGAATTTTCATCAAGGAGTTTGATGAGGATATCGTTATCAACAACACCACTGTGGTTTGCGACACCCATACCGAAGCCGATTTGAACGTGAATCCGGATTCCGTGCAGTTTAACAAACGAAGCGTGCTTTTGGAAGGAAATTTGGCGAAAGCACGGAGTAACAATATCGCGGAGCTGAAGCAGGCCAGCTGCGCGGGCAAGATCGTGGTGCAAGGAGGCGGTGGTCAGGATGTTGCAGCAGCAGCAGCATCTTCGTCTGCCAACAACTTGGACCAGATCCACAAGCAACCAGTCACAGACAGTGACTTACCCCCTGCAACTACCAATCATCATGCTTCGGAAACTACAACTACACCATTTAAAACCGATTCTTTGATTACCGATTTGAACAAAGAGGCTGCGATGCAGAGGCAGCTGCACAACGTGCAGCTGTTGCAAGATCCGCATGAAGAACTCGGGCTGCACGGCAAAGCGGCGCTGTGGAACGTCCGGTTTATGAAGACGAGGCCGCAGATACTGAGTGGAAAACTTCACAAATACAAACATCTGCAAAATTTGGTCTTTAGGGGCTTCAGGGCTGCTGGGAGGGAGTCCAGGGTCTGCGAAACGCGACGCCGGTGAGTCGAACAACAGCACAGCAACAGCGCGCGGCGTTCGTCTGTCCGGTAAGGTCCGGAGGGTTTGGCGCCGCTGGATGCCATACCGGACGACCACGAGCATGCATGTACTTCAAGAACAAAACCAGGCGGCTGCTGCCTTTCCTTTTCGTCGCGTCCGCCGATGCGGTTTGTCGTTTAGCCCGTGACTGGAGCAAAAAAACGCTATCCCCGATTGGTAAACTTCCACAAATGAACAGGCCCGACCCCTTCGGAGACCCCAATATCTGGGGCCCTTCGGAACAGCCAGATTCCCAATTCCCGATTGGTAAATTTCCACAAATGAAAAGGCAGGGGGGTCCGGCGACCCCTGCCGGAGAGGTCGCCCGCGAGCATTTTTCTGCGTCATTTTGATGCGATTTTCGCCTTTCGGCGCTTCGACGCGACCTATTACTGCCTCCGCCGGGGCCGCTTGGCGCCGGAATTCCGGGCCCCCTGGTGTTGCCCGAAGAGCCCCAGCCCCGCCCTGCTAAGCGGCCCGCGCTGGGGCGACTTTGGTCGGGTTAAATGGCGACCGCCTGAGGTGAATGCTCTGGCGCCCCTCCCAAGGATGCCCGACAGGGCCCAAATTGCTGAAACACATAACACCGGGCGCCTGCTTCTCTGCAGTTTTGCCCTTTAAACGTCAACTTTTGCAGATATTTGTATTTGTGAAGTTTTCCCCTTAATAGCAGAAGGAGCTGAGTGATAGATTTTTACTTTTCGAGGACATCGAGAAGCACTTACACAATCTGCAGATGGCCTACTTCGCGTTCCGCTCGGACGTGTTGCAAAGACACATGAAAAGACAGTACGCGAAGCTGCGGGAGAATCAAGCTGGTGGCGCGGCGGGGGTACATGATGAACGACAAGCGTCCGCGACTCCTGCTGATGCGTCGTCCGCGGACGATTCGGGCAACGAAGACCGCGAAGCGGGTCGTGACTCGCCATCTCTTGTTACTGGTACGAAACCAGTAGACACCTTGCATTCTGTTGAAGAAGAACCAGAATCTAACCCCTCCATCCTGATCAACGCCAGTCCTACGATGTGGTCGCGCGAAAACAGCATTTTCGATTTGGGAATCTTCCGCATCTACCTCCGGAATTTTCTTCCCTGGGCTTCGGTCGGGGTGAAGACCATGTCGCTCATGTCGAGTCGAGCGCTGTACTGGGAGAGCGCGTTGCAAGTCGGCAGGTTCATTCACTTCCTACCGCAACTCACCCCGCCGATGAGGCTACGTGCGGGGATGTTTTTGCAAGAAATGAAATACAGATTCGACGAGGAATCGCAGAGCATCGTGGTGGAAAGAAGGAGTAACGCGAAGAGCAAGGCTCCAGGACCGACAGCAGGAGTGCTACTCTCTACGTCGATTTCTCCTCCTCCAAAACGAGGAAGTGGAAGTGGCTCTCAGCAGGAAAAAGCTGCAGACGACGACAGTGACGCCTCCTCGACCGGCCTCCTGGTGAACAAGATCGCGCAGCAGAACTTCACGGAAAAACTCGTCGAGAAGGTCGCGAAAAACGCGGTGGGAAAACAGGACCGCCATTCCTACGCGAAAGAGTTCACGAACCCGACGCTGTACGAGCGGTGGGCCGTGTCCAAAACCCGGTATAGCGACCTGTCTTTGCCGTACCGGGAGGAGTTTGAGCGGTACCTGGCGCAGGCTTCGGTGAGGAGGTGGGAACAGGTGAAAAACGGAAGCTCGCAGGTGGAGCGGAGTTTGAGACTGAAAAGCGGGCTAGATGTAGAAACCGAGTTTGAAGATGGGCAGACTGCTGTCGAAGTGAACGAAGATGGTACGGCGACTGTCGTTGCCACAGGTACAGCACCCGAACAAGAAACCGCATCAAGGACGACCGAGGATATCAACTATCCGAAAGAGCCAACCAGTCTTCCAGACACCAACGGGAGCGGCGGTACCAGGGTGAAACTCCGGATCAAGGGCCTGCTGCGGCAGGCGGACACAGATGTAGTCTCAGGCAGCACAGACAATAATTTACCCTCAACAATACCTAACACACCAGTTCCCAGCGCCGCCCAGCAAGCATCCTCGTCCGCTTCCAACTGGGCTTCCATCTACCCGGAGCAGACCGTCGTGAAGAACGTGAAGAATTGCGCGTATTGGTTCATGCGGCGAAAACTGGAGACGAACATCGACGCTTTCGACAACATCCACGCCGTGATGCACAATCCGGCCTACCGCGGCAGGTACCGACTCGGTGATCACTACGTCAGCCTGAAACACCAAGACTTAGATCTTCTTTTCAAAGCCGCTTTGGACGTATGCATTGCAAAAGTATCGTACTAGTATAAATTGCATCACAAATTTTTTCAAGAAGAAAAATGCAATTTGTAATGCTGTTTTACCTTAGGAGGAAGATTTGTCATGCATGTTTGCAACTAGTACGAGTACGAGACTTTTGCACAGCATAGGACGTGCAAGTGATGCTGTTCAACAAACCGCTTCGGCGCAAATTCAAGCGGTTTCCCGGGAAACTGCACTGGATCACGTCCACCTTCGTGTCCTTCACTTCTTGCCTGCTCAACGTGCAGGGGAATGGGAACCCGTACCTGAACCAGGAGTGCAAGCAGATCGTGTCCCTGGCCGCGGTCGCGAAGGAGGTGGCGGAGTTGGCGCGGAGGAAGAATTTGGATTGCGTGAATGTGAACATGATATCCTGTGCAAAAGTAAGTATCGTACTCGTATAAATGCTGCTCTTGCATTACAAATTTCTTTGTCAAGGCAAATCAGCATTACAAATTTCATTTCTCATGCTGAGAAAATTTGTAATGCATTTATACGAATACGATGCTTTTGCATTTCATACATGAACATGTTCGTGGATTCGGGGCACAATCGGTTAGTTGAGTACACCGAGGAGGAGCTGGTGGAACTCGAAGAGTTCATGGAACTCGCGGCAAAGTACTACGACGCTGACCTGCTGAAGCAGTTCGATGTCGAAATGCGGAAGTTGCTGGAGCAGAACAAGATCCGGACCAAGTTCGTCGAACGATACAACTTGACAAACGAGGAGAAATTTGTACGGGAGTACGCGGAGGACACGCTGAATTTTCGCCAGTACGTCGGCGGGTTTCACTACATCTTCCGGGGTCGGGAGAGGGAAGAAATGCTGGAGCGGGGCTATGGGGAGGTGTTGGCGGGGGTGGACGCGGAAAAGGATTTGCGGGTCGAGCCCAGGGATCAGATGCTGGTAGCAGCGGCGGAAAAAGACGAAAACGGCGTCGAGATCATAGATGGGGATGAAGCTTTGCATGAGGAATTATTGGATGCGGAAAAACGTTCTCTTTCTCACTCTCCTGCGATAAACGACAAAGTAGACAAAAACACCAGCAAAAGCGCACCTGCTGCACCCGACACTGAAGACGGCGCTACAACGCCAACGAACTTCCTCGGGCAGCCGTTTGTTTCTGAGTACGGGGAAGGCGGGGCGCCGATTGACCACATTCTGTTCACGAGGCGGACCTTTCTGAACACCCGACTGCGCTACTTAGACAAGTCCCACCCAGATCTCGCTTGGCGGTTCGAGTCGCTTGAGTTGCAGAAGCAAAACATCAATTTCGCGGAAAAACAGGCACGACGGATAGAATTGGAGGAGATGCAGATTAGACGGAAGGTCATTTTGCAAAAATCTCAACAAACTGGCACGGAGACAATTCTTGCAGAGGACCCGGTGATTCAAGCGATCGAGTCCTACAACACGAAGAAGGAGCAAAGACAGGAAAACTTCTGCAAGAAACGGAACGTCGACTTGGAGACCCAGAAAATCCTCCACATTCGGCAATCCGAGCACCATCAATTGAATCTAAAACCGGTCTACTTCCACGGCGACTACTGCGATATTGAGTACCCGGCGGACAAAATGCTGCAGGGGAAAGCGGCGGACGGGTGGTCGCTGATTCTGACGCCCCCGCCGTTCGGCCGATTGCGGATAAAACCTTTGGTAAAGTTCCACATTTTGCGAAAACCCTACGCAAACCTGTTCCACCACCAGGGCTCTCTGGCGAAGCAAGTACCGCTTCACGGCGCGCCGAAATACTCGCAGGCAAGCATCAACTTCGCCTTGATGCACTTAGCGAGTTTGGCGCCACTGCTGATAACGGAGGTAGGGACGTATTGGACGGACGCGCTGGTGATGAAGCGGCTGAGCAGCTGCGGCTACTTCCTTGACACTCTAGCGAAAGTGAAAGGGTTTCAGAAAAAGCAGAAGGAATCGGCTCCCGCATTTCATGTCCAGCAGCTGGATGACTCATCCGAGGAGGATGATCATGCTTTCATCAACGACCCTGTGGCACTTGAACGCCGGAAAGCACAAAGACAATTCGACAGACGAACCTTTGGGAAAGATGACGCGGCTTTCTACACTGCCCGGAGCGAGTGTAAAAGCGTCGCTATCCTCGAGGGAAACCGCACGGAAGTGATGAAGCCGATCTTCTACTGCGGCGAGCTAGAGTCCGACGAAGATTTTGAAAGGTGCAGGTGCGCACTGTTGAGGGGAAGGTGCAGCCGACCAGGGAATGAATACCATGGGTTTTTGTCGTGACTGCGGGGATGTTCCAGTTGTACTGGAGCAGCTCACGCAGCGGAAAAAAACTTCAAATATAGAAAAGACAAATAGAGCGAACTCTTTCACGCATTTTTTTCACACATGTTGACATTTCATCCACCCGATTCCAGGAAATGCAAGTTTTCGACCATTGGAATTTACAGGAGTAGGAGGGCACGGGTAGTACTAGTTGTACTACAACCTCCGGTACTGCAGGTACTACTTCCACGTGAGTTTAGTCCAACAATAGTTCTTGATCAGTGAACGAAATTGATATTGAAAGCGCATTCCAGTCTGCAAATAAAACTTGAAAGTGAAGAAAGCAAAGACAGTGAAACGAAGAGTAAGTGAAAACGCGAAGAAAAATCCCGATGAATGCGTTTGTGCATTTTCGCGCGGAAAAGGGGTTTCACCCTCGCTGTTCGAAAACGAAAAGTCATTTAACATTGGCATTGTAAGTACCCTGCTCGGTCGAAAAAATCAAGATCCCGATGCTGTCTTGACGGAATGAAAATCAAAAGAATTCTGAGGCTTGTGTGCAGTGAGAAATTCTTTTTTTCTCGGAAGAAAAATTCCAGGAAAAAGTAGTACGATCGCCACTGAAGATGTGAACTTTTTTCTTGAAAAATAATCATTCCTTGCAGCGACCTGGTGTCTAGTTACGATAGTTTGGATTGAGCTTCATCCCTGCTGTCTTTTTCTTTCGTGATCATGACCCCGTGCATCTTTATCGCAGCGGATTTTTACGCGCTTCAAATTAAACACCTGCTTCTTCGCCTATCTTTCTCGCTACAGCTAAGAGCGTCTTGACGTTAAGTGCCTTTTCCTTTCACTTTTCGATACTGGCTTCATCGCAAAATAAATCATGGTTCTGGGTCGGTTCGCAGCTGCCTTTAGCCGCAGCGGCAGACAAGCCGTGACGAAGGCAGCGACGACGATAGTGAGCAATAACGCAGCGAGTTCTACCACGAAGCCGCGGTCGTTTCATCTCGGTAACATTTTTTCCCGTAATAAACCAGCGACAAGTTCCACTGGCACGTCAGGAGCTGCCACTGAGCTCCAGCCACAATCCGGCGGTTTCATTTCTAGACGATTACGCGGCAACAGCCCAGCAGCGACTAGCGCTTCAATTAGCAACGCAAAGCGGGCAGGCGGATATCTCGGGAACATTTTTGCGTCCTCAAAAGGTTCCGCCGGCAATGGAGCATCAAACTCAGCCGGCTCCTCAGCCACGACAAGTGGCAGCGCAACTACGAGTAGATCCAGGCTGAATCGAAGACATCAGCGAAACGGTGCCACAAGTGGCGGTGGAGGTTCAAATCAGCCCCCGACGCAGATCGTTCGCGTCGAAGCCGGCAACTCGGGGCCGAAGCACACACTGATTTACCGAATCGTCCGCGATTCCGCGATCATCGGTTTGGTGATTCTGGCGATCATTAAACTGGTAAACGCGTACAGCGAGGCGAAGGCTTACTTGAGAAAGGAGAAGAAGCGACGGGAAAAAATGCGAAAATTGTTCTTGAATGAGAACAAATTAGGGAACCGGGCGGAAAACCCAATCGACGTCAATTTCTTCCAACGACGGGCGAACGTCGTGGCGTATTGCTGGCTCCCAGACTCGCTGCTCGGAGGTGGTAGTCAAAACGCGCAATTGGATGGGGGTGGAAGCGGGGGCAATCTGGCACTGGTCGCCGGCGGCGCCAATCCAATTCCGACGTTCAGCCTTCCATCTGCGGTGTCGCTACAGCCCCTGGAAGACAGACCGGCGGCTCTGGGCGGCGCAGCGTCCTCGGGAGGTTCGACAGCTGGTGGATCCTCCTCGTCGTCGAGCAGCGGTTCGAGTAGCAATCAAAACAACTCCATTGCAGCGAAGTCAACGAGTGGCGAGCAGAAAAGCTCTTCTTTCTTCCCGAAAAGCATCACCAGCGCCTTCTACTCCATTACTGGGACGAAGAAAAGTTCCGACTCAGATTCTGAATCTGAAGCTTCTGATGAGGAGGATGCGAGCTCGTCTACCACTGCGTCAAGTACGCCGAATAACAACGCTGCGGCTGCGTCCACATCAAGTAGTACTGCCTCGGCCACATCTTCTGCATCAGATGTGAGTGGCAACGACAGCACACTCCAGCCGATAGATTTACTGGAGCTTTTTCAGGGCAAGGAGAACATGGGCGCGGTGGATTTGTCACTCCATGTGGAGAACCAATTCGTTGACCCGAATGGAGGAGCTGTGGCGCAAAATAGTAGCCAAAACAAGTCCAGCGAGGTGCAGCTCGTCCTCTGCTCCGGTTCGCACCACTCGCGCTTTCTTAGCCCGGACGGAACACATGTCTTGTCCTTGGCGGAGCACCCGGCCAGTAGTGCCGACGAGGCAGCAGGAGCGGAAAGTAAGAACGGCAGCTCTAGTAGTAGCAGCAACGAGTGTATCTGCGACGTCTGCTACCATACTGTGCCGGTGGGGAAGACAACCCTTCGTTGCAGACACAGTGACTTCGACGTTTGTGAAAGCTGTGCGAAAAAAACCGCGACCAACGGCTACGAGAAGGTCTACGCGACCTTGGCAGGAATAAAGCTGCAGACTTTCAAGAATTTGGGGAAGAAGAAAAAACCTAGTACAGAGCAGGAGAACGCTGCGGGTGCTGGTGCTGTTTCCGCAGCAACGAACCAAGCAGAGACATCGACAACCTCGAAAGAGGACGCCCAAGACCAAGCGCTCGAGTACTTCAGCATGCCCAAGGAGGTAGCGAAACAAGCACAAGAGCTGAAGCAGCAGGTCGCGCAACAGGAAGAAAAGGAGAACCTCAAAAAGGCCTCAGCATCTTCCTCTTCCACGCAACAAAGTACAACTCCAAACCCCGACGACAACACCCCAGATAACGACGAGGACCCCAACAAGAACAAGCAGCACCCGGTCATCGAGGAGCTGACCAACAGAGTGCAAAATCTGAAGGAAAAAGTCGCGAATTTCTTCGCGCTCCTCGGCGACTCGAACAGCTGGAATTCCGCGTTACTGAACACTCTCGACCTCGGGTCGGACGACGCTAGTTCCTTCTTCGACACAGCAAGCGATTCTTTCTCGAACTTATCCTGTGCAAAAGTATTGTACTCGTATAGATGCATTACAAATTTCCTCAGCGTGACCGTGAGAAATAAAATTTGTGATGCTGATTTACCTTAAGGAAAAGATTTGTAATGCATGACTGCCTGACGAAGACGAGTGCGATACTTTTGCAGTTCATAAACCTTCGACGACGACGATGACGACCCAGCCTCCAGCTTCAACCGCGCACTGTTTATCCTGTGCAAAAGTATCGTACTCGTATTGCAAGTCTTGCATTACAAATCTTTTTGTTAACTCAAATCCGCATTACAAATTTTATCTCTCATGCTGGGGAAGTTTGTCATGCATTTATACGAGTACGATACTTTTTCAGTTCATACTGTTTGAGGAGCAACAGTCCCGGTCTTTGTCCATGCCGAAGCAGTTCAAGGTGCAGCGGAACGTGAAAACGAAGTTCAAGGACGTGATTGGGCAGGAAATCGCGTTGGAAAAAATGAAGGAGTTCGTCGACATTCTTCAGCACCCAGACAAGTACGCGCAAATCGGATCCAAAGTCCCAAAAGGGGGGTTGTTACTTGGCCCACCGGGGTGCGGGAAAACTCTCCTAGCCTCCGCGGTCGCCGGGGAATGTGGCCTGCCGTTCATCTCGGCGCAAGCGAGCGAGTTCGTGCAGGTCTACGTCGGGATGGGCGCGAAGAACATCCAGTCTCTATTCGCTCTTGCGCGGAAGGAGGCGGAGCAGTCGGGGGGCTGCATTCTGTTCATCGACGAGATCGACTCGATCGGTCGGGACAGGTCCAAATCGCTGACGAACGGGGATGGGGAGACGGGAAACACGTTAAACCAGTTGCTTACAGAAATGGACGGGTTTCACAGCAAGGGCGAGAACATCGTGGTTTTAGCCGCTACGAATCGCGCAAACACGCTGGATTCCGCACTGATGCGGCCGGGCAGACTGGACCGGAAGATCCCGCTGCAAACGCCGAATGTGTCAGAGCGGGAGGAGCTGTTCGCGTTTTATTTGAAAAAGTTCGCCTGGCGGGGGGCGGATTTGAGGGAAGCGCTGGAAACGTCTCTGGACGAGATGACTGGTGCGACGAAGAAGGTCGCTGTGTCAGCAGCAGGAGGCACAGGAGAACTACAGGAAACAACATCTTCAGCCGTTGTCGACCAAACGCCAGCAAAATCTGCGGTCTTGGACAAAGCAAGCGATGAAATGAAGAACTTGCTTAGCAACTACGCGACACAACTCGCCGGTGAGTACCCGGATCTGGCGGAACAGGCGAGGGGAACAAGTGGAACCACACTAGCGCGTACGTCGGGAGAAAACAACATCGCAACAGCAACGGCACCATCTTCGTCCCCGCAAGGTCCAATCAGCACCACTAAAAACGGAAAGCCAATCGCCGTCGGCCAGCAGGTCTCTCTCGCTCTCCCGAACATGCGCCAGTCCTTTTTCAAGCACAATCTGCAAGACTTGGTGGGTGTCGTCGTCGGAAAGAAAACGGAGTTGCAGGTGGTCAAATTGAACGAACAGGAGATGTCGGCGTATACGCAGTATGTGAAGAAAAGCGGAGCGGAAAATCAGAATCACGCAGCGCCGGTGGGGGAAGTGCACCCTGTTTTGGAGGCAAAGGAAGTTGATGCAGCAGTAACCGGTGTCTCAGCTTCTGCAACTGCAAGTGCAAACAGTGCACCGGCGGCGCCCACGACTAAACCTGCAGTTTCAAGTGGCAGCATGATCTCTGAGAAGGACGAACTACACAAGCAAGAGCCTCAAACGCTTGCAGTGGCATCACCATCAGCAGCCGCTCCTTCTGCCAATGTCAAAACTTCTCCACCTCCCCCCACCTTCACAGTGATGAACACCACGACAAAAACAGCGGGCGATGGCAGCACGACCGGCACGACCACGGTTGTAAATTCGTCATTAGTGACGGACAGCCTCGCGAACGTCCCCTTGAATTTGAAGCTCCAGGACCGACTGATTGTCCAAATCGGCTCCAAATACTACATCGCCGACGCGTCCGACGTGGCGCCGATTGAGGAAAACATGGTGAAAAAGGTGGCGCAGAAGGCCGCGCGATTGACCACTGGCTTCACCGGTGCGACGATCAGCTCGGTGTGCAACGAGGCAGGGATTTTGAGCGTCCGGGAATCCTTGGTCAAGAAGGAAGATTTTTCAGGAGCTGCTACTTCAGGCAAAAATAAAAATGGAGCTGCTACGACCGATCAAGAAAAATCAGTGGGCGCAACAGTAACAAGTGCAAGGGCGGGGACCTCCACTAGTTCTTCTTCGTCAACATCCCGATACCAGGGTGTTGAACAAAATACGAAGAGCCTAAACAAACGCAAAGCCGACTCGACACTCAGCGGAGATACGATTCTCCCGCCTTCTGGGACGGAGCAGATTCAAACCGCAACTTCTGCAGTAGATCATGCTCTATCAGCAACAGAAACTGCAGCATCTTCACCACCGAAAAACATCAAGCAGCCCCGATGCAACAACCGGAAGCGCCTACCGACGATCACGGAGCAGAAACTGAGAAAAGCCATGGACATGGTGGCCGTGGGGAACGGGAAAAGGAATTACCGCATCACGGAGAAGGAAAAAGAAGCCACCGCCTTCCACGAAGCGGGCCACACCGCGATGAGTTTCTACTTGGAAAAGTCCCCCGATCCGGTAAAAGTCACGGTTTTGCCAACCGATACCGGGGCGCTCGGGCACATGATGCCAGGGGAGCCAAAGTCAGAGGTACAGAATTTTTTTCGGACTTGTTGGTACAGACAAGATCTTGATCGCAGCTTTATTTTTTGAATCAAGTGGATGCAAAAGTGCGCAAAATCCTGTTGTATAATGAAGCCGTTTTTACGTCATGCACCAAATAGAAATAGCTGCATATAACGAAGATGATCTAATCAATATCAACCACAGACCTCCTCTTCCAAGGCCGAGCTGGAAGCGCAGATTTGCGTCGCTCTGGGCGGTCGCGTCGCCGAGGAACTCTTCACAGACGAAATTGGGACGGGTGCCAGCTCGGATCTGGAGAGAGTCACTTCCATTGCGCAGGACTACGTCTATTCCTATGGGTTCGGCGAGCACTTGCTGACTTTCCACAACAGCCAGCAGAACACCTGGTCGGAACAGACGAAGCAACAATTAGAGCAAGAAGTGAAGGACTTGGTCAAGACCTGTTACGGGAGGACGAAAGATATGCTGAAAAAACACGATTTTGAAATCCGAAGCTTGGTCAAGGAGCTGATTGAAGCGGAAACTTTATATTCGGAAGACATTCGAAGGATTCTGGCGGTGAAAAAGTGAGAAAGGGATGGTCCTCGATAACTTTATTCACCGCACAAGCTTCTTGTAATCCGACTGCTTAGTGTTAGTAGTCGTACGTAGCGAAACCCCATCTTTTCGTTCCCGACCACTCAATGTCAATTGTAATTTCATCTCTGAAGGAACAACCCTGACTGTACTCCCAACAGCGAACTCCAACTCGCAAAAACCACTTGTTCCCTTACCGTTTGCAGTTTTCTATTTCCACCTACCCCCAGTCCCGCCCGATAAAAACGACAGAAGGAAGCGACATGAAAGAATGGATGAGGAAGGGCTTCCAGTTCTGAAATTGCTGGAACCAGTAAGCAATTGGCAGCAGCCAGCCTGCTGGTGCAACTGCTGCCAATTGCGATGCGGTACATAAACTTTTGGAAGCGATGTTCAATAACTTATGTGGGTCAAAGTAGCTGTACTTATCCTTACGTTTGGAGCGGCCGTGGTTGAGTCGATGTAGAACTTCTCGTCGGCCTATATTACGAGTCACTGCATGTCGTTATCGTGCACCTGAAATAAATCGTTAGTGCGTAGAAACCGAAAGATTGTGATCGGTGTAAGTTGAGTGGATGAAGACACCATCGGTTATGCAAGTCTACGAATGATTATGAGCGAGTCTCCCCCTTCTCTATCGGTACGTACCGAGCTTTGCCTGTCCTGTCGGTGAGGATCATTCGAAAGCTTTTTTTGATTCGTACTAAATTCTCGAGTGCAGTGATTTATTTGTGCGGTTTTTTCGCCCATGAGAGTAGACGATTCGGTCATTGGAATTTTGTGTCTGTTTGATAATTCGTCTGTTGGGAGTTGTTGGAGGACGAGGACATCGGCTGATTTTCTTCTCCTTAATTTTCGGAACAGGACCATCACCACCACCCGCTCGGTCACTATGCAGACATACGTAAAACCCCGAGCTCAGTTTATTTCGTCCTGTCAAGAAGTCGGTGCATCAATTCAGCAATTCAAACACCAATCTCATAGGTTTTTGTAGTTTTGGAAAATCGGAACGAGTCCGTATATTATGAATGTAGAAACTTCGCCCAAGTTTTTGTTTTGCCTCTGTCATTCTCAAGAACACTAACGTGTACAATTTGGAGTCCTTTTTTCATTTTCCTCCCCATATCGACCTGTGTCTACCAACGTAGAAGCAGGAGGACGACCAAATACAAAACCCCCCCTCGCACCCCAAAAATGGCCGCTGCCGCCGCTGCGACCCAGCTCCCCCCCGAGCTCTGGAACAAGGTTCTCGTCGAGTATTGTGATGCGTCGAATCGTACTGTCGGAAGACTGGCGCAGACCTGCACGGCGCTCCGCAACACCATGCTGGAGGATGAGGGCATCTGGCGGACTTTGTTTCACCGCAGGTTCTACGACCAGAGTGTGGTTTTGGAGGACATGGAAAACAGAAATGATGACACAGACGTGAACTTCGAACTGAAAGTTCAACCTGTTGTTGTTCCAGGAGAAAGTCAATTGAATCAGCAAGAGCACCAGATCTTCCAGCAGTATTTGGATAAACGCGACCCCAGCGCAGCAGATTCCTACCGCCCCCGCGCGCGCAGCTGCATGACGTCTCCTGCTGAGCAGAATGCTTTAGTTCCTTTGCGACCTGCAAGCGCGACAGCGTCGTCTTCTACTAGTAGAAATATTTTTTCAACCACAATGACTCGAGGAGCGAGAACAAACGGCTCCAGCAATGCAATTTCTTCGAACATCTGGCGCAAGCGCTACGTCGCGCTCCACGACTTAGAACGGCGTTTCCGCAAAGGCCTCTTCGACCGGAAAATCCAGTTGACTGCGGAGCCCACCCCGGTTTGCGACGTCCATTTGACCCCCGGCACGCGGGACGTGTCCATTGCCCTCGGTAGCGGAGAAATTCTCTCCATGCGGGGGAAAGAAATTCTGTCCCGCCAAACCGCACCCAGTCCCGCGGTACGGTGTTTCGTGGACCGTGTTTCGGGTACTTTGTTTGCAGGCTTGCAATCCGGCGAGATCATGATCGGCGGACAAATTTTCGCGAAGGCGCATCTGGGGAAAGTGTGTGGGTTGGAGCAGGTTATTAACACGGTTGCGTCGATAGGAGGAGGTGGACCAGCGTCGCCCCTGTCGGTACGAGCTTCTTCTTCTTCACCGTCTGATGCGCTAATTTCACCCAGCACCAACCTGCTGTTCAGTTGTTCCTCGTCCGACGACTGCGTGAAGCTCTGGGACATCCAACACGGCAAGCGCAACGAAGCGATTGCGGCGTACCGGCACGAATCTGTCACCACGCTCTCCGCCGTCTCCGCGTATGAGGTGTGGTCCGGCGGCAACGACCGCATGCTGAACCGGTGGGACACGCGAGTGATCGGCACCACCGGCCCCGTCCAGTCCTTCGGGCCCGCCGACGACTGGGTGATGATGGTAGAGGCCGGCGGGCAGAGCGGCAACCTCGTGCGTGCGGCGGACAAGGCGATCCATTTGTGGGACGCGCGCTACGGGACGAAACCGCTTTTGACGACGCACAAGCACAAAAAGCTGATCACGCGTTTCCACTCAATGATGACCCGAAGGACCCACGCACCGCGGCTGGTTTCCTGTTCGCTGGACGGACGGGTGAAAATCAGTTCCTTAGACCGGTACCGCGACGACGCGCTGGAGCTGGATCTAGGCCCGGCAGGTGTGGATGACAGTAGAAGTACAACTCGAGAAGGTCGTGGCTCAGACCTCCTCGACAGGAGCGCCAGCGGCCTGGACGAGGACAGTCTCCATATGATATCCTCCACCAGAAGAACCTCCTCCGCGTTCAACGACTCTTTCTCCTCCGACGAATTAGTCGTCCGCGAGGGGCGCACGTTGTCCACGGGTTCTTGGGAAGAATCCTTCCGCAGTCCCGACGCGCAGTACAGCTTATGGACTGCAAAAGTATCGTACTCGTACGTAGTATTGCAATACAAATTAGCTCAGCATGACAAATGGAATTTGTCATGCTGATTTAGATTGAAAATGAAATTTGTAATGCTAATGCATAACTGCAATTAGTACGAGTGCGATACTTTTGCAGTGCATACAGTTATCTTGAAGCGGATTTGAGCAAGGCGATGCCGATCGTGCACGACGCAGAAGCGACGACCTTGCCGTGCAGCAACGACTACTGTTTGTGCGTAGATTTTGACGACACAAAGTTGCTGGTCGGCGGAGTGGACGGCAGCTTGTTTGAGTACAACTTTGAAAAAACGTTCGACTTGGATAATTGCGGCGGGGGTCGTGCGATGAAATCGAGAAAACTCTTCCGCACAGTCAAGAAGAGCCGGAGTAAGGAAGTTCTTTCGCAGGAGGTAGTAGAGAACAAGGGTCGCGCTGAAGAAAAGCAGGGAGAAGAACACAACAGCCACTACAACTTCAGTAGCGACGCTGATGCGACCGCAAGTACGAGAGAAGGCGGATTTACCTCCACTTCATCGTCTAGCGGCACAAGAATACTTTCCTCTAGTACAACAGCAGCTCCTGTTGTAAGAAGCATCGGTCACAAGCAGGACCACCACGCGCAGACGCTATTTTCTCCAAAATCGCGCAACAATGGCTTCTCGTCCTCCCGGAGCTCAGCCGATAGTTCCACGGCGCCGGATCAACATTTGCAGGGACACGAACGCGGCGAGTCAAAGCAGCAAGAAGGCCACCAGCACTTTCGGCCTATGAAACTGCAATCACGAAGAGGTGCGCAGGACGAAGTGAACGATTTTGGCGAAGATGGTGATGAAGCTGAAGACGAGCCTCTGGCTAGACAAAAACCGAAGCCGCAGCAGCTTTCAGTCCGTCAAAGAACGCGGACTTCTAGCAGTAGAGGAAGTAGCAAGGGACTGAGCACCAATGCAGGCGCAGACGCGACCGCACAGATGAAGAAAAAACAGAAAACCAAGCAGGAGACTACGACGGGAAATAAGACAAAACGCAACAGTCGCGGAAGATCAATCCGGTCGGACGAAGAACTTTTCAGCAGCAAAGAGGATGCGGACTCGTCATCCTCCGATAGCGACGATGGTAATGTGGAGAGACTCGAAGAAAAAATCCCGTCCTCCGAGTTTCTCTACGGCCTTGCGCGACAGCAGCACTTGAAAGAGCTCGGACACCGGTTGATGAGCATAGAAACGGTCGCGAGCATCAACTCAGTGGAACAACAGCAAAGCGGGGCAGTCCTGAGGACAACATCATCGTCATACACACATCAATCCTTGCCGGTAGGTATGCCGACCACGCAGCGTCAAGAACGAGTACACTCTACGTCCATGTCGCCAGAGCTGGTTGTTAGTCGAAGTAGGATGACGAGCACGGGTGTGGAAAATGAAGCAGGGTCTCGTGCCAGAAGCACATGTTGGCATATGTCCAGCCATGGCGCTACCTCAGCTGACCTCGAAGAGTCACCGGAATTGTAGCTGAGTCGTGCGGGAAAAATGCCATTTTTTGTGCCCGAACAACTCGATGCTATGCAGATCTATTGAGTCCACTTATGGTTATGTTTCTGCGACTGCGGTCGTGAAGATGTCATACGAAATTCGTCCTCATGGTCGAACCAACAATCTCACTCTAGTATCAGACTCTGTACCATTGTTGGCGCCGCGCAGATCCGGCTGCTCGCCGCGCTCGTGGAACTGGGTCGAAAAGCACCGTCGCACGTTTTTCTTTTCGGTTCAAGTAGTGTTGAGATTGCCCTTCAGCTTCAGCTACCAACCTAGTACACAAGCCAAAGCGTCGGTAACAGCAGAACCTCCATGCATCGCCTCGGTTTCATGTTGCCTCTTTTGGTGCATCGTTCACTTCATCGCGTCCTCCTTCTTATTTCTTTGACATGCTAGAGCAGCTTCGGTCTCATCGTACTACTGTGCGTTAACACAGTATCAGTCCTTTACTCGGTTCGTACTCGTAGAACGTCGGTACACAAGTGTTTTGAAACTCCCCGTCCAGAAATTCGTCCCTGCGGAGGTCGCATGCCTCGGATCAATTTGTCGTTTCATCGTTCTCTCTGTTGCTTCTGCAACCTAAACAAAGTTATCCAGAGGCATCATATGTTAGAATATTTTATGAGCAAGGGAGTCAAACGCCGAAGGGAGTCAAGGGAGCCAAGGGAGTAAGATAAATTTACATCAAATCGCCTTCCCTTGAATTACTGGCAAAATGCATGCTGTGGTCGTATTTTTCCGTCGCCAGTTTACATCCTGCCCCCCTCTCCGCTGTAGCCCCATGTTTGGCAAGCTTTCAACTTTCCTCCATGGAGGAAATTTGAAGTGGCCACCTCAGCGACCTTCTTCTGTTCTTCGTACGTTTCTGCGTTGCTGCAAACGCAGAAATGGAGGACAAAAGCTGTTGAAGTTGCCACTTCAGCAAATTGAAATTGCTGAAGCAGCCACCTCAGTTTTCCGCCATCGGAGCAAAGTTAAAGTGGCCACTTCAACAACTTCGTAATCTCTTTGGCCTGCGTGACTGGTTGCCAACTATTGTGGGAAGTTGTCACGCCGAGCAGCATAGAATTAAAAGGGGAGAGATTCTCTGTTCTGCGTGAGCCAACAGAGAACCACTCTGCCACGCTCTATGAAGAGAGGACGGGGTAAGTGACTGCGCGCGCGCAGCGCGCGCGCGATTTTTTTTTTTGGTTTTACGCCTTGAAACAGCGCGGAGCGTTGTGCATCGCTTGAATGAATTAACTGCGGGCGCTTTTTAAACTTACTCCCTTGACTCCCTTGGGAATTGGCGCTGTACTCCCTTGGCTGGCGCCAGGCACTAATAAACCTAATATGTCGTCGTATTTGTGGTTGTTATGTCTAGTAACTGCACGTAGTAGAATCCTGCGCCCTAGTAGTATTAACTTTCTTGTGGCAGTTTTCTTTTGGTTTTGCACCCTAGAAGTAAATACCCCCTGAGGCATTTCCAAATTCAAAACCCTGATGAATTCGAGTTAGTTGTTGAGCATAGTATTAGTAGGTTTGACGAGGAAAATACCAGCCCGGTTCTTTTGTCGCGAACGAACGAACCCGCGTGGTTGTATTGCTTGTAAACCAAAAGGGCGATAAATTTGTATTGGAGCTCGCAATAAACACAACGCTTTGATGCTGCACGCTTTTACTGTGTACGACCACCTGGAAAGTGAATTCAATAGATAAACCGAAACTATGTCAGAGGAATGCGAAGAGCGTGTGGTGACCCACACGATAAAGGAGGAGGATGATTCCACCACGTTTCTTTACGTCATGATGGTCCTGCTCCTGATCTTCTGCGCCGTCGCCGTTTCCTACGCCTACCATCTCCACGTCAAGGGGCAGAACAAACCCTCGCCGTTCGAGGGACTAGTGGACGCAATTAAGAAGCTATGCAGCGGTATGATTTTTTTTCATTTTTGGATATTCGGAGTCGTTTGATGTGAAAAACAATAAACATAGAGAGTGGAAAGATGCTAGCTGCCAGCAACTAGTAGTACAACCACTTCAATCAACACAACAGCTGGTGGGAGAAAGCCGGCGGGTGCGAACAAGAAGGGAAAGAAAGACGAGCAGCAAGGAGAATGGAGCCAAGCGGACTGGGACGCAATGTTCGCCGGCATGTATGGCGACCCTAGCCAATGGGACGCCGGCACACAGGGAGGGCAATCGGGAGCAGATCAAGGGAAGGGCGGCCAATTAGCACTGCAGGACGACTACTCACAATATCCTGGAAGTGGCGGCAGTGCCTCGTCAGGGGGCCCTGGAAGCTGGGATGGCGGTATAAGAATTTTACGTAGTCGTAGAACTCGATACAATTGGTTGTAAATCAAAGAAACAAAAATGCCGTGCTTAAAAGCTGCATCATGTCTCCAAGTCGAGCTCTTCTGTCGGAGGTGTAATACCTAGCATCTCCACCTTCCCAGGTGCAGGTGCTCGTCTGATGTGAATGATCATGTATGAAAACCGTCGATTTTATTTTCAGGCGCAGACGACGCCGCTTGGGGCGCTCCTGTAGCACCACCAACAAAACCAAAGCCCGGCAAGGGTTCGAAAGGAGGTGCACACCAGCAGGTGCCTAAGAAGCCAAAGGCGCTGCCCTCCATGAAAGGCGGAAAGAGCAGCACGGGAAAAGCAAGCAAAGCACAACCGGCGCCATCGCAGTACGGTTATGGGCAACAGGATCAGTGGGACGGCGGATCGGGCTACGGCTACTGATAACATCTCTCTACTTGCTTGATAAAGTCAAAAGATTAAGATTGATATACTAGGCAGTCGCTTTTGTTCCATATTGCTTTTCATTAGAAAGTTGTAAATGCGCTTCTTGGATCTGATTTATCCCCCCATGAGCCCCCACACCCCCCATAATCGTAGTTTCCATCAAGAAAAAATAAATAAAAAATTGCGGTAAGTAACTTTTTCGACCTCTTTACGCCACTCCCACTACAAACCTCAATCGTACTGAAGCTCTAGTCTGGGACAACGATGCTAAGATACATACAAACCCGACCTGTTTCGCGTGCTGAGTCAAACAATGTAAAATAGCCCACGCTTTTTTTTCTGATGTATCTGCTCAACCACGGCTCTGATTACTTTTGGCGCTTCGCTATCCACAGCGCCATCTGCACCTCACTCATCGGTTCCGCTTATCGTGTGACTTTGCAGTCGGTTGCCCTGAATAAATCAAAAATCCCAATTATCTGTTGCAAGCTCTTCATTCGGATGGTAGATCATCGGTTCTGGTTTTTCTGCTGTTTCTTTTGCCGCATTACATTATGTACTTTGTGCCGTACGCATTTTTTGAACTGCAGCTGCGGAAATCAGTGCACCTTTCGTTGTTTCCGCAATCGCAATTAGTCGTGCATCGTGACTTTCGTGCTGTTTCAACAACAATTGCAGCCGTCGTCCGTCAAAGCCAAAGCTGCAGCTACGTCGTGAACAAGAATAGATTTTACCACTCGTCAAGATCGTTATGTTTCACATCAAAAAACAAACAGGCTTCCCTTACCCTCTGCTTCCGCCTCCGGAGCAGAAGTGCATCTCCGTTTTCAAGTGATAAAGTAGTATCCCCAGGATGTTGAACACATTAATTTCAATAAGCCAAAGCCTCATGCCATAGTTTGACAGCATTTACGAGTTTCTTGCTTCAGTGAAATTAGCATGTGATCCTATTGATGCCCCTTCATGTTCATATTATTGTCTGTTGCCCTTTATCTGGTTTACGCCTTGATTATGTTGTTAGTGGTGCTAACGTTCATGTCGCAAGATAGAAAAACTCGGAATAAATAGTAGACTCATCAGGCGGAGGAGGTAGCCAGCCCGCGGCGCGTCGACGGGGAAAGAAGTGGAGAAAGGACTTTGGCGCACAATAGACCCTGGACTCCAGGATCATGCGACGAGGCTCGCTCCTGCGCTATCTGGTGCCGGCCCACCAGCTCGTCGTGCTACAGAACTTCTTGGATGTCAAAAGAGGAGTCGCCGCGGCGTCCTCGGGCGGTGGTCCCGCGGAAGCAGACCTCCCAGGTGAACAACCAACGAAAAACTCACCACAAGTGAATGTAGCAGTGGAGAACATAGCACAGGCTGCTCTTCTAGACAACAATAGAAACAGCGTTCCGGAAGATGATCCGGTCTCCGACGAGCAGGATCCAAATTATGACAGCACCAATTATCGGGAGCTTTCCACCGACGACGACTTCTATAACGACACGAATTCGACCAACGACACGGAAATCACTACCTCCACCACAACGACCACCACGAGTTCCACTACCACCACCACATCGACGACAACCTCCTCCTCCACGACCACTACCACCATCGACTACAACACAACCACCACCCTGCCCTGCCAGAACTATACGATAACCGTCTGCGAGCCCATCATCGCGGAGGTGTGCGCCTGGACCGCGAGCACCACACCGGCGCCGGGGTCGTCGTCCTCGTCCAGGAGAAGTAGAGAGAGGCTGCTGTCGGCGCTGGCAAAAGGAGGTGTCGGGGGCAGAAAAAATGTCGGGGAGATCAAGGAAAGCCAAAGTAGTGAATCCGTCCCAGATGTTGATCTTGATGTAGGAGTTCCAACAACACAAATAAAGGGTACGGCTGCGGAGCAGGTTTCAGTAAGTGTTTTGCGCGTGGAGCAGGAGAGCACCAAGAAGAACGTCGGTGGAAACTTTGCCGGTGCCGAGGACAAAAATCCGAACGTGGTATCAAAAGAACCAGGAGATGAAGATAGCAGCAGCCTCACCGCGCGGGAGATGCGGATGTTGGGAATCGCAGAGCCCGCTGCTGATAGATTAGTCGCCGCGGCCGGTAGAAGTAGTACAAACACAGCTGCAACAAGTTCTTCTTCATCACTTGCAAGGAAAACTGCAGTCGCGAGTCCTGCGTCCACCTCTACTTCCACTTCGTGGGAAAAACTACAAGTAGACGGCGGCCGACAACTGATAGAGGAGGTGGAACAGATCGCCACATCAAAGCCGGTAATTTCTCTGTACAAAGAGAATGAGAAGGTCGTCTCCTACCCAATTTCCCCCCAGACACTGGACGAATTCGCGAAAACGAGCCTCAAAGGAGGAAAGAGCAGCTCTTCCTCCGCAAGTAGTAGTAGTAGTAGTACTACTTCTTCCACCTACTTCCCCACCTGCCCCACAGACGAACGAGTGGGCTTCGCACGCCTGGAGTTGTCGTATGGCGACCTGTGGCGAGTAGCCGGCAACCCGTTCATCATCGAAGATTTTTTTCAGCAGAGAAATCTCGGCGGGGATGATGCGGTGGATAGACTTTACGAAGTGGACCTCGGAACGGCCGCAGATAGTATTGACGCTGGTGAAGACCAGGTTCTCGTCGGAGCAGAAAACCAAAGCCAAGAGTTGTCCACAACTTCTTCACTAGACCCCACGACTTCCTCCTCCACTTCTATCCTTGAAGCGACGCGCATTCTCGCCCCTTCTCTGCCCTTCGCCGGGCCTGATTCCGGTCCGAGCGCGGGCGAAATCGAAGTTGTTGATGGCGTGCCAATTGCCATCACCCCCTTCGCGGAAAATGAGTATTGGGCCTTGGATGCCTCGCAGTACTTTCTCGGCACCGGGCAAGTGTTGTTGAACTGGTTCAAAGCGCAGAACGACAGATTTCAACCGGTAGGAGTTCCCGTGGAAGAGGTAAACGAGGAGATTCTCATCATACCGAGGGGGGAGCCGGGGATAGTTAGCAGCTCTTCTAGTACTCCGAATCGCCTCCGACAATTGAAAGACGATGAACAAGCAGACCCCGAGCGGACGCGAAGTCATATTGAGCTGGTGCAAGGAGGTGGAGCAAACACATTAGGAACCGCCAGTACTTCAGCAGGAACACCTCCCCTCGCTGCAGCTGCACCGGAACCAGCTGCAGAAGATGAAGACCCGGACCTTTTTGGATTCGATCAGGATGCAGCTCTGCGAGTTCTGTCCAACCTCGCTGGTAACGATACGAACGACACCGATGCAGTCGTTGGCACCAACTCGACCAACGCGAGCAATGCGACGGAGCAGGAGGAGGCTGGGGTAGTAGAAGATGACGTAAACCGCACAAACGCCAGCAACGCAACCGCACAAACGGCGCAGCTGTACTACGTCTGCATGAACGCGACGGTCGGGCACGTGTGCCAAAACCTGACGGGTTGTTTTATCGCGACGACGTCGACAACAACGACGACAAATCCGCCGTATGAAGTGGTTTTCCCCACGCCGCCACCCACGTCAACCACGACAACGACAAGTACTTCTGATGAAATTGCTTTGCTTTTGTTGATATTTTTTCATGAGCGCTAAACTTTGTACTTGCAGACATCTTCGTAGTCGTACTTCTACTTTCATGATGTTGCATCATCCATATACATACAACTCTCATTCGCAGTAGTTTAGCCTCTGAAGTAGAAGTGGAGCCGAATCTCACAAGTAGATAGTGTCCATGTTCTTCATTATGCGTTCGAATGTCCAGCATTTTTGATGTTTTGATAACTTCTCCCTCTTCAGCCACCATCCCGACCACTTCTACAACCACGACGACGTCTACCACGACCGTGATTTACCTGCAGCCGACAAGCACGACCACGACGACCACCAGCACAACCACGTCTACCACCACGATTCCGACAACGTCGACCACCAGCACCACGTCGACCACGGTCACGACGACCACCACCACCCCCCGCTCGGAGATCCAGCTGCAGGCGACCTACGAGGCAGAGGAAGTGTTTCCGGATAATGTGCCCCCGACGGAAATTTTCCGATCCCCCGGCTACGTCGCCGCCAAGTTGAAGGGGTTGGCGCAGGCGCTCGGACTCCCGGAAAGCATGATCCTCATCACCGGATTCCAGCTGACCAGCAGCAGGAGAAGAATGATGCGCGAGCTGATGGTCGTGGCAGATAGGGATAGTAGAGCCAGCAGATCTACTGGAAGAGCCGGCTCCTTTGTTCCTGGTAGCACTAAAAGTAAGGAAAAAGCTGCGGGGGCTTCGAGGAGCGAACTAGACCAAGTCGTAGGACCACGACCTTCTTCAAAGACAAAAATTACACGGCGGCTAAAATCCGGCTGGTCAGCACGAACAGCAGAAACTACAGCACACGACCCATCGGCTGAACAAGAAGTAGGTGCAGAAATAAAAAACCGCGTTTTGGCGTACGTGCAGAAGGTGAAGACGCAGTTCACCATTGTGGTCAAGTCCGACGCGCTCGCGAGCGCGGTGTCCGCGAACCCGAATTCCGCGTTGGCCCAGACATTGGCGGCGGCGAACCCGTCGGTGCAGTCTGCGATCGCGGGCACGACGGATAGCACCGTGCTGCAGCAGCAACTACAGCAATCGTTCGTGATGGCCGATTTCTACAGTGCGGTGTCGCAACTCTCCTCGGAGCTGCAGAAAACCGAGATCGCGGAGCAAATCACGCAGGAGACCAACACGGCACTGACCACGGTCGCATTGGACCCCACGATCTTCATAGAAGGCCCGCCCACGCAGTCAGGCGCAGAGGTATTTTTTTCTATACCATAGCCATTAGTATTAGAGAACTATAGACTCGTAGCAACTTGACCAAAAAGGTGAGACCAAAGGTATGGGAATCTAAATCGCGATAATACTGTGACGAAAACTTGACCAAAACCTGACGAAAACTTGACCAAACCGAAAAACAGCGACTTTGTGAAAATTGGCCAAGCGCGATGCTATGGCTGATTTATTCTATGGGCCATTTTGACGAAAACCTGAGGAAAAGCTCTAGACGTCGGGGGTTTTTGGTTTTTTTGTCATTTTTTTCCCCGACGGTATACGCCGGACCTATAGCAAAGGAGACGAACGACGTCTAGACGTCCGAGAAAAAATTTCGCCTATCACGGGCGAACGGCTGAGCAAAGTTGACCAAAAGTTGAGGCCGACCGCTAGAGGTCGACCTCTAGAGCTTTTGGTCAACTTGTGAAAAAAACGAAGCAGAATCCCGCGCGGCAAAAATTTACGGCGGCAGTTATCCATCGGGGCAAATTGCTTCAGGCGTCAGCAATTCACTAGTGTCTGCGCCTTTTGCTAAAGAAGAACGCTACAGGCCGGCCAGCCAGAGGCCCGGTTGCATTTTAAACGCAAAAGCCTGGAACCCTCTGGGGCTTTGGCCCTCGACGTATGGAAGCCAGCCGCGCCCCAAAACGGCGCCAAAAGCAAGAAAGCGCCACAAAATGCCGCGGCCCCCTTCGCCTTAGCTTAAGGTCTCGGCGATGTTGTGCCCCTCTCGTTTTGTGTTTTCCCCTATTGGTCTTGTTGTGCAGCTGCACGGCAAACGAACAAACATAGCGGAGCGCTGCCAGGGATTGCCCAACACTCGCATGTTGGTCCTGCCTTTGCTTCGCTGCCATTCCTACTACATGCCCCTGCGTGTTGCGAGGAAGTCCAAGCCATCGGCAGCCCGCCTCCCCGCCTTTGTATGTGGTGGCGCGCGTGCTGGCGTCGTCCATCCGTCATCGCTGAAAAACGAAGGCGACGGATGGGCATCGGCCCAGCGGCCCATTTGGCGCACTGCCTTCCCGAACAACCCCGGCCAGACATTTTCCAGGGTTTGGCCGCCAAATGTGAAGCGCCCCCTTGTTGTATGTGCCCAGGTGCCTGCCGGCTAGATTTGCCGGGCTTTCTGGCTTGGCTTGAAAGCGCCGGCCGGGCGGCGCGGTCCGTCGGAACGGTGTAGCTTGGCCCGGCCGCACCGTCTCCCCCACTTTGCTTCCTACTCAATGAGGCCAAAGCAGCGAGGAGCGGAGACTGACATAGAGGCAAGGAGGTAACGCCACCCGACCGATATACCTCCCGACATGCCTCCCGATACCCCTTCCGATATGCCTCCCGATACATATGCCTCCCGATATGTATACCTCCCGATATGTGTACCTCCCGATATGTGTACCTCCCGACACACCTCCCAATATACCTCCCAATATACCTCCCAATATCCCTCCCGATACCCCTCCCGATACCCCTCCCGATATCCCTCCCGATATCCCTCCCGATATACCTCCCGATATACCTCCCGATATACCTCCCGATATACCTCCCGATATACCTCCCGATATCCCTCCCGATATACCTCCCGATATCCCTCCCGATATCCCTCCCGATATCCCTCCCGATATCCCTCCCGATATGCCTCCCGATATGCCTCCCGATATGCCTCCCGATATGCCTCCCGATATGCCTCCCGATATGCCTCCCGATATACCTCCCGATATACCTCCCGATATACCTCCCGCGCCCTTGTGGAAGCGCGGAGCGGGCTGCTGTGGCCCTTGTTTTTGCCGGTTACGCAGGTGTGGCATCCCCGCCCGCGCCCCCCCTACCCCCCCCAGACGGTTCCAGGGGCCGGTGGGTAGCCAGATCAGGGCTGCTAAACACCGGCCGCTCGGCTTTTTTGATGTTTGGCAAAGAAAGGAGTTCGCGGGCGGGCCAGCTAAATTAATCACCCGGGCGGGGCAGCGTTGCTTTCGCCAGCCCTGCGCTGGTTTGGGGCGTTGTGGCTGCCCTTTTTTGGTTCTCTTGCGTGCCATACAAGCTGCAAACCCTTTGGTCTCTCCGTTGGTTTCCAAAAGACCTACGGCCCTCTAGTTATGAAAAATATCCCGCGCCGTTGTGCCTTCTCCACGGCGGCGCGAGCGACGAATACTTTTACTTGTCATCATATTACGTTCGGAATCGGATGGACTAGAATACGGCGCTTTTCATCATTTTCTTGCTGTGATAGAAGTGTCTTGTATGATGGTCGCGATTTTTGATCCTTCACGTGCGCTGCCACGAACTACACTTTTTGACGCTATTGTGCTATAATAGCATAAAGTTCAAGTTTCTCCTCCTACTTCACACCAAATCTGAAAACACGACCAGATGACGAGCGTAGAAGTGGCGGTGGTGGGGAGTTCTTATGCGACCACTGCTGTGCCAATCGCGACCACCACGACCCCCGCGCCCGCGGTTGTGACCACCACCACCACGACGGCCGCGCCCCTCCTGGTCGAGGAGACGGAAGCGGCCACCATTCTGGGCATCGACCAAAACCTGTTTCTGATTTTCTGCGGCGCGGTCTTCCTCCTCACGGTCATCGGCCTCTCGCTGTACTGCTACAAGCTGAAGCTGGACCGCCTCCGGCGGGAAGAGCGGGAGGAGGCGGAGCGGCAGGCCCGGCTCGCGGAACTCCGGCGGCTGGCCAGCTTGAAACTGGAGGAGGAGAGCAGCGAGGACACCTTTGTCGCGGTGATCGAGGAGGAGCGAAAGCAGGCGGAGACGGAGGGCCGCATCCCGCCCCCCTCCCTGCCGAAGAAGTTCAAGATGGCCAAGATCCGCGGGGAGTGGGACACCGTCGGACTGCCCCGGTTCGATATGGCGTTCTCAAACGTTACATTCTCAACTGTTACATGAATTTGTCATGCAAAAGTGCCTGCAGCCGGCAGATGATCGAGCTGCTTCGCATGACAAATTTCGGAAGAGCTAAACTAACAGCATCTAAATCTGCGCCAAGCTTGTAATGCAAAAGGCGCAATCTTCCTCCTTTCACTTTTCTTTGGTTTTGCCAGTCTTGCATTACAAATTCATGTAACAGTTGAGAATGTAACGTCTGAGAACTCCATATTCGACGACGAGAAATCCGTGTACTTCAACCGCCTGCTCTATGGAAGTGTCAGAATCGAAATTGACAAAATCGAAAAATTTGTGATGCACAAAATCGATGTCAGTTGGAGCCTCAGTTTCCAAGTGGCGCATGACAAATATCGGGAGCACCCAAATCCAAACTGTCATGCAGTTTGGGCAAAGAAGACTCCTCCTTTCATGCTACTCTGGCAGCACATTTTATACCCCTAAACAGGCTCACAATCGGTCTCATTTGCCTGCTCCCCAATACAGGCCTTCAGTGCCCTACATTTTACGCATCACAAATCATGTCGATTTTGTTGATTTCGATCCTGACACTTCCATATGCTCGTGCGGGACACGCTGCGGGCCAAGACCATCGAGCGGTTTGGCAAGGCGAATAGCAGTATCATGCTGCGGGAGAAGGACGTGCCGAAGGAGGTGTTCGAGGTGGCGACATCCCGCGACGAGAGGAAAAACGCGCGGATCTGGGACATTCCGGCCTTCGCGCGGAAGGTGCGCCCGGTTCTAACCGAGTACTGGAACTGGCGCCCCTCCTACTCGCGCCAGGTCGCGCCGGACGCGAAACAAGACACGGCGGGCGAGTTCGTGCCCTCCCCGACGACAAGTATGGTTGTCTCCGCGGGGGAAACGCGGGCGGTCAAGGGCCAGAAGCCGGATTATGATCCTAGTAGTGCCGCTGCCGGGACCGCGGCCCCCTTCTCGAAGCGGGTCGATCTCCTGGCCGCCACCGACGACGGCCACGACCACCTTTCTCCGGAAGAAAGGGCGGCGAAGGCGGCCAAAATGACCGCGGTGCTGAGGCATAACGAGGAGGCACGCCGGACCGACGGCAATCGCCCCGTGGTGGCGGAGACCGTAGCGGGCGAGCGAAAATTGGAAGACACCGTCACGCCGAAGGGAAAACGGAAAAAGCACAAGAAGATCGTGCACTACTAGTAGAGCAGGTGCGTTCAGATAAGGGTAGTGCGTAGTACATGTGATATCAGGATCAGGTTAGAATGTTCAAGTAAATTTTCATCGCAGGATCATCGATCTGTTTTCCTTTCAGAGAAGTCTCAAGTTGATCATTCTTCCGCGCCGGTCTTGTTTTCATTTTGAAGCAGGCGAGCCCCGTTCATAATTTAATATGTAGATTTTTTTCATTGGTCGTATATGAGATATACCCTGCTGACGAAGTGGAAGTACTTTGATTTCTGGCCCACATCATTTTTCCCCGACAACAGCATGTCTTGCATTTTTTTGTACCCAGCATAGTACTACATATCGATGCAGATAGGTGTTTCTTGTGACATGATGAATTGTGATTGGCCACGAATCTGGCATAGAGCGCTATGTCTGACACTCCTTATTTCCTCGAATTCTATGACAATTTGAATTTTCTCTCTCGACCTCGACGTATTTGACTCCTTCTTTATAATGGGCGAGTGCATGTGTATGCCAATACTGTGGATATGCGACAACTTTGTTCCATTTCTCTCAAGCGTATATCACTTTTCGTTCGGTGTCGCTGTCGCCTGATTATATTAGATGATGAACATGGTGCATTTATAATATTCTCCGTCGGGAGACGCATAGGCATAGCCTCTACTAAAGCGTCTACATCTGGCCGCTGATCATTTGTAATCTGTCTCGGTCTTTTCTTGGCCCGAAGTCAATGTCAGCATTGATGAATCTCGGTTGTTTCCTCCTGATTCCTCGTCGGTGCGCGCGTTGCTGATGTCTTGGGTCTCTCGGTGAGCATGGCAAGAACAGCGGCCTCCGTTGTCGATATTAGAAGACATACTCGGTCAATATCATGTAGATGCCCTCGTTGAGGTTGATGCGGAGTTGTCGCTGCGCTGCTCATCAGGGTAAGCAGCGACTCTTCTAACATGCTGGTGTTGTTGCGAATAACCATCCTCACTCGCATTGGCACTGCAGGTGGACCTCTCTGCTGTAGCAAAAGTAGCGTTTGATCCCCGTACCCGTTATTATTTCCCGATTTGAGTAACGCACTCGCACTCGATACCAATTTCTTTGATTTATATTGCAACGGCAAGTACTACAAAGTACCTAGGGCCAAGACAAGGTCACATCAGATGCAATGACTCATCGCCCTTGCGCTGGACGCATGGTGAGGTCGATGCTTCTTGGTTGATTATGATTTCGATTTCCATGCGTTGATCATGTTGAAATAAAGTTACAGAAGCTGCAATTGGAATAGTTGCAAACAAGAAGATATCAGGATACAACTACAACAGCAGTTATCGGGTCGACAAAGCTACACCTATAGCCCCCCGGGGCCCAGACACGGCGTGAGCATGTACTACGCTCCTGAGCAAGAAATGATGGGGCCCACCTCTTACGGATACCCATCCCAGGAAGGATATGGATACAATGGCAAAAAAGGCAAAGGGGCCGCAAAAGGCTGGAAGGGTGGAAAGGGCCCTGGTTACTACGGGAAAGGCGGTAAAGGGATGAACTACGCTTCACAGTACCCGGCAGACTGGGACTTCATGGGTGACGGTCCTGTCATGATCCGGCAGCAAATGAAAATGACGGAACTTGTGGCACAGACGGTTGGCATTGATTATGACGCGAAGAATAAGTACGTTTTGGAAAACACGGCGATGGGTGAAGACCTCCTCATCAATGAGGAGTCGAACTTTTTCGAACGGCAAGCTTGCGGCAACCGGCGCGAGCTGGACTTTTATCTTCACGCTGGCCCGACGAAGGACCACGAGGTTTTATTGCAGATGAAGAAAAACTTCCACTGTGTCGACTGTTGCCCGCTCATGCTGTGCATGCGACCCGAATTGCAGGTGATTTCGCCCTACACCGGGGAAATCGGAAAGGTGGTCGATCCCTTCAACCTCTGCTGCAACATCACCTGGAACATTTTTGACTACGCTGGGAACAGCTACGGGGGTGTGGACTACACGGGGCAAAATACCTTTTCTGTGGAGGGAAATTGCTGCCAGTGTGGCTTCCTCTTCTGCTACGCATTGCAAACTACAAAAAACATGTCTGGGTGATCTGGAAGAGTGCTGCAAGAAGTGGGTCAACAAGAACATGCTTGTCTCGCATAAACGTGGTCGTAGGGTAGTTTAGTACAACACACTGCGATGTGGCGAGGGCAGGGAAAAAGTATCGCTCTTGCCTGTCATGCAAAAACGCAGGTTGCGTTTGCCATGCGGAAATCGAATCACGTTCCAGCTCAGAAACTTGTCATGCCTGGCTGTGTATTCCAGTGCGCTCATCACTTTTTGCAAGCTACCCCTAGCATTACAACCTGAACCTTCCCGACCCTGACCCAGACATTACTTTCATTCCATAGCTGCCCCTGCTGCTGCGACGCCGAGTTTGAAATCATTGACTTGTATCAGACAGAAAAACAAAAAGGCAGACAGAAAAACAAAAAGTAAAAGGCATTAAATGCCAAAAAAGAAAATATTTGACATGAGAAGTAAAAGAAAAACTTGTCACGGGCGAGCCCAGCAACACTACGCATGCTGTTTAGGAAACGCGACTAGTTTTTGCATTACCACTATCATGCCCTGCCTGCTTTTTTCTTTGGGATAACGCGAAATCGCACGGCCCGAGTGGGCGGCTGGTGAAGCGCGCCGGGGGCATCAAGGAATGTTGCTTCCAGGGACAGGGCGAGGCCTTCGAGATTTTCTTCCCCCCCTACGCGGATGCGCATGACTATGAAAGCGCCAGGACCAAATTCGGCAGAGTTAAAATGATTTGCAACGCATGTTTGTTGTAATTAGTACCAGTGCAGCGGGAGGCCCAATGTCTTTCTACTTAGTAAGAGGCGCATGACAAATTGTTATGCTGTTTGGGCACTAAAAGCGGCCGCGGTCTCCGTAACAATTCGTGCTATTTTCGTATCTCGATCTCCAATCCCAAATAGCTTTACCAGCATCGCCCACACTTGCGTGCCCTCCAACACAGGTTGTTTGTCTATTTCCAACCTTTCCTCTTTGCATATGACGAAACCTTTTCGACTTTGTCGACGAGTTCGATCCTGACGCTACCATAATGACAAGCAACTGCTGGTGGGGCTCGGGCTGCTTGTGGATATGGTTTACTTCGAAAACGGGCTATCCTATGTAAAAACGTCCCCACCACAGAATTGTAGTCATGCAAACCTGCGAGTCTCAGTTGTTGTTTCTCATACGCAGCCATAACCATAAGAGGAGCATTTTCTGATGCTACTTGGGGTTGGGAGTTCGAGTTACAGACGCTATGCGCTGATCGATTTCTCATGCGGCTCCACTAGCTAAATACGATTACACTGCGATCCGCCCAGAGGACGACGTGTCATGCGTGACAGTCAAAATAACCTGTTGGCTTGTGTAGCAAAATAAGTATCCATCCTGACGATGACTCTTGGGTGGGGATGACATTTTTACTCAGGACAAAGGCACGGCGGCATTTACGACATTGGCGAGGCATAATTTCAGTCACACTTTGTTGTCTACTTCGATGGAGGTCGTCCTCAGCTGTTTGTATTTGATCGGAAGATGAAGATGTGGATGTGTTCGAAAAGCTCGAGCCTGTGTATCTATGACTATTATACTTGGTCATGTTGCTCCTATGAAAGTGCTAACCCTAACGTTCTCACTTGACAGAACGAACACGAGGACACAAGTATAACTTGCATGAATCTCCAGGAGGCGGCGCTCCAGAGACTGCTTGTGAGAGGCATGATGAACTACGACGGCGCAGGAAATTAAGTACATCTTGCGGCAGGTCAGGCTGCTTACAATTGATACTCGTCCATCAACCCCTTTTACGTCGAGACATTTCCAGCTGTTGTTGACTTGAAATTATTTGCACCGGATATCAGGGCCGATCAAGTGGCGGAAGGTGGTGGAGTGGCTGCTTTTTCTGCTCAAAATGCGTAGTGGTAGTGCAGAAGAAACATCGTCCATGTCCACCGCGGAACTACAAACGTCGATATTATTGTTGAGGAACCACACTGGGGGCCGAAGTACGAAACATCTTTACGATCAAGCGGTTCCGCCCGACTCACTCCACCGAGTGAAATTTGTTGCCGAGTTTCAGTACTTTCTGTCTGGCCCGGGCTCCTTGTGCTGCAATCAGAGTCACCGTACTGTAGGAGTAGAAGAATTAGGAACAGAGGCCTAGCCGCACTGGCGGCAAGCTCCACGCGCACCATCAGCAGTGTAGCCCTGGCCGTTTTTTGCGGTGTCTCACCACCAGAAGTCCGAACTGCGAGGGTGAATGGGGCGCACCAACTAAAGATCTAAATTTCCAGTGCGGTTCGTGAGTATTAAGTAAGCTATTCTGTTTTAGTCTTTTAAAAAAACTGTAGAAACTGTCTAAAACCAAAAAAAACTACTGCTATAATTCTTTTGTTTGAACCGCTATCACTATTCTCTCTCGAATGGACACTATTCTCTGTAGGATGAACCGGAAAGTAAGTGTTGCTGTCGTGGACCTCCGTGCTGCGGCTGCCCACAGACCGAGGAGGCAAACAACAGCGAACGTCGTGACAGTGTAAAGACAATTCTTATTCTAAGTAATTACTTCGAAGCACCAGCGCCAGCCTGATACTCACCTCTCATTCTTGTTGCACAGATCTGGACTTTAGAGGCAAGGTTGAACCAGTGGTTCACCTCGCCGTCGGACTTCATCTTCTCCTCTTGTTCCGCGTCAATTCTTCTGATTCCAATCAACGTACTTCGATGAGGTTATCAAAAAGTTCGGTCCTGGCGCTCGTATGCTCGTCGTTCCTCGTCTTCCAAAATATGAATATCTATTGATGTCGGTAATTACAACTCTATTTTGGCTTCATAATGAATTCGTAAAAACAACAAGCTTCTCGCATAAAGTTAAAGGATTGAATGGTAACACAAAGGCACCAGTGGACGCCTCAACTAAGTATTCGGTTTCGTGCAAGAGGTCCAGCCGCTTGAAGCTGTAAATAACTTTCGTTGCGCGTCGGTTCCGTAGTGCCTATTAACATGTACATGATATTCGTGCTCTTCGTCCACGTCATTTTTATCGTCCATCTTTTCTCCGGCAAGAACGTTTTCCTTTTTCATCGGAACTTCCAAGAGGAGCAAAGCTCCCTGGCTTTTGTCTTCAATTCGTCTCTCGGTGTCGTCAGAAAAAATTTACAACGTGAAACGACGTAATGTTCTTTCATTGCAATCAGGATGGAGGCATCGAAAACCGTGTTTTTCGTTGTCTCATCTACGCGTTACCCCACACGACCCAAGAAAAACCTCACATAAAGTAGAACCAACTAAGAACAGAAGTAGATCTTCACGTACAGAAAAGTAGGGTTACAGAAAAAATCCTGAAGCAAACAGTAGTAGAAACCAGAAAGCAAAAGTTTTCACCGGTGACGGAGTATTAATAAACCCGAGAAAGCACAAGCTTTTGACAAGAGTATAACTTCTTTTCCACCTTCGTACAACCGATTTCCGCTTGCACCAGCTAGAATTCAACATCACGCGACAGCACATCTGGTTCTTGCGTTGCTTGAAGATACTTAAACACGTTGACCCGCATCATCACAAAGCGCCCTGTTCGACGAGCACACTTACCGGATTTGCAGCTCCCTTCAACATCTTGATCTTCTATCCGACGGCGAGAGCAACAGAGAAAATGCTCACCGCGCCGGCCACTTCCCTCGCCCGGATGAACGGGGTCGCGACGGCCGCGGCTCTTCTCCTCGCGACGGACCTCCTCCATCAACCTCAATTTTTGACAAGTGCCGTCAATGTGGCACAGCTACAGCACAACACTGTCCAGCACAAACGCGCCGGCGCCACGAAGATGATGAGTAAAAAAACTAAGGTGCACCAGAAGAAGATGAACAAGGAAGGGTGCTCCCCGGAAGCCGAAACGACGACCACGACCACAACCACGACCACCACTGCGAATGCTCTCGTGGAAAAAAGCAACCAGGTTTTCCAGCAAAGCTTGTCCGTTTCGGCGGCGCAAGCGAAAGCCGAGCAGGAAGTGAGCGAGATTGTGACGGCCTTTAAGGCCAGCACTGACGCGGCTTCTGCGGGGACGAGCGCAACATCCTTTCTGGAGACGAAAACGGTCGATGCCGAGGCGCTCAAAACGGCAATCAGTGACGCGACGGGGAAGCTGGATGCGTTTGATAAAAAAGCTGAATACGCGGGGATCCTGCCGGAAAGCAAGGCGTCCGCTTCCGAACTGAACACCGCCCTCAAACCGATTTCGGAGGCATTGACACCAGAAGCAGGAGCGACTCCGTCCGATGGCGATGTGGGCATTGCGTTGGCACTGGCCAAGCAAGCTGTGGACTTTACAGTCGTCAAGATTTTCACTCGCAAAATGGCAACCCTTGATGCTGCCGTGGCTTACCTTGCGATGAACTCGACCATGGAGGGGGCTTCTACCTCGGATGCGCTTGTCGAAGCCTTTACCACGGGTGACGCAAGCAAGGCCATGGCTGTTTTCAGTGAGCAAGTGTTTGGCCCGGTCCTGAACGTTTTCGCTGACCCCGCTTCCAAGTACATGGAGAGTATCGCCGGGGTGGAAATGTTCAAGGAGTATTCCGGTTTGAAGACCTGTGTGGACACGGTCACCGACGCAATGCAGACCCTGGAAAGCAAAGTGAACAACACCGAAACCACCTCCGTGCTCAAGGAATTCGTCGAGACTTTGGGCCAAGCCTCACGTGCATCCGGGTATCCTCGTGTTCGAAAACGTTGATGTCACCTCGTCCCCGTACACTAGCCACAACCTTTCGACGGCGCGCATAGATGATCTTCCTGTATGTTGTCTCGTGCAAAAGAGAATACAATAGCAGGAATAGGTGGCGTCAACATAACTAGATGAGCCACAACCTATAGCACGAATTTTGGGTCGTGGAAGATTTATACAATGAAATAATTGTAGCTGTGTATAATAATAGCCTTCTTTTTCCCCAAAGCGACGCCTACCTAAGTTTAAGTAGGTCTTGGGCTGGGGGGCGGGCTGCTGGGTGAACGTCATTTTTCGACGGGATAGAGGAGAATCTGCCTACAAGGAGATTGTCCAGCCGAACATCGAATCGCTGTTCACGAAACAAGCTGAGCATGCCTCGGCAGCAGCAGGCACGAAGTCGAAGATTTCCGAACTTCTCGACGATCATTTGAAGAACGACGCAACTGGACTCGCCCATGATGCGACGACTCTGGGATTGCCTGGCGCCGACAAGTTCAAGGACCTCGAGGCGATTCGGGTGGCGATCAAGGACAAGACTCCTGACGAAATCAAGTGGGACGAGTCTGATGTTTTTGCGAATTTCACTATCAAGAGAGATGGATATTGCTCCCGTCGCACGTTTCTCGGCTCCCGCTTTATTTCTGATCTTGTGCGTGATCTCTGGAGAAACAGAAAGAAGGCAGAGCCAATTCAGCGGCAACCTTCTTCAAAAAACAGAAGCACAATAAACATCACCAAGGACTGATATGATAAAGGATTTCTATCCGTCTGTCAAACGGAACAAATATAGAGGTCGTTCACACGACAACTCCTAAGTTGTACTTGATGACTGGCTGGCTGGCAGCCGCAGCGGTGCAACGCCCGCGCCCGGGCTGACCTCTACATAAACACTCTCTTTTGGTACTTTGCTTCAGCACACTCTTGACTCTGAGAAAATGATTTTGGAATGTAAGTAAGTAGAGTCGTAGCACAAACACATCACGAGATGAAACAAGACGAGCTAGATGAACATGTTGCGGATGCATAATTTGTCCTATCCCACGAAAAAAGTGTTACAGTTACTTATTTGTTGTAAGTCCAGCAACGCATACGCAAATTTTCTCTGCATCATGTTGACCAAGGAAGAAAACTTGCAATGCAAAAATCACAAGGGAAAGAACCACGTGTGAAACGAGGAAGGTCGAGAGCATTTCGTACATGACCAAAGTTGTCTCTCTTGCCGGTGGTACTGCAACACAAAGCGGAACTACTGTGACACTTTTTCCTTTGCATATTTGTTTCCCCAGTATATGCCACTACGCAGCGGACCTCGACAAGAAGATGACGGAGATGGAAGAACTTGCGAACGTATGAATTGCGAAAGTGTCTGGGTCTGGAATATAGCAACTTGTCATGCTACATCTGAATCATACAAGAATCTGTGTTGCATGAGAAGTACCAAAAGCCGTCCATTTTTGACCCGGGGGGTGACGAGAGGGAATTTCTCGTGCAGAATAAGCATGATAGAGATCTCAAAGAATCTGTCATGCTAGGTCCTGCATTCCAGATCTCATGGGTCATGGAAAACCTGCATTACAAGTTGCGTACTCTTCCAGACCCAGACATTTTTGCATTTGATAGAACGCAGCTCCTGGAATCCGCAACTCGTTCAGTGCGGGTAGTGTGAATGACTTGCGGAAAAGCCTTGAAGAAGCAGGCGGAGCCGCGTGGGCGTCGCTTCCCAGTTTCGAAGACAACAAAAACATGATCGGAGGAGCCATGTCCTGGATGGGAGACAAAATGAATAAAATCAAACCGCCCTCCTGGTCGTCTGCAGATGTGCAACCTTCTCCAGGAACTACTGGCGGCGTGCTATCATATTGAAGAAAAGCGCGGCCCGTATAATTTACATTTCCCAATAAGAAGGTAGGAAGCTAAGCTTCTTGCGTTCGCGAATAAGCTCAGCAAAAATTATGGAGACAAGCTCCATAATGCTTTATGTTGCAATTGACATTTATCGTTCCCGCGACACACGTTGTCATTTTCAATGCAGGATGGCCACCGCGATGATTGTGTTGTGACAAGGGTCAACGAGGGAGTTGAAACAGTCAGACGAGTGGAAGTGGTCCTACTTTTATGCAATACTAGACCGAAAGAAATAAATTATTTGGAAACTTGTTTGCAATCGAAGTGTCCGGAAATAATGGGGACGGGCGCTTTTCAACTTGATGTCTTCCGTCGCTGGATCATATGGCTTGCGCAGATGAGACCATTTCACCTGGTGGGACCATTTGTATGTGGAACATCGTCGCTTTGTCGTGCGTAGAAAAGGGCGGTGAAAAAAAATCCTGACTATTCTCTTCATCTGCAGGACGAACTTCTTGGCATGCCAGATTTTGTAGCACGGATGCCCGCATTGTTCCAAGCTGCTGGTCCATGAATTTTTCATGCAAAGTAGGTTTAAAACAGGCAAACGCAAATTGACCACGGACTACTCACGGGTGGTCATCTCCGATGTCATTCCAAGTACAAGGATGACATGGACAAAAAAAAAATCACCCGTCGTTTCGCATTTTGATTTACAAATTTTTGTCGCAGGAGTTGCGATTGTTTCAGCTGGGCGCACCATAGATTACGACGCACCGCGCGCCGACTTCTCGGGTAACGTGAACGTCCCGACGATCTCGGGCAACGCCCCGCCTTTCTCGGTCTGAGACCATGAAAGAACGGACATGTCCGTAGCTGCCGGTGCCGGTGCCGCATATCGTCGGCAGAGGAGGAGGAGGGGGAAGTTTACTTATTCAGTTCGAGAAACCCTCGGAGAAGGCATCCTCGTCCACTTGGAATCTTCATCACCACAAAAAAAAGAAAGCGAGTATTTTTTTACTATTTTTGCGAAAAAAATCTGTAAAGAGGCCTATATCGAGTTTCTGTTTTTACCTGTACTTGTACTAGATTTTATCGTTTGCCGTTTGTTTTCGCAAAGGTCGACAAAAACCTCAAACCGCGAGGTGACACAAAAGACAAAAAAAAGAAACCCAAAGAAGCATGGTGGAATCCGTACCCGAGCAAGAGAATATCACTAAGAATAAGACGCACAGAGAACAACCACAACAATTAATTCCCGAGAGAACATTTTTTCTGAGCGTTATCCCCAGTTTCACCTAATTTTCAAGAAGTGCTTCGCTGCTTGCTACACGTCGCAGCGATACCCTGCGATGAGAATAGAACAGTGCAGCTCCGCTGCAGCTCCTTCCACTGGCCGGGGAAAAGTAGAAAGCGCGAAATTAATTCGACGGAGCAGACGAGAAAGGCAAGGGAAGAATCTTCTTACAACTCATAGTTCATAACTCTGGTTCCTCGACAAGCGACGCTTGGTTTGTTCGTTTTTTTTTTCCTTTTTGTAGCTTTCGATTTTCCAGCACTTGTCTTCTCGTCACCATCGTCAGCAAAGGTCAGCAGCGCGGTGTTTACTTACATACAACTCCAGCTTCCTGCGTCGATGTTAGAAAGTGAAACAGAAAAACTCTGATGCTGTTTGTCGTTGGTGGTACTACATGCCACGCAATCTAGTCAATGTCAATATCGTCGTGATGTATTTCTACTTCGTTTATTTCATCCTCAGTCTCGTTCGCAGAAAAAGGAGAACTTTTCGGTTCTGAATGTCTACGTCCAGGCTTGCCAGAGCTTCATCTGCTTTCGGAAATATATGAATTAATATGTTGGACAAGAAAAAAACGTCGTCGGTGTCGGTTGTCGTTTCTTTAGGTTATTTGATCGTCCACCTGATCTAACTCGTCGCAAGATGAGCTACAACGACATCGGTCGCCCTTGAGAACACTGCTGCTCTGTGACTGCTGCCGTTGTACTACGTGCATACGAACCTGATGTTGCAGCATGAGGTAGAACCGTGGTCTGCGCGTTTTGGTTACCTTGATTTTTCGTACAGAAATCGTCCACCTCGTCCGCAACCGTACTTGTAGAAACAGTCGACATGTTGGCAACTAGGTACTACAACATGGCATTCGTGGTCTTCTACTGTTTTGATTCATCCTAGTAGATAATGATCTTCACAACTTTTTCATGATCAACAGCAGGAAAAACACGATTCCGGAAACAACTTTTCGTTGCCTCCTGTCATCTCTTTCGCCAACAACTGGTGGTCCCTTGATATCCTCAAGAACAACCTCCAACTTGACACTCTTGCTCCCCCCGAGGAACAAGCAACGGATTCTTGTGCATCGAGGCTCTGCTGCATTTTGCGTTGTGTTGAAACAAATAAAACCTACGAAAAAAAACCACCTAAGTACCTGCTTCGCGACTTCTATCAGGCGAAAACAAGGAAAATGTTGAAGTCCTTATCAAATGTAAAAGTGTCTGGGTCTGGAAGAATGCAACTTGTGATGCTGAATTTGGATTCCAGAAAAATCTGTATTGCATGAGTACCAAAAGGAATGTAATTTTTGCTACGCGGAGAGGGCGTTTGTCATGCGGAGTAGGCATCAGGAAGCCAGCTCAAAATCTGTGATGCGCGGTCGTGCATTACAGACATCCTGGGCCAGGCAAAACGTGCATGACAAATCGGCCCGGTCCTGTTTAGTCGCAGGTCGGTGTCAGTGAGATCAGAATTCACATGTTAAGTAACGCACGCCGGCTCCTAGCAAAAAAAAAAAATGATGAATTTATATGCGAATGGGGCCCAATCAAAAAAAAAAAACGTGCATGACAAATCTCAGAATCTTCCAGACCCAGACATTTTTACATTTGATAGTCCTTCCGGTCGAACAACAAACACCTGAAGGCCGCTTCGGCGGCTCTTCTCTTCGCGGCGGACCACCAGCCTTATCCTGCGCAAAAGTATCGTACTCCTAGTTGAAATTGCAGTCATGCATTACAAATCTCCCTTCTTAGGTGAGTCAGCATTACAAATTTCATTTTTCGTTTTGGAAAGTAAATTTGTATATGCATTTTTTTTTGCTAGTGCGATACAATAGATACTTTTGCAATGCATAAGCCTCAGCTGTGGACCAGTGCCGTCACGGTCCAGCTCGCCGCCCAACACAAGCGCGTGAGCAAAGCCAAGGTGCAGCTCCGGGTGCAGGAGAAGAAACAAGGGTGTGCCGGGGACACGGAAAAAGACACCTCTATCCCGAGGAAACACGTCGAAGCTCCCGCCGCAGAATTGTCATGCATCGATCTAGAAGTTTGCATCCTTCCTTCCACAGGAACGGTTGCAATGCACATAAAGTAGAATCAGAATCTCCGTTAGAACTAGAAGCATTTCTAGCCGTGTTGTCGTTCTTTTGGCACTCGTTCTAAAGAGCTCTGTAAACAGGGCAAGCAGGCGTCTTTTTGATGTGGCTGTTCTTGCTAAACAGCACTTTTCATGTGTGGCTTCCTGGATGTGCGGATTTTTCTCTCGCGCAGACCACCACAGTCTGGTTATAATCATGTCATGCGTGAGGTGACTCCCAAGAGTTGTTGTGTTGCAGAGTTCGTACTATGCTTGACTAAGATTGGCGGGTGGGGACGTTTTTACTCGGTACAACTTCTGACGCTGCGAGCAACGCCACGGCGACGGCCGCTCCTACGAACACCACTGACACGACCTATGAGAGTGCACAACTCCCCCTCGGCCCCCTCATTTGCCACGCAAGGACGGCGGAGCTCCACTACTATCACTTGTTGATGTTGCCTGTTGCTGGTGGCCATGCTTGCATGATACAGATTTCTGCCTGCAGGAGAAGCCCAAACAGTTTACAGTACTAATCTCCTTCATAAATTTTTGATGCAGAGGCTGCACCTTTGTCGAGGACCTCGACGCTTCTGGGGCTACTCATGCCGTGCAAACAGAAATGACGGTGAGGGAGAGTCGTGCACTCTCATACGAGGACCCCCACGATCACTACGACGGCTGACGGTCAAACCGATCCGCCGGCTGAGACCCTACCAGCATGAAAAACAACTCCCCCCCGCCATACTGAAATGAAAATTGAAATAAAGATAAACTTAAATTTCTTTGTAATGCTGCTTTGTTTCCACGAGTTGAGCCTTCTACTTCTAGTTCTACTTCTTGCATGAAGGAGGCGAGGGCCGTGCACAGCAATCCGCGGGCAGCCTGCCACGCGTGTTCTGTGCCCACATCATATCATCACTGCCATGCTCAGCAGCTACACAACTGTGGCACGCCGAAACTCATTCATAATAACAAGCACACCCGGACCCGCAGCCGGTGGGTGCAACATGAAGCCGGTGCGTGGCTGCGAGCAGTCAGCAGCGGCAGTTCTTTTTTGACTATGGGGACGAGGGGGGATCATGTTTCCAAAGGATTTCTGACGGCTGATACGATAGAGAAAAATCCCGTGAGTGACTGTGAATTTGGTGCGCCGCGGAGGAGTCTTGCAGAATGAAAAGTCTGCTAAGTACGCTTTTTGCGGTTGATGTCGTGTTTCAAATGAAGGTGTTGTACAGCTACAGCAGTCAGGGGCTGGCGCTCTACTCCTATTCAGGTCATTCTCATGCAGTCTCGTCAAAGTGGACGACCTGGACTGCAACAAGAGAATAAAGATTGTCCGAGCCTCGCGATCATGAATATTTCCTACATGCTCAACCACAACCTCAAAGTCAGCATAGTATGTAAAGCAATCTTTTCATGGTAGCACGTAGCTGCCCCAACATGTTTTGGTTTTCTTGGCGGGCGAGAGGATGTCGCAGCTCGCACGAGTTCTGCCTGCTGCGCTCCTCTTGCAGCAAACGACGCCACCTTCTGCGGCCTGCGTGCTGGGTCATGTTTACTTACATGATAGTTTTTATTTGCAACTACAAATACAAATAAAAGTTGTAGAGAACTACAAGTCCGCAGCTCCTCCAGGCCCATGACCTTGTCGTATCAAAATTATTGTCACTCAAGCTTTTTTCCGTTGTACACGCACTCCGACGATTCCGCAAAGCGTTGAGGTGACGCAACCGCAGCTGGACGCCGAGGCGTCGCTCAGCCCGATTGCTGTGAAATTGCAGCAGGGACTTCAAACGGTGAAAGACCTGCAGTCCGGCGGCTCTTTCCTGCAAACGCAAGAAAATGAACATGACGACGCGGAGGCCGCCAGGGCCGCGCTTCAAACGGCATTGTACGCTGCGGCCAATGACGCAAAAACGGAACTGGACAAATTTCTTGCTGAGCATGATGAGGCTAACGTGCTGCCGGAAACCTGGGCCTACGCGCAAAAGATGGTTGCAACGTTGGGACCGATTGTCGATGCCATGAAAGATGGCGAAAGTCCGACCATGGAAGATGCAAAAGCGGCATACGTCGTGCTCATGGCAGCCCAGGATTTGCAGCTTGTGCAGGCGTTTATGACCAAAGCGAATGGTGTGCTTGCCGACGCGATGCACGTCTTCGGGAACGACACCATGGCGGAGTTGCAAGAGCTTGCTGGGCAAATGTTTCTCGCGTACTGGACCAGCGGGTATACCTACACGAACAGCGATGGCCAGGAAGTCGTCCTGCCTGCGGGTGTAGAGGCAGTTGCCGCCCTCCTGAAGGTCGAAGTTGCCACGAAGATCGTGGACGTTTTCGCGGAAAGAGCTTCGTTTTGGATGGCGATGCTTGACATTGGATGGTACGCGGAAAACTACCCACCAGTCAAAGCGTACCTGCAGGCCTGGAATGCCGCCGTCTCGGCTTTGGAGGCGGAGGTCCATGGCGATGCCCCCTTGACGGCAATGAAGAACTTCGCCACTACAATTGCCGCTGCCACATTTACTTTTGGAGACGACATGTACAAGACTGTCGTCCTGTCGCGCATGAAGGAAGTGTTCGAAACGTACGACGTGCAAGGTCTCAAGGATGCAAGCTCCGGAGATCTGAGCGCAATCGCAAACATTCTCAAAAAGCTCGCGGAAAACGATGATGACACTGGAATTTCCACTCATTTGGCGAGTATGGGATTGGCCGGCGCTGCAGTGTTCGCGGATCTTGGCAGCTTGCGGACGGCCCTCGCGGAGGGTGGACTCGACTTCGATGACTACTTCTCGACTAACTTCGCATGGGCTGAGAAGCTGACGCTCGAAAAGAACGAATTGATCAGCGTGGGCACCTTAGTAAGCGACATTATGACGACTTTGCAGAACTCCGACAGCAACGGTCAAGATGCTTTCTTGGGCGCGATGAGTGTGGCTGCGACTGCTGTACACGAAGAGGCTTGCAAAGTCGTCCGTGCTCAGGGCAACATGGCCATCCAGATCGATTGTTTTATCATGAAACTGTGTGACTTTGATGAGTGCAAGAGTTCCTCGTCCAGCTCCTTCACCGAACTTCAGCTGTCGGCGGAACTGGATGCGGTGATGGTGCGTACGAACCTGCACCAAATGAACGTGCAGCAGCAGCTGCTCAGCGTGTAAGCAGCTGCAAGACCAGTCGGAAAGGTGAATGCAGTTACAAGAAACCAGCAACAAGAGACAGTCACCTCATTCTCCGACGGAAAACGAAAAACGCTTTTCCCGCTTTACACATCAAGATCACGACGCATCGATCTCTCATGGCGACAAGATGACGCCACGCATCATTTTCATCATCAGACACAAGCGGTTCTTGCACCAGTTGCAGCATCAGAGCCTTCTCCTCTACCTGCGGGCGTGGAGGCTAGTCTCGTCGGGCCACACGCCGGCGATAACATCGACACGAGTGCGCGCTGTGTGGTATCTTTCTTTTTTTTCTTTTTCTGAATACGTTAGCCAACGCTCAGGGATTGTCTACTTCTTACACGTGATCGCGCACGAAAGTCGAAATGTATGTGGAATACTTACAGAATTATACAGACACTCTGTTTAGCTAGTTGTGGTCTAGCTGCTATTCATGGAGCAGATGAGGAAGCATTTCTGACCCGCGCCCGAAAGTGATAGCCCCACTAGTCCACTGCATGAGCATGTATACCGAAGGCCTTAGAGTTCGAGCCCTGTTAGTGGGATCAAAAGTAGTTGCGTCGTCTCATTTGTACTGTGGCTATGTAGAACCTCATGCTTCCATCTTTTTCACGAACACGATCGTGAGCCTCTTCATCACACGAGGATATGGTAAAGGTGTAGACCAGGGCCCCTGGGACCAGGGCCCCCAGGACCAGGGCCCCCAGGACCAGGGCCCCTAGGACCAGGGCCCCTGGGACCAGGGCCCCTACGGACTGGGGCCCCTACGGACTGGGACCCCTACGGACTGGGGCCTCTACGGACTGGGGCCCCAGTCGTGTCTCAGAATCTGGCGTCCCGGAATCTGGTGCGCCGGCGTCTGGGTCTGGAAGAGTTGGGGCGTCGCTCTACGTACAAAAAAAGCACAGCTCGACTTTCATAGTGACAATTTGAGATGTCTCTCGTTAGCACTTTGAGCTGCATCCCTGTCCACTCAAGAAGTGCTTTTGCTGGGAAACATTTCGAATACAAACGGCGCCCGTCGGTCGTGGCGTCTGACTGTGCTTCTTTATTTTTCATTTCATGACTCGGCGGCAGCTGTCGCTACTTGGCGTACCTCCTGGCCCGATGCTAGGACCTACATGTCATGACATGCGTACTTGGTGGCCCAGATACGCTGGTAGACAGCTCCGGTTCCGGCCGCGCCTCGCCGTGTACCAGATTCCGGGACGCCGTTCAGTCCGTAGGGGCCCCAGTCCGTAGGGGCCCTGGTCCTGGGGGCCCTGGTCCTGGGGGCCCTGGTCCTGGGGGCCCTGGTCCTGGGGGCCCTGGTCCTGGGGGCCCTGGTCCTGGGGGCCCTGGTCCTGGGGGCCCTGGTCTGAGCAGGGGCCCTGGTCTACCCGGATACCCGAGGATATTCATATCTTATGTTTCTTACACCACAGGAGGGGAAGAAGGAACACTACTCAGGACCGCAAAACGACTACTACCGATCTCCCTAGAAGTAGGTATCAGATGCGGCGATACGAAAAAGGAAGAGGAGCACATAACCCTGAGGAGAAGTGCGAACAAAACGCACACCAAACCACGTAGCACGGACTTCTCGAATACGAAGAGATCCCTGTCTCTTCGAAAATTTCGCTTCCACAATGAAGAATTTTTTGACAAGGCTTTACCAGTACCTGTAACAAGTAAAACTATGTAAAATGCGACCAAGAATAGGATATCAATGTCAAAACGTAAATCGCTTCAAATTTTATTTTCGAAACAGTGTTACGATCATTCTAATTCTATCAAAAAGTAGTATAATCACAAAGACAACCACAACAAAAATAAGATGGTCCCCGGTTTCACCAAATTTTATAGCCGCGTCCTGTTTACTACTGCGAAGCCTACTGGTGGCGCAGCACTGAAGATGAGGAAAACAGTGGGTAAGTAGAAGTATTTCTCGACACCAGTCTGCTTCCGTCAGTTAGTACAGGGAGTTCGCGTTGCTAATTATAATTTTCCTTCGAAAAACCCTCAGTTAAGTTTTTTGTCGTCCCCGCATTTGAAAATATCGCAGAGTGAGAACTTGAATTCAAAAAAACATTTTTTCCGAAAACCAAACCCTACATATGTTTCTGTAGTTGTGAGATGTGGAGTACGAGTAGGTCGTATGCATATCCTGCAATGCTCCTGCTCCGGACCTAGCAAGCGCGACCACATGCACATTTTACACATACTTACACACCGCAGAAAGAATTAAATTAATTACTTTGCTTTTTTCATTTTCTCTACTACGTCAACAAAAGCAGATGTAGCAGTAGATTGCTGCGGACAACAACATAAACGCCCCATGTATCTCTTTTTGTTCCGCTAGCTCACTGCCTCTTCCTAATATTTTTCCTGTTTCACCTCTTCCTCAAAAATTAAAACAAAATCGTCTCCTGCATTTTTATGAATTTTCCGCGACAAAAATTTGCTTCGATTCACCGCGCATATTTAAGTATTGCGACCTCGCCGGGCAGACGGAGCCACAGAGACGAAGAAAGAGAAGAAGTATTTTCTGGATGACGATGAGGAAGCGAACCATTGCCACACGAGGCGAAACAATGGAGTTCTTTCAAAGGAGCACGCACTGTTTGATACGTATCCCGTTCGAATTACGTGCAAGAACTAGGACAAGGCGCTGCACGGGCTCAAGCACTAGCACATGATAGGATACCGATGAACTGTATCTATTCTTTTTCATCATTTTCACGAGATGGTGCGAAAAAAGCTTTTGTACTTTCCCAAGCCGCGCGCACGCGAGCGCGTTGTATTAGTACGGAGATATCCAGCTCGCTTTCATCATGGAAAGCTAAATTTTTTCTCTTTTCTTCTGCAACTCGAATTCAGTTTTTGCTGAGACGGTTTTTCATTATGATTTCTTGTCCGCGCGCTACAAGTACCCCGGGCAGCGCGGACAGCAACGATAATTGGTTCTGCCTGTTCTCCTTCTCCCCATTTTTTTCTATCGGTCAACCTCCTCGTCCACGTCCTTCTCGCCGTCTATCTGTAATTTCCTGTTCGTATGATCTACTTCGTTGCAACGAGCACCCCACCTGTCCAAGAAAGTCGGTGTGCTACGTAAGTGCGCTCTCTGTGGTTGGAATTGGAAACTCGTACGTTGTTTTTGCGCGTCGGTTGTGACTTCGTTTATCTTTATGGAGAATTTCGACGCAGGTTGCTGGTCGGAGTGGATGTCGTCGCTTAATCCTCGTCAGCATCAGTCGTGTTTATGTCCGGTGACGAGCAGCAACAGCAGAGCCCGTTCCATTTCCGTCGGTACTATGTATCGTTCAGCGTGGACGACGTGCAGGAAGGTTAAATTGAAAGAAAAAGAATCGTCGGTGCGGAATTATGGCAGCTTGATACAACGTCGGTGCATCCTGATTTTGTTTTTAAAGCTAGCCCCGTTCTTGCATGTTACCTTTTTCGTCCAAGAAGTCCAAGTCGTCCGTTCGTCTGCGCCTAAGAAACAAGCGCTTGTTCATCGTTCGAGTAGAACTACAGCTCGCGTACTGGAAGAATGTGCTTCACCTCCTCGTCGTCCCACTGTCACAACATTCATCTTTACGCACACGACGACGACAAGAAGTAGAGCATGAGCACGTATTAAATCCCTCACCTACTTCTACTTCATCACCCACAGTGTGACAACTTCAGTGGACCAACAAGCAGCTAACACGACCCTTCAGAAGATCGCTCATCTGTCTCCTCTTTGTTCTCATCCGAAGATTTGTTTTCCCCCTTCTGAACCTCAAATTCGCTCAGTGAACCAAGCTCGTCCTTTCGAACAAGAAGTGCTTCTAGCTTTACACCTCGATCATCACCTTCTACTAGGGAAGCAAAATGGTTGGCGCTCGTAATATGTGTCGGAACAAGCAGATGGGAGGCCTTGCGGTCCTTCTCGCGACGGAGATCATGATGTCCGGGACCACGATGGTCCGCGCTGTCTCTGTGCAGCACAAGGTGGCGGCTACGAAGACGACCAGCAAAGTTGGAAAGACGAAAAAAACGAAGACGCAGTATCCTACAGAACAAAAGTAGACCCGCCATACAAGATGAAAAATATGATTTGTGGTTGTGTTGCTGAGAGTAAGTGACTACTGCGGAGACGACCCACAGAGTAGAGACAATTATCAGACATGCAGAATACAGTTTGTAATGCCTTGCTAGTTGTAGTTGGCATGGCGACTAGAGAGGTGCCAAAAAACGTTGTTAATATGCTAAAAAGACCGCCGTTTATCCAATTTGTCTCTGTGACGCTAAAATCCGAAACACGACTTGAAATTCATTCTAGTACTACGGCTGTGCTTTTCTGTAGGATACGCAAGTGGGAAAGAAGATGTCGGTGGAAATGCACAAAAAGGAGAAGTGCGACGGTGGCGCGGCCGAGGACAGTGCCACTACTTCATCCGCAAACACAACTTATCCTAAGTGAAAACGTGGCCCCGCCCCAGAGGTGATCTCATGCAGATTTGCATCTATCAGGATCAGGAACATTTGTAAAAATGCGCATCCCCATGAGAGGCGTCCCTACTAGTTTTGTTTTGGCTTTTGTAATGCTGTAAACAGGCTTTGTGACGCGGCTGTCCTTGCTAACCTGCAGCTGCACTACGCTAGCTACAGATAATCACGTAATGCGATGCATGACTCCCAATCCCAAACCTTCTGGATGTCGAGGTGTGTTGCAAAGTTCTCATCATCTTCACTTATGGGATGGGGACGTTTTTGCACAGGATCAAAATGCGTCTGGTGTTTACGAGGACAATATCGAGGCGGCTCCTGCGAAACCCGACGGCGTCACTGTCACCTATGACGTTGACGAAGAGTGGAAATTCGTGCACCACTCCGTATCGTACAAAAAACTGCTTCAGTGTGAAGATTGTGATGCTGCAAGATTTGCATCACAAGTTTGCTCTACATGACAAAGAAATATTTTGCATTGCGCGCCTCCTTAGGGAAAACACGCTTGAAGGTCGTCCAATGTGTTGCATGTGAAGAAAGACAACCAAGTCTGTCTCTGTGTATCACTTTCTACATCACACGTTTACAGTGAAACAGTTTTTTTTTTGCGATACTCCGCGAAGCTGGTCCATTTCATGATGGGAACCTTATCCTACAGAAAAGCAAAGCACACCAATACCATTATATTAGGACGTAGTCTACTTTTATTATTATTGTGCAAGTATACAGAGAACCGGCTACTTCTGTCCTCTGTTCTTCAGGATCTTCACAATCTTATTGCCACCTCTCTGATTCCTTTTCTAAATCAATGCTTTAGTACATTAATATGTCGGCAGAGGCTAAATCATAATCCGTCTGTTGAACTGATTCTGTCCTAAACCCAACTCCTCGTCAGCGAGAGCAAGAGCAGTGAGTAGATGGTCACTACTTACTTCTAGTTCCACTTCTGTGATTGTGATTCCTTTTCCGCATTTTTCACGTTTCAGACAGGCTTTCGGCTATCTCCCGGATCAGCACGTCAAGGTTTTTGATTATGTGCGCCATAACTTCTAAGATAAGGAGCAACATGGTACGGGTGTGTTTTTCTTTGGGATAGAGACCGATCCTTTTTGACGACAGCACGTTGAAGCCGGAGTCGTCCAGCTTCGTCCAGGCGGGAGCGGGAGTTATCGTGGGTAATAAAAACTACGCACTCATCCCAAACTTGTTTGCATGCGCACGAGCACGACTTGTTGTACATCTACATACTGGTACGTGATGACTTGTGTGGCACCCAGAAACGCAAGAGACGGTAGAAGTTTCGGGACTTGATGTTGGCGTTGGTTTTTATTACACAGGATATTATTCTCCATCTCCTCCGAGGCGGAATCGGAGCCCGCGGTCGAATTTGCGAAGCGTGTGGAAGCGCACTACACCAACGACAAAATTTCGGTCGGTGCACAAGTTCTTCGCGATGCCCTCGTCGCTGAGTTCACGAATGACGACGTTCAGGCGGCATCAGACGACGACAGCGAGCAAGAGCTGAAGAGCGAAATCATGAAGCTACATGCTCCCCTCATGGTCGGCGCGTTCTTCCACGCGAAATTCCAGGAAGTGCACACCGTGGGCGTCGAAAAACTGGTCACGGAAATTGCCTTGGCAGACAAAAGCGACGTGATCAACGCTGGGGTCGACGCGGTTAAGACGTTTGTCCATGGTGTGAAAGACGCCATGCTCTTTTTCTTTGAGTTCATGAGCTTGCCATTGTTCACAGGCGACGAAACCACAAATGTCGCCGAAACCCTAACCCTGTTTCAGCCGTTCAGATTGTTTGTCGACGAAGTGAAACAAGCCACTCTCGGGTTTTCCGACGAAGTCGACACACTCACAACTGATGTTGGCCTACTCATGCAGGTGATTTTCAAGGCGGCGGCGTTTGTCACACTCGCTACCGCCGCGCTCGTGACGCTACTGGTTACTCTCTACGACAACCTCGTCAAGAGCATCCTCATTCCTTTTTTTGCAAAACTGGTGGAAATCTCGACCGTCGTTGCGGCTAACCGAACACCCATGCAAAACGTCTTTTTCAACATATCGAAGTGAAAAGCGCCCCTACCCCAGAACGAAAGAGTGATTGCAAAGCAAAGTTTTCCACAAGAGACTTGTTGTTGCTGCATCTTGCTACAACTGCATGAATGTATGCGCACTACATTTTTTTTTTGTCGCATAAATGTTGCGAAGAATTGCGATCGTGATAATCGAAACGGGATTTGTCATGTAAAGCTGAGGGCGGCACTGCGTGCTTGCCGTTGCCTAAGCCTAGGCTTTCTCGCATGAAGAAGCTGTCGAACAGAAGAGTTGCTTCCACCTCTCCTGCACCTACAAAAAGTTTCCGTCTGGAAGCTTGCCTGCCATATGTGCTGGGACCGCGGTCCTTGACGAAGGGCCATCGCCATGCTGCGAACCTCGAGCACCAGGAAAAACAGACTTCGCAACGCAAATACTCCTTCAATAGTAATGCGCGGCCGGGGCACTTTCCAATGTCATATGTCTACGCGACTGGCAAGTTTGCCACCGACATGAGCGTCATTTTTCTAAGCCACCAGGCTTTCAACGAGAAAATCGACACGTGGGTGACCGCCGCGGTCGCTGAGGGCGGTGGAGTGGCGCCCACGCAAGCAGACTTCGACGCTGAGAAGGCTTCCGTCGTATTCTTTGTAAAGACATCCCGCACGAAGAAGATGAATCGTTACAAAACTCAATTCCGTAAGCGCCTCCTGTAGCTGTAATTGTAAGTAGGAGATGACTTCGACTTGCATAATAAATTTGTATTCGGCTTATCATGATGTATGATAATTTTCTTGGGCATAACACGTTTGAAAGACTTGCGCATCAAAGAGAAACAATAAAAGCGCTTTTTTACTTCGGATGTTGTGACTAGCACAGATGTGCCGTAGTGCGGACATTTTTGGTTTTCATATGTGACGGAAGCGGCCGAGGCGAAAATGAAAGAGGCAGCGGAATATGGAGGTCAATGCGGTGTTAGACATTTCTGCGTTCGTGCATCAATAAAGGCTGAAATTTCTTGAAACCTAGCAACCCTTTTGGTATCGATGGTTTCCTGCCTCATGATACCGAGGTACTTGAAAATAAAAGTACCGGAAGTGCCGGCTTCGCATCTACTCCGGCGCGCATCTTCACACTATTCCTATTGTAATTGTCAACATGACCATAATCCAAAAGGACGCACTTCGAAAGGAGTGGCTTGCGCTGGTCGACCACATGCGCATTGCGAAGATCGAGAACAACATCGAAATAGAAATTGCAACGCTTTGAATTGTAACACCACAGCTGAGCGGGCCATACGTACTCTGTCACCGCTGCCTCGTCCTTTCTGGAGGCGGTGGCTGCTGCTCCCGCCGTGGCTGAACCTCGGACAAAAACTCAAGCTGCCAGAGACGTTGTCATTGCGGTTTGAGGCAAATCATGAAGCAGCCCCGATCTATTTCAGAACAAACCGACACGAAGCAACGTGCTTTACCAAACAACTTTTCAAGCATTTTTCGTTTCACCACTTACAACTGGGAGATAGTCGAAGTTCGTTTCACGGCAGTTGAGCAGGTAAGAAAAAGCTCGTCGAGGATGTTGAACTTTTATATTTATGAGATGAACACCAATACGCTTATATTTGTAGGACACGAGATCACCGCCGGCTGTATTTCTATTTTGTTGCTCGTAACCGCTCCAACTACTCCTTCTCCGGCCCGTAATATGTGCTCCTCGTCGCCCTCTGCCATGAAGCTGACGGCTGGCAGGGGAAAACTTCCACGCAGCACACTATATCAGGTTTATTATCTCACCGCGACACTTTCACTTTCTGTTTCTGTTTCTCCTGAGAGAAATGGATGAATGACATCCAAAACGCTACACATCAGGCGGCGCACGAGGGGAAATTCGCCAAAGTCTTGCAATACCGAAGAGGGAACGGCGCCAAGGAAGAGCTGGCTTTTAGCACTGACGTGATGAGAAAGTGAAAGGCCAGCGCCGGAGGACCGCCATTATTTTTTATCAAAAATTCCAAAAACAATAACAAGCACGCTTACTTAAGTTGTATCTTTATCGTCTAACTTCGCGAATCTACTATGTTTCTGCACCAAATCTACGAAGCAATTAAGTACAAAAACAGGCTTGCAGCGCCGAATATCATTTTACTTTCTCCGTCGATCATTTCCCTATCCCTTCACAGGAGCATCCCTGCGACTCAATAAAGAAAAAAGCATCGCTGGACCCAAACAAGACAGGTTGTCGAAGCCCGACACGACTTGTTTTGTTTGCCGTTGCAGTATCCCTGCATCAACATGAGGATGAGGAAGAGACAATATTCTCGCAACCAGTCAAAACTTCCTCGAGGTCTCGGCTCGCTCCGTGGTCGGTCCTGCTTTTTTCATCGAAAAAGTTGTTGTATATCTACATATCTCTGAATTGATAACAAGAAAGCGCGCCATAATATCTTTTTGTTTTTCTCATCGATCTGCAATTTCAGTTTTATCTTCGTACAACTCTAGTTCGCGGTGCAAGGCGAAGACTTTTGCGAAAACACGGGCAGGGAGATTCTTCACGCTGTCGGGCAAGCCTTCTATCGCCACCAGGACGGCACCTGGGTGGCGGAATAGCGATGTCTGAGTTGTCAAGATACGGTGTTCGTGTGCACGTCCACTCTGAAGAAGAATGAGAAAAGACAATAACACAATGTCAATGGACAAGCACGAGAATGATGATGATGATGATGACAACTCTAGTTCTAGGTAGCCCCGACATGAATACTTTTGCGTTCTATCTTCAATTACAGAGCCAGACAATTTGAATCGCATCTAAAAAGCCCCATGAAGAGAAACAAATCATTTGTGAGGAGCGTTGTCTTCCCTGCAGGTATCCCCTGCTGCGCGGCATCCACCTTCGTTTATTAGTGCTCTGAAATTATTTTTGTGTGATATTGCCCACAGTGGAGACGATGTGGGCAACTCGCCGAACAATACAAAGAAGGCAATGGACGAAGAAACCGAGAGTGGAGACTCAACATACAAGGCGAAGGTAACCATCTCCGAACATGTGTCAGAAATGAATTGAAGGAAACCACGCCTCACGTTTCCAATTTATTTCCGCTAAGCTTGATGTCGATCCCAACAACAAACAACTACGCGCAAGAAGAGTCTATCTATAACAAAGCAGGGCAACGCCATGATCAATTTACCTCGTGTATAAGGAGGAAGAATAACTCATCACATGGGTGTTCCTTGACCTGCTCAATGCAACCACCTCCTTGCGGAGACGCGCCAGATCGGACAGACTACAGCGCGCACCTAGCTGATCCTTGTTTCTTGATAGACGAAAACCACAAAGGAGTTGGACGAACTCCATGAATGTCGACGATTCATCGGTCGGGAATTTTCAAATATCTCATATCATTCCTTTCCGATGTGATAATTTTGAGATCGATAGATTCATGGAGATGGATGGACCATAAGATCGATTATGGGTGTATGAAATCGAATATTTTGGGGTCATATGATTGGAAGACTCTTTTCTCGATCTGGATTCTGTTTAATTTTTATTTTTTTAATGGATTTTATAGAGTGTCGAGATCGACAGATAAAAAATGAAAATCTGAAGATTGATCGAAATAATAAATTATGGTAGTTCAGGATCTGGATTGATGTCAGAACGAAAATATTTTTTTTTTCGAAAATTTTTCCAGGATGAGATTCTGCATATTATTATTATCTTCAAGATATTTACAAAAAATAAAATCGGAAAATGATTTTCGAACTCTTCAAAAATGAAAAATTTGGATCGATCCATATTTCGAAATTTTTTGGGAATATTTCGAAAGAATTCTGGAATCTCGGAATATTGGAATCTCGGAACAGAATTCGGTGAATCTCGGAATGTGTTACAAGATTCGATTCAATATGAAAATATATCTTCTTTTCCTATTCTGAAATTAATATTCAAATTGTTGGAAAATCAAAATCTATACCATAGAAATTCCCAAAGATGAGATATTCTTATTCATTTTTTCAATCCAACAAGATAAGATCCGTGAAGAATGGATTCATTTGTGTTTGTTTGTTTGTAGACATGCGATAAGGTGGAAATATGATTATTCACCTTTTTTGAAGTTTGCTTGAAAAAATATTCAATGACTGCTACGACCGATAATGCTAGTGTGCAACTGTTTTAAAAATAGCAGCGACCTGCTGGCGTCCATTTTCATCTTTATTGCAACCCAAACAGAACCAGATGAAAGATTTTCTATCTTCTTCGATCCTGTGTTGTTCACATCTATTACACGTTGCCATGAGTTGAGATCAATCAAGACCTGGGAATTACATCAACAACAGATGATTACAACCGATAGAGGAACGAATAGAACCAATCTACTCAGGAAAAAGTTTTCAAATGGAACTCTCATCCAGCTCTTCAAAAGTTTAAGGTAACGGCGCTAGCAGTTGGCATGGACTTTTGTTGCGCACGTGGTATCTATAGATTCTTCAATCTGAAGAGCCACATCACCGAGCTTCTTGTGCCATCGTTGCCATTCATTGTTCGCACTCATATTTCGCCTGTTGGTATTCGTCATCGCTTTTGAAGATGGTCGGACAAAGCAGCCGCAGATCAGGATTTCTTCGAAAATAAAAATTCAAACCACACGCCAGCTAATCTCTGAAGTTGTCACTCACAGGCAATGTTGACAACAGCGAAAACGTCAAGCGTTAAGCAAGTCAGGTGGTCGAACTAGAAGTCTACGTGGGTGCTGGTCGTCGATAGTGATCGGCTCGATGCCATGAACATTATCACTTCGGACCTTAAAAGTCGATGATGCTTACGCTTAGCTTCAAGAGAAAAATTCGCGCGCCTCGTCGTGGCTTCTATTGTGGTTCATTATAGCATGATCCTTACTTGCTTTGTAGTAGATTTTTGAACTTGATTTTGCTGCTTCCGCACTATTCGTCCGCTTACGAATATCGAGTGTGTTCTTGTTCTTGAAAAAGTTTTTCTACAACGCGGTTCTTTTTTGTAGATGCGTCTGTTTCTGTAGCTAAGTAAAAAAACTTCCTCAATCCAGAGCTTCTTCTTGGACAGCAACCGCGTCGTCTTTGATCGGAGTCGTTTCGCTATCCAAGAAAAAACCTGTGTTAGTGTAACTTTCTTTGGTCGACAGCATCACAAATTTGCTCTACCTGACAGAGAAAACCTGTCATGCGTGGCTTGTAAGGGAAAACACACACGAATAGAGGACTTCATCATGGCTGTCTGGCATGACAGCTGTAACTCTGTTGCATGTTCTGCAACACAAATTTACACTTACACAGTTTTTTTCTTGCATATCCGCTGGTTTCATCAGCGTCGACAAAGTCGTCGTCCGCGGTTCCGTTCGGAGTTGTGGTCACCACAGCCGCCATTTTATCCGCAGCTGCCAGCTGTTCCACGACTTTACTTTCGTGGGCCATGACAGCATCCGCGGACGTGGTCGTCGTACCCTCTCCATCTTTGGTTTCTTCAGCCCCTTCTTGCACGGATGATACTTATGCATTGCAACATTTTTTGTCTGGATCATCTAATAAGGGAACCGAGCTTCTGCTCGCGGCTGTAGCTGTAGGTCGTGGTCACACAAAAGTAAGTATGTCTCTCTTGCATACATGTTGCCACTTCTGGTTTATTCCTTGTATGTTCTTCGACTGGACCCAGACAAGAACTATACTATACTTGCTGTGGATAATGTTGATGCTCCTACGGCCACTCCTGCTGTGCCATTTTGCGGAGGTTCTACTGCCGTCTCCACGTCGCCTGTTGACGCTGCGGTCTTTTTGTTCGTCCCGTCCTTGTCATCTGCGTTCTTCTCAGTTCCTGCAGTCTCTTCCTTTTCATCCTCGGTCGCCGTCGTGACGCCGGTCGACGCAGGCATGGCGTTGAGCCGGGCCAGCTGCGCCTCGAGTCCCTTCGCCCATCTGGCGTCGTTATCCTGTGCAAAAGTATCGCACTCGTATTGTAATCATGCATCACAAATTTTCTTCTCAAGGTAAATCCGCATTACAAATTTAAGTTCTCATGCTGAGGAAATTTGTATATGCATTTATACGAGTACGATACTTTTGCAATGCATAGTCGTCGAGTTCTGAGTCCAGGTTGTCTTTGTCGTTGTTTCTTATCAAATGGAAAATAAGTAGGAGCGCTCCCCCGAGAGGGAACAAAGTTGAGAACTCTTGCTGTAGCACGTGTACATGCACAAGCATACATTTGCGTTTCTTCCTCATTCTGGAGTACTTACATGCTTACCAGCTAGGAGGGAGCACATCAAGGACTTTCCATCTTGATATCTTTGGCAGAAGATTTCCCGCTGCCCTTGCCATTGGACTTACCGCCAAATCTATCACGAGAAAAAAGTGTTACAGTTACACACTCTCATGCACGACAAGCAAGACAAACAACCTCTGCCATGCAGGAAACGCTTGCCAGCGTCATTTCATTCGTGTTTTCCCTTAATATAGTCTGCGCATTACAAGTTTTCTTTGCCATGCAGAGCAAGTTTGTGATGCTGAAATTACAACAAATGTGTAACTGTAACACTTTTTTCCTGTGATAAAATCCGCCTTTCTTGCCCGACTGCTGGTGACCTATGGATTGTAAAAATGTCTGGGTCTGGAAGATTCTGACACTTGTCATGCACGTTTTGCATGAGCCCTAATGTCTGTGATGCATCCCCTAGCAATACAGATTTTTTGAGAGCTTCTTGATGCGTATTCCGCATGACAAATGCCTCCTCAGCGTAGCAAAAATTGCCTTTCTTTTGGAACTCATGCAATACAAATTTTTTTGGAATCCAAATGCAGCATCACAAGTTGCATTCTTCCAGACCCAGACATTTTTACATTTGATATGACCTCCTTTGCTGCCACTGTAGGTCGCGTTGCCGGTTTGGCCAGGCGGGGCACTCGCACCTGGAGAAAAGAAGACAAGACGAACTGTGGAACAACTACGGAGCAGCGATAAAATCGAGGACGAAAAAGTTTTGGCGATGTTACTTATTTGAAAAGCAAAAGGCACACTGCGAAAATACTACCCTTTTAGTTATCGTGCATCAAAAGAAAAAACGACAGAGTCACTTAATCAGAATACTGCTTCCAGTCGGGTCCCAGGTCCAGATGAATTTTTCTTCACTATCGGTCAATGTATGCACTTTGAATTTCAATTTCTTGAGTTTTGCCATGCACAAATAGTAGTAGACCACGCTAGTACGGTCATACGCAACCGCAAGCTAAGACGATGTGCTGCTCAAGAAAGCATCAAAGCATCCTCAAGATAGATACAGGAGAAGGTTCGCGTGCTAAAAAAGGTACATAAAGAAGCATGGCAAATCTAGAAGAAATATTTCAACTTCGATAACCGCGCGTCCAAATTGCTGATCCCTTTTCCTTCGAGACTTCGCGCTGCATTGATTTAAAAGTGTGCGAGTTCAACAACAGAATCCTTTGACAGTTGGTCTTTTAATATGATGGACGTGATCGAGAAAATGCGTCACGATCATGTTCGTGTCGGTGTGGTTCATCATCAAAAACAGATACTACAAAATATCTTACCAGCACAAAGTGATTTTCGTAACTTGAGTCGCAAAGCTCGTTGGTTGCCTTCCTTTGTGGACGTGCAAAATTTCTTTCTTTTCCCGAAAGAACTGCTCTCAAAACGCGAAGATCCTGCTGGGGCTTTCTGCAAACACGGCTACAAGAAAAAATGGTCTTCACAGAAAGCCTTCAGATTCTCGTGTCGCCGACGCAGGCATTACGATAGTACATGAAACACTCATTCGGGAAGTAAAAGAACTTTTGTGTTTTCTTAGGTTCAAGAAAAATCGTTTCGACCATGATATTGGATTTGACGCGTCTCTTGCTGATACCGTCCATCTTGTACCTCGGAGATGTTGTTTTGAGTGATGATGTGGTCGTCGAAGAGGACGTTGTTTCATACGAATACGCGACTCGCTCCAAATACAGACCTTCTCATTCGCTACATCGAACTCCTTGAGCTTGAAGATCATTTTCATTGTGCTAAATTTGTGTATTGAAAATGTTTTCGCTGATACCTTGTACGTACACCCGGTTCCGTGCTGGCCGCATGAAGCTATTCGCAATCCAGTGGTTGCCCTGAAGTTCCTCCAGTTTCGCTTTGATATCTTCTGGTAAATCTGCGTCGGTTGGTATGGAGCTGGAAAAAATCTCTCTGTTCTTTTCGGTCGCTTGGTTTTTCTTCTTTGCTCTAAATCACATCATCTGTTGATGATCAGCACCCGGATGTTGAGAGTCAGTGTCATCTTTTGGTGCCATGCTCATGCATGAGGATAATTTCCAGTTCGGTCCTCGGACAAGCCAAGGCAAAATACAAAATTGCAAAACATCGAAAAACATATGGAACGAACAGAAATAGGCTTTTCTTCAACTCCCATACACATCTCTATTGGGTGCATGGATTCGACCCACTTTTTACCTTGTTTTTTTTGGTTTTCTTTGCCCGGGGCGTAATATTCTTGAATCTGAATCATCGAAGGAACTACGAAAAAACAGAAACAGTTTGCGACTATGCTCCGCTTCCACACAGTAAGAATACGCATGGGAAAAATTCCAGTCGCCATGCAAATCAGCACGAAACACAAGCGCAAGATTTTTGCAGCGAGGACCACACTTCTACCACCTACTGCTACAACTACAAGTACCAGCTCCTTTTCCGCTTCCGTAGCCTCCTTTTTTTCCGCCACCACCGCCGTATTTGCCACCGCCCCCGGAGCCAAACTTGCCTCCGCCACTGAACTTGCCACCCCCTTTACTTCCGCCACCCCCGAAGGAGGATCCACCCCCGCCGAATTTTCCCCCGGGTCCGCCGTTTCCTTTCGGGTGCTGATGTCCTCCACCGCCCTTCGGTCCCCCTGCACTGTACCCGTTCATGCCACCACCAAAATTCGGCCCGCCGGGTGGTCCGCCCATGCCGGGAGCGCCACCGCCTCCCATTCCGCCGTTGTAGGGCTGATGTTGGTGTTGTCCTCCCATCGGATGTTGTGGCCCTGGGGGGCCCATCCCGCCACCTGGCGCCATACCTACACCTCCTCCAGGGCCGCCTTTCATCAACATCGGGCCGCCGGGATGTTGATGACCACCCGCCGCGCCGGGTGGTGGACCTCCCATCATCATCGGGCCGCCTTTCATCATCGGCATTCCGGGGTTCATAGATGGAGGGTAGGCCGGACCGCCGGGGCCCGCCATGTATGCAAGAAGAAAACTGTGTAGTAAGTGTCATGTAAAGCATGCAACGTCGTTACACTTGTCATGCTGGCCAGCCATAAAAACGTCGTGTCCTCTGTTCATACGCAATGGCCATTTCGATTTCACGCACTAGCTGTGCATGATTCTCGTCATGCAGAGCAGATTTGTCATGCTCTTACCCCAACAACAAGACACCTACGCTAACACCGTTTTTTTGTTGGATACCATGGCGGCGGGGTGCATGGGGTGGTGATTCAGTGCTGCCACACCGGGGTGCATGCCAAAGCCCGGCGCGCCGGGTGGTGGTTGCGACGGGTTCGGCGGGAGTTGCTGCGGTACTGGTTGTCCCTTTGCATCTTATCCACGCGGAAAGAAGTTATTTACGGCCTCTGTGTCAACAATTCAAATAAATGGAAAAGAAGGAAAAAAAATTTGATTTCCTTTGCGAATGTGGTCCGTACAGATCAGGAGGTAGAAATCAGAATTCCGAGAAGTTGATGCTCATCTTTAACATACATGATGCTGTTGACGCGGCACCGCGCCATCAAAACAACTTATTTGTTTTCCAGGCCGTCGACTGCAAAAGTTCTTTCAACTTTGTTGACTCAGCACAGACCGCACTTTGCTCCGGGTGGATACTGCAAAGGGCATTGGTTGCCCCGGTGGTGCCTGCCCCGGGGGAAGGCCTTTTGCTCGCGCGACGTCAGGTCCGGGTGCCGGTGGGGAACTCATCGGAGGCTGCGGTTGCGACGGTGGCGGGGGGCCTGTGCCGGTTGGCGCGCCGGCCATACCGGTGAGATCCATAATTCTGGAAATTTGGCTCTTGCAACGTCAAGGGAGAGTTTTTTTATACTACATAGTCGTTCGTGTTAGCTTGGAAGCGTAGTTACATTCCGTTATATAATTTTCGACCGATTTGTTCAAACGCTGCAAACATCAATTCGTGCAGCACTTACTTTGTTTCAGGAGTTACTTGCGTTGCTATATTGCCTGGGGGAAGTAGCAATAGGAATAGCGCACAGGAATAGCGCGGTTGATGTCTAGCTAGACCAACGGACAAAGTGCTGGGAGGTGGTTCGTATATTAGAAAAAGATACTTTCTATCTTATCAGCTTCGCAGTCGTCGCGCAACGTGATCACTTCCTCGCGGAAAGTAGTAAGAGATTGTATGTTGGGGTTGGGCCCCCCGCTACTGCGCTGGGGTGGACACTTGAACTAACTTCGACATGCACCACTTGCTAAAGCCAAGCATACGTCGCAGCCACATCAAAAATCGCTGAGACCTACGATCGCAAGTTGTTTTGATATCTATGTACAGCAGGAAATAAGTCCAGTTCTATTTCCAAGAATCCGAAAGGCGCAACGTGAACATGAACATCTTTTGCTGAACATAACATAACTTCTCCGTCCATGAACATGAAGTGGGAGCCTTGTTCTGCATTAACCGCGTCATCTTTTCTTGACTCACTTATTTCAGCGCTGTCTTAGTCAAGAAGAAAACCTCAATCAAGTTCCGTCACAAGATGAATTTCAACTTCCTTGTTCAGCTTTTGAAAGATAGCGGCCCGACCCTGACATCGGAGTCACAGTGGTTTTTTCCAATATCATACTTCTTGACGTGCCTTGGGTCTAGCCAGCCGATAGTAGGACGAGCACCTGCTGTACCCGACGGACTATGCAGTGGCCGCAGAAATCGCAAAAGAATTTTTCTACAAAATCATCAATTTCTATTTGGGTCAAATTAACAGAGATAATCCAGCGAATGGCTTTTACACGCCATGACAGAAGAAGTAGAACTAGAAGACAGACTGAGAAAGAAATTAAAATTAGCTTAGGCATAGGCATACCCATAAAGAATAAACAGATACAAGTGTTGAAGTTGCAGATGCAGCGTCATACTTTTTTACAACATTATTGTCGGTCCGGACGCTAGCTCTTTCTTTCGGTACAGACACTTTCCCCGTAAGACCACAGGGAGACCACAGCAAAAAGAAGAAGAACCAGGGCGAGTATACTTTGATAAAATTTTACGACGACATTCTGACTTGCAGTTGGTATGTACCGAAAGCAGATACGCAATCGCCAAAGAACATCTTTATTTCTTGGCAACGACGTATATCGTAGTTGAAGTTGTCAAATTAAAGAAAAATCCTAGGAAGTATGTAAGCATATCCTACGTGAAAGTTGTTTTTCGCATAGCTCCTAGTGTTCGCGGGAATCCTTTTTTCCCACAATACCGATTTCGTTGGAGTTGAAGACATTTCGTTTTCGTTCTCCGTTTGGAATTTTCATAAATAGAATCATTGCAAGCTCTACTTCATGAACACTTTCTCTACAACTCATCAAGTTACATTCATATAGCAAATAGAAGGCAGAAGCAGGAAAGAAATAAAAAGATGTAACTGAGGACTGTGAACATTTTAGTTCATCTCCAGGATCGTCGTGGGCACCAAGTTGTATCTGGTCTGAAACAAGCAAAAAAAGATCCTAGTATGGAAAAGCACCTTCAAAGATGAAATCTTCCCACGACCTACAACTCCACCTTGACGGGCGAGAACGCGTCTTGTGACACAGCCGTACTCAATTTCTGCCCGCTGCTGCTCCCACCAACATTGCCCGCCCGCACGTCCGTCGCGCTGCTCTCCTTCCTCAGGTTCTGCTTCATGTTCGCCGAGCTGGCCGTCGTTGATGAGGACGAGGTCGCGTCCGGGGAGGCCAGATTTCCAAAGTTATTCCCCATCTTCAGCAATTCCGGCGAAGCCATGCTGTGCTTTGGAATCGAAGAAGACGCGACGCCACCTATGCTAATATTTCCAGCAGTTCCACCGAGTGCCGTCCCCGCGCCAGCAGCCGTTCCGGGAGCCGCTCCAGGAGCCCCGGGAAGTCTTGAGCTGCTCGTAGAGGAGCTCGCCGGATTCGTGCCGACTTTCACGCCGTTGATTACCGTGGGCAGCTGTTGCGCGGCAGCGGCTGCGGCAGTAGGAATAGGTCCTCCTGTTGCTGATGCAATTCCAATTCCACTTCCTCCTGCGTTCAATTTCATTCCACCACTTGCTCCTGTGACGTTCACATCAGATCCGTAACCCGTTGCGAGGGAACTGGTCCCGGTCATTAGGCTTGAGGAGGAGGAAGAAGAAGTTTTTGAAGTCGTCCTTGACGCGTTCGTACTAGAGCCAGACTGCAGCTGCTGGTGTGCTGCCGCACTCGCTGTGGTGGCTCCACTCAACTTGCCGCCGGAGGTCAAGGAAATTGTACTGGCAGCGCTGCCGCCCACTTGCTCTGATCCGGTGGCAAGTGGTGGAAGTTGTCCTGTACCGCTGGTGCCACTAGTATTGTTGCCAGCAGCTTTATTCGAAGCGATCGTACCGTCGAGAAGCTTGACTAAGTTCCTCGCTTGCGGTCGGTTGCGCACCAAGACGATGTCGAACTCAAATTCGCCCTCGGAGACGGACTCGATCTCCGATTCCTGGAAGTGCGAGCGGTGCACGAAAACGTCCGCCTGGTTGAAGCGTTTGGCGGCGTCTTCGGATATGGCGTTCTCAAACGTTACATTCTCAACTGTTACATGAAATTTGTCATGCAAGAACGGCAAAAGTGAAAGGGAAAAGATTGGGCCTTTTGCATTACAGGTTTGGAGCAGATTATGATGCTATCTAGCGCGTCGAGAAGTTGTCATGCGGAGAAGGCTTGATCGTGTGGAGAGCGATAGTGTTTTTGCATGACAAATCATGTAACAGTTGAGAATGTAACATTTGAGAACGCCATATCGGAATCCAGAAAGGTGTACTCCGCATCTTGCGGAAAAGGACGGAGACGACCTGATAATTTGTTCGATTGTTGTTCCGTCGGTCCTCTGGTGCCGTAATTGATTGTCCTGCTGCAAGCGCTACCGCTAGCGGCGCAACATATATAGCGATATTACACGATATCATCGTAGAAGAATGTCAACAACACGATCCAGTCTGGCATTGCAAAGTTCCAGTACTTGTCTCACTGTACTATGTGTACCCGTAAACTTCGATCTGCCATCAGGCGGGGTAACCGCCGCTTCCTCCTCTTTCTGCTTTAATTGCGTCACCTCTCGTGCCTGTGGCTGGCCCTTCGCGTTTACCGAGACTTTGAACTGCACCTGGGGTTTATTGTGGTGTCTGTCATTTCACCTTTTCATCATGCATTGCAAGTGGTCTCGCTCTCGCAGCAGGAGGAAGGAACTTGTAACTCTCAAGTTTACTGACCCACAATGGTCAATGGATTTCATGATCCTGGCGGAAACACTACAACTGGTGTGGTAGTAACAACGAAGTAGTACCTGATCCCCCACTTCGAGGCCCTCAAACTGCTGTTTGTGCACGAAGACGTCGCGGTCGTACTGATCTTTCAATACCGCGCACGTAATGAAGCCGTAGCCCAAATTGGCGTTGAAGGTGCGAATTACGCCACTGAAAACCTTGTCCGCCGGGGGCGCCTTCTTTTTTGCCACCTTCTCACTGATCTTCAATTCCACCGCCTGCGGCTGGTTTTTCTCGTTTAGCGTAAGCTGGAACTGCACCGGGAGCCCGGGCTCGATCTTGTCCGCGCCTGAGTATTTTTGTGGACGAAATTGATTAGATTAAGATTTACTATATGATTCACAGTACATGCTGATGGTGTTGTACATGTACTAGTAAGTGCAAGACAAACATTTCTAAGTTGCGTCTTCGGCATCACAGATTCCAAGTTCTTTTACCTTCGATCTTTCTGTTGAAGAAGACATCGCGGTCGAATTTCATGTAGAGTTCTTCTTGTCGAATAAAACCAAAGCCCGAGGCGACGTTGAAGGTCTTTACCTGGTGTTTCATTTTTGTCGTGGTGCTTCATGATTTCATTTTCAAGAACTCCAGCGTCCCCTGTTGGTCATACAACGAATTGGTAAGAAAGCGGCAACTTGAGAATAACTGGTCTGAAGACATGCGGCGAGTGTTTTATCTGCATCCATCGCATCAAACAGAACAAGTTCTACTTGTAGAACCAGATCCAGAAGAGAAAACTATAATTCGTCTCATAATTTTTACCACGCCCTCGTAGACGCGGTCTTTGTCAAAACTGGGCTGTGGCGGCTTACTCGGCTGCATCCCGGGGTAAGAACTGGGGTAGAACGACGGACCGCTTTGCGTCGGATAGAATGGCTGTGATTGCATCACTTTCTTTTCTTCCAAAGCACGAGCATGTATAATGGCACTGACGTTATTAAAAAAGTAGGGACATTTATTAAATGCAATTGCAACTACTGCAGGCAGAATGCTCAACATCTTCATTTATTTTACTACCTGCGCCCCCACATTCGCGCTCAAACTTGGAGGTAACTTTGGTGGGCCGCTTCCCCCGACACCAAAACTCGGTGGCGGCAACCCCGGTGCGGGGCCGATGCTGAAGTTGTTGTACATGTTTGTAGTCTGTTGCGTGAACGCCGAAGCCGTGTTTTGATGCGGGGGCAGGCCCGCCCCTCCCGCTCCAGGATTGTAATGCGTGTCTTGAGGGGAGGAGTTCGGGTTCATTCCATGATACGGAGGACCAGCGCCCCCAGTCGCTAGCGGCGGGTTGGGGTTGTACCCGAAAGCAGCCGCGCCGCTCATCGGTGGTCCGTTATGATGTCCTGGGTTGTAGGAGGACAAGCCGGGGGGCGGAGAAGCAGCAGGGGAAACTTGATACTGCGCATACTGCTGACCGGTGGGCGGGAGCGGGTTGTAGGAAGCAGTGGTACCAGGAACGGAATTCTGATGTAGTGTGTACTGCGAATGTTGCTGAAGCGGCGCTCCGTAAGCAGAACTAGTAGGACCTCCGTAGTTTGGAGGCGCTCCTGTAGGGTTCGGTGGGACAACCATCGTGGCGCAACCTCCTCGGTTCTGCCGCGCTGTTGAGATGAAAGAAGCAACGCCAACAACGAGCTACTACAACTGGTCTGCCTTTGCAACAAGATTATCGGCTTTTCTTGAATGATTTTTCAATGACAAAAAGGCTGAATCAAATCAAAGTCGTGAAAACAACTGCTATGAAAGCGGTTTTGGGACTGAAAGCTGCAATATTATACTAGAAGCCAAGTAAACGATTACGATTGGTTGGATAGAGATAGAAGAGTTTGAGATTGAGTTTATGCTCTCGCTTGCAACAAAATTCAAAATGCCAAAATTGTCAAAGAATAGAAAGTGATACTGAGACTGAGAAGAGCCGCACGAGCTGCTTTGCCTTTCAAACAATCAATATGCATTGGCCACGAAAGAAGTGAAATCAACGAACTGGCCGAAAAATATCGGTGAGATAAACTACTGAGCACCAGGCTGCTAATGCGCAGCAGAGGTTTCGTTTCCTGTTTTTGGGATTATGGATTTTGGGAGACTGGAAAGAATGCCATAAAAGTTTTTGTGAGTGAGTGCACTCACTTCCTTGGGGAACACGACAAGAAAAGCAAAACCAAGGGTTCGACCGTCGGCCAAGAAAAACATTTGCTGACCCTCACAACAATGAAAAGCCAGGCACTAAGGGACAGGGACACACAGCTGGCCATCCCGCAGAAGCATCGCTGAAAGTAGTTGCAGACGAGAAGTTCGCGGCTTCAAGACGAGCTTCTAGTATTGCATCGTCATATAGGTTCCTGCCATTTTTGTGCATTATTCAGAGCGGTTTTTGGATGTCTGTACGATGCGACACATCGCCAGTACCATCATCAAGAAAAACATCATGTAAACCTCAACAATTCAGTGCTCGTCTTCTTCCTGCGTCTCTGCCTCTGCGTCTGCCGATCGATAATCTTTGCTGACGTCGAGCCCATCTTCTGGCACGGCAACATCAAAAACAAGCTCCGGCAGGGGTAGGGACAGAGGGAACAGCAGGGTAGTAGAGCGAATAGGATTTTTATTCTCGCAAAATATCGCCGTCGTCATCACCGTCACCCTCGTACTGCCGTAACCTTTCTCGGAGCTGCTTTATCGTCTGGTTTTTCTTTGCCACGATGTTCTTCAGATCTTTGAACTGCGAACTGTCGCCTAGACGCCGGGTTAGGTCCTGGGGTTTTGATTTTGTAATGTTCAGATCGCACGATCGCATTCGAGAAAATATGGCCTAAAACGAATGCCGCATGGTCTTCACATCCGTACCTACTGGTATGCGTTGTGAATCCGATTCCGAAAAAAGTCTCTGCTACCTCTCGTGCTTTCTCTGCCTCTGAGGCTTTGGAGTCCAAAAGCATTTTGGTATTCTTCAGCTGCCCTTCCAGGTCTTTTACCATGGACGTACCTGAGTTTCGAGTTATTCTATTTTTGCATCCATATCACACACGACCTGAGTCTGGCGTCCAAACGATTGAAGTTGCTGGGCAAAACCAACTCAAGAAGCCAAGTGAGAAGTTTGGGGAAGTTTTGATCCTGCTACTGAAAGTCAAATATTGTTGGTCCTGGTCACAACTTCTTCTATACTTTGCAAATCCGCGCCCATCCGGTCTTTTATCGTGGAAAACGAGGTCTTGATCTGCGCTAGCTCCTCTTTCAGGGCGCTGCGCTCGCTCATCATTTCTGAGAGCTGCTTTTGTATCGATTGATACCTCTCTTGCAGCATCTGGTTTTCCTTGACCAGCTCGTCCGAGGAGCCACCGGCAGCGGCGGAGCCTGATGATAATATCTTCATCTATTTGATGGTGGAATTTGTAGTCATTAGAATCATCATGCGAACAACAACAAGCAGATTTCTACACGATAACATTATGCCTGTCATGCAGGAGAATAAATGCGGTGTTCTCAGATAATACCGAGACTCGCCAACACCGCCGGTTTGTTCCCTGCGGTTCCTTGCCACTCCGCGAGCTCCGCAATTTTTGCTAGTCTCGCTTCGTCCTCCACGACGGAGAGGTCTGACCCGAGTTGCACGGACCTGGATTGCGCCTGGGCAAACAGGTCCGCGGTGTGTAGGGCCATCATGTTCGTGACCGTATCTAGTTCCAATTTCACGACTTCTTTGATCATTTTTGCGAATTCATCGAGCAGGGTCACCACATCCTCCTGGTTGTAAATGGTCTCGGCGCAGCGATCGTCTTTCAAATCCGTCACGATGTCGTCGACTTCCCGCAAGTGCCGGTCCCGCTTTTGCCGCAGAAACTGGTACAACCGCTTGATTTGAGCCTTGTTACTGTCGTCCAGCTCCATGGCGGCCCCGATACTCATACTAGAGACGAGGAGGGTCTTTGTGACGCGGACGACAAGCAACGTGGTGACACCAACCAAGGTATGATATTCGTCGAGACCTTTTCAACAAAAACTAAATCTGCCTTTTGTTCTTATGCGGAGGAAAAACAATTATATGTCTTCCTTCGATTCGCTCTTTTTAGGAGACCAATTTCGTGGTCCATGATCTTCTCCACTGGGGGAAATAGAAACGACCTTGTCATCGTCTGGATGCCTCGTCCTCGGAGGAGGTGCTTCTGTGCGCGGTAAATAGAACCTCGCAACGACTCCATTCACATTCTCTCCTGTAGTTGCTTCTTAGTCTATTTCATCGTCCCTCAGGAGTATATTATCATCGCTCGGTGCAGAAGTTCTTTGGGATGAGTGGATATTACGACCTACTGGATGAGTAGAAAGAGGATACTTGCACCCAACAGATGTCGTACAAAACTCAACGCTGCTTTCATATCGATGTCTGTGACTGACACGAACTCCAACTCGTGGTCGTGTCGCAAAGAGAAGAGAAATCCTTGCAAATTGAGTGCATCCCCCAAGAAATGACGACCTACCAAGAAAAGAAATTGAAGGTTGTGCTTCTTGGATCATTGATACTACTTGTACTTTGCATGAAGCACTAAGCAGTCCTCGGCAATGGCAAACCAAAACCAAACATCTAGCTACAACGACTTACGCCAAACCTGCTGGTATAATCCCAGCGTATGAATTAGAGTTTCAATATTTCAAACCACTCGCAGCACTACCATGCTCACGGTGACGCCCCTGGTACAGTTTTACTTTTTCCAAGTCTGAGTCATTCCCTGTAGATACTTAAATTTGTCGATAAGTTCGACCTCACTTTCATTTATGTAAGTAAGTACTACATCAGACCTGAAGATGTGTCGCCGGCCTGTAGAGGACAAACGAAGCGTCTTCTTGAAGATAGTGTCGCAGCTCTTTGGCCATACTGTTTATTCTTGCTATCGAAGAAATGGGGCGGTGCTCAAGTTACAGTCAGTGGTAATGTAATCCATATCAAGAAATCAGGAGAAGTAAAATTGCAAAATTTTGCCGTCGTGGTTGTCGTCGTCGTCCAACTGCAGGCTACTACTAGTTGCGTTTTATGTTCGCGAAAAATACCAACAAATCTAAATCAAAATCTAAATCAACCAAGAGCACAAAAAGCCGGCTTTCCCGCGTATCGAGCAAGTTGTAGCGCGCAACCTTATCCATGGCCGCGCCGTAGTACCTTACTACTTGTACGTGAAAGCGACAAAATATCGTGCCTCTGGCATCACAAAAGATCAAACGATAGAGATTCTTGTTGGGATTATTTGCAAGGTGGGCACAGAAACGCATCCCCCTCAGAACCTCTTCGTCTCGCGGCCAAGACGACGACGAGGAGGGATTATACCAAAGCTAGAGGAAAATAAATGCTCGCACATAAAGTAAAATCAGCAAGTCGTCTAGACTTGTTTTGCTCCGTACTTACTTGTTAGTTACAGCAGCTCCCGCCACAGAGGTCGTGACGAAGAAGCCTAGTGTCAGCCAGAGTGATGCTGGTGCGCGTGTCCCCCCTGCCCCGTGCCGCTGTTTGCTACCGCGTACCTCGCCTTCTGGATTTGCTCTTCCGTCGCTTGGCCCATGGTTTGCAACTCCAAATCTACTTGCGGCAACTGCTTGTAGAGACACGGCCCGAATTCCCCGCGCTTCCGGGTCCACCAGAAATCCATGCAGTTGCTGACGCTGCCCCCCTTGTCCCAGGGGTTCACAAAGTTCTTCTTCACCTGCCCTTTGGGGTCGCTCACCAGCTGCCAGAAGTGCTCGTACCGGTGCATGTTCATCACTTCGTTCGTCGTGAGGTTCCTGGAGACCAACCGCAGGTGATACGACGTGAGGCAGAGGAGCCAGGGCAACGTGACGACGTGCGAGAAGAGGGAAACCGCGATTATCGTGTAGTTGGTGATGGTCTAGTTGAGGTTTTGTTTCATCATCAGGATCAACAACATCATCGATACATTGATTGCGAGTCAGTGAAGCCAGCTGTTGCTGTTCTCTTCTTCATTCTAATTCATGTGGACGTAAGTTATGAGTGAAAATTCGATCAATCCCAAGAACAAGCACAGTGACAGTACTACAAAACGTCTGGTATTCATCTGCGATCAAGCTGCAACAAAATTATACGAAAACAATGGTGCCCCAGACGCCGTTTTCCGGGTTGTCCTTCATCGCTTCGGACACGATGCAGTACCATATCAGCGCGAAATGCGCCAACTGGGTGAAAAACTCCCAGAGACACAGCATCACAAACCGCCTGTTGTTATCCCGGCCAATTGGCACGCCGAGCCAGCCGCAGTAGTGATCGAACTCGCGCACACACATTTTTGACGTGCTGCAGTACTTCGTGCGCAAGTCCTTTTCTATCCAGGTCTCGGTGCAGAGCCGATGAAGCCGCTTTTCGTCAAACTTCTCATCGGAATCGATGTCGGCTGCGTGATGTAGTTTTTTGCCATTTTCGTGGTCATTTTGTTTTTGCTATTGCTGGTGCCAAAGAACAATGTAGGGCAATTTTTGATGGTACCTTATAACGTAGCGCTTCAAAAATAAATATAAAATGGCATAAACAAATCCCCAGCTGCAGGAGCAAAAGCGTATGCGTATTAGAATCTTCGAATATGAAGTGACGCAGTTTATACCCATGATTTCCTCCACTGCACTCCTGCCTATGGGTCTTTTCGGCCACGCGCCCGGGTGGGACTGCGTCATCTGCACAAACGCGATGATTGCCATTGGCACCATGATCCACACAATCACGGTCAGCATCGGTGCGGCCTCGGACCCGACGACGGCTAAGTACTGCACGTGGACGTAGAGGGCTAATGTCGCGGCACCGAGGTACATGCAGGGAACCAGGTACTTCTGAAAATCCGGTTCGTCCAGCATTTTCTGCATATCATTGGCAAAGCTGGATTTTTCTTTCGTGGCCGTCGTTGTTGCGTCCGCCGCTTTTGGCTCCTCGCCTACCCTGGCGCCGATAATCTGCGTCTCGGGGAGGGATTCCGGGACGAGAGCGGGGTCGGCGTATCCTGAGTAAAAACGTCCCCACGCCAGAGTTGTCATGCAGATTTGCAATGACAGGAACATTTGCAATGCGCATCGCCAGGAGAGGCATTTTTAGTCGTGTTTTGGAATTTGTAATGCTGTAAACAGGATGAGCAGATGGATTGATGATGCAGCTGGCCTTGCGAACCTGCACTACACTACGGACTGCAACTTGTGATGCGTGACCCCCAAAAGTTCTAGGTTTGTGTTGCAAAATCCCCATCTTGACTCTGGTGTGGGGATGTTTTTACTCAGGATACGGCGAGCTTTTTCACTAAGGCGGTCAGGGACGTATGGAGGTAGGGGTTGTCTGAAGTCGGTTTTTTTGAAAAGTCATCCGATTGCGATTGATTTCGATTTGATGTTGAAATTGAAATGCGACTGTGATGTCGCGAAAGTATGTTCACGTGCATGACGCCATTGCAACGTCGTCACGCTTCGGCTTCTCATGTTGCGCACCAGGAGGCAATAAAAACTTGTTTCCGCTTGACAAACTGCTTGATGGTGCGGCCTTATATCATTCTTGTATATAGCATGTAACTTACTTTTGTCCTTTGCCGCCAGCTGCATGCAGTCCTCGCCGTCCTTGGTCTTCAGGTAGGGGTTGACTTTCCTCTTTAGCAGAAATTCGCACACCTCGATGCTCCCCGACGCCACCGCGCGGTGCAGGGGGGACATTTTTGCGAAGTCTACGTGCTGAAAGTCGGCCTGGAAGTAATCGAGGAATTTCAAATTCATGATGTCTGCCTTGTAAGCGGCCCAATGGACCGCACCGCAGCCATTGATGTCCATCTCGTCCAAAACTTGCCGGTCACGCTGAAGAAGGAGGAGGAAGGCGAGTTTCCTGTGGTTTACGTTGTTCTTGTTGTTCGTCAACTTGCGCAATCAGAAGAACTAAACCTTAACCTAATCTTTGTTCACTGCGAAAATTATAGATACGCAACACGGACTTTTTTCATCTGCCCCTTGTTGTGCACGGCATTTCCTCTCGCTAAATCATGTCTCGCTTTGAAGATATACTGTTTGTGCTGAATCGCCAAAAGGAACGGCGTTGCGCCGAGGCTGTCTCTTCGTTTTATGTCAGCCCCTCGGGATATCAACATGCGCATGATTTGCACGTGCCCTTGGATTGTCGCCCACATCAATGGTGTCTGACCGTTGAACCTGATCGACGGGTTGATAAAAATCTTCTAGGTTTACATCTTACTCAATCTCGCCACTTTTACTCGTTGCAAGACAAAATCTGCTTTACAATGCAATGCATGAACTGCAGGGGCATAATCACATTTTTCTGTTCGTTCAGTTTATTTGGTTTTGCAAAAACTAGCACTAGTACGTTGCCATCTCCACCGGCACACCAACCTCGTCCACCGCCCACTTACAGAAGGCTTCATCACCCCCCAGCGCGCCCCAGTGGAGGAACGTGTGGCCCTGCGGGTCCCGCGCGCCGGCAATGTCCTCGGCGCGGGGAAAGGCATTTGGCTGCCCCGCGTTGTTGGTAACCATCTGTTTTAACTTGTCGAAGCCGGAGTTGCGCACGTATTGAAACAGTTGGTTCATTTGCCGCTCCCTCATTTGCTGTTTCTGTGCCTCCATCATCTGTTGCATGCCCCCGGTCTTCATAAAGCTCTCCATCTGCTGCCGCATCGCAAGCCACTGATTGTGGTCCGGATGATTTGGGTCCGCTTGTGGCCAGGAGTCTAATTGTGCCAGTTGGGGTGGCTTCTCCTGTGTTGCAGCTCCTTCACCGGGCGGTGGTGCGGTACTAGAGGAAGCGGCTGGGGTTGGTGCTGCCACCTCTGGGGGTTTCTGAAAAACGGTTTGGGGAGGCAGCCCCGGTGGGCCCACGGCGAGGAGTTTCTGTTTCGATTCCTCATCCAGATTTGCGAGCACTTCCGCAGTTGTCGGCGCTTTCGTCTCGACGCTTTTTTTGTTGATGTCCTCGGCTTGTTCATCGTTGTTCGCATTCGTGGTGCTGCCACTACTATCCTCGTGGTCCACCGGCAGCTTCACCCCCGCTTGTGCAGCCGCAACGGCGGCTTTATTTTGGCCGAGAGAAGATGCAGCATGATCGCCAGCGGTCGTGCTGTCGATGCTACTGCGAGCAGTGTCGGATGCGAGCGTTGCCGAGGAGACAGACGCGGTGGTCGCCGTGTCGTCAATCACTTCGCCGCAAACGTCAATATTCTCAAAATCCTTCAGCGAAATCTGTTTCTGCGGCGAGTTCGTGCTGGTCATGGCCGGACCGTTATCGGCACCCGCCATCGAGGAAAGGCTCGATGGCGAGGAGTGAAGCGCGGTAGAGATTGGACTCTAGATGTTCCACGACCGGTGCGATGGTGCTATCTTTTGCTTGTACTGATGGTTGTAGTACTGAAAACGATTGCAAACACTTTCTGTTCTGAAGGATGAAAGTTTTCATATGGTCGAAAAAAAGCGCTTACAGAATCAACGCCCGAGAGAACCCGGCTCCGCCTGGAAAGAAGTGACGCGGTGCCGATAAAAGGTTTGAAAGCTGGTAGAAGGCACTGGTGCGCCACACGCATTTTGTAAAAAGTGATTTCGATTTGCTGTAAAGGAATGCAATCCAAAAGTTGTGGAAAAATTATTCATATTCTGGAATGAAAATCACGAAAAATAAATCGCAACGACCACGACACCGAGCGACCTGCATGATGAATAAAAAACTCATATAGCGTGGACGTCTTTTATTTTTTTTACGGAACAACGGAGAGAAAGTCGCCGCACGCCTTTCGTCTTGGTCTTTCAGCGAAAATACTGAAACAAATATGCGAATGCTGGGTTTGTCTTTGTCAGCTTAATCTTCGACGTGGTCATGCTGTCAAAATCAAGCGGATGAAATATGCGCCATGAAATACTTATATAATTTCACCTTCTCTGCGCAATTCACCCATAGAGTGAACGCGCGCGCAACCAACGGAAGCGAATGACGTGCAGAAGCGCGTCGCAGTGATAGTCGCAAGACCTCGAGCGACAGTCACAATGGCAGCCAAGAGAGAACCCGGCCGGCACAACGAGCTACGGGTAGCAGGCCATGCAAGCCAGGCTCTCGACCCCCACAGAGCCATGCCCCGGACATAGAGGTGGCCCAAGCCGCGAGACGCGACTGGGACCGCCGAATATCTAGGGCGGGCTTGCGAGGGGTGCCGCAAGGGGTCTCGCGACCTCAAGTCGGGTGGGAGGGTGGGAAAAAACGCAAAATCTAGGCGAGCCAAGACAATGCGGTATTTCTGGAAAAAGGACAGAGACCCAGCCGAAGCTGGTCGACACCGGGCAGCCAGCCCGGTGTCGGAGTGTGCAACCCTCTTGCTTGATCATGTGAACTGATATAATCGCTACGCGACGCATATAATTTCACCTTCTCTGCGCAATTCACCCATAGAGTGAACGCGCGCGCAACCAACGGAAGCGAATGACGTGCAGAAGCGCGTCGCAGTGATAGTCGCAAGACCTCGAGCGACAGTCACAATGGCAGCCAAGAGAGAACCCGGCCGGCACAACGAGCTACGGGTAGCAGGCCATGCAAGCCAGGCTCTCGACCCCCACAGAGCCATGCCCCGGACATAGAGGTGGCCCAAGCCGCGAGGCGCGACTGGGACCGCCGAATATCTAGGGCGGGCTTGCGAGGGGTGCCGCAAGGGGTCTCGCGACCTCAAGTCGGGTGGGAGGGTGGGAAAAAACGCAAAATCTAGGCGAGCCAAGACAATGCGGTATTTCTGGAAAAAGGACAGAGACCCAGCCGAAGCTGGTCGACACCGGGCAGCCAGCCCGGTGTCGGAGTGTGCAACCCTCTTGCTTGATCATGTGAACTGATATAATCGCTACGCGACGCATATAATTTCACCTTCTCTGCGCAATTCACCCATAGAGTGAACGCGCGCGCAACCAACGGAAGCGAATGACGTGCAGAAGCGCGTCGCAGTGATAGTCGCAAGACCTCGAGCGACAGTCACAATGGCAGCCAAGAGAGAACCCGGCCGGCACAACGAGCTACGGGTAGCAGGCCATGCAAGCCAGGCTCTCGACCCCCACAGAGCCATGCCCCGGACATAGAGGTGGCCCAAGCCGCGAGGCGCGACTGGGACCGCCGAATATCTAGGGCGGGCTTGCGAGGGGTGCCGCAAGGGGTCTCGCGACCTCAAGTCGGGTGGGAGGGTGGGAAAAAACGCAAAATCTAGGCGAGCCAAGACAATGCGGTATTTCTGGAAAAAGGACAGAGACCCAGCCGAAGCTGGTCGACACCGGGCAGCCAGCCCGGTGTCGGAGTGTGCAACCCTCTTGCTTGATCATGTGAACTGATATAATCGCTACGCGACGCATATAATTTCACCTTCTCTGCGCAATTCACCCATAGAGTGAACGCGCGCGCAACCAACGGAAGCGAATGACGTGCAGAAGCGCGTCGCAGTGATAGTCGCAAGACCTCGAGCGACAGTCACAATGGCAGCCAAGAGAGAACCCGGCCGGCACAACGAGCTACGGGTAGCAGGCCATGCAAGCCAGGCTCTCGACCCCCACAGAGCCATGCCCCGGACATAGAGGTGGCCCAAGCCGCGAGGCGCGACTGGGACCGCCGAATATCTAGGGCGGGCTTGCGAGGGGTGCCGCAAGGGGTCTCGCGACCTCAAGTCGGGTGGGAGGGTGGGAAAAAACGCAAAATCTAGGCGAGCCAAGACAATGCGGTATTTCTGGAAAAAGGACAGAGACCCAGCCGAAGCTGGTCGACACCGGGCAGCCAGCCCGGTGTCGGAGTGTGCAACCCTCTTGCTTGATCATGTGAACTGATATAATCGCTACGCGACGCATATCTCGCGGAAGTAAAAGGGTTAGGGATGGAACGTCTCAAGAATACCATAGGGTTGAGATTCTGGGTTGTAAATGGTGGCGATAAAACTGCAATCTGCGTTACGTTTGTTTGTATTGGGGTAGAGATCTAGACATGTGACTAGAATACAGGACGCGCTTGATCATGAGCGCTAGAATTGATTTAGACTAACCAAACCAATATGAAAAATTGAGAGCCGCAAATGTGTCTGCAACTCAATTAGGATACAAGTACATCTTCATTTTACAGGCTCGGTCTAGGAAGAGAAAAGAAAATACACCTAGTTGCAAAATGATTCTCGGAAAAAATGGAAGCAAAATTTGCTCTTTCTCGGGGGCAGCGGCGCAGTAGTACGATAAGCAAAAGCATGAGGACGCGAACGATACATACAGCAGGAGCAGATGTACTATATTCCTTCGCGACTTTTAACATCGCCCCTTGTTAAATGTTAACTTCTTGTCTAACCTCGTGGCATTACAAGAGATCTTTAGTCTACTTCGATATCGCCGCCTCCGTTGCTTTGTCCGCCCTGATTTGACGTCGCGAAAATCCCTCGCGCGCGCGTCCCAGAACTACTAGGAGTCGCCCCCGCTGCACTTCCGAGGACGGACGCGAGCAAGCCGCCACCGGTGACCGCCTGCGTTAGTTCCAGCATTCCCTGCTGTTGCAAAATTCGGCGGTACAGCCGGTTGGACGGCTCGTCCTGTTGCGCGACCGGGTCGTGCCGCGTGAACCAAAAATCCCGGCAGTTGTTCATCACGGACCCCTTGTCATTGTAGGCGTTCGAAAACACCCGGCGCGGCTGCATCCGCGGGCGCTGGGGCGGTGGGTGTGAGGGATGATGATGATGTCCTTGTCCATTCATTCTGTTCTCCAACTCCTCGTCCACACATATGTCCTCTTCCTCCTCATGATCATGCGCGTGATCATTACCGTGATCGTGGTGGGCGCAACACTTTTTCTGCCCCATCGTCCCTGCCCTTGCGGTGGTTTTCACCATGATGGTTTTCCAGAGGTGCGGGTACTTGTGCGCGCTCAGTTGCTCGTTGGTCGTCATGTTGTCCATGACCACCTTAAGCTGAAACAGTGTCAGGCCGATCAGCCAGGCAAACAGGACCACGTCGAGCAGAAAGACGATACAGTGCCCGAGAAAGTTGTGGTCGTCTGTCGCGTGGTACAGTAGGAAGTGGATCACTTTTCCGGTTAAGCTCGTCGGCGCCTGCTGCGTGTTCGTGATCACGATCTGTGAAGTAGGCGGTGCTGGTGCATGATTGCCAGCACCTGGTACAACTGTAGCTCCAAGTCCAACTACATCTGCTGCTGCACCACCAGCACTCGTAGCACCGCTGTCTATTATTATCGGTTGCAACGCCTTGGAGGGGTCTTCCACGGTGTAAAACCAACCGACTGTCCAGTAGACCGCAAATCTCGTGAACCAACTGGGCTGTCCCCACACCCGTCGTGGCATCACGATTTCCACCGGCGTGGTGGACCCCGTTTCTGATGTCGTGGGCACGATAGGAGTAGTTGTGACCACTTCATCTGCCGCTGGAGTGAAGATGGGCAAGGACACGTCTTGGCCGGCTGATCCGCTTGGAGCTCCTGGAGCTGCGGTTGATAAAGCCAATGCGGCGTCGAAGGTCAGGCTTCGGGTATTACTAGACGAGGAAATAGAATTTTTATCCCACTCGTCTTTCAAAAACGTCTCGAAGTCGATCCCGAATCGCTCGGGATAGAACCAGCACGAGTAGAAAAACTCGATGAACCTTATGAACATCATGCCCAAGGAGACCATCAGTGTGGTGACGAACGCCATGAAACTGCGGTGGTTTCCCCGCCCGACCGCGTTGCCGATCCACGGGCAGTAGTGGTCGAAGTCGTGCACGCACACCCCGGAGACTCGGCAGTGCTTCGTGCGGAAGTCCCGGATGCAGAAACAGGTCTCGCACAAACGGAAATGGGTTAACAGATTGATCTTCTCCAAATGGTGCGTCTCCGCCAGGTAGTTGCAGATCATGGTGCGCTGGTCCTTCTCGTTTTTGAACGCCTTCACCGCGCCGGGGTTACTGAGCCAGGCTTTGCAGTTATCCAAGAAAAAAAGATTGTAGGTGTAACTTTTTTGGAGGAACAGCATTACAAATTTGTCTGGCATGACAGCAAAAACCTGTCATGCGCAGATAGTACGTGAAAACGCCCTTTAATGGACCCTACGACGCATGCCAAGCATGACAGACACCATCATCTTGCATGTTGCGCATCACAAATTTACGTTTTTTTCTTGGATAGAAGTACGAAATTAGGAAAATCCAGTCGAGGAGAACCATGAGCGAGTGGAATATCGGATTCTCAAATGTTACATTCTCAACTGTTACATGAATTTGTCATGCAAAAGCACCATTATCATCCTCACGATCAAGCTGCTCCGCATGACAAACTTGCGGAGGGCTAAATAGCACTATAATCCGTCCCAAATCTGTAATGCAAAAGGCGCAATCTTCCTCCTTTCACTTTTGCCCTTCTTGCATTGCAAATTCGTGTAACAGTTGAGGATGTAACAGTTGAGAACGCCATATGGAAGAAGGTCGGGTTGGTCACGTCTCCAAAAACCACCCACCAAAAGAAGCTCGAGACTTTCGCCACGCTGAAATTCGAGAGAAACCGGGCCAACGCGAAGAGCGGGAGAGTCACGATTGTTGCTGGGTTCAGGAGGAAACTTGTTGTTTCCGCGTCGATCGAAGCGATAATATCGGGTCGACTGTCAGCGGTGAGAATCGACGTCGTGTGAAGGGAAATAGGAGGCGACGTCGTAGCGGCTGATGCTGCACTTGCAGCATCAAGTTCTGCTACGCCTGCTGATGCGCCAACACTTCTTCCCGGGCACAAGTTCTCTTCTGGCAGTCCCCAGACGTTGCAAAATTGGTAGCGGGACCAGTAGATCTTCACGAAAGAGAGAGAAAGAACAATGGCCGGAATGAACAGCTCCGTGAATTTCAGTCGTGGTTTGCGCAGTGGCATTTTCTGCGACAGCATGGCTTCCAAGATTGCGTCGGGATTAGGTGGATAGAGTTTCAAGTAAACTTGCCCGCACTTCGCTAAAACTTTCCTCCCGGTTTCGGTCTTCCGCAGTACGCCAGCGGCGCGCAAAGCAATTGGGGCGAGAAAAGCGAACCTACCAGCCACCGCAGAGGATACTAGGCTACTAGCAGCTGCGGAAGAAGCAAAAACTGAATCCGTCAAATTTACCCCCTGTTCTATCGCGTTTCTCGCCGCGCGCGTTTCTTTGCTCGGTTTTGGAGAGGGGCTGCCAAACGGATCGTCTTCCTGCTTTTCCTTCATCCGTCTGCGGCACCTGCCGTCCTTGCTGTCCTTTTCTGAAATTCTTTCCGAATTATTCGCGTTGTTCTGATCGACGTTGGTCATCTCCGTTTCAAAAGACCCACCCTTCGAGGAAGATCGGTCCTTACCTCGACCACTACTATTTCTTCCGAGCAGCACCAGCCCGCACCTCTCTTGCATCGCTAACTTGAACCGTCTCCAGTTGCTCATCAGCGCCGCTTTCCCGGTGCCGAGCCAGCTCATCCGCTTCTCATCGTCCAGCCTGTCGATCTCCTTGCGCAGCAATTTCATCATGTAGTCGTCGGTTCTCGCGGCGATTTGGAAAGCGGTTTCCTCCGACCGCGACTTCGCTTCGTAGTCCACGACGTTTTCCTGCAGCAAGATCTTCGCGATGTCGTACCTCTATCAACTGTAAAAATGTCTGGGTCTGGAAGATTGCCAGACTTGTCATGCATATTTTGCATGGCCCCTGATGGCTGTAATGCATGGCCTAGCATCACATATTTCTAGAAGGCTTCCTGATACCTATTCTGCATGAGAAATGCCCTCTCCGTGTAGACCAAACTGGGCTCCTCTTGCTGGTCATGCAATACAGATTTTTTTCGAATCCGAAGACAGCATGACAAGTTGCAATCTTCCAGACCCAGACATTTTTTCAATCCATAACCTCCCCCCGATGACACTTCTGTGCAGCGGTGTCATCTGCTGCACGTCTCGGCGCTTGAACAACTTCGCGCCGTAGAGGCGGATCAAGATTTTGACCATCAGCGACTCGCCGCGGAAGCTGCACCAGTGCGCCGCGGTGCACTGGTGCGCGTCCGTGTCGTCCACGCAGTGGATATCTTGCCCCAGACAGAGCAGGAAGCCGGGCAGGTTTCCATGTTGGACGGCGATGATGAGCGCGGAGGCGCCGAGCGAGTCCCGCATGCGGAGAACGGATTTTCCACCCTTCTGGATCAAATACCGCAGCCCGTAAAAGACCGTCGTAGTGTTGCGTCCCGTCGCGTCCTCCACGCTGTCGCGAACCGGATCCACCTTCGTGATCGCCCACATCAAAGGGGTCTGCTTCGTCTCGACAGCGAACTGGGCCGGGTTGCAGTGCAGTCTCTCGATGCACCACTGCAACACCTCCACCTCCTCCGGGAACAAGGCGGCCCAGTGGAGCAGATTATGTCCGTCGTTGTCGATTTGCTGGCCCAGGTAGCGAAGCTTTTCCGGTTTCTCGCGGGCAAAGCCCTGCAGCACCAACGGCATCTCATTCAACCTGAGTAGGTTGCGGTACTCGCCAAAACTCCAGGGAAGGGACATGTCGTCCCCGGGCGGTCGGGTGTGGAAGGCGCGGTCGGCTGCGGAGGAGGAGGAGGTGCCGCCATTGGAGGTGTTTTTCGGCGGGCTCATTGGTCGCCCGGCGGCGCCGTGGTCCCGGGGAGCTCCCGGCCGCTGGCCGTGAAGCACTACCATGATTTGTTGTAAAAATGCTAATACAGTTGGTCGAGTCGTGCAGCTGTCTGAAGTAGAGGACTGGTGGTGGGGCTAGGGATGGCCATCAAGATCCGCCGGACGAAATCTACGACCTAAGTAGCTCATGACATTTTGCTTCAGGCGGCTGCTGATGCTGAAGATGATGTTGCATCTTCACAGTCTTCCATCTGGGACGACAGCTCTCGACCACGTGTGGGCCCCCCCGAGCTGGAAGTTCATTAAAATTAATGTTTTGTCTAGAAACATACGTAGTCGCACTGTGGTAACTTGTTCCGGGATAGTTGTACAGGAGACTGTTGGACAGTAGTTGATAGATGAAACGTTTCTTGGTCTTGCAACTGGACTGCATCAACACGAAGGACCGCACGGCCTCTGTACTGTCTGTGAATGAACGAACTGCTGAACGGGTGGCGTCGATCTTGTCAGAATCATATATTTCTTGAGTGCGTAGCTTGCGGAAGCAGGGACGTCTACTGCGTGTACGCTCAGTTGTCACAGAGATCGAACTGAGGAACCTTTTACGAACGAAACGAACATCGCGTAGCATGGTAATGCTGTACGATCGCGTAGCTACTGTAGCAAGCTAAAACGTGAACGATGTGTCTAAACATTGCAGTCAAGTAGAAACTTGAAGCCTCAATTTCGTGCAAACGAGAGTACTTAGACATTCTTTTGCTTTGCAGAGCGCAAGAACAGTGACAGACGGAGAGAGCACAGACAGACGAGTGAACACACGCCAGCTCAGTACTAAACCCAAACACCGAACTCTGGTGGTGGATGCCTGCAGTGTAACTCACCTACACCATCTTCACCACTACCACTCTCCCTCTAATACTGTTCTGAGATGACGCACGCTGACTTTTTTCTTTCAAATCACGCCCTCGGTGGAGGACAAGGAGAGCGAGGTCAAGAACCGCTCGAGGACACAAGGCAAGATAATTAATACCGGTCGCTCCTCTCAACCTCAAGAACACGAGGCTGTAGCAGGATAACTTCTGGTCTACTTTTACTTGCAAGGACGAGCTGGAACGTCTATGGTTCCAAAAGCAAAAGCGTGGCAGCTATCTGGAGTCGGTGTCTCTTAGACACTCGCAAACACTTTCAGAGCTCCAAACAACTGGCTTCCTTCCCGCCGGTAAGCGGCTCACACGCGCGCCCGCTTGAAAGCGGATGAGCTGAGCCAACGAACATAGGGCAACTAAGACAAGCCCAGACAAGGACATGGGCCACCGAGGATCAGCGCCGGTGAGGGCGTGGGGCAGATGGCCGGCCAACACACGCCGCCAAGCCTGAGCGTGCGAGGCAGGGGGGCGGGCATCCAATAGATATGGCGCGCGGCCGGCGAAACCAAGCAACCAGCGCCCGGCATTCCGGCCAGCAGGCCCACCCCTGAGAAGGCCGGGGGGACCACCTGGGCCACGCCCCTGCTAAGAGCCCGGCTGGTGACAGACCTACCTTCTCTCTGGCCCGCAAGCCCGCCCCATACACACACCCCGCCGCCGCAGCGCCTGCGTGCGGGCAGGCGGCAAAGAAATGGGCGGCGCGCACGCCTTTCGGTGGCATCGAGATGCACAATCCCCACGAGGCAGTCTCGGTCTTGGAGTTGTCCGCGCGATTGTTTCCGGCAAGCTCCACTTTCCGGTCGAAAATGACGCCAATAAGAGCGCCAAACTCTTTCGGACTGAGGCCGTCGGGCCGGATCACGAGGGGGGGCGCCTTCTCAGTCCCGGCCTGGACTCCTTCCCGGCGCAGGGAGTATGTCTGCTGTAAGACCATCACGCTGTCGCTGGGATTGGGACCGGAACGGTCCGCGAGAGGGCACATACAGGCCCGCGAGCGCGTCGCGCCCCGCATCATTTTCCCCGCGGGGAGGCTGCCAAGCAGGCGGCGAACGCCCCACCCAGGTCTGTCCAAAAAGCTGGCGGACCCTGTGCACCAGCCCCGCCCCCTTCGTTCTGGCTTGCCGCAAGCCCGCAAGCGGGGGCGCCCCCTCGGGCTTCCCCGTCGGTGTATCCTCGCACCAGTGGGCGCGCAACACTTCCGGCCATACTTCGCGACGACCGCCAGGCCCGGCATCTTGGTCGTGTGTCTCAGGTAGTCGCTGACCAACCTTCTGCAATCAGCCATCTCCGTCCGGCCCCCGCCGGGAGGCCACGCGCGCGCAAAACTCGCCGCGCTTTGACTCCGAGGCCTCGAAGCGCGCGTAGTCCAGTTCGGTCGGTCCCAAGCTCCGCGGAGAAGATTCCAGGCCCCGCGGCCGTAGCTAGCCCCGAGCGCCCGAGGCCCCCCGCCACCCTACGCAGAAACTCGCGCAAGGCCTCTAGTCGCCCCCGCTCGATCAGCTTCAAGTCAAAGGCTTGGACTAATGAATCTAAGCTTGGACCACGTCCACGCCTAGAAACGAACAACTCCAAGGACATGAAAGACGGACAAAAGAACAACAAGGGCTTTGCGAGAGAGGTGTGAGTCTCTCGATCGATGTTTCTCTTTGCTGTATGTTTCACCTTTTCACATAATTCTCGAAGCTGTTTACTGTGCTGCATTTTGTGTTTTGTTTTTCATCGCGATCAGCCTCAGGCATCTACATCCTAGTGGGAGATTGATGAAGTAGACATCACAATACAACTTCAACTTGTTGCAATCGCACAGTCATCAGGCTCCACCAGCGATCGGTACGATCTGTAAAAACTGAAAGAATGCGAAATCACAAAAAACACTGGAAGCCAGGTCGATATTATAATTCCTTGTTCTGCTCGGCCGCCCAACGCAAACGGCCCCGGCACCTTGAGTATCCAAACGTAAAATAAAGGTTAGCAGACCAGAATCTCAACTGCAGCAAATCGTCTCAACGTTGAGCCAGAAGGTAGCCAACGTTGGGAAAAGTGTCTCAACTACTCAACTTAGTAGAAGTAGAAGTAGTTCAAGCGTACAAGTAGAAGTAGAAGTAGGTGGGGCTAGATCGATCTAGAAGGAGTCGCGGTAGAAAAGCTGCAGCAGAAGGGAAAGCACAGTGACAAGCAGGCAGAAGATGGAAAGAGGGCAGCGCCGTCTCTTTCTTGTCTCTATCTGGCTGTGTCTTTTCTCTCTCTCTTGTCTCTATCTGGCTCTCTCATCTCTTTCTCTCTCTACCCTCTCCTTCACCCTCTCGCACATCCATATATTTGGTGTGTCAGAAATCTAACTTGAAGAGACAAAGAAGACAGGACTTTTATTGCTCGACTGCGCTTTAATTTTGTCCACCGATTGCGACGATCCGTTTGTATTGCTCGACTGCGAAGATCCGTTTGTATTGCTCGACTGCGACGATCCACTTTGTCCACCAGAGCCCGATCCATGTTGTCCAAAGAACCACAAGAAGGCCCTTGTCGTTGCCTTTTTCTTTTTTTGTCATTTTCTACATGAGGCCCGCTTGTGGTTCGATGTCAGAACCACACTTCGACCTCCACTGCGCGCAGCTGTCCAGTGAGCAGCGCCCCTCTCTTTTCTCCAGCCAGGTTTGTTGTAGTTAGTACACTGAGGCAGGTTGTGTTGTAGTTAAGTATAGCCATCGGGCTCGAAGATACAAAGTCACAGAGAACCACCATCCGCCTCCGGGGCATCAATTACCTAGCGCGAGCTGCTGCGGCGCGAGAAGCATGAGCTCCGCAGAAAAAGACCCGCCGGCGCGTGGGCGCTCCGCAGCACCCCCGGGCAGCCAGCACTCCGTATCCGACTGCGTCGAGGCCGGCGGCGGGCTGACTCCCTTGGTCGCGAGGATCAAGAAATGCAGCACATCCGTCGGGAAAGAGCTGATCATGCGCGCGATCGACAAAGGGGAAAAGGAGTTTGAACGTTTGAACCTGCGAGAGGCGTGCGGGAAGCGGCGTCTCTTCGCCAATGACCTTGACGACATGCTGAAGCCGCAGGCGGACGAATTGCTGCAGGCCTCCCTACCAGCGCAGGGCCTTCTTCCCAAGCAACAGCGTCTTCTTCCGGGTCCGCTTATCAAATGCAAACATGTCCGGGTCTGGAAAATTTCGGGAGTTTGTCATGCAAATTGTACATGGCCTCCCATGCCTGTGATGCATTCTCTAGCAACACAGATTTCTCACGGGTTTGCTCATGTCTATTCTGCATGAGAAGTGCTCTGTTTGAGTAGCATCAATCACGCAATACAGATCTGCAGCAGTCACGCAATACAGATCTTTGTGTGATCGACAGCTAGCATCACAAATCCCATTCTACTTGCCAGACCCAGACATATTTGCAATGAATGCCGCTTGTGAACATGCAACAACTACCGGCGGCGTCGAGTGGTAGTAGTAGCAGCTACATGACGGGAGTGCCACTGATGTCGAACATCAAGCAGCAGAAACTTGCGACGGGCAGCAAGCAGAACTTGCTCAGGGACTATCAGCAGGAGTCTAATTACGTGCAGCGCCCGGCAGGTTCCTCGCGCCTGGACATGATCACGGGCGAGCAGGGGTCGGGATTGTTAGGCTCGGAGAACCAGCAACAACAGAGCAAGGGTCAGTCATCGCGGAGTGCGAAACGGCCGGCCGGTTTCGCCTCGTCTTCTTTATCCGCGGACCATGTTGCCCCGGGCATGTTCGTATGAGTTGCAAATATGTCTTGGCCTGACAGGTCCGCTGGACTTTGTATATGCATTCGCTGCATTCCTGAAAAACAAATATCTGTGTTGCGCGAGCGGCAAAAGAGCAGCTTGCTTCATCATGCAGAAATGCAGTCGGTATCTGTAATGCGTTCTAGGCATCAATCTGTAATGCAGTCGCGTCTGTTCTTGTAATGCAGAAGTGCAATCTTGTCATGCAGAAATGTATCACAGGTCTGTTTCCAGACCCGGACATGTTTGCGCTTCATATTTTGGCGACCTGGATGAGCAATATTTCCCGGGCGATGACGAGTTTCACCCCTCAGGACTGGACGGGGCTTTGTCCGAGCAGAGCAGTGACGCAGAATTTGAAAAGTACGATGGGATCAGTAGCTTCATCCGAAAGCGCATCAAGAACGCAACGCAGGGAGGCAAGAAGAAGAGGAAGGACTCGCTCGACCTCGACTTCGGGGATGGTTTCGGCAACGGAGGCGAGGGCGGTGAAGGCGAAAACGGTAACGACAAGCCTATCGCGGAGCTGGGGGCGAACTTGAAAAGCAAAAAGATGCAGCAGGGGGGCGCAAAGAGGAGGAAGGTAAGACCTCTACTCTAGGTCTCTCGGCTCGGTTCTAGATCTTTCTGGCCGGCATCTTTAGGACAGTCCTTGTTTTTTGTCTTCCGCGATCGATTAATGAAGAAAATGACCCTGTTCTCTTGTTACACAAACCGCAAACGAACCAAAACACAGAAGAACGACCCGCCGCTGCTGGAAGCAGATGGGGAGCACGGAGATGCCGCCCCGCCCGCGGCGGGCGGAAGAAGGAAGAACGACCCGTACGTTGTCAAGATGGTGGTGCCCCAAACCGTCCAGGCCACGGCCGCGGAGTCCCTCCGCGAGGGGGAGGGAAGCGACGTGAGGTTCAAAGCGGTGGTGCAGAAGTGGAACAGTGAGCGGCTTAATATGACGCTGCTGAAACCTCCGACGAAAGACGGCAAGCGGACCTGCTACCTGAGGTGCAGGCTATCGATTGCAAGCATGCCTGGGCCTGGATTAGTGGGCGGAGGGCTTTTTGCTCTTTGCCAAAGATCGGCACGCTACACTCACATGTGAGACACAGACATAGCATGACCATTTGCCACCGGATGGGTGGTGGTTTTGTTTCTCTTTGCCTAAGATTGGCACGCTAAGTGAAGTCTTTAGACTTAGCGCGACGAATTACCATCTTCCAGACCCAGACGCGTTTGCATGGAATACAGAGACCCGAAGAGCAATGTGAAGGTTGCGAGCGAGCGAGCTGGTTGCCAGTGCCTCGTGCGGTGCACCTGGCACAAGGACGCGTTTGAAGCCTACTGCTCAAAAGTCTGCGAGTATGTCGAGGCCGAGCGGAGCCTGCGCGACGTCCTCCGTCCGGTCGAGCACATGGAACCACTGCGGGCCGCCAATGT